AAGGGGATTGGGGGAAACGTACGGTGGCAGGGCGAGTCAAAGAGATCTCTTCGCCGAGAGGGATTCAAGTCGAAAAAGATACCAGGGACGACTATAACTTTTTCTTGCAAGCACGCTTGGAAAAAGTTGAGGCCGTCGGCAATAGATGGCGGTAAGGTCGAGACTGTTCGGAAAGTCAATGTTAGAGAGGAAATGACTCAAGTCCGAGCAAATATGGGCTTGACTGAGGGAGGAAACGTACGATCTAACCAAAGGTAAAAGGTAGAGTCAGGAACGTACTGTTGAAAGGAAATGTCAGCAAGTTCAAGTTGAAGGGAGTAAGCTCAAGGGGGGAGGTTCTTTAGAGGGTAATCGTACGTCAAGCGTGAAGCCAATTTCTTCTAGACGACCAAGGACATAGTCGCGCTTGTCCTTGAAGTGGGTCTGCAGCGCCTTCATCTCGGACCGGACTTTGGTCGGCTCAAGCATAGAAATAGCAGCCTCTTGGAATGGCACGTTGGTGCCTCCATCAAGATAGCTTCCGCAGGAGCCAATGGCTTTGATGAACTCTTTGGGTCCAATGACCCAGGCGACTCGCCAGCCTGGGAGGCGGAACCGCTTTGTAAGACCGTCGATAATGATGACATCTATTCATGTGAGTATGCGTGATCTGGAGATGGCGGCAGTAAAATGGTCCTATGGTGGTGGTGGGAGAAAAGTAAAAAAAAAAGAAACGTACCATCGTCATCAACGTCCTCAACGTTCTCGGCAGCGCTAATTACAGAGCCGTCACAGTTGGATGTAAAGTTATATCCAGAGTAAAATTCATCCATAATAAGGGTTGCGCGGTCTCGGCAAATGTCCTGAATCGTGGCTAATTCTGGGTTCCTCACTGTCTGGCCGCTTGGGTTACGGGGGTTAGAGGTGAGGATGACAGAGGTGCCTAGAGTAACCAGTTAATCATTGCCTTTAGCTCACCCTGCTACGAAGCCCTAATGCAAATACCTCGAGCAATTTCCTCAGCAATCTTATCAGGGTGAATACGATATTTATCGGCGGCGGAAAGCGGAATGGGAATGGAAGAGAACTGTTTCATATATCAGTACAGTGCCTCCAATTGCATAATTAGGGATGGCATTTCCATGCGAAACGTTGAACTCACATTTCTGAACAAACTCAACATTTCATTATATGCAGTGTAGTCGGGAATGAAGAAGCCTAGATACGCATTGTTCAAGACGGCTGCGATTCGAATCAAGCCAGCTCGGCCACCTGGCACAATGCAGACGTTTTCCCAAGTATATTGACTCTCTTTGCCTTGGCGATGGTGGGCATTATAGAGGTTCGCGACAGCCTCTCGCAGAGGTTTGATACCGGCGGTTGGGCCTTGGTTTTTGTCAGAAGATACGTTTGGAATCTTACGTGTGGAATTTAGCAGCATGGTGCTGCGTGCGTTCGAAACGTTCCAGTCAACCCCAAAACTCTATTCTCATCACCTACCATATTCTCTTCCGGTCATAGAAATGTCAATGTGCTTAGGACGTTCAAAACAACCCTCAATGTCATCCTCAACCTCGGGCGCACCCTGACCTAGGTTTGCCCAGCTGGCTGGGTCATCAAGGAATCCATGCTCATATGCTCGCTCAGTGGTCCAAACAACCCCGGTAGATGCGCGACTGGGATCGAGACCGGCATGAGCGCGGTGACCATCATTGGCGGTGCGGAACTGTCGATGCGCAATGGAACCGAGTTCTGGCCGACGAGGGATATGTCAGAATCAGCTGAGGTTGCCTCGCGCCGTGTGGAGAAGTGGGGTGCGGGGATAAACAGCATGGAAGCGAAGGACGCCTTGGCTTTAAAGCTGCTTCTTGGCTCTATATCAAACTTGTGCGGGACAATCGAAGGCTTGATGTAGGGAATTAAGGAAGAAGCGTCATGTATCAACGATTGGCAGTGGGAAAAAAAAAAATTCTCGACACGGTGTCGTGTGCTCAGAGGTCTAACTTACCACTCTGACTGGGTTCCTTGTTCGTCGACAGCCTGCGCGGCTTGTGCGCGTGCGAGGGTCTATTGATGGATATTTGATGTCCTGAGAAACTCATCGTCGCGGATCTATTCTCTGAGATTGCTTGAACGCAATTCGCGATTCGTTTGGGTCTTGTTTCCTCCGCGAGTCGTGGAGCTGAGCTTAAGACGAGAGGGGATGTCGTCACTTTACGTACAACACTCAAGCTCCATCGGTGAGAATCGTCAAGTTTTCCCGAAAATGACCGATACCGGCAACGACCGCCGCAGATAAATTAACATCATCCGGGGTTTTGTATAGTGTATTCGCTATGTTTGAAATTCTTCAATGCTCAGGACGCTTTATTTTGTTGAAATGCAAAAAAGGAATTGGAGCGCGATACCTTGTCCACAAGATGAACAAAACATGGTTTTCATTTATGATCTCGTCGCAATTCCCATCTTGGATGGTCAGCAAACTCACTTGATTTCCTTATATTAATGTAAGATACCTTCTGATTAATAACTCCATTCTGCATCCTTAATCAATTCTCATTGTGAAGAGCATTTAAGCAGCTTCAAACTATGGGAGAAGTAAAAGCCCTGGAACAAAATCAGAAAACAGAGGGAAATGAAATTTTATTCTCTTTCATAATTTTTTTTTTAAAAAAATTAAATAAATAAGAAATTTAAAACCAAAAAGAAGAAGAAGAAGAAGAAGAAGAAGAAGAAGAGAAAGAAAGTTACATTTAACCATAATGAAACAAAAGCAGACACATGGGCGGTTTCAATGCGTTTCAATCTAATTCAGACTGCCTCATCTTCTCATAATTTCGTTTGCGGTGATTATTAGATGCTGCTAGCGCAAAATGTTCTTAATCCAAGGGTATATTTGATGAATTGTCAAAAACCACGGTCTGGTGCTCTGGACCGGGGTTGGAGTGGACCTGTAATATCATCCTCTTGGTAGTCGAGTCTCGGAGCATCAGCTGTACCAAGCTTATAGCCTGAATGCTAGGGGACAGTCTACCTTCATGGCTTGCTTTTGCCAAAATCTTCGGTTCATTTCTTTCAGAGAGCAAATGATCTCTCTTTCGGCACCATCGATCTCCCGAGGGAGAATTGGTAGAGTGGAGTATAAGAGCCGAATGTGAAGTTGAGGGCTAACGATTTCTCTCCAATCCAATCGACTCACGTGCTGTCCCCTGCATTCATTGATTAAAGAGAATGGAAGGCGGCAATGGAGACGGAAACTCATTGCTTGTCTCCACTGACGATATGCCTGCTGGCTCATATATTTCGTCCGTGTCGATGCCGTAGTTTAACGCACGCATCGCCATTCGCAATTGCCGTTTGAGCGTGCGTACTTCATTTTCGCGCTCCTGCAAATGCTGCAGAATCTGTCGATTCTTTTTCGCCCACGCGACAGCCCATTCCTCGTCCCGCTCACTTACGGCTTGCTCAACGTTACGTTGACTCTCGAGTTCAATGCGCCGCATACGGTCCAGCAGCTGTCGATCGCGGTCCTTCCAGCGGACTTCCCACATATCTTCGACAGCATGACGAGCGCGCGCAATGACCGAGAGCTGTTGCTTCTCGAGTTCAGTGAGCTGGCCTATACTGCCATTTCCCGTTGCACCTGTGGGAGTGGTAGTGGCAGAGGAAGAAGCTATGGGCTGGTTGAGTGCTAAAAGGAGTGAGGTTGAAGCAGAGGAATCATTCTCGGAATGGACTGTGGCCGCGGGCAGGGTCCTAGTCACCGCGTCGCTATTTGCATTGATGTCAATGCCATGGCACAACCCAGGAAAGAGTGTTTCAGCCTGGCGAGCCAGATCATCCTCTCGTTGACGCTCCAAAGATTCGCACCGAGTAGTCCAAAAGTCAAGACTGCTCCGTAGGGTCTCTACTGTTGCTTGAAGATTAATTACATCTGCGCGGAGAGACCGATTCTGGGAATTAAGTTCATCAAATACGGAAGCAGTTTGAGGGTCTGATCCGCCATGACACGGCCAAGAAAATACCCTTTGTGCATTTTGGTCTTGCGTCGTGAGTCCAGATTTTGAAGAATCATTTTGACTTGCTCCGACCTCAATTTTAGCAGCCTCCCCCAGTATGAGTCTCTCAGATAAGACTCCTTTCGAGGCACTGCTTTCTTTGAATGGATTATAATCCTTCGGACTTCCGTCTAGGTCCTGTAATGAGACAGGACGTCCGTCCAACTTTTTGCGAAGTTTGTCTACACGGCGCCCAAGAGCGGCTCTGATTGTCCGCACATGGGCAGGGGACAATGGCGGTAACCGAGATACAATAGCTTGGTTTTTGTTCGGCTGTTCTGAAGACGAATATTTAACAGACACCGAACCGGTCGCCATAGATTGCCTCTGTTCCGATGCGTCCTTTTGGATCTGCGCCTTCAGAGATGCAACCTCTTCGGCAAGCTCGCGGATCATTGCGCGAGTTTCGCCAATCTCGTCCTCTCGTGTCCGGATTTCCTTTTGATAACTATTGTCAAGCTTGCGGACCAGTCTCGTGTAATGAATCACAATGTCATTCTCGGTATCCATTGGCGGGGGCGTGTGAGTTTCGATATCTCCCTCTTCAATATGGGCCGGAGTTGAGGCAACGGTCAATAATTCGGGATATAGGACTCCCGAAACATGGGCCTTTCTTTCGTCCTGATCACGTTTGCTAGATTTTCCAAACTTATCCTCATCCTGACTGGGAACAGATGGTCCATCGGCCTGAGGTATACGGATACTCACTTCCCGGTCGTCGTCGTCAGGATTTATCGTGTTTTCAACGAGTTTCCCTATTCCTTTCAAAAGAGAACCTGGAGAGGGAAAAGTCCCTGTAGCGCCTCTGCCCAAGTAAGCTGGGGAACTGGGCTCATCCTCCCCGGGAAAAGTAGCACCGGCGGGTGTCACATTTCGTGGTGTGCCTGCATTTGGAGACCTTCCACTATATGGCGTTAACGGACTGACACCTTGGCCTGTGTGATCGAGAGAAGGGCGAGTTTTGATTTTGAGACCGTTGCGGCGCCGCAAATTGGTGGCCGGCGAACCAAGACCGGGTGATTGGCTTTGTATCGGAGGCGACAAGATATTTGGCGTGGCATCAGAGGACGCGTGACGCCGATGCACAGATATGTCCTCTCTTCCGCGGGTGAATGACTGGTCTCTGGTCATTCCACCTGTCGCCTCGCTACTGACGTTAAGCTTTACTTCGGGAGGAGCACTGTCGCTTCGAAACCCCCTCTGGCCAAACACCGCTGACTGCGGCTGAGATACAGGCCCTGTTGGTGTATCTGTTGGTGTTGGAAAGAGAGTCTCATCCGGAGCAGGTCCATCGTAGTCAGGGGGAGCCGGAGTATTCTGCCTTGGAGTCTCCGGGCGAGTTTGGACCCTGAATGCGCTCCAGGATCCAAGATAAGTCAAGTCTCCGTCCTGACTGGACTGCATGTCCCAAAAGGCTGAGTCTTCCTGTAAAGTACCGATGCTGGTCTTTGTCCACGTTGAACGAATGCTTGAGGCACGACTTGGCCGAGATCTTATCGAGATTGCGGCTTCTCTTGCCCATGCTGGCCCTGTTTCAACAGCAAACATCGGAGTCTCCTGGGAGCCTGCTGCAGAAGATCTGCTTGAGGGCATCGCTATTCAATATTTCAACGCCGCCAACTTCAAGAAGAGTTCAGGTTTCTGGTTATTATCGGTAATAGATGTGAACGCAGTCTAATTCCAAGAGATTAGCACGTTTTCGTTCGTCAGAAAGGTGAGATCGTCTCACACGCGTAGATGAGACGCAGGGCCAATGGTTAGGATTGCTTAATATTATTGCTTAGGAATGAGCGACGGTGCTATCCTAGAGACGGTCCATTTCGCATGATGATTTTTCCTCTTGTAAGCTGAGCGGCTTTTCAAGACAAGTCCATGGGGAGAGTTTTCAATGTTGCGATTGGTTGAATAGGGGCGGATAGATGTTCTCCGTCTAGAAAACGATGGCCAATGTCGCTCTGTTAGCAATATTAACTGAGGATCTGGACTGTGTACATGAAATTTTATAAAGCGAGGTTCCCAAGAAGAGAACCAACAACAGGAGTAAGCTGGCTTGAGAGGAAAGACCGGGCGTTGCAAATACGTGGTCAAGACTTGGATTTGTTGAATGAGGAGCAAGCTGGTTAATGCCAGGAGCTCAGGCAGCAACCAAGGTAAAAATGCAGGTAGCCAAATGTAAACTTGAAAGGCACAAAAATGATCGTCAGGAAAAGAACATCGAGGAAAATCATCGAGGGACATGCAAGGCAAAAGCCGAGCCAGTCAAAATCGAGAACTAATGCTAAAAGCAAATGCAATGTATATGATAAGTCTTAACGCTCCAGGCTGCTAGAAAAGGGAAACCTAATGCATGATACTGCGTCCGTATCACCGTCTAAGCAGGCAGAAGCCAAAGATAACTTCCCAGGGAAGAATGATAGCAGCAGATATCCCGATTATTTGATAGATCCGACCAGCAGAGTAGAGTCGATCAAGAAAACAGAAGAAAGGAGAAAATATGAAGAGGATGTAACGACTCCACGTCTGATTGTTTATGTCGATAGTACATATAACGAATCGAGAAACTGAGCGAAAATCACGAGTGAGGAATAGCCATGTATAAAAGGAATATGATAAGCTAACTCAATGCTATAAATGATCTATGGAGCTGTTCTCAAAGAGAAGAGTGTTTAAACAGACTTGCTGCTAACATGACCAGAGGTCTGTTTGGCCGGCCACCCAGGCAGCAACATCGCCCGCTCAGCTTCGGGTTGGTCATTCAGCCGCAGCCGCAGCCACATCCCATGGATGCCTTGCCCACATCACGTGATCAAGAGTGGTCAAAAGTCTCACTTACACATTCAAGCTCCGCTTCAACTAGAGGATAGAATTTGGGCTTGTACAGGCCATAACGTACTCGGGCTGTTTTGCAAATCTTAAGACTAAGTCATGAAGATCACAGTTGGTGTGTAGAATCACTCTGCTTGTATGAACGATCACTGCCTCGAATAGGAGAGATAAATGCAAAATAATATTTCAAATTCTCGGTTTTTTGCGCTCCATTCCTCGTACGCCGCTTCACCAATTGGAATGCGTGTGAAGAATTATAACAGAATCATCATGAGAAATGCCCAAAAAAAGGGAAGAGCTAAATACAAGACTTATCATGGCTCATGCAATCGTGACAAAGAATGGAAAGACGAGATTGCTGGCATAAATAATAATAGTCGGCACAGCAGAACGACAAATGCTTTCGAAAACCCACATCTGCATGCTTTCGTCTCTATGAGCAGCAGCAGCATTCCTTGCTCCGGGAACAAACATGCATGTCAGGGTAAGAAATGAGCAAACACCTGTGAGGGAAAAGAGAGAAAGAAAAAGGAAAAAGCTCTAGCGTCACGCAACAGAAATGATTGTTTCGTCCGGCCACTTGTAATCCGAATCCGGCAATACTTAGGGAAGTGGCTGTTCGACATAAAACAACAAAGACGCGCTCATGCTACATCCGTGATGTTTTAGAGCACAGGTATGCGCAACATGAATGCACCGCTTAGTCGCGTGAGAGAAATAGAAGAAGAGAAGCAGGCCCAGGCCGAATTTCCCCAACACCGCGTGCACCGCATCTGAGAGCAAAGAATATATAGGGAATCACCCACACACCCTGGACGCGCTGTCGTAAAGCAACATAAGCCATGAAAATGGTAAAGGCCTTGGTGAAAATGGCACTGATATGGGAAAATGGGGGAAAAATTTTTCAGAAATGATCAATCCAAGCACTGGCGAGAGAAGTGCACCAGATTTAAAAATCACGGGTGTTCGAGCAGTTGGCATACGAGCTGGATTTCAGCAAGCTGATTGCTCAGGCCGCGCTTGATGTTTTGCTCCCTCCAGTCCTGGAAGGCAGTTTGAACATCCTCGTCGCTGTTGATTGTAACAGTATCTCCATCCTCATCAACATAGCGCAGACGACAATTGCCACGGTTGATAGACCATGGGGCGAATCTGGATAACTTTGCGTCAATCCGGTCAATGAGAGACTGATAGCTGATATTCATCCCAACGACGAGGGTCACATAGTTTTCTCCCATAATGACCCGTACTTTGAGTTGACTTGGTTCGGGCGCGGGCGCCGACAAAGGGGACATGGTGCGCGAGTCAGGCGCGGCAGATATCTGGGGAGGGAGTGCCTGGCGGGGATCTTGTCGAATAGGCAAATCATATGCTTGACTCTGATGCTGTGCATGGGTAGGAGGAGCTTGCGTGAATCCCGGACGCTCTCGTGTGAGGTTAGGGGAGTGCGTGTTGGAACGCGTCACCACACCGCCCTGGGAACCAGTCGGCGAATTGTTTTGGCTTCGATTAACGGGAGTTTTCATATGCGCCATGTGTGCGGGCAAAGGTGGCATTGGTACATCCGGCATGGGAGGATGAATATGGCCATTTATCCGACGACCAGAATTTGTAATGTTATGGATGTCAGGGCTGCTTGCGGATCGCAGGCGGTTGGGCAGCTGGCCGCCAGTCAAGCCGGCAATAGAAGGTCGTTGACCGCTGGGCCGGTTACTGTAACTGTGGGAACCTGTCTGACCTTCTCTGGACGCAGTTCGGCCTATTGCAGGTGCTGTGAAACGGTTATGCTCTTCACCTGGCCAACCACTGTTAGGCGTTGCTTGACGAGGGAAAGGATACATGCCCGAAGATGAACCACTAGTGCGTGTTGACATTGGCGATTCAACAGTTGGAGAGAAATAGGAATTACCAAGACGTTCCCCAGGTGAGATGGCACTCAATGGAAGTTGTGTATGCAGAGAAAGAGGTGGGCTCTGCGTAATAGGAAACCTCGGTGGAGGAGGCATAGCCACACGAGCAGGGCCTTGTGCCAGAGGCGGTCCGCTCTCGCCGGTCGTCGACCTCGAGCGTAAGCTAGTGCTGGATGCATTACGGCTGATCGAAAGCTCGGAGTTTAGGGGATAGCCAGTGGTCTCTTGAGTCTCCTTTTGCGGCTCAGGCTCCTCATCTTCCTCGGCTTCATCCTCTTGTTGGTAGGGGTTTTGAATGTTCGCACTCTGGCTTTTCATATACATGAATTCTGAGTCTGATGTGCCCGAGCCTCTTGGCGGATTCGACTTGACCTCGCTATATGCTTGTCGTTGAGCATCAACTTGCTTGGCCCATTTCTTCATGAAATCCTCCGTCGTAAATTTGATGGAAAAGTTCTCGACCCCTGGATCTCCTTTCCAGAAGATCTGCACCATGTAAGAGCCTAATTCCTTGTCAGTTAAAACATGGGACGTCGATTTCCATCGAAGCTTTGCCGAGCAGTTGCGGAAAAAAGCGTACCGGGCTTGGCAAGTGAAATAATTTCCGTTACGTTCTGCATGAATATCCGTCCCTTTAGTTGCAGTCGTAATTTGCCCTTCTTGTCGACGAGGGGTTTGTTCGTCCCCATGATCTTATTCTTTTGTTTGTTTGGATTGATCTCTTTACAGCAAAGAAGAATGCGTTCAAACAAATATACCTTATACTACAGAGCAACGGGCTCATTGAGCCCTTTCTCGTCAGCACATGTTCTTTGCGCACCGCGACGCGAGAGCAGCTAAGGGTGACACGAAACGAATGCTATTAGGATCCGAAGAAATTTCATCGAGATAAATAGGTGTGAGTCCGGCGAAGCGTGAATGAGCCCGACGCGAACCCAGCATCCCGTGCAAAGAAAATTAACATACCTCTCGTTCGACATCTCGGTTGCCATCACCCTTGAGAACTGTGAAGGTGCCATAGAGCAGAAGATCGCCGAAGTGGTCGATCTTATGGCCCTTCCAATCCTCCACACGGCCAGCTAATTCCTTGACAGCTTCGAGGCGATCTTCGCGGTCGACAGCCGCATTGGTTCGTTCAAGCACATCCGACGCAGCTTCAATACCGGCCGTTAGATCCGAGCGACGTTGATCGTCACTCTCACCTTTGTCGCGGAGCTCCTGAAAAGAAGAGAGAGAAATAAGATTTCTGTAATAACCCTCAAGCCTAACTCAAAGAATACTTACCTTTAATAACAGCGGATATTTGGCCAGTCTCTGGAACGGTTTCAGTAAGAACCCAGTCAGCACAGTAGGCGAATCGACAATCTGCCGAAGTTCCTTGGAACCACCAGCCTCCTTGAGCTTATCAAACTCGCGCATTGCAGTCTCCTCGCAGCGACGTTGGTTTGCAATGTACGGTTCGTAGACCCGAAATGCTTCATGATAATGAACAAATAGTTGACCCCAATTTTGCTGCTCCGAGGGGAGAGAATTTGTCGTTTCTACCCGAATAAGGAAACGTCTCTGAAAATCTAATAGATTGTTGAGATTTAAAAAGATGTCGTGCACGGCATCGCCAGGTATGACGCCTCGCTCTTCAACCTGCTTCTTAAATTGCTGCAAGATCTCTAGATGCTGGACGTAGGTCCGTTCGGTTGAGACCAGTTCGTCGACCACAAAATCTCGATGCGTACGCTTCACAACAGGCTGATCCGATGCTTCTTTGGCATTTTCGTCAGTGGCGGGTGAGTGCAGAAGGCCCCGCTGGGCGAGAATGTCAAGAACGCGGCCAACGACTTTTGTTACCTAATGCGTCTGTCAGAATATTCCATTCGAATCTTTATCCTTTATCACTTGAAGGTTTCTGGGGCAAATGTAGAGGCGTACCTTTACGAATCCCGTCGTATCATCACCGTACAGATCAGCGATGAGAAACATGTCGGCCGAGGGGAAGTTGAGATCTTCCAGACAGACACGCAAGAATTTGAAGGTAGCAGCTTTGCCCCTCTTCGCCTCTGTAACCTTGGACGGATCCACATTTTGCGCAACTTCGGGGTTCAAGACACTGGCCAGAGCCATCAAAGGATAGCCCTTGCGAAAACATTTCCAGAGTGACGAGACTGGGTCAGTTCCATCCGATACACGATCCTCTTCATCAATTTCATCCAAGTGGGGCTGAAATCCAGGAACGTCTTTTAATCGCTGCCGAAGGTTGATACAAATCTGGTAGAGCGACTGATCTTTGCCGGCGACATAGTTGATGATGCTATCACTGGCAACAACTGGACCGCCATTGATTATCGGGGTAGGGGCATTTGGGCCGAGGTGAATTGAAGAAATAGGTCCGGTTGCCGTCGGCATGCGTGAAGCATGAGGCGGATTGAACGGGCCTTGTTGCGACTGCGAGTTCACATTCGGCCGCGAAAGGACAGATGAAGGAGCTGTATATGTGCGTGTTAAGACTGGAGGGGAAATTTCGGTCGACATCATCGCTTCCTGCGCGATTCTGCTGCTCCAAAGGCAGCACTAGCAAATGAGAGACTAAGAAAGTAATGTATCCTCGACCGATACACTTGAGCAGGTGTGTTTGAAGTCGCAAACAAGGAATGAGTAGAGGTCAGAAGGATTGAACGAGCACGTTCTACCTTAACACACGCACTTCAAACCACGTCTGAAAAGAAGTCACTTGCTCTGATAAGTAGGGGCCTCATATGTTGTAGTTGACAGGCGATTTCCCTGAGCAAACACATGCACAACCACAAAGAAGACAATGCTTTGGACTGAGTGGAACTTGTCAGCTCAGATCACCGAGAAAGGACCTTGGGGGATCGATAACAAGGCTGGGAGAGCAGCGGCTCTCGAAACAAGGGATGAACAAGAGGGGGGAGGGAAAAAGAGCGTGTGTACGATGTGTGGTGTGTGTGTACTGGTGCTGCGTGCTTGAGGGAGAGACCGAGAGCGTGGATTAGACGTGGGAGTGTGGGTGCGTGCGTTCGTGTGGTAAGTGAGTGAATGAGTGAGTGAGTGAGTGTAGTGCGTGTGTGTCTGTGGTGAGTGGGTGTGGGTTGAGAGTTAACTCACTACTCCGTAGGGAGTTGAACTCTTTCGCAGGCTCAAGCATGCATGGGGTTCCCACAAGGTGCTTCAGCGCTGGAGAAAGAGTACCTCCCCACCCATATTGAAGCGGTGAAGGGAGAGGTACTGGTTTAGAGTACTTCAGGGCACTAAGCAACTTTGCGGAAGACTCAAGTACTGAAAGTCCCACCCCGCACTAAATGAGAGGGTTCGGTACGAGGACATGGAGAAGGCACGCAAGCTGATTCAGGTATGCGGTACTTCATCCATTTGAGCCCCAATGAGCGGGACAGCCAGACCTATTAGGGCAAGCGCCAGCTAATCGGCCAATCAGATGCCTTATCTTTCTGGCTGCTTTAACAATGAACCCTCTTTATCTCTCTTCGAGCCGGGGGGATGAGTCAGCATTGATTTGGTGCCCTTGTCCATTGATTGAGATTTCTCGATCAAAAGCAGCTTAGCGTCGGAGCGAACCCTGAAGTAACCTCGTTCTGTATCAGCGGCTTTGTTATGAAGACCCCCAGGATGGAGGTACCTTCACCTACTACAGCCCAACGCACCTAACGAGTACTCCGTACTCCGGATACTTGTGGTACCACTCCGTACCCCCGAGGACTATCATTTCCGCCAACCATCAGCAGAACGAGCTCCTTCGACGTCAATTCAGTCCAGGATTACAATTCTCTACATTTCCGCCTGAACTTCTCCGTGATTTCATCCTTTCAAGCCTGCTTATTCCTCCAGGCCTGGACTTTCCCTAGTTCGGATTGCAACTCCTCTAAGTTACTTTCCGACCTTCCCTATCTGTCATCCGCTACGCAATCTGGGCTCCTCTGGACCCTCGGAGGTTTCCTTCGACAAGCTCCCCGACGGCAACGGTGGTCCCCGAACCCTCCTGTTCAGGCTTTATGGTGAGGTTTACTGCATGCGTCGTTCACAGCACATCTTTTAGGCGACCCTGCTTGATATTCCAAATCACACATCTCTATCGATTATCTATTCTCCCCGGATCTATTCGTCGTATCGTCTTCGTCGAGTTCCCTGGGGCGATCGTATAGCGTCGGAGGGCTTACAGGCGAACCTTGACAATTGATTATGCACGTAGATGCGGTGTTTTTCCCCACACACAATATTTTCTGACTATAAGCGTTGATACTCGCAAATAATATTTTGCTGATATTGTCTTAAATCTAGCCACTCACTCCGTCTTGATTGTTCCTTTGAGTCAGGGCACATTCGGGTCACTGCATGCATATCCGCGGCTGAACTCGATCCGTTCAAGAGACGAGTGAGGCCAAGATCTTGGCTCTATCTTCATCTCATCGCTGTCATCGTTCTTTGCGAATATGACAAACATAAGCAATATACCTGTGGGGCCTATGCCGGGACCCTCCACGGGCTTCTCCAATTCACAACCACAATTCGCCGCAGCAGCACCGTCATCGTCATCGTCATCATCATCGTATCCGTCCACGTCGATGCAAGTGTCATTCAGGCTGGATGAGGGCTATTCAGAGGAGACAAGAAGTCAGACAGGCAGCGAATTTGCAGTGGGAGGAGATATGAAAGCAGGCGTGATGGCTGGTCAAGCACCAGCTCCATCTGTGCCTCTACCCGCGTGGGTTTTGGCCCTGAATGAAGTGGATCGGACGGGTACGCTACCTGTATCTCGTAGACAAGTCGAGCATCCTTGGGCTAATGTCTCTATTCTTTAATCACTAGAACTTGCATATGCAGTCGTGCGATCCCTCCACACTTCGTCGATTGCTGCAATTGTACAGCGACTGGATCCCTTACTTCACCTGGATCCCGTCACCTACTTACCCCCGGAGCTGACATCTGAAATCTTTTCCTACCTTGACCCATCAACCTTATTAAAGGCATCGACGGCATCGCGCGCTTGGAGGGCAAGGACGATGGATTCAAGCCTATGGAGACAACTATACGGTTCGGAAGGCTGGGGTGTAGACGTGCCGCAGATCCGCAACTTCGAGCGAGAGTATCTCTATCCCAATGGACCCCCGGGACGGGAAACAAGAACTAGGCCAGCCGATGCCGATGTCGATCAACAAGCACATAAGAGGGTACGGGTCAGGCCGCGGAACCCACCAACCGCACCGGTCGAAGGCGGTCTCTTTGGAAGGGGACCTAGATCACCTTTGCAGACGTCATATGGCGATGATAGAGTTGACGATGGACCGCAAGGCTGGAATGATCAACACGGCACCATTGAAGTGGATGAGCAGATCAGCCCAGAGGCTGGTAGCAGCTCCACTGATGCACGCATGACAGAGGACTCTCAGGATGGTGACTTTGCATTGTCTGCGCACACCTCACAGAGTTCACAGACCCCTACCCCAACCGCAATGGATGCAATGTTATCGCATACGTCTTCAAATGCCATGGATGAAGATATGTATCCTTCACCATTGCTATCTGCACAGGAGGTCGCAACTACTACACACAACTACGCGGCTGATCTCTTGACAGCTCCGTCTCTCCTTATTCATCCTGCCTTTGGGGCGCCTCGAGTAAATTGGCATTACTTGTACAAGCAGCGAAGGCGGCTAGAGGACAATTGGGACGCAGGCCGATATACCAACTTTCAGCTCCCTCACCCAGATCACCCCCACGAAGCTCATCGTGAATGCGTCTACACCATTCAGTATTCTGGAAACTTCCTTGTCAGCGGCAGTAGAGACCGCACGGTTCGCATATGGGATCTTGAATCTCGGCGTCTGCTCCGAAAACCGCTCGCGGGACACACAGGGTCTGTACTCTGTCTTCAATTTGATGAACGCGGCGACCAGGATATAATTATTTCTGGTAGCAGTGACACCGATGTCATTCTCTGGCGTTTCTCAACTGGTGAGATGATTCGCAAGATTGAGCGTGCTCATCGGGAATCAGTGCTCAACTTGCGGTTTGATGATCGTTACTTGATCACATGCTCCAAAGACAAAACGATCAAAGTCTGGAGCCGCAGAGAATTGCTTCCCGGTGACACGGATTATCCGCGCATTACTGGAGCTGGTTCCGCTGTATTTCCCTCTTATATTATCTCGCCAGTGACGCACCCGTACCTCTACACGAATGGTCAACTTAATAAGAAGGTCAAGCCGCTGCCACCATATAGCCTGCTTATGACATTGCATGGGCACAATGCCGCCGTCAATGCAATTCAAGTCTATGATGATCAGATAGTTTCTGCTTCCGGCGACCGGCTCATCAAGGTTTGGGATATTCGCACGGGCGAGTGCCTCAAGACGCTTCCAGGCCACCGGAAAGGAATTGCTTGCTTGCAATTCGATGGCCGTAGGATAGTCAGTGGAAGCAGCGACAATACAGTGAGGATATTTGACAGATCATCCGGAGTGGAAGTTGCCTGTCTCGAAGCACATGGAAATCTGGTTCGTACAGTGCAGGCCGGCTTCGGAGACTTGCCCGGGGACGAAGACGACCTGCAAGCCGAAGCACGCGCGATCGATCAAAGCTTCTTTGCGGCTCGGGCTGCTGGCTCCGTGCCCGACGCTGCTGAAACCGGTCGGCTACGGAGAAGAAATGCTGGATCACGGAATCCACGAGATATTTTAGGTTACGGTGCCAAATTGCCCCCCGGTGGAGGGGGCACAAGATGGAGTAGGATCGTATCTGGGTCATATGATGAGACTGTTATTGTCTGGCGACGGGACGCAGAGGGTAAATGGGTTGTCGGTAGCCGTTTACGTCAAGAGGACGCGGTTTTGGCGGCTGGTGGCAGTCGGCGCGCTATTCCCCAGGACAGATTTACCGTTCCCCAACATGAAATGGCTCAGCAGCTCACTCTCCTTCATCACGATGCTCACGCGCAACACCACCACCCGCCTAATCCATCTGTTCAGCATACGCCCGGCTCATTCCCGCATATTGCCCATGCACAAGCGGCAGCCACTGCAACAGCTCTGGCCGCACAGGGATTTCACTCTGTCGCGACCAGTATGCAGGCCAATTGGCCTCAAATCACGAATGGCAACCAGAACTCCAACCCTCCTTCCAATCCCGCCACTGGCCCAGGCGGAGTATCAGTAACCGCCGCAGCCCAATCTTCCGCTCAACATGCTCAACAGGGGATTGGAGCAAATGCAGGGCCGGCCCAGCATGGAGGAACTATCACCACCGCAGCTGCTCATCCTCCACCCGTGCAGAATCAAACGCCACATTTACACCCACCGCCTTTTCCGAATTTACCTCAAGGCCACTTGCCGGCAAATCACCCTCTGAATCATCATCATCATCACCATCATCATCTCCATCCAGCGGCAGTTGATGCTCCCAATGGAGCATCACAGTCAAATTCGAGAGTATTTAAGCTACAATTTGATGCCCGACGTATCATCTGCTGCTCACAGGACCCTCGCATTATTGGATGGGATTTTGCAAACGGAGACGAGAGCGTTATCGAAGCATCTCGTTTCTTCACTGGGCCATAATTGTGTGTGTGTGTGTTTTTTTTGGGCTATTTCATATCATCTAGGCATGGGATTGCTTGTTGCTTGGCATGGAAACCTCCTTTCTTCTTCTTTTTTCTTCACTTTTCTCTTGTAGCTTAAGCATTTGACTAGCGACTGTTCCACTGATAGCGATTACATTGCACTCGAAACGTAAACAAGGCATTGCATTCTCTGATTTATTAAAATAGTCTCAAAACCTTGCATTTTTATTTCTACTGGTCTTAAATTGCTCCTGCCCTGATCTACTTGATGATTTGTTATCTCTGTACCACCGTGCCCCGGGCAGATTTAGCTACCCTCATCTATTGTACAACATATTTTAGTTTTCATTCACGCTCCTAAATGCCAGACGATTGCTTAATGGAAGACGAGAAGAGGGAAAGGGCATTTGTTATAGCTCTTATAGCATGTTGCATCCATTGCTTTATTACAGTATCAGTGTTCCTGCTATTTAGAAAAACAAGGCAACTCTCACTTTAGAAAGGCATGCTGCGTGCAAGTAAAAATATAATCAAGCAATTATCTTCTAGGTTGGATTTTACGGGGATATTGTGGGATATTATAGCAGGAATTCCTAGTGCTCTAATGCTCTAGCAAGCAAGCTGGGCAATGGGAGGCAGACAACTATCCCAAAATATATTTCCTGATTAGGCAAGTACGCCAAGTCTCAGCGCAATAAGCTTGACCGCCGAGAAAACGATGGTGTTTTGGTTCGGACTCTTTAGACAGGATATTTATATAGGAGAATTACTGATATTTCAAATTAGCAGTACAGTAATGAAAGTTCTTTTAAAATGAGGTGCCGCAGTAGTAATTTGCTTTGTCGATGGTGATGCAATGGAGTTCCAATTGCCGAGAGGGCGAATGGCGGATCTGCCAATCTAAGCGCGATAGAAAGATAAGAAACAGGAACTTGAGGCGTCACAGATCTGCTTCTACCACTTGCGGAGTTCAACCATATTGACAAGGCAAGACATCTCTCAATCACACATGCAAAGCGTCACCGCGGGCGTATCGACTAGGCATTTCAACTTTTGCTCCCGGTGTCTTCAAAATGCTCGGGTGCATCGCATTTCGGGACCCGAGGTGAGGCGGTACAATGTTTGGAGCAAAAGGGAAGTACGTTTGTTAGTAGAGACCGACAAAGCTTCAAGGGTCAGGGGATCGGCGTCAAAATGCCATGATGGAGCCAGCTCACTTGGCTCCAGGTCTGGAGGGACGAGATTGTTCTCGTCAAACGCTACTACCCATTCAGCGCCAGGCAAGGCGGGAAACGATACGAAAAAGCACGAGATTAAGGATGGCAAAGACCATAACAATCCCAGTGCCGAGGGCAAACACGGCGAATCATCCAAAGCACCTGCTAAAAGTGGAGCAATGTCTAGACGGCTGGCTGAAATGACAGAAGAATCGCTCGAGACGGGCGGACGAACCGCCCGCAAGGTGTTTCAAGAAGCTGGATTCTCAGAGGATCTACGGCTACAGCTGGAAGAAAGGATCGCGTCCGCTAAATTCAGAAGCGATAATGCCAGCGCATTTGCTCAAGTCAATATGTCTGTACGTCGTTGTATTCTTCTTTTTCTAGATTTCCTTTATACTGATACGGAACAGTCAAGTGCAGGTAAAGGTACTCGCGACGTCGCCGCTGCCCAGCCCTGGGCTGGCAGTGAGACCATTGCCGATTCCGCTCTACGAATGCTCAACGATGCGCACAAGCCTCTACGCACAGGACGGCCACCTCCAATCCCAACTCCCAAGGGTGGACCTCCTCCAACGCTCAAGCCCAAGTTGAAGCTTTCGCCTGGCGAAAGGCTTGCCGGCGCGAAAGAGCGGACCAATGCATACACTTATATGAACGATCCGACTGTGTCGGATAGGGAACGGGAGCAAATTCGGCGGGAGCTCAAAGAGCGCTTTACTCCTGGCGCACGAGCTATGCCTGCTACGCTGCAGGGTCTTTCCTCCTTGGCCAACGAACGTATCGACGACGCCATTGCCCGCGGCCAATTCAAGAATCTGCCCCGCGGCAAGGCTATTGAGCGCGACTATAATGTCAGCAGTCCGTTCATTGACACAACAGAGTACCTCATGAACAAGATCATCCAAAGACAAGACATTGTGCCTCCATGGATCGAGAAGCAACAAGAACTTGCAAAAGCCGCGGCTTCCTTCCGCGGCCGTCTCCGCGCAGATTGGAAACGACACGCTGCACGAGTCATTGCAAGTAAAGGTGGCTCGCTACAAGAGCAGATGCGCAGAGCAGAGGCCCATGCTTATGCAGAAAGCGTGGAGAACCCTCCGACGAACCATAGTCTGGTACCTGGATCTGCGGGAGCAGACGCCGCCCACGCATATGGTCAAACGGGAAACACTTCTCCCGCGCACATGACGACGATCGACCTCCAAGGAAATCTTGTCACTCGAGAGATTGCTCCAGCCGCAGCCGCAGCCCCATCAGACGCTGCAACTTCTTCATCCGGAGATGCCGTCAATACCAACCACCCTGCGCAGAATGAGGAGTCCATCCCGCCCCCATCACCCACCGTGCCTCCATTCCGTGACCCAACCTGGGTCGAAACCGAACAGTCCTACCTCTCGATGGCAGTCAACAATCTCAATACCCTGACCCGGTCATATAACCTCATGGCGCCTGACCTTGCAAAAAAGCCTTATTTCAACCTCGACCGCGAACTGCGCGCCTGTTTCGCCGACGTGGCGCCCCAGCTGGCGGGTGTGATTCATGAGCGCGCCACCGCCCCGCCGCCCAGAGTCGAGATCGTGGGCCATCGCGCGGGCAGTGTTCTCGATAAATTAGGCGCAAAGGATAATGTTCGCGTATATGATTCGAAGAGACCTAATTATGGGTTTAAGGACTTATGGAAGGACTTGTTCAGGAAGGGTTGATTACTCAGTCGTGTATTGTCATGTACGAATATGAAAACGATCATTCATTTGACAATAGTCATTAATACATTGGACCGCTCTAAGGGTGATCCATAATCTGATTTGTTAGATATGCCTCTCTGCAAGGCATGACGGCTTCCATGTGAGGATTCTGCTGCAGGATGTAAGTTACCAAGTAGGCCTGGTTGCAAAGCGTCGCGAACAGAAACCACTTCCCCAACCAAAGCCTCCTTCTCAATGAAAAATATCTAACTTCATTTAAAAAATAAAACTTGTTTTAGTTAAATTTAAGGAGGGAAGGAGAGAGAAAACAAAGTTTTTGACTAACTGTATCTAACATTAGGGATACTGTATTAAATTGAATTAATTCGGATTATTTTAAAGAAGACTTATCTTTAGCATGAGACATGGTGCCAAACAGTACTTAAAGATAGGTGTTTAAGCCTTGCACCAATTAATTGGTCCTTGCATTGAGTAATTAAGTCCTTGTGTACAGATCAAATATATAAGGAGCCGAGATTGCCCCAGAATCTCTTCAACAGACAGCTGCTTGGCAGCCCAAGCTCTGCTATGATTCTATGAAGACAGGCTCCGGAGAAAGATTTTCCGGAGCAAAGATTGCTTTGATTAATCCTTAAGACTGACCTCCCAGTGGGGAACATCCAATGGATAAATTAAACACCCAGGATTCTCTACGGCCTGTCACTTGTTTGCATTGAATAAAAAAGAAGCTACTCTCCGGTCCTTGTACACATCCACTAGCCATTTAATTGTATAAATAATAAGGTAAATATGTCTACGGGGAATGCGGTCTTGTGACTGGAACCTGACTTACCTTCACTCTCCTAAGCCCTAACCCCCAGTCTGGTTGGGCATTTAGATTTCGCTAGCTGTGTCATGACAGTTAGAATCCCAATATCGTTGCATCAGGGCCTGCAAAACCAGTCCAGCTATTCTCCAACTTTTAAAACATCCGTCTTTTCCCAGATCAAACCTACAAAGAATGCCCTTTTCATTGAAGGGGACGGAGAAGCCGAAACCTCCAATTCCATACGTTATTGGCTGGAAATTTACTGCTTATTCCCATATACCGCCTCCTCCCACTCCCATGACATATGACTGTTCGAGCCATGCTTCATTTCGCCACGAAAGGGAGCAAACAGACCCCGTTGAGCTCTGTTTGCGCCATCCACCGTTGCCAGGAGGCTGCCGCTCCGACGAAGGGGATACCGGGAATACCACGAGTGTTGAGCTACAAATTCGCGGCATTTTGCGAGCCGGGAACAAGCACAGCGCACAGCTAGTCTTCGTTGACGTCCTCAGGGCCGCCGTCGACGACGATCAACATTACCCTGGCCTCGGAGGCCTTGCGGGAACCAAAGGACAAGGACAAAGACTTGTGGCCAAGTTTTACGACCCTCTTTACGTTGATGATGAAGGTGGTTTCCTCGATGCCTTTTCCATCGCGGACCGTCACTACACCCACGAGACCCGCACATATATCGAGCTTGCAGATCTCCAGGGCAAGTCTATACCAAGATACTATGGCTCTTTCTCTGTCGATATTTGTGTTGGATCGTCGTTGTCGTCATCGTGCTCGGTGGCTGCGGTGGCGTCATCATCATCATCATCATTATCTAGTAGACGGACGACAAAGATGACACGTCCCGTCAGATTCATCCTCATCGAATACCTACCGGGAACAACAATGATGAATGCTGATCCCGCGGCGTATTCGCAGCAGACTCGGCAGCATATTATGAAAGCGGTAGTGGATTTTGATACGGCAATATATGCTCGTAATATCATGAACGCGGACCTGCACCCAAGGAATATTATCCTAGTCGACGGTCAAGAATCTCAAGATTCTAACGCGCCTCCGCATCTTGTTTTTATCGATTTCGGATTTGCTATATTCGGCCGTACATGGGACGGCTCTGATGAGCGCAGGCCGCATAAAATGTTTTCTGGGATCTATATCTCCCCATTGCTTCTATGGCACGAGTCTCGGCGTTCCAGGTTTGATTTCGAAGAGTGGGTGGATTGGAACTGGCAGCGCTGGCTGAATGCAGAATATAAACACACTGCTTCAAGTATAACAAAAGAGATGCGCAAAACATATCTTCATTGACTTTCTCTCTCGAGTTTCTCATGCTCGAATTGAGGTACTGGTCAATGGGCTTATGGACTGGCCGCCGTCACTGTATGTGGATTCAACTTTTACTCGCAACCAAGGCGCATGTGTTAATTGCAGATAGTTCAAGGCTGGTAGCTCAAACACATTGCTTCTCGAAAATTTATAATCATCTTTCTCTCCGTCTTCTTGTGTAGTAGTATATTACCTTGTTCCTTTTTAGTTTGGCTGCTATTTAACCTAAGAAGCATAATAAACATCTTTAAAGATTTAAGCGTAAAGGACTAGCAACTCATCATAAGTTCTGTGGCTTCTGCAAGAGAGGAAAGAAAATTAAGTCAAAAAGATACGAACCATTCATCACCCTCAAGCAAGCGCGCCGACCAAACTCCTTGTGAATCGCTTTTGCCTTTTCATTCTGCATGGTGCAAACTTGATTCATTTACAGCTTGAAGAAGAAGGAGCACAACAGCGGAACTCTGCTCGCACATCCAGTGATGCATTTAGATTTAATGATAATTTATTTACTTTTGAAACTTGTTGCCCGCTTCATCAGTCGCTCTCTATTCGCCCTTTTCCATTTTCTCCCGTTCTCTCTCCCATTCTCTCTCTTTTAAAGAGCTTTATCTTGGAAGATTCCTGTCTCCCTTCCCTTCCCTGATCTAACTCATTCGTATCAAGGATTCTTCTCTCCTCTTCCGTCCAAAGCCAACCAAAAGATTTGACAGCTCAATCCTACAAAAATGATACTTTCTATTCTCCAATCTTTTGAGGAAAAGTTGCCAAATGCTGAGTTGGTCTTTGACGAACAGTACCGGAAAATAAAACCTAGCTCTCGATCTACCCAAGACACAGATCCTGTCCCCGTGTTTTTGAATGAACCCTTGTCGGAGCTAGCTAAATTAGCAAAAGAGTGCCTACCTAGTGAAGTGCCCGCTCAGAGCCCACTCAATTCTCAAATGCCCATATTGGAGAAAACAGCCAGAATTGTCTCTGAAGGAGATGTTTTGAGGGTTGCTACACTGCAACTTTTACATCCAACCACGGTTGCTCTCCAAGAATATCTGCCCAAAGACTGGAAACTTTTTTGTCAAGTCGAGGCAAGTGTAGGCCCTCGGCGCTTCGATGTTCTATGGTCTTTGGAGTATCAAGGAAAAGAATTGCCACTTGCAATACTTGAGATTAAAAACACAAGGGTCATTCATTGGGAGGATTTCGCCCCTGCAGCAGTAACATCAAAAAATGCTGCAAGCAAGAAAGCTGACGCTAGAGAGACAAGTGAAATGACGTTGCTCGAAAATAACGCCATACCGCTCTCCAGGCAATGTAGAAAACATTCCAAGGTTTGCAAAAGCGTGGCTCTTTTCGACTGGGAAAGCATGTTTCTTTTTGACTTCCACGAGGTGGATGACAGCGCTACCATGCCCAAATTGCCACGCGAAACCTTTTTTTCCGAGTCGGGCCCGAGTGGATGACGAGGTGTTTTTCCTAATAGAGGACTGACGTTCCGTATGATACTTCTCGGATTCTTGGTAAGGGCAGTGAAGAGATCCCTGGAATAGACATGTCAAACTCTGCATTGCCTCCCTTTCTACGGGGCAAAATGTTGAATCACAGAAATCTTTCTTGACTCACCTTGTTGAAAATTGGAATGGCATCTCTCTCAGGGATCAGCTCGTCATTCTATATTCGTCTGACGGTCTCTTCTGATGGTCAATAATTGATGGCGGAAAAATAAAAAGAGTCGGCGGCACTTGGCAGAGGTTACTCGGCGCCGCGCTACCTGAATTTAGGTATGACCGCATGTGAGAGGAGGATTTTACTATAGCAGGAACCGGGCTGGGGCGTTTTCTTTTTTTTTTTTTTTTTTTTTCCCTCTTTTTTTAATTAAAAAAGATTCTGTGGCAGGCATTTTGCAAGAAACAAACGGCAGCTTTGAATGAATTCTCGATTGAACTAGCAATGAAGCAAAGCTGTTCTTATGAGATCAAAGCAATACCCTAGAGAAAATGGCGCAGAAAGTGGAGCACAGACGGGCTGACCAACTTCAATGAATGAATAAATTGAATTCAGCTTCTTGGGCAGCGCCTATGCCACGGTATCCAAAAGTCGTAAAGAAGTGACATACAGCAATAAGCCAGTGGAGACCAAACTTTATTAGAGAGGTAATATGCTCTGATTCGCTCATTTTGAGTGGAATTTGAGAGGGTTCAAAGAAAAGATGATGAAATTGAATAGGTGTAATTGTTCTAAAGAAAGAAATATTTAAAGGAAACAGCTATATTATAAATCAACTAAACCGCTTCAGCACTCTTGTGCTGCTACGCCGCAGCTAATTATGTACTTGGAGAACTCAAACCAGATAGTTGTCTGACAGCAGGAGAGGTTGCGGTTTCCTTTTCTCTCGTCATAGTTCCTGTACGACTGAGTGATAATGTCCGTGAAAACGATCGACTTATCGTAAAAAACCCTTGACGCAAACTGACCCCTGATCCAAACGATCTTCCTCGACGGCGCGGTCCAGGTCGTCTTGGAATCCACGGGGGGCAAACCAGCCGAATCTGCGCTTGAGCGCTTTCCACGCTTCTACGGCGGCAAGGAAGACAAAGATGGCACCGAAAGAGAGCGCCCATTCCCACGTGATACCAGTGTGTTTGAACACGCTGGTGTTCAGGCCGGGAATATAGACTGCGGGAAAGACGGAGAGGAAAGCAATGACGACGGCCCAGAAGAGGAACTTGTTCTCGTACAGATCGGCGAATAAGTGGAATCGGCCATTCGGATTGGGCCGGAGGCGCTGCCATGTGCTGCCTTCGCTGAGCGATTGGGATTCGAGCTCGGGATCGGAAGCGCTGGGTTTTTCACCGCCAGTTTGGTTGCTGCTGCCGTTGCCATTTCCGCTGCCGCTTCCACTGGGGTTAGCTGGGGTGGTGTGATCGATGCCGAGATTGAAGAGGCTGCGCCGAAGGGACTTGAATTCCCATGCGGAGGCGAGAATGAGCCAAGTGAGTTCAGCAAAGACAGAAGCGCGGGCGCGAAAAACGACCTCGCAGGATGGGTTGTAGCCCTTGTTGCAGTCATCGCCGAGAGCGCCGTCGTTGGCGCCGTAGACGATTATGACAAAAGTAAGAAGCGTGCAGGCGCCCATGATAACTCCGTAGACCATCATGTCAGCGAGGATTTGCCCTGTGAATACTCCTTTCTTGTTCGAGTGCGGAGGCCGGTTCATAATATCTGGAGCGGCGCGTTCGCGGCCGAGACCGAAAGCGGGAAACGAAGATGTGAGCATGTTGATCCAGAGGATTTGGAGTGGTGAGAGGGGAAATACGGAGAATCCGTAGCTGTCTTGGAATCCAAGACCGGCAATGAGGAGGATGACTTCGCCGACGTTGGAGACAAGAAGATGCAGGATAAATTTCTGGATATTGTCAAACATGCGCCGGCCCTCTTCAATGGCATTGACTATGCTAGCAAAGTTGTCGTCGGTCAAGACAATATCCGATGCACCCTTGGCAACGTCGCTTCCACCCATGCCCATGGCAATGCCAACATCTGCGGCCTTGAGAGATGGTGCGTCATTGACTCCGTCACCAGTCATGGCGGCGTAGCGGCCACGGCGGTGCAAAGCTGCTATCATGCGTGTTTTGGTGTCTGGTGCGCAGCGAGCGATTACTAGTGGAAGCTCGGGCATTGCGTCGATTTCATTGTCAGACATTCCGTCAAACTCTGCAGCGGTTTTGACCAAGGATTCGGCAACATCGGCAGGGAGGCTCCCCAAGTCCTTGGGAATAATGCCAACATCTTTGGCAATGGCGCGAGCAGTGCTTGGATGGTCGCCAGTAAGCATATGAACGCGGATACCGGCAGTAGTGCATTCTAACTTTCGTTAGCTCCTAGTGTTTCTAATTTGATGCATATAAACGAGGAACCATTCATGAAGGAGATAATACTAACCTCGGACAGCGTCTTTAGTCTCTAATCGAGGAGGATCATAGAGGCCAGCAAGACCGAGTAGCGTAAGGTCTCGCTCAACACTTTCTCGTGGGGTCTCTGACCGCTCATTGATTTCCTCAGGCCAGTCTCGACGAGCAATTGCGAGAACACGTAGACCTTGCTCAGCAAGCATGTTCATTTGCTCAATTACACTTTGTTTCATTTCCTCAGTCATCTTCTTTTCGTGTTCGCCGACACCAACGGTGACACATAGATCGAGTATGCGCTCAACGGCCCCTTTTGTGAAGATTAAAGTCCTTTCTTCTTCAGGGACTCTAAATGCGACAGACATGCGCTTGACTGTGCTGTCAAACGGATATTCGGCGAGCTGCCTCCAGCCCATACTTTCCACAAGCTTCTTCTTGCCAGAGTCAAATCGATGTGCAAATACTTGTAGAGCAATTTCGGTCGGATCTCCAGTTGTCAACCATTTCTGGCTCTCTGCGTCCTTGCGCACTGTAGCAAGGTTACAGAGCGAGGTGGATTGGAGGAAAGCTTTCAGCTCCGGGACGATTTCAGGAGTTTCAGACTTCTCTTCGTTGTCATTGCTGTCGTTGTCATCCTGCTCTTTCGCGGCGCGATTTTGTACTCTTCGTCTTTTCTCTTCTGGTTCGTTAAACTTAAGAGCGGCGCCGCTTCTCTTCTGGTCAAGTTCGTCGGCCTTTTCAGCCTCCTGCTTCTCGGCTTCGAGCCTGGATGTTGGAGCCGGTCCGAGCGTGACGATACCTCGAGTAGGATTGGATGCGTCATCCGCGTTTTTCACACTGTAAATGCCGACACCAGGAATCCACACTCTCCTTGTGATCATCTTTCCTTGGGTCAGAGTACCTGTTTTGTCGGAACAAATGTTGGTCACTCCTCCCAACGCTTCCAGAGCGCTCAATTGCCGAATGACAACTTTGCGCTTGCGCATTTGCGTCATTCCAACGACCATGGTAATTGTTAATACAGCTATCAGAGATTCGGGTATAATGGCGATGCCTAAATAGTTCAGTCAGAGAATAGTCTTTCTCAGGTAGAGCTGATATTACATACCGGTTGATATCGCGTAGATTGCGACCTCGTTCGTGACGTCGAATCTGTTGACACCAAAGACAATAATTGCCAGCAACAAGGCACAAAGAAGCAAGACATAGGCAAGTTTCGACAATTTCCGCTGTAGCGGAGTGCCATCTGTCAAACCCAGAAACTTGCCAATGCCATCCCAGATGCGAAGACTCAGGCCCTTTGCTGGTTGCAATGTTCCACCGTCTTTGCGCGACAATGACCGGTTTGGCTTTCGTTGTTTTCCTTGCATCGATTTGGCTATCTTTCCCAGTTCCGTTGACATGCCGGTGAAAATGGCAATGCCACGCCCACGGCCTTTGGTGACAGTTGCGGACGAGTAACACACGTTGACACGATCACCGACACCCGTGGTAAGCTCGTCCTTACCGGAAAAGCCGGCATCAACATCTTTAGCCACGGGGATCGCTTCACCGGTCAGGATTTTCTCATCACTTTCAAGATTCATCTCCTCAAACAGACGAAGATCGGCAGGAATTGTGTCGCCGGTCTTGATCTGTACAATATCTCCAGGAACGACTTCAACAGAGGGGACCGTAGTAATTTCGCCGTCGCGGAGGACGGTTGCGCTGGGAGATGAGAGGCTTTTCAACGAATCCATTTTCTTCTCCGCTTGGTATTCCTGGTAAAAGCCGATAAGGACATTGAGTACGATGACGGCGGTAATGACACCGCCCTCGACATAGTCCGTCACTCCGTAAGATAAGGACATGGCCAAGACAAGAACCTGTGCAGATTGTTAGAAAAATTTGTAATGAAACATGTGAAACAAAGACACGCGAACCAAGAACCTCTCACGCAAGCCTCCTCATTGTGGAAAGCCTGGCGGAGAGACTGCCAAGCAGTGGTAGCGACTTGGAATACCGCTCGCCAACTGACTTGCAAGAGAAAAAGGAGTGCAATCGCCACGCACCAAAATCATGGCATTGCTGATCTGTTTCATCAGCACTGAGTACCATTTCACACCGCCTTCGCCTTCGAGCTTATTCTGCCCATATTGCTTTTGGAGCTCTAGTATCCGCGCTGACGACAGGCCTTTCTCAATATCAGTGTGCAGATGTTGAACCACATCGTCGACTGAGAGTAGGAACGGGTGTTTCACATATTCCTGCTTCTCTCCACCTTTCTTTCCGGAACCTGGTGACATTGTCCCAGGTTTAAGTCGAGAGATGTCTGCGATTCTTGAGTAGCGGCTTTCGGTTTGCTAATATGAATGGAAATCTATTAATGTATATCGAGCAAGCGTTTCCCGTGGTGCACGCTCTGCTCGTAGAATGTTTTCTTTTCGTCAACACTCTTCTAATCGGCCTTTCACCTTTATGGGGCCCGAAGGGAGATTGTTCTATTTCTTGAATGACGGCAACATCTTAACCAACTTAGAGCGATGGCCCTGTATTTAAACAGGCCAGGCTCAAATGACGCCATTCTCTGCCGGGCCTCACGCCGAGAATCAACTATGGCAGCGATAGTGATATTGAATTGATAGGCTCATGAGCCAAGGAACTAGCCAAGAGCGTGTGAAACATATTCCTGTGATAAAGGTTGCACCTTAGCCAGAGCTGCCAGATAGAAATCATTGGGCCAAGACGTTGGATTCTTGGCCGTAAACATAGGTTCCAGAATCACGAATTGACCTGCCCCACAAATGGGTCGTAGTAATAAGTTCAGATAGAGTTTAGTAGCTCCCATTGGTCTTTCGACGGCGCCAAGATATAGATCATCACATCCACGTTTGCGTCCAACAACATTATCCCGAAACTGCTACCGAATTGGAGAAGTTCGTGGGGGAAAAGGAAACAGGCGCAGCTCGGCGAATCGGAGAAGGCGACCTCCGAGGTACGGTATCCGGGTTAGCCAATATTCGCCACCACAAGTACTCGTCAAGTAGTGCCTCAAAAGCGAGCGGAAACTCTTGGCAAAGCATCACCCTGACCTACCACGAGGGAGATCCCACCCACGCTGAGCCAGATAGGACACTTTCGTATCCCACTCCTCTCCACTCCACTCGCTTCGCCGGTCTTTTCACATGGTAACCACGCAATGGAGGTGTACCTCGCACACTTGGCATGTTCTTGGCATCTCCTCCATGGTCTAATTCACAGGCTTTCTCGGACCGAAGCCTGTATCGGAGTTTGCAACTCCCGGCGGGTCTTGTTATCATTCATGTACGTCACTCAAACACGTGGATGTTTCGAATATCTGGTGAAACTTGTGACATTATTACAGCTGCAATCGAAAGCTGTAGCCAGTGATATGCTTCTTGCCGCCAGCTTGAAAATAGCCAAGAGCTTCTTCCAACAATCACTTTCTCCTTGCGAATCAGGGTTTCAGCGTATCGCTCTAAAGGTTGAGTTCATGGTTTAAAAGAGCACTGGTAGCCAGTAGACGTTAAGCATTGTAGTGGTGTTTGATTTATTGTATTCCAGCTATGATGAGAGAATTCTTGTAGGTGCACCTGCCCGAAGTTGAAACGTCGTCCCAGGGACTGTAGAGTAAGAACCATTCGAGATCCATTTGAAATTTAAATTGACTCACGGGACAACTGCTTCGACAGGTTGACCCATGGTAAATGCCAGCTAGTCAGCAGGAAATAGCATGAATCTAAGAAAATATGCGCTAGAAACGGGATATCATTTTCCCATCCGAGAAATACTCCCAAGTGACATTCCCAGGCATGGCCATGAGCCATCAGTCACTGACACGATTGTGTAACCGGCCGCGCTTTCACTGCCGAGCCCAAACGCCAGACGCCGTCCATCCATCGACATGAAAGAGCTAAATCAAGCTTAAGCCGCCATGCACGCCAAGTCGCGAGATGATAAGATAAAAATAGTCACGATAGTAGGTAATTGAGATGATCCTTCCAGAGAAGCTTGCCGAAACAAAATGCGAGCGCAGTATGGTTCTTGCTAAGAAGCGAAGATCCGGACATTCAGGTCCACACTGCCGGTTGCAATCACACAGCGAATGTTGGCCTTTGCGGCGGCCAACTCCTGCCCCTTACCAGAATTTGAGGGCCGGCCTGGAGTATCTCCATTGACAGCACTTGGCTCGTTGCTGATGCTTGGCGCCCAACGGATGCAGCTAATAAAGTGCCCGTGCGCATCACTTATAGTCTTGACACATTTGCCTTCTTGCTCCAAATCCCAACAGCGCATTGTCTTGTCATCACTGACACTGATCAGGTAGCGACCGCCCGGGTGGAACACCATGCCTCTAACCCAGTTATCGTGGCCATCAAGTGTCTTGATGAGCGTGCCACGACCATCCCATAATTTGATCTTTCTGTCACGAGACCCCGTAGCTACAAATTCACCGGAGCTGCTGGGTAGAGGGGGCTTTTTGAGGCCTGCCAATGCGGCAAGATGTCCATAGGCCGTCGGGGGTGCAAAAGCGCAGCATTCTATGACATGTTCGTGTCCTAGAAAGGTCGCCTTGATCTCGCCAGATGCTGCGTCCCACAAACGGGCTGTTTGGTCATTGCCTCCAGACAGGAGCCATCGTCCATCAAAGCTCGGCGTGACCTCTCGTACCCAGTCCAGGTGTCCGCTCAACGTCTTTACACAGTAGCCGGTTGTGACGTCCCAGATGCGTAGAGTCTTATCTCGCGAGGCCGACACAAGGAGGTTTCCTGTTGAGGGTAGCCCAGCAGAGCCACTCGAGATGAACCTCACTGCCGAGACCGAGTGGTCATGTCCCGGCAGCGTTCGAATATTCTTGTACTCATCGCTCGGATCCCACAATTTTATTGTGAGGTCGCTTGAGCAGGACGCAAGTAGCATTCCCCCACGTGGTCCACCGTAGTCGACATCCAGAACAGCCTTGGTGTGGCCTTTGACGGTACGTTCCAATTCGCCGAGTTCCCAGTCCCAGATCTTGATTGTGCTATCCTCGGAGCCAGAGGCGAGTGATGAAAATATAGGATGGAAGGCAACGCAGGTGACCGGGCTACGGTGAGACTGCAGCGTGTGGCGAGCAGGGGCCCGAGGTAGCCAGGTAGCTGGATCTTGATTGCCGCGGAGGAAGGAGGTCGGGGTGGATGTTTCCAACTCTTGTTTAAGACGGTAATTCTCCGACTCGAGGTCCATAATCTAAAAGCCCACGTCAGCTTTTTTCATTTTGAGATTCCGCAATGGTCAGACACGGAAGCCCACCTTTTTTTGCAGACGGATAATGCTCGTCCATTTCCTCTCCATAATGCCTTCGTACTTCTTGGACGTCTCCTCGCTGAAGCTGTCGCCAATGTTGAGCTCTTCTCGCAATGCATTCGCGGAGTGTGCCAGATCGTTGGAAGATAGATATGCGATGATTGTCTTGTGCCTGTCTAACGATTGAGCACATATCAAATTTGTAATGTTCGCGGGAAAGAGCTTCACTCACAGCTCTTCTGCTTGTCGGGGCGTTAGGAGTTTGCTCATGGCGGCGATTACGCACTGCGCATACAGCTCGCCGCAGACAAGCAATCACGATTCTCTGGATTTAATTGCTGTCGCGCAGCTCCAGTTCGAAAGTTAGGCAAGCAATTGGAATAGGAATTGCGCAACTTGGTACTGATAGCTAGCTGACTGGGAGGAGGAAGGCATTAGCAGTGAAGGCCGACATTAATATAAAGGGCTTATGAGACATGCCAGTAATACAATGAGCAGTATCAAAGGAAAAGAGAAATTAGCCAAATTACTCAGCGCATGCACAATATCAATGGTTCTGTAACAATCAAGGACAACGTGGAAATGAGGCTTGTCAGGTCTTGTTATTGATTGTTTATAATTGTCTCTTGTGGGTGGGTAAGTGGGGGAAGAGGAGAGTGACAGTCCCTGTGTCTCGGCAACTCCCGTTTGACGTGTAGCAACCAAAGACGCGAACCGAGGATTGGGCCACCATGACTGGGGACAACAGTCGGGTGTGTTGTTGACAACCCAGAGGGAAAACATTCACCGTCCCTCTCTAATCAACTAGAAGGGGATACTCATCAACAACCCGCTTACCTGTATCGCACCCTTGGATTTGCTCCTCAGAACATCTTTTTTATTCTTCTCTATAGTAGAGCATTGGCGACCTACTCCTTTCTCTCTATATCCCTCCTGAGTGCCTACAACTACAAGAGTGGACCGGCGTTTTAAACGCGTCGACACTTCTATCAAAACAAATACCAGCTTGTCGCAGCAACGTCACAATCTGCAACTGTTTGAAAATCAGTCGCAGCATCCTACGAAAATCGTAAGAGGAAAACAGGTTCCAGACTGCGTGCTCTTTGTCTTGTTATCCATATTACAACGTTTATGAAACGAAAACTGCCCCCGTATATTCTTCAGGGTCTTTGCCATACGCTAATCAAACAACCTTTATAACAGAGGCGATATTACGAGCTCTAGCGATATTTCAAGATGGGGGACCCGGCTGAAGATTTCAAATCCCTACCCTTACCAGATCGATTCGTACACAAAGTAGGTCAAAAGCCTCCCCCGACCGGATAGTCGTAGATGTAAGCTTGGACATTAATGGCTTTGGGCATTTTAGTTATGGAAGGTACGCAAAGAAGCATACGAAGATGCCGCCAAAGAATTCGAAAAGACTGCCGACGAATCAGATCCCGTGTTCAAGCCGTTTTTACAAGACCCGAGTCTTTGGAAGGGAGCCGCCGGAGACACAAATGTCGCCGCCCAGCAAGATGGTGTTGCTGCTCTGTGCTCTTTTCTTCAATATGGAGGGACGCAGGCTTGTATAAAGTGAGCAGACCAACCGAAATGCTCGATTTACAACTAATCCTTCTGCTCTTCAGGACCCGATCCCTCACCATCACACCTATAGTCGAAAAGGGCCTCGCGGCAGCCAGGCCAGCAGCAAAGGCAAAGTCACTCGAAGCGCTGTTGTTATATATCGAGCTAGACAAGCCTGATCCGATCATTGAGGAGCTATTGCCCTCTCTCTCACATAAGCAACCCAAGATCATCGCAGCCACCCTCTCAGCGCTTACTTCGATATACCATGCCTACGGTTGCAAAACGATTGATCCGAAACCTGTACTTAAGGCTCTCCCCAAGGCTTTCGCTCATGCCGACAAGAATGTTCGAGCGGAGGCATCAAATCTCACGGTGGAGCTGTACCGCTGGTTGAAAGAAGCCATGAAAGCCATCTTTTGGGGCGAGCTAAAACCAGTGCAGCAAAATGATCTCGACGCGCAATTCGAGAAGGTGAAACAGGAACCACCGCCGCAACAGGAAAGATACCTCAAGTCTCAGCAAGAAGCCATGGCGGCCGCTGCAGAAACGGGCGGAGACGAAGCTGCAGGTGGCGAACCGGAAGACGGAGAGGACGGCGGAGAACTGGATGAATTCTCTCTGGCTGAGCCCAAGGATGTTATTGCAGCAGCGCCCAAGGATTTCCACGAAAGATTGGCGTCTTCGAAATGGAAGGACCGAAAAGAGGCGCTTGATGAGCTATATGCTGTTATTAATGTTCCTCGGATCCAGGAGGGTCCGTTCGACGAGATGATTCGCGGATTTGCCAAGTCCATGAAGGATGCCAATGTAGCGGTTGTAACGGTCGCTGCAAACTGTGTTGAAGCTCTGGCAAAAGGCCTTCGGAAGAGCTTTGCCAAGTACCGGTCAATGATCATGGCGCCGATGATGGAACGCCTCAAGGAAAAGAAGCAATCGGTGACAGATGCCTTGGCCGGGGCTCTGGATGCCGTGTTCGCTTCCACTAGCCTAGAGGAATGTTTGGAGGAGGTTTTGGAATTTCTCAAACACAAGAATCCCCAGGTCAAACTTGAATCTTTGCGGTTTTTGATTCGATGCCTGAAAACAACACGCGATATGCCCTCCAAAACCGAAATCAAGTCTATTGCTGACGCGAGTACCAAGTTGCTCGCAGAGTCTACTGAAGCCTTAAGATCTGGAGCCGCTGAAGCCATGGGAACGTTGATGAAGATCACGGGAGAGAGGGCTATGAATCCGTACATGGAGAGCTTGGACGATATTCGCAAGACCAAGATCAAAGAGTACTTTGAAAAGGCCGAAGTGAAAGCAAAGGAGAAGCCCAAGGCGGCCCCTCCTCCACCCAAACCTGCCGCTGCGCCGGCTGCAGCTACGAGGAAGGTTGTCAAGAAACCCGCACTCGGAGTTAAAAAGCCTGCTGCTCCTGCTCCTCCGCCTCCATCTGCTCCATCACCAGTCGAAGAGCCACCCGCGGCCGCGCCTTTGAAGTCCCAGCCAACTTCGAGGGGCGTTCCGTCCAAGCTCGCTGGTCCCAAATCTGGCCTCGCTGCGCCAGGAGCCGGCCTCAAGTTGCAACGGAAGATTGTTCCTCCAGGTGGAACACCGTCTGGTCTAGCATCGCCCAAACGTCCAGCTTCGGCTGGAGCCCCTGAAGAAGAAGTGCCAGCGCCGCCAAAGTTTGGGCTCGGCAACCGTGGCCTTGCTGGACGACCTCTGGGAAAGCTTACGCCGCAACCTGCACCAGTGGCTTCTGAAGCACCCTCGCCCGTTCCGACTCCAGGATTAGGTGCAGCTGAACGGGCCGAGCTTGAAGAGCTTCGCGCTGAGAAGGAAAGGCTGATGCGGGCAAATGAAGAGCTGCGCATGGAGCGAGCTAAGCTAAATTCCCAGATCAACGAATTACAGAACCAGAATGCTCAGCTGATTGAGGACCACACAAGAGATGTGCTGAGCATCAAGGCCAAGGAGACCCAGCTTGTGCGGTCAAGGAGTGACGCAGAAACGGCCGAGCAGACGTGCCAGAAGCAGCAGCGAGAGATTGAGCGGTTGAAGCGGGAACTCAGCCGTACCGTGCGAGTGACAAGTCCACCACCGGCAGACGTCAGTGACCATATCTATCGAGATGTTGAAATGAACGGACACTCGTTTCACGACGCGTATAACAGCAGGCAAGCTTCGGCGCGATCATACGTGTCGAGCCCTAGCGACGAGAAGGAGAATGGAGCCTTTGAGGCTCCGCCAAGAGCCAAGATGTCGCCGACCTTTTCTTCAGAGCGCAATTCTGGCACCAGCGGCCGTGGAAGCCCAATCACAGGGTCGCGAAATGCTAGCGGCAGTGGCAGCAATGGCGACGGTATTGAGAGCTGGAAGCGAGCTGCTGAAGTGACGAGCCAACTCAAAGCTCGCATTGAACAAATGAAGGTAAGTATCTTGTTGTGATTGATGCTGCGACGACGGGTGCTGATCATGCACTACTTTATATAGGCGCGACAAGGGCTCTCGCGATATCCTTGATTTTTCTTCCCCTTTTCTCCACTTCCAGTCGAAGACGGAAATGACCCTGTACCTCCCTTTTTCGGTCCTCCTTTGATACCATAATGCCTTACGCCACTTTCTTCTTCTACCATCACGGTCTATTTCAACTGGGCATGCCGATGCACATTCTTGTCCTTTTGTCATCTCAGTTGCTCAACATTTGCGGCGCGCTGTCTGTTCTATCCCGTCATTGGAGGGTTGCGCCATGTCAGACTTTGCCTGGGTTTGTCGATGTTCTTTGCCTTGTCATTTCTATTTTCTTGCGGTGCGTGGGTGATGGTCATGGGCTGTGGGAGCATTATTTTTTGGTGAACCAGGTTGAAATTCATTGGCTGTATGTCGCTTCTGAAAGCATGGCAGTCGACCTTGACTTTTGTTCCGTTTAAAAGCTCCTTTCAGCTCACTGTTTTGAGGGTTCGATTGTTGCATGGTAAAGGACTACGGGGTATTGGGAGTGGTTCAATTACGATGCATTAGATGATCATGAATATTTCAGTGTGGATTTCAATGAATATGATGAATTATGCTGAATTATGCTGTCAGAAATTTTGAGCTATTATGCTTTGGATACCTAGGGCCGTTCAGAATGTTAAATGGGACTGTCCGAGTAAGATGGTGCTCGGTGGTGGAAGTCCTGGGGCACTTTGCCACTTAGATCTCGCGGATATTTATCGAACCGAAGTGATTTCCCCATCAACCTCCTCCGAATTCCGAGGGTTCTTGATCTCGATCTTGTCGTCAATAATACTGAGATTCTACATTCTACCCAATATCAAACCCATATCACAGGCTTTTCTCGAGTTTCCATAAGTTGCTTGTTTCACACCCTCGCAAAGCCTTGCATATAGCCTCATAATCTGGTATCCGCACCTCTCAAGCTACCTTTGCATCGACACCATGTCTTTCCGAGCAAGCTACATTGTGAGCAGACCGCTCAAGCAAATATGTTCTCGTCGACTCTTTTCGAGGACTTCCACTGTCTTTCAGCACGATGAGAAGCCGACGCCCTGGTCAACAGGCCCGTCGCCACCCAGATTACCCAAGGAGGAACAAGAGATATTTGAACGATTACAGCGAGCGTCCACGGGCGCATTCAGCACCCCTTCGGTCCACCCATCTGTAATCGTGAACCAGTCGCCTGCAACAAACCAATCAACATCTGAATCGCTCGATGCAGCAATTGCTGCCCGTGGGGATGGCGAGGAACTACACCCCGATGTGAGACGAGGAGCGAAGCCCGAGTTTGAGGGAGACGTGAACCCTCGAACAGGCGAAGTTGGAGGACCGAAGAACGAACCTCTGAGATGGGGTGGCGATGCGGATTGGAGCTACAATGGCCGTGTCACTGATTTCTGATTCAAATCATCTACTGAGAATTAAAACGGTCAAAGAATTCTGTGGAGTTTGTGGTCCAACTAGTGTTTCCATCCGCGCATGTCATTAATAGCAGGGCTCATTTTGCACTTTTTCCTGCTGCTTATTCTTTGTCTATCTCTTTGAGAATGGAATAGATTCCGTCTTACTGATTCTACTTGTATTTCTTCTCCATTGATATTCTTGAGATTCCGCATTAATCTTTCTCATCATCCGGTTCGCTGCTATCGATTGGATCGAGACCCTTATGTTGTTTCCCCTGGGGCCACGGCAGCCAATCAATTGCACGCTACTAGCGCTGAGATGCATGTCACACTTCAAACTATCACAGTTACCACTTCACTCGACACCAATCATTCCGGTCTACTGCCTAACGCCCAAATGTGCTTCTACGCCTCGGAAACATGCTGTGGCTACAATGCTGGTCATGCATTGCTCCGCACCCTGCCCGGCAGTGACCATCACTTAACTCCCAGCACTCCTCTCTCCCGGCAGAGATATCAACTCCACTTTGTCTTCAAGCCCTAGAATATTGAAAATAATACGGCCTGCAAATATCGCTCGAGAGCTTACAGTGCTGGGCTCTGTTGTGCTGTTCCTGCTGTGTCGCACTGGGTCCATGTGAGTGGACTCGTTTCGACGACAGCAATGGACAGGCTTCACAAATCGTCGCCTGCCCGTCTCACAATCACCATTCTACTACTTGCCTCGTCGACGCTGGCCGCCGATGGCAAGCCGTCTCTATGGCATATCTCCATATGGAATAGTCCAGCACCACCAGCAGACCAAGGGCCGGCGTTCTCGAGGAATGCAACTCGCAACATGTCCCTGCTGCCTATCCAGGCATGCTGTATCGTTGCAGCATACTTGTTCAGTGTGTTGACCTTCGGCATGGCGTTGCTGCTTGTCGGTCGCCGTCTGCGACGGGCAGCTGAAGCGTCTGGCAGCACTCTGGGCGTTGAGATGGTCAAGCGCGCAGTAGCTCTACCGTTTGAATCATCGCCCCTGACGCCTAGCAAACCGGGCTTCGAGGCCTCGCCTGTATCGATCGAAACCCGCACTACGGCCACTTGGCCCAGTCCAGATAAGCAATCCGTTGGCGACAATTTCTCGTGGCCCAACGGGCACAGGCAACAGGGCAGCGTTGTTACATTTGACAAGAGCGTGATCGAAAACGATATGGCCCAACGCGAGCAAGAACTTGAACGTCTATACGCGGCAGTCATGGATTTTGACCAGCAGCGCGCTGTTGGTAATACACCCTCTCCTGGCGGGAACACAGCAACTACGCATTTGCCTACTTTGGGCTCACTTCAACCGCCGCCGCCACCGCCAAAGATTGCTGTTCCCAAACCACCTGTGCGAAAGCACGCCAAATCCAATTCTCGGACAAGTCGACTCAGCCGGCAATCTTCGATGGCGTCGACATCAAGCAAACGCAAGGGCAGCGTGCGAGGTTTGACAATCTCGAGTCCTATCTCGGCAGTGTCTTCGTCAGACGGATACTCTCCGTATGTTAGTGGAGATGAGAGTGATTTGATCCCGCTGCGTCCGCCATCGAGTCCCCCCGTTCCGCACCTGCAGCGCCTGCACCATGCATCGGCCTCCTCGACGCTGCCGCCACCACCACCACCATCGCAACCCGGAGTAATAGCCCAGCCAGAACTTCCGAAGCGGTCCCTTGGGTCGCCGTTGGAGCAGTCATGGTCGCTGCCGTCTTCAGGAGACAGGAAGCCCGCGAATTCTTCTTCCGGCTCAACTCGGCCTCGCCAAACAATGCAAACGTCTCAGCGCCGCACGCCGTCCAACTCTTCTCTTGGCAAAGCTACTGGCCCTTCAAATCTGCGGAGTCAGACTCACCAAAGCGCCCAAAATGCTTACAGTGTTCCGGCCCAATCCCAACCGCAGTCTCAATTTCAGCCTCGAACTCAACCTCAACCTCAACCTCAGCCCCAATCCCGGACTCAGCATCCACCACAACTCCAGGTCCCGCCAAGATCTCACACCCTCCAGACTAGTCCTCACGCCCAATCTCTTCATCCATCACATACATCGTACCCGCAATCCCAAGCGCCTGCGCCTCCTCAACCAATCCTGCGTCTCCCTCCTCGCGTAGCATCGCGTGACAAAATCCCGATGCCACTGTCGTTGCAACCATCCTCCTCGTCCTCGTCCTCGTCTTCATCCTTGCAGGCAGCACCAGCGGAATATACTTCTCCTCCCCGGCCGCCGCAAGCGCTCCGTCCGTCACAACCCTCCACTACGCGGGCGCCGCCAGCTTCGTCCGCCACCAACCCAACTTTCCACCTCCCACTCCGCTCCACCAGCAGCACCGACACATGGACCACCAAGACGACCGTTGTCGAAAGCACGCGTCCTCTTCCCGGCGCATTCCATCCCCTCGGCGCTGGCGCGCGCACTCCTGGTATTGGCGCCAACGGCCTCCTCTCTCCCAATGGCGGCGTCCCTGCCACCCCATACAGTCCATATATGCCATTTACGCCGCTCACGCCCGTGACACCACGACTCGTGACGCGCGCAGAGAGGAAGCAGCGGCAGCGCGAAGGCGGACGCAAAGTTGCATTTGCAGAGGATCAAGTCCGCGATGAGCGAGATATTTGGTAGTCTGCACGAGAGATGTGGATAATCATTTGCGTTACTGCGTCGATGTATTTTCTTTCATGTATATACATAATTCAGATCTACGTTTCATTACAGCATATCTGATATCCTGGAGTTTTATCACGTTTATCCCCCTTGGATTTCTCTTTTCTTCTTTTTTCCTTTCTTTCTTTTCTTCATTTCTTTTTTTCTTTTTTTAATCCGTTTTTTGATTTGTCTTTTTTTCTTTATTTTTATTTTATTTTATTTTATTTTTTTTTTTTTTGAGATTTATCATTTTGATTTATCTTTTACCTTTCTCTGCGTTGGACCTATGGTGTACACATTCCCCAAATCCATCAATATATTAAACAAATTACCAATATTATCAAACGATTCTATACCCCTTTTTTTTTAAAAAAAAAATACCATTTTAAATATCCCCTCTGACGCTCTGTCGCATGTCGCTCGTCGCTCTGTCTTTTGCAGATACAGTCACACGTATCTGCTTCATGAAATATCTCGTGGACCCCCTGGTAGCTAGGATGACTTCCGAGGTTCGTGCTAGCAGCCTGGCAGCCAAACGAACGCAACCGCACATGCGCTAACCACAACATACATATTCCACATTAACACTCCTCGCTTCAACCTTCCTGGGCAAGTCGCTAGGTAGCGACAACCAGCCCTGCTGGCGCAATGGTAGCGCGCGAGACTTCTAATCTCGAGGCTGCGGGTTCGAGTCCCGCGTGGGGTGTCTTTTTTTGTCCTTTTTTTTGTAGTTACCTTCTTTTCTTCTGGGTGCTGCTGGGTTTTCTTGCCTCTACTAACCAACCCTTTTTTATTTATTTATTTTATTTTTTTTTTTCTCGAGAATATACAGAAATTTAAAAAATTAAATTAATCGATCTTTATTTTGTTGAGTTTGATATGATTGTTTGACAAATTTTGTGTTCTGTTTTAATTTATGTATTTATTTTATATTTTTATGGGGTACCAAAATCTTATCGTTTCGTGTAGACTATTAAGACTCAGGAAATTTAGGACGTCTGGGTTATGAGTCCTAAGTCCTGAGGACTAAGGACTGAGTTTCGAGGGAGAAATGAAATGTTATTTGCTAGTGGAAAGGAGTATGGCTCTTACTGGCATGTAGAATGTAAAAATCTCAATGACTCTGTTTCTCGATTGTAATGCCTACGGTGTACATCAGTATAAACGTAGATAGTAGTAAATAGTAATATAATAATATAGAGATAGAGGAAGAACAGAGAAATGGAAGAAAGAGGATGGACGAGAGGGAGAGAAAAGAAAGAAAAGAAAAGAAAAGAAAAGGGAAGCTATAACAGCGGCGAGTCGAAGATATGAATAGAAAAATAATTTCTGGGAAGACAAAAAAAAAAAAAAAAAAAAAATTCAGTACACGAAGAAGCAGGAAATAAATGCCATAAAAGAAAATGATGAAAGGAAATGCAATGTCATGGCTGATGATGACAATGTACGCAAACGCTCCATAACACACCGCGAGACGCCCAGTTTGATCATACAAGGTTAATTCAGAGATGAAATCAATTCCCAGTGATAATTGATAATCATAAGCGCGATGCGATAAACAATGCCCGCCCATAATAAGTCTGATCATGACGATGCCCGATGAACAATGATGGCATCCCTTCCCTCTCCTCCTGGCAAGGTGAGTTTCAGTACTCCAGAGCGTCATGTTAAGAAAAAGAATAACACAAAAGAGAATGCCAGTTCCAGCCAGCTAGCCACCGACCGACCATACTGATTCATGCGCCCGCCCTTTTTTGGTTCAAAAAGGAAAAAAACCGGTTCCCCTTTTTCCGTGTTCCAGTTTAATGCCTAGTATCCCTGACCCCGCTTTAAATAATTGTCCAGACAATGCCCAGCCAATCCGTCCCATTGCAGATTAGGAGGTCAAAGACAAACAAAGAACTCCCGGAAAAAAAAAAGACTGATTGATGGAAGCAGCAAATCCATTGTGCCCAGGTACCCCATGGCGTTCCAGTAACGCGCCCAAGCGCCCAAGCGCCGTATAGTGAAGATGCATCAGAGATAAGATACGAGAACCGATTCCGCGCCGATAATGTGAAGATATGAAATTAAAAGAGCCCGCATGAATGCGAAAGAGAAAAAAGGAATCCAAGACAAGCAAAAAGTCTTATTTATATATGCTTCTTCCTTGAAAATGGACCCTTTCCCCCCTTAAGCTGCTTCAATTCCATAGTCTTCACTCGCGGTCGACCCTTCTCTGCCAATGCCAACGCGCTTTTTTCCCGCTCCATAAAGCATCTCCATGAGTTTCGCCTTTTGTCGCTCGCGAACGATACGCAGGTGGTTGTACGTGCCGTCCAGTCCATGAATCTGCTCCTCCACAGAAAGAGTACTTGAATCATTGCTGCGGACAAGTGGGCTGACTAGCTTGCGGCGAAGGATTTCCAAGTTGCTCTTCAAGGTCAGCAGCTTGCCGTTGTGGTCAACCAAAATGTGCTTGTTCCGGACAGTCTTCTCGCGAACATTGGACAACAAGAGGCGGTTCTTTTCGTACTTTCGAAGCTGGGCGGCATTGGGTCCAAGTACGCGTGTCCACAATGAAGAGAGTAATTCGCCTTCCTCACGTTCCTGCTGATCAGATTCTCGAATCACCGTCCGTTGAAGGTTGAGGAATTGCTTGTCAATGGCTTCAAACAAGGCAAAGAGCGCAGTTGAATAGGTCAGCTCTGTGTTGATGCTTTCCTCAAGGACAGACAGAAATTCATTAAAGGTTCTTTGAAGAGTCTGACGAGTGCGCTGCCGACCTGTCTGGCCAAAGAGATCCGTGACGAGCTTGCCCATAGTAGTGGGTTTTCCAGTCGACGATTCAAAAAGTCCAATGCGACAAAAGAGTGAATGGACATTGTCAAACACCGAAGTGAATGACGTCATGGGAAGTGAAGAGACCTGTGTCAATTCGCGTTTGGCCCACTCCATGACAATCAAAATGCTAACAACGACATTAGTCTCACAAACCAATAAGTGTGTCCAGCTTTCACACAGAGACACATACCTGTCAACATCACCATCCACATTTGCAAAGAACTTGGTGAGCTCAATGGCCAAAGTTTTAAGACTCTCACTGAGATCGTCCAATTCACGCACAATCAAGGGAGCAGAGGTCATATTTGCTGAGCGGACGCTCTCTCCCAGATCCCACACAGCAACACCTGTCTCCTGGAGATCTCCAATTTGCTGCACGCCGTTTTCGGAATAGAATATCAGTGGCTCAAATGACTTGGCAAGACCGGCAACTTTGACGAGATCTGGCACAGGCGCTGGAGGCGGAGGCTGGAACAACACACGCATAAACAAAATGGATAGGATGGCCATTCCAGCGGCGAACAGGGCGGTACGGCGGGATGACGTGATTAAATCAACCTTGTCGCGCATGTAGCAGAAGGCCGCTTCAAATGGCTCCGTTCGATGTTGGACCTCGGCGCGGACCGCAAAGCGAATGTCTTTCGGAAGAAGATATTAGCCTAGTGTATCCACAACAGTAGCCAGATAGTTTCCATGGGACCACGCACAATTATTGCCATTCTGATTCTGATTCTCGGGTGCAGGGACAGTCTGGTTCGAATCGGTAAAAGTGCGCGCAAAATCTGGAGCATTTTGCGGATATGGATCAGGGCTCGGAGACCGTTTTTTCACTGGCGTCTCTGCTGCTAGGGGTAGCTCATCCGCCTGTACTGCTGTATCGCCTTCCAGGGCACTTTCATACTGGGGACTCATCTCGCGCGATCGCAGACCGGGTACGTTTGGCAATGTAAGAGGCTGCCGAAGCCATGTGCTTCCGTTGGCGGTTCTGCGAAATGAGGCGGGCGGCATCCATGGACCGGCAGAGTCGGCGTCGGTTTCGGAATCCTCCATTTTGAATCCTGAATGCTGCGACGGGATGCCGTAAAGAGGGGACACATGGTTCTCGTGGTCAAAGTCGTCCAAGGAAGCAGAGAGAGACGGATGGTCGTCGAATTCATCATCTATATTGTGTATGGGGTCTCCCATCGTTACAATGAGTCACTGTAGACGCTTGTTGATACTATTCGAACAGTCAGTGGTCGTCGGAGGGCAATGCGCGCCTCGGTATCGTCAGCGCAAGCTATGTCAACGTGGTCGATTATGGATAACATTGACGTCGAAGAGGAGGGGAATCAGCAAGAGGAAAGAGAGAGGGAGGGCATCATTGGCGCGCAAAAGGACAAGGAGGGATAATGACCGAAGCCCGTCGCAAGGTTGAGGGCCACCCCCTTCGCCCTGCGCACCAGGGTCGAGGGTCGACCAGCTGTTCGTTGCGACACGGCCAGGGCAAATCGCCTTGGAGCCTCGAAGTGGAGGGGGAAAGGTATTGGGTGGCTGGACCAATGGATTGGCCTAGCGATAAGAAGGGATATACCTTTGGGATAACTCGGGAAAGGGAAAACGCCCACGGCAGTGTCGCTTCTCCCCGCTTCGACCCAGTCAAAATGAAGGACAACGACGGTACGCAAGGGACCAGTGAGCTTGACCGCCAATCGTAGGCTTGAACAAGTGGCTCGTCGAAGAAGACTTGTCAGGGATGTACACAGGGTCCCAGGCGTTCTCCAGGGTCCTCTCCACGGCGAAATGCACCAGCCGGCTCGAGGAATCGGAGCGGCAGGCGGGTCGTGCACTTGGAGCTAAGACGCCTGATGAACGAGCTAAATGTCAAATCGCCCAGTCAGCTAGAAGCATTCGTGTTAGGGGATATGTAAATGGGAAAGTGACATGATCGGAGACAGAAAAGAGAGACGGCTCCAAGCTTTTGAGTCCGGGACCCGCCTTGTCAAACAGGCTCTCGCCTCTGTGTAGTGGCCGATCCATTAACCACGGGTTTGCCACCACCCCCACCATAATTATCTCAGATAGGCAATGAGATTGGTTTCTCAAGATGGAGGGTAGAGGAGGGGTGATTCGAGGTGGTTCACCGCGTGGCTGATTCACGTACCTTGTTTCCTTTTGTCTTTCAAAGGGAAAAATTGCGCTCTCTGAAAAATGATGCAAATAGAATCTGAAGCTAAAATCAGCAAATAAAAAGCACCAAGTAAAGTGAAGCAACGCTGGAAGGAAAAGCCTTATGATGCGCGAGGTGTGGGAGGGGGGAGGATGAGAGGGAGGGATGCAGGGGGGGAGGGAGAGGTGGTGCAAAGGCAGAAGCCGTAGGGGAAGAAAGAAGGAGAGAGTGTCCATGTCGTCCAATTTGAAAAAAGACATCAATCCCTCCATTGGATATCATCAGAGATCGCCGTTGAAATTGGCCCTGTCATTGAGACGATGAGGCTTCAAAGGCATTTCGTGGAAGATGGACGATGATGATGATGATGCTGTACCTTTTTGGGAATATCGATAAGAAGTTAAGACGGATGATGAATGTTGTAGGAAACGCACGTATCAGGAATGACAGGAGACGTTTTATTCGCTACCGACGGGGATTGTGGGGAAAAGATTCACTGCTCAAGGTAATAGTCCTGCTCAGTATTAAGGGCAAGACCTATATAGATAGGAAGACAAGTGAATATCAGTGAAAAATGGCTGCCACTTGATCCCGCCTTGGAACATTCGGCTGTCAAGTCTGCTGCGAGCGAGACACTACTGGAGATGATTGAGATGTAAGACAAGAAGTTTTGACTTTGCAGGGCTTTACAACGTCTCTGCAGAGATGATGCTCTACAGACAAGAAGATTACCTTAGGTAGTTATACTGTACTAATCATGTACCTTTTACGATGAGTGGCTCTGCTCATTTCATGCAGGGGCAGCAAATTCCCCGCTTCCAACCCGTTGACATAAAAAGACCAATGTCCATCTACCTCCCTTCAAGACACGCAAGCCCGATTATTGGTCCCAGAAATGATCTAGATACATGTAATTCCTCATACTGGAGACTCTGATTCCGTTTCTTCTATTGAAGCCATAACAAGAAGAAAAGCCCCGTCCTGGTGAGGAACCTTGAATGCCAGTATGCTGTTCTTCGCAAACACCCTAACGCCATCTTGCTGCTGTCGCTCAAAAATTGCATAACCCAAATCTACGCAAAAGCAAAAGCCAAATATTATTTTCGCAAACGGCCAGAGCGCCGGGACCCATTGGCTGCACTTTTTGAGGTCTCCGGCTTCGCCTCTGCTTTGCTCTTCTTCGGTCGACGAGCGTTTTGCTCAAACATCTCCTCTGGTGGCTCCTCATCTTTAGCCCGCTTCTTGCCCGTCCTATCCTTCCCTGCATACTTGGCTTCAAGATTTGCGAGAAAGTCATCCGACCGGCTCTTTTGTCGCTGCTGGATTATTAATGCTAGAGCCTCTTCATCGGCCTCTTTCCCCTTTTTGCCCGACTTCCTTTTGGGCTTGCCTCCGCCAAACAGCTTATCGTCAACACCGAGCTCCTTGGCCAACTCGAGTGCCTCAGCTTCTTCTTTCTTTGCTTCTCCCAATCTTCTCTTCCGGCTCGCCTTGGTCTCGTGCGTGTAGGATTTGTATGCTCGAACCTTGCCATCCTCGATCGCCTTGTCAATAATGTTGCGAAAGCGGTCTTCGTCTTCGATAGGATTGCTCAGCATGACATTTTCAAAGATTGCATTCATGTCTCCTTCATGCTCCTCGTAACTTGCCAAGAGATCACGAGCCTCTTCATCTGAATTTTTGTACTCTTTTTTGAACTTCTCCAGAGACTCGCCAGTCACCACATCTGCCCATTGCTCGCGATAGAAATCACTCCAGTTGAAGTCATCGTCTTCGAGATCAAGCGTCTCTTCCGTGCGACCAGTTGTGTCATAGCGTTTCCGGCGGCGCTCGTCGGATAATATGGCATATGCGAATGCAATCTCCTGGAATTTCTTGTGCGCCTCATCCTTGGATTCAGTCTGAGCCTTATCTACAACGATATGAGCATCTTCCATGTCTTCACTCAAAAGAATCAAAAGAGCTAATCTTTACCTGGATGGTGTTTCAATGCCTGTTTACGATAGGCAGTCTTGACTTCCGCAGCCGTTGCAGTAGTTTCTAAGCCGAGAACCTCGTACGGGTTGATCGAAGAAGGCGGCTCCTCATTGAAATCTTCCGAATCAGAAGACATCGCGATGAAGATGATGGATGAAGCGTCTTTTTGACGTTATATCAATATGGTCTTTTGGGATATCTACCAATGCCAATGATAATGCTTCAAAAGCCTCAAAGCTCCAGAGAGAAGCTACGCGAAAATACGCGAGATGATTGGTGGAAAGAGGTGGAAGAGACGCGTGGTGACGCGCTCTACGTCATTGACAGCGGGTAAGCAGTGGTGAGAGCTAGACTTGATCAACTGACTGATTTTTAGTTTAACTAAGGTATGAGGACAATGTGACTATCGACGGGATCTAGACCAGCCAATTGACCCATCGCCCCTCTTCGTCACCCCACACCAACTACTACACTACTCTTCTCCCACACAGTTGCTTCTCGTGCAACCAGCTCAGCTCAGCTTTATGCCGCATTGGCCTTCCAATTGAGAATACTTCCACCTGTCTTCTTACTCGACACGCAATGTGTCAAATGTGAAATCTTTTCTTGTCCCTGATTGAAACACCAAGATTTTCCCTCAATTGCTCCATTTATCTCTCTAGCGCCTGCTTCTCCTGAATCATGGCTTCCGACTCCATTGCTCCTGGCGACCATCGAGCTTACATGGCGCTGGCTGTGTCGCTCGCCGAGCAATCCCCCCCACGGCCAACCAATTTCCGAGTAGGGGCTGTCATTGTCGATGCCGCCGCGAACAAGATCCTTGCGACGGGCTATACGCTTGAGCTTCCCGGCAACACACATGCAGAACAGTGCTGCTTGGACAAGATTGCACAAGAACATAACATTTCGGAGGACCGAGTGGGCGAAGTATTGCCAAACGAAACCGTTCTTTATACTACCATGGAACCCTGCGGCAAGAGAATGAGTGGCCACCTGGATTGCGTCGCAAGGATTATGAGAACCAAAGACCACGGACACCCTGGCATCAGCAAGATCTACCTCGGAGTCAAGGAACCTCGCATATTCGTGGGCCTCAATGCGGGTAGAACGCGCCTCTGGGGCCACGGCATCGAATGTGTACACGTCCCTGGTTTCGAAGACCAAATCCTCAAGATTGCGACCGCTGGACATGATCAGTTCACGGGAAAGCACCAGCAACCTCCTCGCGCTCCGACTCTGTAATGAACACACTCTTGGTGCCGACAGATATACTACGATATCTATCCACCTTGTGACGAGCTTTCATTTTTTTGGGCATCTAACGACCGAGTCTGCACATGCATCATCTGAGCGTCATCCGGCCTTCTTTTTTTTTTCTTGTTTCTTTCACCCTTTCGACGGATATGGATAGGTAATCCTAATAGGCGGAAGGATTTTGGTGATTGAGCCCCGTCGATATGGCTGTTTATAGCAGATGGGTAGCTCTGTACAAAGGGGAAAATTTCGTGTTCAAACAAAACAAAAAGCATACAAAAAGTGGCGTTTCTGGGGGCGCATTGCATGTACTGCTCAAGTACTGTATTTATTATTTTGCGTTCTCAAAAGCGCATCACAGCAGGCAGACGTTTGTATTTAACGACATTTTTTTGAGTTACCATATCTAAAGCAATCTACGTTTCCTGTTTAAACGCCAAGCTAAAACGTTTTCTCTGTGCTTGAAATCATTTGCTCCTCCATGAATAGGTTGGCTGCATTGGGCCGTTCGCTCTCGCGAGGACGCCAAAGAAGGATCGATTACGTCAAGACCTGTGAAATGTAAACAGTCACACCTCAACCATATGACACGGATGACAAAACAATGATCCTTTTATCTACGTTTGATTCATGGTATATATTACGATATCTTACTCACTCTCATGCGCTTCTGTCCCCATCCATCCTTCAATGCTAGCTTTGCCCTATGCTTTTCATGAGATCCGCAGCAGATTTTCCACAAATCCTCAAGGGACTCACGACCTATTTGGCGTTTAAAGAATTCAGTCCCTCGAGAATATTCATAGAAAGACCTACTTGTGCAACTTCATCCTCAACACATCTTGTGAGGGGCTTTTCCACAACCCAGTCATACACAATGGCTACAGATAGTATGTCGTGTTCGCGACCCCCAAGCATTGTATCCTGCTCTCTCCTTTGAGCTTCATACACAGGTCACATGAGATCTAATGCAGAAATTGGAATCCTCTATTGAACATCCGAGCATAAGCTAATTTTCGAATCATTTAGTACCCATCGAGAATACCAACGTGAACACGGCCCCCCAAGTCCAGCTTGACCAGACACAACGGCTCCTAGCAGGAAGTGTGCTTGATGTACGACTACCTTTTATGAGTAGAACAGAGCTACCAATGCAGCTCCGACTGACATGGTCTTACTTTGTAGCTTTTTGCCGGTCGCCCTTCGCTCAAAAAGCTCAGTCTTTGGACCGACGATGCGACATTCGAAGATCCCCTGACTAAAGCTGGCGGAAGAAAACAATACGAAGCGCAATGGGTAAGATGGAACCTTAGCATTCTTCACCCTCTAGCCAGCTGCTCCGTTTCTTGAAATATTCCAATTGCTTAATTACTCGCGTCTGGTATCTGTGCTGGCGCTGACATCTTCAAGTATGGCCTACAAACGGCATTTTCTGAGATTGAGCGCCTGAACCACCAAGTCACGAGTTCGGGCAACCCTATCGAAATGGACCTGAGCCAGCGATATAAAGTCAAAGGCATCGGCATGGAGAAGACTATTAACAGCAAGGTCAAAATCTTCTACAACAATGCCGGAAAGATTACCAGAGTGGAGGATCGCTGGGACGGCGAGCTGCCCGACAGTTCGATTCAGAACGTAAGTAGTTTAAGACAATTATTTAGCCTCAAGTGGTGGTTTGGATACATTTTTGCTTGGGGATTTTGGTGTTGGAGCTTTATATGGTGGACACGACCATGGGAGGTTGGTCTTTTTAAACTCCACTCTCCGTTTATCAACACCTGGCGCTTCACTTCGCATTCGTTCATTTCATCAGTTCGACTCTTTACTTCGAACATGAGATATTTTTGTTCGGTGATCTGACTTCAAATTTACAGGTATTCCGCAGCCTAAACGCCGTCACTGTGCCGAAGATGGTGGGCGTACCGAAAAACGATGCAGAAGATGCAAAGAAGGGTAACTAAATTGCAACCAGTGTTCCCTCTAACGTGGTCTTGAGAAATTTCAATTCCAAGTATGAGTCTATGATCAAATCAGAATATTCTTTTCTTCGTCTTAATCTCTATAAAAGTGTTCATCTGTATCAGAATTCGAATTCTTCGATCCAAACCAGGTGCCAAACACTGTTTTCCAAGTCTACTACTAACCTGCCTATTCCTCCAAACCTTCATATTTAAATACCCAATGTCTCTCATTCTCCAATGCCATTTTTCTCTTAAAAGACGTCTGCAGAACAATATCTCCCTCCATTCCATCCAGCCTGCCATAGTTTCCTTGTGTCATACTTCCCCCATCATCCAACATAGCATCTGCAAGATTACTCAACCGCCACATTTCACTAAAATCACCATTCTCTCTACTCCTTCTACTCTCATTACTTAGTCGCATAAACTCTCCTACTCTTAACAATTCCTCTCCTTCTTCTCCCCCTCTTGTACTCGCGCTCCTCCCGCTGCTTCTGACGCCCCATCGATTCTCAGCTCTGCGCATTCTAAACGGGACAACATTCTCCGGATCGAAGCTGAATCTTCGAGCCACATGATTATTCACTGCCAAGATTGGACCACGCAGTATTGGCGCCGCGTATAGCTGTTCCGGAAACGATCCTAACACGCTGAATCTCTTCCGGCAGAAGAATACATACTTTTGCCACAGAGTGCCTCTTATATCCTTGATACGGTCCTTGATGAAACGCGTCGGGATCTCAATGTGCAGAATCCCAGCCCCACGCGCAGTCCCAAGCATATTCGCAAATCCAAAAATGTCATGTCCGTTTAAGCGCCCGCTGTCAATGGTGATTTGCCTCACCCGGTCAATTCGACACCGCGCGTAGTCCGCCATGTGTTTCGCATAGTGGTAGTTCTGCGTGAGATACAGCTGTGGCTCGTGGAACGAAAAGTCGCATTCGGTGCCCGTCATTAGTTGCGCGACTCCGGTGAGCGTGCCGGGGAAGGAACCCGGGACGCTGGTTTCGAGATGGAGTCGTGATCCGCCTTTGAAGAATATTGTTCGTGGTTCGCGCTCCCGGTTTCCTTCAACATCGTCTTTGTCATCATCCTCTTCCTCATCCTCCAAGTTATCTTCATATTCTTCAGGATCTGCTTCTTCCTCATCTGCATCTTCGTCCTCATCGTACATCTCGTCATCCTTTTCGTAATCAGTCATGTTTCCCCCTGTATAAACCTATTAAACTACTCACACTTGCCGTTTCAGATTCCTCACTATCCTCCTCCTCATCGTCCGCATCCGCAGGGTTCTTCATTTCTTCATCTCTCTCTTCTCCACCCTCCCCATTTTCATCCACATCCACTCGTTTCCTCTTCCTCATATTCTGCCTACCAGCACCACCGATTCTACCAAAAACCTCTACAATCCTGTCCGAAAAAGTATTCAAAAATTCCCAATCATCCCTCATTGTCTCCAAACACCACTCACCCGCCGTCTTCATCATCCTTATATCCTTAAACTCCTCCGCGAGCACTGCATCTCTCAGACTTTCGTCCATGCCTATGCGCATCATGGCATCGTCCCAATCATGTTCAGGCGCGCACGCATCTTCGTTTATTTCTGATCTGTTCATGTACTCGTGTACAAACGGCATAAGTGCCAAATAACGATAATTTCCCAGCAGATGCTTACCGCTAAGATGGTTCTTGTAGCGGGTGTATATCGTGTGTACAGCGCGGGGAGTGAACCCGAAGTATTCTAAAGTTTCGGGACTATCAATGTATTCTGGGAATTCGATGACAGGGTCTACGTCTTTGAATCGCTGCGGGCTCTGATGTTGAGATTGCTGTTGGTTTTGGAGCGGCCGGACGGGCTTGTGCCCCAGCCCTGGAAGGACACCTTGATATTTCTTGGGAACGGTAAGTAATACCCATCCTGGCCGTGAAAGTGTTGGGCACGGGAAACCTGCAGAGCAGAGGGCCCAACGAGCGGAATGAGTCAGAGTTGGCCGTGCGGAAGGAGAACCTTGGAGGGAGTAAGTATATGTCATTTTGGAGGCTGCTTCTTAGGAACTCCGGCCTTGTCACTGATGAACGACACTGATAAAGTAGTGTATTGCAATTTAAAATACATTTTCATAGGAGATGAGCTTTTATATAAACTGTGAAAAAGGGTCTTAATACTACTAAAGAAGCCAGGTGGTTGAATCTTCGTCCTTCGGTCTGAGGTTACGTGTTAAGAACTTACGATTTTCGTTGCGGTTGCAGTTGCGGTCACGTTTGGAATCGTAATCAGAAACGTGGTGTTTTGAGCTTTGATAGGTTTTGGTATAGTCTTTTGGAGTGTGGCGAGTCTGCGACTTGTCCAGTTTGACATCTTCGAGTACTTAACCCAGCAGAGAAGCAGGTTTAGTCCTCTATTCCTGAGAAAAGCAAGTCTTACCAGACATTTCCTCTCTCACCTGGCTTCTCTCTCTTCTCCTTTACCTCTTTGCACAATAAAGAGTATTTCATGAATATATACTCGCTCGAAAAGCCAAAGACTCAAAGATGTCTCGAACCCCAACACTCACCGCCGAGGCGCGTGCGCGACTGGAGGCACTTGGCGCTCCTGCTGTCGATGGTCCAAAGCCAGGATGGTGTACGCTCACAGGTGGATCATACACCACTTCGTCCACCGCGAGTAGTGGCAACAGCAAAGGGGACAAACCTGTTACGGTTCCAAGCTACATTGAAAGTCTAGAGACTCTGGAGTACTTTGGCTTTGAAGAATCGACAGCCAACAGAATCTGGGACCGTTATATCAAATACCATGACGAAACACTTGAATTTATGGATTTTGTTACTGGGCACCTTCAAGGATGCCAGGATGCCATTGCGAAGGACGATGACTGGAACAAAGCCATGGAAGAAATGGGCATCGGCAAGCGCCTGAGAGAGGCCATTTTGGATCCAGATTTTGACGAGATTCGTCTGACTGGATCTGCTAGGACCTGGGTCCTTGATACCATCCAAAACAGTCGCTCATATTTGAAAATGATGTCTCCGTGTATTACGGGACGTGTTGATGTGGACACCCGTTATTGGCCAAGACCTGATTTACACCCTTGATTGTAGCAAGATTTGAATGGGACGGCATGAGGAGGATAAATGAAACAGGCATCAGATCATCTTCTCAGTTTTGGCTCCACTATGAGTGTCTTTAAATACCAAGCTTGATGATTTGAGCAACGGATAACGATGATTAAGGGCAGGGTCAAAGCACTACCAACACAGGGAAAAGCTACAGAGACTATTTTGTTTTGTTTTCCTTAAAAGCTATGTGCATGTATTTGTTTGCCAGAATCACATAGCAAAACTGATGAAATACAAGATAAAGAGTTTCACTTGAGAATCATGTATTTCTTTGTATAACTATCATGCACAAGGATATATTCATAATCATGTGCTGATATTAGTTTATCAATAGTCAACCAGAAGCAATTTATTGAGCGCTGCGAACCTATGCTGGCTAATTAATGAACAGAGCAAAGTAAAATACTTGGTGCTTCTTGTAACGTAGATTTAAAGTTCTTTCTCTCTTAGCAGTCTGTTATAAAAAGAATTCTGGATCTTTTCGCACACGAGTAGAAAAGCAATTCGGTTCTTCAAATTGAGCAACTACTTCCCAGGCTGCCAAAGACCGTAGTCCTCCACCCAGCACCGACATTCCTCTGCGATCTCAAAAAGCATCGTTGGTGTGAAGGCAAATTGGGCCGGGGTATTTCCGTCGACTTTATAGGGCTGGACGTCTTCAATGGTTGCGTCGCGTGCCTCGTCGATGCTCGCCGTCCAAATTGGCCCAATGAGAAGTTCGGCGGCGCGATATGGCCGGAGGTCATGGGGTATGGCAGCACGCTCTCGACGACCGCAAAGGACAAATCTTTTCCAATCATCGCCATAGATCTGCACCGCGTTTTCCAAGAGACGAGTAGGGACGGTAACCTGCAGAATGCCCATATGTTTATCTTCTTGGATCGAGCGTCTGCCGGCCCAATTCGCATACATTTCCGCTACCTTAATGTCTTTTGTAAAATAGACACGGAATGTTGCCCCGGCCCCGAAGTCGGATGGTGGTTTCGTAGTGAGGCTGGCGAGTCCTCTATTTCCATCGGTATCTTCGTCCGGCACGGCTTTCTTCAGCCGAGAACTTATGCCTCCCTTGTAGAGCACGGTTACAGCTTCTTGGGGTTTGGGTGCCGCAGTTGTCAGCGAAAGTGCCTCCCTGGATTTTGATCCGGATGGAGGCGAAGAGGCCTCGACCTTGGCTGTCTTTTCTGCCGGCTTTTCAGGTGCAGGTGCGGCTTCTGACTTTGCTCGTCGTTTTCCTTTGCCTTTGGAGGCCCCAGCAGGATCCTGTTGTGACCCAGAGTACGTCGAGATCGGAGTGCTCGGCTGTCCCACTGACTCTTCCGAGAATATGGACGGGACATGAGTCTCCGCAGTGGCTGTTGAAGGAGCGGGAGAGGTGGCGTCGCTGACAAAGGAGGCAAAAGATACGTTCCCAGAGATGCAAGGGGACATCATGGAAAGATACGCATAAGTGTCTTCGATCGTGTCAAGAACCCAGAAGGCGGCAGTTTGTCTTAATCGGATTTCGTCGAATTCGGGATCAAGGATTGCGTCTCTCAGGCGTTTGGTGATACCCATTTCCTTCATAGCTTTGTCCCAGTCATCATTTCTTCCACTAGTATCATGACATCCTTCAATATAACTGTAAACACAATCCATGAATGTAAGCCAGTTGTCGTGGTATTTTTGGTAGTGGTCCCAAATTTTTGTTGCGGCTGGCTCGTCAAATCCAAAGTACTGCAGGGTTTCGAGACTTTCGAGATACATGGGTACCTCCACGGGCTTTCTGCTACCGCTGCTGGACGCGCTGTCATATGAACCGCCAGAGAGAGAACGCCAGCCTGGCTTTCTGCCAGGAACAGCCGGAGCACCTATTGCAGACAGGCGTGCGAGCGCGTCGGCGGTCAGCGTCGGAGTAAGGGGCATCTTTGACTGTCAGAGCAAGTTCACAACCCCAAAAGAAAATTTCCTCCGCCCACAAAATTAAAGGAAAAGGGGAAAGAATGATGAGCTAGAAATGCTTACTTTGGAATGACTTTGATGGATCTTTATCAGCAAATGGCGGGAGACAGAGACAAACCAAACGCGAGTTGGTGCGCGGTGGGAACTTGGGGACTCAGGGACTCAGGAAGAGAAGAAAGGCTGGTGAGGGCGAGGCCGCAAATGTGAGATGAAAGTGATTGAATGGATCGCACAGTTATGACTATTAATTGAAAAAAGTTTGTCAGACTTCCAGTTGAAATTTGAAATGCCAAACCCAGCCTTACTTACGTTCTTCAAAGCCGCTCTGTGGCTCTGCAGCAAAGCGGAGAAGGCCAAGGAGAAGAAGACGAGTGCGGAGTCGACAAATTTGCAGGCTGAGTTTATACCGTGACCCAGATGCGAGCGTAGCTGAGTTGGTATGTAGGCAGATAAAATAGCTTCAGCAGTTAATGACGGAGTGAATCCCTGAGACTTGAAAAATTGCCGATCAGTTAATGGTGACCAGATAACAAGAGACAAAGGAAAGAAAAATACGTAAAGTCAGCTGATGCTGCAAGAATACTAAAGAAGTGCAGTCTTGAAATTTGAACGAATCATGTGTAGACACGAGGCATCAATGGGACAATAGAATCGCTTTGAGTATCTTCAATGACTCATTTGTGAGATTGAATTTCAAAGCAGACTAGTTTGATGCCGCCCCAGGTATTATGCAAAGACTCAAATGTGATATAAGAGAATCAAGAATAGCTTCGAAAATGCAATGAGAATCAGTCTATTCCCTTAAAAAGACCGTCACAAGCTCCTGAATCTAGTATAGCACGTTGATGACCACCAATGAATTACAAGATGCTAGGGACACTCAATGAAGGATTTTGCTATAATGAAAATCGAACCAGCAATTGAAAAATCGTTGAATAAAATCTAATGAATACCTTTCAGCTTTCAATGCAAGTGAATCTAGGTTTCTTTGCGACAACGTTCGCTGCGCGGAAGATTGATACGGGACAGGGCTGAAAATGCCAGAACCATGCCATGGAGTTCGGGCCTCCGTCTTATCCCGATTAGTCTTAGGAGGCTCTCTCGGGAGATGGTCAATGCGCTTCACCAAACTGTAGGACAACCTCCCACCAACAATTCCCCCAAAACAAAAACAATGACCCCGACAATGATGACATGACCACGACCACATTCACGACCACTCGCACATTTGATCGCACATCTGCTTTGCGACATACACGACCTCGAAATGAAAAGGATGTAGTCTTATCCTCGGGGCAGCGACATCAGCCGCTGCAACCTCCGCTACGCTACTACCCGGCTTATTGCTTCCCCGCATCGCCGACATTCGGGACTTGGGCACACTTGAGCATCGCAGACGTGCGTCGTCTGGATAGCATAGATGGATATGATTGTACGTTTGACATCTCATGCGTCTATGACTGAGATGAGAACTCCCCAATCTGTCGAGCAGCTGTACTAACTTTGTATCCACCAGTTCAAAGTATCTATTTCCACTTGAACCACCCTATCAAATATGTCCGTCTTGTCGGGATCATTATTGCATTTGACCAGTACGAAACCCGTAACGTCCTGACACTAGACGATGGTTCAGGCGCCACCATCGAAGTCGGGTGCCGACGGACCGAAGAAGAGATTCAAGCGCAGGCTCAAATACGAGCAGGTCTTGATCCATCAAGCGATCTTTACACCGGCAACGGAACGGGCTTAAAGTCCACTACTACCGGTGCCGGCAAGGACAAGGACAAGGCTCTTGCAAATGATCGCAAGGCTTCCGGTAATACAGCCACGGACCAAGGGATCAACTTAAGCTGCTACGACGTCGGCTCCATTGTCAAAGTCAAAGGCCTCATTAAGGTATTCCGTGGCACTCGACAATTGGAACTAAAGCGAATAAGTCCCATAACCTCCACGACTCAAGAAATGCACGCATGGGAAGAGAATACGCATTTTCGCACTACTATCCTCTCTACGCCATGGTACGTATCGCCGGCGAAGGAACAACAACTTTTCGATGAAGCAAACGGTGCGCGACGGAGAGAACAAGAAAAAATCAAGCGCCATCAAGCGCGGAAACGGAAACAAGCAGAGCGCGAAAAGCGTCATTTGGAACGCGAGAAGGAGCGGCAGCGGAAGAAGGAGAAGCTAGAGGAGCAGGCCAGACTTTCGTCTCGAAAGCCCGGCGGTCGTATTCGCAGCAAGGGTGGCAACCACAGAAATGAAGAAGCCGAAGAAATGTTTCGAGGAAATCCACTGGACGTCAGGCCCGGAGCTATACATGTTCCTATTCGGACGCAGGATGTAGCGCGACAACAAAGACAACGAGATATTTCCCCACCGCCAAAAACTACTTCCAAACTACATTCGAAGTCGAAGCTAGAGTCTAAGCTCGGCCAAGAGAACCAGTCATCAAAGAAACGTGTCCGAGACGAAGCTTTTCCTATGACAGATCGCACACGATTACCGGAACGACGTGTTTCGAACAAAGACCAGACAGCAAGGCGCAGCAGCTCCTCCTCCTCGTCCGCGGCGTCAGATTCATCATCCACATCGTCCGATGAGCAAACGAGGCCGCCCGCAAAGTCCCGTACTCGAGACTCACATCGCTCACCACGCTCGCATGTTACTACTCAACATGGACGTGGACACCGAGATGGGCGTGCCCATGCCAATAAGATGCAGCAGATCCAGAATACTAGTATAAAGCCCGTCGGAGATTTTGACGCTCTTGGTCTTTAAGTTTTTTAGATAAGATACGTCGATACCTTTATTTTGCTTTTTTTTTAAATCATTTTTGTTTCCTTTTTTATTTCTTCTTTTATTTCTTTTTTTTTTCTTGGTCTCCCCGTTCTTTCTTGCTGTAATTTCGTCTTTTTCTTTTCTCTCTTTTCCAAGGACCCATTGACGCATTTTCTGCGGAACGCTTTTTGAGTTTTGACTGTCCAGCTTGTCTGCTCTGCTTTTGGGCTGTAGTATCCTACTACGAAATGGACGCGGCGCGGCTAGGACACGAATATCCCGCGCAGATCTTGTCACATGTACTGTCGATTTCTCTCGCCATATTTCTCCCTTATTTTCCCCCCTACTCTTTCCCCTTATTCTTTCTCCTTTTCTCTTCCTTGTCTCTTTTCTTTCGGGGCCCGGGGGTGGTGGGTTGGAGAGGGAACAAAGGGACGATGCTTTGAAGCATGACACCTGGGCGGATGGCGGAGCGTTTCAGTATATGGTATAGTATAATACAGTATAGTATAGTATCCAGAGCATGACACTGGAATATCATACGCGGTATATACCACCTTATATACCTACCTATTTACATATATACATAATACAGGTACACAGAGAATCTTGCAAGCAGAAATCTCCCAGATGACATAATGACACAATAACACAATAAAACAAAACAAAACAGAATAAAACAATGATAAGATGAGAAGATTAAGAATAATCGTGGAAGGATAAAAGGATGAAAGGTTCCGGATCGTAAATTTCAACTCGTATAGCGGGCAAGTATCTATATCACAAAAGGGAAAAGGACGAGGGGGAAAGAAAAGGACAAGGAAGCTAGAAATGGCATAGGCACATATGCACATAGGCACAAAGTGAAAGAAATTGAATAAACCCCGGCACCTAGGCACGATCAAATTATTGGAACATCAGGACATTATGAGGCCAAAAAAAAAGAGGAATATCAAACGCCTCGCAGGTATCTTTCTGTTGGACTTTATGCAAAAATTGGAATTCAATTGTAATTGGTTTGCTCAGCTTTTTAAATACAATTTCCTTCAGCAAATGAAATGAAAAAAGAAACCTCTCACATTCCGAATTGACTTTGTAAGTTGGAATATCGAGGCTGTATTCGCGAGTTTAGACGGAGATTAAAAAAAAAATAAGGAGGTAGGTATCTTGGACGTAGAGATTGGATCGAGTAGGTAAGGCATTTTACGGAAACCGGATCAAATTATTGGAGATGGAATACGAGGAGACCAGGTCAGATTGACGATGATTGAACACCAAGGCCAGACCGAATAGATGTGGCGGAGTGGCAGAGTGGCAAAGATTGCATTCATTGGAGCATTTAAGATCCAATGAGAGATCCAATATCCGGGGCGTCATCGGGGTAAATGTAAAAGGCAAGAGCGATGATGATATATCTAGCCTGTGAGTTAGCATCATATGAACGTAAACAGACAAATAGTTGGCCAGGCAAAAGGATAGCGTAAAGAAATGAATACATGAAAGGGAAGGTCTACTTACGTTCCCAGTAACATGGCGCCTTCGAGGTAGTTTGACTTTCCGTCTTGGATAAGGTAGTTTGTGACGAGGACGGAGAGGAAGAAGACGACGGTTTCAAAGGTCTGGAAGTGCAAGGTCATGGGCCGGTCCATGATCCAGCCGAGAATGACCAAGAACGGAGTGACGAGCAAGGCAATCTGCATGCTGCTTCCAATAGCCACGCCGATGGCGAGGTTCATCTTATTTTTAATGGCAACGACAACGGCAGTGACGTGCTCGGCGGCATTTCCGACAATGGGCAAGAGAACGAGACCGATAAAGGTCTTGGAGATGTGAGACGTTTCCACAATCGAGTCGATGCTGTCGACGAGATACTCTGCGCAGACGGCGACCAAGACGGTGACCACGACAAGCGCGACTCCCGCGGCCCACGGGTTGAGAATGTGTTCCTCCTCTTCTTGCTCTTCCTCGTCGTCTGCTGCGGTACCGGCCGTGGCGCTGACGACTTGCGCGGGGATGTCTCCGTTTGCTTCCGCATCGCCAGATACCGCAGGATTCTTCTTGGGCGCGTCCTCAAAAAGCCGGGTGTGGGTCTTGAGCTGGAATACGAGGTACAATATGTAAAGGATCAGGAGGATGATGGCCGTGCCATGGGAGAGAATCAGAATGTTGTCTTCAGTCTTCGACTTGGATCGGCTGAGCACGGCGTAGAGGGTTGCTGGGATTATGAGCGACGCCGACGCAACTGCCATGAGGGATGACATTGTTGACGCGACGGTTTCGTTGAACTCTTGCTCTTCGTAGTAGAGACCGCCGGCGAAGAAGCAGCACCCCAGAACCTGCCATGACTATTAGATTCAAATTGCTTCCATTTGACCTTCCCAAGGGGGGAAAAAAAATTGCCAGACATACAAGAAGAATATTGGACAGGATGCTGCCAAGCATGCTGGACTGGACGATTCGAATCTCATTGTTCTTGAGCGCAACAATGCTAACCTAGAATTGAGTCAAATTAGTTGCCATGTTTCCATGTCCTAATTCTTGCAACTTGTGAAGCTGTGCCATGAAGAGGGTAGGGCGCATTGGCTTACAATAAGCTCTACTGCATTGCCAAATGTAGCATTGAGCAGTCCACCAAGAGTCTCGCCCAACTTGACCGACAACTCTTCTGTCGCAAAGCTGAGCAGCGAGGCCAATGGGATGATGGCGAAAAAGTTCAGCACAAAGATGGCAGTCGGATTCCAGTGCAGCGCACCGGCGATGATTCCCAGAGGCACAAACACCAAAAGAGCATTGACATAATTGCTAACCAATGTTGCTCTCGTCACATGGTAAACGTTCACTGGCCATCTCTTCCAGACTGGATGCTCTTCATGATGGTATTGCGACCCAGACGAGGTAGTTCTCCCTAGCAGGCCCGTGCGCTCGTTCGTGTCATTTCGTGGAATGGACATGTTCGACCTCGTTCTTCCATAAAACTCGCGCTTGAGATTTTTCCTGATTTGAGAAGCTAATATGTTGCAAATTGAATTTTGGTTAGCCTGATTTTTTCGCAATGCAAACGCACAATTTCTGCGCAGAAAAAAAAAATGACAGGATGAGCTGAAGCCTTGCACACCAAGCCACTACTCACAAGTCTACTTGACGCTCAAATGACAATGGATGATTCGGCCCAGGGTTGGTATGAAAGAATGACAGGGCCAGGGATTGTGATGCGGAGTAAAGAAGGGAAAAAAAAGAAGGTGACGACAGAAGGGCTGGTCTGATAAGATGAATAGAGATGGGGGTGCGGACAAGGCTAAGAGGATAAGAGAGCAACAGTTGACTTTTGCGGCGGTGCGCAGTCAAGGCGCTCACGGCGGATATGCCAAGACAATAGTTCAAATCGAGCAGAGGAACAGATATGCAGTGGTTGAGTGGCTTAATTGCTCCGGGAAAAGCTTGCGGCACATGAAAAAAAAGACGCGTGGCTCTAAATGAGAGCTTCTGCAATTATGAACGTACCCATTGTGAGCAGAGTAGCTATAAGATGAACAGCAGTGGTATCGACACGTTTGCCCGAAAGTAGAGGAGGACTAGATCGCAATGTGGATTCAAGCTTTGCTCAGTGGGAGAAAAGTGGTCGCCGGAAGTGAAGTAGTTTTGGGGCGGGTAGGGACCCGAATCCGGTTTGAACCACGGATCGTAAGGAGGGAAGCTTGGTGCGATCGAGTAGCTTCAAGCCTTTTGTGGGAGCACGAATCCAATTGCGATTCAGCTTTCGATCGACAGGAGAAACTTGAGACAGGGTCGACCCTCTGGACGTCTAAGCTCAGTCAGCGTGATCAATTTCAAATTGTGCAAAGAGCTCTCGGAAGATTGAGGGCACAGATATACACAATTGTGTGGGGAAGAAAGGGGTCTAACGTATAGTATGGCTGTCACCCTGCTCGCTATTCAATTACCTCCGTACGAGTACTCCGTAATGCAACTTCCTTATCACAATCACACTGGGGCGATGCCGGTTCAGCTGTTGCTTTCAAGGTTCAGCGCTCTTTCCAAGAGGGTGAAACATTGAGACTTTCGGGTAAGTCGTCATGTTGTGGTCCGAGTTTGGTATATACTTTGCGACGATCAACTTGACCCACGTCAATCAATCTCCCGTCATCCCAGCTCTTTCATGGGCGCTAATGCAGCACAGCCTTCCTTGGCAGACGACATGACCACCTTCACCCCAACCTCACTTTCAAACATTGGGAGCCATCTTTACAGTTTGCCTTGACAAACTAGGAATACAAAGTCTACGTGTCAAATTCAATGCTAGAACAAATGCCTCAAAACAACATGTTTCATCTTCACTGACAGACAGGATTATCCTACGATTCCATGATACCCTGAATTGATTGTGCGCAACTGCTTAGAATGGTCGCGTGCTACTTGAACAAATAGACAAAGGTGCTAGAATAAACAGCCGCAACGAGCGAACGCGTGCCCGTAAACCTCGAGCTCACAATAATACTCTGCTAATTGAATTGACTGGATCATTCAAAGAAAGCCTCTCGTGCAACAGCTATCAAGAATACCCTACAAAATGCAAATTGCAATCATTTCGATCCGCCAAGACCTTGAAGGCTCGTCAGCAGGGGTAAAGAAGGGGAGAGAAAGGAAGAGAAAAAAAAAATTAAACAAAAGGCACTCACCAGCACTGTAAGCCAGATACCACGTGCGGCTGGCCCCTCCGTCAAGCCAGCTCGCATCAAAATTGCTTTGGGCAAAGAAGTTATACGATGTGACGGGGTCGATAATGGCCAGATTAGCATATAATATGCCTCTCCAGCCGCCTGCGACTTGATCGACGCGGCCATTGTTAAAGTACGTCGCCCACTCCTCCGACACAAAATTTTGAGTTCGTGTCAATGCCGAGCTAGGGTTCAATGGAATCATGTGAATTCTACGACACATTAGCCATCAAGCCATTCCAGAATATGCGCCAAGTCGAGGGGTATTCCTACCCTTCAATATATTCAGGGTTCGTTCCAAAGTATGTCGTATGGTCAATCTTATTCTCGAATAACTGAAGCAATGTTAGCCTCGTCACATCTTTGAGAGAAACCTGAAAACTTACAATTCCCGTGACCTTGTTGCCTATGAAATTAGCGGGCTGAATAGTGTTAGTGCTCTCCATCAAAAAGTAGTCGTGCAGTGTCCGCGCAAGGATTGCGAGCATCAGATTGCCTCGAGCCTCCATGTTGGCATCACCAATCGTCTTGCCCCACATCTTAATCGCATATGCGCACATCGCATCTTCAGAGGATGACTCTTCGTCCTTCGAGTCCCCAGATTCGAAGAGGCCTTTTGCCCATGAGTGCCCATGATACCAATCAAAGGAACGCGAAACAGGAAAGTAAGGGTCGGCAGTGCTCGGGTTGGCCACCTGGGTTTAACAATTTAGCCATTTTCAAATTCCTCTTAACAGAGCCCTTGATCGATGCTTACATCGCGAACAAGCATGTTAACCCACGCTTGATTGGCAGCTAGCCAGGACGGGTCCAGGTAGCCGATGACAGCGGCGGTATGGATGAAATAGCCATAGTGGAAATGGTGATCATCTACTCAACACGTCAGTGCAGTCCTCCATCAGCGAACCTCGCAACATACTGTAATAAGTATTGCCGAAATCTGCTCCGCTATCATTTGTTGCATAAGAGGCAGTGGAGACGACACCTTTCCAGGCCGCTGGAGAAGAGTTAGCTCTGCAAATCATATACGTATTCAGTTTGCTGCCTACTTTCATAGACCAACGGATATTGTTGTTGATTCGAAGCGAAAAGCGCAAATGCTTTCTTCAATGAAGCAAGCCCAGTGGCTGCCAAGTCGGGCCGCTGACCAAGATCGTGTAAGGTGTAAACAATAGTTGCAAACTTGCTAAGCGCCTGAGAAGAGTATGTAAGCATATCAACATGGCAGTGATGATGTGCTAGTCAAGACCTTACCTTGCCACTAAAATACATGCTATTCAAGTTGGTTTGCGCATTCATGTCCTGGGATACTTCGCTAGCCCCCACGCTCTGAATCAGCTGAATAGCAGCCGCCGAAAGGCTTGTGACGCTGCGTAGCGATGGGCTCCAAGGCGCAAATCCCATGTCTGTCGGGAGACTGCTTTCGGTCAAAGTCCATGAGTCTGCGACGACTGCAGTTGCGATTCCCTTTGTCGTTGTTTGGAGTTGGATGCCAGTCACACCAGACTTGGTCCCAGAGGAGAATGACTGCACATGGTGAGGAAGGGCAAACATGAGCAGCGTGTTGCTGGTCTTCCCGGCTTTTGTCCAGCTCAGGCTGTAGCTGCCAACACTTCCGGAGACACTACCTGAGACTTGAGCCGTCGTCGCATATACACCGGCAGCTGCATCGTAGGTGCTTTGAGCCGTGGTATTGCCTTGCGGGACCTTTGCAATCTGTACAGTCCCATTAAATTCCGCGGGCGCTTGGATAACTGTGTTTGAGATTTGTTGCAATGCCACTGGTGATCCACTAGAGGCGGTCAGGTAGATCAGCCACTAGATAAGGTTAGTAAATTGAACGCAAATAAAATTATGGGAGGCGGCTGACAATGCTGTTATCCTCAAGGGTGACTTGATACTTTGCGACGCCGCTCTGGGGTGATTGGACGGCGCTCAAGGAGCGGAAAAAGACGCTGCTCTGGATGACTGGTGCAGAATAGCTATAGATGGCAGTGATAAATCCCATGCCTTGAACAAGTGGAATCGTGACTGCTGGAGGTGCGCCTGCGCTCTGGGATAGATGCACATTCACAGAGAAAGCAGTCAATTCACTCGTTGTAAGAGTGGTATCGCTAGATGAGTACCGATTAGAACTTCTTCATTAGTAGCGGGAGATGATACGGACCTTCCAAGCCCAACAGCAGATAGAATCATTGACTGAATACCAATGGGACTGCGAATTTCCGTCAGATCCATTATTTTATATATATGAAGGAGGCACCGTACTTGATAAAATACTGCACTGGATTTCCTGGGCCGTACGCCTACCTAGATCAGCTAGAATTACCTGGTGCATGCTTGGAAAAGGCCTTACTCTCTGGCTTGCTTCAATATGTGAGACGCTCAGGCCCCAGCTTGCCGCATTCCCTGTTCCTTTGGCCCAGGAAACAGAGTATGGGTGGGTCCATGCCCCTTGGTTTTGGTTCCCCAAAAACAGATTTGCGTAGAATTTGTTTGTTGATAGTGGTGTGGATTGGTTTGACTAGTGTAGCTGTCAGTCCGACGTAACATGGATAGCACAAGAACCAGAAATTACTGACAATGCCCAAGCGGGGGACAGGGTGATCAGGCCGACTGCCTATCACGCTGGGAAGAGCGCCCGTGCTAACTGGAACAAAGATATTCGAAGACATGCTGGGTGACTTGGAACCAGTTGAACTGGAGATGACGGTTTCAGACAATGTACTAAAAAGAGTAGTCGGGCTAGGAGTAGGCAATTTCGCTGAAGCCAGGTCCTTGGAGTTGGTAACAGTAGTTGAAGTGCACGTGGGCTCAGGCAGATGAAAGGTAAGTTGCTCGAAGGTTTCGTAGATGACAAGTGTCTCAGTGGTTTCAACGGTTTGTAGCCGTTCCGTTGCGTGAAGAAGGTCCGTCAATATCTGCGAGAAGCATAAGCTACATTTTGTCCGCATCGCTCGCTTCAGAGGGGAATGGAAGCAGGGGACAAATAGCAAATACGCACATTATAGTCTGGCACTGGTGGGCCAGATGTTGGAACTGGTCCGGGCCCGTTCACGCCGAGAAAGCTCTTTCCGGGAGGCTGATAAGTCGATAATTCGGGAAAGGGAATAGCTTTGACGGGGTCTTGAAGAGCTAAAAGCAGAATCAGCTTTGCGATCCATGAGAATATCCATATTCGCATTGTGAGCTATATAAATGTTAATAGGAGGAAACAAAAAAAAATAATCCCAATGATAAACGACAGAACAATCTAGTATCTATTGAAATATCGCGAATTTGGGAGAAGGGCGTTTTGCGATATTGAAAATTTGCCAAATCTGGCTTTGAAGAAAATTGCTCGTGATCTCAGCGCCACGTGCAAAAGAGAATAAGTCTAGTAGAGCGATCAAGTATTCTCGTGGATTTTAAGGCCGTTATCGTTTCAGGTTGGTCGTTATCATAAATCGTCTCTAGACTTCTCATAAATCGTGGCTGGCGGGTCGTTATTGCCCAGTAGGTGGGCAAGTATTAATATCTTAAAATGTGCACTTTTTTGGCGCGAAGAGAAGAAGGTGAAAAAAAGAAGAACAAGAGCCGAAAATATCGACCAAAGAGCGCATCGGGTCTTCAAATGAAGATTACAGATGGGAAACAGAGTGACACAAAAGCACACAACAACAAAATACTGAAATGGGTAAGAAAGAAGGAATGTGCGCTATAACTACCTAGCACCTTACCTCGTAGTAGCCGGTACCGACCTTGTAGGGCGTTGAGGTATGTGGCGGTCAGCCGCACCGGTATCGATGCAAACGCGTGGGGGTTTTGCAGAATCTCAAAGTCGATGCGAGATGCACGTTACGCAGATGGAAAGTTCGGAATGCAGCAGCAGAAGAGGCAGTGTCTAGGAACAAAGATCGATACGAAGCGATAAGATGATACAAAGCAGGAACGAGAAGAAGAAGGTGGGGTGTTTGCCAGGGATAAAACAAGCGACGTAACAGTCAGTGAACAGGAACACGAGACGGTAAGTTAAGATGCAAGATCTCAATCGGAGAACATGTTCCGTGCCAAGTAATCTGGGGGAAGATAGCTAGTATTTATCATGCTCGAACACAGAACTGGGGAAACTCTTCGTCATGGTCGTGATGCCGATTGCCACTCCCTATAGCTACACATATGAAACAATGACGATGCTTAATCAATCATACGGACAAGTATAATGTGATGCACAGAAGGGCAGCGGGGTAATAATCATTGAGAATGAATGAGCAAAAAGGACAGGCGCTGGGGGAAAACAACAAGATCCACTTCTAGAATTGGCAAGGCGCTCATATTCAGAGCAGTCTGACCTCCATCTCTGGCGCACCGACGGTGGAGAAGATGGCCAGATCAGGAAGGTTGATCATTGATGTGAGGAATCGAGTCTCATTCTCATCTGCTGACCTGACAGTGGTTGGTGAAGATTCAACGTGTGAGGTCGGGCTGGGGGTATCTGCACCCTGAGCCACAACCGCTTCCGAAAGGAGGACCAATCTGTTTCTGGTTATCATCCTCGACGCCGACACAACACTTGGACCTCGAACATGAGGGGTGATCATCATGTTTCGTCTTGTTATTTGTCGCGCCCCTCTCAGCAGTGCGCTCTGGCCACCTCTTGGCATGATCACGTTGGTACTATCCTGAAATCCTTCTGTGTCAAGACCTTGCGACGCGCAACTCTTTAGATAATATGTTATTATAATCTATAAGCGCATCAAGTGCCCACTGTGACTAATGAAAATCGAAGGGGATGGATGGGCATGTATAGAGGAAATCCCATCATGACGACGCCCCACCATATTTGTGCGTAATGAAAGGTAACTTTTGATAACATTCTACAAACTACTCGACGCAAAAGAAAAAAAAAATTGCTTCAAACCGTGGGCCGATCCATAGGTGTGATGACTCCTCGTTTGACCATGACGCGTGGCTTCGTCGCCGACTGGAAGGTTTCTTTCGTCGTCCATTCTGGTCCGACAGGAAGACGCAAGGATCTTTCATATTGCTGGCGCGTCTCAAAAGGATGAGGGAGGCTTGAAGCGAGATATTTGGCATTCTGCAGAGTTCGCATACGTGGTCAGTCACTATTCAGAATTTTCTCCACTGTCTCAATCGGACATACCTTCTTCACCCGTTTCTCATTGATAATCACGCGGTCCAGCTTCGCATCTTTGCGCTGATCTTTCTTGATGCCTTCTTCCTTGCTCAAAAATCTGCCTTTGTTTCGTTTCTCCTGTTTCTTGCTTACGCCGGCACCCGCCCAGCTACCCCAGCCAGGAAGCATATTATCAACAACCTTTTCATCTTCATCCTCAGCTGTTTGCTTCTTCTCATCTTCAAAATCTGCCACAACCTCATCTCCTGCAAAGGCCTTCTTCACGAGATCTTGGTTGCGCAACACAAATGGTAGTTGAGGATTACCAGCTTCAGAATCCTCACTATCACTTGTATCTTCTTCTTGGCCGATGACTACAGCACTTTGTTGCTTTCCGCTGGCCTGAGACTTAGGAGCAGATTTGCCCGATTTCTCCGCCGAGGGTTTGCCTTTGGACTGTCCGAATCCGGATTTTGATGGGTGTGACACCCCAGTATTAAGGCCGAGGACTGGAGCCGAGTGTTCTGCCGCGGTCTTTTTCGCAGGAGCAACTAGCCAAGGGTTTTCTTGCGTGTCAGCGTCAGGAAGCTGCGTCGAATTCTTGGGCTGCCGACTGAGTCTCTGTTCGGTTGCAGATTTGCGAGCTTGTACAGAAGTAGGCTTGTGTGTAGACTCTTTGTCAAGGATGATTTCAACATCATCATCTTCCTTTTTTGATTCTTCTTCTGGCTCATCCTCTGAATCTAGTCGTTCCTCAAATTCATTGCGAGGAGTGCCCTTTTGAAGAGGAGTGGTGACGTTTGAAGCGGGCCCGAACTTTCTGCGTCCCACATGCGCTGAATCATCGTCTTCTTCTGCGGATGACGTTTCTTCTCCTGCTAACTCTCTTCGTAACTGTGCTGCCTCGGCATCATTTTGCAATTTCTGGGCTGCCTCCGCTCGTTGCATAAATTTCATATTGGCAAGCTTGGAACCGATTGATCGTCCGTTGCCATCTGGCGTAGGTTCTCCGTCAGCCCGATCAAGCTGCCGCCGAAGTCTACCTGCAGAAGCTTCATCGCTATCTTCTTCGTCCTCTCCTTCGGAGATTTGGTCATCTTCGTCAGAAAGATCTGAGCCGCTCTCGCTTTCATTGCGAACTGTCTTTCCTTCGATACGGCGTCTAAGATCGTCATCCCTTCGCGCCATTTCCGTGACACCATGTCTTGCATCATCATCCCATGCAGCCCTTCCACTTTCTTTGACCCCTTTGGCCCACTTGCTTGACTTATGTCGACCACCCATTCGTTCTTCGGCCCTTCTGCGGTGTACGCGCTCAGCCTCATCCTCGGACATCTCAACACCAGCAGCCGTAAGCGCATCTCGCTCAGCCTGCTCCTCCCTCTCTCGTTGTTTCCGATGTACCCTGCGGTAGGACTTGCTCTTGATCTTCTTGATCCTTTTCGCCCTAGATTCCTCTCGGAAAAGTAGTTCCCGAGCTTTGCGAAGCTCTGCCCTCCTGGCTTGAACCTCTTCAAGAGGAAGTTTATTTGCCTTTAACTCCTCAAACTCTCGTATCTGGTCCTCCTCAGACTTGCCATTCTGATCCGCCAAACCGCTCTGTTGCATTATTTCGTGAATTGCAGATTCGAGCTCGGTTAGAGGTTGGGTAGAAGTAGTAGCCAACGACCGACCACGACCCTGTGCCGCATCGGCGCTCGGGTCGGCAAGCGGGAAAGATAAATGTTCCGCCCTTCGATTATGTTTGACAGTATCTATCCATCGGTCCAGAGTCTCCTTGCTCTTCTCGTATGCCGCCTCTCGGTCAAGTCGGTCCTGCTGGCGCTTTGGAAGAGGAGCTTCAAGCTTGCCTGGGATACCATTTCGCTTGCTGGGCGCCTTTTGTTGTTCGGATGAGAGAAGCTTAAGGGACTTTTTAAGGCCAGGGTCGGTCACGGAAGGGAGAAGATCGGCAATGGAGAGCTTCTGTGAGGCGTTCAAAGCGTAGTCCGAAGGGGCGGTCGATTCATGTGCATCTGTGCCCTGGTGACGTTTGTTGGTTTGGTCTGTGGAGCCCGACGGGAGGTTCGACACCAGGCTCTGCAATGCCGAGAGTCGGGCCAGGTCCTCACCTTGCCCCTCATCATCAGACATTGAGAACGCAGAGCCTTCATCGTCTGATTCTTCCTCTGAGTTTTCGGAATCCTCATTGCTCTCCTGTTCTCCATCAGAGGCCGCAGCTTTGCGAGAGGATTTTGCTTTTGACGCTTGCTCGCTGCCAGATTCTTCCTCGTCATTATCTAGCATAGTTGCGAGGTCCACAGCATCCTCGCCCAAGCTATCGCCATCTTCATCAGATCCGTTGCTTCCGGCGTCATCCTCCTCGTTCTCGTTGAGGTCGATGTCGGCGTTAGGAGCTTTTTTCTTCTTTGAATTCTTGTTGCTGGAACTGCCTCTGAAGGTAAAGCCCTCAAACCGATCGTCGTCGCTTTCACCAAATGCCTCTTCACTGTCAAGGTCGCTGTCGTCGTCACTGTCTACTTGGCCTAGGCGCCACTCGTTGCCCTCACTGTCGCTGCCGTCTTCGGCGTCAATTCCGTCGTCATCAGACCGCTCCTGCGTATAATCGTTACTGCCCGCTCCATCTAACTTTTGTCTTTTTCTTCTTCCATTATCTTCATCAATGTCCCCAAGCCGATGCGGTCGGACCTTCATGCGCTCAGGATTCTGGTGAGATGCAATGGAGAAAGCATTCAAAGAACGTTTCTGGGGATTTTTGGGAGCTCGAGTGCGCCCGGCCGCGGGACCAGCCGCTGGCTGAGATGTCCACTTCCTTCCAGGCATTTTGTCTCTTCTTCACACGGCCGAAGAGTAAATATGTAACAAGTTCTTCGAGGCACAATGAAATTTGGCTCGAGTACGATGCCCAAGGATTCGCTAAAACTGAACCAAAATTGTTTTGAAGGCGGTCGGCTGCCACGAACTTTTCGTTCGGTAAATTCCGCTGACAGACAACCACTGCCGTCTGAATTTCCGAACCCAATAATATCGAACTGATTGGAGCATCTTCAATCTTTTCGGCCATCACAATCGCAATCAACATGTTCAAACCTACCCAACCTCTGCTTAAGCGGCTACGACGGCTTGCGTTGACTACAAAGCAGGTCAATGGTGGATATTACAAGGGAACCGGCTCCGGATCAATGGGTCGTCACACGAAACATGGAGGATATATCATCGAATGGAACAAAGTGCGAACCTATGTTGTACCCGAAGCGCTCCAGGATTGTCAGGTAAGCATTTTGGCTAAATGGATTTTTGCTATATATATTAACACAATTCGTACAGTTAACTCCGTTTGTGAGCAAAAATATCAAGTCTGCTCGCGGCCGATTTGAGAATGATCCCCAAGGCGGCCTCAGTGCCATGCGCTACCTCACTCGCTGGAAAGAGGAAAACGGCCAAGATTAAAAAGTGAGATTTGCATGTTAGTATCTCGAAACATGCGCTCAACTAGGCGCTCTATTGACGATGTGGCAGTTGCTATATTCGGAGTTTACTGGATGGACCCTCTTGTTACTGGATTGGCTATGTAATGAAGTCGCTGGAGCGCTTCTCCGGTCCTACTGTACAAAGTTTAGATTTTTTACACCTTACCACAACATTTTGGATTGAGCTTCTACATGTCTTGGGGGAGAGTAGAAGCTACTTCTGTTGGACAAGCCACGGCTTTTCAGTGTTGTATCGCATGTTCGGCATTTCTGCACCATCTATCTTCAATCATCATTCATACACAGCAATAATATACTTCAAAATGAGTCCCTCTTCACTGCAAAACAAATATAATTTCGAGTGTCCGTTCCGCATTGTCTGCTATAGTTGATTGTGGGTTGAAAAGCTTCCTCTACGTTGTCATATCATCCTGGGCTAGCAAGGAAGGTTTGGTTTACACAAAGGCCTTATCAAAACCGTAATGTAACTTGGTCGTCGATTAGGACGAAGCATAAGTTGTAAATTTACAATATTTCTACATCGCAAGAAGGGCGCAAGCCGCAGCGGCCGGCGACGCAGGATGCCTTTATCAGATAAGCGAATGACGACTTGGCTTCCCCCCCAGCGAGACCGTCAAGCTGTAAACTTAGTATGGCGTATGCATGTGTCAGTGAGAGCATATAATAGCACCAACCAGCTTCCGCCTACAGAGTGCTTACACCATTTTTAATCCTCATTTCTCGTCATGATTTGATAGATACGCAAAGAAGGACACTCTGCTCACATTCTGCATTAGATCGTGCCTCTCCGGCGACTGTCATTTTCTGATTTACCATAACTTACCTCCCATCATGTTTCCGTCTTTCACCGGAACATCTCGCCGCCCCAGGCAGGTGAACTTGTCTGGCCGAAACCCGAATCCATTTGCCTCTCTTGCTGCTTCCCGACAAGCTCCTGTCGCGCAAGCAACGTTAGCGAATGCACAGCAGGAACGTATACAAAGGCAACTTGAGCGCGAACGAACAAATGCCGCAAGAACGCTACAGCGAATATGGAGAGGTCACAACAGCCGCCGGAAATTAAAGGACACCTGGGGGCAGGAATGGGAGCAAAAAGAGTTATCTGAGTATTACGAGCTAAAGGGAACGGAGAACAACTGGACACCTGAAGGATATCAAATTATTCCTTCGGACTTGCCACCTTTCTCAACGGACCAGGACGCGGTCCGCCGATTACAGGAGTTAGTCCATTTTGTCAGCCTCAGGGATCCGCGGCAGCTATGGCGAATGGACTGGTATATTCGGAGGCTTCTCAAAACGCTATCCAATAACCAGCTCCAACCTGTGCTGCAGAAAAAACATCTGTTGTTTCGGCGATTTTTGAAACTTTGCTTTCGATATTTGATTATCAGCACACCACCATCCGTCACTAAGTCACTGTCAGAGGCCATCCTGCTCCTGCTCCCAACCCTTGCCAAAGCACTGCCGAAAGATACCTCCCAGGTATCCACGGAATATTACTCTGCGTTATCCAGTATAATCCGTCATTCTCTCTCAGCACCCTCAGTTGATCGGCAGCTGCTTCTTTCCGCAGTGCTAGCTCCCTTGCAGATCTTAACATCAGAAACTCTATCCGCATATCAGGGATTTGTCTATAAACTTCTAGGAATAGCGGATCTCGATCGCTTCTTCGGAGGTGTTGATGTTCTAGCATCCGGGATCAATTATAAGCTTCTAGCGGCTGCATTAGCGGAACAATTGAAGAAACAGCACCAGGAACTAAGAAATTCGAGTCCCGAGGAGCGCGAATCTCGTCTTTGGATATTAGGGTATTTTATCTACTTTCATCGCAATGCGCACGGCTTAGATCAAGGCGATGCGCATCTCCCCGAGCCGGACTATGTTTTAATTGTCTCCAAACTCCTCAGCTCTCTTGCTGACGAAGTCGCTTCACGAATACAAGTTGAAGATACTCCAATCGGTGGTTACTCGGACCGAGAGGGCGACCTTGGCGCAAGTCGCGGAGAACCTTTGCCCTTACCACCATTTGTTCGGCGTGAACTTCTAACGCTTGTGAACCAGCAAAGTATCAGTACACTCTTTAACAAACTGCACGAGTCGAGTCAAACCAGTGAAGAGAGACTGGCCAGGCCGGAGATTTATTCAATGAGCGAAGAAATGCTTCTTGCGAGTTATGCCCTAACCCTTCTCCGGGTATTCCCCAGACGTGCGGACGAAATACGAATGTGGCTCTATTTAGGCTCCGTGCCAGTTTCCGATGATGTGGTAATGGATGGATCGGCTGAGCGCATTCCCGCAATTAAGTTCTTTTGGCAAGCTGTCCGGAAAACGGAGCTTTTCGGTTCTATAAGTCGTGACTCGCGGGCTGCATTGCTCCCGTTAAAGGATGCAGTACGTGCTTCCACATACATTACCGAAAATAATAAGCTCGAAAAGGCGGACCAAGAATGGAGGATTATTCTTCTTTTTTTCGAACTCTACGCCTTCATATTGAAAGTCATGGATGACGAGGAGTTCTTTCATGGAAGCGCTCACGTCAGCCTTGGTACCGCAGCCTCGTGGACCCGTCAAAGCGCGTTACCACTCGCAGACGTCAAAGATCTAACTATTTTCTTGAAGAATTTGGCATTTACAATGTACTGGAATGCATCAGACATTGCCGAGAGCGATACGACTGCAAATGGCAGTGTCATTTCGGGCTATTTCAGCACATCCAATATGGGCCCTAGCCCCTCACGCATGGTTGAGTCAGGTCAGCAAGAATTTAGAGAAGTTGCGATTGGTGGGGTAACGGGAATGAGTTTGGACTATTTGAAGGGCGTCGTTACCGGTCTTCTTCGAATGGTCTACGAGAGAGAGTACGATTCTTATGCAATAAAATTCATGATCGTGATTTCACTAACAATTCGAACAGTTCGAGACGCAAATTCTTGCCAAAGGATCATTGGCTGATGACTTCTCGATTCGACATGGAGGGCTTTATTCCCGCAGTTGTTGTCGAAGAGGAGAATCGACACCGCCTAGAAGAGGCCGATGACGACGATGAAGAAAATCTCGAGGAGCTAGAAGTTGAAGATCAAGAGCAAACGACAATTATTGGGACCCGGCGTACGCAGCATGCCAGAAACTTGGAACTTTTGCGAAAACAGCAGCGCAAAGCATCACGTAAAAAGTACCTGGAGGCGGTCACACCCCGCCTAGAGATTCTGCAAAACATGCCATTTTTCATTCCATTTGCTACACGGGTGCAAATTTTCCGAGAATTTGTCTTGTTAGACCAGACGCGGAGGCGCGGAGGCCATGTCGATCCGGACAATTGGCGCATGTCAATCATGCAGCACTCTGCTTTCCAACGCAATCCCCTCGGGCAGTCCGTTGGACAGGAGATAATCAGCAAACACCACGCCAAAATTCGTCGAGAGAGTGTGTTCGAGGATGCATATGAACAGTTCTACGAGCTAGGCGAGGGTCTGAAAGAACCCATTCAGATCACCTTTGTGGACAAGTTCGATACTGTCGAGGCGGGCATCGATGGCGGGGGTGTCACGAAGGAGTTTCTTACCAGCGTGACCAACGAAGCGTTCAGCCCGGACAGTGATCTCAACCTTTTCGTGGAAAATGATCAGAGTTTGCTATACCCTAATCCTGCTGCAGTAGATGAACGACGCGAATGGCTACGGGAAGCAGGTGTGCGTGAAGGTTCCCGCGATTGGAACGAACAGATCCGAGATCTTCTGCGACGTTACGAATTCCTCGGTCGTGTAATCGGCAAGTGCCTCTACGAGGGTATCTTGGTTGACATCAGCTTTGCTCCTTTCTTCCTTCTCAAATGGGCTTTGACGGGCGGTTCGGGGTCGGCTGCGCGGGAATCCGGTTACCGCGCAAATCTTAACGATCTTCGTGACCTCGACGAAAGTCTGTATCAAGGATTGGTTTGTCTTTTCTCTTCCCGCTAATGCTTCTCATGTTGATGACTAACATTACAAATCAAGCTTCAACTTAAAAATTACCCTGGAAATGTTGAGGACTTTGCTCTCAATTTCACAGTCACGGACAATATCACAACGCCACGCAAGGCGCCTGATGGAACTATGGAGGGGCCTATCAGAACTACCACTCGCGACTTACGCCCTGGCGGATCTGATATACCTGTCACAAACGAGAACCGTCTTGTATATATTTCATACATGGCTCGCCACCGCCTCCAAGTACAGCCTCATCTGCAAACGAGTGCCTTCTTGCGGGGACTTGGCGAGATTATCCCGCCGTCTTGGCTATCCATGTTCAATCAATCTGAACTTCAGACCTTAGTCGGTGGCGCTTCAGCCGAGATTGACGTCTTTGACCTGCGGCGAAACACTTTATATGGAGGTGTTTACACGATTGGCGACGATAATCTGGAGCACCCATCTGTGCAATTATTTTGGCAGGTTATGCAGTCACTCTCAGATGCTGAGCGGCGCAAGGTTCTCAAGTTCGTCACGTCGACACCACGAGCGCCTCTGCTCGGATTTGGTCAATTGAACCCGCGTTTCAGTATTCGGGATGCTGGAGACGATCAGGTCCGGCTTCCAAGCACAAGTACCTGTGTAAATCTGCTCAAGTTGCCTCGGTATTCAGATGCTGATACGCTACGGGAGAAATTACTCTACGCTGTCAACTCTGGAGCTGGTTTTGATCTTAGCTGAAGAAGGAAATCTAGGATTTCGCCAAGAAGACGTTTATATGTTGACTTTGTACGTTTGTGCAATCTGCTTAGCGGCATTGGGAAGGCGTTGGACTTTGTTGTTGAAATCTGGCATCACCGAGATAGGTGCTTTTACGTGCTCCTCTAATTGCTCTTCTTTATTTCACTCTGTATTTAAATCCAGATAACCGCGTATTGGTGTCATTCCTAGGTCATATGAACTAAATAGATTTCTTTCACAAATAATTCAAAATCAAATTGGACATCAGCTGGAAGCCACCTGCTGACCCTCTCGGGGATATATTTGGGGGGGCGCCACTTCCTCTGACCGTACTTCGTTGACTAGGGGCTTAGTCAGCAAGTATTGAGTGCACTCGGTCCCTTTGTTGCTAACTTAGGGAGAAATTACTTCGTACAGGTGAAGGAAATATTCCCAACGGCCCTCTATAGATGAAACAACCTGCAATTATCTGTATCTTGCCTCGCCGTAGTACTTCTGAGCCATCGTCATATCATATGAAGTTGCCTATCGCCTCCTGACGGCTGTCGTTCCTTCCGCTTTTGTTCGCTTGCTGGTTGACTTTTTTCGCTTCCCGCTTTTGGCTCTGGCCGCCCTCGCGTCGATTGCCTGTCTGGCACTCGCTCCTTCCCAGAACTTCCCTCACACTCCCGATTCTTCTCCCACACTTTTCGCCTTTCGGCAGGTGCCGCGCTAAAGAAATTTCCATTTTCATTTTTGTGTGTGCAAGGATCAAATCAAAGCCGCGACGACATCCACCACCAACCTTCCTCTTCTTCATCACACACTCCTCAACCTGCGTGTGCGCACTCCCGTACCCGCTCTTTCAATCCGCTTCTCAAAGAAACTCCAAAAAAAAGTTGAAAAGCAAAAAGAAAATTTCTCCTCGACGTTCCGTTCGATCGACCGCTTAATCGCAAGATTGACGTTCGGCCAAACAACCGTCGACCTTCTTGCACTTCAAACCTTAATCGACGAACTCGTGTGTCCCGTTTCGCTCGATTTTCCCTTCTAGCCTCCTGTGAGCTTGAGGGCTTTATCTTTTTGCGACGGATTTATATCCCAAACAGAAAATCTTTGCAGAGTAATTCCCTGCTTTATAGTCAGCAAGGTCCGTGTTCTTCAAATCCTCATCATTTTTGGGGGTCCTACAACCGGCTTTATATTTGATTGGCGCTCTCTTTCTCTTTGTTTGTGCGCTCTTCCGTATGCAACGCGGACGGCGCCCTTTGATATGTCCGGACTTCTGAGCTGACCAAGATATTATAGTAAACATGTCTGCCGACGCTGCTGCTACTACTCCCGCTGTGGAGAACCAGACCCCCGAGGTCAACGCCTCGCCTGCCGAGGCTGTCACCAACGGTACTACCACCGCCTCAGAGACTCCCTCCGAGACTGTCGATTCCGCGGCTCCCACTTCCGTTGCTACTTCTCAGCCCCACTCGGCTTCCCTCTATGTCGGTGAGCTCGACCCGTCCGTGACCGAGGCCATGCTCTTCGAGCTTTTCTCCTCCATCGGCCAGGTTGCTTCGATCCGTGTGTGCCGTGATGCTGTGACCCGTCGCTCTCTGGGTTACGCTTATGTTAACTACAACAACGCCGAGGACGGTGAGCGTGCTCTGGAGGAGCTCAACTACACTCTCATCAAGGGCAAGCCTTGCCGTATCATGTGGTCTCAGCGTGACCCCGCTCTCCGCAAGACTGGTCAGGGCAATGTCTTCATCAAGAACCTCGATGCCGCCATTGACAACAAGGCTCTGCATGACACGTTCGCTGCTTTTGGAAACATTCTCAGCTGCAAGGTTGCTCAAGACGAGTTTGCCAACTCCAAGGGTTATGGCTTCGTTCACTACGAAACCGCCGAAGCTGCCAACAACGCTATCAAGCATGTCAACGGTATGCTTCTGAACGAGAAGAAGGTCTTTGTCGGTCACCACATTCCCAAGAAGGACCGCCAAAGCAAATTTGAAGAGATGAAGGCCAACTTCACCAATGTCTACGTCAAGAATGTTGACACTGAGGCCACCGAGGAGGATTTCCGCCAGCTCTTTGAGCAGTTTGGTGAGATCACCTCTGCCACTCTCGCCCGCGACGAGAGCGGCAAGAGCCGTGGCTTCGGTTTTGTCAACTACAGCAAGCACGAGAGCGCTAACGAGGCTGTGAACAACCTTCACGACTCCGATTTCAAGGGCCAGAAGCTCTATGTCGGCCGTGCCCAGAAGAAGCATGAGCGTGAGGAAGAGCTCCGCAAGCAATACGAGGCTGCCCGCATCGAGAAGGCCTCCAAGTACCAGGGCGTCAACCTCTATGTCAAGAACCTCCACGATGACATTGATGATGAAAAGCTTCGTGAGACTTTCGCTCCTTTCGGTACCATTACCTCTGCCAAGGTCATGCGCGAGACCGCTGAGCGCAGCGTCTCCCCTGAGCGCAAGGAGAAGGATGACAAGGAGAACCAGAAGGAAGAGGAGAAGAAGGAGAACGGTGAAGAGGAGGAGGCCAAGGAGGAGAAGAAGAGTGCCAAGAAGGTTGCTGGCAAGAGCAAGGGTTTTGGTTTCGTTTGCTTCAGCAACCCCGACGAAGCCACCAAGGCTGTGACTGAGATGAACCAAAGAATGGTTCTGGGCAAGCCCCTCTACGTTGCTCTTGCTCAGCGCAAGGATGTCCGTAAGAGCCAGGTAAGTTTACAATATTCACCTCTCTGTGTGCAAGCAACTAAATTTCATTTAGCTCGAGGCCAGCATCCAGGCACGCAACCAGATTAGAATGCAGCAGGCTGCCGCCGCCGCTGGTATGCCCCAGCAGGTGAGTTATTTCTTTCTCCGCTTGGCGTCGCTCATTATAGATGCTGACAATCATTACTTTAGTTTATGCAACCCATGTTTTACGGCCCTGGCCAGCAGCCCGGCTTCCTTCCTCCTGGTGCTGCCGGCCGTGGCGGTGTTCCTTTCCCTCCTGCCGGTGCCATGGTCATGCCCGGCGCTCAGGGTGGTCGTGGCAACTTCCCCGGTGGCTTCCCTCCTCAACAGGGGGGTCGCGGCCAAGGTGGCCAGCAGATGCCCGTCTATGGCATGCCCGGCCAAGTTCCTCCCGGTGCCATTCCTCAGGGCCCCGGCTACCCTAACCCCGCCGCTTACGCTATGGCCCAGGCCGTTCAGGCTGGTCAACGCCCTGGACAGCGCCAGGGTGGTCCTGGTAACATGGGCTATCCTCGGGGTGGTCCTGGTGGTTTCCCTCAGGGCGCTGGCCGCGGCAACATGCAGGTGCGCCCCGGTCAAGTGCCCTTCCCCCAGGGTGGACGTGGTCAGGCTCCTCCCCAGATCGGTCAACCCGGCGCGGCTCCCGGTCCGGACGCCGCCCCTGGCGCGCTGACCCCTCAGTCCCTCTCGGCTGCTCCCCCGCCACAGCAGAAGCAGATGCTCGGTGAGGCCTTGTATCCCAAGATCCAGAACCTGCAGCCTGAGCTTGCTGGTAAAATTACTGGTATGCTGCTCGAGATGGACAATGCTGAGTTGCTGAACCTGTAAGTCTTCTTTAAGCTGTATCGTTGGTTTGCACGTGTACTAATGCATAAGCAGTCTTGAGGATGAGGCCGCTCTCCGCGCCAAGGTTGAGGAGGCTATGAGTGTTTACGACGAATACGTTAAGACCAAGGGTCCCGAGGCTGAGGGCGCCCCCGCCGAGGGTGCTGCCAAGCCCGAGGAGCCCGCCAAGCCCGAGGAGGCTACCGAGCAGAAGGCTTGAATGGCGTTTTATTTTTCTTAGATGACTATTTTGGTCGACTGGTTCACGGCTTCCTTTGATGGAATGACGTTTCTTTTCTCAAGTACGCGGGATTGGACCATGTTACGGCGTCATGCTGCTTTCTTTTCCTTTCTCTATTTCTTTGCTTTTTGCTTCATCATCCCCTGCCACCTTATGAATTTGGGCATTTAGTGCAGGTGGAGGCGTGATGTCTTGCTGTTGTGTGTCTACTCTCACGAACCTGGTCTGGAGCTTGAACGATAAAAGTTTGCTTTCTTATCCATTCCTTTGATTGATCCGACATGTGCTTGATGTGGTGCTCTTTGCTCTACATGGTCTCCAAGGCTCTATTTATCATTGGAGCTTTAGTCATTTACAGACGAGAGGCTCTAGTTGGCTTCTTTGACGTTATCGAGATCAGAACTCTGGCAAGAAATGGAGACAGGTTTCTTGCCTTTGCTGACCTTTCCCTGAAAATGGGATTTGGTATTAGTTATAGCATTCTTGACACTATGGAATGAACATTGCTTTCTGATTTCTGTAGCTATCTTTCATGTCAGTTTCACTGCTTGTGCCAATGTGTCTTGATTTGGAATAATTGGCATTCCTATCCGCCGGTAGGTTTATTTGCACCACGGCATGCTCAGACTTGAAAATCGTGCAATTTGGTCGCGACTTTACATGGGGTGAAAACCTCAAATAGACGCTGGAATGGGGGGCCTTTTGATATGGGCTATATAGCTATCCATAGAGAAAAGCTATTTTCCTATGGTGTCCTGTAGATGCAGGTGTATGATGCATAGCAGTATCTCTTGCCGCGCAGTAATTACAAACATCCTTCTCTAACAAAGGATCAGCAGACCTAATCATGCATTTAAATTTCAAATATCTTATAGACAACAAATATTTCTAGCGCCTTTTTTTTGGCTACCGCAATGATTTACTGCTTTGCTTGCTTGATTTGATATGTGATCAGGTCAGGAGAGCTTGGGACTTCGTCTCGCTCTCAGCAGCCGCCAGCAATAATTTCGACCAGTCTTGAGGCTATTAATGACACTAGGAGATTCCACCTGACGTAAGCGTAAAATAACAAACGCCGAAGTATGGTTTATGAACATTATATTTTGCTCCTCAGGAGGAAATTAAAAAGCAGAATTCATTTCATATAAATAAGTGAAGAGAGAGTATATATGTAAAGTGTATTTGTGCTATACATCTATTAAAAAGTGCTCAATGGGGTGGTAAGCTAAAGAGAGGTATCTCAGACGTACTCGCAAGGTCCGCGAAAGATAGTGTTATTTATATAATATCAGTCATCCACACGAAATAAAGAATAGCTCACGAAAGAAACATCTGTATGGAAGGCAGTACAACGAGAAAGTATCAGAAAGATGTGACAGGAACCAGAGATTTTATTTGTATACGCGACAATGTCTACCATCCGTTCGAACATCTCCAAACTTGAATGACTGCGCTTTTCGCTGCTCACGTTGCAAAGATGGACGCCGGCGAGCCTCGTCATGCCTGCGACAAGTGCCTCAAAACTTACCAACGTCGTAGGTTCTGCGCGTTCTCCAAAGGAAATTATCCGCAACAACATTCCGTCTTACACTTTTCCGACCTCGCATTGCCCAGACCAGCTCAAAAGGTTCCGATCCGCAACTGACTTGAAGTGTGAGAGATGTAGGGGACTTGCTTTTGCGCCATCGAAGGCGCTGCCTACGGCTCAAGAAGTCAATGACACGCAGAAAAGCCTGCAACGCATGTGTTCAGGCAAAGGCCAAATGCTCCTACGCTCAGCCCTCGTGCTCCCGCTGTGCCCAACGGGGCATCCCATGCCAATACCTTTCCTTGCCAATTAGAGAGGACGAGAGGGCCAAAGCAGGAGACATGTCCGGAGAAAGCACCAGTCAGCCTACCGATGCCTCAGACCCGCCAGTCCGAGGCAATACATTTGCGGAAACAATGGCTGGCAGTGTCGAACCAAGTTCGACCGGGGGCTCACAATTGTTTCCGTGGTCACTTGACAAGAGCGATCTGCCTTCAATGCAGTTATCGACGCCGACCGCTATGACTAGGTTCGGAAATCCTGTCACTCCGCCCGCGACAGATGGGTTCTCTCAAGGGCTCATGTACAATTCTCTGGCGGAGAACTCATCCCTGGGTCTACTAGACCTCGACTTTCCCACGGTGAATCTGGACGGGCTGGATGCTGATTTCACACCGCCGCTGAGCGTCTCCGACCCGACACCAATTGACCATCGCCTTCCTGACTTTGTCTTCTTGCTGAAGCAATATCCTAAATTACTACTTCGCGATGACTTCTCCTCGCCATTTCTCCATCACAGTCTATACAGCGATAATGTGCCCGACATGACAACGCTGGCGCGTACCTCGACGGCAATATGCTGCGGAAGTGCGATAGGGATGAAGGACGGAGCACGCTACGTCAAAAGGGCAATGGACGCGGAGCGCCAGAGATTGATAGATGCCTACGTGAGCCTCTCTTCTCGAACCCTATGAACTGATTTTGTTTCGCTAACGCTCACAATATCTAGCCTTCGTACCAATGCATGCAACAATGGGATGCTTTGCATGCCATGTTAATATATGCAATTTTGGAGATGGAGCTGACTCTCGAAGATGACAGCGAGGCTTGGAAACAAAAGCCTCCTGTCAAAGGCCTGAAGTCACCGTTTCTCGTGAAGATGACGCAGTGCCTCATCAAATCCCACTCCGACTCTTCCAATGCCGACTTCATCTCTGGCTCAAGTTCTTTATCCTGGAATCAATGGACGGTCGCCGAAACGACACGTCGTACAATTTTTCTCGCAAATATGATCAATTTTCTTGGCAATCGTGACTCCGAGACTGGCCAGAAATCGCCTTATTATGAACCACTGAACAATAAATTGATCTTGAATATGCCCCTTCCATGCAGTCATGCTCTGTGGACCGCGCGGACTGAGTATGATTGGACGCTTGCTATGCAGCTGCATCAGACCAATCCTTGGCCAGCCGCGAGTGACCCATTATCCGTGTTCGACCTCTCTGAGCATAATGCAGGTGGCATCTTCTGCCTTAAAAATTTGTTCTCGAGATTTACAAAGGATCATCTACGAACGACCCTTATGAAGGGCTGCGGCTTCGACGGCTCAGACGAGCTACGTTCTTTTATTATTCTCTGCGCTCTGGAACAATATCTCTGAATGATCACCTGCATTTAGCAACTTTTGATACCATTGAAATTCTATTCCAGGTGTTCGATATGGGTGGGGCGTTTTTGATGATTATACCTTTATTAGTCTTGTACTTGTCAACTCATTAAGGGGGATGAGCAAAACTTGAATTCTTATTACCTGATTCACGATTAGTCAGTGTTTACAAACTATAATTGAAATTCTTTATACTCAAATTCTCTCAACCTCTCCTTCAAGGGAATCTCTCCAGAGCCATAAGGAAAACCTGCAGGAAGACGGCCACATAGGTAGTCAGAGCTACATCACTACATATTCTGTATATCAACACTACAAGATAAGGCATTTCTATTTGACATGGACTGAAGCTTGTAAATTCAACTACCTGTTTAACACATTCATAGCCTGGTCACTAAGGGCTTGCATACTCGAAGAACGTGAGCTGTCACCATAGTCAGTATTGATGGGTTACATTAGAGAATTTTGGATATGCTGCACGACAATCATTACCCTTTGGCAAAGATTTGACTATATTTCTGCATTATTATTCAGCAAAGGGAATCTGAAATTACGGTACAAGCTGGAATATCTGAGTTTCGGAGCTCGTCCATGAACGCGTCGGAATTGGATGGTCCGACCACTTTGCTCCGGCTTATTCATCCACCCGCCATTTCCCTGAAACTCCCAGACAGGAAATACAACAACAAATGACTTCACGTCTACGGCGCTGTACTTCCTGCGGAGTTCAGTCATGTCCGCCTGAGCGCAGAAATTCATTTGTCAGCTTTCGGAGTATGTGAACACAATGGAGGATTTAAAGATGAGGATTTGCCTCGCTGGGTGGCTCAAGGCAAATGAGTTCGAGACTGATCCTACTTCTAATTTCCGTCCTCTTCATACCATTGCTTCCTCAGAATATGATTCAAAAGCTGTTAACCAGACCCTCAAACACTACGACTTCCCTCCCAGGGCTGGGAAGCCTTCTCCTAGGTTATTTCATTACACCTAAAGCCGATGGCGGTGCGCACGACACCAGCCCGTTGGCTGAAGCATGGGGGTTAAAGACCGGCGTCTACACGCCGCAGCAGCTGGTCGAAGGCTTTGCACCTCTGCTAGATACTGTGGTCTATCGCCTGGGTAAAGACCCTCCCGATTCTAAACCCGCTCGTGTCCGGCTCCTTGACAACCTCGCCGCCAACCTTGCCACCGACACGCGCGAGGCCACGCTCCGTCTTTCTGAGCCCTTGGACCCGTCACGGTGGGAAATGCTTGAGCAGGCCAAGCGTATTGGCGAGTCCCTTGTGCAGTGGGCCCGCGAATCCAGTGCCAAATCATTCGATCCAGACATGTATTTGCGCAGTCCCTGCGAGGGCCACTTGCTTATCCCGCCAAATGTGGACCTGATGTTTGGCTATCGGAGCCAACCGCATCTTATGCAGCTGTTTAATGAATATATGCATCAGATGGTTCTCCTTCGCGATGCACTTTTGCCATTCAAAAACTATCAGGATGTTCTGATCCCGCTCGATGGCAAGGCTGCGCGAGGCATTCGCCATCTGGAGCAGGCACGGGCCCAATTTCTTGCAGAGCTGATGACGAAGCACACCACACAATCGGCTATTATCAAATATGCAAAGGCTTTGCTGGCGCCCGGTCTGCTTCGCACGTCTACTGTCGGATACGGCTTCCAGTACCCTCAGGGTTCCGTCCTGCCTGCGTTCCTCTCAGGCGGCCCAACCCCACTGCACCTTTTGCAGTACGTTCCGGTCAAGTTTGACGAGACTTCCAGCGAAGTTCTCTTCGATTATCAATTCCAGGATTACTACTCCGCACCTCACCTCGAGATTCCTTCCGGCGTTGCGACTGCCGAGTTAGATCAACAAAATCTCTCAGCGGCGCAGCTCACAGAGATCTCTCGGGTTCACAGCTCCAGTGTCGGCCTTGTTCCGTCTTCACATGCGCAGTCCATTCGCCAGCTCCAACTGCGACTTGGATTTGATGATGGTAAGCGTACCGTTGTGGACCTTGGCCAGATTGCCCGTGGCCATCGCTACTCTTACATGGCATTGGAATCTTCCGCCGCCGACCCAGTCGGTGGCCATGGGAGCTCCGAGAGAGATCTGAATGACACCTCTACGCAGCTCAAATCGACAGTAGTGCATGACGCGGCGGCTGTGCTCGAGAAATCTGAAAAAGGTCTTCTCACAGCCAAGGCTGGCGGCATTCATGTCATTCCTACCGTCGATCCCATTGTCAGTCTGGCCTTATTGGGGAAATTATATCCGGAAAATGTCATCCTTCTACCTCAAGACGAGGGCTTGAATCTTGCTCAACGCGCTGGAAAGGGCTTCGAACCCAAATTCGTAATATGGGGTGGTGTGAAGTGGGGCGGGTTGAAAGGGGTGTTTTGATCGGATAGAGTATCCATATTTCTCATAGCTTGTAATAAACAAGTTCTTCCGCTCTCTTTTCTCCCCCTCGACGGTCTTTTTCGCACGGTATCTAGGGATGAACAAATGGTAGATTCAAACACATATACATATTGAATCGGATTTGCTATCCTTGGTAAGAAGCCACTCTCCGCACACGCCCAGCGAGCAATGCGGGTAATGACGATATAGCGCTTAATAGAGTTATTTTAGTGTGTCTTTTGGTTTTTGGTAAACTAAATTCGCTGCCGTCTATAACTACGTTGACTAACTAACTTAAGGCAGAGGATCGCCAACCGACTACCATAGCAATAACCAACCCTTCACAAATTAATCAAGTTTCGAAGGAGAGAAACTACCATCAGCCACGACTAGGATCGCTTCCACTCTGGGTGACTGTCAAGGCAATTGCTCCGCACACTGTCCAAAAATGGGGTGAATCCAATCTGGCCATACCGCTTGAGTATCTCTTCGGACCTGCGCGTATCGATTATGCTGCAGTCGTGCTGTTGATTAGGGTCATCCGCCGGCCAGGCCTTACTTGGGTCGATTTGGCGGAATGCGCTTAGCCAGCTATTGAAGTTGAACGGCCCGGCATGAGCCAACAGCCGCTCATTCTTTACATCCTCTTCAGTGAGGGCAGCCATGTGCAACAACGCAACATCTTTGACATCGACATATTGACGAGGGATAAACGTCCGCAATGGCTCGGAGACATTGGGATCGTCGAAAAATTCTTTGACCAAGCGGTTGCTGCTGCCGGTCTGCTTGGCATAAAGAAGAGGACCGATAATGAAATCCGGCAGCACCGAATTGCGGACAAAACTGACTCCCTGCTCTTGTCCGAAGCGCCAGAATTCGCGTTCGCAAGTCATCTTGAGCGCGGCGTACACATCCCACGCCCTCTCCGGCTCGTAAGGTGGAGGAGCCCAGGCGGGTTCCAGACTGGCGTCGTTCCAGGTATTACTGTCGACAAAGATTTTCTTGCCTGGCTGCGGCGAGATGGCCGACATGGCGCTGCTGGTCAACACAAAACGCTGTATGCTTTGGGCCTTGCTAGCACTGGTCAATATGTTGCGCATTGCCTCGACTAGGGGCGTGATGATCTTATTCGGGTCGCAACCAAATGTCGTATCGGCAGCTACGTGGGCGATGCCGTCAACGTCCTGAACCAAATCATCTAGTGCACCTGCAACGCTGAGATCAGGCACAACCTCCACCTCGAACCGGTCACCAAGCTCCCGCTGGGATATGGCGGCCTTGATCCAGTCGGCCTTGTCGGCGGAACGGACGGTGCCTCGAACACCATAGCCCCGCTTTAAAAGGACGAGGGCTAGATGAGAGGCAAGGAAGCCATTGACGCCAGTGATTAGGATGCGCCCGCCTGGGGGAACAATGCTAGAAGAACCTGCGACCATCTTGGTTTGAGATGGATAATGTGGTGGGATCGTTTGATATCCTTTCGACTCGGGAGTAATGCACAAGAGTTAGGAGCCGTGGGATGTTTTCTTATAATTATGAGCTGTAGACCAGCTGTATTATCCTACCTACCATCAGATATCATCAACTGGCGTTTCCAACCCTTGGACTTTTCTCCCCAGATGCCCGTCGTCCCTTGCATGGAGAGCTGGGAGCATAGCCCTTACAGTTACATGAGGCTCAAAATTCATCTACTGATTGGCTCAGTCAACAGCTGGTTAAGGATAAATGGCAGTTTGGTAATTCCATGTGATATGGTCAGTCATGCTGTACAAATTGTGTTTGGTGCGACATGATATTATCTGTGCATAAATCTAGTATAATTTTGCATGATTTCCTACAACCACCCAAGGTACTCACCCACTCGCGATTGTTTGTGACCTTCTCAAAAGGGTAATGATGAAACGTAGAAACGCGTCCAAAAGTTCAACCCGGAACCAACTGGTCCGATATATTGAAGATATAACGCTTGACCTGGCACGGGAACTCAGAGGCACCAATGCATGGAAATCGCATTTGCTAGGGCCGCAGTGTGCCTCAGGTTTGCTTGTTCGCCCTGTTTAGACCACTGCGAGCCCCTGAACAGCTTTCTTCCAACTTCGGTCATCACTCCCACATACCACCGTTCAATGGGCACTGTTACACATTTTACTTTTATAACAGCACGTCATTCTCCAATGAACTTTTCGCAGAATCCTGCCAATCAATTGATTGGTGTGGCCTGCTGAGACCTAGCTGCCTATTCTTTTGAGCGCTCATGGATCCATCTGCAAGATTCTCTGACCTTGATGAGGACGCAGCAACAACTTTCACAGCTATTCTAAAAGCACACAAGGCCGTTTATAGGCCGGTTATAGGCCGGTAAATGGTGTCGGAGGTTGAGAAAGTCGACTTCTTGATAGCGACAGTTCAGCTTCATCGACCGACAAGCCTGGACCCAGCCCAGCGAGCAGAGCTAGCAAGCCACGGTGCAGTCGTATAGAAATCCCAAGCTAGGTGCGCCGCTTTTGAGCAATTCTCCTCCCAATCGTTTACGTGGGAGATCAGAGTAGCTTCAACAAGCAAGATCTCAGCTTTTGCTTTTCAGCGCACTTGGAGCTGCTGTTGAACCAACCAATCAAAACGACGGCTGCCAGCCTTGGGCTACGTTCTGACCCCGCCAAAACCCCCTTGTCGTTGCTTCACCATCCTGCAAACACCTGTCTAAGCTTAAAGGACAACTACTTCATCAGCCACTTTTTGTGATGCCCCCCCTCTTTGTCACAGCCGCTATTCTCAGATCCAATGTCATCAGTTCTAAGATGAACTATTTTGTCACTTGGAAGCGTCAAGCCTCGACCAGCCACTTTTCCTCTTCCTGCTGTCGCTCGAGACCTAGCCGCCCCTCAGCTTTACATTTCGCCTCACGTGTTTAGAAAATTGCATATTATTCACCGGCATGACTGTCCTCCATGGGGCTGTTTTGGCTTTGTCGCCGCTCACTAAAGTCGGGGATACTCATCGATATTTCCTCTGCAAGCTCTACCAGTGTTAATGATCAAAGATTGATAACTTCGTGCGACTTTCCTGCTGCATTCTGCTGCTAATTTCTGTGGCTGTCCTTCTTCCAATGACAATCGTTGCAAACTTCCATGTGATCAAGCATTGAAGCCTCTTTTACCTTACACTTGCCTTTACGTTTTTCTCCTCTTCAGCATTCGCTTATTGTATTCGAATATTGGTATAGTTAGGCAGAGAACGCAATGTCCCTTTTCCAGGACCATGCATTAGTGACGATGCGCCCCAGCCGCCCTTTTGTCTTACCTGTTGACCATCTACACATTTCCTCCACCCGCGAGTGAAAACGTTTTAGCTTCATCCTTTTTCATTCTAGCAGAGACTCCTTTTACCTCTACGCGCCTTTTGACTGTTGCACAGCTGAATAGGGGCTGTCTTTCAATAGTCGTCAACACATCAACTGACACCTTTCGCACCAGCTAGTAAAGTACACTATGAGCCGTAAAGAGCTCAAGAGGCAAGCCATTTCCTGGAGAAGTCAAAGGAAAGGAGAAGGGCTAGACTTCTTGAGAGCTTTCTTCAGCCAGCCACGGCGGTTCATGATCAAAAGCTGATAGACAAAGATGCCCGAGTTGCTCAATCGCAACAGATGAAGCACTTGCTGCTAGTTTCTATTTCGCTAGAGACTCGAGAGATTGAGGAATTCACCCAATGCAGCTGAAGGCTGAAACGCATTGTGCAAAAATCTTTGTCTCTATTTTGCTGACAGAGATCTGTTTGCCAGTGATTTATTTCATGTGGCTGGCTGAGCAGATGGTCAGTCGTAGAGGCTGTCTCCCTGGGGCTCTGCTTCACCTTGACACTTCATATGCTCGAATTTCTCAGGGGTTGATTCTGACAAGTATAAAGGCACGTCATTGACTCCATTTAGTTTTCACGGAATCAACAAGCATCTCGTCTGAGTATTCGACTAAGAAATCATCCGCCATCAAAACCTATATCATTGCACATCTCTCAACTGTCAATATCTCGAGCTGTTCTTTACGCTTTCTGTAAAAAGAATTCAAAATGACCACCTTCTCGGCTTCCCCCAACCGCACCATTACCTGTATTGAACCAGAGACGGAAGCTGCAAAGATTCTAGCAAACAAATGGTACTGGACGGTTGCCAAAACGGTTGCAACTGAAGGCAGCCCCGATGGAGAATCAAACATTATTTGGCGAGCGCAGGGTTTTGCGCCGGAAATGGATGTTACCTGGAAAACACAGTACGCGTTGAACTGGACTACGAACCTCCAAACCGGCGCGGAGGTCAAGCTTGGCGGCTTGTGGGTTGCTGCGAACAAGGGCGAAGTCTGGAACGTGAATAATCTTGGCTACCTGGAGAAGGAGAGTGATGCGGGTCTTCCGGGGTGGTTGAATATTGGAAATGTCGATTACGACTACGGAGGCGTGGGAATCCACATCGTGGTTGGCCTCGTGTCCGACGACAAAAACTTTGAAAAAGTATTTGTCGACCCGGTCAGCCTGTTCAAAAACAGCAATGCCAGATATCAGCCCCTGGAGAAAGCGCAATGGTGGTTTGAGGGCGAGGACAAAACCGGACAGGTTTACTCCAGCACGATGACCAGCATTGGAGAAGTTGATCTGACCAATCCGGCCCCAGCAACGGGAAATTACGCCTGGTGGACTACCTATCTCACTGGCGATGGAACATGGTACAATTATCAGCAACCACCAATGACCCTTAAGCATACATCAGCCACCAAGGAGCTTGTCGGGTTCAATCCGGTTTTTGTATCTCTTTCCAAGACTGTAGGCAAAGAATTTCGCCAAGCCGCAACAAAGTGGGTGAAAACCCGCCTTGGGAAGATCTACAACAACGTGTCAGTTGAATTCACACTGGTCTACACCAAGCAAAATGGAAAAGAGCTCAAGGTCACGTATGGCAGCAAGAAATCGGCCGTTCCCGGCACCAGACAGTACATTGGTTTCACGCTGGACGAAAAGGATGAGTTCGACCAGGACCTCTTGAATGCTATTTCAGACGGCGCAGATGATGAGCATTTTCCCAGAGGCGAAACCGGTACCATTATTCTCTTGAACAAGGTCAATGGCTTTCATTGATGGAAATCTCCCACTTTGAGTCCAACGACGTGTTAGAATGTGGTTTCCTTGATAAGTACTTTGATTGATTCGCAGCCATCACCGGCCCATTTTCTCGTGATAAATTGAATAATCGTTCTGGCTTCAGTATCAAACAGAAAAGAAGAAAAAATTTCGCCTTCATACTATTCGCATTTAATCTGTTACTTCCCCATGTTTGAAATTAGATGATATCGTTTGCAACATACACTCTGAGTTTTGTATCAGTGTTTAGACTTTTAGTATTAGCAATATATTTGTTTATCGAAGATCTGTTATCAATATGGAAAAACTCGAAGGTGCTCACTTACAATCTTTTACGGCTTTTCGACAGGAGAATTTTACAGGGACTGCTTCTACACTCTCCCACTGTCATACTCCAACACGGACAGCAGAATATCTCTGTATCTGGTTACTTTGTCGCTTCGACTTGACTTGATTCAACTTTCTCCTGCGTCCATTCGACTGGCCATGGCCCACTAGTTCGTTATTCTGATATTCAGAAGTTCAGAACAGCAAAAACGCTTGAAAAGCTGTGGCAACAAGTCTTCTTGCAAGCACAGCGATATTGGTTTGCTGCATACAAGCAGCAAGCATTACTTGTAAGTTATAGCTTATGCCATTTACTTAGGGGCCGGAGTCCCGAAATGTCTGGACATTCTGGAATCTGGAGTCTGGACAGTCTAGACATATATAAGGTATATATATATATATATATATATATCTTTTTCTATCGCCAGCTTCACAGTAGTACAATACTGAGAAGCCAAGTCCCCAAATCACCAAATCATCAGGTGAGACCCACGACCGGAGCAGACTCCGTTGAAACAGACCTTGGTCCAGACCATTGCTCCATTTACGCGCATACACAGTATACCCTGTCTCTTCTGGGTCTGCAACGCAACGCAACGCAACGCCACGACTCGTGAAAATCGCATGACTGTAGAGATCCTAAGGGATCTAGACCCTGGTTTGTCCCTGGTAAGGTGAGACTCGTCCGAGCATGCAAAACCTATAACGCCTTTGGGATTCTAGAAGCCGGATGCCAGGTGAAGTGAATGAGATGAGAGACGAGAGCGATCGCCAAGAAAAGACATGGAACCGGAGTGAAACAGATAATAGGGTACGAAGAAAAATGAACCATTCTCGACGGTTATCGTTTCGAGTTGGAGACAGACACGGATGTCAAAGACAAGGGTACGGTAGACGATAATCAGAAGAGAACGAGGGAGATAGCGATAGAGACATACGTTGAACGTCCAGAGTCCAGACGATCGAGGATTCGAGGATTGGGGCCTCGACTATTCTTTTGCTCGTTCTGGAACGCTAGTCTGAATGTCTAAAACATCTGAGACGCTGAGACGTCGAGTCTTGAAACTGGGTAATCTGAGACAATTGAGTATTGCACAAAAGCTGATCCGTACAATGGCTACAGAGTCTAGAATCCAGAGTCTATAGTCAAGGCCCAATCTTTGTCTTACACACTGCTTGGTTCTCAGGAGATGTCCCCTATTTCTCGGGCTCTCGGACGCCCGATCGAATGCTGGCCTATTAGGCCGGTGCGATGGGTATATATATTCGTCCGATCCACATTCTTTCTGAGACCCTCCTCACGATCGAAGGATAACTAGATCCCATCTGCCAGCAGGCCCATCGATCTGTCGGTCCATCGATCTGTCGGTCCATCGATCTGTCGGTCCATCGATCTATCGATCTATAGGCCGCTTGAGGAGTCCCAATAGTGGAGTTACGAGACGCAAGGCGCAGGAATACGAGGGTCCAGGAACACATGGATAGGTGCACGCTGCACGCTACTACTGGCGTTCTGAGAAGACGAAAGCAGACTGTCCTGTCCGATTATCCGGCTGCTTGATGTGTTTCGTCGTTCGTCTCCACAACGAGATGGGAAGATTGAGAAGAAGGACCAATTGAGCCGGGCTGGGTGCACCGATCGAATATCTAACTACACTGCACTACATATCAAAAATACAGCAACCCGATGCCAAGGCTACACTTTCATGGCTCTATGGATTTGCGCCGGGAGTATGAATCCAATGGACCTACCTCCATCGGTACCAGAGGACGAGAACTACGGATACTGGATCGGGATACCTGACGAGACGCACTCATTCAAACTAGACCATAGGGGAAAGATACTCGAGCAAGAGGTACTGGCCTTGGGACGGGATGTCTTGGTTTGAACAATGCCGGATTCCGTGGCGAGAGACATGACAACACCATCAGTACTGTTTAAATGTGAAGCACGCCTGCACTTCCGGACTGCCACTTAGACGCTTCGAGAGCCTGCGCCACATCCGACGGATTGATGCATCATGCAGGCATCGAGATTATGCATTTACAGGCCATTAGGGAGTGAAAATATGTCTTGATATCCGACACGACGACACGGCATTGAGCGGCGGGGTATGGTGAGCGAAACAGTTTCTGCCGGAGCAGAGTCTGGAGAACGTTTTGAGCGACAGGCACGTGTATTGGTGTACCAACGAGCAGAAGTGGATCAGTGGGGTTGTGGGGAAATGCATCTCTCGATTGATTGCAGGGAAGCGGCAGCTGGGTAATAACAGGAAAGTGAATGGCGGATAGAGAATTGAGCTGTGGCCAAGAAAAATGTGAAAGCATGACCAGTTCCCGTACAGCAATGGAGAAAGATTATCACAAAAGACGCAAAACGGCAGGACCACAGGCAGACGAGCAGAAAAGCAGAAGAGAGCAAAAAGTCACGAGAACAAAGGGATGTACTGAAAAATCACGCAGTTGGAAAATTGACCTCGCATTTTTTTTTTCCTCCCTCTTTTCTGAGCATTCTAACACACAGCTTATGTCATATGCTCATTGCGGGGTAAGTTACTGGAGCTCAGTGCTGATGCAATTCGCGCACACGCCGTGGACAGTTACAAGTGGACATGCTGAATGCGGGGTAAAGTCTGTTGGGATTCGAGGAGAAGAGGGTGGAGCGTAAAAACGGCAATATTACAAGAAAGGGAGTTTGAAGAAGGGGAAGCGAAATAAGAATATCACGATAGCAGAGTAAGGGAAGGTAGGGTAGATAGGATAATGGTCATAACGCGAAGTTCGCCACAATACGTGCAAAGACGCGTCGAATTATTACAAAAGCTAAAGGTAATATTTAACTTAAGTTAAGGTATACCGTAGTTATCTCCTCCTGGTTAAAAAGGACCGGAAATGGTATACCGTACAGCAGAAAAATGTACTTCCCTACCTCCCTACCTCCTCGCATCGACATGGCGAGGCTGGGCTATACGAGTCCCTCGGAGTTGACGATTGACAATCAAGTAACTTTTGTAACTGACTCTACCTAGGTAGGTGTGCAGCTTACCTTGCTGAGCACTGAGCACTGAGCACTCGGCGCTGGATGGACACTGTATCATACTAACCCGGCCTAACGGGCAGAATTGAGTCTAATAGAATGACCGGGCTGAGAATAGTCTGCGTTCTTGATAATTATTCATCGTCCCCGTACTTTTGTATCAGTCTTCCCATATTTCTGCGAGGACTAAGAGCCGGATATGTAGGAACGTGCCTCGGGCTTCACAGTTCAGCTATTGTCTTGAATTTTGACCCGTAGGCGCCAATTTCCATCCCATTTACGTCCCATTTTCCATCTATCTTACATGGTTCACAATCATGTATAATAGTTGAATTAGTTGAACAAAACACGTCAGGGCATAATCGTTGGACAAAACGTCAAATGTGTAATAGACTCATGGGAAAATAGACTATATACAGTAGGCGGCTACAGGCAGGGTCCTCGGGTACGCGCTCTTGGTCTGACCCATGCGACCTCGACCTCGCAACAACTATTTTAACCATCAGGCCCATGGTCCATGGATATGTACACTAACGCTGCCTGTGCGCTGCTCGCTATCGCTCGCTCCGAGCCGCGCGGGTCCTGTCTGATTCAGCCCGCGCAGTTGGCCCTACCGCCCTCGCCCCAGAATCGGGACTCCGTACAGATCGTACAGTAAGCGGATAATTGTTTCGAGTTTCGTTTGCCGCCGTTCTATATTTTGCTGCCGGCGTTGACTCGTTGAGGGAACTGAGAAAAATGACGCAAGATTCTGAGAGTAAGAGATGCAGCGCAGGTAGATATAGAGTGTACCTCCATAGACTGTAGTGAAACGGGGAGTAGTTAGGTTTACAGCGTTGCTGCAGCCTGCGTCACTTGTATGTTGTAACTGGTTATGAGTACACTGTAGTTCAGATATGACGCTTGGTTCCTTGAAGTAATGTAATTTGTAAAGTGGTAAGGTGCATTAAAACTGAAGATGATGATACTAATAATAATGGGAACAGCCGATAAACTGGAAAAGCAACATGGGTTTGATAGAATTAAAGCCATTCCTCTTTTTTTTTTTTTTTTTTTTTTTTTTTTTTTTTCGGGAAATAAATGAATATATGGATGACAAATAAACCGAAATAAAATATTCAGATAATTATCGTCAGCTCTTTTTTTCCCTTCTTTTCCCTCAAAAAGAAAAGAAAAGAAAAATAATGTAAAATAGATATGAATATCCAAGGGACAAGACAATAAAAGGACATGGTTACGCAGCGGGTGCAAATTGGATAGAGTCAACGGCCAAGACACCCTCAGTGCTCGACTGCTCGACTGCTCGACTCCGCGGAGTTCTTCCCGGGCATAATTCCATCGGAGTCACTCTCAGAGACAACAGACATGTATAATTTACATAAGCAGCTCAGTCTCAAGAAAGTTGAGTGTTATGTTTCAGATATGCTGAAAGTGAGGCGCAGCTCTACGGACATACGGTGCTAGGTAATTTCCGGGAGGATATTGTACCCAAGGCATTGCTAGAGGCTTCAAAATTATTGTGAAACTTGCATTCATAATTTTGTGAACGCCACTGGCCGCGAAAGGACCACAGTCTCAGCCATGGCGGGTTTGAAAGCCTGCTTGGTCAGGCTGGCACGAGGCATCAAAACAGGTGTCACATATCCCACAAGCCCCGAGTTGAGAAGAGGCGTGCCGCAGTGGAGAGGAAATTCACAAGGTGTCATGTTGAAGCAGACTACTGGACTTGCCATGTACAGTGTCATGTCGGAAATAAAAGCCACGCATCAAGAGTGTTGCCCTGTTACCAGGCTGATCACTTGCAGAGAGAGCCCGTGGCGTTAGTAGTCCTTAGTAGTCCTCGCCGGATAAGAACAAGTCTTAGCTGCGGTTGAATCTGATCGATGGGACCCGTTAGTGGATCAGCTGTGTGATCAGCAGCGAGTTCCCGGTGACAGTGGATGCCGGACAAGGACAGCCTTGTCGGCACAACGGTGATGTGATTGAGGCAGAGAAGAGAAGATGGATGGGTGGAATGGGGATGAATGGGGATGAAATGGGTGGGCAAAGGCGGGGCAAGGCATGTGAAAGTATAAGAGATTAGAAGGAGAAGAGCGATATTCGAGCATGAGGGATAAAGTGGTCATGTCGAGAGGGTATGAAGCAGATGTGGGGTAAGCGTTGAGACGGCCGAGTGCGGAAGAAAAGGACTCTGAAAGAAAGTAAGGCAGAAGGGAAAGAGACAGTGGGATAAATTGTGGTCGGCAAGGTCTCGGGAGGGTCAGATGGTCAGCGAGGGCCAAAGGGACGAGGGACGAGGGACGAGGGAGCGAGCGGAGAGAATGGACGTGCACGACGACGATAAGCGTCGAGGAAGAGAGATGAGGGCGTGATGAAAGAGGTCACAACGTGATCAAGGACGGGACAGACGGACGGTATAGGAAAAGATAGGTAAAGCTTTGGAGGAGAAAAGAGATGTCTCTTCAACGCGTCTCTTCTACACAAAAATGTGCTCACCTCCTCGCGTTCCATGTGAGGGTTAGGTGTACAAAATTAGCCATGTTGGGATTGACGTCGACACGACAAACAATAAAATTTCTCAAACACTTTGAGTACGAGTAGTCGAGCAGTCGTTAGTATAGTGCCGACAAATCTATTTGCATCTCGGAAGCAAATGGCGAGCGCTGCCTGAAACGTCGCAAGAAGAGGGATGAGGCTGGATGGGCTGGCTGGGCTGAAGCAAAGACATGGATTCATGGTATTTTGGGCGGCCAAGTGGCTGGCCCGCCATAGGACTGCAGTATTCCAAGTGTACCTAGGTAGTACAGCTATGCCAAGTAGGTAATCTTTGATTGTTAGTATTGTCCATGTATCTGTCTAATTCCGTAGCTCATCAGGGTCCAAAGACTACGGTACAAGTTATTCGTGGTAACTAAGGTACCTATTAAATACTTTTGGTCGTGGATTACGTGGATGAATCGTCTCTCTCGTTGCTTTCCATGGTACAAAGTAAATCTTGGTTTGGACGCGATGGCGCCCGGCACAGGGGCGCGACCGAGGCGCCCAGGGATTTGCCTCCCCCCCGCGACCATTTAGTTTGCAGGACCCTTTTTTTGTCGACCCAATCATCACCGGGAACTGGAGTCTATCCGTATGATTGAAGCATACCTATCTACCTTACGGAGTAGGGAATAATGAATATGTGTAAAGTGTTTGAAATAGTATCAAGATTTATGAGTTGTCTGCTTCGAAAGAGTGAATGGACTCTTTGAGACGACCGACGAAACATGTCGGACAGTTAGTGAAGCAGATCAAGTCAGACAATCATCTATAGTTACCAGCATCTCTCATTCTCGATATGCCCATACCAACCTAATCAAAATCATTTCTTCTCCTCACTTGAACACGCGCCCTGTGCCCATCCGCGGGCTGGGTGATCGTCTCTCCCCTCCCTTCTGATGCTTCACGTCTGGGGCCTATTAGCTTCTTTGCGCCCCCCCGTGCAGGGTTTTCTTTCCCTTTCCCTTGGCCCCCCCGTTCCTTCTTGTTCCACCCTTGAGGCGCATGCACCACTCACACCCTCTCTCGCTCTCACACACCCACCCTCCCTAAACTTGGTAGTTACATACAGTAACTCATACATCTTGTACGCTTCTGATCGTGAGGAAAATAAAATAAAATATAAAAAATTGAAAAAAGTCAAATGGATTAAGATCCTCCCAAATTTAAAAGTATCCCCATTCCCCCCCTCCCACCTCGAATTCTTTTTCTTGCTCCATCATCCATTTGTATTCCACTCCACATCTTCTTCTTCTTCTTCTTCTTCGTCTTCTTCTTTGTGTGTTTGTTGGTATTTCTTGTGGGGTATATTGGTTCTGCCGTAGCCTAGAGCTCGCACCAACCTCCTCCGTCGTCTTCCAGCTCTCCTTGTCGCTTCTAGTGGGTGATCAACCTGCCACCGCCTCCTCTTTGGTTGCAAAATCTCCTCCCCCCCAGTTGACGACGACTCTTGGGGACGATCCACCCGCCGCCACTCGCACATCCTGCCACCCCCCTCTCTCTCTCCACCCACTTGGGGCCAAATTTGTCCAGCCTCGACCCTTTTCTCCGACCTCCCCTCTCTCGTTTTGCCAATCTCAAATCCTACTCTCCTTTTCTACTTGGAGTCGGGCACAGCCTGGTGCTTCCCTGATCACCGACTCCACTTTCTGACACGGCCACGCCCATCATTACTCGCTTTTGCTCTCGCCGAGCCTCTTTGGGACGCATCATCATCATCATCATCATCACCACCTGGTGACGATTACTCTAATTCACTACGTTGCTCTAATTACTCTCTCTGCTGGCCAGAGTGTCCAATTTGCACCGCATCCAACTATATTATCAAACTTTGTCCCCCATCTTCTCCACCTTTTTGAGATCTCGTTCTTGATCTCTTCCCTCTCTTTCTGTTTTCCCCTTCAATAGCTAGAAGAGAAAAAAAAAACACCGATAACAGACATCATGGCCCACACGCCGGAACAGAACAAGGCCGCTCTGGACCAGTTCCTCTGCATGCCCGTCTCGCGGGACATGATCAGCTACCTCGCTCAGCGAGCATCTACGGTGATTCGATGCGAGCAGCCGCCCCAGCAGGTCGACAAGCGTCTGCCCTTGACCCCGCCGACAACACCTCCATCGCAACAGCAGCAGCAGAATGCCTCTCGCATGATCAATTACGAGGCACCACTGCCGCCGCTCGACGCGTTCATCACCTCCCTGGTGGAGCGGTCTCACGTCCAAGTCCCGACCCTCATGTCGAGCTTGGTCTATCTGGCCCGTCTCCGAAAGCGTCTGCCCACCGTCGCCAAGGGCATGCGCTGTACCGTGCACCGCATCTTCCTCGCCTCGCTCATTCTCGCCGCCAAGAATCTCAATGACTCGTCGCCCAAGAACAAGCATTGGGCGCGCTACAGCTTCGTTCGCGGATACGATGGCTTCGGCTTCTCCGTGACCGAGGTCAACCTGATGGAGAAGCAGCTCCTCTTCTTGCTCGACTGGGACCTTCGCATCACCCAAGACGATCTCTACCAACACTTTGAGCCCTTTCTCGCCCCCGTTCGTGCCCAGCAGCTGCGACAACAGGAAAAGGCCGAGCGCGCACGACTCTTGCGTCTACGTGAACGCGAAATGTTTGAGGAGCGCCAGCGACAACGCGAGCTTGCCGCCGCCGCAACTTCTGCTCAAAAGCAACAACAGCAACAACCACAAGCACAAGTATACGAATACGCCCCCAATAGCCGATCTCGTCTAGATCTCTACGAGACACTGCCCCGGAGTCTAAGCAGCCTCAGCACTAGCATGACATACGAAGACACGGCGCGACTACTCCCGGCTAAGCCACCGCGAGCCCACACCCCGATCCACTCGCGTGGAGCATCGCTGTCACCGCCCTCCTCGACGGATGTGCCACCCCTGTCGCGCAGCAACACCGCCGACACGCTCTCATCCTCTGCTTCATCCTCGTCGTCGTCATCCGCCTCATCAGCAACCTCTTCTCGCGGCAGCACTCCGGCCTCCATCCTCAGCGCCTACGTCGACGCCGAAGAGGACCAGCTGTACGGCAAACGCGCCCCGAGTCCGGCCGTCATGGTGCACCTGCACAGCCAGTCGAGCATGGCCTCGCTCAAGGCACACCAGCTGCACATGGACGCGTACGACGAGAAGCCGGCCAAGAAGATTCGCACCGGCACGAGTAACATCTTTTCGCGCTTCCTCAGCGCCGGCGGCGGCTACGACCGCATGAGCAGCACTCGTCTCCGTCCGCAATACATTTGAACGATTTTCTACGCTTCTTTACACACACACACACACACACACACACACGCACACAAAAACTTAGATTTGGTTTGCATGCTTGTTTGCAATCGCAAGATTGTCCTAAATCTTCCCCCCTCCTATCATAATGAGCATCCGCACGCATCAAGAATTACGCATCTCACGAGCAATTTCCCTTTTTTCTCTCTTTTGCTTCTAACTACCTCTCTATCTTGGTTATATGGTTATACGGTTATATGGTTACAATATCCAGGCATCGCATCATATACCGGTGTTTTTCTTTCTTTTTCTTTTTCCTCTTTTCTTTTTCATCTAATATTCATTTTCGGTGGGAACGGAAGCGGCGTTTGAGCGTTCTCATTTTATTTTACTTTTTTTTTTTTTAATTTTTTTTTTTATTTTTTTTTATATCTGTAGCTTTTTTCCCACTCTTGGATTGTCACCTTTCTCGGCGTTATTAGCACACATTGGATACATTGCGCAATCGGACAAGAACAGGGGCATTCAATGCATTTAATTTCATTTTTTAAATTCATCTCATTTTATATTTAATCTTCATGCCTTGTCTAATCTTCGCCTCATCTGATGATTGACCATGTCTCCCCAGAGAGTCGGGTCGGGCCAATATCGGTTCTCATTCACAATGGCATTGATATTGGAATTATTGGTATTGGGCAGATACAATGCAATACAATTACCTTGTACTTTTCAAATGTCGTGCTTTGTGGATTGATTGCCAATCTCTTCCGCGTGCTTGCCCCGTTTCCGTTCCCGTTCCCGTGTGGCTGTTCCGTGCTGGTTGCCGTGTTTCATGTTTCGTAATCATACTCATCATCATCATCATCCACCATCATCAAAAGAAGCGAAAGTGCGTGCGGGGCTGCTGGAATGCTGCGCCCGTTTTGCTTTTCAAAATTAAAAAAGGATGTACTAACGGTGAAGGGCGCACGGGAAGGAAAGGGAGGGGGCCCATTGACGCGGGTCATGGGAGGAAAGGAATGTTGCCATAATGAAAACCCATTGTTCGCGCACCCCACACTAATATTTAAATCTTCAATTCAATGTGGATTGAATGGAAGTGAAGTGAAGTGAATTGGGAAAAAAAAAAAAATATGAACGCGACGCGTGCTGCCAACGTGTAAGGTATGATTATGCATACTAATTTACTTTTGCAAGGCTCATGAACATGGAGAATGGAGATTACGACGATAGTGGACAATTGGTGCAATCATAAAAGAATTTGTGGATTTGATTACATGTAATATATTGGCTATGATGAATCTAGGCTCTCATATCTACCGCGTCGCGTCTCATCATATGGTAAAGCATGCGGTATAGGTACTGCGGTCATTGATTGAGCGGGATGGGGCTGTGCAATGCCATAACCACACCCGACTCAGCTGAGATTATCTCATGACGGAAATGTCTCGCATTTCAGCGAGCGAGGACAAGGAACCCTGGACTTTACTTTGGGATGAGTCAGCTTGAATCGCTCACCAAGTGTTATACAAAATGACAAATTGAGAAAAGGGAAAGTGTTGTCAGATTCAAGCCCGGTCATGGGCAGTCTCATCAAGGCCATTTTGGCTATGTCGACCGTCGTGAGAAAAATAAAAAAAATCATCATTGTAAGATGGCGCAAGGGAGATTTGATGAAAGAGAAACAGCTTACCATTGCAAAGGACAGGGTATCGTCAAGTGGAAAGGAACTCATGGGTACTAGGACTAATTGCAAAGTCAGCAATGGAGCTTTACATGGACATCAAGTAATACGATGATCAAGCTTGTCAGTAAAGACAATTTTCGTCGTTGCGCTGGTGCGCTTGGACATATGCTTGTCAATTTAAATGGTCGAAATCATCATACAAGATGGGAGTAGATGGTGAAAAGGGAAATGTACCTCATGTCTTAGCTATAATTCCGTGGGTATCTTCGAGGCCCTATCAGGAAACGGTGCACAAGAATCCTCTTTAACAATTGTTAGCCGTGACCTCGACAATGGTCAAAGACATATTCAGAGAAAAGTAATTCAGAAATGCATGAATGGTATTATTGATGGTTGTCTCCATTGGGAAACCCAAATCAGACTCGTCATCTAAAGAACTCATCACAAAAGGAAATGCGTAGCAGCACGTTTGTTCGTACCTTGCCGTGTCTGAGGCGCTAGTAGGTCGGTATAGGTGGAGTTCTGTTGCGTGATATCTTTCAATCACTGATCGATATGTTAGCCAGGTCCAGAAAAGGAAGCTCAGACAACATCGTATTGACGGATTGTAATCAGTGGGCGAGGTTTCTGAGGCCTCGCCGCAACAAAGCATTTCCGTCATGCTGATCGGTGCCCAGTGCTATGGTTCATCATGGAAGGAAAAGGACGGAAAGTAAAGAGACAGAGACGTACCGAACGAAACAAAGCACCATCCATTCGAGTTGCTAGAGAGTATTTTTCAACACTAGAAGCTGTCAGCAAGTGATGCTTACAAGTCCGCATGACAAATCGTTTATGTATAAGGGAGCTCAGTCAAAGCCATTAGTTGTCGCCAGCGACCAGAAGGTCTCAGTCGGTAATTTCCAGCGTATATTATAAGAAAAATTGATCATCTTTGCAAAACCAGACGCAAATGTAAAAGAAAAAAAAAATTGCTTACCTCTGAGCTTCAAGGGTGGGTGCCGTCAAGGTTTTATCCTTGATAGCCGATGCCGCACAATTAAGAGAGGCATCTGCCAGCTGTTTTCCGACCCAGGTTTTACCCGTGGGCGGAGCTTCAGAGTTCTAAATAGCCATAAAGCAACGAATGCAGTTCAGCATCCATGGATTGCATCTGCTATGGTCTTGAATTGCAGTTAGCAATGAGCAATTACAACAGACTCGAAGTAATTCAGCGAATGTCAAGTTGATCAGACTGACGTGTTCAAAGAGTTTCACGCCCCGAAGGGTCAAAGACTCTAGTTTGATTGCGGTTTTGACAATTCATCACAAGAACATAGACAAAAACATCTAGAGGGATGGAAACCTACCATGTTGTCAAAGTTGCTTCCCACGCGCATATAGACGCGCGATCAAGAGAAGATCAGCACATGTTGTGTGTTGACTGAAGATATAAAAGTTGAAGAAGAAACTTTTTGAGCAGCAAAATAGTCGTGTCAAAGCGGGTCTCGTCTGCGCGCATCACGTGAGAGCGCAAGGGCAAGACTCGGATTAACCCTCTCCCGCGGCATTCTCCAGTACAGGAGCCCAATCCTGCCAGCCTCCAACCCTCTCATTTGATGAGTCAGCACTCCAAGTCTCGATTCGTCCCAAAGGGGAAATCATGGGGAGAGAGTCACGATGATGTTGTGGGAGATGGACAAAAGTTTCCATGATGCAAATTGGGGCAGAAAACAAGACATCTGTTGTCTTGCCGATCATTTATGATGTTACCAGTATTCCCATCATTGTGTATGGGAAATAAGGGAACGTCAGTCCTCTTTCGCAGGTTCCGGTTGTGTCGATCGGTCAGAGTCGGAAAGGGAAAGGGATTGACATCCTCGGCTGCTTCGGCCTGTGGATGTGTGGAGAAGCGGTAGAGCGGAAGTATCCACATACCACTGGGTGGGATGGGGGGTACACGTATTGTCGGTGATTTTCATATGTGAGCGCTGGTACCTCGTGTCTAGAATTCATGGTAGATCGTCAGTGTGACGGTGCATTGCGGGGCCCCCCAAAACACTTGCAGGAGTCCCAGTTCCCCCACGGGAGCAAAGCAACCTGGCTTGTCATACGCTCTTCCTCTTTCATCTGCGACGCGCAACGACTTTTTCCGGACTGTCGTCACTCGTTCTGCTATTATTTTCCCATCCGGCACGGCTTGTCTCTGCGTGACCACAATGGACCCGCTTGTTCTGGTCCATCTGCATTATTTATTGCTGCCGGTCTGCTGAACCACATCTTCCATATTGATCAACTTCAATTCAATTTATTACTTACGCTATTCGGGAGCATTTCTCTCTCCAATTTGATACCCCTACAAAACCTTAACATTTAGTTGGTTGCTCGCCGTCCGTTAGGCCGAGGGAAAACATCAGCTGCTTGCCGAGCTTCACGCTACTACTCTACCCATTACGATAATTGATATCTAGACTCGACCCCTCCTCTACACCTACATTTCAACCTCACTTCTCCATTTCCTATTACACTCCATACTATCTCGCGTCACAATGTCGAGCAACGGTGTCAATGGCGGAGCCGGCCCAGCTGGCAGAGAAGAAGTCAACACAAACATTGTCTCCCTCACACGCTTCCTCACTGAGGAGCAGAGCAAAGTAAAGGAAGCTACTGGTGATTTCACGTGCGTCTGCCCATCAGGCCCTTCCCTACCAGCCTCACTTGCCGCTTAGTTAAAGCTAACAGTGCTGAAATTGCAGTCTGTTATGTCACGCTCTTCAATTCGCCTTCAAATCCATTGCATACTACATTCGACGAGCCAGCCTAATCAATTTGAACGGTCTTGCCGGCTCATCAAATACTACTGGCGATGATCAAAAGAAGCTCGACGTCATTGGCAATGACCTCTTCATCGCCGCCATGCGCGGCTCAGGCAAATGCCGAATGCTTGTGTCTGAGGAAGAAGAGAAGCTCATCACCTTTTTTGACTCGTCGCCCAACGCCCGCTATGCCGTAGCCTGCGACCCCATTGACGGCAGCAGCAACATTGACGCCGGAGTCTCAGTTGGTACCATTTTCAGCATCATTAAGCTGGCAGACAACGCCAAGGGTTCTGCTGAAGACCTTCTTATGCCTGGCACGGAGCTCGTCGCTTCGGGATTCACCATGTACGGTGCCAGTGCACAATTGGTTATCACCATGAAAGGCGGCAGCGTCAACGGCTTTACCCTTGACACTTCGCTTGGCGAGTTCATTCTGACCCACCCTGACATGCGCATCCCGCGCACCCGGTCCATCTACTCGGTCAACGAAGGTAACTCAAAGTACTGGGAGGAGCCCGTCAAGGAGTACATTGAAAGCCTCAAGTACCCCAAGGACGGCGGCAAGCCTTACTCTGCCAGATATATTGGTAGCATGGTTGCTGACGCCTACCGAACGTTGCTGTACGGAGGAATCTTCGCTTACCCTGCAGACAAAAAGACTGTCAAGGGTAAATTGCGAATCTTGTACGAATGTGCGCCCATGGCCATGGTTTTTGAAAATGGTAAGTTATTTTTCTCTCTCTCCCCCCGGCCCCTTTCTATTTCATTCGGTCTTTCTCCTTTGGTTCCATAAACAAGATATCTGACGAGATTTCCACAAATAGCCGGTGGCAAAGCGGTCAACTCCAAGATGCAGCGCATGCTCGAGGTTGTTCCTGAGCACATTCACGACCGATCGGGCATTTTCCTCGGCAGCGCCGACGAAGTTCAAAAGGTCATTGACATCCACAAGAAGCACGGTATTGTCGGCGGAAAGGAGTAAAGAGACAATATCTCGTCTCATTGAACTCTTACGCGCCACTTGAATCTTTGGCGAAGATTCTTTCCCGAATCTATCAGTCACAGCTTCTCTCTTATATCCCGCCTTTGCTTAGCGGTGTATAAGCAAACAACAAACAACGGTCTGGAACCGTTACGCTATGATGTCACGATGATAATGATGTGATTACGGTGGACATGTGCACCGGTATACTATTTTATATGACTGCATCATTTCAGACGATTGACAAGGTAGTTTATATTTATCTTGTTCAACCCTTTTTTTTCTTTCGCTGTATTTAGTACCTTTTGGGTTACGGTATTATACTCTTTGGTAAATGGGAAATATATCTTTCAAGATTTATTGTCAAGTTTTGTTCATGCCGTGACATGGTCACACGAGTTTTGATATTGTAGTTGATTATTCAATTGAATACGTCATATTAAATTTGAGAGAGGAAAAGATGATTCGTATAAATAAACGGCAGACAGGCATGAGAAGAAAAGTAATCTTATTATTTTAATTGACGGATATTACTACCTTGAACAGTAAATAAAAGTCCAGCGGTGAAAAAAAGGGGGGGAATAGAATGGTAGAAAATGTGATAGTCAGAAAAGAATAAATGGGTCAAAAGTCAGACCAACTCTCCTCTCATTCTGCTCCTCCGTATCCAACAGGTGAAAGTCAAGCTTGATACTGTTTCAATCTGCGATGCAACTCCATTCTCTCAATATAAGAAACCACTCCGACCAGAAACCGAACCCCCTTTATCCTGCGCGGGGTCCCCCTAGACCCGAATAAACTTCCAGGCCTGTTGTACACTGCACCCCAAAAAAGCATCTTTCTTGCAATGTATCCCTTAAAAAAAAAAAAAAAAAAAAAAAAAAAATTTAATGCATGTGAAAAAAGGATGCTAATATTGCACGGGGCATGCTTCGTCTAGTCGTCCGCATCTTCCCAGCCTCCGACTTCGACTAGCCACTCCTTGACCCTTTCACGAAGCGCAGAGAGTTCTTTTCCTAGGCCTTCATCCCAGAGTGCTTCAACGACACGAACCTTTTCCTTCAAGTCATCCGTGATACGGGCTTCTTCTCTGTCGCGGTCGCGCGTTGCTTCTGCCGCTGCGAGCATGGGGTCGTCGCCTTCCCTGACGCGACAGGTCTCGGTAAGGCGGGCCTGGGAGACCATGACAGCCGTCTTGACCTCATGGAGGAGACAGAGCAAGTTGGTTTGGGATTCGATGAATTGGTATGTAGAGCGATGCGCATGATCGAGGAGCGAATGAAGATACAACAGTGGGAATGTGCGGTAGGAAGGATTCTCATCAAGTTCGGCTGGCGGGATGAGGATATCGAGAGTGTGCAGACGATTGTTGTCCTCGGGAATCTGTTCAATAACGGCGCTTAACGAGGGCGCAATGTCCCAAAAGGCAGATAGCTGTTGTTCTACGCCGCGCACGACGTTTGATTCGACAATGTGGAGAAAGTCTTCAAATCGGGCGAGGGAGCCCTGGTCAAATGCATATTTGCGGTCGATGGCGTCGCGTGTAAAAAAAGCCTCTGCTTCGCGGAGCTTCGCTGTGTTTTTTTGAAGGATATAGGGTGTTGTCACAATGAGTTTGTACTTCTCTGTGCGTTCCCGGGAGAGCTCCTGCTGCTCCCGGTGGAGTTGTTCGCGAGCTTCAAAAAGCCATTTGAGTTGAGTGAGTTTCTCGAGAAGCTCAGGCTGTTCGTCGCCTTCTTCTTGAGTCATGTTAGGACTTAATTCTTGCGCGTCAATGAATAGGATGCCTTGAAGCTCGGAGATGCTCGCTGTAGCGCGATCGATGCGTTCAGAAAAAAATGATTCAAGAGGATGGACCACTTCAGATTGGAAAGTGTCGAATTCAAGCTGCGCTCTGTCCTTTTTGCGTGCGGATTCAATTGCTTCGAGTTCTGCTTCATGGCGCGCTGCCTCAGCATAGGTCATTGAGCCGGCTTGGATTTGGCGCTGAATGTCTGCGACGAGCTGACTGCGCCGATTCCCGGCTTCCTGTCGAGCTTGTTCGCGGATGCCGTCGATGCGGAGAGCGTAGCGCTCTTTCGTGGCCTTGACATCTTCGAGGTCGCTCAAAGAGCGGATTACGCTTCGGATTGCAGCCAGGTCGGGATGATTATTGTTGACAGCCGGATGATGTCGAGGATACGGCGGAGGCAGAGTCACCAGCCGCGAGACATCGACTTTCTTGGAGTCTGGGCGGCTAACAGTAGAAGCGGAAAACGGGGAGCTGGATTGAGGTAGAAGAGGCGGTGGTGGCGGATAACCATCATCAAGGGTCGGTTCATGCCATCCAGACTTTTCCGGAGGGTATTCATCCTGACTATAGGAAAATCGACCATTTGGGCCGGTACTTGCAGAACTGCCCAAGGCGCCGGAAGGAGACGGTTCAACGTCCCATTGCAGTGATTCTCTAACTTCCCGAGGAAGACCCATGTATTTGGACTCGCGTTTCGAGCGCTGACAACGCCTCGTACCGTCCCCATTGGCAGAACCTTCCTGACTTGCTTCCCACCAACGGCTGGCTGGTCGACCTCTAGAGCTCATCTCATCTGGGGTTCCGCTCGTGCCTCCCATGCTGGCGATAGGAGATAACGAGGGCATATACCCATTCCACCACGTCGAGTCCGGGCGATCCTGGGTATTTAACTTCAGATTGGCACGCACAGGAGGTTGGTAGTCTTCGGGTGAAGCATCAGCGGAGGAGAAACCTTTGACAGCGGCAGTGAGAGAACCATTGTGCCCATTGGCTCGAAGATCGGCAACCGACAATTGCTTCTCTTCTTTAGGGCCGAACGACGTGTATGCAACGCTACTCTGTGGCGAAGATTTGAATAAATCCCTCGTCATTTCCTGAATTTTCGTGCCCATACTCTGAATTGCCTCTGCATATTTATTCTTCCGCAAAGATGACTCGGCTATTATGAATTCCGCAAAAAGTTCGATACGTTCCCGATCAGAATTGGCCGAAGCTTCCTTTTCAGCAAATAATCGATGACGCTCCATAGCTGCTTTCTTGAAGGACTCTGGAGTTTCTGACCGTGCACCTTGTAAAGCTGACGACACTGTAGTAGTGAGCTGTGGCATTAAGGGCGAGGGCATCGCCGGGTCGGTAAGTGGAGAATGAAGAATATGAGACACGGGCCGATGACCGTCAGATTTAAATGACGGTGACATGAGCCCACTAACCGCCGCCGGGTGCTGAGGAGGCGGCGTAGGGAGTGATTTTGGCGGCAAGGGCGGAGAAGGGCGCATGGATTTCACTGGGTCAGTAAAACGATCGTGACCAGGCGAGAATGGCGGAGTTGGAGCAAATGTTTCGCGGACGATAGGCGGATGAGAGGAGCCGGGTCGAGGTGTCGAATGGGCTGACTCCATTGACTCAAAGGGCTCAGACTCAGCTCGCGATCTGGCACTATCTAGCCCGTCATATGGAGAAGACAGAGCTTTGGGAGTGCGAGGCGTTGATCTAGCTATCGTTCTGCGCCGCACGAGCGTACTGCTATTTGTCGTTGGTAGAACCAAGTCTGCTGGCTTCACAGGTTCGATATCATCCACGCCATTAGAAATATCAGTATCCCCAGCAATGTAGCTTCGTCTTCTTTGGTCTGCCCTACTTTCGCTTCTCCGTTCTCGGATTCCTTTGGCACTTGGGTCTCTTCTGGCAGGCATTCGCACCAGGCTATTACGAGACGGGTTGTGAGGAGATTCAAATTCGTGCGAATCACTCAAATCTCCTTGTCTCGAATTAGCGCCCGGGCTTGTAGTCACTAGATCACCGGAGCGTGACGGCTGTCCTGGCGGTTCCGGAAAGCCACTTTCCTCAACCCAGTCTGCTGGTGTTGGCGGAACAGGGCCTAACGCAGTGCCTTGCCCCGGAGGTCGCCGTGTTGGGGGGGCTCTTATCGAATTCGGCAGAGAGGGGGTCGTATCCAGCTGAGGACGAGTCATGCTATGAGATCTTGCATTTGGGGGAGGCCCAGGGGGTGGTGGCGGAAGAGGCATTCCTGGTTGCCACGCCCCTGGAGATGTAGAGAGGTTCTCAGTGTTAGCCCTAGACGGCCCCGCGTGCACGCCAATAGCTCCAGTTGAAGCCGCTCTTCGAGATGCTGGCGGCCGAGGAGGCTCTTCTACCCATTGATTGGGTGCATGGGAATTGTTTGAGTTCATTATACCACTGAATAGGAGGTTTAGCATGATCTGGATCGTTGTGCTCTAGCATACTACGCACCTAATGCCTATTATTGAGTTTCTCGAACTATGATGTGGCCTAGCCAGAACATCTGCAGTCTGATGCTGAAGAGTCTCAATTGCATTTTGCTGCTGGGGCCTCGATCGCGACGTCAAAGCCGAGAGACTAAACAAATGCTGGGACCGGTCAGATCGACTGCGCGAGGAAGATCGAGCACCAGGCGGAGATTGGGATGGCGGAGGAGGGAATGCCAGTGCGGGTCCTTGGTTAGGTGAGTTGCCAGGCTGAAACATTGACACTGGCCGTGAAGCCCTACTGTAGCCCGAAGGCGGCGTGCTGGTGTTGCTAGCAGCAGGAGCCACAGAATTGCGATAATGGGCCACGTTTCCAGGAATCTGTGATGTCGTACGAGAACCCGTTGTTGGAATTGAAGCCTCGCCATGTTGAGGACGCTGGGGAGAGTATGGAGGCGGTGGAGACGCAGTAATTTCTAAGAAGTTCAGTAGAGTGTTTTTGTTTTTCTAAAGGATTAAAATGAAGTAAAACAGGTAGATTGCAGCTTTAGAGTCGCGAATCCATGCAGGATTTCCAATAGTATTAAAACACGGCAGGAATTGGGTTGATGGATAGACGTTGGTGAAACGATGGGTGGGCTTACCTTCCATGCCAGAGGCTTCCCTCGTGCTGATGACCGTTGCTCGTATGTGTCCACCTTGCCTCACTTGCGCATTGGGTCCAGATCCCGCCATGGACGACGACCTGGCGGAGGCCGCGTTCCATTCTTGGGGATTATACTGCCCTGCGAATGTAGTGGAATGTCGTGAAGGCATTGGCGACGTGCCTCTCAGCGCACTGCTGGGCGAGTCTGAATACGTTGAAGGGTCATAGGCGGAGAAGGGGCTAACGAGCGAAGTCGTTGACGCAGGAGTTTGGGCACTTGATGGCCCATGGAGATGCTGCGTTCGAGACAAATTCGTTGTCAGGGTGGGAGGCTGTAAATGCTCGCGCCGCCGCGGGCTTGGACCACCAGCGGCGATATGGGCAAAAGCTAGATCCGAAGCCATATCGTGTAGCCTTTCCTACTACTGCCAGTTTGATCCCGTTACAGAATTGACGGCGGCTGTTGGAAGGCGCCTCGAGGCTCGTCAATCAAAAGATATGATAATACTGTGCCTCTTGCCTGCTCCAACCATCATGCGACATGTCGCTTCAGAGGTTGTCATGCTCATAAAACAAAGCAGAGCCCCAGAACGCTCGACAACACCAACTCGACGCCTCGTTGTGACGGACCTGAAACGAATAGCTAGCGCAGAGTGCAACCTGCAGCGGGGTTAGGTCCATGGCCCTATCAACAATAGAATAATGTGGCCCAAAGTGACAGGCCGTTGCCGAACAAGGCAACACTATTCGCTGTAAGGGAGACTAGAACGGCAGTCACCAAAAGAATCGCGTTCGAAATGCATGGGCCGGAATACGCGTGTTGGTGAAAGGATATGCATCCGCGGACCTCGAGTGTTGCTATTCTTCGCAACCCCGGGGGTTCATCTTTGCGGGTCCATGGTACAGTAGTGGACAATCAGGTCACTAAGAGGTCACTAAACTCAAAGGCGAGTCTCGTCCCGCTGCGGGTGAGCCAATGAAGCGAGACAGTGGAGCAGCCCTCCTCGCTCCAACATCGATCCAACATTGCGGGCGCTTAGAGAGGGACCGGGCGAGTGATGGAGGTGCATTTCCGACCTTTTGCATCACCTTCTTGACCGGTCACGTCCCCAATAAAACGTGTTATTCTCGCCATTATGAGCAATCCGATCGCTCCGTGGCTGACAAAGGGTGACACATGAGATGTTTGTGTGTATACCCTAGGCGCTCTGTTGATTACTTGCAGAATAATCAAGCACTATAGGCGAAAGAGATTAATGAGCAGATATTGAACCTTCTTGAAAAGCATAGCATAATTACCACGGTATCAAATCTTATTTCAAGCGTTTTCTAGTCTCTTTCTAGGTACATCAAAAGTTGAAATGAGCAGGAGCCTCTTCGTACTGCGTGTGGAACCTGGGATGTCTCATCACGTGATTGAATGCTGGCTCTTCCAACCTCCCAACAATTGAACTCGACATAAATCTAATGCCAATTGTGACGTTGGAAAGAAGAAGATTTCTTGAACAGACGCAACTGAAAGACCATGTATGACTTAATGAAGTCTATGCTAACATCAAGGCAGTCTGCGCAACATCAGAGAGTATCCTACCCAGCTCGTGGCATGTGACGAGCAACCCTCTTTGCCCTGTGATCGGCTTCTCCACGATCGATCCGAGTTGCTTATCGTTGCTCACTACTTCAACTAACGTAGGTGAGAGATAACTTAGACCACGGATATTTTTCGGAGAAAACCCTCTCATACGAGAATGCCATGGCTGCTACGAGAGCGAGCCATATCTGCCATTTCGAAATAGTTGCTAGCTATCATACAATAGCTTTCTGGCATGGCTTGGCCATAATAAAGGATACTAATCTACCTGGTATGGATTCGTACGCTACAGCGCAGTTGCAATAGTGTCAGCTTTAATATCCAACCCGAAGAATGTCTGAAGAAAACGATGACTTCGAGACAAGCATATAAAACGAAGACACTGAGACCAAGTGGTCTCCGCCGGGCTTACACATCGGTCAGGCTACGAGGCAGTAAAGATACTGTGCTGTGTACGAATATTACGCAGTAATCATCTCCACATCATATCAGTTCACAACGATCAATGTAATTGGCTAGCCAGCGTTGATTATTCCCTTATCAACGCCAGGGACGAAGTGTGGATGGATCCTCCTTTATCATGAAGTGCCCACTATTATTGACTCTCACTTAGCGGAGTATACTCATACCACGAAAACAACATTACAGATGAAGCTGCTCCCCATTCCTTGGACAAGCTTTAACTAGGGAAAACCACGGAAAAGTTACCTCTCGGCTTCGCTTACAGTACTTTTGCGGCAAGCCCGCACGATAACAGGTGGGGGATCCCGCCCCTGGCTTACCAGGAAAGGAAAGTTCATGCACTTATCTTAACAATTGCTGATAACCGTCGCTGATCGACGTCAACAAGGTTACTTGCAAGCTTGCCATTGGAGCTGTATCTACAACGCTTCCCGGCGCAATGGAACCTCATAATCATAATATGAAGAGGTACATAAGCTCAGGTCGGCCCAAGGGCTGTGAGGAAAAGTAGGTACAGGCCGTGGCTCTGAACATCGTCAATTTACAATCCTTTCTTCCTGAGCACGCTTTGCTAGGGAATTGCCATCATGTCCTCCGTACAAGATGCAATTCCGGGCACAGTTCACCTCGTTGATGTCGAGGGGACTATGCATGCCAAACACTCGTCGGGACGACGAGATGTTGTGCTTGTTCCTGCGCCCTCGGCCGATCCTGATGACCCTCTGAACTGGTCTCCACGACGTAAATTGCTCTCTACGAGCTGCATGTGCATGTATACGCTCATGGTTGGTATCGCTTCGGCAGCGATTTACTCTGTCTTGGAGCCCATTTCAGCAGACACCGGCCTGAGTTTGGGTGATCTGAATGCAGGAACGGGATACATGTTCCTCTTCTTTGGCTGGGGTTGCTTAGTCTGGCAGCCATTGGCGCTGCAATATGGAAAGAGACCCGTCTATCTCTTCTCTATCCTTGCGACCATGGCCATTATGCTTTGGGCACCATATACCAAAAGTAACGGCCAATGGATTGCCAACAAGATCCTTCAAGGCTTCTTTGGCGCACCCATTGAATCACTTTGCGAAATTTCTGTGACAGACATTTACTTTACGCATGAACGAGGCGCATACATTGCACTCTACGGATTATTCTTGGCGGGAAGTAATTTCCTTGCGCCCGTTCTCTCCGGCTTCATCAACGAAGGTCAAGGATGGAAGTGGGTTCTGGTACGTTTTGCCGTGTCCTCTTTTCGTTCTCTCTACATTTGCATTTTCTTATGGGAACTAACTCCACGTAAAACAGTACTGGTGCGCCATCTTCAATGCCATCGGCTTCGTCTATCTCTTCTTTTTCATGGAGGAAACCAACTTTGTCCGCACGACACTCACAACTACGGAGCCCCCATCTGACTGCCGCTTGAACACGCCGCCATCAGAGGAAGTGCCCGCTCCGGAAACCGAAAAGGAAAAGGCAGTTGAACCCAGAAATCACACAGTCGAACCAGCCGTAGAAGAGGGAATCTCCTACAGCTTCAAAAAGAAAACATATCTGAACAAACTCGCTCTTTTCCAACAAAGCGATTTGCGCAAAGAGAACAGCCTGCTCTCCATGATGACCCGTCCCTTAATCTTCATGACCTTTCCCGTCATTTTCTACGCCGGCTTCTCCTACGGTTCGAATCTCATCTGGTTCAACGTGCTCAACGGCACCGCATCCCTCATTTTGGGATCCAAACCGTACAGTTTCCCTTCCTCTATGGTTGGCCTATCGTATGTCTCGCCGTTGATTGGTGTCGGTATTGCTGCCTTTTACACTGGACCTATTGGCGATCGAATCGTACTTAAAATGGCCCGCCGCAACCACGGAGTCATGGAGCCCGAGCACCGTCTTTGGCTGTTCACCCCGTCCTTGTTGCTTATTCCCGCATTTCTGATCCTCTGGGGCGTAGGCGCCGCCCATGCGGTGCACTGGTTCGGTCTCGTATTTGCCATGTGCATGATTGCCTTGACAAACACGATTGGTCTGCAGCTCAGTGTCAGCTACGCTATTGATTCGTATCGCGATTTGAGTGGTGAAGCCATGATTACTGTGATTATTATTCGGAATACCATGAGTTTTGCCATTGGATATGGGTGAGTTACTGTCTTCTCTCCCCCCTATCTTTCTATTCTTTCTATCTCTTTTTCTTTTTCTCTTCTCTTCTCTTGTTTTCTTTCTGTCTTTTTTTCTTTCTTTCAGAATTTGGTCTTATCTTTTACGTTTGCTGTTAAAAGTAGCAAAAATAAACGCTAACGTCATCTAGTATCACCCCCTGGGTCACCAACATGGGTCTTCAAAATGCATTCATTGTTGCCGCATTTGCCGGACTGGCTCAATGTTTCACCTTTTTCATCTTTGTCAAATACGGCCGCCGACTGCGCGAGCTCAGCAGAGCTCGATATTGGCGTTACGTGCAGCAGTCTTCGCGAATGGGACTGGCTCATTAAGTCTTCTCTTTTCTTACCTTTCTCCCCTTTGACTTTTGTTTTCTTTCTTTCTCTTCTCCACCTCTTCGCCTTTTATTGTCACGACTTGTAATTTTGTTGTAATGCATAAAGCATACCGACATAATCAATAGACCGAAAATAAATTAATAAATACAGAGACGAGTAATGTTGGGATATGAGAACCAATATGAGAACCAATATAACAATAACTAGCCACGACGATTATGATAACGCCACATTGCCTCACCCAATGTCCATGCAACATGAATCTCGTAAATGATACCAATACTAACACCCAATACCAACTCTAGATACTCCTGATTCCTGCACGTGCGTCGTCGTATCAATGGTGGATTCGCTGTTCCTCGCAACTCCGTCTTTGTGTTCTTTCCCATTTAACCCCTTCACATCCTGACGAAATGAACCGAAATGAAACCGAAATGAGATCAAATAGATAGATAAAACCTCTGAGAAATCGAAAAAAATAGGTGGTTAGATATGTAGACCGAAATCAAGGGGGGGAAAGACAGAATGAAAATGAATTTCTCGTAGAAAAAAGACAAAGCGATACCAATCATAGAAAATAGGGTAACAATAAGAGCTAATGAAACTTGAATCAAAAGAAGAAACAGAAAAAAGAAACTGAATAAAAAGAGAAATAGAAAATGAGATAACGATAAAAAAATATGCAGAGCAAAACAACTAAGATATCCACCCCAGTCCAAGGAGCACATGCGGCGGCGAGACTGGCGGGGAGACATGACTCAATCGGGCGCCCTGCTTGCGACGAGCGTCGACCACGCGCGCGATATCCTCGTCGACAACGCCCTCAAGAGTGACTTTGGTCTGGCGCGGCAGCCACCGCAGGATGTGAAACGCATTGGTGTACACGGTACGACCGGTCAGCGGAATACGAGGCTCGTTGAGCTCGTCCATGGTCGGAGGAGAAATGACGGGTGGAGGCGAAGGGTGAACTGGATCAGTGAGAGTGTTGAAATCGTGTGTGGTGCCTGCGGTCAGGTTTACAGGCGTGGATGTCGGGGATGCAGTGGTGGTGGTGGTGGTGGTGTTTGGAGCGCTTGCTGCTGATAATAGCGATGCGGTTAGAGGGGGAGGGCGGGGCGCGGCAGATGCGGGCTGAGGTGGACTAATGGATGTAGGGGTAGCTGATATTTGGTTCGTTGCAGCGGCAGCGGCAGCGGCAGAAAACTCAAGAGACTCAGCGTCCTCTGCATCCTGGTCATTCTCGTTCTCATCGTCATCGCCGAGTTCGTCGTCTTCTTCTTCTTCTTCGTCTTCCTCATCGAGCGGGCCGGTGTTCTCGGGGAACAGCTGTGGCAAGACAATGACAAAAGTGCGCAGACCCCAACAGTAGCGCAAACCCAGACGGACAACATCGGTGAATTGCTCGAGGATATCATGATGTGAAGATATCACGAGCCGCACGTGCCGGATCAACGAGCGGGTGCGCTGATGCAGCCCTACAAGCGTAACAACAGCAGTCTCGATTTCCAACTCGAAAACGTTCTCAGAATATAGAATGGGACGAGCTTCGCGGCAGACGAGCTTGCATGTCATGAGGATAGTTGGGTCAATTGGATCGAAGACTTTACGAGGCGGGGCGCACGGCCTTCTCGTAGAGCTCGAGGGGCTGTTATGGTTCGTTGGTTGCGGTGGACTACCTGGTAATCGGCCGTTTTCACGGACATAAGGAGTCACAATCTGTGGTCGAATGAGTGGAGGAATTGCACTAATGCGAGGCGTATGACCGAGTGGATGCGTATTATTGTTGCGCTGAATGCTCCTACGCCGTACTCTTGCGGAGCGTTCAGATGTGGTACCATTTGCCGCTCGCAATTCAGCAACGCCGGCGTCCAATGCGTGGTTATATGCTACAATAGGCGTTTCGGAAGTGTTCGAATTGCCCGTATTCAAGGCGGCGGATTCGGCGCGCTGGATGGCGCGCTTGCTGCGAAGAAGAACCGGCTTGTCGCGACGCAAGAGAAGGCGGTAGATGTGCAGCCGTATTTCAGTAGGCAATTTGAAGAAGGGAAATGATTCTTGGGAAGTGGCTGTGGCATTTGGTGGAGGTAGTGGAATTGGGGGCGGTGGAGGAGGACGCTCGTCACTCATTGCGAATGTGGTAGCAGTTCTGGAATCCCGCCGGATTAGACGAAGACAGTTGATAAAGCTATGACCACGCAGCGATGGCAGGTATAGCTTCTGAATTTGCGGACAAGAGAATCGAACAATGAAGTGAATTGATCTGTTATAGCGAAAGGACGAGCGAAGGATTATAACCCTCCCGAATCAGGAAGCTCCGAGGGTAGAGTCTCAGTGACGGAGACGCAATATTCCACGGGTAAGGCCGTGGCCTATTTGAATACAACGAGGACGAAAACTGTAATAAAAGAGTAACAGTCCTTACGATATGAAATCCATGGGAACAAGGAAAGATGCAGCAATGGCCGAAAGTGTCAGGATTATCGGAATGAGGGACTGCGGATCGGCCTCAGCTTAGTCTGAGAACTGGGGTCTCAGTGGGGGCTAGCGGCGGGATCACCCGGTAATTGGCGGGGTAAAAGGCAGTCACTCACCAGAATATGTGATATTTAGACTCTAGACCGGCCCATGTCTGCAGATACCCGAATATTATCATTCCACAGTTACACGGATGCCATCATGACTCTAATGAAATGGCGTATAATCCCTTAAACCCGGTCAAAACGAGCTGGTTTCTGAGGCGTAATCTTCTCTTCGTGGAGTCGGAGCGGTGAGACATCAAGCATTGTCGACGCCGCAAAAGTTCGACATAGCCATGTGTGCTGTTTAATACTCTCAAATGAAAATATCATGAAGATTGTGCTTGGGAGATTTCGATACTGCCGACGTGAAAGTCTGGGCATAATGGAGTTTGCTAAAGGGCTTTCATTTGTTATTTCCACTAAAATGAATCTTTATGCAGATCAATGCTCTATGGTTATTACAAAAAGCCCTAATTTAGAACTGAATATTGATGAGTATGCCAGTAACCTTTGCCTAAATCATGCAGATGCTCCCGTAACCATATCCCTGAATTCATGTATGCACACACCCATGCATGAAACAGACTAAACATGTCATAGTGCATTCAGTCAGCAAAGTGTCACCCTCTAATGGTCAGAGGTTGAAGACTCCGAAAGTCCAGGCCAGAGAGGTTTTCGAGTTCGGAGAACAAAGAAACCGGTCTCGTTATACGCGGGTTTCAGAAAATAAACAACAACGTCCAGGAAGGTAATCGGCTAAGATTGGTTTTCTGCGACCATCGGCTTAGCACACCTAGCTCCTATGGATGGCGGACGAAGACACGTCCCCATTGGAGATGAGGCAAGCTTGCTTCGAGCTTTACGTTTCATCAAGCCTTCCCATATCGAAAGCTCTAAGGATACCCCGATAAACTGCCATCGGAAAGAGTGGGGGCCAAAACATTGTCAAACGATTGGCCTACTCAAAGTGATATCACTGTAATATATGAAGTAGGGTAATGCTTTTCGATCCATCCACCAGACCATGTAAACATGGTCACGCCGGTCACGCCGACATCAAATCCTCCTTGGCCATTCTCTTTCCTACCAAGCCCGTGGCAGCCAGAATCGCGTACCGCACCCTATCAATCCCCAACTTGGCATTTACACTGTTCTTCTTTTCCAGTCCCTTCTCAGCACTGCAAGCAATAATTTCTCCTAATGCTGGAGGTCCATCTCGTCTGCGGGGCTGCACTACTTTTCTGAGCTCCTGAAACACCTGCTTCAGCATCTCCATTCTATCACCAGGAACTTTTGTAAACAAATTCCTTCCTCGCGGGCGAACCAGTTTATCCGTTTTCGAGAGCACAATCTGATGAGGAATAGCATGATACCGTAATGCTTTAAGTAATTGTATGTCTCCCGCTTTGGGCCCATGCTCTGGATCCAAGAGTAGAAAAACGCGGCGTAGCTGTTTCCTGCCGATGAGATATTTCATAATCTCTTTGCCCCACTCTTCGTGACTGCCCTTGCCGTAGCCAGGCATGTCGAGAACTGTCAGACGGCCATCGTTGACAGAAATGGCATTCATGGTGCGTGTTCGACCAGGTTTGCTGGATGTATAACATAATTTGCGACCAAGAATGGCATTGAGAAGACTTGATTTGCCTACGTTAGAGCGACCCAAAAAGGCGACTTCAGGCGCGGAACTTTTAGGAGTTTCTCGAAATGTGCCTATTGTCCATAGCATCTCGGGTTTTCGCCGGGTAAAGAAGTCGTCCGCATCAGAGAGCGCCGAGGGCGTGGGCTCGGAGGTTTCCCAGTGGTATGCGAACATGGAAGACTCAACCTTTATGGGCTTGGTCGATACTGACTTTTCTTCGACTTCCTCTGTGGCATTGGGATTTTTCGTAGCCGCAGAGTCAGGAGACCTAGAACTTATTCTACTGCCACTAGATCTGGTACGAGGCTGATTTAGAGCTGAACTCGAGCGGGAGATCGTCGAAAATGATGTCGTAGATGAGGCCCCTCGAGGTATATGTGTAAGAGACCCTCTCGAAGCAGCCGGTGTTGCGTTGCGGCGGGCTTGCAAGTGAATGAAGCTACTTCCGCCTCGTTGGAGGGCTGATTGTTGTTGGCGCAGGCATGATCTGCATACGAATGGAGAAATTGAGTTGAAGAACATCCCCACGATTTGAGCTCCACTGGGACGTAAAAAGAGAAAATATGCCCAGCTGATCAGTTGCGTTGAGGTCTGGGGACTAGCAGGATTAAGCAGTCTGCGGAAAGCTTCGCGGAATAAAATAATGCACGGACCGGTTTGATAGCCGCTCTAATTTGTGGCTGAGGCTCCGAAGTGTGGCTTGACAGCTTTGTGCGGAATCCTCGCCACGGTTCGTTCTCGCCTTAGAATCCGTTTACAGAACAACCATCAGCAACAATAATATCAATTCCTCGCGAAGAACCTCGTTTCCTTTCAATTGAAGCGGCTGCTTTGGACTAAAATCTGTGAAAAGACTCAGCGACTCGGAGTCTCCTCTCAGAACGCCTATTGCGTAAGACGTTTCTGTCTTAAATATCATTAACAATGGCCACTTCCTCCGCTCCCCGCCATCAGCTACGCTCTCTATACCGCTCCCTTCTGCGCGAGTTGCCTGCCCGACCCCTCTCGGCTCCTTCCCCTCTTCAGCAGCGCATCCGGGATCAAATGTCGACGGGCTTTGAGGCCTCTACCAGCCAATCCTCGCACGCTCCCTCCGATGTCGAGCACATGGAACAATTCGTGCAATATGTCCGCGCACAGCGGATGTATGTGACCCTCTTGGAGAGGTACAACCCGGGAATGTTGATGGATGAGGAGGAGAAGTTGCGCTTAACAGCGCGGCGAGTGGGCATGGAAATGCCTGAGTCATTCAACAAGGAATAGAAGAAGGGGGGCGGCTGAAGACGAGGGGCTGGGATAGTTCAAAGATGAGAGGAATTCTATTTTATCGACGCTAGATGTACGTTCGGATACGTTTTTAATGAATATATATGAGATTCGAGCTTATACTGACTTGCAGTGGTTCGACAGATCAAAATCAGGAGTTTTGTGGACGGTATTAGTTTATGGTCAATTTCAGATTCTTTCGAATACACGGGCTACGACCGCTTTTTTCGAAAATTGCATTTTTCGGGTGTATTAATTATATTTGAACATTATCCTCTTCAGCGCCAACATCTCCCGGTATTGGAAATGCTGTTTACAATTTTCGGAAGATCACTCTATATTTCACAACTTGGGTATGAACATGGGAGTGTTCTTCTTCCACTCCTGGTAATCCTTCCGATCTCCATACCGCTTGTCATATTTCTCTTCGCTGAGAGGCACGCCCGAGACCTGGTAACGACGAGTGGTCAATTTTCGAATCAGGCGTCCACAAGTTGCAGAACATACCTTTAGCAGCAGAAAGCTCACAAATGCCGGGCTGGCGCCTGCCATTGCGAGGGCAAGCACCCTACCCCCAAGCGCGCCTGACAGACCCATACCTGCCTGGCCTATGTTGCTCATCAACACACCACCAGCAAGGGTCGCAATACCCGTCCATAGAGTACTCTCTCCAAAGTAATTGGGGTGGCGACTCTTCCCCCAGAGTCCTCGCGTCAGAAATTCTTCTTCGTGTTTCTTCTCTTTCTTCTCTTGCATCCACTTGCTCTTTTGTCTGTCTGCTGTGACCTCGAAGCTCAAACCGCCTACGTAAAGTAGGATGCCGAGAATGTCTGTAAGGCCAATTGCGGGGAGAGCTGCCAATGCAGTTGCAGGCACCGCGTTAACAGAAAGAACCGGAAGTAAGCACAGGGAAACCCAGGTAGCTTGAGCAATAAAAGCTCCGGAAAATTTGGGAGCCGAGTTTCGGATGCTGTCGAATCTAGAATCCTTTCCTTCTGCATTTATCCGCTGGAAAAGGAACGATCCAACTGTAGCTCAGTTCATTAGAGAAAAGACAAAATAAAAGGTTTTAAAGGGTTCTTTCATCTCTGGACTCACGTCTACAGGCCCAGATCGTAACAGCGGCGCTCAGGAAAACCTGCCGCCAGTTGAAAATTGAACTGCTTGCAGCAGCAGTTCCAGTGATGCTAGCCCATAGGCTCGGCCAGGCCGGTTTCACTGCCCCAGTAAGAGAGGCAGCAGCACGGGCACGAAGGGTTGGAAGATACAAGCTCAAGGCGGTACAGGAGAGGTAGGTGATAGACCCGGAGAGATCATAAAAGCGTTCAGAGCCAGCCAGAATAGAGGGAATGGCAACGGCAGCTTGGATCGTATAGGCCAATGCAATGGGTGGAACGAGATTACGCAGAAACGGATTCCGGAAATCCGTCAAACGGAGAATGGAATTTAAGAGGGGAACCATTTTTGCAATCCACAGGCATGCAACATCTGGTGAGCAAAAGCGAAGGGGAAAAGGTTTAAGTAGTACCCATCCTCAATTGCACCTTTGTCTTTTGCATTGACAATGTCATGCGGGGAGAAAGGCGGCATTGTTTTGAGCGCGGGCGTTAACTGAAAACAGACCAGATTTGGGGCTGACAAGAGCTTCTATGACGACACCACTCAGGATAAGCAATAGCGTGTTGGACAACGTCGACTGGACCGTTGGCATGAAGATTTTTTTATTTCTGCAGTGATGCAAAAACAAATACCTGAAATGGAACTAATGGGACATATATGACCCTTAATTGTCCAAGCGATACTTGCTTTGAAGTTCAGCCGCTTGGCGATGAAGTTTACATGAATGGACCCTTAGAAGGTGTCACAGCTGCCGTGGTCTCGCTCTTTGCTCTGAATGCGGTAACTTCCTTAACCGGGCCATCGCCCCAGGGTCGCCGACTGTCAGGTAAATACAGTATTGCATTCGCGTTGCATAAGGTATGACTAGAATTTACTGATCAAAAGGGATCACTTTACGAGGTTTGAAGACAAGAAAATATACTTTTGGTAGATGAGAAGATCCGCTACAATAATACCCTGAACCGTTGGAAAATCAGGTACACCGTAACTTAGGAAGCTACTCCGACGTTCCTTCTTCACCGCACAGAGCGAATTAGGCTGCGGTTGTTGCTGCATGTGGCTTCCGGAGTAATTAGGTACAATGAACGGGTTCCTTGAGCTAATGGATGCCTAAAGTCCCTTCCCCGCCAGCCATCGACGGCGCTACTGTACACCTTCTACACTTTACCCCAATGGATGATCAAGTGAAAGAATTCCATCCCACCAGAATAAAAAAAAAAGCTAAAGGAAAAGATGGCCCTGATTAATGCTTCACATTTATTGCAATATTGCTGAAAAGGAGTTCAATGATCAAGTAGATGCGAAGACAACAGTGTATGGGTAGAATTAGCCGTACAGGGGTCCTCGATTCATGTGATGGTAGAGAGCAAACGACCAATTGGTGGCTGAAACCATACCCTGGGGAAGTCCCCATCACCTCCCGCGTCGCAACCGTAGACGTGCCGTGCAAGCTACATATGAGACCTCATTGCTAAACCCTCCTTCCAACCATACTATTTGGTTTGAAGTACAAGATTCTGCATCTCTGCTGCTTCCTTTCCATGAGTGCACTGAATTCGTGCACCCAGTGTGCACTCCTTCGGCCTTGATCCATGATTGCTGACCCCTCGTTGTCTTCCAAATCAGCCTCTCGTCCTCCACGGCTATCCGCAAGCAAAAGTATTCGAGGATCAAGCGTCTCTCTCTTAGTTCTTGCAAAATATTATACTCACTATAGATAATCGTCTCTACTTCCTCTCAGAAACTCGACTTCTGTTCAATTGCATGCCTGTCCAGCTCCACGCTCTTTACGCCGCTTCCGCATCAACGCTACCCTCGTAATCACAACATCTATTCTTATGCCATATCAAGCTTTCTTGCTTCGTTACGGAAAGTTTCTATGTGATAATGTTTAATCAAATGGTAAATTCCTTGTCTGGGGCTTATCTTACATAATTTACATTTCTCAACAAGCTAATTCTCGGGAATAGTTGCATCCCGCTTCCACGGCCTTGGCTGCGACCTGGGCGCTAGCACTTCTCTTTGCTCCGGTTTCTCAGGCGCAATTTCCGCCTCCAATTACACCAGACTCTAACTTGACAACTATATTATCGCCAGTAAATGGGAACATCTCTATTACCTACAAGTCACCTCCTCCCGGGACCTGCACTACTGTGTTTCCCAACCAGAAGCAATACACGGGGCATGTACAACTTCCGCCATATACGCTCGCTCCCGTCCAGCAGAATTACTCGATCAATACTTTCTTTTGGTTTGTCGAGGCTCGGGAATCTCCAGAAACAGCCCCTCTAACGATCTGGCTTAATGGCGGACCGGGTGGCAGTAGTATGATGGGAATGTTTCAAGAAAACGGACCCTGCGAAGTTGTGGAGCTGGGATTGAATGAATGGGGCACCAAGGCTCGAGATTGGGGCTGGGACAGAAGCTCTAACATGCTCTATGTTGACCAGGTATGCCTCGAAAGCATACTGCCCTTCTAGAACGACCTTTTTGCTCACTCGTGCGCCAGCCCAATCAAGTAGGCTTCTCATACGATATACCAACGAATGTGTCTCTCGACCTCCTTCGTAACAATTACGTCGAACCTCCAACACAATTGCCTTCGGGAGCGCAACCATACGCCTTTTTAAACGGCACGTTTGGTTCGATGCAGAATTACACAACCGCCAACACAACTGAAATTGCAGCCTACTCTATCTGGCACATGCTTCAAGGCTTTTTGGGATCATTTCCTCAATACAATCCAGGATTTCGGATTGACACAAACGAGACTTCACCGGCGGGAGTGAATCTGTTTGCAGAAAGTTACGGGGGCAAATACGGCCCGGGCTTTGCTTCTGTCTGGGAAGAACAAAACATGAGGCGCATGAACGGATCTCTTCCACAGAATGGCACGCTGGAAATCCAATTACAAGCACTGGGTATCGTAAACGGCTGCATCGATGATCTCATCCAGGCGCCTTTCTACCCTTACATGGCCTATAATAATAGCTACGGCATAAAAGCAATTAGCGCATCTGCGGCGCAGAATGCGCTCGACAGCTTCAGTGCACCAGGAGGTTGTCGCGATGCTATTTTGGCATGTCGCAAGGCTGTAGCGGAACAAGATCCGAACAATGACGGCAACGTGCCTGACGTCAATGATCTCTGTATCGATGCAGAAGCCATTTGCCAGACAAATGTCACCGATCCCTATACTGTATCAAATCGAGGGCAGTATGACATTCGACACATGAACCCTGATCCGTTTCCCCCAGGCGAATATCGAGAATATCTGAACCAGGGAAATTTCCTCGCGGCGATTGGGGCTCGAACAAACTATTCGGAGGTTAGCAATTTTGTAAATGGCGTTTTCATAACTAGTAAGTCTCATTTCTCCTTTCATCCGACTTCTTCTCCTCCTAGTCCATACTCACTCTAGTATCTGTACAGCTGGCGATCCTGAAAGAGGAGACCAGATCTCCCAGCTCGCTTACCTTCTTTCCAAAGGCGTCCGGGTAGCGCTCATTTATGGTGATGCGGACTATATTTGCAATTGGTATGGCGGTCAAGCAGCTTCCTTCGCTGTCGCGCAAGCATCGAACTACACGCCATTCTACAATGCAGGCTATGCAGATATTCAGGTGAATCAGTCTTATATTGGTGGCGCCGTCCGTCAATACGGGAACTTGTCTTTTTCGCGAGTCTATGACGCCGGCCACCTTGTCCCGGCCTACCAGCCGGAAACCGCATTCACCGTGTTTACTCGAATTATTCAAGGCACGAATATTGCTACTGGAGAGACTGTCAATTTGACAAACTTTGGGACGACTGGTAATGCGAATGCGACTCATACCAACAAAGCCGGGCCAGCCCCCAGTCCAACTTGTTGGATTCGAGCCATCGAAGATACTTGCACGGACCAGCAGAAAGTCATGATCATGAATGGACAAGGTGTGGTTATCAATGGCGTACTGTATGACAAAGCGAGCGATTGGAGCTCGCCAGCATCAACAGCAACGTCCAACGTTGGAGTTCCTGGTTCTTATCCTACAACCAAGACGGAAACTTCAGTCGTCACTCAGACTGCATCGGCAACAGTGACGTCCAGTATGCCGACCGGCGTGTACGTTGCGAGCGGGACGTCATCAAATGGGATGAAGAATGGGTCATTCTCTCTGGCGCCTGGATGGGCTCTACTTGGCTCACTTGTTTTAATGCTTTCCATGTCGTTTTACGGAATCTAAAATAGAAGCTGCCATTTCATTTCTAGCCGGAACATAGGCGTATGGGTGGGCATATCACTGATCTTGTTTGTCATGGCATCTGACTGCAAAAGTTTTGACTGAAGAAATTTGAAATAGAGATATTTGAAAGGCAAATATGAATATATTTACGGAGTATCTAAATTCCTCTTCTGATGTATCGGAAAGCATTTCAGAACTCGTGCAGAGTGCGGCATTTGCCGGGTGCACAGGCACTGATACCCACCAACAATTCTGGAGCCTTCTAGCGGTCGTTTAGGAGCGCAGTATTTGTACCTGAAAATCCGAGCACAACTTCGTGTTCTATTTGACAACATCTGTTTAATGAACCTCTTCGCTCTCTTCTGCCCTTTCCTACTCCCTTCTATCTGCTAACCTTAGCTTCAACATTTTACACTGTTGATTTAGTCTTTCTAATCAAGGTTTTGAAGTGTTCAATCTCTTTTCGAATTCTCATTCGATCCAACTGTCATCCTCACATCAGGTACGCTTTCTTTACCCATATCCCAGTCAACACAAAACAACATCCCGAGTATCATACTTTCCCTTTTTTTGTGATGAAAATTCCAGCTGGCACCAGTCCGAGATAGACTTGTACTCTTCTTGATGCGGATAAGCTGTTTGCGGGAGATTTGCTATCTCCTTAGTTTCTGAATTCACCTGTTAATCATCAATCATTCGCTGCTTATGATTCTGAGCAATGAACCAAAAGCTAACGATCAACCCCCGTGGGTCATTTAGGTGTGAAAATCTGAGCAGAGGTCGACTGAAAGATAAATTTGGGCTCGAATATTGTTTTAAGCGCTGGGCTGGGACCTTTTCTGAGTCATTCAGCGGGCACAGGCAGACGAACGACTCCTCATCACTGTAGATAGACAAGACGTAAAAAACTCCGGTTTCTTATCCAAGATGGTTCTTCACAACCCCAACAATTGGCACTGGGTCAACAAGGATGTCTCAGGCTGGGCGAGAGAATACCTCGAGACGACCCTGAAGGGAACTTCTGCGGAGGAAAACTCTGTCACTGCTGAGATCACCAAGCTGATCAGTATGGATGGCGACGTCGATGTGAGCCAGCGCAAGGGCAAGGTCATTACGCTGTTTGATGTGAAGCTTCAATTGGAGTATTCTGGTAGGATTTGCTCCTCTCCCATTTCCCCTTCGCCCATCCAGCCATCGTATAAGCCGTACAAACACCCACTACAATGAGGTCACAATTACTGACTCTCTGTCACATTGTAGGCAAGACCAAAGACGAGGAGGATGTCAGCGGCACCATTAAGATCCCCGAGGTGGCTCATGACACCGAGGAGGATGAATATGTTGTATGTTATGTTCCCGACGTTTCCTTGTCCCCTCGTGGAATACGCCACTCTTACCCAGGCGTCCTGAAACCCCCTTCATTTGCCATGCTAATATGCTCCCGCTTCCCCCAGTTTGACATCGACATCTACTCTGAATCCGGCTCCAAGCAACCCGTTAAGGATCTTGTACGATCAAAGATTGTTCCCCAGCTTCGCCAAAAGCTTTCTCAATTCGGCCCCGCTATTATCAGTGAACATGCGAGGGACCTCCAGCACGCTCCTGGCGTCGACCCCTCTGCCAGCTTCCGCAGCACCAAATACGTCTCTTCCTCGAGTGTGAACAAGTCTTCGGGCGACAAGCCTGCTGCTGCGAGCACTGCTACTTCGGCTGCTGCCGGAAAGCTCGTCAATGTCACCAAAGTGACCGATACCGAGGAGTTCCGCACCACCGCTGAGCAGTTGTACCTGACCTTCACCGACCCTCAACGCATTGCTGCCTTCACTCGCGCCCCTCCCAAGGTGTTTGAGGGTGCCAAAAAGGGCGGCAAGTTTGAGCTGTTTGGTGGCAACGTTGTTGGCGAATATACCGATCTCAACGAGCCCACCAAGATTGTCCAGAAATGGCGTCTTCAGCAATGGCCCGCTGGCCACTACTCGACGCTGGAGATCAACTTTGATCAAAACGATGTCGACGCCGTCACGCTCATGCGTGTCAACTGGGACGGTGTGCCTGTTGGTCAAGAGGACGTGACCAAGCAGAACTGGGGCGAGTACTACGTGGTAGGTTACATTCGTCCCTTCTGCCATCAATATTTTGTCCATCATCAAAGTACTAATCTATCGTCACAACAGAGGAGCATCAAGACCACCTTCGGCTTCGGCACTGTGCTATGAACGGGTTAAAGCACCAGCATTGGCACTTCTTTTCTTCAACTCTACCCCGCCCGTCTATTTTCCCGCAGACTTTTCCGATCCCGAAGTCCAGGTCACCACGCTTTCCCCACCATACGACTGTAGCACGCGCCTACTCGCCTGCTAAACGGAACTTTGTTTCCCTGGGCGTCCACCCAACCCTGTCAAGCATCGTTAACATTTTTTCTCTCAATCCTATTCTCCTTCCATTCCCCGCGTGACCAAACTCAGTCCAATATATCAAAGGAGAATGAAGAACGAAAGCGACGACGACGAGCGATGAGTCGACGAACGAAATTCTACATTACTTGTTCTGCTGTCCATTTGTTCCCTTATTATTATTATTTTTCTTCTCTTTTTTTCTCTTCTTTTTTTTTTTTAAATTCATCCAATCTTAGCGAAAATATAGTGGAGATGGCGTTTTTATTCTAGTCCCTAGTCCCAATTTATCGTCATACTTTGTGGCCTCCTTTTTTCCCCTCCCAAATTCCAATTTCCAAATATTCCCCCATCCCCGATTCCAAAAAAATATTAATAGAACTGCATTGTGTTCTTTCCAATGTCAACCATCTTTTTACGTGGCAATTATGTCTCGTACTAACTTCTAGCCCGGCAATATCAAATAATGATCATATTTCAAATCATATCCTTATCCGGCTGCTTCAATTGTGGAGACACGGCATCAAGTCTACTGAATAAACGGAGATGACAATTCCATTTAACTTGATCTCGTTATTTCATTTCCCCTCCCCGCTCCCCGCGCTTCCCCGGGTAGCACATCACTAGCCATCCACACAGTCGCATGTCCCTCTCTTTTCTGTCTTTTGTAAAGAATGACTTGGTCATACTAATAATAAAACGGATAACAGTTAATAAAATGGGACAGATTTCATAAAACGGGATAAAGGTAATACCAAATGGAACAGGGATAATAAAATGGAGTAGACGGAACAGATAATAAAATAAGAACATAGTCAATGGCATGGAATGGAATAGAATTTCTAAAATTAAGTGGAATATAAAAGTTCACCTCAATACTATACCTGAAGAGACACATAAATACTTCAAGGGACACACAAATTAATAGAGGGCAAAAGAGAGAGAGAGGATAAAAATGAGAATCATATCCGGCATAAGATTATCAATCATGAGCGTTATCAAAGCCTAAACCTATGCATTTATCATGACAATGACCTGGAAAAACCAGAGAGAGAGAGAGAGAGAGAGAGAGAGAGAGAGAGAGAGAGAGAGAGCAAAAAGCGCAATATGCCGAGAAGTTAAACGGACGAGGGAAAAGGAAATGCCATGCTCCATGTGAAAGCAAGACTGAGCCAAAAAGTAACGATAAAAAGGGGGGAAGAAAGGGGGCAATTGATAGAGCCGCTTCGCTACGCGAGCTTGAACTTCTCGAGTAATAGCGAAAAGAGGGCAAAAGCAGAAGCGAGAGGGAGAACCAAAAAAGAAAAAAAAAGCAACAAGTAAGCCGCCCAATAAAAGGTAAGGGACAAAGTGACAAAAGGGAGAAGAGAAAAACCCACGCCGCAATGCGTACGAAAATGGGAAGGGATATATTTTTTTCGAAGGAAACCTTGGAAAATGGAAGCAAGAAAGAGTTGTTGCCGAAAATTGTCGAAGAAAGGAGGTCCTGAAAATGCCAAAGACAAGATGCGAGGACGATGCCAAACCGGTTCCGCCTGAAATGATCTCAAGAGAAATAAAAGAGCGATTCTCAGAGGATCAGAATGAGAAACGTCAATACCATGTGGCAAGATGAAATGATGGGAGAAAGTGAAAGGGTATCATGTGTAACGCGTGACCAAGAAGGTCAAGTAGACGCCGGCGGCGAGAGCGTGGTTGGTAACGAGATACGTTCTAATCTTCTGTTCCATTATCCAACTCTATGGTTCCGTCTGGGGCATCGGTAATTTCCTTGCCCTTGACGTCAACCACGATGCGTCGGCCTTGCTTTTCGACTGGGAAACCGTCCCGTGTGGCGCCAAAGTCGAGAATCTAGTGTATAAGTTAGAATATGTAGAGTCATTGGAAGGAAGTGGGGGAAGTAATTAAAATGATAAAACTCACCTCGATGTAAGTGATGTGATTCCGTTGAACAGCAGCCACACATCGTCTCTCGTCAAATTTGACCTGCCAGACGCAACTCAGATCGGTCAGAAGATCCCGTACGTACTCGCCAGTCTGAACATTCCACATCTTCAATGTCCGGTCAGATCCCGAGACGACTTTTTGACCATCATGCTGAAAGCAAGTAATAGCACCGGTGTGAGCGCTGAGCGTGTTCTTCCAGTGGCCAGTTTCCGGATCCCAGATGCGCAGAGTCGAATCGGCAGCCGCAGAAACAAGTCGGTCGTCCTTGAGATCGAGGAGACCCACCAAGGAAGTGTGGCCTTCGAGATTAAACAAGAGCGAGCCAGTCTCAAGCGACCAGACCTTTACCAAATAGTCCATCGAACCACTGATGCAGCGATTGCGCTTGTGGTCCAGCACGACGCTATATACCTTCTGCGTGTGACCCGTCAATCGGTGCAGCGTCTCGCCCGTGGAGATTTTCCACACACGCACAGTGCAGTCGTAGCTTCCGCTAACGAGCGTGTCACCATGCGCGGCGATCGCGCGAACCGAGTGATGGTGGCCAGTCAAGGCTCGGACGAAGAAGGGGTTTTCGGCGTCATTTGCCGAAGGACCAGTTTGGAAAAGGGTGGCATCGCCCGGCTGGGGGAGCTTCCATACGCGCAGACTCGAATCACGAGAGCCAGTAATAATCAGGGGTTGCTTTGGCATCATGATGGGTCTGCCCTCCGAAGTGCGGCCGACTTCAGTGGGCATCAGGATTTGGAGGCAGCGAACCGTCGAAGTGTGACCCTGGAATATCTGCGTGCAGACGCCTCTTTCGATATCCCAAATGCGAACCGAACGATCCGTGGATCCAGAAACCAGAACGTTTCCTTCATACTGCAATGCCCAGACGCCACCCTCGTGACCCTCGAGTTTTGTCCTCAACGCGCCGGTGGCGGTATCGTATACGTTGATGTTCGTGTCGTCGCTGCCGGTGAGAATCTTGTCCGTGTCAAATTGCAGACACGTCACGACATTCCGCGGGTGGGCGCGAAAAGCCAAATGGCTTGGCCTCGACTTGCGATCCATCCAATTTCTTCTGATGATATGGTGTCGTCGGTAGATGGATTTGAAGAGATGCAGGTTTTTGAGGCTCGGTAAGCCGATGGGAGGATTTGGAACAGCTAGAGCAGCAGCGCCTGCGGCAGCATAAGGGCCTTCAGTGGCAGCAAGCTGATCGAGATATCCGTCAAATTGTGCCCTCTCGGCCGACTCTCTAGCAGTGCTCTTTCGTTTAGGTTGCCGGCGAGTGGCTGCCTTGGGGGCTGCTGCCTTGCGCTTACGTCTCGTGCTTGATGGGGTAGCGGCGGCAGAAGCGACCTCCGCGGCGCCGACTAATGTGGCGGACGCGACCGAGTTCGCTAACGACGTTGTTGACCACTCGCTGTCTGAGCCTATTGCTGCACCGAGATCCCTCTCAAAATCATGCCCACCACTGGGGTGTTGCCATCCCCAGCCTTCCTTGATAGCACGTTTAAGTTCTCCATCGGGAAGCGTGTAGCCGTTGCCGTCGAATAAATCCTTCCAAGCCTTCTCATCCGAATTGATAATGTGCCGCCATTTCTTGGATACCTGGGCGGCACGGCACAGGCTCTTCAGATCTAGATATCGGACAATATTCAGACTCAACTCAAGAGGTAGAAGACCCAAAAAGTCGCACTTGAGTGCTGGATTGACTGTCTCCGCCACAAAGTGCAATGTAGATTTAGCACACCGACGCAGGAGCTGGTACATGATATACGTCTTCATTTCGTCGGCCATGACATCGAAGGAGTCCAACATTGTGGGGATATCCATCAATGTAGGCGTAGAAAGTTGTTGCTGATTTGCAGGGTCGCTCGAAACGGCCTTTTGCTCGACGAGATCGCCCTTTTCTTCCGTAGACGTAGATAGCCAATCGGAGTTTGTCGATTGAGTCGGATACTTTGGGGAGAGCGGTAATGCGACTTGAGTGTCCTCGGGCTCGTACAGCGAAGGCGCATCAACATCGTCATTGTTTCCCAGATTTGCGGCAGCCGTGACCGGGGAAAGGCTCGGGCTAGGCAGGCTAAGATCTTGTGCTGCCGTGGTATCGAGTAAAGCAAGGCGGGCGGCACGAGTTCGATGGGATGGGCCCCTCGAGGCTCCATTCAGAGTACTCAGATCCTCCTCCGTATCTGGTGTAGCGGTGCCAGCGGGATTGACAGTCATGGAAGATGTAGGCCGTTCTTCGACCGCCGCTGTCTCCGCATTGCCCAAAGTTTCCTGAGACATGCCCGTCTCGTCACCCGAGCCACCCTCGCCATAGGCCGGTGCGTCGAGGCTTGTAGATGATTCGGGATCCGATTTGAGATCGAAAAGGGAAGAATTCTGAAGTTGAGAAGGTTGCGATGCAAATCGCCGCGAGGAGCTGCGTTGCGAGCGGCTCACATCGGATTGGCTGGCGATGCCAGGATCTGTCTCCGGCGTTGCGGGAGGCTTGGTTGTCCTCGAGTGAGCGAGTCTCTTCTCCAGTCGGTCATTCCTCGCTTGTAGCACCGGGACGCCGCCTGAGACGTCCCGGCGACTGCTATGCGTTCGTTGTAATTTGGCAATGTTGGCGGCCTCTGAGATCGAAACGGGAGAGGCGGAGCGTTTTCGAGAGCGCACAAGAGGTTGTTGGGGGGCAGCAGCAAGGCGAGCCGGCGATGCTGCTGGCCGAGAATGGCGTGTTCGAGGTGTTTCGAATCGTGGCTCAGTCTTGGTGACTGTTCGGAGCGTGCCGTTTGATGCGCGAAGGGATGATTCCTCCTGTATCATCTACAAGTACCAGTCAGCCCATGAGTCCTTTTCTTCCAGTTGTCATCGATTCAAGTCTAGTGAAGAAGTGCAACCTTTTCAAGATCATCAGTGGGATCGTCGGCTTCACGAAAAAAAGTTGGCATTCCGCCATGATTGAAACAAAATCGTCGAATGGAACTGGGCGTCGGCGAAGCGGCTAGAGGATAGAGTTTGGGATCCAGCTCGTCGACATTTCGAGGCGGCCGAATCATGAGGGGAGGAAAAGAAGTCGTAGTTGTCGTCGTAGTCGTCACAATCGTTGTCTGTGTGGCTGGAGCGTAGGAAAATTGACCGAGCGTGCCATAAGGCGGCACTTCCGTGAGTTGCCCCGTCGGTGTTGTCAAGGAAGATTTCTGCATGGCAGGGGATGCAGCTACAGCGGCAGAGGAGGTGGAGGCAAAGGGCCGATTCTCTTTCCTCGAGGAGCCCAGCCCATCATGGCCGGCTCTCACAGAACGCAGCGGGGGCTCCATGGCGGCAAATGAAGCCTTTGGTTAACGATAGGGTTCAAGTCCGATAAAAGTGGCCGCGACGGAGGGCGTTTGAAGCGCGTTGGGAATGCCGGGGTGGTCCGGGATTCGTCGACCGGCTTCTTCTAATCAGAGACACCGCGTTGTGGTGACTGCCGCGTAAATCATCAGGCGTGTCGAGCAGATGTCGATGGTGGAAGAGGACGTCTCAGACAATAGAGTTGACAAGAGGGCGTCTGTGTGATCGAGTGGGAGTCGTTCCTGGGGGTTGCCAAGTGAGGCTGGGAACACGCTAGGCGGTAAAGGGCCGCGTGGTTAAAAGGCAACCGCAAGCAGGGGAGTGCAATGTGTTCTTCGTTTAAGAAAAACCGGGGATAACGAGTCTCGCCAAACGGGGCAGGTCTGTCCCTCTCGACCAAAGTGAATCACTCCTGAGTGCAGGAGGAAGATTTTGAGTCGTGGGAGAGATTGCGGCAGTAGTCTTAGTGATGGTGGTGATGATGATGATGATGATGATAATATGATGAGAGGGCGGAAGGACCCGTTTTCCTCTTTCCTCTTTTTCCACTGGGGGGGATTTTCTTCTTCGCTCTTTCCCTTCTCTATACTTGTTCCCCCCTCCCTCACCCCCCTTTTTGCTTTTCTCTCTTCTCGCTCGCTCTCCTTCCCGCAGTTAGTGGCTGACTTCTCGGTCGGCCTTTAAATTGCAACGCGGTAGAACGCGAGTACTTGTGAGAGACGCGTCATGTCACTCGGAGTCGCTCACCCAAGGTAGCCGAGCACTATCGTAACGATTTTGGTGGGAGCTCGGAGAACCGCTACCATAAATTACATAAGAAGTACTTTCAAACTACTTCGGCTTCTGGCCAAATCGTAAGGTAAGTCGGGGACGTGCGTCTTTCCCGCATATTTTGTGCTGATCTTTTACATCCCGCGGGTATCTCTCTCTAATAATACAACAGTATTTCCTTGAATATTCCCCCCGAATAAACCGGATACGTCCCGGTGTAGGCCAAGTATGATAGTGATGATCATCGCTACAAGGAGACTAATCTGGTTATAATTGTCTACCTAGCGGCCTCTCTAGCAAGGCTGGATGGTTTCATAAGTTGGTTGTGCCAAGTCTGTACACTTATAAAGCGGGCGGATTCCAAGGCAGAATTGACCTGTGCTCTTTCAAGAGTGGGGGCAACAAGTTTCTAACGCTGCAAGCAAAAGGAGCACTGATCAACCAAATGTCCTTGGATGTTGCTGTCCCTGTCGAGCCACGCGAAGGCCAATCCCCACATGGCTGAGTGTCCATCCATTGGGGTGAATCAAGTACCGGATTATGATGATCATGTAGACTGACTTACCTTTTGTGCGACCAACACATGACTTTCGCCGCCCCTTATCCTCCCATGCTTGGAAACAGGTACACAGTATATACTGGACTGACGAGGAGAGGCCTCGGATTTCTACAATACAAGAGGTAAATGCATATTCTGTATTGCGCCCAATACAATTGCACCCTCGCTGCAGTAAGCCTGACAAAGGACATGGCCGACACGGAGATAGGAATTACCGCGGAATTGTATCTTTTATGGGAGCTTCACTAACTCATCGACGATGACTGCAAATGGCTTGGAAGCGGGCGGGAGCGAAACAGAATAGTGACGTGGGATTATTGTCATCCAGGTCCAACCGACCATTTGAAGCAAGCCTACGCCGCTAATCAATCGACTCCTACAGATAAAGACCTACCGTAGGTAATCACCATATCTCTGCACAGATACAAAGCTACACTGAGTGAATTATCTAAACGATAGATCCGAAGAATAACCATTTCCCATCAGATTAACTATTGCACCCTTAATCCAATATTTCCCCTTCCCTCTGCTTCGATATGCACTAGTCCTGTCTGGTTCGTCACTTGACTACATCTTTTTTCTTTCTTTTATAGACTACAACCTCTTCGTTTGCCTGTCTAGTACTTATCCTATTCCGCACAATCCCATCTTTCGAGGCCTGCTTATAGGTTATTCTCTTCTAACGTCTCCTTACAGATTTGGTCAAGCATCATCCTCTCATTCGGCGGATGACTACCATTCAGGTTCAAATGGAAATTCTACTACAAAACTACACGCCTTTTGGCGTTTATCCTATAGGAATAATGTTAACTCCCAAGTCTTGACCAACAGTAGCCCAGCTCCCTCCCTCTATAGGCCATAATTCTTTCCTACGGACTGTCAAAAATGCCCAGCTATATAATTATTCTTCCTCACGTCTTCCTCCCTTCCCTTTTTTTCCACATCCCTATCCCCTCTGCTCACCTTGGAGGTTTTCAATCATAACTGCTTTGCTTGTTCGTCCGCAGAGTTTCTTCAATCTCCAACTATCTCTTCAATCGTTATCATTTCAAGCCCCTGTAAACATGGCGGTTGAACCCTTTCGTCCCAGACGGAGTGAAAACGCCCCCAGGTCCTCTTCCCCTCTCATGGCCATGAACGTGGACACAATGTTCAATCTCATGCTGCACATCAAAGACGTTCAGACGCTGTTCAATCTGACTCTTGTTTCGCCAAACGCCATGTTGGTTTTCCAATTGTACACGCGCACCATCATCTCCGCCGTGCTGGACAATTTCTACCAAAAATTCCACACCAGGGAAGATAATAACAGACCTCCCGGCCAGCCCACCATAAAGCAGATAATCCTCGCCGTCATGGTGCAGCGCAACGAGGAGACTCTCAAAACATTTCACGACGAGCACTACATTGCCAACTTTTGTGCGCGCCAATTTCCTCCCCAAAGCTCCGGCGGCGAAGGCTGGCTCCCAAGCCCGCTTCCCCACGCGATCCATCGCCTGCAGGACATTGTCAAGATCACCAGAGCCATCCGTCACTATGACCTGCGCCTCACACGCTCTCGGCCATGGCTGCTGGCTGACCGAGATATGTCTACCGATTTCGGTGCTACTACAGATCCACTGCAGGCGCAACACGATCGTCACCGAGCATACTGGCTGTACCAGCTCTGCACGGATTTGTGTTCGAAGCGCTACCGAAACAACGAGTTTCCCCTATGGGCTCACATCTTCGGCCACCACAGGGAACAGATTCACTCCCGTCCCGGCGCACCACAAGAAAGGCTCTTTGAAAACAGTACAGCTGCAGAGACAATGCAAGTCGACGGTGACCGACGATTCGAAGAATCAGTTATTGATTATATCACGCGGCTGCGGCAGTGTTTCCGGCCCATAAGCCCTGTAGACAAGTTCTTGACAATGCTCACTACCGAGGACGCCCATCGCGTGCTCTCCATCTTTATGCAATTAACAAACTTACTCACCTGGAACATGGAGGCTGACGATTACTCTATGCTTCTCTATAGAGAAACGCTGATAATGAAGTTAGAGCGAAGAGACCAGCTCCGCCGCACCGCTTCAGAAGCCCTTCTGCAAGCTTTCCCTGCTACTACTAACGACCCACTAGCTAATCCGCAGCTCCCGCAGACTTTGGCGCGCGATCTAGAGGCCTTCATCGACAGGTACCGCGTGAGCCTGGCCACGATTGAAATTCGCAACGCCATGGATATGGGCGCCTTGCCCACCTTTAACGAAGCCTACATACGCTTTCTAAAAGTCACGTGTGGTAATGTCGTCCTCCCAATCTTGCGTGATAGACGGTACCAGCAGCTCTTGTATCATGGCGATTCACAACTGCGCTCAAGAAAGGAGGCTGAATGCCCCGTATGTCATTATTTTGTGAATAAGTTCTGCCACTGCGTCAGAGAACATTTGGCGGATGGTCAGCGGTAGCATTGTCAAACTCAATGGCGAAGGCGTGGGGAAGGCGGACCCGGAGCGAAAGACAGTGTCGTGTATAGATGAGGAACGACATGGATAGAAAATATACCCTTTTGATTTTTTTTTGTATAAAATATTTACACAAGTCGGGCTATTGTAGGAAATTAGGAATACAGAAGGTTTTTTAGAACCATTATCGACTCATCGTCACCGTAGTTGTTCGGTTTGAGGGTTCTGCTGTAACTCATAATCCGCATGCACGCTTGTCAAGGCATTTATTGTTATGTAACTGTGTTGATCAAACACGAAAAGAGCACATACTAACCACCGGTATGGCTGCTTTGCGCTGGCTGTGAAAATCTCAAGAGTCAAGACCCCTCTAAACCTTTCGGAAAAGAACAACGGAAATGCATGCAGCCTGTTGTTGAGTCCCCAGTTGTTTTCAGGCTTGGTCGTAGACTCGTACTGGAAGTCCTCACTTGACCCTGTTTTACCTCAATGGAGTCTAGACAAGGGCAGGTCAAGACCCATCCTCAATATCCAGACGGTCGAATCGAAGTGCTTCATTGGCAATCACTGGCAATCATCCTATTCGTTCCGTCAGACAAAATCAACCCATGTCTCATATTGTAGCAGTTAAACACACGCAGTTGAACCGATTGAAGGCGGTTGATGTGGGAATGGTCCCACGGTCCCACCAGCCGAGCCAGGGTCTTGCACCAGTGTCTTTTGAGCTCTCTTGGAGTTGTGGATGTGCGAAAGAAGACGTGTGGTAGCTGGTCAGCCCAAGGCATCTACTTTCGAAGAAGGACAGGCTAGATATGTAAGTCAGGACTCAGCAGGGAGACGCGAATACTGACACGCACACGCAGTGAAATTTAACGCACGAGAAGGGCTGCATACAGTATGTCTACAAAAATAAATCTCCTTTTGCCCAAAGCTGCATTTAGAGTCACGTGCAGTCCAATCGGGTCTGCCAATACTTACGTCTTGGGTAAAAAGGATTCATATGCATACATAAAGTTTTCACAATCTCAAAAAATCCCGCAATGTGAGCTTGATAGAAATGTGAATTGCTACATAGCATAATAAGTACGTGTTGGCGAGTCTATGTACCTGATATTACAGCAGCTGTGACATATTGACAATAAGAGCGGTCAGAAAGACTGCGCATGTAGACAAAGTCAACGGTCAGTTCGGAGCTGGAAATGTCCAATAGCCTGTTATGTAACACATATTCCACCAAGCAAAAGCTTTAAATTTTGATGCGCCAAGTGCGTCAGTCGGACTGGAGAAGAGGCACCAAGATCAAGGCAATGCTGGCTGGGTTAAAATTGAGATCGTCAGCTCCAAGGTTCTCAAGTACGCCGGTTTGAATGGCGTCTAATCCGTCTTCTCCTCGGGCTGGGAAGTACTGGAATTGTCATTAGTTGAGCCAGCCTTGCGGCCTGGTTTGGCAAAAGACAATTTCCTAGGTTGCTTCTTCGCGCTCGGCTGATCGCTCTTCTTTGCCTCAGACAGTTTGCCCTTGGCAATATCTTTCTGAATAGATTTAGCACTTTCGGGCCCGGATCCTTCGAGATAGGGCTGCGCCTTGAAGGGGCTGGGCGCAACAGGAGTTGCAGAGGCAGTGTGGTGAGAACTTGGAGTCAAACCAATGTCAAATTTGGTGGATGGAGTACGAGTCAGACCTGAGCTAGCTCGACGTCGTGGAGTACGCGGCTGGAGAGACTTGGGCGACGCTGGGTTGGAGCAATTCAGTCTTTCAATGGTAAGAATGTTGGAAATATGAGCTCCTTCTACGTAGATCCGCACTGCCTGTCTTCCTACTTCCTCTGGAAATCTACCTTGCGGTTAGAGTTATTTCTGCTTGTTTTGGGAGTCAAGCTTACGGAGTGGCATCAGAAAAGTTGATGACATATTTGCCAGTAGAAGAATCATAAAGTGTACCAAATGCACTTAACGGCACATCCTTGCAATAAATCCATTGAAGTGGGAAAGCTCTGATGATGGTGATTAGTCATATTTTTTTTTTTCATAGATTTTGCCAAAGCATACTTACCCTAAGGTTTCACCTTCATTGAACATTGGAGGTTTGGCAGTATGGCTGAATGGGCCCCAAATCTCCGCTAAGCCGCAAATCTTGCCGCTCCCAGCGACGTAGAACATGATCATTAACTTAGCCCCAACGCGGCGGCAACTCCATGCTTCCTGAAGGTCCCTGTTCCCGTCGAGGCTGGAACACCATACCAAGTTCTGAACTGATGCTCGAACGAGCACTTCATTGCTGCACTTGATTCCAAATATGATCGACTTAAAGAAGAGTTAGTTTACTGGGAACTCCGAAAGCAGCACCAAAAGGTCAACTTACTCCGAAGGGGAGTTGGTAATACGGAGGGTTGATGACGTTGAGAACCTGAAATGCACTTGGAATACCCTCCACAAAGTGGCCACCTTTGGCAAGGCGCCACCTAAAATCTTTCTTGGTAGTCTTCTGTGTCCAGACAGGCGGGCTCATCTGAGCTCCGTGGGCCAAACCATTCGGTGGCGCATGATAATCCTGATGTAAGTACCAATGAGCAGAAAGGCTTCGATCTCTGTCGCTGCTGGCAATAGACTGCGAGGCTCGCCTGAGCGTGTGGCCGTTCTTTTGGGGAGTCTTTTGGTTTGGGCCGATTGCCTTGGGGCTGCCAAAAGCATGGTGAGATTCATGCTTATCAAAGCGCTCTAGAAAGTCAACAATGGTCATATGTGGATGCTTCAACATTTCAACATGCATTTTATGCAGGTCTTGTTTTCCATAACTCGTCATTCTGCCCTGCGAGGACTGAATGACTTGAAGCTGAGAAGGGTGCTTAGCCTTAGAAAATTGAAAACTGTTGTGATTTTTTTCCAAGATAAGAGGCGGAATAGAGCTCTGAAAGCCATACATTCGGGCGACATCTTGAATCTGAGATGAGGCTTTGGCGGAGGAGTGATTTACATCAACCACATTGTTGGCAGCAACACCGGGGTTTTGGCATTTTGCCATTTCTTTTTTGTAGCGCTTTTCGGCCGACGCCACCGCATTTGTGGTCAGCAGGGTCTTGCTTCTGATGTATTTTGCGCCGCCCGGATCGGTATCATCAAAAAAGGGGTCTTCATGGGCTTGACCCTGCAAATGGAAACGGGCGCCCGGATTCGTACTTGCATGAACTTTTTGAGACTCAAGCATCATGGCAGGGGAAGCGTCAGGTCCTTTGACGCTTTCTTTTTTTTGCGGACCCGAAAAAGTGTTGAGCTGAGGAGGAACGATATGGTTCTTTGAGCTTGCAGAAGCATCATCCTTCAATGAGATCGGATTTTCGTCAATTGTGTTAAGCCGGATTGACGGCGAGATAAGAAAAGTGTCTCCGGGAGACTGGTCTGGGCCTCTCATAGAATCAGCACTCGATTCCGCAACAGCTACCAATTGCATGTGCTTCAAACTGCGACTGGAAGGCATTAGTGGCAAACTATCAAAAACTTGACTTGCTCCTTTAAGATCCGCATAGAGTTGCCTCGCTCTATATGTTGTCCTCGGTTGCTCGTCACTAACAGCCGCGCGAATACGATGTGCTGGCGAGATGTTCTCATTGGGGATGGTTCCCCACCAGATTTTCTGAGACTCAAACGAGTCTTTCAGTGGCGTTGTGGCTTCATTGAACCAGTTACCTGATGTTGCGGGTGACGGTCCTCCAAGTGACATAGTGGACTTGCCATCAATGACCAGCATTCTTGGACGAGAAAATGTCGTGAGTCTCTGCTCGTCCATCATTGGATCTCCTTCTTCAATGAATTTTGGAAAATAATAGCCCTCACGACAGGAGTCGGGACTCTTGCGCTGGACTTCATCTTTCAAACAAAATATTTAGCATGGGACCATTGGGACATTTAATGAGGCCTGCCAGTTGAGGAGATAGAAAAAACTGTCCATACCTTTTTTCGTTGCGTCAGTGTCTGTATGGACGTCCTCTGACTCACAAGTCTCGAGACCCTTCATTGCAAAGCTGGAGTTTTCGACAGACAGAGATGCCAATTCTTCTGGCGTTGGAATCTTGATCTGAGAGAAAGGATTAGACTTTTTCTTCCAGAAATTACTGAGTGTACTGAACCTTGAGTGATTGGGATCCTGATCGGCCAACTTCATCCTGTAGTGCTTTCATTCGCTCTTTGTAAGATGCCCTAGGTTCATTGTTAGTAGATAATAATTTGCTCCTTCCTCGCTTTCTATCAATTTCTTCTCTCATCCTTGATGTGCAGGCCTTCGCCTCTGGCCTTGAGCGCTGAGTATGCCATGGAGCAACAGACAAGAAACAAATGAAGATTCTTTACTCACATTTTTGCTGTAGCGTATTCAGCTACGCTTTCGATCAAATTTAGCCTCTCTGAGGACTTCAAGTATGGAAGCGGTGCCTTAGCAGATGTGAGAATTGGTTTCGCTCAAGGTGGAAGATAGCAGTAACTCCGATTCTTTCAACGCCCGGAGGGTTGCATACACGGCAGCGAGGGCCCACTACCTACTAGTCGGTGAGAAATTGCCAGTACCTGGCTCTGAAAGAATCTCGTTCGCAGCAGGTAAGCTCTGAATGAGAGCTAGAAAACAATATCTCAAGCTGAAAGGAGAAATCAATGTCCGGACATTGATCCGAAGCCACTGAGGTCGGATTTTGTTGAAGGAAGGAGTCAGACGGGGCTGCAAAAACAAATACCAAGAATTTTAAGGGAGAAAACCATTGTTGAACAGGAAACGAAGGCCAACGTGGGTGAATAGCCCATATCTCCGCGCATGTGGACATTTGAGCGCAGTCACACAATAGAACATGCAAGCAACAGCACCGCCAAATGAACAGAGATTCTGAAATATTGAAAACCATTTTGTTGCAAGAATACATAGAACCATATATGCAGAAAAAGAATATCACGCCGGTGAAATATGGGAAGCGTGATGTGCAGGCAGATATTTTTGGTCTTCGGATGCTATCCATGATATCTGAAGATTGCTGGTGTTTAGTTTGTAGGGTTCTGCATGACCAAGTAACTCTATGCGAGCCATCTACAACATGCCTAAGTTTAACCGAGGGGCAGGATTTTCAGGGTTCCCTCAACGCGTATTCCATTTCATCCCAGCCTCATCTTTATCGTAATCATAACACTTGACATTATTCCCAAGGGTGATTGGATATTGTTGCGTTTTTTTATATAGAATAACCCGTATTTATTCAGCATAGATTTTATTTGGAATACATATCCCATAGAGCCCTAGACTGGATGCTACTAAGCTGGTGTATTCCTTCGCTTTTTGCCAGCTGACGTGTTGTCGACATCACCGCATAATCAATATTCTGCATGTTCATGCTATTCGGTAAGCAATATAAATTAAAAGATGGTATCCGTAAGTTGTTATTTGTAGTCGGATCTGTTAGTGCACTGTACCCCTCATTGTCTTCTGGAAGGTTTGAACCCCTCGGGGCCTTACCAGAGGCACAAACAGAACCGCATTTTCCCAGAATCGTAGGCTGAATTCTTCTCCGTCATGCCGAATTCATTATGTGATATCAATAAGCTTTTACAATTTTAGTGTCCTCGTCAGCCTATGTAGACACCGAAAATCGCTCTTTTCTTCAATTTTCCATAATCCATTTTAAAATATCACGGGTCAGGACACACTCGTCATGGGACAGTCGCAGATTCTCAAGTCCCGGTCGAAGCTTGGGAATGCAAAGCAGGTCTCTCAAAATGCCAAATTAAAGCATAAATTCGCTCCTGCAGTAGCAAAAGAGACTCTGTCGACAACTCAATTAGTCAACCAGCTGCAGAGTTTTGAAATCGTTGAAACTTGTCTTCGCGCTGCAGTAAGCTCTTCTTATATATCTTTCGTCTCATCGACATGAATCTAACTCTTTTCATAGATTAGTTGTCTTTCATACCTTCGGTAGGTTCAAAGATGAGGTAAATAGGGCGAGCTAATCGCATCTACAGACAATTGTTTCCAGAAGAATGTTTCGAGGAACGTTACTATGATAATCTTAACAGGAATTGCTCGTACAAAGAGTTTGTAGCCGGTCAAGGCGAGTTTGGAGATACGGACGGCGAACTTTTAGGACAGAAGCCCCGCAGGCCAGGCTCAACTCTAAAGCTCTTAGTCAGAGGAAGAAGTTCACTTGCTGATACGCTTCTCAATTGGCTTGTCCGTCGATCGCGCAATTCTCCATGGATAAAGGCTTATAGGCTTCTTAGGAGTACGGAATCTTTGAAGCTATTGAGCTCAGCTATCTGGAGGGTCTGCAACTGACCATATACGCCGACGCTCAGCGCCCAGAAAACGTGCTCGAAACGTACACTTTCACCTTTCAGTATAGGACTGATGGATCCCCTGACAAGTCTCGGCTCTCTAGCATAGAAGTAGAGAGTCCGGTGGGGGAGAAGGTCACCATCAAGGAAGCCAAGTATGGTTTGCAGATGCTGAACATGCGGTTGGTGGCTCTAAGCACTTTTCTTCCTCAGCTTCCAGGTAAAGTCAATCCCTAAAAAATAGCTGGTTGAGCTCAGCTGACCTGAATCCAATAATAAGAATCTGTCTTCATAACAGCCCATCTCTTTTACGCAGAGCATTGTCCGTCAAACTATGAGCCGAAAGGTTTCCGTGCCTGTACAAGCGACAATGTGTTCTTTCCAGACGACGCACAGTGGAAGAAACAAACCGAAAGCTGTGGTCAGATGAAGACGGGGTTTCACTCGTGAGCTCTTCTCCTTAAATGATTAAAGGGAAATGAACTTAGCTTTTCTTTTACCTACCAGGGTCCGACTCCGAGTCTCCAGCTTAAAATGGACTGCGGCAGATAATCAAGATCCAGAAAAGGCCGGAGCAATCCCAAGCTCTCTTCATTCCTACAAGCAGTACTCGCGTGAAGACGAGTTAGAGGGAAGTAAAAATGGGAGTAGATCACCGTCTCTCTCTTCAGCTGATAACTTTCAAGGGCCTCAAAGCGGAGCAGGTCTGTCGAATGAACCAGAAGAGAATGCGGTACGGGAGGACACGTCCCCGACCGAGAGTCTAAGTGAGGAACCCGATAGATATTCCGCCGAGTCCAATCGGAAATTGTTGCGGAAAATACTTGAAGTAGATCAATAACATTTTCCTGCCTTACATATTCCGCTAACGACCCTCCCAGACAAATGACGTGGTGCCTATTACGCAGGATTCGGATCTTATATCAACGCAACAGGAGTCCCTTATCAAAGATGACAACTTGGAATCTCGTTTGTACAGGTTGTCCCTTCGTCCAGTATTCTCTCAGAAGCAAATCGAGGAATTGAATAGAAAAAGAGAGTCGGCCGAAGACGGAGATCATTATGAGCGCAGCTCAGGAAACAGTGGTCGATCCATGGTAAACAGCGATATAAATGAAAGAGTTAAATGCCAATGCGGATGGAACAAAGAAGTTGACGAGATGGTAACATTGAAAATCTTGGAACATTGAACAGCGTCTAAGCAATTTTTTTTTTGCAGATATACTGTGAATTTTGCAAAACTTGGCAACACCTCAACTGCTACGGCTACCGCGGGGAGACTGACCCTGCTCTGCCAAAAGAGCATATTTGCTATGAATGTCTTTTGGAGCCTCATGAGGCCGACCAGCTCAGAGATCTTCATTCAATGAGTTTGCTTCGTAAAGCTCTCACGCTGATCTACGGCAAATTCACGAGCTTCCCACAAAGCGAAAAGGCACTAGGGAAACTGCTCCGTTAGTATTAAAGAACCCTAAATAATCATATCCAGAACTGACATGGTCAGACTGTACGGTCAAAGATGCTAAGAATATCATCGCTCAATTAGAGGCCGAAGGCTTCATTTCAAGTGTGGCAAGGGATCAGGCATCCTCCAGGACACCGCGTCAGCGACAGCGGAACAATTGGGTCGTGGTTGATACCGAGGAGATCAGATTGCGAATGGATAAGTTATACTTTGACCCAACGACGAAGATTGCACACCATGTGTGACCACCTTGTCTTGGATCCGCAAGAATATTGGACTGACCAAGGAATTACAGTGCACCTTGCCCTCAAATCCCTCTTTCGATGAGGTTTCCATGGGAGGTATGCAGCCCTTGGAAGACCGTGAATCACCAGACACAGATCAACCATATGATGCTTGTGAACCTTTTTCAGATGTAGGGATAGAAATCGGCAAGAATGACGACATAAGCGCTGAAGGAGACGCACTACGGCAATCTCAAGAATCACCCACAGGTAGCCAACAAAGCCTTAGGAGTCGTTCAAGCACTGAATTCGGACAAGTCCCGTCTCTAGAACCTCGAGTAAATGCCGTACGAAGATGCAATATAGCTGAAGTCGGTTTGCAATTGCGGAAGAGAACAAGAAGTTCCGAGACTCGACAAACAACTTACCGACCCGAGAAAAGGCTGAGATGCAGTGAAGCAGCCGAGCCGCTTAATATGAGTGGAGGAGAGTGCCATGGCTCAGTGCATCATTGAATACATCGCCTGTATTATGATGTACTCCTTGGATCTAAAAATAGATTGACCGATGGCGGCCTAAGTGGATGAGGATTACCTTTGCTTACCCTTCATAATTTGCTACTGGTATGGGGGATTTGCTGCCATGTGGAGTGCAGATGTCGTTAGTTGCGATTAAAAAGATGCCTGACGATCCTTCACCCAAAGCAGATGCTTGCGCCGATGTTGGTGAAACATGAACTTATGCTTATTCGTGCTTAGAGCAATTTGCTTTCTGCTCACCTCGTTAGGTTCATAGATTGGAATAATTAGATCCTTTTACTATAACTATACGAAGTACTCACTTTTTGCTATTGGTCTGATTCCTTTCCCCCTTTTCCCGCCTGTCCCAAATGAATGGATGGGGCAGACTCAGGCTAGGAGTTCAGGTTCCCCCGATTATTATTATTCAAGCCACTGCAAAAATTATTACTACGGTGGGATCTCGCTTACCCGCCAGAACGACTTACGCATCCGTGAGAGCGCATAGACGACGTAATTTGCTCCTTTCTGCCTAGCGATGGGCATGTTCAATCACACTACCGGAGTACGACTGTTCGACAATCTTCAGATGATTGTTCGACGCCCATCGCATAATCATGACTGCATCAATTTCTACTCACTGGCTGCACCCTGCATTGGGCCTCCGCAACAACATTCGGATTGCCCGTGAGGCTGGCTGATCAACCAACCCGGTTCCATGTTTCAAGTCGAACACCTACCATTGGTACTTACAATGAGCCGTTCTGTTCCCATGTCCGACGGTCCTGTCAAAGTCAGAACTACAGAGCCACCAAGCTGGCTTTGGTTGGCAGAAGTGGCCAGAGTAGCTACCCCTGTGCTATGTTTTCAACAGATCGGGAGAGTTAGACGCGGCCTAATAATGTCCGGTGGGGCCCAATTCTTCCAGGGAGCGGGTACCCTAAGCTGACAACCCACTACCAGCTTCGGAACCGTGCCACTTTTAGTCCTACAGGAGCTCTCTTTTGCCAAATGCCAGGTTCCTCATCTCTTTGGAAGCTCTGCATCTCTCCAATAGTTGAATTTTGATTGATGCTCATTAGACTTCCGATCTTCTCCCCATCGCTCTCGATCTCCTGTTCCTGAACATTCAACGCAATTATCCCAAAAACTTATTACAATCGATGAACAAAGCATTCGACTTCGATTTTCGCAAAATATTGGTGTACCAGAGGGATGCTGCTGAGTGATTTACAGGCAGTGGATGTAGTGTGGGCTTAATCTGCCCTGCTGTCGAGCGTCACTGCACGACTGAGCAACATTTCGCTACATCTCAGATCGGGCGACTCTCTTTCCAGTCAATTGGATCAGAGTGCAAGAACGGAATCCCTCAGGGAAAACCTCGATAGACACGATGGGTCGCGCCTCAAAGTTCGTCTTTCCTCGATCAGGACGACGTGCAGAACCCCCGCCGTCTGCGCCCACACTGCAGAATTACCAATCTGGTACCACTCAAGTCTACGACTCGTCAACAAAGGCCCAGAGACTGCTCGGGACCTCGGAAATACCTGGGTATCGAGGACCTGGGTCCAATACTCCGCAGCCGATTTCTCTCAAGCCCCACAAATCCAATGTACCCATTCCAGAGGAAAGCGTAGATGGCGAGGGAGACGGAAATAATGGTGAAATAAAAATTGCGTTTGATACACGGGAGCATAGTCCGCGGCCGTCAGGGATATCCCAGACACGGCGTCCGTTCTCGCCGCAAATCTATCCGTCCGACAATGCTGCTTATTCCAGCTCTGCCGAAGTTGGGCCCGAGATTTTTGCGCACGGAACAGATCCCAACGCCAAGAAGATGTTGCTTGATCCCTCGGCAGCTTCAAATATCTTCCAACGAAAGTCATCTGCGTCCTCGGAAACCAATGCGGCCTTTGTAGAGCAGTCCATGTCAGAACGCCAAGCCCATTTGGGGATGGCTCTGCCAAATCGCTCATGCGTCTCAGACTTGAATTTTGAGAGGAACAGAGAGCTCGGTGCGGGAGAAACAAAATCTCGACCTTCCAGATTAGATCTTTCTCGATTGTTTCCTCGTTCCAGTTTTCAACGGACGGTCACGCCATCGCAATTCGAGGGTAATGGTCCTCCAATGTCCGTGTCAAGTCTAGGAGCCAAACACGTACGACCGGGCGAGGATGGAAGGACTTCAAATAGTCAGCGACATCCACGGACCAAGGCTTCGATGCCAAACCTGATTGGGAGAGCTACGGGCAAGACGGTCGATTCTGGGCGGAGCAATTCGAAAAATTGGTTCGATGGCAAAGAGGCGGGCGAAGGCTTTGAGGAAGATGAGCAAAGTGACACCCTTGCTCAGCGGAATGATATAACACAAAGCTTTCCTGAACCTCCGTTAAGTGCCCGTACCGCTGAATTCTTCTCTAATCGAGGCTCTGGAAAGTCAAGCATCGGTAGCAAAGGCTGCTTTTACCGAGATTCTGGCCATTCCAGCTCCACTCGGCCAATGACAAGTGCCTTGGATCATAGGGCTGCAACTGCGTCACTCGTTCCATGTTCCAGTGATGTGCAAAGTGTCCGCTCCTTTTCCAGCCGCCGGACGCAAAACTCGAGCAAGAGCGGCAGCAGGATGATGAATTCGGATCTCAACAAGCAAAGTGTACTATCTTTCTCGTCTTCTGAGGATGAGGATGAGGACGAAGATGGCTCCACACCGCCTTCGCTCGATTTTGACACCAGTACAAGGGGCAGTTACGAAGATGATATACACCGTCTTTCTGACCAAATGGCCGCTGAAAGTAGAGGAGGGCCAACTTTAGATGAACTCCGCCCTCGCCAGGGGCCCAGATCATATGCAAGCTCTAGTGGACGATCATCCGTTACTATTGGCAACAGTGAAGCATTTGCGTCAGAGCCCAATAATACTACTCCGCGCAACTCGCAGCACCTTACACGCATGTATAGCAATGCTTCTTCCAAGTTCTCCATTCCAAGCACTATCAACACGAAGTCATCGCAAGCTCCAAGCTTACGAGAATCACTTCGCTCCACCTCTACAACTTCTACTGCAAGGCTTTCGGAGGTCGAGTATCTTTTACAAGCGAGACAGGATCGCCTTATGGCCGTCACACACGAAGAGGAAGCTCTGCTCGAAGCTATGAGGCGCAAGAGAACTCGCATGCATCAGGAACACGCCGAGCAACGACAACGCTCAGCGGCTCGTAGCCGGAAACCTACAATCTCCCCGGTCCCAGAAGACCGCGTATCTATCATCTCAGACGCGACAAGCTTCCCTTCGCCTCCAAGGCAAACCCGCCATGAGCCTCGCAGTCGGGAGCGTCGTCCGCCTGCGCTGTCCTCTGAGGCACTGAAACGCAACTCCAAGGAGAAATTTCTTCCCACTCCCAAAGTTTCTCCAACCATTCATTTTGACATGTCAAATCTGCTCCTATCTTCACGGGAAAGCGTGCACTCTCTCCCGCCGCAACAGGAAGAGGAGCAGAAGCAGTTGGGTCTCGCCGATCCGGCTCTGTCAAATCCATTCGCTACATCATCTCCCTTTCCAGACCATCATCTGTTTCCTGAAGATGACTTCCAGCAGCAAACACGGACCGCCCGTAGCGGCTGTGTAACTGAGGGGGCCGAGAAAGCAGACAAACAAGGGCTTGTGAATCAAGCAGCTCTGAAATGACAAAAAACACACCAACATTCCTTAAACCTCCCGCCAGAAATTTCCTAACCTTTACTACAAATACACTCTCGTATCTCCTTTGTCTCTTCGAGTTCCATTCTTTGCTTTTCACCTCCCTTCATTAGACATCTTCCCTTGACGGCCCTGGTGGCATATACACATTAGCATCCTAGCGATACCGTTCTTGCATTTATTTGGCTTGGTGATACCACATCTCTTCATACACAGTCTACCTTTCTTTTGTCCTTGGAGCGATTTCATATTAGCGTGGCATAAACTATACAACCATAGACTTTCTATACACCATTAATAGAACAATAATCGTAATATGAAAATATCTTTATCCCCTCTCCTCCCCCCCGGGATCCTCTTCGTGCTCGATTAATATCATGTAGTGATCGTCTCAAGGCAAATTCGATGCGTTATCTAACACATACAAACCGGTACTCGTCTACCAATAGTTGTCCTATTCCCATTGATATTCCATTTTTCATTTTCAATTTTACATTTTCCATTTTCTTCTAGCTATACTTTTGCCGACCTCTGATTTCCAACAAAATGACTCACTTCCTATTGTGGACTTGCAGAGAAAACGCGCACGGTAGCACAGCACGCAACCCAGGGCTGCCGGCGTCGATCCCTTCCTCGGCGTCGCAGTCCGGGTCTCCGAGCTTGTGTTTGACCTACAGATAAGGCAAGTTGCAACTCGGACACTCTAAGTGAGTTTGTAATTCTTCTTTTCTCCCCTTTTCTTTTGTTTCTTATCTTTTTCTTGGTTCTCTTTTTATTTTTATTTTCTTGCCTTTTGCCATCTGATCTGTAGCGTCCTATTTTAGTTGGGATAAAGCGACCTTTCACCCAACGCAGGCGGTCAAGTCGGTCCTTGGTCGCGTGCCTTTCTTGAAAGTATCATTACCATTCAACTTCATGTCCGATTTAAAAATCAATCACATTTAAAATATTACCATGGAACGCGAAAAAAAAAAAAATGAAAAAATTAAAAATAAATAAATATTATAAGGAGGGTTTAATGGATGTCTCTACCATTTCGACTATTTCAATATTACGGGACGGCGGCAGTCATCTACGGCAATATTGGGCAGCAACGTACCCTACTTCGTACACCTGTACCTTTGTACAGTAGCGCCAAACCCTCGGAGGGGCGATCACATCGCCGAGTCTGTAGACCGCATAATCCATACAAACGCTCAAGTCCCTCCGAGGCTGCTCCTTCGCTCGCTCCAAGATTTTTGCCGAAGCCCAAAGCCAAAAGAAAAAGTTCAAGTTACGCCGAGCTCCCGCGGGTGACAGGACTGCTGAGACGCCAACACGCCAACCTTGACCGACGTCGTCCGCCAAAACGAACAAAGTACTCCTTACTCCGCTGTTCATAGAGAGATACTTTCATCTTCGCGCTAGACATCGTGTCTTTGTAAAGTCACTTTCACCGTTCCCTTGGTCGCATAAGGAGTACCTGCAGGTGCCTCTCTTATCGCCAAACTGACAGCAGGTTACAGCGCCAAATCAACCACGCTAAAAGCGCCATACGACCAGGGGTTCCCGCGTCAGGGCCGTTCGGCGACATGGTCAGGAACGCCGAATGAATCACAACGGCCGAAAGGTCAGTTGCGAGCTTTGTCCTAGGATTGCGCATAATTGACGGGCGCCGAGTGGGGCACGGGGAGGATGGAGGAGGAGACGGAAAAGATATAACCGTACTTCGTACCTCTCTGTAGATATATTAACATTCAATGCGCCGTCGATTTGGCATTTTTCAGCTTGGTCTGCATTGCAATTTGACAGCTGTAGATACGGCAGCATTTTGAAATTTTTTTTACGTTTTCTCGTTTTTCTACGAGATAGTGACTTCATTTATATTGGATACCTGGTTGTCTAGAACTGTCGACAGCGCAGTACATAAAAGAGTATTCGACGAACTGCAGGAGAACCAGCGATTATAATTGGGTTGAATGGCCAAATCACTGCACATACGACAAAAGCAGGCGCAAGCAATAATTGCAGAGCGCCAAATGGTTGGTGCTCGGGACGCATTTACGATATAAGTTCAAATTACGCAAACGAGTCCAATTGAAAGGAGGGAAAAGAGTGCAAAAAGGGACAGAAAGGAAAGAAGGAAGGGAAATAATAATTGCTTTTTTTTTTGTTTCCGACTGGAAGAATTCCAATTGCCAAAGATGGAATCGAGCGCGGGCGCCGAATTGAAGCAACCAACTGTACCAAAACAATGTGCTGCACCTCCGCGTACGGGAAAGTCACTTTATGATACTGAAACGACGACTGGGAATGTCAATTTGGGAGGAGAAAAAGATGTTACGAGAGACGCCGACAGCTGCGGCGCCAGGAGCGCGTCTCAGATTCCGGTAGGATTTACCGACAAGGATGGCGAAAATAGAAGAGATGAGAACGAATATGATCTCGAGAAAGCCGAAGATGACGAATCAAGCACTTCGGACCCAGAAGAGGAGTCTCGTCGCTCCACTCTTCCCAGGTGGCGCAAAAACGTCATTCTATTTATCGTAAGCTGGATGACGCTTGCAATCACATTCTCCAGCACGTCGTTGCTGGCCGCCACGCCTGAGATTGCCTCCGAATACGGCACAACACCAGAAATTATCAATATCACAAACGCCGGCGTTTTGTTAGCTATGGGAATATCGTCCTTGATCTGGAATCCTATCAGTGACATGATAGGCCGGAGACATTCGTACAATGCAGCAATTTTTATGTTCTGTGTGTGTACGGTGGGAACGGCTGTGGCACCGAATATGAGAACATTTACGGCTTTGAGAGTCGTTGTTGGCTTGACGGGAACCTATTTTATGGTGGCAGGCCAGACAATTTTGGCAGATATATTTGAACCAGTAAGTAATTTTCCCGGCCCATGCAGAAGCTGTTATACAAAATTTGAGAGGGGTCGTTACCTTGTGCTCCGATTGGAGCGGAGCAATTTCCGAACAAACATTTGGCTAATATTGAATAGACGGAACGCGGGACTGCAGTTGGATTTTTTATGGCCGGTTCTGTAAGCGGCCCAGCTATAGGTATGGAAGCTCGAGAATTTGAATATCAAAATCGGCCCATTGGTCTATTTTTTTTTGTTGCGAGACATACGGCTGACGGAGGAGAATAGGCCCTTGCATTGGAGGAATCATTGTGACCTTCGCCAGCTGGCGAATAATATACTGGGTTCAGACTGGCATGGCAGCATTAGGCCTTGTCTTATCGCTTCTTCTTGTCCCGCACATTCAATCGGCTGGAAAATCCAAAGATGATCCAAATGCGCAGGAAAAGAGGACCGTCCTTAAGCAGCTCGCAAGGTTCAACCCGGCGCCGGTGTTCAAGCAGATGGTTTATCCTCACGTCTTTCTCGCTGTAGGTTGTGCCTGTTTTCCACCCTGTTCCTAACCCTGGTTAGACAAAATTCACTAATGAGTGGCTTTGTATGACAGGACCTTACTTGTGGCTTCCTCGCATTCTACCAATATGCATTGTTGACCTCGGTTCGATCAATCATCAATCCCCGCTTTCATCTTACTTCTCCTCTTGTTAGCGGACTCTTCTATCTCGCCCCCGGTGCCGGCTTTCTTGTTGGAAGCATTCTGGGTGGGCGGTTTTCAGACCGAACGGTCAAGCGATATATCAAGAAGAGAAACGGCGTCCGCCTGCCGCAGGACAGGCTCAACAGTGGCCTGCTGACTTTATTTTTCGTACTCCCGGCAGCATCCTTGATATATGGGTGGACCTTGCAAAAAGAGGTTGGTGGTATTGCTCTGCCAATAATTTGCGCATTCTTTGGTGGAGCCGGATTGATGGGGTCATTCAACGGATTGAATACTTATACAGCTGGTACGAACGCCCTGCAACACATGCCTTTCAACTCTTGGTCAATCTTGGCTAGTCTTTGCCTTTCTTGAGAATGCTGACAATGATTCATATAGAGGTGATTCCACGGAAGAGATCCGAGGTTATTACCAGTAAATACATTGTGCAATATATTTTTGGAGCAGGCGCTAGTGCTGCGGTTGTACCTTTGATCAAAGCTGTTGGCGTTGGACTGACCTTTACCATCAGTATGTCTTTCTAATTCCTAAATTGGATATCTGATGCTAATCATGTATACGTACCGTACAGCGGTAATACTTGTGCTAGCAGGCGGAATTCAGGTCTGGGCTCTCGCGAGACGCGGTCTTGACATTGAGCGGTGGACGGAGAATGTTCTTGGCCTCAAGCTCGAGAAATAAGATGCGATGATGATCTGCGTTTTCGGACGCACCCAATTTGGGTTATACAATAATGCTGATGAGCGTCTGGGTATGTTTACGGTTCGCTTCTAATGGGCGTCCACATCGCGTTCATTTTGTTCCATTTCCCGGCGTTTATTTGGTGCATTTTCATCCAAAGTAATCATTATACCCGAAGCATGAGCATATAGAGAGCCAAAATTAGATATTATTTATTCAGTCGGTAGAGAAGGCGTTGGCCAAGTCCACAAGGTGCCTGGATCGCTTGTTGACATATCGACCGGGTTTAGCAGGCCAAGATCCATGTCCGACTGGGCCAGAAAATCTTGCATAGTCGGCTCAAGAAACGCCATTTCAGTAGTAAATCCGGCAAACGTGTTTGATGATAAAGAAAGTCCTTGGCTCCCTGAAGGTGCTGGAAGCATGCTTTGATTTTGCATACTTGCGGGGACCACCATAGGCGGCATAGCAGGACGATCGGGCATCAACATATTAGCTTCGTTATTCTGGCGTCTTTGCTGCGACCCGTTGTTTGCATCTTGTATACTCTGGCTGTCCAGGCAAAGTTTTACCTGCTCCAAATTGACGTAAAATTCTTTGGCAGATAGATTCCCGTTGTCGCTCATGGAGCGGAGAATCTCAATTGAAGTCTCGAACCCTCCGATATCATGCTTATTCTTAGCAGCCAGGAGACTGGACATTGCTAGAACAAGCGCGGATGAGAAGAGATAATGCGCGTAAAAGTAGCCGAACATGGAAAGAGAGCCATTGACCCATTCTTCAACAATGAGCGAATGAGTATGTCTCGCAGCATGAATGCAGGCCTCAGCAAGTGTTAAGACAGCTTGTGAGATAGACTCAGCCGGTCGTTCATTCGACGCCGCAGTCTTGGTCTGCAGTATCAATGCATGAAGTAGGGTTGGCCGAGTTGCAAGGATCACACACTGCCATTATTGATTAGCTCTGGTTTGAGCCTTGGGCTCATTTAGCTACACCCACCTGATTGAACGAGAGATGCAAGGAGACTATGTGTTTTTGATTGGGACCGTCATCTTGCGATTTGAGTTTGACATGTTCGGGAAGCGTCTCGACCCAATTCTTCAGCGATTTCAAAAGCTTTTGCACCCTTTGAAGAAAAGTTTCGTGATATGTCTTTCGACTGTATATCTTGGCAACAATTTCGCCTGCAATTTGAGCTAGATTGATGCCGGCAATCGAATATTTAGTGTCTAGAAATTGTGCGTCATGCTCCGTTTGGGGATATACAGTTGAAGGCATATCGACGTGAATATCCTCATCCAAAACCTGCATGGGGAGTCCCATCTTAGATCCCCACATTCGGTCGAACATGTAAATCGTCCACCAGAGCCGGACACGATGTTGACGCTCCACTGGGTCGATGAGCTGTGACTCTGGAACGTTGTGGTTGAGACCTATAGTAAGCCCAAGTCTCATGGCCATGCCGATTAAGGAATAGGCTGAATGACGTCGGTTTAAAAAATATGAAAACAGAGACTTTTCGCATTAATTAATGAACGACGGTAGTTGGAATATAATTATCTACTTACCAGTAGAATTAAATTTTCGAGGTAACTTAGATTGGCTCGCTCGGGTACGAACTGGATCAATGTCATTGCTTTGGCAAAGTAGGGCGTGCCGGGCACCATGGGACTTGACGACGGGATGGACCTGATCGAGTAAACTTCTCCAAATGCGAATAACGCAAAAAACTTGCAGGTGCTCAAAGGACAGTCGAAGTTGGCTGTTCTGTAGATTTCTTCAAGCTTCTCCAGGTTCGCTTTTCTCGGCAGTAAATGGTAGACTCGGCCAACATGATTAAAGGCTATTTTGACTAGCAGTCGGGCTTGCGGAAGGGAAGGCCATGTCACCGGCCTACTGTTCGCTGCTGCTAATGCAGATTCTGTGAGGTATTGAGTTCGAGTGAGGTGGTTAGTGGCGTTTTTATCGCCAGTAAGGAATTGGCGGAACCGGGTTGCAAATGCAGTACATGCGGCTTCTCCAATGTATATGGGAGGAGCTGAGGGATCATATGGATGGAACCAAGCTCTTTCCCCAATGAGCGGATTTCTGGTGCTCGTGTCGCTGTCATCGACATTTGAAGCAGGTCGCGGCTGTCCGCCTCCAACCTCATCTTGTGCATTCCTAGCCAGGTTTAATTGCTCTTCCAGTCGCTGGTTCTCTGAAACAAGTTGATCAATGTAACTTTGATGCAGGCATGCAAACGTTAGCAATATGATCAACTGGCAGTAATTTGCTAAATTATGAGATGATTAACCTCTCATTAACTTTTAATTTACGGTCTCGGTTTGCGTAACGGCATTGGTCAGCGAACCCAGTCTGCTGGCACTTGGCACATGGTTGATCGCCCGAGCATTTAATTTTATGAGCATGGCATCTTTGACATCTTCATAAATTGTCAGAAATGATATTGCAAATGTATTCGGCTTACGCACGCGGTAAAACTCTTCTTCAAGCTCTTTGGCGACGACTCATGTGAGCCTTCTCTAGTGTCTAGATGCCTCTTGGGGGGCATAGTCGCGAGTGAAGCTAATGAAAGCCAGCCGATCGTTTTATTTATAATCTGAGTTGAGTTTTCCAGCCATCAGTTTCATTATAATTTGTGGGGACCGACCCCGCGGAGCACGACGAAGGGTAATACTTTGAAGCCGTGTGAAGATATTGTGATGCAGTGACTTCGACGATGATGACTCCAGTCACGTGCTTGGCCCTGCTCAGGAAATTAGCTTGCAGGCTTAGAGCAAGAGCTGTGGCTCGCGTAAGACTAATGTACTCCGTAGTGTTAGCTGGCATCTCACCGCCTATTCGGGTACGATAGCCTGAGAGAGGTGGAAGCCCCAGTTCAAGAAAACCCGGCGTGTATATATCCCAGTCCTCCTGCGAAGCAAGTAGCTTTACCCTAGCTCGAAGCAACAAAACCAATTATTTCAAAATAACACACTTTCATAAGCTATCGATCGTCCAAGAAAGTTCTTTGACAATGAGATGTATGCAAAAGCTGGGGGAGATAGGTTGTAAGTCAGCACTTTTAAGATGTTCTATTGTACGGAGGTACGATTTTCCGTACAGGAGGCAGTTGGATAGCGTCCTGCCCACATCAAGGTCCTAGTCGAATTCTGGGGTCGGACTTTCGTCGGCCCGTATCCGACTCTCTGGGGTAAGCTCCCCTACCCCCATACTCCAATGGACGTCACACGCTCAAGTCCACCCCATGATCTCCCTTGCTTCAAGACATCTGTCCGTATAGAATAAACCGCCCTATTTTATCTCTTCAAGCTCTTTCCGTCGGAGCGTTGTCTGTTCTGTGCTGTCTTCGATGTTCCTTTCAACAGGTAGTTGAACATCATGGTTGAAGTTGCACATCGACAACCATCGTGGATGGGCATCAAGGTCAAGGACCTTGCCCTCTTTGCTGTGAGATCATCTTACGTACCCATCATGAAATTAAAAGCTGAACCATGATAGTTGGCCGTACAAAATGCCGCCGTTATAATGGTAGGACGCCCTCGAACCGGAGCTTCATCAAGGCTGATCAGAAAATAATAGTTTGTTCGATACTCTCGAACAATGCCTCCCGTAGGAGGTCAACGTTACTTTTCTTCAACAGCCGTATTCTTAACTGAGATGATCAAATTCGCATTATGCCTCACCATTGCCCTGTACGACGTATCTCGCAACTTGCCTCCGACCTCCTCAGTTTTATCACTTTTCAAGGTGCTTTCGGGTGCTGTGTTTACCGGCGATAGTTGGAAGTTGGCAATTCCTGCTATCATTTTTACTTTGCAGAACTCATTACAGTATATCGCGCTATCCCATCTTGACGCGCCCACAGCCCAAATAACATATCAGCTCAAGCTCGCTTTTACGGCAATATTTGGCATCCTTGCATTTCGTAAACCATTGTCGTTGCGGAACTGGGCGATGCTTGGTCTTCTTATGCTTGGTGTTGCAGTGACTTACATTCCAAGTGCTGATCCTACCGGTTTTTCGTTTGCCAAAGAGGTTCATGCTCGACGCTCGATTACAAAATCACTTGCCAGGGACACCGTGGATTTCACAAAACGATCTGCTACATACGAGGGCATACAAGAAGATGAGGGATTGGAACATCCTCCAGTTTACGCGTCTCTTGGATTGTTGGCCGCACTCGGCTCCTGCTGTTTGTCTGGCCTCGCCGGCGTTATCCTTGAGAGAATATTCAAAGATTCAAAAAGTCCTTCCTCGCTCTGGGTTCGGAATATCCAGCTATCTTTCTATTCTCTGTTCCCTGCGCTCTTTATTGGCGTAATCTTCATTGATGGTGAAGAAGTTGCCAAAGTCGGGGTCTTTCAAGGATACAATTGGGTTGTCTGGACAACGATTGGCTTACAAGCCCTGGGAGGCGTCCTTGTCGCCATATGTGTATTCTATGCGGACAACCTGGCAAAGACTACCGCTACAAGTATCAGTGTTATATTGACAATCGTTGCAAGCGTCTTGTTCTTCGATTTTCCGGTCACGACTAAGGTTCGCGCCCTATGTACACCCTTTCTAAATCCATTTTAGCTAATAGCATACTCTTTTAGCTACTGGTTGGAGCGATACTCAGCGTCATCGCAGCAAATCTCTTCAAAGGGAAAGACAGATCACGCCCTCCACCAATCAAAATCGCGAAATATGAGAGTACGACAATTGACCGGCGGCCGTCTATTATTGCTGGGGAACAAGATCCCAATACACTACCACTGCCTACTGCACTCCAGACGGAAGAGGCTAGATCTACCTCCCGTCCTAGCTCTCCACGAGGTCACTCTCGAGGCCCGCAAGGCAAAGGAAAGTCGCCAAAGAGGAGTGCGTAAAAGACATTGCTCTCTTCTTCCTGAGACCCCAAGCTCGCATGAGCGATCTGGGCTTTCTTTAATTCTCAAATCCCACGCAGGAGTGTATTTTTATTTGATCTACCTCTGCATTCTCCCTGAAGTTGTTACGGGTGAAGGAGCAACCTACGGCATACATTGACTACTCATGGACTGAAGGTATCCCAAATCAGACCTAAATATTCTGTGTCACAGGACTGCCGTTCATTACGAATGTTCCCCGTCTTTACATACCTAATTGAAACGTAAATATTATGTCTTTGTCGTTTGGCCCTGGATTCATCTCTCGACATTTTTCTATGTTTTTGTGTCAACATTGGCGCACATTTGGTCATCTGGCGCGGAATTAGGCATGGGATCAAAAAAAAGATTATTTATCATCAGATAAAATCGTATTTCCAATAATGGACATATAATCTTCAAGGGGTTCGAATGCAGTGAAAAGACTTGACCATATATTGGAAAAAGGAAGAAACAGTTGGCCGCAGTCTCAGCAGAATCTTTAATCCTACGAACTGATTTTGCACATTTCGGCCAGGGGCTCTTTTTATTATTATTATTTTCCGGGGGTTTCAATTAGTACAGCGATCCCGGCTGTGTTTCTTTTCTTTTATTTTTTTTTTATTTTTTCCCGGTTGTACTTCTACAAGGGAAGTTCGCTGACTCAATCATTCCTCCTAGACGCTACGTATTTTCAAGTTTGAATATATTTATTTGTCAAACTTATATCTGCAGCCTGGCGCTCTTCACGGAGGCCAGTTTACATCTCATATCGGCCGACTATATGGATAAATACACTGGCTCTCGATATTCCTTTGATATAGACGAACTCTTCGGGCAGCTAGAATGCGACACTGAGTCAGCGAATATCCGACATGACATCCTGTGGAACAATGAAGGCCATCGCAGCAGTTCAATTTTCCAACGTGCGTCCCTGACAAGTCTTTAAGGAAGTGATGGCAACTAATATCTTCAATTTCCCCATCATTAGGCTCATCGACTGATCCCTGGCAATTTGATGTAGTAAGTTAGTATCCAGAATTTAGAGCTCGCATATCTAAGTAATGATCTTAGAACAACGCCATTCACTCCCGAGAACAAAGTCATGTGGCCCTGCAACATGGTCAACTTGACCCTGCATTGCAGACCGGGGATACTTTTCCGAAAGCGTACCTGAATAATGGAGCCCAGTTCGACGGACGACACGTACCTCCTTCGGACTTTTTCGAACAGGAGTATATAAGCAAACCCCGAGTTGTTCCAGATGAGGTCGGGAAAGGATGTAGGTTTGGCATGGCACTACCTCTAAATATCATTTCGCAAAATCTCAACATGTATCAGATCCAAAATTTCCTCCGTCTGGCACCCGCACGGCTACCCATGACTGGCGGGATTCCTTTCCATCTGATAGCCTTGAGATGGATGTTATTGACATGCTTTCGAATCCCGCTGAAGTTGGAAGTTCACACTACACTCATGGCGAGGATGAGAACGCCATCTCACGTGGTGAAGGTATCCATAATGGAAGCAGACTTGCTTTTCTTGGCATTATCTAATTTCAGCAGGGAACCCCCCTCGGCATCATTCAAGTTTCTGTTCTGGTACTGTTTGCATCACTCTTTTAAGGTTTCCTGCCAAAATTCATTTGCAAGACTAAATCTCACTCAGGGTTACTCCGCGATTCATCTCCTCAAGCGGGCCTCTCACCCATCCTCTCGCTGCATCAAGTCAGATTTAGTTCTCCGCAGCGAGATAAAGAAAGAAGACGTGATGCGCCTTCTGTAGATATGAGCAACGGCAACCGAGACAAATTTCGCCATCGAGATGGGATGCCCACGGGAAACCAGGTCCCCGGACCACTGCTTCAGCAGCTACAGCTCAATCACGCACCTCCAATGGCGCAGGGGATTCCACTTGTTCCTCTGAATCAGTTGCCAGACCGATTTCGTTCCGTTTTCCCTTTCCCCTTGTTCAACGCCATGCAATCTAGAGCTTTCCATGCATCCTATAAAACCGATGACAACTTGGTATTATCTGCACCGACTGGAAGGTATTCAAATCTATTATAGAGTGGTAACGACTTTACTAAAAATTACTAGTGGAAAGACTGCTGTTCTGGAGCTTGCTATTTGTAGGCTCCTTACCGCTAGTCAAGGTCAGGACTTCAAAGTAGTTTATCAAGCTCCTACAAAGTGCTTGTGTGCCGAGAGATTCCGCGATTGGCAAGCAAAATTTGCACCATTAGACCTTCAATGCGCTTTATTGACCGGAGATACGGAACATGGTCAGCTCTGGAGTGTACAGCATGCTAGCATCATCATTACTACCCCTGAGAAATGGGACAGCGTGACCAGAAGGTGGAAAGATCATACCAAATTAATGCGGATGGTGAAGTTATTTCTCGTTGACGAGGTCCATATGCTTAAAGAGATGAGAGGTGCAACGCTGGAGGCTGTGGTATCTCGTATGAAGTCCCTTGATTCGCCGGTCAGATTCGTTGCCCTTAGTGCCACTGTTCCAAATTCAGATGATATAGCAGCATGGCTTGGGAAAAACTCCTCGGAAAAGTACCTACCTGCTCACGTTGAAAAATTTGATGAGGGCTTTCGCCCAGTCAAACTACAAAAGTTTGTGTATGGGTTTGCATCTAATGGGAATGACTTCGCTTTTGACAAATTTTGTGACACAAGGTACGTTACATTGATGCGGTGAAGGGCTGCTGCTAAGAATCTTAGACTGCCTGATGTGATATCAAAACATGCATGCAAAAAGCCTATTATCATATTTTGTTCAACCAGGAAATCAGCATTGTCCACAGCGCAAAGCTTAGCAAAACTCTGGAGCTCTCTTCCCGCCCCTAGTCGTCTCTGGCCTGCGCCGAGCTCCACATTACGGATGCAAAATCAGGATCTGCAAGGTATCTGAGTCAATTCTCATATCCGGAATGGATACTCTCGCGACATCTCTATTGCTAACTCTCTTGCAGCTTGTATCTCAGCAGGTGTTGCATTCCATCATGCGGGCCTTGACCTCTTCGACAGGCAGCTCATTGAGAAAGGGTATTTGAGTGGACAATTATACGTGATATGCTGCACGTCAACGCTAGCAGTTGGCATAAATCTCCCATGCCATCTTGTTATAATAAAGAACACGGTCAGCTGGCAAGGTAGCTCATGCCAGGAATACTCTGATCTCGAAGTCATGCAAATGATCGGGCGAGCCGGACGGTACGTATATAAATTACCACCGTTACCTACAACTACTGAGTTCATTCTTCATTCGTAGTCCCCAATACGATGACAGCGCAGTCGCAGCAATATTGACGCGACAGGAGAAAGTTGTACGGTATGAAAAGATGATGTCTGGAGAAGAGATTTTGGAAAGCTGGTGAAACTGCATCATCTCTGTCCCAGAAGAATAATCAATCTGGCTGATACATAAATTATGGAGCAGTCTGCACCGCAACCTCATCGATCACCTGGTCAGTGAACTTTTTCTTTTTCTTTTTCTTTCTTTCTTTTTTTTTTTAAAAAAAAATAAAAGTAAATCGTTAGGGATTAATGTCCCTAAATTAGAACGCGGAAATCGGCCTTGGCACTCTCCATGACTTGCCGTCCGCCAAAAAGTGGCTCTCGGGTACTTTTCTCTATGTTCGACTACAAAAAAATCCTGGTCACTATCAAATAGAAAATGATTCCGGCGAGCGAGACGTGGACAAAAAAATTGGCACGATTTGCGATCGGGACCTTCAGCTACTTCAAGATTATCAGCTTATAGAGAAAAGCGTCAAGCTAAAGTGTACTGAATTCGGAGATGCCATGTCACGGTATTATATAAGCTTCAAGACTATGAAAATATTCCTTTCGCTACAGCAGAAGGCGAAAATGTCAGAGATTGTAAGTTCTGGGTCATATTCACAAGCTATAACTGACGATCAGCTATCTGTTATTGCGCAAGCCGATGAATATCGAGAGATTAGATTCCGCTCAGGAGAGAAATCTCTATATAAAGAAATCAACAAAAATGCCTCAATCAAATTTCCCATCAAAGTTGACTTGGCCTTGCCTGCACATAAAGTCTCGCTGATCATCCAATCTGAGCTTGGAGCCGTAGATTATCCTAGCGGAGATCAGTTCCAAAAACACAAAATTCAATACATTCAAGAGAAAAATACCGTGTTCTTGCATCTACAACGGTTGATTCGATGTATCATAGACTGTCAACTATGTTTGGGGGATTCTGTTGCGGCTCGGCATGCTTTGGAGCTTTCGAGAAGTTTCGGCGCGAAAGCATGGGATAATTCCGCCCTTCAGCTTAAGCAGCTCGATCAAATCGGCCTAGTGGGTGTACGAAAGCTGGCTGCTGGCGGAATCACGGGCATAGAAGCGCTGGAGGCTACGGAGCCTCACAAGATTGAGATGATCATGACTCGAAATCCACCATGGGGCCGCAACGTATTGGAAAAGGTTCGGGCATTCCCGAAATTAAGCGTGTCAATTCAGAAGACCGGAAAGGTGAGCGCGGATTCCAATGCATGAGATAATATTTCGCTGAAGGTCTCAGGAAATAAAAGGCAGTGATGGGGTAAATGTCCACATCAAGGCCGAGGTTTGTTTCATCAACGAAAAGATCCCGACCATGTTTCATCGAAAGCCAGTCTTTGTTTGCTTCATGGCGGAGGTTTCTGATGGCAAGCTCCTGGATTTCAGAAGGATCAGGTTTACTCTCGTACACTCTTGGTTTAAAGCCTAGGCTAACTATTAAAGCGCTCGAAAGCTTCAAAATGCACAGAGCTTTTCTTTCCCGGTCACTTTGGCAAACCAAAACCAGTATATTACTTGTTATGTGATGTGCGACGAAATTGGTCAGTGACTAGAAACGCTCCTTGTCATCTTGCTAAGATGTCATCAGCTGGTACCATGCGCTATGCAGACCTTAAGTTGGATCTGCCTGCTTCCATGTTTTCACAATCACTCAAACGGGCAGAACCAGCCGCTGGGACCCAAAAAAGAAGCATTGAGATACTGCAGCAGAACAGTACTAAGACTCTAAATCTCTTAAACAGAGTAAACAAAAGGCGCAATTCTGCCAACATCACGAGTCCTGATGCATACGAAGACCTGGAGATAAGTGATGATGAATTTCGAGCAGTTGGTGAATTCTAAGCTCCGTAACTCTTAAGCAAAAACAGCGACAACTGACACAACATAGTGGACGACATGGAATTCAAGGATATTGATGATTTTGAAGATGCAAGCCCCCAAAAGGCAAATAAAATGACGCGTGACAGGTACATTGATAGCCAAGCAAAGGATTCAGTAGGTGATGAAATAAGCTGGGAACCGAAACGACTCGACAATGGCAAATGGGCTTGTAACCATAAATGCAAAAACAAAGCCACGTAAGAGTTCAAAAAATCATTTCCTCATAGAATGCTGACTGGAAAAAGATGTAAGCACATGTGTTGTCGGGAGGGTGTTGACAAGCCGCCTAAACCCCCCAAGAGACGCCACATTGGCCCTGTGCCCACTGCCGCAGGTATTCATACAGCCCCGGAATCAGCATCAGAATGCCGGAATGAGGGACAAGAATCACTTGCCTCACCACGAACAAAATTCTCGGAACGTCTTTCGGAAAACTCGAACAACGGATTTGAGGGTCTTCAGGTGACGGGCGACATTCATCGAAGAGGCAAGGCCAGAAGTCCCCCTAAACCTAAGGAGCTACAGAGACTTGAGCGGATGCATGCAGAAATTCAGTCAGATATTCCAATATGCAAGCTGATCGCGGACAGAAAAGATCCCGCCAGTGTGTTTCCGAAGGTTCCGTCTCAGCCCAGTGACAAAATTGGTATAACATCCAGGCTTCAGGACGATTCCGATATTTTTGACAGCGACTTGTGGATGGATGAATTCCCATCTCCTAAGGACCTAGCCAATAATAAAGTGTCACAGCAACTGTCAGCGTTGCGGCCTGCCGATAAAAGGCCTGGTCAATCTTCGCCGTGGCAAGACGATGATATTTCAGATATTGAGGATTCCCGTATCGGGTTGGACATTTTGCAACGACAGAGAAGAGCTGATACTCCAGCACAGCGTGGCATGGCCAAAGAAAAAGATATCCTTCAGACCTCTGATTTAATATTTTCAAGTTCTCCGAAGAAGCTTCCGCTGTTGAAGCGGCCGTTCCGGGATGAGAAAAAGCGAAAAGAGGCCTCGCTTTTTGTTTCAACGAGCAGCACTGAGCCCTCACCTGAGAGGCCTGAGAACTTTTTTAACATGAATACCGAGACTCCGAAATTATTCGGAAACAACCACCAAAGATCAACCATGTTAAATAAATTCCAGTATACGCCAGCGTCGAAAAAAATTCGCCTGGAGGGAGTTATTGGAAGAGGATGTAACGCCGCCCACAACCGAGACAAAGATATGAGATCGCATGAGAGACATCATGAAGCAAATAATATGGAGAACATTTCAAACATTTCACCGGTCTGGGAAGGCTTTACTCTCCCATTTCCCCAGTGAAGGAACTAAATTTATTTCATGATGTGGTCGCCTAGGGAAACTCATCCACGATCAGCTCAGTGCAATTTGCTCCTTTTGGAAATTCTAATCTCTAGACAAATAGGGCGCTTTCTTATTAGCTTTAAGTTCCTAATAGCTTACAGTTTTTATAGCCCAGTCCAATGCTTTTGTTGTGTTCATCATCACCGCATCATGATTTTTCCGGTGCGCTATTCTTGTTTACATCAGATTTGGACCGAGGAAATGACAGATCATAAACGTTAACATATCTTATCAATCAAAATTACATAAGCGCATCTCCGTTTCACAGGCCTACTCCAGCTTCAAACTGCTAGAATAAACAGCTCAAGTGCACCACACTTTAGCCCTTGTATTTAACAGTTTCTTGAATTTTATGAGGCATTTCCATTGAGCTGAGCGTAATGAGTTCTAGAAAAGTACCATGTCTCTTGCGCGGAGGCCGCAAATGGTGCAATGGCCCGTCTGGTGCCCGGCGCTCATTCGCACTCTCTTCAAGAAAGACAAGCTCCGCAAGAATATTGAATCCGGACAATTCATTCGCGACGAAAAGTTTGGGCAACTCCAAATTCTATACAACAACGAATCCCCGAAGTCACAGCTTCTCCGCGCCCCCGAACGGAGCTGAAAGCAATTATACAACCGTCGACCCTCGCGAAGTCGCACATTTCAATGCCCTCGCCTCGACCTGGTGGGATCCTCATGGCCCATCTAGACTATTGCATCTTATGAATCCTCTCCGGCACGATTTTATCAAATCCTGCTTAGACTCGGCCCCTCTTCCCTTTACATACCCCGAGACTCCTGCCTCTGCTTCCGCATCCGTGGCGGGTCCTACTGCTTCCTCTGCTGCTTCTTCGGCGACTTCGGAGCCCTCTTCTGCAGGCTCTGAGCCTACATCGGCATCGAATTCCTCGGCACGCAAACTTAAATATCTCGACATTGGCTGTGGCGGTGGAATTTTCACAGAGTCCGCAGCGCGGTTATCTAGCACATTATCTGCGACAGGCGTTGATCCTACCCCGTCCGTCTTGGCCGTTGCGCAACAACATCTTTCTCAGGATCCTGTGTTACAGCGTTCGGGCAAGCTGAAGTACCTGAATACCAGCATCGAGCAGCTGCCCGTGCCAAAGACAGACGATGAGCGGTATGTATGATTTCATGCCTCTCTGGATATTATTCGAGGCCTTCTCCTCCTTGTTTATTATCGTAGCAAATGGCTAATTACATTGATACAGTGTTGACATCCTTACACTCTTCGAAGTCATCGAACATATCGAGCACCCTGCGCCCTTCCTCGAGAAATGCATGCCCTTTGTCAAACCCGGCGGCTGGATCATCATGAGCACCATCGCGCGCACGTGGACGAGTTGGTTCACGACGAAATTCGTCGCGGAGGATTTAATCGGTATTGTCCCCCGCGGTACGCATGAGTGGGAGCGCTATATCAATGAGCCCGAGCTCAGAGGGTGGTTCGCTAAACAGCCTGGCTGGGGAAACATTCAGAATCAGGGCGTCGTGTATGTTCCCGGCATAGGGTGGAAAGAGGTTCAGGGAAGTGAACAATGGGGAAACTATTTCTTTGGTGTGCGGAAGGATGACTGAGTCTTCTCAAGTCTCCCAGAGAAAAGGTGGTAAATCGTTGTTGCTTTTCGTTCTCAGGCAAAGAGAATACAATCTGCACCAACTAGAAAACATGGACGGCGTTGTCGGTGTAAGGGCGACCTGCAAAATCATCAGAGCATGCAGTTTGAGTTTGTATTTCGTCTTGGAAGTTTAGGCTTCTCTCCTTTCACACGAGAGGTGACTTCCTAGTCATTAATGGACGTATGCATTAGGCTTTCTCATAATTGACATTTTTGGCATTTTTAATGTGTATTATTATTCTGTTCGACATATAGAGATACCTTATAGCAAGTCATATAAATGCACTGTTTATGTGATATTTTATCAGTAAGCCTGTTTTTGTGGGAGCTGCCCAAAAAAAAGACAGCACGATATTTTCTGTGGAAGTTCATCCTTCTCTTTGGACCCAGCCTGACGATAAAAAGAGAGTAGGTTACCTGACCTAATATCTTGCCAAGGTTACTTCGCGATTTGCTCAAAATAATAAGTATTTGAGCTGAAGAGCAGAAGCTGAGAACCAGTATTTCGACTGTTTCTATTTCTTGAAAGATTCACCGACGAAATAGAGAGACATATGTTAAAAGAAGCTTATCAGGATAAGGGCCATTTCCAGGTACCCCTTCCTGCTCCAGCCTCTTCGTCCTCTCTTTCCTGGCTGAGATTGATAAAGGTTGATTAACACAATTTTGCCTTAAACTTTGTGTCTCAAAGGGAATTGTGGCCGCAATGCACATTTTCACTTCTTCAAGTGAGAATAATCCCGCAAAACGCCCAACATGTGCGTGTTTGTGGTGCGTCCACCCTTTCTCGCCGTCTTTCGCTTCTTTTCTTCCTTCTTTGGTTTGACCTTGATCACTTCTGCTTTGCTCGTGGGGGTTAAACCGGCTTTTTCGAGCTCTCCGGCGAGGTCTGCCTGGGTCGTGGGCAACTTGATCTTGTGCCATAAGTCCTGAAATTCTCTATCCACAGTTTGCGCCAATGACGGATCATTTGCCCAGACCATCTTCGCCTGTGCGTCCTTTTTATTACGAATCACCAACAATCTCCCTTGATCCTCGAGCTGGTCTATCGCCGCCACCGCGCCTGGCCATCCATCCTTGAGCTCTCGCACTGAGAGACCCTGCGCTGTAGGTTGGGTTTGCAAGAACCGCAACAGCTCGTCTTTTGACCGGATATTGTGGATCGGCTTAAAACGGAAGGTCCCCTCCCCATTAGCTCCGTTGCGGTCGTACTCGACTTTCTCATGGTTTTTCAGAATCGTTCCGATACTTTTTCGGTTTGATTCTTCAGCGTGCTGCAGAGACAAGTAACTGAATATGTCTTTGAGCGTTTGCGGCTTGTCCTTTGACTTCAGATAATCGACTGCATAGGTAACTTGGGTCATGATGTGTTTGCCTGTGCCAGTATCGGCCGGCTGCGAGTAGACTATTGCTGGCCCGTCGGGCCGTTTCCGTTTGAGGTCATTCTTACTCGCCGCCGATACAACGGATGGGGAAGGTGACGGCGTTGATGTTGCCGGCGCATTGACGCTGCGCTTTGTAGAGAGCTTCGCCGAAGATGAGGTCAGATCGGATTTGAATGCTTTGAGTTGGTTCTGTAGGTAGGACATTGTGGCTTTGAGATCCGGCACGGGAAGCCGGATGAAGAATAATCAATATTAGAAGAAGAAGGAGAGGACCTGATAGGCTCTGCTTTCTGTTGAAAGGCAGAGAGTGAGAAGAAGAGTGAAAGGAAGGGCGTGCGATAGGCAGACGTTTTGAGCTTCAAACGGCCAAGTGTCGACCAGCGACGATCTCGTCGCCTCGCTGAATCTTCAAAGCCTTCGATCGCTTCGTATTAGTGTTTGAAGATAGCTGCAGCAGCGAGAGAGGCAGACGGCAAAGAAACGATCAGGTATGGAGAAATATAAAGAAACGACAATGGGGATGCGATGTGTGACGATCGATGATAGGGTAGATTGCTGCCAAGGCTGATGTTGCTATGGCAAACCATTAAGACCGTTCATGCAGTTCGTCCAAAACAGCAACACAGCCGGAGACGACAATCGCCTTGTCTGCGGCAAACGAGAGCTTAAGCTTTCATTCAATTTAAACGACTTTCAATTTTCACAGGTTCACGACCTCTCACTTTCCTTTCAGCTCCTCTAGAAGAATGTGGTAGCTGAGTTGGATTTCACGAGGTGAATACGTCTCCACGGCGGCTGTGGGACTCCGATGATCAGTTTCACGCGTGAATGCTGCACGACGCGATACAAAACTTAAAGCTTCAACACAGCATCCTTTTTACAACCCAAATTACATTTGATGTTTTGATACAGAAGCTTTTCATTCTTCACATCACTTTGTGATCTACCTTCTTCAGTAGCTTTTTGCCATCATGGCAGCAGCTACAATCGACGTTCCTTACCTCTCGGCCTATTGCTCCGTTCCGCAGGAAACGCTACAGACTGTTCTCGATGCCCCAACCGCCGAGCTTGTCCGCGAGGTCCTACAGAAGGTTGCAGAGAAAGCGCAGGAGCATGAACAAGTTCGCGCAGAGAAGTTACGTGTCGATGTCGAGCTTGAAAATGCCGTTCGATCTAGTGAATCCAAGAACCGCGGCCTGAAAGCTTCGGTGGAGAAAGGGTTGAAAGAGGTGACGGAGTTGAGAGAAAAGCTGAAGGAAGAAGGTGGGTCTAGAATTTTCAAGAGGCACAATTGCTGGGCAGATAGCTAATCACTGCTGCATAGAAAACGCTCGTTCCGCACTTCAGTCAGAGTTGGATACTCTCAAGTCCTCCGCTTCTTCTTCTGTTTCCGAGGTACAGGCACTTCAATCTCGTATCACATCCTTGGAGTCATCGAACCGGGACACACTGTCATTGCTCGAAGCCAAGACAACCTCCCATGACCGATTAGCAGCAGAACTGTCTGCGCAACACCAAAAGACACTCGAAGTTCGAAAACAGATTTCAGAGCTCGAACAGTCCCTACAAGCCGCTCGGTCTGCCTCGACAAGTGCAAAGTTTCGTGAGCAAAACCTAGAGCAGGAGGTGGAGCTTTTGAGAAAGAACAATGAATGGTTCGAAACCGAGCTAAAGACCAAATCGGCCGAGTACCTCAAATACCGGAAAGAGAAGGGCGCTCAGATCGCTGAGCTGCAACGCCAGAATGAAGATGCGACATCAACCGTTGAGTCTCTCAAGCGTACCGAAACCACTTTGCGGAAGCGGCTTGAGGAAGTCGGGCAGAAAGCGGATGAATCGCTTGCCAAGATTCAACGAATGCAGGAGGAAGCGGCCAAAACGGAAGAGGGATTCCGAGTTGAGATGGAAAGCGTCAACCGTCTGGCGGAGCTGCAGAAGAATTCGGCCACGACTGCTCGCGAGAGAATGCAGGAACTTCAGAACCAACTGGAGCAGGCCAAGGAGGATACCGCAGAAGAGGTTGGTCGCATACGGGCAGAAATTGAAACGGAGCGCTCCGAAAAGGAAGCAGCTGAGCGACGAGTGATGGAGCTTGAGGTCCAGATAGAGAGGCTCGAGGTGGATCTCCAGAATCTTAACAATGCGAATGCCAACGTCAACGTCACTGCACCATCCGCACCGTCAACACCACGGCGCGGCACCAACGGAATTGCGGCTAGCAGCCCTACCCGTCCCGGATCTGCATCCGCAATCGGTCTGTTTTCGCCGGCAACTTCTCGCATGAAGGGCAATTTGAGCTTCACTCAGATGTACACCGAGTACTCTAATGCCAAGGCGGAACTCGACATTGAAAGACGAAGAAATGAGAAGCTCAGCACTACTATTGACGAGATGATCCGCGACCTAGAGTCTAAGCAGCCGGAGATGGAAGAGTTGCGCGTCGACCATGAGCGCCTCGAATCGGAAATTCTCGAGATGTCCTCCCTCTTAGAGGAAGTCAGCAAAGAGCGTGATCAAGCCAGAAGGGAGTCTGGAAAATGGGAAAGTCAAGTTGAAGGCCTTACAAGAGAAGGAGACATTCTTCGAAAGCAGCTCCGTGACCTCAGCTCCCAGATCAAGATACTCCTACTCGAAGTCCACGCCCGTGATGAAGGTCTCGAGGACCTCTCTGCCATTCAGCAAGCAGAGATGGAGCGGCTGGCTCGAGGCGAGATTGACGAAGAAGCACTGGAGGGAATGTCTGAGAACGATCGGTTCATTACCCAATACTTGACTACATTCAAAAACATCCGTGAACTGCAAGAACGGAATGAAACGCTCATGAGACTCATTCGCGAAATGAGCGAAAAGGTGGAGACGGAAGAGGCACGCTCTAAAAAGACAGAAGCCGCTACCGCAAGTGAACGAGAGGAGTTAGAAAACTTGCGGAACAAGGTAGAGCGGTACAAGGATGAGCTCAAATCCATGGTCACTCAATCTCAGAGCTACATTCGTGAGCGTGATATGTTCCGGCGCATGCTTGCTCACCGTGGCCAAATTCCTCCTGGGTCCGATCTGACGTCGATGTTTGGTCAATCCGTGGTGGATGGTGGTGCCGCGCCTGCCACGCCGATACGCGGCGCTGGCTTTTCGCAGAGTGTACAATCGCCCAGGTCTCAGGAGATGGCCGACTATTCCAAGCTTCTAAAGGAGATGCAAAGCCACTTTGATTCCTACCGTCAAGAGTCCACAACCGATCTTAAGGCTCTCAAAGATCAAATTGACAGACTCAGCAAAGAGAAAAGTGAGCTGCAGGGTGAGACCACCAAAGCCAACAGCCAGCTTACCTTGGCCCGAGAACGTTACGAAATGCTCCAAGCCAATTTTGCAATGCTTCAAAATGAGAACGCCGAGATGCAGAAGCGTTCGCAGTCCCTTGCTGAGAGTGCAGCGAAGCAGGACGTTAGAACACAGCAAGTTGCAGAAGAGCTTGTCGAAACGAAAGGCCTCTTGGACAGCATGCGCAACGAGGCTGCAAACCTAAAGGCTGAAAAGGAGTTATGGAAGAAGATTGAGAAGAGAATGACGGAGGATAATGAGGTCGCCATGAACGAGAGAAGCCGACTTAATGCATTGAACACGAACCTTCAGAATGTTCTGAATGAGCGGGAGCTGACAGAGTCGGAGAATAGAAGGCGACTGCAAGAGAAGATAGACGGTCTGGAATCTGAGCTGCAGACTAGCCAGAGGAAGCTCAATGACGAGGTAGAGGAGAGTAGAAAGACTGCTTTGCGAAGGGATTTTGAGAAAGAGCAAAGCCAGAAGCGGATCGATGATCTCGTTGCCAGCCTTGGGTCAATCAGAGAGGAGCTTGTTGCTGCGAAGACTGCTAGAGATCATCTCCAAGCACGCGTCGATGAGCTTACCATTGAGCTCAAGAGTGCGGAGGAAAAGGTTGAGGTACTGCAGCCGAGACCAACTCCCCGCGCTCCAACCAATGCTGCACCCGCTGAGGGCGAGGAAGAAGAACAAGAAGACACTATCAGCAAGGAACAGGAGCTGGCTGTCGAGGTCTCCGAACTCAAACGCGATCTTGAACTCGCTCGTGGTGAGCTTGAAAACGCAAAGGCCCAGGTTGAACAATACAAGGCCATTGCTCAGGCTTCCGAGGAGGAGCTTCAGAGTCTCAACGATACACACGATCAATACCGTGAAGAGATGGATCAGGTCGTTGCTGAGAGGGATGCCAAGATTCGTGACTTTGAGCAGCGAATCGAAGATATCTCATCTGAACTCGCAAACAGCAATTCTCAACTCTCAAACATTCGGTCAGAGCAGGCTGACCAGGCCCGTCAGCTTAATGAACAAAAGTCTATTTTGGAAGACGAAATTGCACGCCTCAAGGATCAAAATGAGCGTCACGCCGCCGCCTCTCACTTCCATCAGCAGGATCTCAAAGCGCAGGCACAAATTGCCCAGCAAGCCCAGCAAAATTACGAAAACGAGCTTGTCAAACATGCGGAAGCTGCCAAAGCTCTGCTCCAAGTTCGCGGCGAATACAATCAACTCAAGACTGAGACTGCGGAGCTCAAGACAGAAGTTGAGGCGGCCAAGACTTCGATGGCGCAGAACGAGGAGAGCTGGGGAGAAGTGAAGGAACGTTATGAGAGAGAGTTGGCGGAGCTGCGCAACAGAAGAGAAGATGTCATTTCTCAGAACAAGTTGCTGCACCAGCAGCTGGAAGACGTGAGCAAGCAAATCTCTTCTCTGCAGCAGAACCGCACTGCCTTTGCGGGTGAGGATGAGGGATCTGAAACAGTCTCTTCTGGTTTGGAAAATCTGCAGGAAGTCATTCGATACCTCAGAAGAGAGAAAGAGATTGTTGACGTTCAGTACGAGCTTTCTGTTCAAGAAGCAAAGAGACTTCGCCAGCAACTGGACTATGCCCAGTCTCAATTGGACGAAACTCGTCTCAAACTTGACCAAGAGCGTCGCACTCAACTTGACCAGGAGCGTACCGCTTCTAGTCATAACAAGCTTATCGAGACCATTAACGAGTTGAATGTCTTCCGCGAAAGCAGTATTACCCTGCGGAATGAAGCACGGCAGGCGCAGGCTCAGCTTGCTGAAAAGACCAAGGAGGTTGAAACTCTGGTTTCTCAGATCCAGCCTCTGCAAACCAGGATCCGTGAACTCGAGGATGAGACTGAAACCAAGGAAGGTGAGATGAAATTGTTGCAGCAGGACCGTGACCACTGGCAACAGCGAACGCAAAATATCCTGCAAAAGTATGACCGTGTAGATCCTCAGGAATTGCAGGAGCTCAAAGAAAAGCTGGAAAACTTGGAGAGAGAGCGCGATGAACTCAACGCCGCCAAAGAGCCTCTGCAAGCCCGCATTGATGGCATACCGGAAGAGATTCGGAAGGCTCAGGAGGAAGCGATTGCTCCTTGGAAGGCTGGACGTGAAAAGATGATTGAGCAATTCAAGGCCCGTTCTCGGGAGCTTAGTGGCCGTATCAATGAGAAGAGTGCCGAGACTCAGGCGGCGGTGAAAGAGAAGGAGGATCTGGAACAGCAGCTCAAAACGGCGAGAGAGGAAGCGGAGAATCAATGGAAGGCAGCAAAAGAGGAACTCGAACAACAGCTCAACGCTGTGCAAGTCGAACTACAGAACGCTCAGGCAGCCAGAGAGCAGGCAATTGCGAACGCAAACGACGAAGAGACGGCAGCACCAACTCAGGCGCCAACTGAGGTGCCAGCTGAAGCTGCTCCTGCTCCAACTCAGCCTCCTCCCTCTCAAAATAATATAGAGGAGGGACAGATTAATGAAGAGGGGTCTGGACTTTCAGAGGAGGAGAGAGTTGAATTTGAGCAGCGTGTGAGCGCGGCGGAAACTAGGGCAGCGGAAGAGTCGAATCGTTCCTCACAGTTGCAACTAGAGTTATCGGCTTCGCAAGCGCGTGTTGCGGAGCTGGAAGAGCAGGTTGTAAGTAACGCTTTGATTCTTAAACATTGGTTCGATTCTAATGCAGCACATAGGGTCAATTGCAGCAGAGCATTCAGGATGTTAACAGCAAGTTGGCGGAACTTCAGAACGCCTCTCAGCCTGCAGCGGCACCCAGTACAGATTCTGCTGAGACTTTGCAACAGCTTGAGACTTTGAGACAAGATCTTGTACAAGCACAACAGGAAGTTGAGAATCTACGAGCAAATGCCTCAATAAGCGCATCTATCGCTAACCAGCCAGCGCCTGAGGATGGATCTAAACCTGTCGCGGAGCAGGTTGCTGAGCAGGTTCAAGCCATACACGCAGAACTCGACGCTCAGCACCAAGAGCGCGTAACGCAGGCTGAAGAACAATTTCAAAGGCGCGCCGACAACATGAGGGGCCAATTATCCAAGAAACTTGCTGAAGGAAAGGAGCAACATCGCAAGGCGTTGGAATCTGAGCACAATATGGCTATTGAGAAGTTGAATGCAGAGCACCGCCAGGAGATTGAAACGCTCAAGAGTCAGCACCAGGAAGAGCTAGAACGTATCAAGAAGGAGGAAGAAGTGCGTTTCCAGCAACTGAAGCAGGCATCGTCTGTGGAAGGTCAATCTGCCGAGCCTGCTCCCGCCCAAACGAGTAGCGAGACGAATGCAGAGGCAGCGTCAGCTCCGCCAGAAGCGGAGGTCAAGACTGAGTCGCACCCCCAACCATCATTTACCAATTGGAGCCCTACGGAAGCTGAAGTCAAGGACTTCATTGCCCATAATGGAACCGTCAAAGCAATCGTTACAAGAAATATCGCTGCCAAGCTGAACATTGAGCGCGAGACGTTGATGACCCGGGTCAAGGCCGAGCAAGAAAAGATTGCCGAGGAGAAAATCGAGGAGACTCGCAAGAAGTTCGAGGTGGTCAAAGAGCAGGCTGTTGTCATGGAAGGGAAACGCTACAGCGTAAAGATTAGCATGGCGGAAGGCAAGGCCAGAGGCGCACTGGCCAAGATAGAAGTTGTGGAAAAAGCGGCTACAGAGACTCCTCAAAGACCAGTCATTGAGGTATGGGAAATTGCCAAGAACGCAAAACCTCTCCCGGCGACAGCGCAACAGAAACCTCCAGGACAGCCACCAAGTCAGCCGCAAACCCCTGCGCATATCGGCGGAGGAGTGTTCGGGCAACCTACGCCTGCTCCTCAAGCAGCGGGTACTACTCCTCAACAACGGCCGCCACAGGGAGCTGGCATTTTTGGGCAGCCGAGCCCCGCACCCACTGGACAACAACCACCACCAGTTTCTACATTTGGTCAGCCTTCTGCCTTGTCGCCGGCCCAGCAGCAGCAGCAGCAGCAGCATCGTCAGCCTGCGGGCGGTGTGTTCGGTCAGCCAACACCACTGCAAGCCCAAGGCCAAACGGCTTCACCCACAGTTCATCCACCTCAACAGCAACAACCACAACCAACATCCAGACCTACCACACCTAACCCCAATCTTCCCGCCAAACCTTCAGTTGGCGCTGCCGGAACCGGTCCCACCGCTCTCAGGGGTCTCATGCAGCAATCTGGCATTCCTCGAGGCGGCGGTGGTGCTGCCGGCCGTGGTCGCGGAAGAGGCGGTGCTGCAGCAGGTCAACAAGGCGCGCAATCTCAGATACCCCAAGCTGGCGGTGCCCAACAAGCTCAAACTCAGCGCGGTGGATCGAATCTACCACGTGGCGGGGGTCGTGGCCGCGGTGGTCAGGGTCGTGGAGGTGGTGGCCAAGGCCAAGGTGGCCCAGGGCAAATTCAAACCAGTGGCATCCCTGCACCCCAGGTATCAAATCAGCTCCAAGGTGGAGGCAGCCCAGGCGCTGGTCGGGGCGGAAATCTGAATGCCTCAGCGAAGCAGTTTGTGCCTGGTGGAAATAAGCGACCCAGAGAAGATGGCTCAGAAGTCGCTGCAGATGGTGGGCATACCGGTGGTGGTAAAAGGCCTAGAGGTGGCGGAGCCGGAGCTTAACTTGGGGTTCCTGCTTGATGTTTTAGAATTTCCTGGATCATCCAAAGATTCTTGAACTATTCTAGCGATCCTTTTGCTTAAAGATTATGACGGATGCGTAAACCTAAAATTTCTTTCTTTTTTGTCCCTTCGACCTTCTTAGTCATATCACGTTGCATACTTTGCTTATGCTATTATCAGTAGCTGCGGCTGTAGAATAAATAAGTTAATTTTCTTTTGTGACACCCATATCGCTCAACTCAATTATGACTTTCGCTGTCCTACGTGAACATTCGAGATCTTTTCTCCTTTACGCGGTCTTTCAGTGTCAATGTCCTTGCCCAGCTTCTGGAAATATCGAGCCGTTACAGTGAGCCACCCAAGTCCCAAAAGACAACAGCAATTGTAAAGACCCGAATATCAGCCCACAATCATCTCCATTTGAATCAAGACGATGGCGCATCAACATATAGTTTTGTTTATTCATGTCTAGACCTGAATCTTGCTTGAATGCTCTATTGTTCCGTTTCATATTCAATTAGTCGACTACATACAATTTACACCTATCTTTTGAAATTGCAAGCCAGGCCAATCTCAAAAAAATACTACGAACCCAAAAGAAAAAAAATTCCCACGAGGACCGCAAGACACCTTGCTGTTTCCACGAGTACGTCGATACTGCCCGCGGCATTGTAAATCACAGCCACGGCAGCGCCCGTTGTACCCCCTAGCGCACCTCGCAGCACGCACCAGTACTTGTCCTCTCTGCCATGTGCGAGCAGGGTTTCGCAAGGTTTCGCGAGGGTCCGAGCCAGTTGGTTGTTGGGATGTTGGCGGCCCTGGCGGAGGCAGTTCCGGCGCAGCGGCATGTGCGCATGTGCGTCGCGATCACGAGCAACAAGCAAATTTGCCGCATTCATATATGCAATAGACAGCGACGTTTTCAACAACCCTTGGTGGTCTAGTTGGTTATGGCCCCCGGCTGTAATCGCCTGTCTCTTGGACTTGAGAAAACTCAAGTATCCAATGACACCTGCTTACCGGGTGGTCGCGTGTTCGACTCACGCCCGAGGGAATTTCACCTTCCAAGGTTCTTTTTTTTTGTCCCGTCCCGGTATTTTTTTCGGGACCACCAACATCGGCATTAAAGAAAAATTATAAAATTTTGCGACTTGTAGGGAAATAACTGGCGCAATTATCTGCCAATAACTCGTAGTCTATGTTTATGAATTTTTTGTGCATGTGAGAGAATTACAGTGGAATATTTAATTTTTGTCGGCGAGAGAAAATAAATCGGACAACAAAAATATTTATGTTGGAGCGCACCATGAATTTCCGCAGGATTCTGACCGCATATTATGCAATGAAATTACACATTTGTGCATCAGTATGAAATTTCAATTGGATATGAACATGAACAACGCGACCAGCGCCTAATTCTAAATGTCGTGTCATGCATACTTGCCGTGCGACAAAATAGTCTATCTTCTTCGTGATATGACATCATGCAGCCATGCCATCGTGCACATCTACAAATCGACAAATCTATATCGACTCTCGAAAAGTAATCTATGCAATCTACGTCTCCCTCTCCGTGCGACCATTGCGGCGTCTCCAATCGCGCACTCCATTGTCAATTGCGTTCCTCGTGACGCCGTCTTCGACAAGATACATGACGACGCCGAGATCTTCGACGTTTAGATTGCGCGGCTCGTCGTCGAAAAAGAGCATATCTTCGTAGTCTAGTCCGGTATCTTTTTTGAGTTTAGCAAAATGTGTCGTTTTCGAGCCTGCGGTATTACTAAAGGTCAGCATTATTCCATTATATCGTAAATTAATTGAATGACCCCCATCTTATGGTCCGACGAGCGCGTGGGCAAAAAAAAAAAAAAAATACAGAAACTCACCAGGATAAATCTGCAAATAGTCAAAAAAGTCCAAAGCGCGCCTCCCCGCAGGCTGGAAGTGAATCATTTTGAGCATATCCCGCGCCAGATCCGGCGCGCCTGTGCGACTCGCTACACCGACTAGAATCCCTTTTGCACGCGTATCCTGTAGTATCTGCGGCACTTCCTTGTAAAAGGTATACGACTCGCCCCAGCGATCGACAGTTTTGGAGTTGCCGTCCTTGGCCTTCAGCGGCGGCGTGACGTGCGTGTCTACCCAGAAGGGCCACAGCGTATAGTCGAGGTCGAATACGAGCATCTTCGGGAGCGGTAGCCCGTCGGTAAATGTCAGTGGAGTGTCATCGGTGGGTTCAATCGCCGTGGACGTCGGCGTGAATGCGGATGAGGATTTCTTGGGCATCGTGAGACCGGTTGTGGTTGTGGTTGTGGAGGTGCCCGGGGATTTGGCGCAGAAGAGAAGCGCAAATAGAGCAACGAGCAACGGGAGGTACAGTGCCCGGTATAGTTTGAAAGGAAAAAGTCCCAAGTGAGGCTGAATTTTCGGTGGCTTTAGCGTTTGGGGATTATAAATGCCCCAGGGTGCGGTAGGAATAGAGGGAAAAGGCAGGGAGAGGCGAACGGGAGAGGGTTTGAGAATCTAAACGAGTTTATAAACAATTGAGAGATGTGATCGTGGAGCAAGTAGATATGGATTGCAAGGAGAAAAGAGGTGAAGGTTCGGGGTTTGGGTTAATAATGAGGATCCAGAGTATATGCGGGATGACGCTTCTTATGGTAGAAAGTTGCAGCACGACACAAGAGGGTCCCAGGCTATGACGGCGTGTGGCGCGGATATTGGAAGATAAGATAGGGTCTGGCATGGCTGGGCTAAACCATCGAAGCCACAAGTCACAGAACTACGCCTCTACCCTTCGTACACAATACAATGAACTCCAACCACAGACACAAATGAAGCTACTAAACAATGGAAATGGATTCTTTTTAGAGATTTAGAGGATAATTAATTGCGCGAATTGAGATCTCATTGCAACCAACCAATCATACAAGTTAGGGATAGATTCATTGGCAGTTTTAACATAATTTTGAACATAGGGCTTGGCGCTTATGAGCTCTCCGGTGCTTAATTTGCGACATCGACTGAGACATCGAACCGTCACCTAATCTCTTGACGGAAAGAACCGAAAATATTATAAAAATTGGAAACGTTGATTGCATAAACTCGACTCATATGAAAGGAATCATATCGTTGTACTGCCCTTCCGCGGCTCGAGTTACGTATGTTGATCCACTCACAACAACAGAGAAGACTGTCGTTACAGTTGAGGCAAGACCAAGCGCTGCAGCAGTATCTGGATCTAATTGTCATCAGCATCGGAACAACCCATTATTGGAAGCTTTTTTCCTTACCGGGATCAAATTGCGCGGCCCCATCGCACGTACAACCGACAAGATCAAATGTGCCGGATACGCAATCCAGTACAATCAAGGCTTCAACTTTATCGGGAAATACGTTCTCAAATTCTTCGACCTTGATGGAAATGATAAGGCCGTAATTAACCGCCCCTAGCACCACCTTTTGGACACCTAGCCATCTCTTTAGCACCACCGAACTGGCCGAATCGACTCGGCGAATAGCCATGGACGTTGCTCGATTGAGCGCCGACACCGCCCAGCTTCCCCATCGTACACCATAAGCCGGCAGATCTGGGTTGCGTGGAATGGTCGATAATGTTGCCACAACGGCGAACATGTCCTGCCAATATTTCTTTGCAAGATCTGCAGCGCCTTTCAGCTGACGCCCCTGAGGATGCTGGCGAGGAAGCCTGGCCAATTGCTTGGCCGTGCCGGTCTCGAACCGGAAATGAAGCCCGAAAACGGACTCAACCAGCTCAATGGCAGAAATGATTGGTCGACAAGATAGTGTGGTGACATTGGCGAATCGATTAAACTGCATCGTTACGTCCTTGGAAACGACGCCGTAGACCAAGTCGGAATAGTCAATGATTGTCATGTCCGGCGGCTTCTCACCAGTGATGAGCTTTGTTGCGATAGTGACTGGAATGGCCAGGATCAGAGCCAGACCATCTAAAACTGTGAGGTCCGATCCTCCCGAAATAAATTTCTTGTATAAAGTGGAAAAAATTGGAATGGTGATCTTGTAGTTCAATGCCGATTTGAAGTCTTCCAGGAGTGAAGATCCCAGCTTGGCAAGACCACTACCAATCTTCTTGATCCCATCGAGAAGATCGAGTAGTACGTTTGTTCCGAGCTTTGAAAGCGCTTGTTTTGGCGAGATTGAATCTGCCGGATTAAATATCTCAAAGATGGACATCCCAATGTCAGAGGACACATCCTCGAATGTGCCGATGAGAGGAGAGAGGACATCTGACCAGAACTCTTCGAATGGCGTGCCCCCGGCCTTCGCACTGCGTGTGTCATGTATGACGGCGCCTTTGAACGCACCGCCATGCGTACACTGATATTGGGACCACTTCACTTTGGTTGAATCCATAGCCGCATTCTCTGACCGGCTCGCCTCTACCACCTCATTATCGGCTGGCGCAGAACCCAGCTTTTCCGGAAGGGAATTGCTGTTTACATTCTGAAGAACGTCCGCGAGCCCGTCAAAGTACGCCTCAATCGCATCAGATGCGAGGTTGGCCTTCTCTGCCCACGTATCGAGGGCACCATTGGTCAGAGAGACGATTGACCGATGGGTCGCTTGTATGTCTTTCCAGTCGAAAATGAACCCGATCCACTCAATGATTGTTTCTACTATCTCGAGGATTTTCTCAAAAACCCATGTTAGGGCATTGCCGATCATCTCCAGCGTGTTCAAGGTCCAGCGGTATACTACGTCTCCAATCCGCGCTAAGAAAGAATAGGCGCCGTCTGCAAACTCTATAGCCCATGACCAAATATCATCAAGGAGGCCACAGAACCAATGCCAAGCACTCTATGCAAGAATCATTACTAAATGAACAAAGGAGTGATAAACAGGTATGTTTACTTACAGAGGGCAGATCCCAGATTCCCCTCGGGCTTCCCTCCAGCTTTTCCAGGTTATGTCCGAAACGAACGTTGTTGTGAAGAGCAGCTGCTTTTGACTTCTTGATCAGACCATTCTTCACCAGTAGAGAGTCTCGGGCGCTGATCGCAACGCCAATAGCTTTCGCTGCCTGATCAATGTCATTGTCGCTCAGCTCCTTTTGGAGCAGCGGCTGACCCAACTGCGTTTTGGCGTTTTTGAGATCGTCCCCGGTCTGGATCTTCGACAAAGCATCATAAACCTTTGCCGTTGGATCAATAGGAAGTGCGCCTTCCGCGTCGCTTGCATCATCCTTCGTGGCAATAGTAAAGGAGTTACTAGATATACCATCAGTTGGAACAACGAGCGTCAATAATCCGTCCTGATCAGTGAATAATGGAACCCCAGATGGATTTGCCTGAACAGACAGGCCATTTACGAGGATATCAACATATCCCGAACTCTTGAGAAGAACCTGTGAGTCGATTTGAGGCTTCCCTTCTGCATTGAAAACTGTAATCTGAGTAGTGTAACACCGAATGTCAAAGACTTTTTCCAGAGCCGGAGTGTAGAATGGTATGGCTTTCCAGAGTCCCAAGACAGGATCATGCCGGATCAATGAAAGGGCACCAGCATTGTCGGAAACAAGAAGTTGCTCGTAACCGTCCGTGGCAGACTTGAATACGGAAAACATCCCTCCTTGCTGCCTAGGTATCACTGGCATGGGAGACCCGACGTCCATAAAATCCGTGCTGGCGGTCAGATAGCCCACGCTCTGCCGGATGTCTGCCGCCCAAACAGTGACACCAGAAGACGATTGAGCAACATATAACTCCTGGATAGAGGCGAACACCCCTTCTGCACTGATCTCGGTACCGGCAGAATTCTTTCGAAGACATTCAATTGCCTTAAAATGACGCAATCCGACACCGCCAACGAGAAGGTCACTAAAGTTTTCAGCATTTGTAACCGCGGCAAGACTTCGAGCATCTGTTATGGTACTTTTCAGCTCAAGCGATTCCATGTAACTCCTTAGATATTGTCCTGAACTGTACCTTCGGGGCACTGAAGTGCGACCTGATATTTGCCATCATTGGACATAAAGATTAACTGTGGAGCGTCTATAGCCGGAAGAGAAGTTTAGTATGGAGTTCCATGGTAGCAAGGATGCATTTCTATTGGTGTGCTTACCTTGCAATATATAGAGAGCTGCCAGCCCAGTCATTGGTTCGTCTCCATACGGAACGACGAGTGGCTGCAAAGCCAGGATTTTGGACGCGTCTTCGGGAAGATCAACGTCATACGTAAGAGTCCAGCTGGATAAATCACTGCTCACGGAGACCCTTGACAGGTCTTCCTTTTTGTTGATATATTCTAGAGGTTGGTAGGCTACTAAGACTGGCGGATAGGAGTCGCCTCCAGTCGATCCAATCTGTACATTTTACAGATATCAGTTCTAGTTCAGTACGGTGTGTTGAGCAGGATAGCCAGAACTTGGAGACATACTGTAAAAATTGTGGAGATTCGCAAGCCAGAATCGTCGCCTTTCTGTGGTAGAATCAGCTGGCGCAAATCCGAGTTCGCGGGATCCAGGAGATCATAATTTGCTGGGCTGAAGGGTTTTAGAACGTAGGGAAGGCTTGGTTTCCGATCATCTGAAGAGGACGCATTTGAGTCCTCAATGGCAAGGATAACAAAAAGATTCAGGCTAGCATCCTGCGATACACTTAGGGCATGGGCAATGTAGTTCTCGTTAAATCCGAGCAACAATCCAAAGTCAGAAAGCAGGTAGTGACCCTCAGTTGCTTCTTTGAAAATGTAAAACTTCTTATCATTGCCAATGGAGAAGACCATTGGATGACCGTTCTCATCGCTCACTGTCGAAAAGAAAGAGGAATTTGGGACGGCAACAGCAGCAACCTGCTGCACCATCAGCTCCGAATCATGGGTGACTGAATACATTTTTTTAAACGTCCAAAGCAAATTGATCAATAGAGGAGCTTCTTGTGCCGGTAACTGAGCTTCGTATCTCGCTATATATGCACCTCGAGACGGACACAACCCCTTCATCAGATGCCACTCAGCTGCTCTCATCTTTTGTGACAAGGATCCCTTGGTTCAGACTTTACGAGGTCTTTCGTCATATTTCTGCACGAGAACGCCTTCATCCTTCCATTGACTCCGCATCTGTCGTCATCTTGAGTGGATAACCCCTCTTTGCTGTCCTACGATCAGATCAATGCCGATCGTAGATGGTTCAACAAATACTAACAAAACCTCTGCCATCAGGATTTTATGCATTTGTTCTTCGGACCACGCGCAGGATGGAGGGGTTGAATCATGTCAAGAACCAATAGTCCAGGGTCAAACCCCCACGGCAGACAGGAAAACAAAATAACAAGACTCTGTTGACCATGTCAGTGCTGAGCGATGCAGCCGCCTCTTTCAGCAGACAGTCCCACGAGGCGTGCCAGAAAGGGTTAAGATGATCGTTTGTGATGTTGGCAAATCTCTCGTGGGCGAACGATCGAGAGATCTGGCGAATTTTAGTTCCCGTGCGGCCACTAAAATGGCAAGCGAACCCTTGTTTTTCATTTGCCGAGCCCTTGGCAGTCGGAGTCTTCTCCACTCAACTCTCCCATCCTCCCTCCAATTGAGCTGCGATGTAGGTCTCGCAGGGATATCAGATGGCATAGTGACAAATTGAATATGCAAGTTGCTCAGCTGTGTTCAGCTCTTCGTGCATTTGACAGCACGGCAGATCCAGCTCGTTGGGGCTTCACCCTGCCTTCTTCAACTGAAACTGTTTACTGACGTAGCGAAATGATGCAATGACCCCGAGATTGATCGACCTTGATCAAGCATTGAGAGGATACACCCCGCTTTGTCAAGTATAAAATCAGCCTAATAGATTCTCTGGAATGACTCAAATTTCTCTTTCCAGCTTGTGATTCTTCAAATTTCATCTCTCAGCCATGTCGAGCGAAACGGACAAGCGGTTGCAGGTAAACCTCAAGGGATTTTCTGAAGCGGTAGCGGTCTCTCAGAGGGCGATCAATAACAATCTTGAAGCTCTTCTCAAGATCTACCCTGAATTTGGAGAGATAAACATTAGGGCGCACGATGGAAACATGAACGCACAATTAAATTCTGGGCAGGTTGCTTTGCACATAACTGATGGCAATCGAGGCATGGTGGACTACTACTGCAGATTCAAATCAGGAACGGTTTCAGTTTGGGACGATGATCTAGAGTATGTGCATACATGCATACGTTCTATGTTATTTAAAAAAAAATAACACCTATATTAGTGACTTCACCGACGATATCGACATGACGGGCTGGGTGTTTGCCTTCGGGGTCTCAATGGGGGCGATCAATGTGGATGAAGGCACCGAGGAACATAAGGAGATTAGATCTGTTATCAACCAACCGGGAGATTATTCCATTCTTCGTCTCTACCTTGACTTCAATAGTAAGTTTGTTCTTCATAATACTTGGAACACAACAGGCTGATCGCTCACATAGCACATACTATATCCTCCTTCAAGTAATGATTTTCTGTTCCGATCTCGAATGGGCCTACTAACTTTTCATAGTCAAGCTGCTAGCGACTTTTGTGGCTACGAATTCTCTGAGAGCGGTATGATCTCTTTTCTGGCAATTATGCTCAAGTGGGGCAAAGATATTACGGATGCTGTCAATGAAGAGCCCCGAAAAACGACAATTGGATACTCTGCCAAAGTGAACGATCCCAATTCCGTCAACGAAGAAGCTCCTACATTTCCTCCGACGTCGGTCAAGTTCCAGAATTATGAGTATCTTGCCCAAGGCCAGACTACTCCAACAGACGGCGTGGGTGCCAAGGGTGACAACAACGTCCTTTTGTATCTGGAAATGACGCAGCACCAAAGCTTTCCCCCTGAGCAACAGCTCACCTATTCTGGTAACTTTGTTACACCCGACATGGATGGAACCATTTGCATTAGTCGCGAGGTTTTCTTCGATAGCTATCTGTTGCGGACAGCTCCATCCTTTCTCCTAAACTCGTTAAACTCATCTATTTATGCTTGGATCGCCGGAGACCGCAACGTACATGCGGACACGGAATATCCATCACCAGAGAAAAATCTCAAACTGGGACCTGGCTCAGATAAGGATGGTAATTCCGACTTTTTCACCTTCAACCCGGTCGTCGACAACAGAACGAAGTGGGAATGGAAACAACACGACTACACGTTGGACGACCCAAGGGAAGTGAAGCTGCAATATTGGGGTATGTACCTCTGAAGCCTGCCTTTTTCGAAAACTGCTGTCTGATTGTCAACAGTCGAAAACAACCATGCACTTGAGCTGAAGCCGGGCACAAATCAAATGGTACTGAGTGGAGAAGCAAAGATCCATTTCAAGAACCAGTACTATCCCATATACCTTTTTGGTGGGAACCAGGGATGCGAGTAAGTCACAAATCCATTTGTCATTCTTGGTCTTGTCGGATGCTAACACGGATCTCGCATAGAGCCAGCGCTACAGCGACATGGGCCATCAACATTACCCTCAACTCCGTCAAAGAAGGGGGGCTTGAGATTTCTTTGAACCTTCCTGATGATCCAAATGATCTCTTCGAGATATCTCCATACTTTGACGATTGGCCATTCTCTAATATATATCCGCCTTATGGCGAGCACCTCAAAGAGAGAATGCAAAGTGCAATTACTGTAGCTCCTCTATGGGAAGCCGCCAGGGAGCTTCAAACGGCCCTGTCAAGCACGGCTCGATTTGTCGTGCCTGGAGGCGGCACATTTTTCTACAAGAATCCCATTTTCAACAATAATGGAGATGTCATGATTGAAGCGCAGTATAATGGGTGAGTTCAATCAGCACTATAGTAATACTTTATATCTGACAAATATCTCTCTTGTAGTGTGGATGCTTGAAATTAGAGTATCGAAGAGTGCGTAGCATTTGTCGTTTTATGCATCAGTGACTATAGTTGAAGAGTCTACAGCTGAGGAGAAGCGGGGCGACAGGATGCTGTAGTACTTCTGATGACGTATAAAATCGATTAAGTTTTCTACCTATTCCATAAGCTGATGATGATATGTCTTTGCGAAGGCTCTCTTGGAAATACTTCGGTGAGGCTGGCAACGAGCTGCAGGTAGCCATGAAAATAAAATTGAAGTAAAGACCCGATTTTAAGTGTAACAGGACAGACTCGACTTGGTTGAGTCCGAAATTTGTCGTAAACAATAGCAAAAGAGTACCGTAACTGATTGGGTTTAGAGCCGAGGGTCTCTCTGAGCTTCAGCACAGGGCCACACTAGGCCTAGACGGGATGTATCAACGACCTCATAGGGGTTTCTGCGAGGTCTGTAGAAAATATTCGTATGGTAACTGTAAATGCAAATCCGCGGCATGATACAGCAATCTGGTCGTCCATTTCCTATGGTCAGCACAGAAGTCGCTTCATGCAATTGCCAAAGTGATATATTAATATAGCTTTGTCATCTATGCGATGCTTTGTGATGTTGGCTCCGAGACGCGGATATATTGGGCTATCGCGGTTATACGGGCCTCGTCCGCGGTGCGCTAATCAGTTTTCATCGAATAAGTGATCGCTCTCAGCGTCACTAATCAATTTCTGATAGCATCGAAATTCCCTCAAGTCAAACTAATCAGTTTTCTCCATGAATACTAGTACTCGTTTTGATTCATGTTGCTAATTGAAGGCCTTGTCACAGCGCGTTATTCCGAAAAAATCACCAGTGCATTCACAGGAGATAAATAGCCATTTATTTGGCTTCGAACTCAAAGCTTTTCACTGCTTCAGAAATGGAATAATTACCACCACCAAGGTCTCCAGATAATCTGGACGACTGGACTAATTGCACAATGTCCGCACAGACTTGACCAAAATGAAACCTACTTGCTACCAAATCTTGAATAGGCATAACAAGAAAACTTTTCGATTGTCTTAATGCCGGCCCCATTTCAGGTGATTCGAACGGTGTGTCCAATGACCAGTCTCCCCTCCTCTACTATAACATATCAGGATCTTGAAAAGAACCTAGAACTTTCCCTCAAATGGACAAATATTTTTTTCCACCTCGAATATATAAGCTAACGAACTTTCAGCCTGCTCCAATCTCACACTTTCTTGCAGTCCTTGCGAAGATTGCGCGCAAGCTTACGCGAAACACCATCCAACTCTGGCATAATATCATAACATTACAATGTTACATCCATATATAACTATTCAATTTTTGAACAGTGTTCGACAACGCCCAATTCCAACTCGGTCCGAATCTTTCTTTTTCCTCCTTTTATAGCCAAGTCCTGACCAATTCGATGTAGTTTTCAACACTTTTCTTCTCCCGTACCGTCTCATCAGGTCACGCTCACGAAATATCTGTCTTCTTTCCTTCTCTGGCTTAAAAAAATGTCACTTTCACTACGCCTCGCAGAGAATGATTCCCTCCAGAAGGCCCAGGAAAACGGGTATAAAGCGATGCCCCCCGTCCCAAGGACTCCAAGGACTTTCTTTTCTTTTTCCTCCCCAATTTCGCCCACCCACACACATAGTCATAAATTTCGGCCTTATTTCGAACAACAGAGATCCTGAACAGTTATCCAGCTAAGCTGTCACGACTCACAGCTCCTACCTATAGGAACGCTAACATCTCATACCCTCACCATTTCATCGCTTTAATTTTACAGAGAGATAACAACGTCTTTGAAGCCGATGGCGAGTGAATTCGACTTTATGAACCCGGCAGCAAACGAATTCGCAAATATCAAGGAAGAAAACGCAGATTCGATGCGCATTAGTATGTCCTGCTTTCGTTTTGCTGTCGTTGTCAAAATCTGCCTTACTTTTTTTTGGGTAAAAAAACTTCACATGCTCTGCTCCGCTAATGCGGTTTTGTGGTCTTTTGTGTTAAATCATGAATTTGTGCACTTGTCTTTTTGATTTTTGATTTTATTTCCCTCTCCTTTTTTCTTTATTTCTCCATATTCAAGTCCTTAACTTCATCTGGTCTTTCTGCACTCTCTGTTTTTTCCGCAGATTTTCCTCAACAAACCCGGAGCATGCTCTCTAATTAGGTCTCTCACTCCAAGCAGAACTTGAGCCCGAGGATGATATTCCTCTCCTCGCGCTCCCATCTCCCCTCATCAGTCCCTCGTCCTCTAGGGGAATCTCTTCACCTGGCTTCGGTTCTGAAATCAGGACCGAAGACGAGGTATCGAGGCGCACTCGAGAACTGGCTTATCAGTGTTATATGGCTTCTCTGGAGCAGATGAATAGCAGCATCAAGCGCGAAGGCGAAGAAGACGTCTTCAACACCGACACCAACATCGACACGGACGTGGATTCCCTCTTCGGTTTTCCATTGTCTCCTGCGCCATCATCACCATGGCTTCGTCCCGAAGACGTAAAACAAGAGCCAGAGTCTGCTCCAGAAAGCCCAATTTTCGAGGCGCCGCAGCCGACTTTTGCCTCGCCGGCCCCGGTAGCATTCGAACCAATTTTCGACTACGCAGAAAGCGTGCACGAACACGCACAACCCCACCTCCTCCGGCCGGAAGAAATCGCCCTTCTCAACGCTGCCATTGACTTCTACCCGGAGCATCACTGGGGCCGGGAATCGGCCGTGCATGTGGACGAGCGGATATACGAGGCCCAACCAGAGACGACAACGGAAGTAACGGACCATGCAATCGTGGAGACGACATATGAAGCTGTGTTGACGCTAAGGCGGACCAGGAAGAGTATGTTTTTTCAGGTTTTCTCTTCCAAACGCCACACAAAGCTAACAGTAGGCAAATAGCCAAATTTAATCGACAATCCCGCCGAACGTGGATAAATTGCCGCTTTAGAGACGCCAATGGCAATCAGCAGTACTATCGCCGCGGAAGACGCGTACCGGTTACGCAGGAGAATCCGACACCTTGGAATCGACAAGGGTAAATCCTATATCGCATCAGTATGCGAGGCGTTGGAAAATGGAACTAGGGACGGAGTATGGGCATTTGGAACAGGATACGTGGCGAGTCGCCAGGACTTGGAGCTCAGCACACAGCACGGCATACAGCATACAGCGAACTTGATGGAGGGCGCACTAGAACGCAACTACAGCACAGCGGAGGATACTTTATATTTTTTTGGGAGACGATTGGGCGAGACAGCGGCGGAGATAAACCAAGTGCAATAGCGGTCAATACCTTTGGCTCTTTCAGACCCTTGGACCAGGTTTCCACCTCCTGTCTGCAGCCCGCTCTACATCTACACAACACAGGGCGGTGGGAAAAGAAAAAGAAAAGAAAAAGGAAAAGCAGCAGGGGGTGGTTTCCCTACCAAGCAGAAAAATATTTCAGCTGGTCACTTTGCCTAAATGGGGAGGGTCTCTTAAATTTTCGACAGGTTCTTTTTTGGGTGGCGGACTTTTGGGATATCGGTTTTCGTTTGGAGTATTAGGATATTGAAGCAAGCAATGGGAACAAATCTTTTTTTCCGGAACCGCGACAAGATTCAACTTTACGAATGTAGCAAATTGATTTCAATAATTCGGTGTGAAAATTGTAAGCAAGTCAGCGTAAGCTGTATGGGAGTTTCGACGACAGGCCAAGTCCCAGGCTCTTGGCCTCTATTTCTGCCTCTTCGGATCGTAATGTTGGGATAGTGTCTGAATGATGATCGTGTCACATCTCATGTACAGTAGTCGCTGATAGCTGCACGTTACTTCCTTGCTCGGTACAGTATCTCGATCCTATGCAGAAGGTCGTAGACTCGAGCGTAATGGCGATCAGCGAATGCTTTTCTCCGCGGGCTGAATGTGTTTCATCGGCAAATATATATAGAGGTATCTCTGTTCAATGGACTGGAAGATAAGAGCAAATCAAACCCGGGATGTCTGAACCATTCTTTTCAAGGGTGATGTTGCAAAACTCGCTTCGTAGTGTTGATTACCTGGACAAAAGGGGACGGAGGGACGAGGGGTACAGTCATGACAGCGCTATATCCCAAAAGGGTTTACTTGCATTTTCCGTTTTCAAAAAAACGGAAAATGCAAGTAAACCCTCTTGGGAAAGCCTTGCTTCAGACAGGACGGGGGGCCCTGGGAAGCAAGATCGAAAACACGTTCCTTTCCATACGGGAATTACACAGTACCTTCGTACGCAGGAGGACAATATATATTACTACTACGCATGTATGATGACTAACCTGGGCGAAGAGCCAGGACGGCGCCGTCGACGTCGGCGGCAGGGCGATGCAGAGCGACAGATTTCTAAGGTCCACAGTGAACAGTGCCACCGTACAGAAGTGAAACTCCCCAGGGTGCAAGTCCTTTTCTAGAACAAATCTTTTACGGAAGTACTCCGGTCCGAGATTTCTGGAATTTTTAGAAGTTTGATTACAGTACACAGTAAAAAGCACCTTCTGTACTTGGGATCTGCACTGGTCCGTGATTAGGCCCGGATGACGTGCCATTAGGCAGGCCGAAACAACATTTGTTCTCCGTCAAGGGCCGTATTTCTTCCAAGTTGACAGGGAGATGCCCAGAATGTAAAAGTGGACATGGGCCAGGGGGGAGTTGGAGAGGGCGGAGCAGTACTCCGTGCCTAGTAAGTTAAAGGGAGGGAGAGAGGCTTTCAATGGAGATTTGAACGACTTCGGCAATTCTGCCGAAGTCATGATCCTTGGCTTCTTGCTGACGATTGCTGACTATTTGCTGATGACTCCCTGATGCTTCCCTGATGGCTGGCAGGTACCCGTGACTGGGATCATTGCGACACGGAATACTCTGCCTTGGGACTCCGGACCCTAGATCCTTTTTTTTTTCAGCTTCCTTCTTCCTCACATCTTACTTACTTGTAGCTAGGACGAGGGCGCGGGATGAAGGCTGTAAATATTATGTACGTTACAGGGCAACGCAAATAGGAAATCAACCGAGACGAGTGTTTGTGATCCCGGCACTCAGGGCACTGTACTCTATCGGAGTATGAGTACTTCCATACAGGAGCACTGACTCTGGACCTTCTCGGGACTACAACAACGTGGTCATCACGTGGCGGAAATGAAGAGTGGAGCTTTAGTTGGGCCGAGGGTACGAAACGAAATAAATGATGAGCAACCCGAATTCGACTAATGTTCCCGGGGAGGGCCAAGGCAGAAAGGAAAAGGAAGCAAAAAGGATGTAAATGAAGTCTTTAACCCTGAACGCGACATCATCGCTTGACCACAGGTGGGGTGTGGAAATTTTGGGTGAGAAAGCGCGCAAAACTAAAAGGGCCGGAACCAAGGATCCAACCAAGGGAACACAAAGAAGGGAAGCCGAAAGGGAGGGAACACTGACAGCCAGAGCAACCGTGCCAATGTGACTTTGGACTTGGCAACAAAAATGCCACGTTGAAGCCATGTGCCATCAGCCGGATGGCCCCGGGTGCGGACAATTGCCGATTTAGAGCCAGCAGCGCATATGATACCTAAGGTTCTTTTGGTGCTCAACTCCGGTCCTACTGTTTGGAGTTCTACCACTTGGGTAGTTTTGCGTAGTGAAACGCACCCATTCAACAAAAATATTACTCCACACGATGAGACAGATTTTGATTACAGTACGGCAGTACTATGACTCCCTTTGGGCTCTTTCTTCTCATACCAACACCTATAGTATTACCTATATTATTATTTTTTCCCCTTCTCTACGTTTTCGGTTCCTTTTCCACTCTTGCTCTTTGCTCGCCTATCCGCGCGAGGTTGATAGCGCCAGTCATAGCGAGCACCACGGTTGTTTCACTTGAAACGCATGATATCAACGATCAGGCATTTCATACACTGAGCGGGTGCGACCCAAGCAGAAGGAGGTACCTCCGTCATCAGTCGGGGCGAGTGATGGTGCCTCTTCTGAGCTCCTTTTTTTTTTTCTTCGGTTCGCGAATGAAAAAGCCGCAACCAAAAAAAAATAGTCTCCATCTACGGAGTAACTTACTTCTACCCACACATCATAATGATGATTACGGTACTTTACGGAGTATTCATACAATCTACAGTGTTTTGGATTCGCTTCATGTTTCACCTGGTCGTTGCGATCGACGGAATTCTCCTTTGAACGGCCCGCTGCTTTTCCGTCTGGCATGATCATCTACCAATAATTCCATGTAGCACGGTTAGGAGTACTACCTTGATTATCATCTGGTGCATTAATGCGACCTTCCTTTTGTTGATAGTGGAGAGCGAGCGCGCTCTTTTGAGTGGTGGAAGGTTCCGTCGGTGCCTGCTTTGCTTTGCTCTGCTCTGCTTTCGCCCCCTTGCTTGTCGCACATCAGCCAGCGCGTCTTTTTTCCTTCGAGAAGACCCACAAATCCAGCTGCTTGGACTGGCAAGAAAGAGATGGGCCTGGCATGTGCAAGGTAAGAGACCCATGTCATACATTCTTTACTACAGTCGTATCTGGGTGTTAAACTGTCAGCACCAATCCCGTGTGACATGCAGATTATCATCCACAGCAGCCCGACGCATTCGCAAGGAACTTCCCGGCTCTCGATCTTCAACAAAAAGAGCACTTCAGATGGTTAGCTTTGGTTGATTTCATTTCGTATGATTGGGCAAAGCCATGTTGATTGGAAAGAAGGTAATAAATGTGCTTGAGCGGCACAGGACTTACTAGAGGAACCAGCCCATCCGGAAATTCCTCAAAATTACCGATGCTCGTTTAGCCAAAGCATCTTTTCAGTCATGGCACTTTTGCTAACTATTTGCACAAGTAATAGGCTAATTAACGCCGGTGATACTAACTACTATGTTCAATCCAGTTACGCTCTAGACTGCATGAACGGTCATGTTGACAAGATTACAGGACGGTCTTTGCTTTTAAAACTCGACGGCTTCGATTTTCATTTATCGGAGTACGAGTCTAAAGCAAGCCAATCGTCCCCACTGAGACGCACGGAACATGTTCCTTAATAATGCATCGGTCCGTCGCCTTTTTTCTGCAGCCATTACTTCAACATGGTTGTTGCTTGACAGCATTCGTAGGCTGGGAACTCGTCTCGAAAAGCGAGCCGAACCGCACGTCATCATCCGACGGTTACCTACCGCACAGGACAGGCAGTACAATACAAAATCGTGCTACTCGAGTGAGAAAGTGTGATGGACAGAGAGAGACAAGGAAAAGACCTTATGAATCTTTCTCGATCCGTCTCATTGTAACAGACTGCCCAGCGATTTGAGATCCATCGTGGATGATCTCAGGCGATTTCGTCATATCTACTCGCCTGTACTAAACGGGCAGCAAAGAGAAGAAGAAAAAAAAAACCTGCTCTAGGGGCCGTCCACGAGGGCCACCAGCTGAGCCCAGCCTCAACCCACCCTCCTTTTTCCCTCTTCTTTGGCTTTCTTCTTCGCTCTCTCCATTACTCTCACTTTTCGAGCCGACGCTCCCGACCCGCCATCGTTTCTTCCCGATGAAGGAGCGAGAAAATGGTAATGGTGGGTTGGTCGGAGTCCGTGTTGCGGGTGTGTGCTCTCTTCCATGGTGTGTGAGTGGGCGTGTGCGCGAGACAAAAACGCACACACGTGCATCGTGCCGCCAGGGAGCTCGCGTGGCGTGGCGTGGATAAAGTCATGGAATCGGAATCGAACTAAAGACGGGTTGGGAGCTGTCGCGTCGCGCAAAGATGACATTCGTGTGCAAGGAATTGGAGAGCATCCAATCTCTTCGTTGGTCCTGACCCAGCATCTTCGTTGCTTGACCGGGCCCATGGCCATCGGAGAACCCCTTGGGCCGTGCTTTGGACAGCCTCTCCGAACACCTGAGCCATGGAAGAGGAAACTGCCGGCTCCAATATGGCTGCCCGGCTCATATGCTACGAAGTGCCTAAGAGATGAATGACTGGACCGAACAAATTGGAGTCATTGTTCGTATATGATGACTATCATAGCAGTACCACTAAACAGCCTACGAGTATTTACGAATGATAGAAAACGACGCATCCATGTGCGCAGCCATCCTGCAAGGGAATGCTTTTCGCCAGTACGTAGGCGTGCGTAGCCTTAAGCGAAAAAACCTGGAAAGCATAAAAAAGGGGCGTCGGAGAGCAGACGTGGCTGCTGCTGGGTGACGATGATCTGTAGCCTAATTGGTACAACAACTAACAAATAATGCAGTATTTGAGATTTCTTGGATGCACGACGCGTGCATATCTGCGGACGCAAGGTGCGTGCGATGCCAAGGTATGGCAGTTTGTAAGTGGAACCCCGTGTTTCCTCGGCCCGACTACCTATCAGCTATCGCGATCGTTTTTTTGTTTTCTTAGATCAGTGATATTATTGCAGTGTCGATGCTAGCGCTCGAGTACAATGTGGCGCCGGTCTAAATCCTTCAATCTTTCCATCATGATCATGATCATTCATCATAATAATCACCATGTTGAGTGCAACGAAAAAGGAACTACTGCTGCGGGCGAGCACAAAAACAGCAACTCTGATACAATTCATTTGCTAAGCGAACAACTTGAGAAAGCTGAACGGCGGCCAAGTGTAGGTAGGTAGGCTGTCAGGGTGTGCGTACTTGATGTGACGACTTTTCCACCCAATAGGCGCTTTCTGTTAAGTAAGTCAACCAATTTGGGCTTCCCTTTCGGCATTGGCTGAGTAGCAGGCAGTCGGTTGGTGGTTTTTTTCTTTGAGCTTACCGGTAAGCACTCTTCGAAAACCATACTCCGTATGCTCTTGAGGAGGAAAGGAGGAAAGGGGAGGGGGGAAGGTTGCGGTTGCCATGTTCTTCTCCAGCGTACAGCCCTGGTCCCTGCTCCTCCCGGTTCCCTTTTCTTCTCTTCACCTTCTTCTCGGGTGGAACGCCCCTCTTGCCATCCTCGGCTCGTTCCCTTTTCTCCTTTGCGCTACCACGTCCAGTCTGCACCGACTGGAGACCAACCCCCCGGGCCCAAGCCCAGTGTCCTAGGCATTACCCAACAACACCCCTCCCCGGCTTTCCCACTTCGCATCGCCTTCTGCCCACACCGCCTATGCAGCCCCGATGCCACACGACATTTGATTGGTGTCCGGTGGGGAAACGCACTGTCGCCACGTGAAATGGCGAGAAAGTAACGGATGTACGCAGGGAGCAGTTGGAGGTGCCCGCTAAGACCGTTTTCTGCTTCTTACCGCTGCATCCCATATTACTGTGATACATGGCGACTTGCCCCCATTGATGTCAGGCTCGTCTCACCACATGCACCCATTGCCATTGTTCAGCCCACCTACATGGCTCTCCTACACTGTGTCGCGAGTGAGATGTTGGCCTGTAAACAAGCAAATATCTTAAAGGATGGGCCAAAAGGGCCGAACATGGATCGAAAACGATCTTATGGAGAAGCTGTGGGTGATAACAAGTAACGAAATGGCAGATTGAGCTACCTTTGACGGTCGCGTATAGTATCTGTCCGTGTGAATCTTTCCCGCGTTGAAGTTGTTTTTCTACGTTCCTTAACTAGTTGTCACGCTAGGAGGGAGACCGTCATTTTCTGCTGGCTGGTCTCTCTTTCATCTCATCATCCGCGACAATCATCCGAAATGTGCTAACCGACCGAAATTGTTTGCTACGTGATCAAATTCGAGCTCTTTGGAGAAGATGAACGAAATTTTTCTTCTTCTATCATTCTCATTGTGAATAGAATTAATCAGCAGCCCGGCTTGTAGGGGCCAGATTGCTTTCCCTACCACGATGAACCTGGGCCATTTTCAGCTAAAGAGTGGCTAGGCAGAAAAAGTTAGGGAAAAGGAATGGCACGACAGAAGGTGGGTTGTGGGAGGGAGGGACTGATGTAAGCTTGCATGCAGTGGTACTTCAGACTTTCGATAGATCAGAATGATCTTGATCAGGTAAAGTCATCATTGTCATCATCGAGGGAACGGTATACAGTAGGATTTGTATTAGGGGGCAGAGCTATCTATCTGACGGGAAGGGGGCTGTGATGGGCGCAGATGCATGGGTTTGACCCTTTTGCTCTCTCTCTCTCTCTCTCTCTCGCTCTCTCTCCCAGCAATTCCAAAGTACACACAGCACAGTGGTACTTTTTGACACACCCCACGGACCATTATTGTGACCGGCCCAGCTCGCTCTGCCCACCGGCTGCTAACGATTTCTCGGTGCGCGTCGTCTCTCTGCAATCCCTGTCACAGGGGTGTCCCACTTGCGCCCCCCCCCATCACCCCTTGCCATCATCATCATCATCAACAACCCTGAACCCATGCCGGACCATGCCATGGCCATGTTGCCGCCATGCGCCTTTTCGGCAAGCCCAGACAAGAGAGGGATTAGGGAGGTGGGAGGCAAAACACACCCAGAGAGGGACAGTAGTAGTAAGAGGAGTAAAGAAGGACTTGAGGAGAAGCCACTCATGAAGACAAATAGATATTGTAATGCTTAACCTGCTTTGCTGTTTCCCTTTTCCCTCTCTCTTTCCATCCCTGGTTGACCCATGCCTATTTCCCTTGACGGACTCGATGTCCCAAACCATGACCCTAGTGCAGCTTCGGGCGATAGCCATGTTTTCGAGCAACCCTCATCGTCATCTTTAATCCATTATTACAATTACTTCAGTGCATACTATAACCGCCGCTAACTGACAGCCCGACTTACTCTGTACGCTTGTGCTCTGATGATCTCTCTCCGTCCCTTAACATCTTTCCCTTCCCACACACACCCCATTTCATACGCACTACTCTAACTCGCGCGGCCACACTATCTTCCCCCCGACCCACGCCCAACTTTTGGTGCGTCACTTGGCGGTACCGGTACCTCGGACGGCCCATTCTTGGTGCTTTTGGTCCCTTGTGGTCCCTTCGACCGTCCTATTTGTAGATGAATGATACCATTCCCAAATCCCGCCTTGACCCTTCTGACTATTGTTACTGCTGCCCACTGTTTGTCCTGCGCCCTGCCAATAATACTTTCAAATCCCAGAAATCCCGGCAAACTCTGATTGCTGCTTGCCAGGGTTGGAATTTTTCCTCTTCTCTAGATTGATATCCTTTGTTTTTCCCTTCGCCTCTTCCAGTTTCTATTTCTCCGAACAGAGTAGTACCTGCAGCGATAGCTACAACCCGTTCTTGCTGCCCGCCCCTCAAATCTGCGACCAGACTAAAAATCCACATCCCACACGCTGCCCCGGGTGCCACCTGCGCAACAAACCAAAAAGTCTAGCGAGCAGGAGCTGTCAGCCATCACTGCCCACCAAAGCACGACGACATCTCTCTTCGACACTCCCACGCACCCAACCTCATCCTCAGCCGCTGCTTCCAAGCCTTGAGGCGATTCCCTTTTATTTGCTCTATCGACAGCCGGACTGCCGTGTCTTGATCCTTCCAAATCACATTGCACGGTTGTGCTTACAATACGCGTCACGACCGGTATTCGCGGCGACCTCGGATTCGGCAACGCAATTGGCAAGTGCTGCAGCGCCGCTTCCTCACGGAGACCATAACTGTCTTCCTATCATCGTCTGGCTCCAAACGCTCTGCCAAAAGAGGTTCGTACACCGCCCTTTGCGAAGAAAAGCGCTGGAATGTGTCGGGAGGATCACTCTGAAATGAAGATGGAACACACTGAGACTGACTACTATCGATAGATCTGATAACGCAACTCAACGTCACCAACGCCTCGTTGCACCTCGATCATCGGCATCCTACCTTTATACATTGCCCCTAGCCTGGTTCCTTCTCCATCAGGGGCATTCACTCACTTCCAACATTTGTCGTCCTGGGAAAGACATGCTCATTTAGGGCTCGCGATTTGTCGCACAGCAAAAATAGCATCTGGCGCTTCTTGAATCAACCAACTTGGGTGCCCTTGTCTCTGCACAAAGCTCAGGTACCAGGCTGAAGATATCATCTTCTTTGATTTGTCCGCCCAAAAAAGTGTTCAAGACGCCACTCGGACGAACCCTTGGCGCGAGCGTCACTTACGGTCGATTCCCATTGCCTTACCGCCTTGAAACATATTGTCTTCTTTGTTTCGCCCCGCCAAAAAGGTATCGGTGACCTCTTTTCTTTCACGGTTTCCAACCTGCCGGGCCAAGACACGACAAAGCTCGAACCCGTACCTGTTCAAAGCTCCGCACTCAATTCCCTGGCGCTGGCTTCAAAATTTATCTATCCCTTGAAGAGGAATTAACCGACGATCCCTCTCTGCATTCCTCGTCTTGCGTGCTTCCCCCCCCCCGGGATACCTCTACCCCCCCCGAATTGTTGGAACGCAGACTCGTTCCCTTGCCGCGCACAATCGGAATTCAGCACCAACTCGTGCTGTTTTTCAGAACTGCCGAATTTAGCTGCCACAGAACAAGTAGGTTCCCGCATCTCTATTGTTCATATTTTTGGATCTCCATCGAGACACGGGAGTGGCTTCTTCTTTAGGGGGCATCATTTCAATGTCTTTACTGGAAATTCTGGCATGATTCGTGGAATAGCTTTTTAATGTTTTGAAGCAGGTCGCGGCCACGTTAGGATACTTGCATTAGGGGTGATTGAATCGTTCGCGAGTATCACCGTACCCCCTTGTACGCGAGCCACCTTCTTCTCCACAGCCCGTGGTCGAAGGAGATACAACAACTTGTTTCAGGCGCGTGTCCTCTTAGGCGCCCAAGCTGGACATTTATCACTCCTGTCTGGCCCACAAATTTCTTCTGAGCTTGTTAAACCAGCCCAACCTTTTGGGGGGTTCTCTCTCAAGCCATGGACATTACAAATATCTTAAATAACAAAGCTTCTGGTGTTCCTGCAGAAGTGGAGCAGCAGATACAACAGCAGCTGGCGCAGGCTGCACAGGCCACTGGTGGCAGCGGAAATGGTGGCGATCCGGCCTCGGAAACTGCTTCGGAGCAAGCGGCATCCCCTCGAACCACTGAATACGCTCGATACGCACCACCTCCTCGTTCCTCTCAACCAATGCATCCAATGCCCAATGTTCCTAGCGATATGCCGTATCATGCCCAGCCTATGCAGGCACCAGTGCCTGTGCTACAAAACGGATACAACCCAGATCTTGTGATGCCAAATGGATATCCCCAGCCCGAGGTTCGCGAGGCCCCAAGACCGTTCTCCAGCGAGACACCGCAGAAGGCATTTGCGTGTAGCAATTGTGGAAAGGGATTCGCGCGACGAAGCGATCTTGCTCGCCACGGTAGGTTTAAAAGCTGTCGATTTGCCACAATGGTTGATTTACTAACTCGTCTCTTGGATAGAACGGATTCACAGCGGCCATCGCCCCCATGTTTGTGACTATCCTGGATGCAAGAAGCAGTTTATCCAACGCTCCGCCTTAACTGTACACTCTCGTGTGCACACGGGCGAGAAGCCCCACCGATGTGAACGATGTGGGAAGGTTCGTTTAACCTCCTTTGTGTTATGCATTCTGCCGTGCTCTGAATCTAACAATTTTTGTTGCCACAGCCATTTAGCGATTCAAGTTCTTTGGCGCGGCACCGACGCATCCACTCCGGCAAGCGACCTTATATGTGCCCATATGCCGATTGCTTGAAGACCTTTACTCGCCGAACAACTTTGACGCGCCATCAGAACCATCACACGGGAACGGTCGAGGAAGCTGCTGCTGCACGAGCAGCTGCTTTGGCTACTCGACCGGGTGGTCGAGCCCCGGGAGCACCCCATTCGGAGCAAGGAAGCTTCTCAAACACTGTTTCGCCCCATTCGACGCCTTCGCCGGGCCAACGTACAACCTCAGTGTCTCCGCCAGGCGACCTTCCTCCCATTCCCACGCTGCAGCGTCCCCATGCTGAATATACTTATATGAGCAATGGGCCGATGCCTGCTGCACCTCTCCCTCCTCATCTCCGTGGAGATCTGCAACAGCCCATGTCGAGACCGGCTTCGGCCTCCCTCTCTTCCTATGGTGCTAGCCAGCCACGACCTTCGTTGACATCGCACCCGAGCGGATACGGTCCACCGCCCACCTTAGAACCTCCTCCCACCGCGGATCACCGCCAGCCGACGAGCGCGAACGGAAGCCCGCATGCTACCAATATGGCATGGCCATCGCCGACCCACGCTGGATTGGTAACTCCTACTCCGGGTGAGCCTTACGTCTACCCCGAGCCGCTCTACAGCGCTTCTGCATCCCACCTCTACTACCCCGCCTCCAACATGCGTCGGCCGCAAAGCACTGAGCCCGAGGCTTATGACCCGCGCGCCCGAATGCAGGGAGAGCCGAGCTGGGCGGCGCCTGTTTCGTGAAGGTGATCGTGACCTAGGCTGGGCCAAAAGGTCATCACTGTACTATATTTGAATCGTTGTTTTCCCCTCTATCCTTTGACCTCTATGCATCATTTCCCTCAACACCTCGTCGGACCCTCTTATCTTGGAACTCGGCGCGATGGAGTGTGTGGCTCCATTGTACGTTGCAATCATCATCAACATCTACTAGCCGACTGCAAAATTTTCTTTATTACTATTATTTTATTATTATTACTACTACTACTTTGTATCAGACAGAGCCTTTTAATTACCGCCTTTCCAACTTTTTCCTCTGTTAGTATTGCATTTTAATTCGCCTCCTGCATCTCGATAGACTTGTATTCCTTTCTCGCTTTTACTTCTTCTTTTACATCTTCCACTTTCTTCTCTTCGCCGTCTATCTTGTTTCATTTTTTCTTTATATTAAATCTTGCTCTGCCAGTGTTCATTTTGTCATCATTTTCCAAGCATGGGAACAGTAAAAAGTTTTTTATTATCTTATTGGGCAGAATAGAAAAAGAACAGCGCCTGTTGGGGGTTTTAGGTCGGGATTACTTTGAGTTTGGACTTTGGTCTTATCTAGTAAATAGTTCTCTCTTACAGTGACAAATTCTGAAACATTTGAACTGATAACGATTCTCTCATCATTGGCGCGGAATGATTTTACCACTAAGCATCAGGATAAGATTCCGTTCTGATTTGATTCTGTTCAAGTCTTTCAAATTAGTTTGTATCGCCACATGTGAGCATCTTCCGCGCGTCTCTCACGTCATTTGTGGCTTAGGTAGGTGCAGATTTGCTTGTGAAGCTCAATATTGGTGTTTGGTAAACGAGCTTGGAGCTCAACTTGCAAGCAGCAGCTGAGTCAGCGCAAATGATGGGGAAAAGGTGGTTTAAGTGACAACTACCTGGAGCTCATTTCCCAGGGATCATTGTGTGGTTGGTCACAATAAAGTACCTTGCTATACTGAGTATGGTGGGGGGGGACCGAGCAAGCGCAATACAACTTACGACTGGCAGGCTGGGACCGACTGGGACCGACGGGAACGAACCCATCGTCATCATCCTCATTCTACTAACTTGCTGCTACTGTAACTTGCTGTAATTACACAACTGCCCGACCTACAGCAGTAATTTCCGCCCCGAAAGTCGTCTGCCCAGTTACCACTTTTTTCCCCGACTCACATTACGATTTACCTCTGTATTTCGACGAGGGGAGATACGGTGTGGACACCCCTATAACCCATCAAACTAGACGTGGTAGTACTGCTACCCTGCGATCGAGTGAATCCGCGCTATTTGCGTGTCCTGGTCGGCTCATTCCCGCAAACCGACTGATTCCGCTGCGTGGTGTTCCATTGCTCTCAACTTCTACTCACAAAATCGATTGATCTCGGATCATCAGCCATTGGATTTAATTGTATGCTTTCTCTCCTTCTCCCAAACATCTCATGCTCCTATGTCTTGGGCTCGAGGAATGCCTGCCTAATGGTGGGTGAGCTCTCTTGACAGGAGCGATTGGCATGTCGAATTGAATTAAGCCTGTCATCGATATTAACATTGGATTAACAGTACACCAATCACTCTGTGTTGCGACGTTCATTTATTAGTCTTCACTGAAACTACGTGAAGCTCGAATCTGAACAACGACGACGATATCGATTAGATTCCTAACGAGATAAAACCGAGGAAGATACAGTCGATTTGAGTCCAAATCGCCGCGACGACATTGGCGAGCAAGTATCGCACAAGAACATATCGGAATTCGACGAGCTTCAGCTCAACTTGGTCCTAAAATAGCAGGGGATATCATAATCCTCCAACAGACAAAGGACAATTGGCATATGACGCTGCGACCTTGAGAACCATCCCAACGCCACGCAGACCTGTGCATAGACCTTAACACCCGACATTGAATCCTTGTTGCAAGCTCTCTCCACTTTACCATTTCCCATCTATAAACTCCGCAAGCCAATCCGCGAGCTTCTCTCTGAAATCACACCACATATACCGCTGCAAAGATGTCGAAAGTCATACGTGGGGTGAAGAATGTCACCAAGGGGTATTCCTCGGTGCAAGTCAAAGTTCGAAATGGTGAGTATTGATATATCACTGTTAGCCTTCTTTTGGAGCGCGGAGAAGAAGAGGATCGAAGGCTGGACACGGAAGCTCCATTAAAAGTTGTATCATTCAGAATGACTGATTGTATATGCTAGCTACGAGCAATGACCCATGGGGCCCAACAGGGACAGAAATGAGTGAAATCTCTCAAATGACATTCAACAAGTATGCCCCTCCGAATCATAACCTTTTTGCATTGCACGCAGTGCGGGAGAATATAAGCTGATATAGTGAACCTTTTTAGCTCGACCGATTTTTACGAAATCATGGATATGCTGGACAAGCGCTTGAACGACAAGGGAAAGAATTGGAGACACGTGCTCAAATCCCTCAAGGTCTTGGATTACTGTCTACATGAAGGCTCCGAGCTGGTCGTTACCTGGGCCCGCAACAACATCTTCATTGTCAAGACACTGCGCGAGTTTCAGCACATTGATGAGGATGGCAGAGATGTGGGACAAAACGGTTGGGATCATTCAAAAACCCACTGGTGTTTTTGATATAATTGGCTAACTGCGATTTAGTGCGAATTTCGGCCAAGGAATTGACTTCGCTCATTCAGGACGAGGAACGATTGCGCAAAGAACGCCTTGACCGAAAGTCGTGGAAATCTCGAGTAACTGGAATCGAAGAGTACGGTCCTCATGGATATGGAGATCGCCCTTCTTCATCCTCTGCGGGGGCTTCTTCGCGTCGGGCTGATACGCGTAACCGCCGGCGAGAGGAAGAAGATGCCGAGTATCGACTCGCGATTGAGGCCAGCAAATACGAGGCTGAAGAGGATCGAAAGCGACGAGCGAATGCAACCAAGGGCGGCGAGGACGACGAGGACTTGGCAAAAGCTATCAAGCTCAGCAAAGAAGAGGAAGAATTGCGGAAGAGAGAGTTGGAGGAGAGCAACGCGGCGTCTCTGTTTGATGATGCTCCGGCTGCCAACGCTCAGCCACAGTTTACCGGCTACAATCAAGGCTATCAGCAACAGGGAGCTGTGGACTGGTTTGGCAACCCAGTTGACGCGCAACCCCAGCAGGCCCAATCGACTGGTTTCCTTAACCAGGCCTATTCGCAGCCGACCGGCGCATTTGGCAGCCAGGCAACTGGGTTCCAAACTCAGCCGACGGGTTATCAGAATGGATTCTCAAATGGTTTCCAGCCGCAGGGCACTGGCTTCGACCAGTCTTTTGGTGGTCAGGCCAACACTCTGCAGCCCCAAACCACTGCGTTTATGGGCAACATGAACAATCCCTACGCGCAACAGCCGACTGGCTTTGGCGGTGCCCAGACGCAACCTCAGCAGCAGCAGCAGCAGCAGCAGCAGCAACAACAAATGTCTAACGCTGCCACTGGATTTGCCCAATCGGGCAGCAACAACCCTTGGGCCACTGAGCCGCAGCAGCAGCTGGATGCATTGAAGCCTTTACCCACCGGGTCGAACAACCCCTTTGGTTCGTCGTTTAGCCGACCTCAACCCCAGAACACGTCGACGGCGCCATCGCTCAACACGCTTCACGAGCAAAAAGCGCAGACACAGTTTAGCAATTTCAACCCGCCCCATTCGTTTTCTACTCCGAGCAGCCCACCGCCTCAGCAACTGCAGCAACAACAGAAGTTGGCAAACCCTCAACACGCACATCTCAATGCTCTCTTGGCCTCTGGCGAAGGCCAAGATACGTTTGGCAACACGGGCAATCTGCGTATCCCTGCCCAGCACACGGCGCCGGGCACCTTTGTCAACTCTGCCGGTCAAGGTCTCGACCGTCTCCACTCCTCTCAAACTGGTGGCAACAACCCATTCTTTACCCAGCAGTTTACTGGAATGCCTCAGCAGGCGGGCCATCCCGGTAGCGGATTTGGTCAAACGTCCCAGGCACCGCTGATGCCGGCACAGACTGGTCCCGCCGGCATGGGCATGGGCTTTGGAGGAAGTCCATTTGGCGGTGGAGCAGGAAACAGTAATCCGTATGGACAGCAGCGGCAAGCCCAGCCCGGAAGTCTGATTGATTTCTAGTTAGCCGGCTTGCATGTTTGTTTGTAAATGATATCGCTGTAACCGTTGCTCTATTCCGTTCCGTTTTGTGTCTTTTCCAGCTCTTTTCATTTCTGTCCTGCTTTACAGTTTCTTATCTCTGTCTCGTCTGTCCAACTTGACCGTTTATGTGGTTCGACATGTATTTTGCTCATTCGAGAAAGAACCCCGCCTGGTAACCCCCTCGAGTGTCGTGCCCTTGTGCTTCGTGTTCTTGCGTCTAAATTGCAATTTATATCTTTTGCTTTTGCAATCTTCTCGTTTTTATTTTTACCCCTATCTTATCGCTGTCCTTTCTTCTCCCCTTTGTCTTTTCCTTTCTTCTCTTCTTACCATCTCTACTTACCTTTTCTCCTTATTGTCTCTATGATCTCTAAAGTCGTCTTTACAATTGTCTTTTTTCCTCTCAAGCAAGTGCCGTTTTTTTACCAGTCAGATTTATTTCACCCAGAGTATTTAAAATTTGTTATCTTCTTCTTTTTATCTTTATTTAAAATTGTTTGAAAATTCAATTCCAATTCCAATTCATTCAATTCAATTTATTTAAATTTAAGGTTACCATTCAGTCATTGACTTGTGTGCCATGTGGTTCGTATCTTGTCCAAGTGTCAAAACTGTCAAGTGCCTGACTGCCACGACTGCCATGACTGCCATGACTGCCACGATTTGAGTGTAGACATACTCGCAGTCAGACCTCGTTTGAACTAACAATATTACAGTAGTACAGTGGTATAGCAGTACAGGAGTACAGTAGACAGGGGACAGTAGACAGGAAACAGGAATGCAGAGTTACAGGCTGGACATGACAAGGCTATATTGCAATGCTTATTTCTATATGAGAGAGAAAGAAAGAGATATAGAGTCTTGCTCCTGATACCGCCCATGTACATAAGGAGTAGTCAAATGAAAATAGTGAACTTGGGTGATGCTTGTGCCCTTGGATCGCTTTTGAGTATGGAATTGCAGTATAGGGACAAGAAAAGAGGGGAAAAGGAAAAGGAAAAGAAAAAAGAAAAGGGAGTCTATGAACCGTTAACAGCGGGTTTGGCTGCTGATGCGTCGCCATTTGTTGCGCTCGGCATAGGGATAGGACCGCCAGGAGAGTCGGGCAGTCGGGCGGTCAAGACTTCGACGCCGTCGGCCGTGACGAGGAGGGTGTGTTCTGCGATTGAAGAGATTAATACTTTAACTCGATTACGGAAAGAGGAAAAAAGGAAAAGAAGAGAGAGAGAAACGAAAAGGACAGCTGGAGGACAAAAAAAAAAAGGGACGAAAAAACAAAGAGACAAAATCGGACAAAATAGGACAAAAAAAAAGAGACAAGAAATGCTCACCAAATTGAGCAGTGCGCTTGCCATCGGCGGTAACACTGGTCCAGTCATCAGGCCACGTCTTGTCCTTGTGCGTTCCCAGACAGATCATGGGCTCAATGGTAAAGCACATGCCCTCTCGCGCCGTTCCGACGGCCTTGTTCTTGGCATAATGTGGGATATTGGGCGTGGCATGGAAGAGCTGGTTGATGCCGTGTCCGCAGTACGTCTTGACGACGCTGCAGTCGCGGCTCTTGGCGTGCTTCTCAATCACGGTGCCGGGATCGCGGAACAGCATTCCCGGCTTGACAATCTCAATGGACTTGTCCAGACACTCGCGCGCCGTCTCGACCACGCGCACCGACTCCGGGTCGGCCTTGGCCCGGTCCCCGACATAGTATGTCTCGTTGAGGTCGGCGTGGAAACCGCCGTGGTAGACGCTGATGTCAAGGTTCAAAATGTCGCCGTCTTCGAGCGGCCGCTGGTCCGGAATGCCGTGGCAAATGACCTCGTTGGGCGACGTGCATAACGATTTGGGGAAGTGGCAGTAGTTTAACGGAGAAGGGTAACACTTTATCTCGTGGTCAGCGATTACTATATCCAAAGAACATGATTTTAAGGAACCCAATATGAGAGGCCCGCAAAGACGAAAGATAAAGTCGCAAGGGGTAGCTCAGATGAAAGTTGACAGTCGACAGTCGGACAAGTAAAACTCACATCTCTCTCCATGCAAGCCTTGTGAACAACCTCATCGATATAGTCCGTCGTCACGCCGGGCTTGGTAGCACGGGCGGCAATATCCAAAACCTCACGGCCCAGCTTGCAGACCTTGCGCATCGCATCCTGCTGCTGCTTGTCCAGTATAGTAATCTTATTTCGGCCAACGAAAATCTGTTCCGAGCGCGGAATGCCCGTCTTGGCGTAATCGGGCTGCTTAATCGACGAGGGGACCTGCCGACGCGACGACAGAGGATAAACGGGTCTCACGGAGCCGGTAAAAGGGTAGGTAGGGAACGGGTTATAATGGCCGGTGTCTGGATCAGGTTTAGAAACAACCTTGGGTGCAAGAAGGCTGCGGAGGGGATTATTACTTGCGGTCTTGTGGACGGCCTTGTGATCACCCTATAAACACACAGGAAAACATTGACAGGTAAGTTTGAAGGTTTTCAATGAGAGATTTAAGACGAAACGTACCCAGCTCTTCTTGAAACAGTCCTGAGAGCAGAAAAAGCTCTCCTTTCCAACCTTTAAACATGTCGGGCATTGCAGGGAACCGGCGTCGTTGGGGCATTCCGTGCCCAGACATCTCCGTTTCGCAGGTTGTTCAGTAGCCATTTCGCCGATGCACAAGATCTTGACAAGGTAAAGAAACAAATTTGCTCTTCGAGGATCAAGAGCAAGCTGCGTGCAGAAAATCGATTGGCGTCTTCCCGTAAGTTAAAATATGCCTGTCAGCGCCAAGAATCATAAATTATGCAGATTACTGCGGCCTGGCGGGAGAGAGGCAAAGATTATTATTATCAGATTATCAATCGGATCTCAAGCGAGCCTCCCCACACGGTTATTCGCGGTCCCGTACAACCAACTTGACCCGAAATATCCTCATATCGGGCCAGAAGAATCGAAGATATAAAAAGGCCAAGCAAATGGAGTGCGTAAAATGTTCCCAGTGCATCTTATTGGACATTCTTTGCTGCATATAAGCAACTGGTAATATGTCTGTAATATCTATATTCATTTATATTTTTTCGTGGTAATTGTAAAATAGTTCGTACATAAACGAAAGGTATGAAATGCAAACGATGATATCCAGCTACGTATGATTTAAGATTGAATCCCTGACCGGCAACCGGCTAAGGACACGAATAATAAGCTTCGCTTTTATCTTCTTCACTCTCAGGTTAGAAAGAACGTGCATAATACTTTCTCCTTCAATTCACATCGTTCGGCAAGTTGGACAATCACCTTTCTTCTTCAACATTCCCTTCCTGCAGTTCAAGTTAAAAAGGACCGTCGCTGCATCTCCTGACCTTGCAGGAGAAGTAAGAACAAAGCATTAGGGAAAGAGCTCTGTGGGTTTGATTGCTTCGAACAACCATCCCTTCGGGTCTATAAAACCCCATCATGTCCTCATCTCCTCTTTTAAAGTGTTATATCAAAGACGAGTATTCAGAAAATAGAATTCATTATGTAAGTAGAAGGCAACATAATCACAATCAGCCTCTGTCGAACTTATTCATCTTTATTCTTTGGCGTTGAGCTTTTTTTCTCACACTGTGTGATATAACATCTGATGAGCTGCCTTCTCCAATATCCATATTGCATTCTAACGCCGTCTCTCGCAGTGTTTAAAAAAAACCATCAAGAACCTTGATTCAAGATTATCTGGACCAAGCCGATTACGATAAGGCAAGCCTACACATTATGATGTATATATTCAACTGACGCTGACAGTTTATTTAACATAGTTACATAGTCCTCAGCTAGTCCAACTCAAGACGGGCAGAAGCAAAGGGTCTCACAAAAAAACGGCCCACTGAAATCTTGGAATAGGTCTCAGAAGAAATAGAAACCCGCCAATTGCAACAACGAGATTTGTCCGGGCCTTCGTTGCCCTACTGATATAAGCTCCCATCGGTACATTCGAGATTTCGTATTCACGTACCTTGTCTGTAAAACTGGGATGGGGCCGGAGCAGGCTCGAATACTTTCAAATGAAGTGTATATCACGTCGAAGGATCTAGCGACTTCCCCAATAGAGGTCTTCATTGAGACCTTCGAGGAGGATACTGTCACAATCAGATCATTCCACAGAACCGTTCAAGGTCATATCAAAGAGTATAAAAACGTGCGTACACATTTTATTGGCACCATTGTTTCTTGTTTTCTCAACAAATTTTTTTTGAGCGCCGTTTTAACTTGAATATAGAGCCTTGTGACGGATTGGATTTTTCTATCTTATCTTTCGAAATGTTCAGCCGCGGCTTTATTTCTTGTTCGATTGGACAATGGACATTTTGTCCTTGTTTGGGCTAATCAGCCTCCAAAAGTTTTTGGTGCCTGCGCGTTCATTTTTTACGTTTATTCTGTTGTAACTTTGATCATGCATAGACGGCAGCGGCTGGAGGTCTTGACTCATGTGGAACGTGGTACTGCCCTCTGATCCTGAATAGGATGTCCGTTGGAACTTGAGGCCGATGGACACTGGGGGTCTTTGGTTCAGGGCGTTGGCAACTTGGCATAATTGACTCGAAGAGATGCAATCGTGAAATATTACAAGTTTACAACACCACGGCTCTCTTGGATACAAAAGTACCAGAATAGAGGACTTCTACGACTTGGCTGGCAAAGTTCTCCGCTCGAGGACAAGGAAGCCAAAGAAGCCTAAGATTTTTCCAGATAACGACGCCGACTACTTCTTCCCGGAAGATTAGACAGCATCGACTAGAGCCATTTACACAGAAAACCAGGACCAAGTGCTGAATTTCGAAAAGTGGGGATCACATCTTCTTGGGATGATATAAATATCGAACTTGTACATAGATGGGTTTAGCTAAAAAGACTACCTATACATGGTCTAGAGTTTAATATTTGCCGTGAAGACCTGTCCAGACCAAAGCCTGATATGAACAACTTCTAAGCTACTTTGGTATAAAAATCTTTTTAGGCAAAGACTGACCTAGGACAGATAAGTAAATATTCTAGGTATGGCCGTATAATGCTTCATCTCTACCTATTAAAAAGCTGTCGTACCATTGATGATTCTGAGCTCATTAGAATTATTTGTTTAAGTTATTTCCTGGGTATTATATTTATGTACATGGAACAATAAATGGTATAAAATACAAACAATAATGTACATCTATTCACAACTAGAGTCAACATATTGAGTGAAGCTTTCCAGAGACTGACAGCGTCCGGACAGCACCCCCCAAGCCCACAACAGCTGCAGCACCTAAAACACCTACAAAAGTCAGATCCCAATTGTTCGCTTTCCACCAAGACATACGCATATCGGCAGTCTGTAAGTGCATGGGCCGCGATCTCATCTTGCGAGAAGAATCATCTTCTCGAAGACTATAGTGGTGGTCCCACAGCGTCTCCTCGATGAGGTCAGCGCCATATTCCTTCTTGCGGGAGGATACTTGTGCAATCTTCTGCATGCGCAACACATTACGTGTCACGGAACCGTCATGGTCAAGCAGGAGTTGCGTAAGCTTTGCCCGTAACTCATTCAGACTGAAATCGGCCTTGTCCAGAGCGAGTGCCACTTCTGCTTCGGTAAGGCGGAGAGCATTTAAAATCTGATCAAAATAGAATCCGAGTACGAGCATTGCTGTGCCATGATACAAAGCTTCATTCGCGGAAGAGCCGCCACCGTGGGTGACGAAGAGGACAGTGTGAGGGTGGTCCAAGACGGCGCGCTGAGGCGCAAAGGGCACAAATTTCCACGACGGATGCTTTCCGTCGAGAAGCTCGCCTACCTTGGAATTGGTTTTGCTGACGACCAAATCTTCATCTCGGTCAAAAAGCTTCATCTGCGCGGCATTAGCGGCCCAGACAACCCCGTCAATATGACCAGCCTGTAAAGACGCCGAAAGGGCTTTCATAAACTTGGTGAGATCAACAGGCAGGATTCGAATGCTATTTTCAGCATCAGCATACGGATAACGTATAGAATAGTTGCTGTTATATTTCGCTGGCATGCAGAGGCTGTGGCAAAGCACGTACCACTGAGGAGGAACAAAGGTAGAGGGTAGGGTCCAGTACTCACTGCGTGCCAAACGCTACATAGACGACTCTACGGTGGGTCTTGTAAAATTCAAAAAGTTCTTCGTCCAAGGGAGGATATTCCTCAGGCAAGACTGGACCCACTGCGGCCACGAGCGGCGGAAGATCTTTGGGTGTCTCGAGGCCCCAAAATGAATTGACCAGAATCAAATAATCTGGCTTTTTGAACATGGGTAATGTGTAGTAAACTCCGGACGTTCGCCTCATCTGTCGCATAAGCCACATCCAGTCGATGAGGGCAGGAAGTGCCCTAATTGGTCGGAATGCGGCGCGCAATCGCGTCCAGAGCGAGGCATGTTCGCTCGTGAGGGCATCAATCTGGAATCCAGGCATTCCAGGGATGAATGGACTAGGACAGAATCCATAGGGCATCTGAGGCCAAACGTGGCAGAATGGGATCCCGAGCTGGATGTTTATATCCTTGACGGCATCCGCAAAAAAGTCTGCCACGATGAAATTGGGACGACATTCCGGGATGACTTGATTCTTGAGATGCGCATAATCATCTTTCCAGAACAAATCCACAGTGACTTTTCCAGCAAAGGAACGCTTCATGTCTTTGCGGATGTCTGATTGTTGCATTTGCAGATAGTGACGGTCCTCGAATTCAGGGTCCATATCGGGACCCATAGTATAGACTTTCTTGATAAATGAATAGTAGGGTGACTCAACCCATTTCTCTTGACCTTGATGAGTAGCAAACTCTATCTGGTATCCTCGAGCATGCAATATTCGACCAAGCTCCAATACTGGGGCTGTGGAGGCAAGCCCAAAAGGGCTGTCGTGTCAGTTGCTCCTGTACTGCATGGAGAGGTCCATGGTTCGTTTGGGGGGAAATTTGTGCACACCTGCATGAGTAAAACCGCCTGTGCCCACCACGAGCAATATCTTCATCTCTGATGGATCCATATTATTTCAGACCGCAAAATCGCAAAGTCAACATTTGGGTTTTGAGCATATTTTATTCACGAGGTCGAGGGGTATTGGTGCCGTCCCTCCATAGTGGAAATATATGCTATTGACTACCGAAGCTTCGTGGGGTTGGCGTATCGGGAACCATCCCTTGCCGTTCCGAACGATGGAACTCCCATCTTCCGTTAGAGTCGATTGCGGATCACCTCTACCCGTCCGATGCTACAATGCCTCGAAATCACTTCACAGTTGATTTATATTTTAAATCTTGCAAATAGGCAAGTCATGCTCAAAGGAATGCCTTCTCGACATGTGTTGCTGAACATGACATCTCAGAAATCTGGCTTGATCGGCACTTTTTAGTGTCGATGCCATCTATAACGTGAAATGGACCTTTCAGCGCAGGGAAGACATGTCTTTTTACCAGTGACATGTCTTATTTTGACTGCTGTCTAAGAGACAACTGAGAGAGGAAATCCAGCGGCCCTATTGCTAGGTAATAGAATGCCGTCTGAGATGAATTCACCTTTGCTGGCAAAATCCGAACCCCATCTTGTCAGAAAACAGTATCCATTCAGGAGTCACCCATTCAGGAATTATCCACGTTGCCGTATCCAATGCACTTTTCCACATTGGTTCTTCTTTTCTTTCCTGTCCATTTTTGTCATTTTGAACGCACTTGGATTGCAGATCACGAGGCTCAGTCGTGCTTGCCTCATCTGGGCCAAATAGGCAAGCTGACGATGAAACACGTTGACGATTCCCAAACGGCCAACGACCACGACAGCATTTTGCTTCATCTCGCCCGCTAAGCCATTTTGAAGAGGATCTAGCGGATATAATCAGACCTATCTTGGAATTTCAATGTGCTGGCAATTATGAGGAAAGAGCGAGACAGGCCGATAAATTTCTTGCCCACACACCTTCCATTCTTGCTTCTTTTATTTTTCTTCTTGTTGTACTATTTCAAAAAGCAAACGCACTTTCCCCCAACCTTTCTTTCTATCATACCCGCGTTCTAAAATTCTGAATATCACAAGCTTCAAAATAAGAAAACAGTCAAGCGAAAATGTTCATTCTCCAGCTGGGACTTCTCCTCTCACTGGGACATGCCCTTGTGCTCGTCTCAGCGAGAAACCTCGTTCACCTTCCTTTAAAGGCGCCAAAGCTTGGTCTTCCTCCGCGCGAAGACACTGCAGTCAAACCTACTGTCGCCAATCCCGTTCCTCTCTACGTTCCCATGCAATATGTGCCTCCCTTACCGGAGAACGTCACTGAACTTGAACTTTTTGTCCTCATCGAACCGGTCATTGTGGAATATAATCCAGAATATAGATCCTTAATTCTGGAACAAACAAGACTCGCAGCATCAGCATCTTGGTCGTCCAACCCACACGTCAACTCGTCCAGCGCTCATCATGCGGCCGATGCCAACAAGACTAACAATGTCAATAATCCCACCTACACCATCGCCAACAGCAGCGACGACCACAGCGGCCTGCATGCCCGGTTCTTTGTTCATTTCTGGGACAAGACGCTTGAACAATGCTGCCGTGAGCGTGGTCCTCTCAAGAACATGACATTTGTTGAACGTTTCGGCCGCCTCTTCTCTATTATCCCCAGCGAATGCGATTGGAGCTGCGATCCCGACGGTCACGTCATGAAGCATGCGTGGATTACAAGTCCGTATAAGCGGGATGAGATGCCGACTGCAACGCCTTTCCCCTCCTCTGTCGATTCTCCTGTTGAGCGTTCCCCTTCTTCGGGAGTGCTCAAGCTACACGCAGTCCCTAACAATCACCATGGCCCCAATCCTGTTGAACAACAAACCACGTCGACGGAGAGATCAAAGTGGTTTAGTAATTGGTCTGGTCCTGTCACTGATGTCACTGAAGCTGAAGCGGGAGCGGTACGGGAAGGAAACCAGGAACAGAAACGAGACCGGAAACCTACTGTCCCTGCCGTTGCAAATGTCTTTCCCGGCAAGCACCATCTTGGATTTATCACCATGCCCGTCGAACCGGAGTCTACCAAGTCTCTAAGGCCCCTTCCCACGCAGGAAACCCGAAATCTCAATGCTCGGCACCATGGTCCGCTGCTGGTCGAACCGGCAACTTCGTCTTCGTCTTCGTCTTTTTCGACAGCGCCTCCCTCGCCTTCGTCGTTGAACCACCACCACAAAAGAACCGAACAAACGTACACCTCTGCAGGACACATGACCTTCGAAGACGCCAAGGAAATTGCCAGAGCAGGCGCAGCGGCAGGCGCTATCGGCGCAGAGATTGTGGCCGCCCCGATACGCCATAAGTTGTTTGATCATTGGGAGCATAATGATCATCGCCGTGAGAACCATCTCGAGGATCATGACATGAATCTTCCCGCTGCCCCTACGCCTACTCACGATCGGCACTGGTATTGAGTGTCTCTCTCTTCCTATTTTTTTCTTTCCCTTGTTTCTTTCCCCTGTTTCTTTCCCCTGTTTCTTCCCCTTGTTGATTTAACTTGTTCTTCCTTTTGCTTGTAGTTTATCCTGTTTTCACCCTTCCTTTTCTTTGTTTTCATCTTTTCTTTCAAACCCACACATGGTTTTTTGCCTTGGTCGTTTTGGTATCCCAGGTCTGGTCAGGTCTTTTCTTCTTTAATTGGGTTTGGACTCGGGGGATTGGGGGATTGGCGGAAGGGGGAAGAAGGGAGGTGGGGCACTTCTTTCTCTCGTTTTTTTCTTCTTCTGAATTGGTGCTCCGCACGTCATTTGGCTAAGGGTTGTCTTTCACTACGGACATATGGCTCGTTAATTTGATAGAATTGAATTCAGTATCATTTTGTCATGGACTTGAATTCAATATCATTTGGTCAGGGACTCATGGAAGACTCCGAGCTGATGATATGGCCAGAGTCCAGACGGCAACAAAACTCTTTTTTTCTTTGTAGAAACCTGGATCCTGACAATTTTTTTTTTTGAGAAATGTATTTGATATAATTCAAATACAGTAGATTCTATACGTGATACATGTTTTCTTGAACTGGTATCGTGATACGTGGATACATGGATACATGGATACATGGATACATGGATATTGAAAGCCAGGTATGTAACGATGTTTGTCAGAGTAAAAGAGAAGAGGAAAAGTAGGTAAAGTAAGTAGTTGGATATACAATGAGAATGGGTAGCATACGCTGGCCATTTAGATGACGAGAAAGACGACGGGAATGAAAAGAAGTAGAAAGGAAAAAGGGTGAAGGGGAAGAAAAGAAAAAGAGGGAAGGGGCTTAAGCCTTGCCAGGATAATCCTCCCAGCCGACATTGCCCAGCTTGTCCACCTTTTCGTAGACGCCATTCTCCATGTCTTTCATGTATTTTTCCATTTTCTGCAGCACGGCCACGTCGGAAGAGCCGATGATGCGGATGGCGAGGAGAGCGGCGTTGATGGAGTTGTTGATGGCGACGGTGGCGACGGGGATGCCTCTCTGTTGGATTATTAGCATTAACATCGAGTAAAAAGATAACAGAAGGCAGATTTTCCAATCTCGTATTCTATTATCTACTTTATTTCCCTTTTCTTTTCCCTTTTCTAGAAAAGGGAAATAAAGTAGATAATAGAATACGAGATTGGAAAATACATACCGGCATCTGAACAATGCTGAGCAAACTGTCCATGCCGTCCAAGGTGCTTCCCTTGACGGGCACGCCAATGACAGGAAGGGGCGTGCTTGCGGCAACCATGCCGGGCAAGTGGGCGGCACCACCCGCAGCGGCGATGATAGCCTTGATGCCTCTTGCGGCAGCTTCCTGTGCGAAAGCGAACATGCGGCCGGGAGTGCGGTGGGCGGAGGTGATGGTGACTTCAAAGGGAATGTTGAACTCGCGGAGCAAGGCGATACCGGGCTTGAGGACGGGAAGATCGGAATCGGAGCCCATGGTGACGGCGACGAGCGGTGGCGCTTGGGTGGACTTGGGCTGCTGCGTGGCAACAGAGCCAGCAGCTTGGGGCTTCTTGGAGGGGTCTTTGCGCGCGGCGCGGACCCGGTCGACGGCGTCGATCAGGGGAGTGATGCGCTTCTCGGCTTCTGTCATAGATCCAGCCAGGACAGTCACATGGCCCATCTTGCGGCCGGGACGGGCATCGCCCTTGCCATAGAGATGGATACTAGCGCCGGGGGTGACGAGAGCTTCGCGCGCAACGGTCAAGTGGGAGTCAGGATCAGCGCCGCCGAGGAAGTTAAGCATGATGGCGCTGGTGTCGGGGGTGTTCATCTGTGTTCCGTCGATGGGGAAAGGTAGGTCCAGAATGGCCCGAAGGTGGGCGTCGTATTGAGACACGGGGCAGGCTTCAATGGTGTAGTGACCGGAGTTGTGCGGCCGGGGGGCGATTTCGTTGATCAAAAGGTTTCCTGTACAGACCAATGATTAGAAACAAGAGTTGACTTTGACGGCATTTGCGGGGGGAGGGGGGAGGGGGGGAAATGGCTTGTTGGTAAATGCTTACCATCCTGTCCCAAGAACATCTCGACGCCAAAGACGCCTTTACCCCAGAATCCAGCGACGGCTCGTCTCGCCAGAATCTGAGCTTGCTGGGCAAGTCGTTCAGAAACGTTTCGTGCAGGAGCATAGACGAGCTTGCAGATGCTCTCCTCGTGGACAGTCTCGACGGTCGGGAATGCGAGTGTTGACTGCTCCCACGCATCGGCAGAGGCATCTTCTTTGGTCTTGGCAACCATGACTGCAAGCTCTGCCTTGAAATTGGCCCATCTCTCGGCATACAAGGGGCGCTTGCCCAATGCTTCAAGAGCAGCAGGGACGTCGGCAGCGGACTCAACGGGGAAATTTCCGCGGCCATCATACGCCTGGGTACGAGACTTGAGCATGTACGGGAAGCCCAGCTTCTCGCCCACCTTTTTCAATTCCTCCTCGGTGTTGTGCGCAATAGGAATCGATTCTGCAGTCTCAACGCCCTGCTCCAGCAGGTGCTCTTTTTGCAGATATTTGTCCTGGATGACCCGGATAGTCTTCCAGCTTGGTTGGATCTGAATGGCGTCACCGCGTTCCTTGGCCACCTCCTCGAGGATATGGGTGTTGACATGTTCAATCTCGACCGTCACGATGTCGCATTCTTTCGACAGCTTGCGAATGGCATCAGGGTCGGCGAACGAGCCGTTGATGTGGGGGTGATTAATTTGCTTGGCGGGGGAGTTCTCAGCGTCGAGAACCACCACTTTCAGATTCAACCTGTGGGCGGCCTCAATGAGCATACGGCCCAATTGGCCACCTCCCAATACGCCAATGGTGCGCTTGTCCATGGTGCTTATAGATGGAGATGTGAAAAGGCGATTCAGGACAAAATGCAGCGCGGCGGGAAAGTTTTGGGTAACAGTAACGCTGGCCGGAAGAAGCCGAGAATTCGAGTCAAGAAAAAAGTTCCAAGATGTCGCGACCCCTCGCTCTCTGTCCCGCCGTAAATAATCTAATCTCGATCTAGATTATCAAATCTCATCCATCTAATCTCCATTCATCTCCGGCCGGAGAGCGCTCTTGTGCATTCATGGACCTGGCTATAATTCAACGCTTCAAGAGTACCTAAATAGTTGACTTTCCATCTCACAATGATTCTAATTATTAGCTGAATGTAAAGAAGATGCTCTGGGTTACAATCTGCAAAATTATCGCTGAATAGAAATATATATTTCAATGCATGCATTAATGACTTTACCATTTATTACGCATGCGTTATGATGCTAAGGTGCAAGTGCTACACAATTGCTATGCCAAAGCTACCGTGCGCAGCTTTCCCAAGACTCGTATACTGATAAACGCCCAAGCCTTTAATCTAGTTATTTGATGCTTTGATGCAAAGTTACGCAGGAATCATGTGCCGCGAAAATCATGCGCTAACCGAGTGGTTTTCCTCCCGTCTATCTTCCAAAGCGCATTTGCGCCTTTCCAAATCGGTATAGAGCTCGTAAAAAGATTTGATATTCGACTCCAGTGTTATCAGGGACGTGGCTAGAAATGAGAGGTCAGTTTCACTCCGCATGAATGGATATAATTGTCTGATGGAATTACAACAAGGAGCGTTTATTAGGGAAAGAAAGAATACGCCCATCACAATGACAAGGCAAGGGAGGGACATATAATCACTTCTCACAAAAATGGGAATACGTACAATATCTCAGTAAGTCGTATCTGCCAGGGCGGATATCCTTGTAGTTCAACATCTGGGCCAAACAGGATGAGGAGATCGGGTTCGGCCATAGTGCTCTCACGAATTTCGACATCGACGAGATCGACAGAAATATCATTTGGCGAGAGCTTCGACCGCTGAGACATTTCAGTGAGTGTCTTAGTCAGGTCAACCATAGTAGACCGGCCATCTTCAGCGGAGAGTAGAAGAACTGAGAGGTGTCCTGTGAACGAGAGATTATGAGTAAGTTTACGAATTTAACGAGAGGGGAAAAGAGAAGGCAGAGCAACACCGTGAGAGGTAAAGTGACAAGCATTCACGGATGACTTAGAGAAGGTAAGATACCAACTCTAAAGGACGCATTGTGGAGTACGTACCAGGTCCATCCTGATTTGAATCGGAGTGAGATTCATCAACAAGATCGCCGTTGAGAAATGCGGGAAGATGTGGCGCGCGAAGTTGCAGTGAAGGTCTGCGCGTGCCAAAATATGCTTGGAGTCTCTTTGCAATGGCGCGATGTGTAGTAGGTATGTAGCTCTTGAGGATACCTGGAAAAATTAAAAACAGTCAGCATACAAGGTCCAGCTTGGAGAACCGCGAATACTTGCTCTGAACATGGGACATCGTTTTCTTATGGGCAATCCAACTGAGAATCGAGATAGTGGAAGTACATACCTGTCTTCTCGTATACACTGAGTAACGGAATCCCTGCACAAGCCGACCATGCTGCAATCTCCGCAATCTCTTCAATTAATTGCTCTAGGCCTTCGCCACCTTTTTCTTCAGGATTATACTCGAGAATCACGCTCAAATGCTCCGGTAGCCTGCTCAATCCCTTGACATCTTTCTGAATCAATTGTGGTGTTCGGTGGTGGTAATATAGCACAGCGAAAATACGGTATAAAACGGCATGGTACCACTGGCGCAATCGCATGTATAAGCCGAAGAAGGTATGAATCAGAGTGTAAACGAGGACATATAGCTGAATTCTGAAAAATTCGGAGACAGCGCGAGCTCCTCGCTGCTTTCGAGAAACTGTATTTGCCTGCGGGGGAGGGGAAGGGAGGTAGGGTCTGAGCAGCTCCTCGCGCTGTTTGGCCGTCAGCGGACTTCCTTCGCGTCGCGCATCCCGGCGATAGATTTCAGTCTCTCGGACGCCGACCATTTCGAAAGAGTCGTCGAAGAGGAAAATTAAGCTCCGCTATTGGTTCCAGAATATTGAAAGGTTCAAAGTAATAAAAGAGCTGAACAAGTGCGAGCAGGCGGGGTGGAAAAGTGAGCTTTTGGTACGGCTGTGTTGTCGTAGTGGTGGCTTAGCCTGCCATGTGTGTTTTTGAGGAAGTGGTTTGAATTTAATACGTTGTGTATTCCTCTGAAAACCCTCTCTTAAGGGCTCATCGTCGAGCAAGAATTGGCAGGCCGGAGAATCCCAGGTATACTCCTTAAATTTCGTAAGAGAAGATTGTGCTCAAGTTATCGTGGAATTGCTGAAACCCCCAACAACCAACGTCGTCACTCGGCCAAGGATGATTGGCTGGGCGAAATCCAGGTAACCCCACGTGCGGAAGAATATCCGCGAGGGTCCAACTTATATAATCACGGATAAATCGAAAAAATTAATCCGACACCCGCATTGCATGTGAATCGTCTGGTCTCAGTGCTGGCAGGCCAGTCTGAATGTCCCACGAATGCCTATCACTCAACTGGAGATTCAGTAAGAAATCATTAATAAGTCTTCACATATTCCGAGATGTAATTAAAAGGAAATTTTATTTCAGTCGTGGACTAAAGCTAACTAAGGGGGAGGAAAGAGCTCCTTAAGTGAGCAACGGTGGTAAGGGGGAAAGGGAGGTTAAATACGAGCGCAAGACAGCAAGGGTAACATGGGGTCCTTTGGACAGAATAAAAATGCGCAGAGAAGAAATTTGTAGAAGGTAGTAATGCAAAGTGCAAGCCGAACGAAATGAAAAGCTTCCATAAACGGGGGCAAGCGTTGAAATCGAGAGGCGATTGTAACTATGCGTTACTGAATTGGTTATGATAAAAGCAGGAATATGAGAAAGGCAGAAATTTGTGATAGTGAATACTGTGCAGGGAAAATGTACCCTCAAGTTCCGTCAGAAATCTTGAGACAATCGCCCTATATTTTTCTCTCTTCGCCAACTTGGCGACTTTTCCCTCGAAAGCTAACAAATTTAGCTTGAGCCTTTTTCTAAGAGCTACTCGTAAAACGTGCAGATATTGACGCCAAAGGCCATCTATCTAGCAGTAGCAATAACTGTCCGATAGTAATCCATACTCAGCGCAGTCGTGTGTTTTAAGTAAGCGTCCTCGGTGAGTGGGAGTTGAAGGATTTTGGCTCGTTCAATACTCTATCGACACATTCTATTAGCATCCTAATTGAATCATGCAGATCACTATGCCCGTCCCATCCTCCAAATTTCCAGAAACGCTTCACGGGATAGGGATGCCAAAGACAACGGACGGGGACAAAACTTACATTCTTGGCAGCCATGGCAGCAGTCGCCACTATCCCGGCCATTTCCTGAATAGCCACTGACTCAACAAAGCTATTCTTCTGGTCATTCGCCATGGCTGGTAAACTGGCGACAAGACGGGAAATGATCTCATCCTTATCACTTCCACGAGGTAAATACTGCTGCTTCATTGGAGTCGACGATGTAGGGCGGCGATGGCCAGGAACCCCAACAATAGTCTTGGCGGGTGCTTGCATAAGACGGACAAAATCAAAGTAGACTTGCCCTCCCAGTGCCCAATTTCCGACGAGCTCTTCGCCGTCATCGCCAAATCCGTGAAGAAGTTTGCTCAGCATGTCATAATCCTCTTCGATAACGGCCTGCGGCGCGACGGAGTGGCAAATAGTCTTGTGGGCTTCTTCCCAGTTCTTTGCGCGCAGAAGATACTCAACTTCAGCCATGTAGTCAGCTTCGATGGACCGCGCGTAGAGGGCCTTGGCTTCCCAAATCCAAGCTTCGGGAATGCGTAGGTCCTGGACTAAGATCTTGAACTCAGGGGATGATTCTGGGGTGCCAATTGCCGCGGCGTGGCGGGCGAGGAGATCTTGAATTGACCTCGTTCGCGCTTCCTGGTCGTCAATGTGGAGTAGAATGAAGACCGCCCAAGTCCATTCACCTGCGGATTCGAGCTGGGCGGCAAAATTCCATGCAAGGTTGTCAGCTTTATTAGCGCGAGAAGATTCGGGGGAATCTTCGAAAAAGGCGACACGGCGCGCTTCAAGTGCGTGATACAACTGGAAACTCATGCAGAGATCGATGGGGTTTCCAGAAAAGGCATGTGGGAGGATGACATCCTCGATTTTGACCGTCTGCTTGTCGGTAGTGGTGCGCTGATCGACGTAAAGCTTCAAGATACCCCAAAGAATGTCCTGGCGGTCGCCCAATTTCTCGTCTTTCCATGGTACTCGAAACCCATCAACAGCAAACCACGGAAGTGGCTTCTTTTCGCCAATGCCCTCCTCAAGGTCCGTATGATAGGCGGTCACTGCATCTTCGAGCGGGGCGTTGTCAGAAACACCATACCATAAACGCAGGCCGAATGCTTGTCTCCAATCCAGGCCAAAGCGCTCGCTGATCAAGAAGGCCCTGGCACGATCTTCGGGGTTGGCGTCCTTCAATCCCTTACTCACACCAGTGTTACCGGCAAGTAGTTCCCATAGTGCTCGGATTGGCTCAGTCATCTCACAAATTATCTTCTTTTCCTTCCAATATTCGAGCTGTGCCTTCATATCCGATCGCATCTCGTCATTGTCATTGATCAAAGCTATCAAGGTCGCCAATCGAAAGTCTCTTCCATCGACAAGTGCCGCACACGCATTTTCAATGTCATTTCCGGAGAGGTAAGCAAGTGCCTTCTCCTCAGCGGTGGTGGCTTGATAAGCCTGCTTCTCCATCGAGGACTTGACAAGCTCTTTCCAAAAGTCCGAGAGTTTGTCTTTACGCACGCGTCTTTGGAGGACGGGGTCATCATCGGGGAGGTCTTTCAACTCTTCATCTTCGTCAAAATTGTCGAACAAAACATGAGCAAGTTCCCAGACAAGCTTCTCGTAATTTGACTGCTCGTCTTTGGCGTTGATACGACGAGAGAAATCCGAGAAATTAAATCTCGAATCCAGAGTTGCAAAAGGAATGTCTTCAAATACATCTACCGTGGTAAAGTCACGTTGGATCTTCAAGGTTTCAATGGGCAACTAGAAAAGTTAGTTGGCAAAACCAATACATTTTGTGCCCTATGACTTTAGATTTGACTCACATCAGAATCACTGGCCAACTTTGCAAGCTGCACGTCTTTGCCTTCGAAGACAAACGGCCGCCCAATCTTTCGGAGAAGGGAATTGTCAGGATCATTGGTTGAACTAATGCCGCCGGGCAGAGCATATACTAAAGTGCTGCCCGGGCCCCAGTTTGGTTTCAGAGCTGAGTGAAATTCTTTGTCATTCTCGTCCATTGTTGACTCGTTGAAGTCGGACACTTTGGACTTTTTCGGATATGGCCACTAAATGAAAAGAACGTTGTCTCAGCATGACTTCATTGAATTATTACATACATGATCGGGCGCAACGACCGGCCCTTCCAATTCGTCTCACTCTGACACGGCCACTTAGATCGTCGCCCAAGGTACAAGACAAAAAACAATAATAATGCAAAATGAAAGAAAAGTGGAATCAAACCTCAAATCCTTTTCTCGGAGCCTGTACACGCGCTCCATTCTTTCGAAGCGGAGGTTGTCCAAAGAGTGAATTCATCAAATCGATGCTCGTAGCAAACCCTTTTTTCTCCGCTTGATTACTGGCTTTTGGCGTTGGATTTTGCTCTTCATGGCCGCCGTAAGCAAAGGCTGCTTGGCTAGCCCGAAGGGCCTGCCGATCTTGCTTTTTCGGACTAATTGTGCGTTGAAGCTGGTCGGCCCAGTCGCTTTCAACCAAAAGTCGCGCCTTGCCAGGAGTTCCCATACCGGTACCATTTGTGTCAAACTGAGAGGTAGACTTCAAAATCGACTTCGGCTTCAGTGCTGGATGTCCCGTGAGCTCCGTGGTAAGGCCGAGTCCCGGGAAAGACCCAACCATCTCCGGCCCGTCGACAAAAATAGAGGTATTCTCCTCATCAATTACATCATCTTCATCAACGTCGACGTCGCTTTCGGACTGTGTTGCCACGGAGCCGTCATCTAAAAAAGACTGGCTGCCAAAGGATCCAACTTCATCATCCATCTCTTCCTCTTCCGCAATTGAAGCCTCCCCATTAAATGCACCCGGAAGCACTTTCTTCTTTCGAAACTCAAACGTGTCATCGGGCCCAGAGCTTTCACTCGTATACTCATCAAGCATAGATGACTCTTGAACACTTGCGGCGCCGCGCAATGTTGCATTCTGACCGGGCGTTGGGCTATCTTGGGGAGCGCTCAATGAGCTCTGCGTGATATCCTCTGTGCCAGTTTCTTCGTCCTCATAATCAAGACCGTATGTAGTAAAATGCTCGACGCTAAATGCCCAGATGCCATTTTCCTTATCATAGCTAACAAACTTTGTATCTGGAACAGTCATCAATCGACGCACGTGCTTTGAAACGGCATTGCCGCTCGTGTCGTAACGCTTGTCCTTAGAGCGAGGCCAAGAATTCTCCAGAGTAATAGTCGAGGGGACATTAAGTCCTTTACCCATTGGAGGCGTGCTGTACCCATCCGGATAAACGGTCACCATCCGGGTACCAACAACGATCATCTTTCCGAAGATTTCGTCCAGGTTGATACTTGAGAGATCGACAGGTGCATTGAAGTTGACCTTGCCAACGTTCTCCCGTCCGACCTCGAAATTTTCAACAGATTTAAGCTGCTCTCGTGACATCTTCTGCAGCTCTTCCAAAGAGGGCTTCATGTAATAGGAGCCAGGAGCCTTGTCGCTGACGTCCTTTGGAGAGGAAGGCGATGCAGCTGATGGAGACGTTTCATGCTCTGGAACAACAGCAAGTTCGTTGCCACGCACCTGCACCATCTCGGGCGAACCGTTGATGCCATTGGTCAAGGTGCCGTTGACGCCATTGGTGCTGCTGGGGGAAGCATCGGGGTTGGAGCGCGTAGATGATCTCAAAAAGCCTTGCTCCTCGGCAGTGGGGCTGGTGCCATTCGGCTCTGCGCTCACAAGGGCGCTGGATGGTTCGCCGTTGGCTAGGCCGAAGAGGTTGTCACCACGAGGCTTGGCTGCAGTATCGAAGCTAACCTTCTTCTTCAATATACCAGACTGCTTCGAGGAGTCTGTGCGATTGAGTGGAGCGAGAGCAGAGCCGTCGCTACTGCCAAAAAGGTCAGTACGGATGCTGCGGTCAATAGTCAGCCGTTTAATACTGCTATTGCTTGCATAGCGTCCGCTATTGGCCGAGAAGGCGCCTGGCGCCAGAACACTATCGTCACTGTCAAACGAGTGACGCAGAGAGCTGGCAGACATGCTCTTGCTGAGGCCACGGCCAAGAGCGCTTCCGAAGCTTCGGCTTCCGCCAAGGAGGCTGCCGCCTAGGGCACTTGGCGAGCCAGGAGTGCTGTTTGGGCTGCCAAGAGTAGAATAAGAGAAACCATATCCTCGCTTCTGCGGCGTCACAAGCCGAGATGAAGCATTGGGGTTGATCTTATACTGAGGCAAGATGGCACTCTTCTTGAGTTTCTGACTGCTTGAAAGGGGAGTGGCAATTGGTCCAACACTCTGGTTTCCAGGCGAGCCAAGACTCTGGAACAAGCTCTCGTTACCATACGGGTTCGACGCATTAATAGAAGTGGAGAAGGACGGGGCCTGCTGTTGTTGCGACTGCTGCTGTTGCTGCTGAGAGCCACCAAAGAGGCTGGTGCTTCCTCCCCCGAAGAGACCGGTACCTGAAGATTGCTGCGGCTGGGTGTTGGCGCCTGCATTCCCAAAGAGAGAGGTTCCCGTGGATTGCTGGGTATTGGCCGTGTTGCTCCCCACATTTCCGAAAAGCCCACCACCAGCGCCAGTGTTTGAGGGAGTGCCTCCGCCAAAGAGGCCTCCCGGCTTCTGCTGGGACTGAGTATTTCCAAAGAGACCTCCGGCGCTTTGATTCTGCTGGTTCTGGTTGTTACCAAATCCGCCACCGCCGAACAGTCCACCTCCACCAGTATTACCAGGTGTATTGGTTGAACCTCCAAAGAGGCCAGTGCCAGTGCCTCCGGTCGCGGGCTTGTTCGCACCAAACAAGCCGCCACCAGATTGCTGGTTGTTGGCCGTATTTCCGAAGAGACCACCGCCAGTACCAGTGGAGCTTTGTTGATTAGCAGTGTTTCCGAATAGGCCACCTCCCGTGTTGGTAGCTCCAGTGTTTCCAAAGAGACCACCAGCGGGCTTTTGCTGCTGGTTGGCATTGGCGCCGAAACCTCCACCGCCGAAAAGGGACGAGCCTGTGGTGCCCTGGCCCTGGGTCTGATTTTGTTGGTTTTGACCAAAGCCACCAAAGGGGCTGCTGCTGCTGGTGTTTTGAGAGTTGCTTCCAAAGCCGGTATTGGTGTTTCCACTGCCGAACAGGCCACCACCAGTACCAGCACCAGTACCAGCACCGCCTGTCGTCGTCGTATTGCCGGAACCAAATCCACTGCCAGTGGCTCCAAAACCGCCAGTATTGGTGTTAGAACCGCCTCCAAAGGCAAAGCCAGTACCTCCAGGGTTGCTCGTACCAGTGTTGGTGTTGTTACCAAACAAGCCACCGCCACCAGTGTTGCCCGAGCCAAACCCGGTACCAGTAGAAGAGCCGAAGCCGCCGCCGGTGTTTCCAGCGCCAAATAAACCACCAGAGGTACCGCCAGTACCACCAGTACCGCCGGTACCGCCGGTATTTCCGCTCCCGAAAAGACCACCGGATCCAGCAGGTTTGTTACCAAACATTCCGCCGCCAGTATTAGCAGTGCTGCCAAAGCCAGTATTGGACTGTGTGCCGCCGCCAAACGGTGAGGACGACGTATTTGTGTTGCCAAAAAGGCCACCGCCACCACCGCCACCACCGCCAGACGCACCGAAACCTCCAGTATTGCCAGTCGAGGTGCCAAATCCGCCAAATCCTGTGCTGGTGCCGAATGCGCCGGCCTGGCCGCTTGCGTTGCCGTATCTACGCCCTTGGGCGTAATCAGCCATCCTTAGTTCCTTCAAAATAAAAGTTAGCAAAGATGATAATTCCTCCAACACATCTAAATTTTTAGTAGCATTAACTTACCTCAAATGAGAACTTCTGATAGGGTTGCATAAAGGTGATGCTCTGAAAATGGTTGGTGGTATTGCTGGCACCTTCCTTTTCTGTATAGGCCGCGAAGGGAGTGCCACCAGTTCCTTCACACTGCGGAGTAGCTCCGCCAAGTGCGGTGCTGGCGGGGGCACCAAATGCACTTGTAGCTGGTGCACTTGAGGCACCAAAGGGACTTGAGGTCGCGCCGCCTCCAAAGAGACCGCCTGACGAGGTGCCAGATCCAAAGGCAGGCTTGTTGGCACCGCCAAAGAGACCCCCGCTTGTACTACCGCCTCCAAATGGAGATGAAGTCGCAGTATTGGTGCTGCCAAAGCCAGTACCACCACCGCCGCCGCCGCCGCCACCAAAACCAGGGGAGGCGCCCGAGGTGGCTGTGTTGCCGCCAAAGAGACCTCCACCAGTACTAGCAGGAGATCCAAACGCTGGTTTAGCGCCGAAGGGAGATGATTGTTGAGTATTACTTCCGAAACCTATAGTCAAATCACGCATGTCAGTATCAGCATTCGAACTCGAGTTCGATCGTAATCGCGCAGACCGAGCTCGTCGAAGACGGCGAGCCATGTCCAGGAGAAGACGCCTTGAAAATGGAACTGAAATAGGGGACGTTGGAGAAAAGTAATCCAGCGGGGACCCTGGGTGAAGGGCGTCTGCGTCATGGAAATGGTCGCCCTCCTCGATCAAACACACGTTGTCCGAAAGAGATGTGAAGAGAAGGCAGTAGAAGGGACGAGCGAGTGCAAGGCAATTGCTCTGATGAACAATACTGCCAGTCCACAAACTACAATCTCATCGACGGCCCATGGCCGGGAATCGACGTACCTCCGCCGGAGCCGAAGCCGCTAGAAGTGTTGCCAAAGAGGCCACCACCTCCAGTGTTACCAGTGTTACCAGTATTGGAAGATCCGAAACCGGTGTTGGTTGAGGAACCAAAGCCTAGAAGTGGAACGCAACGGTGGGCATCGAATTAACGGCTGCTCTCACTAGGAGAACGGGGAGGAGGCGCCAGGTCCTAGATCCAGAGAGTACGACCAGATCCAACTGCCTGAACACCTCAAGCTCTCCGCGGCCGACGGGAAGCCGTGTCTAAAGCAAGAAAAGGAGAACCAAGTATACGTACCAGTACCAGTACCAGTATTACCGGAGCCAAAGCCCCCAAAGCCGGAGCTTTGATTGTTGCTGCCAAATCCACCGAACATGATGTCGAAAATGCGTGTCGATTACAATTTTAGGAAACCCCTGCAATGTTTCTTCGATGCTTGAAATCTGATGCAATGGAGCTCGACGATGAGGGAAAGCGTCGAGGAAACTAAAAGGAGATTCGTTTGAACGGAAAGACGAGCAGGAAAAGATCGGTTCAAAGGGAAAGCGCCGAAAAAGTCGAACGCGCTGGACGAAGAAAAATCCGTTCGCGCGTCAAGGAAAGATTGACTCGCGAAAAAGAGAAATTGTGAGTCGTCAGTGATGACCTGCTCAAATTATCCACGTCGGGCGTTCGACAGAAGGAGACTGTCGAGAGCCCGAGGGTGCCGAATCGACGAGTCGGTCGACGCGCAGGTTGTTGATTCGGGGGGGTTGATGATGTTGATGGGAGGCGACAGGCAAGAGAAATGGGCAGGGAGAGCAAAAAGACGTGTGAGGTCGTTTACTGCTCTTTCCCTCGCTCTCGCTCGGTTTGCTCTGTCCGTTCGCTGAGCTTAACTTTATCCGAGCAGGGAAGTCTCTTGCTAGCAAATTTGTGGGAGAGAGGTACTTTTAAGCTAAGACACCCAACTGGAACTCCCCAAGTCTTCCTGGCTTACGGGCACAGCGACCAGTACAAATAGCTGAACATGGAAAGAACGTATGGGGTCATGTGATGCATGTGGTAAAAGATTACTCAGCAACGACTTCGTATTTCCTCTGTTGGGACTCATTTCTACCCTTATAATTGGCTGCCTGCGCGGATATCCCGGCACAGCCAACTCACTTTGCACTGTTGCCTTGAGCAGCCTAATGTGCCTGTATGATGCCTGAGACTCTATGACCAGTTTCTACCAATTGCATTTGATTGTTTGTCGCCGCAGTCCTGTTTGATTTCAAAGCCTTTCGATTCAAATTCAGTGAGATATACTCTGAGTACGTCTTGCACCTATCAGTGGTCACTACGAATACGGTCTGAGCACAGTAAAGGCAGATGCCACGTGATGCGTCAAAACACCTCTAGGCTTCCTTTTGTGAATAGATTTAAAGACATTGCAAATTATGGCCTGCTTTAGCCATACTGCAGGAAACGGGGTATATGTCTAACTAAAATTTATTAGTATTGACTTTGCCAATTATGTCCTTGGTAGATGTCATGCTGCTATGTACGAGAAGTTAATTCCTTGCGCAGGCTATCCAGTATGCCTCAGCGGCCAACTAGTAGATAGAATCAGCTAAAAGGGGAAATCAAAGCCAAAAGGACCAGGTAATTAAGGAGGCGAATGATTAATTGACAAGAAAAGTCATTTTTGGGTTTCAAATTCATGTCGTATCCCTTTTAGCATGCTGTCTTTATTTATGACCATGCTGTCCGTAGGCACTATGCGTGTAGAATCCAATATCAGGTGAAATTACCCTGTCAACGCGACCTCACTCAAATCACCACCCAATCCAGACGCGTCGGCGGAATCTTCAAACAAAGCAGGGACTTCGAGAGCTCGTCCCGCCCAAACTGCACATTGTCTCTCCACACGAGGACCACAGTTCAAACATACCACTCGCGACTTTTGCACCCTTGCTGTCCCTACATTTGACGACTGAGCTCGACGCGACTTTTTTCACAAGTTCTCAGGGTATCCCTGGTCATCAATTAAACCGCTTGGAAATTTCGCCTCTGTTCGCTTTTAGCTACCAAGCTCGTCGCTGCCGTACACTCTTATTCAACCTCAATCCCGGTTCCACTACCTCATTACCTGATATCTGCTTCTGCGTACCAAGTCTACTGTCCGCCAGGAGCCGTATAGCGCCTTCGATTCTGTGTGCCCATCATCCCCTATCGCCAGCTTGACCTCGTATTGAGCCTAGGCATACTCCAAAAAGGGCCCGGATAATTCTTGCACCCCGAGGACCATTCCTGTCCTCGACTACCTATTCTCGAACATGGCATCCTCATCCTCATTTCCCTTACGAGCCTCAAACCTTGGGAAACTACCGGAGCGAACACCAGCAGCGCAATTCGCCATGTCAACATCCACATCAGCCGCTGCGGCAGCACAGCAGCAACGCGAGCGTGAGCGGGAGCGGGAGCGGCTCGAACGCGAAGGCGCCAATGGACTGGCCGAGTTGACCGAAGAGCAGCGCGAGGAGATTACAGAAGCTGTATGTCGATATTCCAGGCGCATTCTAATTTTCATTACTGCCCCTTTGACCCCGCTCAGTGCTAATATAATCAAACAGTTCGGCCTTTTTGATCTGGACAAAGACAAACATATTGATTATCACGAACTCAAAGTCGCCATGAAAGCACTAGGCTTCGACCTGCCTAAACCTGAGATCCTACAAATACTCCAAACCTACGGGATCCCCGCAGATACTGTCCATCCGCCTTCTTCCACAGCCGCAAACAAGCCCGCCGCAATCCCTGCTCCTTCGTCCGGCGCCGGCGGCCCCGGAAGCTCATACCCCGCCCATCCGACACGGCTACTCATCAGTCTGCCTACATTCCAAATAATCATGGCTCAGCGCATACTGGCGCGCGACCCGCGCGAGGAGATTCTGCGCGCATTCGACCTGTTTGACGAAGGCGGAAAAGGCAAGATTAGTCTGCAAGACCTCCGCCGCGTGGCGCGCGAGCTAGGAGAGGGTCTCGAAGAGGAAGAATTAGCAGCTATGATTGAGGAATTTGACTTGGATGGTGACGGAGCGATAAACCGGGACGAGTTTTTGGCCATTTGCATGCAATAGCGCATTGCGCAGTTTTCTAGCAGGAGTATCAACGTCCGAGTGGATATTAGGGGCAGGGATTATCCAAACGACAAAACCATCCATCCAACAACTCAGCGTCCGGTCCCGCTCGCGAGCACTTTTTCCCCAGGAGTTAATTCAGCGAGCAGAAACTTGCTCCTTGGACAAAAGAAACCAGCGGGCGCGGTGGGAGAATTTTTTGTCAACATTGGCGCAACGCAACGCAACTCATGTACACCCCATTCCGAAAGCTTCAACAACGGAGATATTTAGCTGTTGAGGCAGCTTATAAAGCATGAGACCGCGCAGAGAAAGTATCGCAAAGCAATGTCATTTGGGAAGCGGAATTGGAAGTGTAGATTTACACGTTTACTCTCACCCATGTAAAGAGTCTGGATTCCTTTCAGCCCATGGCTTTTTTGTGGTTCTTTTTAATACTTCTCCCACGCAACGCCCGTCGAATCCTCGTGTGCTGTGGGCCTGCCGTTGGGGGTGTCAGACTATGCCAGATGTATATAGTAAAGTCAGGGTAAACGGCGTTTTCTTCTCATCTCTTTTTCTTTTTTGTTTTGTTTCCCGCCCCATTTTCCTTGCGTTCTTTTCGCACCTTCCTGTTTTCATTTCATTTCAGTTCTGTTCGCTTTCTCCCTTTTCCTTTTCATCTTCCGTTTTTACTATTTCCTTTCTCTTCTTTTCGTTCAGCGGCGTTGATTCCCTCCTCACCTTTTTATTTATTTATTTGTTTGTTTTCCCCTCTTAACTTTAAACCCCTTATCATAAATCGGCGTTTGTATTCTCTTTTACTTTGATCTGTGGAAATACACAGCACTGTAGCAGTTATTTTACAATACATTTCCATTACAATATAGTAAAACTTTCCTCTTGGCTTTTTCCTTTTTCCTTTTCGTGTTGTTCTCCTCCTCCCACTATTTGGGACGATACTATATCTGCTATGAGAATAAAACTGTCAAATAAAGAGAAAATCTGAGAAGAGGGGGGGAAGGAATCGAAACGAAACAAAAAAAAACAAAAAAAAAAAAAAAGATAAGACAAGACCGAAAAATAAAGGAAGAAAGAAAAAAGAAAAGAAAAGAAGAGAAAAGGAAGGAGGGAAAACGAAGGAAGAAACCCTGTATAAATGATGAATGCTAGACGCCAAAGGTAGTCGACCGTGGTGAATATTCTGGAAGCTAGGTAGGTATAAAGCCCCGCCACGTAGGGGATTAGACGGAAGATTAGAGATAAAGTGCAAAAGTGCCATTTTGGAGTAAATTGTGCAGAGCATAGATAAACTTGGGGTAGGTGTACCGTGTGTGAAAGAATTAGCTGATATTTTGGCAATGAAATGTGTATATCCTAGCGGTGGCGTTTAGATTCCTCGCATGGTTGACGTTAATTCATATTCATATTGTGCTATCGTTGAAATTTACACGATACTACTGTGCTTTCATTCAGGAACTACGATCTAAAGGAGATTGGAAAAAAGGTGAAAATACAAGGAGAGAAAAATAAATAAATAAAAATAAACCTAAGAAAATAAATTGAGGTGATAGAGATAAAATAATCAGAGCTTGAATAAAAAAGAAAAAAAGGAAAAAGCTCATCCTAGCTTGTCAAGATTGCTATACAGTGAGAAAGACGTCGCAAATGTGGGCAGCATCAAATCATCCGATCATGTCAATTGAAAACTCAGATGCAAAACAAATACTCATAATGTGCAATCTAAGCAATACGCTACACTATAGAATAATCGCTTACTGCCCAGGCGCAATTAGGCCACCATGTCGAGTTGAGTTGTGACTCCATCCACCAGCGAGAGCTTCACCTCCGTGGTGTGCTGCATAGTCCTTGATACGAGCCTCAAGTTCAGGCCGGAAATGCCGAATGAGGCCTTGAATGGGCCACGCAAAGGCTTCCCCGAGGGCTAGCAAAAGAAAGTGTCAGCGTCAGTGTCATTTACAGTAAATGAATTCGAGATACGCGGACAAGGAACAAGAACTGAGGAAAATAAGGCTTTCTGACGTACCGCAAATGGTATGACCTTCGACTTGCTTGGTCAGCTCCTGCATCATATCAATCTCTCTCGCACGGGCCTGGCCCGTAAGGAACCGCTCCATAATCTGATGTGTCCACTTGCTTCCCTCACGGCAGGGAGTACACTGACCGCAACTCTCGTGGTGGTAAAATTTGCTCAGACGCGTAATGGCGCGGACAATATCCGTGCTCTTGTCCATGACAATTACGGCTGCGGTACCGAGACCAGACTGGCTATCCTTGAGAGCGTCAAAATCCATCAGTTGGGTGTCGCATATCGATTTGGGGAGAACTGGAGTCGACGAGCCACCGGGAATGATGGCCAAAAGATTGTCCCAACCACCACGTACACCGCCGCAATGCTTCTCAATGAGTTCGCGGAGAGGAATGCTCATTTCCTCTTCAACAGTGCAAGGGTTGTTGACATGGCCAGAAATACAGTAGAGCTTAGTTCCAGAATTGCGCTCGCGCCCAAAAGAATTGAACCAGTTTGCGCCACGTCGAATAATGGTAGGAGAGACTGCGACAGTCTCGACATTGGTGACAGTCGAAGGACAGCCAAACAGTCCGACAGCAGCTGGGAACGGGGGCTTTAAGCGTGGTTTGCCAGGCTTGCCTTCGAGCGACTCGATGAGGGAGGTTTCTTCCCCACAGACATAGGCCTGCGTTCGTCAGCATTTTGCTTGTGTAGCCATATAAGAGTAAAAGGAATAAAGTCAACATACTCCCATCCCGCGGTGAATAAAAACGTCAAAGTCGTAACCGCTTCCGCAAGCATTTTTGCCAATCAGACCCGCCTTGTATGCTTCTTGGATTGCTCGCTGGAGAACAGTGGCCTCATGGTAGAATTCTCCTCTAATATAGATATAAGCGGCCGTGGCGTTCATGGCTCGACCAGCGACCAGACAGCCTTCTACCAATTTGTGTGGGTCCTTGCGCATGATTTCTCTATCCTTGCAGGTCCCCGGCTCGCCTTCGTCGGCATTCACGACGAGATATCTTGGCTTCGTATCTTTATCCCAGTCTTTGAAATTCATGAATGACTAGCAAATATTAGCTTGATTAGGTTCGCTGTGCTATACAACTCCGAACATACCCATTTCATTCCCGACGGAAACCCAGCGCCACCTCGGCCGCGCAGGCCAGAAGCCTTAACTTCAGAAATGAGCTATTTAAAGGCATTAGTCAATGTATCGAGAGAAAGAGATTGATAGCGAAAAGCCATTGTTGAATGCTGTATCATACCCAATCATGACCCTTGAGTAGAATCTCCTTTGTCTTGTACCAATCCCCAAATTTCATTGCCGTTTTAAGATCCGTGCCATGATGACCATAGAGATTTTGAAAGATGCGATCCTCATCTTTGAGACCTCCATAATGCGTTTTTTTGGGTGGTTGTGGATTGCCGTCTTGTACAGTGGCCAATGCGCGGGTGACCTGTTTGGAGGTTGTTGGGGCGATCCGAATAGCTGCCGAGGGGCGAACCCGATGAGAGACGGAACTCAGCAGCTGTGAGCTCGGGATAGTTCGAGCAACCATCCTCAAAAAGGGCGTTTTAAATCTTTATCCCAATCGTGATCCAGATTGGCTAGTAAATTGAGCAATTCACGGAGAAAGAGATGGGGGAGTGGATGATAGCGGGAGGTATCGTAGTATTGTGGAGTAACTCTGGGGGTGGAGTTCACTAACAGAGCGGGTTGTCGGGAAAGTCAGGTAGTTTGACCCCAGACTGATCCACCTCGCCTATTAACTGTATCACTGTACTTTGTTCCCATATCCACTGTAACACTGTATATTACTAATCCAATCATCAACGTCATGGACCCTGAAACAACAACAATTCATATCACCATCGTCACCCATATATGAAAATATTGCTCCCAGTTTAATTCAAGATGAATATTCGTACAAGACATATGTTGATGAACTAATCTTGTTCATTGCTGAGATTCCTCTTCATCAAAGCTTCATTAGGAATTCATGCCATGTTAGGCTGAGATGACTCTCATCCGTCTCGCTGTCTTCTTGCTGCCCAAGAGAGACGTGTTATGACACCAAATGTCTCTCAAACTACAAAAGTAGACAAACTATGAGTATGAACAATGTGGCTTTTGGACAGAAAATGCTTTCATTCTCCTTATCATTGGCAAGTTCTTTATGGCAGACGACAAATGGCGATGAGACAGAGTTACACAAGTGGAAACAGGCATATCAGTAGCACAAGATGAATTTACTCACCTCCATAATTGCAAGGCATTTTACTGTGTTCATCACAGCTCTGGCAAAGCAAGTAATGAACAGGACTGTGTCGGAATTAGCATCAGACATTGACGGGTTTGACGCCAACAGACTGATGATAAGAGATAGGGAGGTACTTTTCTTCCTAATATGAAGAGCTGAATCGATATTTGAGCTATTCACGACTGGCACTAATCACCCAAAGATGTGAATACCAGCAAGGCCCCAATACATCAGTTCTAAACTGTTGGGCGTCCACAAACTTCTCCAAATGCATCACCTACGTCCATTCCTCCTTCCCTTTCCATCACGCGTCCGACATCTATTTTCCACTCCATATACCCCCCTCGAGTCCACGCCAGCTCAGAACTGTATTACTTCTTTGCTGCCCATCTACACATCTTTGATGACCTGTACACCTTCTCCAATCCCATCATGCCGCGTCTTCATCTCCGCTTCAGTTCTCCCAAGCGGCAACATGCTCAACATTCCATAACGCCGCGGACCTTCCGCTATGGCCGGGAAGCAGAGACAGCTCCGCTAAGTAGCCCATCCAACTTCCAGAGAAACATCCCCAAACGCTACCGACGAGCTCGTCAGCAACCTTCGAAAAACATTCCCAGTATCGTCGAAGACCGAAACGACATGGGTCATGAGCGTGAAGATGGAGACGAAGAAGAATGTATGAAATACATTAGCTCCAAAGATCCTAATTCTATCCTTTACGTCCCCGAGAGACGCACAAGAGGCCGTAAGGATGACACGGTATCCACGCCGCCTTTACCGGTGATCCGAGCCGATGCTCTCCTTCATCAAATTCGCCAGATAAACACGGGAGTACATCTAATTCTTCTCGGAAAAGGGAGGAGGCTGAAGAAACCCGGGTTCGAAAAGATGCAGCTTGAGGATCCCATTGCGGGGCTGAGAGGCGATATTGCTCGTATCGCACTTTCAGTTGCTGCTTGGGCTCGTCCCATAAAAGCTACCGCCAACGAAGAGAGATATCTGAGTATGCCCCTTGTATCCGCCATCAGACATTAAGCTTCGACACCACTGACCTGAATACAGACAAAGGCGTTTTCAAACATACAAAGTTTACATATTCTCAGATGATGATTCAAGTCCTAAAGGCGCTCAACCGCATCGGTGACATGCCGGACGGCTACGTATCGACCTTTCACGAATTTGTAGATCAATTGCAACCAGTCCATGACCAAGTCATTCTCTTACGAAATCTTCTCAAGAGCATCAAAGACGAGGGCAATGAGCTTGATGTTTCCGAAAAGTCTGCCGATCCTGTCAAACACGTTCAATCCGAGGAATCGCGCAGCTCGCGCAAACTTGTGTCTGAACTCGGAACCGAACATACAGAAATAGTGTCCCCGAATCTACCAACAGATTCTGAACATAAGCCAGAGCCAGTGTCTGAGCCCGCTTCTACGCCTAAGCCTGAGACTGAGGCTGAAGCGGAAGACGCACCCGTTTCAAAAGTCGCGTCTCTCGGGATCGCGCCATTTCCTCCGCCAATTCTTCTTCCACCTCCAGTTGGGCTGCAGACCGAAATTTACAAACCATTGAACGATACTCCTATTGCGCCAGTGCCTTTCAGTGACCCAATTGTCTACGATCACTTCCGTCGCCCACCGACTCCACGACCAGCTAATTGCCCGATATGGAAATACAATCTCCAGGAAAAGGGCCTAGTTGATATACACGTCGGCCAGGCAGAAATTGACGCTTTTGCACGGGCATATCAGGGTATCAATGGAATTGAAATCAGTCTCCGAGCGCTGATTACGCAGTGCGAGCTGTTATACGACGAGTCTGGCGATGCAGCGGCTCAGTTGATCGAGTGGGAGAATTTGCTTGCGGATCATGAACATGAGTACAGACATAGACAGGCGATTAGCTCGAGCTCGGCTGGGGAAGATTGGCCAAGCGATGCGCCGAATATGTCGGAGACGGACTGATTCTTCATTTCCCTTCGCTTCGGGCCTCAAAATAAAAGTACCAGCATAGACTTTGCTTTGACGCTTGCTTTGCCCACGAGCAGATTATGATCAATTGGGAAGTTCAGCATCACGCTACCTTCCTTCTGATATTAGAAGAACTAAGATAGATAAGGTTATGGTAGAAATACATTGACTACCTTACTGAGTTAGACGCCGCTGGTATAATTGCGCCGTGATATACTCTATATCTCTTGGAATCCCCCGCGCATGCACCAATGCTTATATTGTATGGAGAGAAAAGGAAAAAGAAAAAGGTAAAAAAACAATGAAGTGTTAGAAGATAAGATAATCTAGTAATATCCCCTCCCATCACACCAACGTTCATCCCAGCCTGCTTCTCGCGACGAGCACGCCCCCACGCTGGCTTGGACTCGCAAACGCATTGCCGACATGGGAACTTGTTCGTAGAGTGCGAGTCGTAAGACGTCACCGCTTGGATCCCATTTATTAATGACATTAGTCTCTTCAGAGACGAAACGAGGTTTAGATGATCCATGAGATGCATGTGTGGCAGGTGGTACTATTGACCCCGGGGCCGACCCGCCACCGTACTGAAACACGGGGTCCTGGGCGCGGTCCATGATCGAGACAAAATCAAGCTGGACGACGTTGTTCTCGACGCCGGCATACAAGGCCGGGGAAGACGGGGAAGGAGAGGAGAGGGAATAGATAGGAGATTCGGCGGAGCGGCGGGAACCTTGACGGTAGAACGCGGGCCCGCGCGGGTTGAGAAACACGCTCCAGTCGCGTCGGTCGTGCTGCGTCTCGTAGTGCCAGTCGCAGCAGATGCCGCTGTCCGCTGGAGCCGGCGTAGGTGGGTTGCGAGAACTTTGATGCGCATTGCATGCGTCGACGGAAGTGGAAAAGTACGATTTGCCCCCGCTCATGCGCAGATCGAATACTTTGAGGATGCCGTGCCGGGCGGCGCCCACGATGAAGCGCTCGAGTCCGATAGTCTGGAGGGAGTAGACGGCGGAGGAGTCGTCAATGGGGTCCTGGTATTTGGCGACACATTGGGCTGGAGAACGCATATCGTGTAGTCTGTGTACTGTTAGCATGGGTTTGACAGATGCTGGATGATTCGTGTGAAGAGTAGGAAGGAATATTTAGAGGGGAAGAAAAAAGAGATGAGCGGAAGACTTACCGGCTTACACCATCGTACCAGCCGCTGAGAAAGAGATCGCCGGGATTCCCACCAGCAGGCGACGAGTAGTGAATGGGAGAAATAGGATATACAGAGGAAGCGCCGGTGGGGATATCGAGGGAATCAGTATCGCCATTGTCGCGGCTGGAACCGCTGCCAAATGTCCGCATAGGCCGCTGAACGACGCCATCGGGAGCCACTTCGTAGATGTGAATGGGTTCGGTAGAGGGACCTAAGCCGACTGCGAGCCGCTCGTTGGACAAGAATCGTGTAGACCACGTACGGCCACGTCTGTCTGCTGGAACGGCTGATACTTCGGCGACGCGGTTGAGTTCGGGCTGGGATGTGTAGACGGGGAAGAAAGTGATGAGGGAATCAGACAGAGAGACTGCGAGCAGAGGGTTGTTTGAGGGACTAATGTCTGCAGATCGAATCGGCTTGTTGCCTGTATTATAGCGAGTCTTGACGTTGTCGGTGACCTTTTCCGGGGAGAGCTCAACCAGCGATAGCTCTCCACTAGCTCGCCCGACGACAATATCCTGGTATCCGGCTGAAGTGACATCTGGGTGTCTTTGCGAGGGCCGGAGAATGTTGACGGTGGTGATGTCGTCCCGCCCATCCGCATGGCTTTCTTCTTTGTACACCACCCAGTCAACCTTACGATGATGTTGGTCAAAATGGTCAACTCGTTCATCGTCGGGCGATTCTTTCCATTTTTGATCCGCAGCATCACCAGAAAGTGTGTTTCTTAAGACGAGCTCCGCACCCGCACCCCAAGCTAGTATTTCCTTCTTGGACGCCCAGTTGTTCCCAGTCTGCTCTTCGCAGCTGTCAAGCACAGGCTGGTAGCCCATTGTCTGTGCCTTACGGCGACCACCCGGGCGTCTTCCATGGCCGGCGATTTGAGTCACGGATCCTGCTGGGTGAATGTATCGTGCAAGGAACGCTTTGCGATCCCAGTTCCGCGATAGAGTGGTCAATGATAGGGCTGCGTCTCTCCAGTAGGGCGGTGCTGCAATCGAGGGAAATCGAGTTTGTGTAAATGTTCGCCAGCCATCCTCTTGGACGTAGGAGTTGAGCCGTCGGCAGGTGAGGGAGAGGTGATAGACACATTGAGCGGATGGTAGATCGGTGACGATGTGTCCTAGTAGCTCAAACGGAAGGTCGGAGAGCATCACCGTGAAGGAGAGCGTGTTGCCAAACGTAGGTAAAAATCGTCGACTAATGTCAGAGCTCCATAAGCATGATGGTAAAATTTAAGGCACCTGGAAAATGCAATGTTAGAGATTCTTTCCAAATAGTTTTCTACTTATCATTCTGGGGTTTTTAGTCAATGAGAAACTTGCGTCATAATGCTGCGCCACAAGGGCCCTTGTGGCTGACACAAGCCACAGGCAGTTTGTTTACTTTGGCAAGGTGATTCTCCTTCAACCTTGCACAAATTTGAAGATGTTGAGCAAAAGTCAGCTGCATTGCTTTGGATTATTGCAGAGTTTTGTCTGGCTCTGCCAGCTACCAATTTCTCATTTTAATGGAAACTTAGAGATGCATCTTAATGGCGTTTGCAGATGCTCTAGCCGTCATTGTATTGAATCAGCTAATCTTAGCTATAGGTCTCCACTAAAACTCATCTTTTTCGGTTAACACTCATAACGAACGATAGGCTAGAGCTGCGGGGGTGTCTTACGTATACAATTTGATCTTATTAGTCCATTATGATGAGATAGTAGTTATCTAGCCCCCGTAAACCTTTCTTGTCCGCGACTCAACGACCGTTGATGATAGAGACCTGCTTCACCATGTTATCCCTCTTTCAGGGAGCATTTAAAAATCCTGTATGACTGCTCAAACAGAGAAAGAGAAAAGATTGGAATGGCCATGCTGCAATCAAATCTCCACTGCGACATGATCTAGTTAGTGGAGGGGTCGGCAAGTCTAAACTTTAACGGCAGTCACACTTAACTGACAAAGGAAACCAGATCCGATCGCTATGACACACGATAACGGCGTCAACCTCGTATCGCCGACCTTTGGGATGAGATAGCTATTTTCTCCACTTACTCCCCACATGACATGCAGCGCAATGAGCTCTCATGCAAATATATGTTTAGCCCTCGTCAAACCCCGCAGATAAGTGACCTGGTCTCTTTTACAATCGACTTCTTCTCTTTGATGCTGTAAAATTATATGTCCTTATTGCTTCTTCTTTCAATTTTCTTGGGGCGAATTTCAAATAAACATCCAACATGGGGTTCATGGCCAATCTGCTGACCCTGCGCTCTATCCCATCAATTGCCTTTGTTTCAGTCGTGTTTCTCGCATTGTACAAATATATCATATACCCGCTCTTTCTTTCCCCTCTATCTAAACTTCCAAATGCGCATCCCACTGCTCCCATATCTCCTGCATGGATACTCTACTGCCGTTGGAGCGGCCGAGAAAACCGCTCCATTCAAGCAGCACACGCCAAATATGGCCCGGTTGTAAGACTAGGACCCAACGAAATCAGCGTCAACTCTGTCGAAGATGGAATTCGGCCTGTGTATTCTGGTGGTTTTGAGAAGCACGCATGGTATCCCAATGTCTTCAGTAATTACTCGTGAGACTGCCTAATCTCTTTTCTGCATCCTTTTCGATATTGATGTTAACGAAAGGCCAGAAAACGAAACATGTTTGCTATGATGGAAAGCAAACCGCATTCGAATCGCAAACGAATGCTTTCCAATATCTATGCGAAATCGACACTCTCAAACTCTACGCATTTACATGCTCTCTCAGAAATTCTACTTTACGAGCGTTTCTTTCCCATATTCCAGAACCTAGCCGCCAATTCTACGCCTGTTGATATGTTTGATTTGCTCAATGGCGTAACCATGGATTTCATTACCGGCTACCTCTTTGGACTATCGGCGTCAACAAATTTTATGCAGAATCCAGACAAGAGACACCGATGCATGGAAATGTTTCACCATCGCGGAACAAACCTCTTCTGGCCGCAGGAATTACCAAAGTTTACCCGGTTCCTTGGCCGCCTAGGAATACACATGCAGAATCAGAAGACCTTGCGCATGGCAAACAGGGAAATCGAGCAGTTTAATATCGACATGTGCGATGCCGCAGACCGAGCTCTGGAGAGTAACAAGCAGGATATAGAGAAATCAGCTGCCGATGAACCAGTGGTCTATGCCCAATTGAAGACGGCCATGTCCAAGCAGCGCATCAAAGAGTCAGGAGAATTGACGGAAAAGGATTTCGCTGATCAAAGGCTTCAAATCGCTAGCGAATTGCTTGATCATCTTGGTATGCCTCCTATTTCTCTTTATTTAATTCCCTACTTCCATCTCCCGCTGCCGATCTCCCTGATCACTTTACTCCCTATATTGGCCTTCCCAAACCTTTCGAGTTTACACCATCTCTAAAATCGAATACGCTAATCTCTTATTTCTTGCAGCCGCCGGCCACGAAACCTCCGCTATAGCACTCACATACACCATGTGGGAGCTCTCCCAGCGGCCGGCGCTGCAATCGAAGCTGCGCGCCGAACTTTTGACTCTTTCCCCTAACCTCGTTCTTTCTCATCCTTCCGACCCGTCACATCCCCCTTCCCCCTCCTCATCTTCGTCTTCACCTGCGCGACCAATCCCGTCTTTTAAAGATCTCGACACCCTTCCCCTCTTGCACGCCATACTATACGAGACGCTGCGCCTTCACCCCTCCATCCCGGGGCCCCAACCCCGAGTCACCCCTCCCAGTGGCACCAGCCTCGGCGGCTACGCGGCCATCCCAGGTGGCGTCCGGGTCAGCGCCCAGCCCTACTCGCTGCACAGATGCGAGAATGTCTTTCCCGAACCAGAGAAATGGTTGCCTGAGCGGTGGATGGAAGCGCCGGACTTTGAGCGAAGCGAGAAGAAAGGAATTGAGGAGGATGGCGACGAGGAGGCCGGCGAAAAGGTCTCGATTCGCGAAAAAGAAAAATATTTCTGGGCATTTGGCTCCGGCGGGCGAATGTGCGTGGGGTCCAACTTTGCGATTCATGAAATGAAGCTCGTTCTCGCCAGCGTTTACTCAAACTACACCACGACAATTGTGGATGATACAGGCATCGAGCAAGGGGATGGGTATACCACTGGTCCTGTGGGCGGGAAGTTGGTATTGAAGTTTGATGCTGTTGTGTGATCATAATCTCAGATTATATGTATTATTATAGTAACTTTGAAATGTATTCATTAAATTGGATGGTTGCTTTGAAAAGAAATATTTTATTCTATTCTATGGAAACCGGATATCTGACTCTTTAAAAGATGATTTTCGACTCCAGGAAATGTTGTTGTGTGAAAGGTTGAGGGTATTGTCTACAAGAAAGTACATTCTTGAGAAGATCTAAGGGAAAAACTCGTCTCGAATTAACAATGGAACAAAGGTCTCTTCGATATCGCTTGAACGCGTAGAAGAATATGCAATTCTATCTAGCAGGGAAAACGCGAATGACGAGGAAATGTGAATGACCGATGCAATGAAACCAAGCAACTGGTGATGACCAGTCCGTCGGTGTGTCGGCCACCATGCATGCCGCTGATGAACCCATCTTGTCGTTGTAAAGTTGTGTTGTATAAGTATTGTCCGCCGAAACCAAATCGGAAAAAGGAGACAGAGGATTTGGAAGTAGGCGAAAATGTATTTGAAACGATCCGAGAGAATAGAGATCCTTAGAAAAACGGGTAATATAGAAGAAAAACTTTTGTCCATGTGACCTGTCGCAAATGTATCTTATCCCATCAAACTCCCTCAGTAGGCTCAGTTGTCCATGTGCAATCATAGATGACACTTCTCGACTTTTCCCCGTTTGTATTAAGTGATTATCAATGGCATCAAACGGGACCTTTAATCCTCGAACTTGAAGCTCTTGCCACCGCTGGTGTCGATGATGCCGCCACGGTAGCTTCCCCGCTTCTTCTTGTTCTTCTCCTTAGTGAAACCTCTGCCGCGGGTGATGATCAAGTCCTCGTGTGCCCTCTGGGCGTAGTCGTAAGGAATGAACGCGTTCGAGGAAAGCTCAGGGTGGACCTCGACGTCCTTGGGGATTCGCGAGAAGGGCACGTTCTGTTTCCTGGCAACCTTGGCTGCATTGGGGGTCACCGCGCCAGAGGAGACGGGAGAGTCGGACCGCTTGCGCTTGTTACCTGCCTCGGCGCTGCTGCTCGTGTTGGTGGTTGAGGCAGCGGACGAGGAAGTGGTGTTCTCGTCCTTGACGGTGGCGCTCGAGTCAGAGTCCGACGATGAGCTGGTCTGCTTGGGCTTGGGAGCGGGCTTGGAGGGCTTGGAGGGGGTCTTCTTGGTGTCATCCTCGTCGGAAGATGAGGAGTCAGAGTCAGAGTCGGAATCAGAAGAGGATGAAGAAGAGTCGTCAGATTCTTCGGACTCGCTGTCACTGTCGCTCCCGCTTTCGCTTCCGCTGCTGCTGCTAGAGTCCTCGCTGGAGGAAGATGAAGAGTCGGAGTCGGAGGAATCGCTCTCTTCAGATTCAGAGTCAGATGAGTCGGATTCGGACTCGGAAGACTCGGAGGAAGACTCGGATTCGGAAGATGACTCAGACTCAGAAGAAGAGCTGGAAGAGGCCGCCTTCTTCGATTTCTTCTCCTTCTTGTCTTTCTTCTCCTTCTTGGGCTCTGCCTCGGACTCGCTAGAAGATTCGCTCGAGGATTCAGAGGTTTCCTTCGACGAGGAACTGGAAGAGGCGGAAGAGCTCTCGCTGCTAGAAGAAGCATTGAAGATGTCCAGCAACTTGGGTGCTTGCTCAACCTGCTTGGAGTCCTCTTCGGTCCAGCCCTTCAATTCGGCGCGGGCAGACCGCTCGGCGGCGAACAGGCGATGGGTGGAGTCGAAGCCGTATTCAATCAGAAAGGCGGAGACAATATCCAACAGCTTAGCTGGGGGTGCAGCCTTGGCAACATTGAGGTCATCGCGGAGGTATTGGACGACACGCTGACGGTCAGCGTCGTCGCCTTTCCTTACTTTGGCGTCCTGTGAGAAGATCCAGGCGGGTGTGGGAACCTCCTTGACCGCCTTCTTCGTAGACTTTTTTTCGGAAGTGCTTTTCTTTCCAGCCATTGTCGCTAGAGATCCTCGAATCGTTGCGTGATGAGAGGAAGAAGCCTGAGCGGCAGACGTGAGCAGGGAGAGAGCAAATCTGGATGGAATTGGAAAAGAAGAAGAAGAAAATCACAAGATTTGCCCCGGGGAAAATCAAAATAATTTTGTGTTGATTTCCCGTACAAGTTTAGCCTTTCTCGGGAGCTAAATTTCTTCGGGTCTAGATTGTCTTGTAGGAGGTCTCGCGGTAATTACGACAAGGTAGGTACGCCTGTCGTGCAGTAATTCTCTCCGGACACTCTAGGATGGCTACGGTTGCCATGACTGACGTAGTGATGCAATCCGTATCCCGACCACTCTCTCGAGGGAACGAACTTTAGCTGCTCACGGACGACGAGACCGGATGATACGTTCAAGCTGAAAGTCCTGGTAGCTAGAAAGCTTTAGGGTAATTGCCTGGAGCTCCTCCTTTCACGTCAGGCTCGGCAACCCCGACATTTTCAACTATATACCCTGAAACGAATTGCGACCCTGTTACACGGCCTGTCTTCTAAGCTAACGCTGAGCTCAAATAACACATCCATTGCACTTCGCTCAACGTCAAGATGGTCGAAACCCCGATCGGAACGCAGTGAACCTATAATATTCAGCTTCTTCTCTGTCGCACACGCCAAAAAGAATCCAGGCGAGTTCCAAACACGCCACTCGTTGGCAGCCACACTCGCAGCACTTGGCTCGTCAATTCCTCAAGTTGTATAACCCCGGCTTTGTTTTCGTCTGGTGGAAATTCAGAGGCCATCGAAGATGAGCGCCGGTACTCCTTCTCGTGGTCTGCGGACCCAAACCCAGGGCCAACCTGCACAAAGCAGATCTACGGATCGAGCCAATGGCAGTACTCCCACTTCAGCTACACCAAGCCGGGCGGAATTGTTTGAAGATGAGAAAGAACGCATAAAATCAAGTTGTTTCTGGAAGAAAGACGAGGATGAAAATTGTTCGTAGCCTCCGCCCTTCAAAGACAAGGCGCAAACCCCGGAAGATCTATATAGCAATTCGGCTTGTTGAACGCTCTGGAACGCAGGCATGCTAATGTTTTGACTGTATACAGTACTCGAGTCATATATCACGCACATCAGAGTCATCGAAGATGCAATGTACCCATCAAGCCCGCCGCCTCCGGACTCCGCTCCGCAGAACAAAAAGCCTCGTATTATAATTGTGTCAGTGAGAAAATCCGGACGCGTGAGAATGCACAAAGCTCGAGAGAACGCCAATGGCTCCTTTTCGATTGGGAAAACTTGGGCGCTGGACGAGTTGACAGCCATTCAGTCCTATGGCGGCCCTCCGGCAGCAGATCCTAGAGAAGAACAGCACCGACAATGGGCGAGTGATTTGGGGTTTCTCGTGACAATTGTCAAACCCTACTATTGGCATGCCACTACCGGTAGAGAGAAGGACTTCTTTGTTGGAAGTTTGGTCAAGATATACAAAATGTATACCGGCGGAAAACTCCCACAACTGATTGGATTCGGGCAACAGGAGATGGTAAGGCTCCACAACCAACTGGGAACAAGCCCTCGACCAAGCCCTGGTCCCAGTGATGGTGCATCACCAACGCCTTCTCCTGTCGCGACAGCGGCGCCTCCATCGATCATGTCACGGCCCTCTCCAGTGAAGAGACCGCTTCAGGAATCCAGCAATCAGCGGCCTTCCAGCCGAGATCAAACACAGCAGCTACCCCCGGCGTCGAGACAATACGCTTCTCAGGGAGGATCCACGCAGCAACGACCGCCGAGTCGCGACCAGAAACAGCCTGTTCCAAGGCCATATCCAGCCCCAGAAGCTTCCACGATACCGCAACCGCCCCCTGGTCTTGATCAAGCAGCGTCTCCGCCACGGCCTTACCCAGTTCCTCCACCTCTATCAACCCATCGGCCGTCAGGTCATGATCACGCACGTTCTCCTGGAAAGCCTGCGTCACAGGAATCTATCACAAAGCGACCTGGTAGCCGTGACCAAGCTCGACCGTTGCCTCATCCAATTCCATCGCAGGATGCGAGCGCTCAGCGGCCTCGTAGCCGTGGCCAAGATCAGCCAGTTCCGACCCTCCACCCGCCGTCCGGGCTTCCACCTGCCTTATCTATCCAGCAGCCACCGCCTCGTCCACGAACGCCTGAATCCGGGGCTCGTAAACCAGCAGATGCAACTTCGAACCTATCACCCCCCGTACCACCACAAAGTCCAAATCGCCAGAGGGGTAATGTCGCGAAACAGACTGGTGATGCGCTGCAAACGCAGACTCTTGCTCACAAGCGACCAGCAGGAAGCTTTGGCGACGGTTTCGGTCCTGTGCTTGTCCCTGAAGAAAGACCTGATACAGATGAAGTCGGCCCCAACACTGATTTGAAGTCGACAGCCTTGTCCAGACACGCCGCTCCCCTCCCGCCAAATGTTCCCACTTCCCCTCCATTTTTAGATCAACAGCCTCCAGAAAGGAAGCGGCCATCCTTGCAAGGCCCGTCTCACAGTGCCGGGCAAAAGAGCCTCGGTGGCGAATCTACAGATGTATTCCTCACTCCTAATGCCAGTCCAGGCGAGGATGACTCGAAGGCATCAGCGCCGATCTTGGACAGAACCGCGCAGGATGAGCCAGAGCCTGAAGCACATTTGGCTGAAGCGGAAGCCTCTCGCGTAGCAGCTCAAAAGGAACCAATACAGACCGCGACTGGCAGCGCAGCCGTCAACCCTACAGCTATTGAAAGCATGCCCTCTGCGAAGGAAAATCAGGCTCCGTCTGAGTCTAACACAATCAGCCCTCCTGTACCTCCTATGCCCACTGAGCCAAAAGAGGAGGAAGTGCATCGGCCTGGACTTGGGCCGATGATCAAGAAGAAGTCAAACAAGGACGTTGCTAGTGCTTTCCGCCGAGCAGCTAATGCTTATAATGCGTTCAAACCTAGAGCAGGTGGTGCCGGGCAGCGTCTGCGAGAGCAAAATGAAAACAAGAGTAACGAGCCCGATGGAATTACTGGAGTCGTGCCAGCACCGTCTCTTGCGCGAGTCGCCCAGCAGAATAATAGCAATCCTTCAATCTCAGAGCAAATAGCTCCCGAAGTACCCAAGAGCCAAACTGGTGATGCGGTGCCGGAGGTCAAAGTCTCGGACGAGACTACTAAGCAAAAAGACAGGTTGCCAGCCCCCAAGGCTGAGAAGTCAAGGACGCCTTCTCCAGATAAAGCAGCTGCAAAAGCAAAGGCTGCTGAGATTCGGCGGCAGAAGCGGCGTTCAGGAATGATCAAATACGTTGCTGCTCTGGATATTGACCCTGGTCTCCTTGAAGGTAGAACAGCCGACATCGATGCTGTCTTCACAGACCATGGATGGATGGGAGACGATCATCAGAAAACGGTCGATACTTTAATGGCAGATATTCGAAGAGATATTGCTCGTGTTGAGGCGGGGAGTTGGCTCAATCATTTGGATCAAAAGGATGAGCGCATTGAGGCCGTTGAGAAGATGCTAGATACAGCAATTGCGGAATGTGATGAACTCGATGGTCTGTTGACCCTCTATGGTGTCGAGCTTAGCGTAAGTGCGATCTTACTTCTTAGAAGGTGATGGAAAAATTAGACACTGATATTTTTCAGACGTTGAACGATGATATTGCCTACATTGAGGCGCAGTCCCAGGGCTTGCAGGTTCAAACTGCCAATCAGAAACTGCTCCAAGCGGAGCTAAAGCAGTTGCTGCAAACAGTTTCTATCTCAACGTCCGATCTCCAAACACTCAGGCAAGCTCAATTTGGTTCGCCCGGCGGACTAGAGATGATCGAATCCACCCTATCACTTCTGTACAAAGCCATGATTACTATTGACCCCACTATAAAAGCTGCTGGATCTACAACGGCTACAAGTGGCGGTGGTTACAGTGCTGAGATTGGAAATATGCGAGCTTTGCAGGAGCGAAGAGAGGGTTATAGAAGCGAAAGCACGAGATTCATGGCTAGATTCAAGCGACACATGGATTCAATGTTCAAGTTTGCCATTGATGAAGCGGCTCGAACTCAGCAGAATGGCTTCGATCCAAGTGGTGCGCCCAAGCTTGATCAACGCGCGTACGATCAAATCCGTGGCCTCCTGTGGAGATACAGCCCACTCCTCCTTTTCTCCCGGGAAATCGAGCCTATAGAATGGCAAGATGCGACGCGCTTATACATCGGACATATCAAACCAGCTTATCAGGAAAAGTTTCGAGAGAAGTTGAGCGGCTGGCGGAACTCGGCAAAACGGCCTACTGGGGAGGAGCTCGAGATTTTGTTCACAACCCAAGAAAAAGAAGCAGAAGGCCTTGCAACAACGGCACGTAAGCTGACAGTGAAGAGAAGTCAGACACTTGCAAGGAGTCTTCGCTCTTCTGGTGGTGATGGGGCCGGCGCGCGATTGGCAAATGACAAGTCGCAACCTGGAAAATTGCACGCATACGAAGCTTTCACGACCGCACTCGATGAAATGGTACCCATCATATTCCGAGAGCAGAACTTTGTTGTTGATTTCTTCCACATGTCATCATTGGAAGCGACCGAGTTCCCCGATGCAGTTGCAGCCCTTCCGCCAAACCTAAGATCGGGGACCGACCTTTCATCCAAGAAACCGTTTGATCCAGATAGGAATATGGCAAAGCGTGTAAGCCAAGTTATGCAAGAACTGTTCTCGTTCTGGCCTGGCGACGTTCAAGGATTAGTGGACTGGACATTACAAATGGATGCACTGTAAGTTTAGCTCCTTTGATCACCACTAGCGTGGAGTTTTCCTAACTCAAAATGGAACTTTTAGGCAAGGCATCGGACTTCTCTATGCACTCGAGCGAAAACTCTTGGACCTTGAAGAGAGCAATCAGGAATTCATTGTGCATACACTTCAGAAGGTACATGATCACCTTGTCAACCTTTTCACGCGCTTTGTCGATGAGCAGATCCGCGCCATCGAAGAGACAAAGGTTAAGATCAAGAAACGCAAGGGGGTCATTGCATTCATGCGAGTGTTTCCAAACTTTTCCACTGCAATTGAGAATATGGTCCCCCTCGTCGATGACAAGGATGAGTACGAAGTCACAGATATGATTAACAATGCATATCAAAGGATCAGCAGAGCCATGTTTGAAAGCTTGCGCGTCATTGCAAAGGAAGGCCCAACCGCAATGGCAGGTCATGGCGTGCAAGGGCAAGGTGCCGGTGATCCAGAGGATAAAGAAGCATTGAACTACCACATTTTATTGATCGAAAACATGAATCATTACCTCAACGAAGTTGAATCTCGTGATAGTGCGGTCCTTGAGTCCTGGAGGGAGCAAGCTGCTAGAGAGATGGCTGAGCACATGGAACTTTACATTGATGCTATTATCCGTAGGCCACTTGGGAAGCTTTTGGTGAGTATTTCCCATCCGTTCATAGATACTGAAAACACAGCTAATCATTACGTTAGGACTTTGTCGAGTCCACCGAAGCAGTTATCTCCGCCACCTCTGATCCTACATCTATCGCATCTCGCGCGTCGCATTCACGGCAAACGTTCAAGAAGATTGTTTCGTCCTATGACATTCGGGAACTTCGACGTGGCGTTGAAGCTCTTCGTAAGCGAGTGGAGAAGCATTTCGGAGAAGCAGACGAGCCAAATCTTAGCGCTGCTCTGGTGCAGAAGGTCCTCAAAGAGTGCGAATCGAGATACCTTGACGTGGCGGACCGAACTCGACGCATTGCGGAGACTGTCTACGATGGCGGCGCTGCTGACATCGAATGGCGTAAAGATGATATCCTTAACGCATTCAGGCGCTAGAACGTCAACGCCATTTATCATGTGTTTGGTGACTTTTAAATATCTTTTCACTCTGTTTCTCAAGTTTATACTGTTTGAGTGGGCCTGATTCTGCCTCGAAGCCCCTTTCTAGAAGGATCCTGGCGGCTATGTCATATTTTTCCTCTTGCAATTGTTTTGCTCATACCCGGATCGAGGTTGGGGTGCCTTTTGTAAATGTTGGTATGCCACACCTGTATGTTGCATTATTCCCGGGGCGTCAAAATTCTTTTGTATCGTTAGTTTACCTATGCTGTTACAATAACTTGCTCTCATATCAAAGTCCTCGTAAGGTGTTATACTCAATACAGTTACTATAGTCTCCTCGTCTAGAAAATATTCAATATTTCGACTGAGATCTAGCATTGCATCGCTTTGCAATCTACTGCCTTCTTCTTCACTGAGTTGTATCGATGGCGCGACTCGCGAGCAAGCCGGGACATGCCCCAAATTAATCGAACCTGAAGATGAATATTCTAGGCTGAACGGTATTTTTCAGGTGCTTTTTGTTAATGATTGCTTTTGACAAAATTCATTCCCAACTCGATGTCGTGAATTAGTAAATTTACCTCTCCTGCTTCACATGAATTTCGCCACCGGCCGTAGATACAAAGGGCGTTCCTTCCACAGAAGGGGGACTTTTTTTCGCTCAACAATTTCGGCTCCCGAGCTTCTGCTTTCCTTCTTACGCTGAAGCTCAAGGAATAAATATTGCATTGAAATTAGTGGCACCATATACCTTATAACCAAATGATCCGTACTCGATACTTGTTATATTATAAGATGCATTATCATCTGGAGGAAAAAAAGTGACGATGGGGGTTCTCCATCTCACTATCCCTTCTCGTCTGCTGAGCGAAGTGACCGAGATTTACGGTGATGACTGAAGGAGATTCGTTTCGATCAGTCGCAAAGACCTCCCGCTACCAAGGGACCTGAGGCACTATCATGACGCTGATATCCTTGTCGGGCCGATATGCAGCATGGGTAACGCGGCCGCAACACGAGCGGCTGTCGAAGATATCCACCCGTTAAAAATCGATGGGAGGCTGGGAGCGCACTCTCCCAATATGCAAGTCGGATATAAAATGAAAGCTTGGCAATAGCATATGGTCAAACCGATTGGGTCAATAAGAGGAAAACAGAAACGAGCTACGTTCTCTGGCGGAGTGTTTAGAAAGCGTCATGACTCATATATAATATTGGACGAAGCACATATGATCAAAAACTACTTGGGCCTACAAAAAGTTACAGTCGAATGACTAGCCTTGAAATACTCTCACGTTCATAAATATTATCTCGACAAGGGAATGAATACCAACACAAAATTCATATAGACATAGAAAAGGCTGGATAACCTTGTTGTTTGCGGCGCAACAAACGGATTTCGCCAGGCTGACGGTGCCATATTCTCCGACTTCATGGGGAAATCCATGACCTTCAAGGAAGCTTCGACCAGATAATGAAGGTACATTTCTAACCTGCTTCCCGCTCGACCAGCACTTTGAATTTCTAGCGTGAGAAAAACCTGGAGTTACAGATATCAAGTTTGGGTATTTTGAGGCGGATAACACGCCTTTATACACGTATTCAAAAGCAAAAGGGGCAACGCGCCAGCAAAAGTGGTTCGAAGAGGTCTACAGCAACACAGCCCCTGGATAGGGAAGGATGGAACATATGCATCGAGATCCATTTAGGACGGTCAAGTCGAAGGAGTTTCTGGGCACAAGGGTACAACCTTCGGCATACGGTATGCCAGCTGCTGCGCCTACCATTTGATTTAGACGTGAATCTGGAGAATGCTCTGTCACTAATTTTTTCTTTTTCCGGATTCGTCTTTCCAGCTAGTAGGGTGCTAGTTATACATGCAGCCGAAACAGCCAAGTCAGGGCTGTGGCTTTTTCTTTGCGCAGAACTAGCCACCGGCAGAACTATATGAGCAGACTGTTTTACCAAGTTGCAGAGCGAATTGAAAGAAGAGGATCTCCTTTGAAACATGGATTTGAAGAGACATTGAATATCACTTGCTCTTCCTTCTACGTGGCTCGAACAGTCCCCAGTGGCCAGAGAAAACAAAGTCGCAAGGAGCAGCCCGTGGCAATAGCTGGTCCGTCCATACCTGTCATCGATCTGAATATCGATAGCGGCTTCTTCCCGGAATTCTTTGGGCTACAGAGCAGTCTGAAGAGACTTCAATATGGCTTGGGTTACTCAACTGAGGGCCGACCACGAAGTCGCGAGACTCAATTGGGAATGGCAATGTGCCGTTGCCTTTCGGGAGCACCTACCGATCGATATCACTGATGAAAAACTCTATGCAGTCAAAGAAAAGGTGGAGCAATCCATTTGATTATCTCACGTCGGCCACAGCTGCCTTTGCTCATGGTCAGAGCCTTGCTCGGCGAGCATACCATATGTTTTCCTTCCTTTGATACTATCTCATATCGGCCATGGAAATTACTTTTCCTTATTTCTTACTCTGTTCCTTCACTTAGCTGCCTTTGCTCATGCCTTGAGATCATCAACAGGTTTTTCGGAGGCGCTCGGCTCGTGATGAGGGCTGTTCGACGCGACAGGCGAGTTGTCATCGTCATTAGGGTTGGGGATTTGATCATGATGAGGAGAATTCTTGGCGGGTGAGCTTGGTCTAGCCACGTACAGCACTGTCGATTCGAAAGGAAAAATTGCTAAAGCAGACACCGTCGCATTCTTCCACGACTTTCGGTAACCTGCCGTGTTTGCAAATATCTTTGGCTTTTCTTGCCATTGACCGTAGCATTGGCAACGAAGATTCCCGATAGCCCCAAACTTCTACTTGGAAGTGAAGGGCCCGGGTGGTGCCAACTCAGTAGCTCTGAACCAAGCTGTGTATAATGGGGCTCTGGGAGCAAGAGCTATTCACAGTGTTCACCAGCACGGCCGAGACGAGATAGTGTGGGATCGAAACGCCTACACTATCAGCTATACGTTCAACAAGCGTACGTTGAACTTCTATACATCTCATATGTTACCGCCCGAGGCAGAGGGTAAAAAGCCAATATACGTTACCCATCTGCTGCATGGCATATGTATGAGCACAGCTGGCGCCTTTCGGGATAGGCGCATCGTGGTATCGCAACGCCAGGGACTGGGCGGAGGAAATGCGAAAAAAGGCCATCGAGGCAGCAAACCAACGGCTACCGACTTGCAGTCCGGTGTGTATTCCTTTCGCCGACAAGGTTCATGGGGTAGGACTTCAAAAGGCTTTACTGGAGTGACACCAATTCAATAAAAAGAAAAGAAAGTCTCAGAAATGATGAACCCGACCATCAAAGAGAACACATGGGATGTTGAATGCGCAGGGGGTGTACACCCTTTTCCAACCTACTTGATCCGAAATGTGGAATTCTCAGCGTCAGCAGAGCCCGGTAGAGAGGAATTCAGTCAATATTGCGGGCAGGAAAATTGACGACGTTGTGTTGACATTTTGTATTCAATTGGCCACCTCTGTATCTTTGGCTTTCACGGCTATAGTGTCAAGTGGGGATTATCAAAGAGAATTGATTTGTTTAGCAAGCTCCACGCGCATAGTTGCGTTTTAGTTCTTCCTTTTAAGTCTTTTTCATTGTTGGGGCCAGGGATCTTGAGAGACAATAGTCAAGCAGTCTTGGAAACCGCACAAGGCAGGTACAATGCTAGTGTTCGCCATGTACGGTCAAAATCATAGATAAAATATCGATTGCCAATGCCTGTTTAAATGCAAACACACGTCCGATGTATAGGGATCTTCTTCCATAGCTAAAGAAACCGTTTTTCCATCTGCGCGAGTGTAAGCATTGGCTTTAAAACTCCAACATGTACAACAACCCACCTTCCAGGGATTGTTGAGCTCAAAACCCGGCGGTGCTTCAACGTTGTCTGTTTGTCCCCGCAGAAACCCAGTCAATCTGCGATCGCGTTCCATCACTGCAGAAATGTTTCCCATTAGTGGGTTGCATGAAATCGTCAAAGATCAAAACGACCGTACTTTGCTATCAGCAAGTTAGCGCACAGAGCTACGGCCAGTGTATGAGACAGATAGTACTCACCCTATCCCATTGATCAATCGAGTGACGCGGTCGTTTTCCGCCGTTTTGCATATTGCGAATCTTTGAGAGACCTGCGCCTGTGATGGCGAACATCTGGGTAGGAAATGCTCAGCATTTCGTTAGTGTTGGGATCGTGTGGATGGTCGGCATACCCCGAGCATGATCCCATATGGGAGCAGAGTCTCGAACGGAACACCCATAGTCGACAAGTCAAATCGGCACAATAAGTTGTTGATAATGATATTTTCGAAAGTTACTTTTTCAATTCCTTGATGATTAGAATAGCAGTATGCTGCAATGAGTTTGGAATCTAAACACAGCAGCGCGATAACGCTGATAACTAGTGAAAGGTGGAGGTGGAGAAGGGGTATCGTGGAATCCGGGGCCGAAGTTGTGTGAGGATCGTGGTTATGCGTGTCCCGAATGGGTTCTTCCGTGAATATATCCGGAGAAGCCTTGGCGCCACTACCACAAGGTCATTGGCGCGACTTTCTTTGGCAGCGACAAAGGGGGCACAGACGACGTGAAGCTCCAAAAAGCTCAACTTCAACCACCGCGCTCGACCACAATCAGCATCACTTGTGTGCGCTTTCACCGTAAGTCGCGTTGCGTTCTTGAGCAATTACTTTCAACCTATTCTACTGTCCTCCCAAGATCTCTTGTTTTACGGTCATCAAAGTTGTTGCATTAGTCAGCGGCGCTGATACGGAACCCTGCTTGCAGAAGAGCTCTACGGCGCGTCAGGGCACATGGATTCGCGTCTTCAGCTCTGAAAACGGTGTCTTGATAGGGGCTTGATTGAGCTATGCGCGAGATTTTGAGATTCGAATTGGGTCACGATTAGATACGGCATTCTCGACACGATCAAGCGAAGCGGCCCCCCGATGAAAAGATATTCGCGGCAGTGAGACGGGCGGGTTATTAATGCGGCAATCTACGCGCATAGATATCTATCATTGGACAGCGAGATATCAATCAAGCTGTGTGGCGCCTCTGACATAGAATATGGCGGCCGAACCTACGCCGCACCCTCAGCACGATCCCACGACAGAGGAAGACGCATTGGGTAGTGACATTGATGCCGAGCACGAAGACGATCCTATGCTATCAGAGCAGACGGCTGAGCAGTCAGATAGCGCAAACAACCAACAAGACGACTTGGAGGGCTCTGACGCTGACGCAGAAGGCGAAGAAATCGATGATGATGAGGGAGAAGCTGTCGGGGCTGTGAAGCTGCCAGCGGGAGAAGAAACGTCGGAAGAGGAAGACCAAGAAGACGAAGAAGAGGCGGTTGCGTCAGATGAAGACGAAAGCGAGAGTGGAGGAGAGTCGAACAATGAATCAGACTCAAGCGACGGCGAGTCAGATGCTGGACGCGAGTGGGAAGGAAGCGAGGGCGCCGATGGATCAACTGCCGGCGAGGTCGCTGATAATAATAACTGCATGTCAGTAGGCTCATTGCCCCAGCTTCGGTTCAATCAAAAAGTGCTGATCCAAAGAAACAGCTTCTGTGGAGCGGACGAGGAACATGATCCAAGCGACGAGTATGAAGAGTACCTTGCATGTGTGGTGTGCGGGGATAATGGTAAGTGAGGCGATATATTCTGACTTGTGACTTGTGGCACTCCGTTGAATGTGGATTACTAACCGGAGATTTATCCCTTCAGCCCATGGACAGTGTGCTCGAAATGCCGATGCGCTCGAGTCAGACGAAGGTATGAACCCCCGACAAGCCGAACAAAGAAATTTGCGATTTACATCAGTGCTCACAATTACAATTAGATGGCAAGCAATGGCGTTGCCCAGGTTGTGTTCAAGATGGTGCGCAGCCTGATAGCGGCAAGGACACGACCATACGTCGTCGATCTTTGGCATCCAACATTGCCAGAGACCTACTTCCCGCGCAGCGCGGAATTCTGAAACCAGACTCTCATTCCATGTTCAATAAACTTATAGTCGATGACGATCCTCTCGATGGCTCCCGCTTATTGCGCAAGCGAAAGGCTTCATCAAATGAATTGGAAGAGCCGGCCCTCGGCAGCAGGAAACGATTGAGGAGGCGATCCGATGACAACTTCAGCGCTGGAGATTCCGCTGTATCTGGAGACGAGGCGTCTAAAAGCATCGCCATTGCACCCACACCTGGGTTGAATGACGAAGCCACTCCGATGGACTCCATGTCACCGAGTATAGCTTCATCCAGGCCAAGACGATCGAGGAACTTGAAAAAAGCGAGCGTTACAATTGTCAAAAACACAAGATCAAGCATTGAGGTTGCCTTCCGTGTCGATCCTTTGAAACTTTCGAGAATATTAGAGTCGCGACGCAGAAAAAAGAAACGACGTGTGGTGGAACGGCCAGCTGCCCCCGTCGAACCTCAATATCCACCTTTACTCGCAACAAATTACATAACCCCTTTTTACGCTTTTCATGACCGGGAAAATGACGAACTGAAATCGAAACCATATGGCGGTATTTTGTCAGAAGCCGAAGCTGACACTTCAAAAACGTTACCGCAAGCGACGGATCGTGCTCGTTTTGAAGATGCAAGGCAAAAGGCAGAAGAAGAATGGAAGGTCAAAGTCGAAAATGCACAAGGCGAGCCTGAAGGCCGAGCATCGCAGAAAGTATCTGGTCCGCCAAGCAAGATAAAGTGTATCAACTTTGGTGGATATGAAATCGATACGTGGTATGCGGCTCCCTATCCTGAAGAGTATAGTCGCAATCGGGTTCTATACATATGCGAATTCTGCTTAAAATATATGAACTCGGACTACGTGGCTTGGCGACACAAGGTATGTTTCAAAGCAAACGGCAGTAGATTATTTCGAGCTGACAGGGCTAGCTGAAATGTGCTGCGAAGCATCCACCAGGTGACGAAATCTATCGCGACGGTTCAATATCTGTGTTTGAAGTCGACGGTCGAAAGAATCCTGTCTACTGCCAAAATCTCTGCCTGTTGGCGAAGCTTTTCCTTGGCTCAAAAACCTTGTATTACGATGTTGAGCCGTTTCTATTCTACGTAATGACCGAGTATGACGAATTCGGCTGCCATTTTGTCGGATACTTCTCCAAAGAGAAGCGCCCTAGTTCACTGAATAACGTCTCATGTATCCTAACTCTGCCAATACATCAGCGCAAGGGCTACGGTAACCTTCTTATCGACTTTTCTTACCTTCTCACTCGGGTAGAAAAGAAAACAGGGTCGCCCGAAAAACCGTTGTCCGACATGGGTCTTGTGTCATACCGCAACTATTGGAGACTGATACTCTCCTATGAATTGCTAAATCAGCGAGAAGCGCTGAGTATTTACGACATATCTGAGCGGACTGGAATGACAGCCGATGATATTGTTTCGGCTCTTGAAGGTTTAAGAGCACTGGTAAGGGATCCAGTGACGAAGACTTATGCTATGCGACTGGACCTCCCCTACCTTCGACAATGCATTGACAATTGGGAGGCGAAAAATTACGTGAAATTGAATCCCAAGGCACTAGTATGGACACCCTATGTCATGGGTCGCAGCAACCTGGCCCATTACGAATCCGCTCCTCTGGCAACTGTAGCGCCACGAGAAGGTGAGGAAGAGGAAGAAGTAGCACCAGAAGAGATATCCCAAATTGGTCAAACGAGCGCCAATGGTACTGTCAAAGAGGAGAGCTTCGGAGGATCAATCAACGGTACGACCAACGGCACAACTCCGGCTGAGGAGAAGACGAGTGCAGATATCAGCAATACTCTCACTCCAAAGACAGATGACGTTGCGGGGCAATTGAACGACACTGCGGGTCCTCCTGCCACGGTACCAGAACATGCATCAATACCGACGGATCCCAGTCGAACAGAAACTGAAGAATCAAAGCCTATAACAAACGGTATCCAAATCCCCGCCATTCCTCCTTCTCGCTACGAGATCTTCCCTCCGATTCCTGGATCTGCACGGCGCCGTCCTCACCGTCCCGCGCCTCGCAGTGTCCCTCGCACGGCTAGCACTCCCATTCGAAGGGGCAGCCGCAACCCGGAGACGCCAATTCCCGCGTCCATCTACACAATGCGTACACGCAGTAGGCTGGCTGATGTTGTGAATGGCGCTAGTGAAGGCGACGGTGAATCTATCAAAGAGAATGAGGATGAAAGTCATGAGAAAGCAGTCGATGAGCAGCTGCCAGCTATCCCTCTTATAAATGGAGGTCATGATCTCTCGAATCAGGCAGACAATCCAACAATCGCTGCAGCCCCGGAAATAGCAGCCGTAGCTGACAATGAGCCCAATGTGGATGCTGAGGGCGAGCTTGATCGGGACGCTGACGCAGAAGGCGATATCGAGATGACAGGTTGATGATCTACCATTTCTGCATTTAAGACCATTGAGATAATGAGTGCCCTGGCTCTTTGCATGGATGAACTTCTATTGCCTTTTGTTAATTCTTTCCTGCAAGCTGCATGGCAGCCTTCTTGGGATCTGGTCCGCCCCTTTTCACTCTGAGCAATTTTCTCTATTTGTATCATAGTCCTCTGTTCAGCTGGTTATTCCATGCATGGCGTGCCCAAGCGCTAATGTTTTGCTCATTTCCATATGTATTCGTTTGAGATTCCCGACGTCGCGTTTTATGTTGATCATTATGCCCAATTGCAGTTTTTAAAGGGATTTTCTGTGGGCACTGGGCTAAACTGGTGCTGTTGCTTCATTTTGCACATTCTCTTCTTCTTTCCTCATTTGATCTATAAACCAACTGGAGCAGTTTTTGACTTGCGGATGCGATTTTTCCAGCTCCGAGGTTGGCACTATTAGAGCCTCGGTTGAGGAATTTATTCTGGTGTGCGCCAAGCTAGGCCTCTTGAGGAGTTGCTCGATGTAGTAGATTCAAGATGGTATTAAATGAGAGATATCTTCATGCAGTCATCGCAGAGAATGTACTGGTGTATCAAATATATTGGTCGGAGCCGCTATCCTGCAGTTGCCGACGACAATTCTCTTTTAACTACCTAGGCATTTGCCTAATTTAAACGTGCAGTGCTCATTGATGGATTGCAGAGAGAATAAAGAAATATTTTGCTATTGATTGAGCTCTTGCACAGAACAATGACCCTGCAATTGCATTGAGAATGGCAGTAATAGTAGAGAAATGAGGTATCAAAATGAAAGCAAACAGGTTCTGGGCGTTATAGTAGGTAACTATTCCAGGTGGTACGCGCTGGCCGGACTTGGGCGGTAGAGGATCGGTTGCCGGCCCAATTCAGGTATAGCTGGAGTTGCGTTAATGCAGCTTTAGCCGCCGCAGCTCGCGTTAATGACAGTCTCCAGCAGGAATGCACCAAAGTATAATATCAAACGAGTCAACACCTATCGCTCTCCTTTCTTTTTGATATTAGATCTTTGTGAATCTACAAAGAAACTTTCGAAACAACGGATTTCTCTTCGCCCTCGACTCTAATTAAAAACAAAAACCAACCGTAGTACTGGACCAGCATCGGCAGCGGCGGTGGCGATATCCCATATGTGCAATGTCTGGTAAACCCCATAATATTATTTCTCTCTGAGGTACGTGCATTGTGCAGTTGGGTCAAGCCCATCGTGATGACAAGTAACACTGCCGACTAATTTGATGGAAAGCCGGAACAATAGCTCTTGCCAACAGCGGGATAGCTGAGCTCTTCTGAACAACAATTCGTTTGCTCTCCCGTAAAACATTCGACGGCGCAGCTGTGGATTTGGGGGCCTGGATCTCACGCCCTTGTATTAGACCATGATGGATGAATTTGATCTGCCGGCCCTACGACCACCGACTAAAACTACCGGGCCGTTCCCCCTGGACGGCCAAGATGTATCAACCTTGTCAAGAGCTCAGATCAAACAGGCGTTGGGCAAGGGCGCGACTGTGTATCATAACTGCTCAACGAGAATTGCACGAATCCACGAGGACGTGATTGTCAAATATGGTGCCGATGTCAATATTTGGGAAGCAAACAACATGAAATATGTCAAAGAGCATACTACAATCCGACTGCCGAAAGTGATCGATGCTTGGGAGGAGATTGATGACGAACAAACTATATGCTACATTGTTATGGACTATATTGAGGGTGAACTTCTGTCAGAGATATGGTCTGAATTAACGGAAGAAACGCGCTACGATATTAATTGTCAGCTGTCCGATTTTGTGCACCAGCTTCAATCTCTAAAAATGGACTCTCCAGGTCCAATTGGCGGTGGAATCTCCAACGGCGCATTTTTTACAGACTATGGTGCCGGACCCTTTGAGTCCAAAGATGCCATCGAAGCATATTTTAACGAGCGTCTCCTCGTATGCCAAGACTTTGGCATTGCTACAACACAGCCTCCTTTTCATGGTCAATTTGAGCATCTCGTCATGTGCCACATGGATCTTCATATCCGAAACATCATACTTGACGACGAGGGAAAGATCTGGCTTATTGATTGGACATTTGCGGGAATGTATCCACCATACTTTGAAATGGCGGTTCTTGTCAGGCAGGGTTGGGCTCAATATTTCCAGGACGCACTACGACTGCTGAAGTATGAACAGTACAATGAGGAAATTGCACGACTTATTGCAATCGGGTTTGCTTTCACAACAGGGGCGCTCTGTAAGCCTAGGGGTCTGAATTGAAGCTAGACAAACATTTAGAGTAACAAGATATTATTACTAATTTCATTGCTTTAGAGCATGCTCGAAAGATACCAAGTCATCAAACTGAAATGGGAAATAAGGGGAAAGGGCAAAAGAAAAGCAACACAAAATACTAAAAAATATCCCTTTGTATGTAACAACATAAGATGTAGCAAGTAATCGATCCTGTAAAACTTGATTTGATTGATTTAAAAGAGAGTGAAACTCAATCCAATATATGAAGGATTCATCCAAAAGCTGAACCACATTTGCGCAATTAAGCCATAACCACGCCGCCAGTCCCTACAGACCATAACAGGCAATTCAACATATATTCCGTCAAACCACCCTTTCCTAAATAGTGACGATTTCAGTGCTCTCATAGCTCGGATGCACCTGTTTCTAAGGGGTTTGATATGATTCTATAAAATCTAACTAAGGGCATAGAACCTTCCAGGAGTAATTCCCGTCTGCTGTGAAGTAGGAAGGGGCTGATGATTGTCTCCCCAGACTATTCCTAGGGCATTGATGGCGGCTTGAGTCTGTGAAGAATTTTGAATGTGCCCTTGGGATTGAAGAAGGTTGACGACACTGTATATCCAGTACCTGCAGCCCTGCCCGCCAGCATCGAATTGGTATTTGTCGTAGGTGCTTCTTTCCAGAAGTGCAATAAAGCTGCCAACAGTCAGGCTTGATGTATCAAGCTGGCAAATCTTGGAAGCGTTTGCCGTGTACGGATAGCCTTTAAAAGTGATTATTGGCGTGATTGTCAAATTCGGGCCCGAAGGAGACGGATCAATTCGGTATGAGTCGCGCTGATTGACACAGCAGAATAAGACCCAGTGGTTGGTCTGTGTGCCACTTGTAGAGCTTCCAGGTCCCGAAACGGGTGTAGCGGAATATGCGCAGGCATAAATGCAAATGATTGATTTATTGGCTGCTCCTGCAGCAATTGAAGGAGGGATGTATCGTACGGTCGACATCATAAAGTTCTCAAACAGGTAATTGAAATTGATCCGGATTTCCAAGCTTGGTAATTTTTTTTAGAGGCTCTTTCTGATGAGGAATAGATATTGAACTGACTTTGCGGGTCCATTTCCAGTTGAGCATGAGTAGATGTATTTATATTTCGTTCACGGTCCCAGACAGGAGTTATTAAGTGGATTCAACTTCAGGGGCTGCAACGCCCTCGAAGCCACCAATGGCACACAAGTTAAGGCCCTGCTGACAAGACCGCCATTCAAATCAAAAGAAACGACAGCCTGAAGTCCGGGATGTGTTGGAAGCCTAGAGTGTGGCGCGCGGGGAAACACATTCTCGACAACGTCGAGCCAATCGTGACCACTTCGAATGTGATAGAAACAACGCCCTTGGGCGCGTGTAAGTCGCGGATACACGGGTTTTGTGCTTCGAGATGAGAGTTTTGTGGTCTTATTTTCAATTCATAGACCAGGTCACCGGCGAAGAGAAAAGAGGGGGTAATTGACAGGGTTGGTGATCACGTTCTAGGCAGGCAAGGCTGAGAAGCGCATAACCTCCCTGACCAGTCCCTTTCCCATGAATCGATTGATATATAGCCTTCTTGATCAGTGGGGGGAATAATTAAAAGAAGGAATGACAACCTACCATTTTAAACGGGGTCCGAGATGGCTTGTTAGGCAACAAACCGTGAATTCTGCGGTGCTGTGCCCCCTTCATCGAGTTCATTAATAACTTGGGAACAACCGTGCGGCGGCGCAGAAGGCATTTTGCGAGTCACCATCATTCGTTGATTGAGGATTGAGTGCTGGGGCCCATTCGCGAGTGGCATCACTGTTTCCAGATAAGGGATCCAGCTGTAGAAGTTACTAAGCTTCAACTAAGTATAACTGTAGCGGAAGATTGAACTTACCTTGCCTGCTTGTGCCTATTAAGAGAAACTGGCTTAATATAACCCTGAATTCTGTTTTTTATTTTGATTTATAATTTTTAACTAGATTTGTTACCATTTAGCTAATAGCTTCGTAAAATTAATAGGACGTTCCGAGACTCGATATCTGAATAAATTGCAAGTTTTCAGTGCCGAGTATTGCTTGGTTCGTCATCCTGTACTGCCTTCGCTTTATCGTTTACTCCCCACGTCCCCCAGGAAGATGGATTGCGTACAGTGTCAACGCTCAGACATAATCGCCTCGAGGCATTAATCACCTTCGCCTCTAGTTGTCAGGTTTGCCCTCATCGAGTCGTCTTTGAGGGTTTGTTCTCCACACCTCCACCATGCTCTCCAAAGTCGGCACCGGCGTTCTACCATTTGGAAAGATGATACGGAAAATCGAATGGTAAGATCCCGTCCGATTACATCCATGCTCTACCCGCATGTGCCAACGCACACGCGCGTCTCGACGGACAAGGTTCGCTGAATTGATTTGATTTGTTAGTATGTGCTTGCTTTTGCCTCGTCCTACTGACTTTTCTTCTATTGGTTTGAAGTGTCACTGTGTTTGTCCATGCACTTCTTTCCCCGGGGTTTAACTTTATATGATTCGCTGTCGAGAAGTTTGTCCAATTGCAAAAGGCGTTTTTAGCGTGGTTGCCTCGCCGGTTGCCTTGCGCCTTTTGGGGTGGCATGCATGAAAATGGCTTCAGCCTTGCATTCGGAGTGATTTGGGGCTTTCGAGATACTGTGTCGTGCTTTTACCGCTCTTTTGTGACATTGGAATTTTGATATATCTTTGCTGGAAATCCGATTTTCTTTTTCCTCCCCTTCCAAGCTGTTTTGATTTTTTCCAGTCCGTGTCAGTGACTCCGTATTGGCGTATTATATTGATTTAATATCTTCACTTCTTATTGCGACGAGTCTTGTTTGGGAATATGGCAGTTGCAGAAGCGGAATCACTTCCTTGGTCCAAGTAAGTATTATCATCACCTGGCTTGCGTACTTTTGTTAGCTATCTAATCAGTGGTCCCAAACATGCATGAACAGCAGAGCTGGGTCCAGCAGCTGGAGAAACCCCTTCCATATTATTATTAGTATTTTTTTGGTCACTGTGACGATTGGCTGATAATTTGAGTCTAGGGTTCTCTCCTCTGGCATTCTTGAGGTCTGCGGAGACAGTGTGCCATATCACACCTTCCCCATCCATGAATATTTGTTCCGACAACGATGCAACACCAACTGCTCGTTGTGGAAGGGGAGCTTGGACGAGACAAGACGACGCTTTATAATCCAAAATGCGGCACCGGAAATCGTCGTCCGTTTCGTCGAATGGGCGTATAGAGACTCGTACTCGGATCGAGTCGAGCTCCCACGTCTACCTGCAGCAATGCTCAATCAAACTGTACCTGGTAGACCTCTGACGCCACCAAGAGAAGACCACACAAATGGACACGATGCGAGCCCTCAAAGTCGCTACCACTACACTGCATACTCGGGGTCACCCAAAGCAATTCAGTCTTTGAAGTCTCGCCAACACCCAGACGCGCACGACAGACTGGTAGCCGACATGAACCATCCACTTCTCTGCCATATGCACATGTACAAGCTCGCAACTGCGTACCAGATTCAGCCGCTTCGAAGCTTAGCTTGTCAAAAGATAGAAAATGCGCTGATGTCGCTGAGTCTTTTGGAGACCGCTGCTTTGGAAAGCGTCATAGCTCTTCTGGATTTATGCTTCAATGTCCTTCATCTTGATGTTGAGGATCCCCTGTCCAAATGGCTGGAGAAGTATACGGCATATCATATAATAACCCTCCTCGGCGACGCCAAGTTCACGTCTGTCGCCCAGCAACGACTGCCAAGGATTGTTAGCCTCATGAGTCGCGCCCCGTTGCCCTCAAGGAATGGCCTACATTGGGATTTTATTTTCCCAGCCTTTGAAGAGAATGAGGAAGAGGGGAAAGATCACGAAGATGAACATGCAGCTACAGTTGAGCAAGAGCCCTCTAATGAGCAGCCGGCCGTGGCGGTTGAGGACTATTCAGAACAAGCACCGACATCAGACGTGGTCGAAGATGTCAATGAGCCAATACCAGTTACGGAAGATTCGCCGGAAGATGAAGAACCAACAGTTGAGGATACGCCGGTTTGCTTTGACGACTATTCAGAAGAAGTCCCAGAACCAGCCGAGGAAAAGGCCATTGACGACTATCTAGAAGAAGCATCACTTCCGCTTAAGGATGACGCTGAAGAGATACTGGCCCCGGCTTTGTTGTCAGAACCTGAACCTGAACCGGCACCAGAGCCAGAAGCTCTTCAACTCACCACCCCAGAGAATGCAACTGATGAGCTAGGCACTTTGGGGGGACTATCCAGCAAAAAGAAGAAAAAAGGAGTAGCGAAGATGAAGAAGAAGACCAAGAAGAAGAACTGGCTCAATTCCGAGACTAATGACGAAGAAAAATCGCCGGAGGAAGCTGTGGTGGGGATTCCTGAAGAAGCAATAACCCTGCCTACAGAGCAGGCTGAGCAGGCTGAGCCGCTGCGGGATGAGAGGGGGTTTAAGTGGTCAGGTTGGGGCGCTCCAACGACTGAAAGGAACGAGAAGAACAAAAACAAATTGGATTTATCATGGGACTAGAAAGGTGATCAGACAGTTTGAACGGGTTTCCTCCCTTCATGAATAGCTTTCCATCCCACGGTTCTAGTCATTTAGTGGTGAATTAATGAAAGCAATTTATTATTTTCCTCGCTGATTCATTAAACTCCTTCCGCCGTACAGGATAGAACGATTAAATCACATGAATAACTCACATAATACAATATTCCTTGCTGCACATCTTCATATTATTCATCCGTGCTAGGGAGATAAATCAAGCCGTGAAGGTGTAATTTTGCTTGTTATATTACTGCATATTACCGCTGTCGTAAAAACTGCCTCTAGTCACAGAGTTTAATACTATTTCCTCAGTATCCCGTTACCGGTTTAGGCAGATAGGATTCTTCCAAAAATTGAATATCCTCATCAGGCAGCTTGAATTTTGCATTCTTGACGGCCTCGTCGATGCGCTCTTTGCTACTGAGACCAATAATGGGGTTGACGCCCGACTTGGAAAGGACCCAGGCGGTAGCAACAGTGGCCATGGACACGCCGTGTTTCTTGGCGACTTGCTCTACCCGATCGACAATGGCCTTGTCAATGTCATTTTCGCGGCTGCGAATGAGCGTCTTGAGGAAGTTGTCCGTCTTTTCGCGCTTCGTGTCGCGCGTGGCCCAAGGACGGGTCAGGACGCCACGAGCAATGGGTGACCATGGGATACATCCGACCCCGGTGTCGCGGCAGTAGGGGATCATTTCGCGCTCTTCTTCGCGGTATAAGAGGTTATAGTAGTTCTGCATGCTGATGAATTGGTGCCATCCGTGTCTAGAGGCAATGTTCTGGAGAGTCTGAAATTCCCACGCTGCCATCTGTATTGTATCATAGTAATTAATAAATTTGTGTGCACAGAGCCTCCTTCATGTACTCGATGGGTTGCGGATCTAGTGAAAGGGACCTCGAGAATGCACCAGCCGGCGAAGATACTGAAATGAAATTTGAAGAAACTTATGGAGAAATGAAGGGAGGAAACATACGGATGAAGCACCAATATATCGGACTTTTCCGCTCTCAATGACATCATTGAGAGCCTTCATGATTTCCTCACGCGGGGTGTCGCGATCGAGCCGGTGAATTTGGAGTACGTCAATGTAAGTGCCAAGTCGCTGAACGCTGGCGTCGACGGCGTCAAAGATATGTTTGCGCGACAGGCCAACTTGATTGACGTTGTCGCCGTCGTTGGTGGACGAGGCGCTGATGGGTGGCTGCGCGCCCGTCGGATCGACACCAAAGTAACATTTTGATAGAATGACGACCTTGCTTCGCGGAATTGAGTATTTCTTGAGCGCCTTGCCGATAATTTCCTCCGACTTGCCATTCGAGTAGACGTCGGCCTGTATTGAGTCAACGGTCAGCATACGAGTAATAACATGCATATGGAGCTTTGAACCATACAGTATCCCAAGTGTTCAGTCCAACCTTATACGCATGCTCGAGCAATGGCAGGGCTTCCTCCTCGGGCAAAACCCATCCTTGCCAGTCCGGACTGCCAAAGGACATGGCGCCCAGAATGACCTTTGAAATTTTCAGGCCGGACTTGCCGAGGCGCGTGTATTCCATTTTATTTTCTGACGACATTGTAGTTGTTGTGGAGAATGTACGAGTTGATTGATCCGTGGTGCTATGAAGAATGAATGGGTTTGTGAGTGGTCTTGGTTCAGTTTGGACAGCTGGGCTCGGAACGGTGTTTTGGCTGGCAGCGAGCTTGGAAAAGGTAATTATTCCCCTGCTTGACGTGAAATGATTGGTGACGTGAGATGGCTTGATGTTGTGCAGCGCCCTTGGGGAGATGCTGAAGCGCATATAGCGAAGTTTGAAAAGTACCGATCGTTGCGGAAGAACAGAGAATGACGATTGACCCTGAATATATACGAGTAGTCGTCGTGGCGTTAGTACTGTAATGTCAATTGCGTAGTCGACAACTCATCGGAGTTAACCCCTTGCCGATAGGCCCATCTCCGTTGATTATCGTTGTATTCGGGGATTTGGTGTATCGGCGATAAACTCGATTGTTTAGCACCTTGGCGGCAGAGAGGGGGCAAATTGTCGGAGCTTCAAGGTAAGCAAATGCGGGGGAGCTTACCAATCCAAAATAAAAGGCAAAATCTCTTCGCTCCTCCTCACCAGGTCACCAGGTCGCGAATTAGGATTGCTGAATATCATGGCTTTGCTTGAGCTCTCAGAGAGATGATAGAGCGATAGAAGTGCTTTGTACATGATGTGCAGCATGTCGTCATCTGATAGGCAGCAGAATAAAACCCGCTAAAACATTGGTAAAACACGTCTTTTTTTGCTTAAAGCTGTACACTAACAGTGCCTGAATTTTAGTGGGCTCGGCTAATCCACTGCTAACTCTGCTGCAGTGCACCGGTGTCAATTCATAACTGTGCATTTATTATTCCCCCTCTTATGCACTACCTTTCTGCATTTACTGCTCTGCTGTCTGGCACGACTTATATTCATCGTCCTCTCAGCACTTCACATTGAAGGGAAAAAAATCAATACTGGAGCAGATTAGATGAATAAGATTCTAGAACAACATTGCTATCCCCTGTCTTCTATGAGCCCTACGCCCTATCATATTGAAACCGTGAATTCTCCTTTTCATCGCTGTTTTCTAGAAGTTGGAGTTATTATCCTGTCCAAAAAGCCATATACTCACATATGGTAATAAAAAAAATAGTCGTTGTACCAACTTCTTCCTCCTTCCGCTTCCGTCCACAATCTACATTCTTGTCTGGGCTGACCGAAGAAACCTAATTCTGTCAGGTTATTGAAAGGACACGAAGCATCAACTTCCCTTCGTTCTTCCCCAGATAAAAAGAACAAGGATAATATTTTCCAGCTTTCTCAACCACAGACAATTACAGATCTAAGATTGGACAGAATAGGTGGCACCTTTTAGCATAATTGACAATAATTTATATAACTGGAGAGAACGTCCTCTAGGCTCTACCCGCAAGAGAAACACCGACCGGAGCGTGACAAATTTCCAGAGAAGAGCGCTTCAATTATTTTTTCTTGACTTACGCTGGATATCTATAAAGAGCCATCATGTCCTTCTCAGCCCTCATGAATGAGAAGTCTCATTTCAATGGAAAATCTAACGCCCGTTGTACGTAATTATTAACGTAATCACAACCATATCATCTTTCCTTCGGTTGCAGAGATATTCTCTGTTATATGATCCAGTATCTGTTTTGTTCACTCCTCTTGTTTTCCGTGGAACCTTCTCTGTTTCATGAAGGTCCTCTGCAATCCTGCATCATTGGCTGTGGGCTTTTCTTCAGCCACACGCTCATATTCAAATAAATATATTTTCCATCCGCTTTCGTCTGCTCGCAGCTCATCAGGACGCTAAACCGAGTCAGACCAAAAGGACACGAAGCATCAGCTCTTTCGATTTTCATTTCAAATAAATGTCAACCCTCCGAGCCTAGGCTTAGACAGCACGATCGGTGTCGTTAATCATAAATCACCAACAGTACAGGTATACTGCCGAGGGAAACCATCTCTACCACCAGAGAGAAGGACAATTCCAGAAAAGGAGCTCATTTGCTTTCTCTTTGATTTTTCTTAACGCTGGACATCTACAGAGACACCATCATGTCCGGCTCTACCTTCATCGATCAAGAGTCTGACATTGACGAAAAGTCTACACAGCTTTGTGAGTAGATTATGATACAGCCCTATTCATATATCGAGTTGTTCACTTTAGTATTGAAGTCTTTTTTGTTCGTTCAAAATTTATCCATGCCAGAGCTTCTATTCCCCGCCAGATGCTCCAATGCTTTGACTCCTTTATTTGTCTTTGACTGGGGAACTTTCTTCTTCACTTTGTACTCGGGCTTGGATATACGTCACAAGAACAATTCCCTCCTGTGGAACTGTCTAAATTTCTGTGGGTTCCGTATTGCTAACGTTATTACTCTGACAGCGCAACTCATAGAATCTGTGGAGGAGGGGAGAGAAAAAGAAGACATAAAAGACGATGACGACGACGACGACGACGACGACGACGACGAAGAAAAAAGACGCAATGACCCTTCGCTCCTAAAGTCAGACAAACTAACTCTCTTGAATTCTCATCGTCGGGAGTGCCGAAAGTACCTTTCCACCCTTACCCCGCCCGCGAAAGACAGCCACCCATGCCATATCCGAGATTTTGTTTTCACTTTTCTGCTGAGCGAGCAAGGCCTGGAGATCGAAGACGCAACACGGATGGCGAACCGACCTTTTTTGCACATTCTTTCGCTGAGAGACGGCTCTCGCGAGTCCTTCAAGGACGTATTTGGGCCTGACCCCATAGCCGCATTTTTCTATCTTTCTATCCAACACCACTTTAGATCATACGATGAGGTATGAAATGCCCTGGTTCATGAAGAAAATTTTTTTAAGATTTCTTTTCAGATTAGGTATACAGGTTCTAATGAAACACAGAACCTTTTACTTAACGGGGAGCATCGCAAAATGGCAATAATTTTGGCCGCCCCGCTTCTTCTCCTATGCATGCTTGTTCGCTACAGGGACAATGAGTTCCCTAAAATTGCAGTGTACATTGGTTCAGCCATTCTGTATGCTTTTGTGGTGTGTCTACAGGCCATCGTGCAGAAGAATAGGCTAGAGCAACTCATCCGTGTAGCGCGATTGGAAGAGGAGTATTCCAACCAGACTCTGCCATATCAGGTTTATAGGATGAGTTGGTGGGAATATGTCAACCGCTCATTTTCGTATCTTTAGAAGATTGTTTTCTCTTCGACTGTTCGACATGCCGCTTCCCATGGTATTTTAGGTTCTCAATTTGGCGTACCATATTCCCTTTTAAAACCTTGCTTACTTGCATACTGCTGGATGGTTCATCGTTCACCGTTCACCGTTCACCGCTCATCCGACCTTGATGGAATGGATAAACTAAACCGCTAGGCTGCTCGAGAATTTCTACGTTTCGTGATGCATGTACGTTGTCCTTGATACCATGTTTTTAAAACGCGCAACACTGCCTTCTTAATTGGAAAGATGACTGTACACTTCTCAGTATCTAAATTGAGAATTATTATTTGTCTCAGTCAGTCCAACAGGCTGAAAAAATCCGACTGCACTGAAGTTTTTAGCTTTGTAATTGTGATCATTATATTTATTATTGTACTTTAATTATCTCTCTAGAACATCTTAGACTTTTCAATCTTTTCGAAAATTCACAGTTACATGACACATAAAGACATACCAGTCCAAAAGTTTGGCATTTATATAAGGTTATTAAGTATGATATATATATAGTAAAGCAGACCTTATATAATGTCAAGAATCTACACCCCTTTATTATGCTCAGTTGGAGGTTACCAATATTTACCCATTCCGGTAGCGGGTAGCCTCACCAAAACATGCAATGTTTGTTTAACTATTTTTTTTTTTTTTTGTTTCAGTTTTTTCTTAGTTTTATTTGAAAATCCAGGTATATTACTAGCAAGTAGTATCAAGCCTTAAGTAGGAAAAAAAAAAAAAACAACCAAACAATTAAATTATATAATACTTACATAAAATATATATATCTTATCACCTGCTATTAGCCCACTGATTTAATATATATATATATAGTATTGCTTAGTTGTTGAATCATCTCAAGCAAAGACATCATCCCCCGTTTAAGCCGATGACAGGTAACCTAGGATTTTCCGCGCCCGAGTACTGTAGGAACACGTGATCCGAAACCCCTGCACCGGGGTCCACCCCCCCTAGTGAGGTTTTGCGACCAAAACGACCCAAAAGGCTGGGGGGTGCAACGGAGCTTCCGCAAACCGATTTTCACTCGAACCATGGTACCGCACAAACTCTCTTTTCCACTCTTCTACGCCCTCGCGCCCCAGCCCTGTCCCAGCTGGTTTGTCACGTCCCATTCAAGCCGTTTGACAACAACAACGAACAACAAACAACGAAGTCTTGCATCCGCCCCCATGACGAAAAACGCGCATGACGAAGAAAGAAAACCCTCACGACAAATACTCTCCTGCGCAACCATACAGTATCATTCGAGAACGATCCTTCTACATCGACAACAAAGGCCTGCAAGACAAGCAGGCAAGGAGACAAGTCGACGTACGACGACACCAACGTACAATAGTATCAATTATGTGAAAAAGCCAAGGATAAAGTATCATACAGAGAAGAATAAGGTAAGGAAAGAAAGCAAAGGAAAGGAAAAGGGGAAGATTATCGGCACAAAGTCCCAAAAAAATACTTACAAGAACGAATCCAAAAGTTCGCAAAGGGAAACAAAAGGGCAAAGGAAAGGCGGAGGTACGCCAGAACCTAGTCCAATCTAAAGAGCTAAAAGCAAACCGATAAGCTGGAATATATATCCATCTGCCCATTATCATCATCGTCGCCGTCATCAGCATCATCAATCCCATCCATCATCCCCCGCCTTCATACAGCGCTCGTCGCCTGCTCGCTCGCAGTTCAACATACCTAGACCCAAGCAACCCAAGCTTATCAATCCCAAGGAAGAAGAACAAGAATGAAAAGTAGAACAGTTTCGTACGCGCGAAATGGCCTTGAAGATCCAGGGGAGAATAAAAGGGCCACAGAGATGCGATCAGCCAAGATTTCCCATGCTCGATAGCCTTCCGTTTTTGATTTTCGTTTCTGATCTGCTTTGAAGTCGTAGATACTGTACATCGCGTAAATGTTCCAGGGTCGAGGCCGAGCTTCTGTATCATCTCCGCGGGCGAAAGTCATGGAAAGTCTCATATACAATGCATTGTGCCTTCTGCTCAGAGGGCGTTTGGTGCACGTTATTGCATCAAACCCTAATCAACATTGCTTTGACCCAATCATGGCCAGGGCGCGTTTCGGACAGATGAGTATCGAGGAGACGCATCGTCTCGTGAGCCTCGCCAAACCTGCCCCGAGCGCCCCTTCAGCCCATGATCATCCGTTGTTATTGTTGCCGAATCCCGCGTTCAATGTAAGATCGGTGTTTTTTCGCACTTTCTCCCATCACTGCTCCGTAGCTTTCGCCCCCAGTCAATCCCTGCGAAACCCCCCTGAACGGATATGCGTAGTCTTACCCGAGACTCCGGTTTCCTTGCTGATCCGCTTACCGCCCTTCTTGAATCCCTGGCCTACCTGACCCCATACTTTTCCTAATTCTTTTGTGAATGCAGATCAAAACCCCACAAGTACCAAAGCCGAGTCCAAGCCGGCATGCTCCGTTTGCCCAAAAGATTATGGTCCCCAAGGCCAGCGCGACACAAGTATCGTAACATGTCCTAAAGCAGCCGCGCAGAAAACAAACTTTTTTCTCTTTTTCCCGTCATATCCCAATACATGCGAAATGATTTTGCGCCCGTGATACTCCAAGAATTGGCTCCACGACGTCTATAAAAAACGATGATGGTGTTGTTACATGCCATCCAAGAAAAGAGGCGAGCAAAACTAGATGTCGCTGCGTTCCTAGTCATCACTCATGTATGATTGAACGACATCTGCATCTTCAAATTTTCCCAAAGTTTGATGATGATCGGCGAAAACTCATGCGTTCAGAGGTGGCGCTTTGCGATCTTTCGAAACCATGATCCCATATGAGTCTGGCAAATCTGCATCACCCGATCATCGAAATACGCATACTCAACCCTTGCCAGTGTACATGTGCAGCAAAAGGTAATCCACAAAAACCCACAATATCAAAACTTTTGATGTCTCGTTTCATAGACCAGCTGGGAGATCATTTCGAGTTCCAAGGAAAACAAAAGCAAGCAAATCCTGGGAATCAAATCTAAGAAGGTTTTAAATGGAAGATTTCGCAAATACGCCAACATGGTAGCCGGTCGCCATGAGGAAACCCCTTCAAGAGAATGGTCCCGGTGGGTTGGTCGATGAGGAAGCCGGATCAAACCCTTGTGCCGTTCCAGCACCTGCACCAGACGCATAGCGCTCACGTCCTGTGCCAGTCGACGGAAGGGTGCCACTTATTGCCGCTCCGGGAAGCCCTGCAACGTTTGAAGCTTGTGGTAGTGTCATGGAACCAGCCATGGATCGAGAAGCAGATGGGCCAGGGGATATGGAAGCGCCCGAAGATTGCAGCGGCGGTAACACTGTAGTAAATGGAGGCTGCTGTTGCGTCGTCGATTGCCGCTGCTGCGTAGCCGGTGGAGCCATTGCAGGGGCCATACCTTGCGCTCCTGCGGCAGCATAACTATTCTGGGGAGTCATGATCCGAGTTACCCCACCAGACGGCGTAGGCGCGTTGCTGGTAGATTGTAGTGACCGTCCGCTTAGATACGAAGGGTCATATGCTTGAGAGGGTTGACGGGAACTCGGGTCAGCCAGTTGGGGAACCTGCAAGGGGTATTGAGCGCCTCCAGCGTACGACTGCGACGACAAGCGAGAGGGCTGGTAAGTGGGAGCCATGCCAGATGGCGAACGTACGGTGGACTGCGTACGTGGTGATCCATAGGGCGAGGAAACTGACGAGGATACAGGTGGTGGATAGCGGTACGAGTGCTCTGGCATCCCTGTTGGCGCAGCATAGGGAGCAGGCGCATAACCGTATCCTCCTTGTGTAGCACCTGGTTGTGCATATGCCGCATAGGGATTTTGAGGGTCTTGGTACACGCGTTGGCCGTAGCGTGGATCTCTCGCATAAATGTCCTGGGTACTCACGTCTGCTGATGTCCTCTGTCGCTTCGTGGAGGGCTCTGCAAAGGTAGTAGGATAATCCCGCATACCAGTCGGAACATACGCCCCCATCGCCGTTCCAGGAAACGGAGAAAACTGAGCAGCTGCGTCAAATGGTCCCTGGAGAGGATAAGCACGAGGAAATTCCTCTGGCCGCATTCCAGCTGTTGGTGGACGCTTCCTCCTAGTGAATGGGTCAGTTTGATCGTGCACCTCGACAAGGGAATAAAGCAACGGTGAATGTGCTTACAGCAACGTTCGCGGCTCCTTTCTAATCCTGAGCCTTACGCCTTGATCACCAAAAGACCGAGAAAGAAACGTCGATTCAGACATCCCTGGGAAACTCTTTGCAGAGTAGACTGATCCCTTGTCAGCAACAAAGCTCCTCCAAGTACGACAGAATGGATTCAGACCTGTGAACGTTTCTGAGACGATCGACTTGATGTGAACGACTTCAGTCCTGTTAGGAAGGTCAGAAATATGGTACTTCAGCGTTTCTCGCCATGCAAAAGCAACTCACTTGAGCATCTCAAATAGGCTGAATCGCAACCTATACTCGCCTTCCATTTTGACCGACAGATCGCCGAAGACAAAGAAGCCCCCATCTTGAGAAGGAGGGATCAGTTAAAGCCTTGAAAAATTACTTCTGAAGGGCACCAAAATGGACGAGTCTTACCGCTGTTGTCAATGTCCTTGAGCCGATGGAGAGATGAGACCAGCGTTCCTGCCAGGGCATTCTGTGGAGACTCTGCGGGACGATCCTCGCTGGCATCGAACAGGTTGCAACACATAAAGTAATATGGGCTTTGGAGATAGTTTCTGCTCCAATCAGCACAACTCTAGGCGCCAGGAAAGCATTTGAGGCGACGTCGCAATTGATTTGAACTTACTGGGCAGGATCGGATTCATCTCTGATCCGAAGCTGAATGATTGGGGGAGGATCGACAGGTTTCCGATCTATCTAGCATTCAGCCATCTTGATACATCTTGGTGCCCCACTACAGTCAACAATGCGACCGCTGTCTAGAATGGACCAACCTTTCTCTTTGGGCCCTGCGACTCGAGCGCGCTCCGGTTGCTGCCGGATACGCAGATCGTAATCATCGCTGCAGATTCGCATCGTCAGTCACAATCCAGGTCCAGGCCAGGTGATGGAGAGACTCCTAAGACGGTAGGATGACGGCGCACCTTTTGAGCACGACCCTCGAGGAGCCTGCGTCGACGAACGTATGAGCGTTCATCAAGGTGGCCGTCCAATTCTGGCATCAGATCGTCATCCAAGTTAAAAGACGAAGCCTTGGTCGAAGCCAGATGGGACGGGACACCGCTTTTAGATCAGCGCAAAGACACGCAAAGAAGGTGCAGAACCTCCACAGGCATCCAAGATCCAGAAAGGCGAAGACTGAAGTTGATGAAGGCAGGCTCGTCCAAGGTTGAAGCGGCGTCCTGCGCACGCCAAGTTCTTCGGTTTGATTGAACGAGAGATCGAAGCTTTCCAAAAACGACGCACAATCCAAGAATAAAATCCAGGGGTTTGTCTCCACCCTCGTCACTGGAAATCTGCTCCGCTGGCCAACGTGGGCAAAAACCAATCCAAACCAGTGATCCCAAGACGGAGAAACGAGGGTTTCAATGCGCCCTGAACGCCGGCAACAAAGTTACGTCCGAGTTGGCTTAAGTCGACGAAGTTGTCCTTAGAGACCGACGCTGAGACTCAAGGATGAATCAACGAGTTGAAACCTGAGATGAAGAGAGTGCATGCGTCGTAAGGCCAATGGCCGTAGATGGAAATGACCGATTCTCAAAGGATCATCCAACGGTGGATGATGGCGGTTACCCTAAAAGATAACCGTTCAATGAACGCTAAGAGGCGTGGGCCGCAAAGCAGTCCGGCGGACTGTACCTACAGTAGTGAATAGCGAGCCTTAAACTATTCGAGCCAAATTTCTCGGTCCGAGTCTCACCCCAGTCAGCCCAAGTTCAAACTGGAAAATTGGGCGAATGGACCTTAAGCTGGCGCTTCAACGCTTTATCTCGGCACCTCCGCAAAGGACAAACGACGGGCTTCGATGAAGAACCTCAAAGAAGAGACCAAGACTCGCGTGCTCCTTTAATTTATTTTTTCTTTGGGTTTTTTGAGTCTTGGTTCTCTTCAAGTCGCTTGTCGATGCGACAAGAAATTGGGGGTTTGATGGATACAAGGTGAAGCCCACACGAGCCTTCCTCTATAGGAGCCAATGAAGAAAGGCCGAAAAGAAATTTGCAAGAGGAAGAATAATAATTTTTGGTTTAGAAAGCGTGCTTCGTTCCTTCCCTTTCTCCAAAAGGGTTTGGTGTGGGGAAGTGAAATGGACTGTGTGGGCTAAATGTGCCAATGGTGACGAGACGAGACGAGACCAGAAGATGATTTGAGGAGTGAGGGAATTGGGGGAGCTGTGCGAGAGCTGCCTTCTCTTCTTGGAGGGGGGAGACGTTACGCAGTAGCACCGACTAGCAGCCTTCGATTCTGGCCTGGCTCTCCCGCGAAAAGGAAGGGGACGAAATTCGTCGTCTTTGCAGAACGCGCAATTGGTGTCCCTAGTTGGGTGCTATAGCTCGCTGGAATTACCAACGCAGAAGAAAGAATGCCAATGTGCCCACCTCAGAGGTTGGCGCATGCGGAGCACGGAAAAATGACTGGACAGAAGGGAAACGCAACGGGCAAGGGATGCGCAGGGCCGATGTCTTTTTTTCTCTTTGGGTTTGCGTGCGGATCTCGTGGCTTCGGGTCGCGTCAGACTCCCATGACGGGCATCGACAGGCCGCCACGAGAGACACGTTTTTAATTTTCGACAATTCAGACCCTCGCACCTTGGTTACCTCACGCGCTGGTTCCCTTAAGCGGCGAAGGCGAAAGAAGAGCTGTGGAAAGGGACACCACTGGCAGACTTCAATTCAATATCCTGTCCTCCAGTATCTACGCGTGCATCAGCTGCAGGCTGGCTGCGAGCGCGATGAGGAATTGGACTCAAAGGCTAGTCAAAATGCAAGCGCTCACGTATTAACATTCGAATCTCCGGGGACACGCCGCAAAAGGTGTCACGCGGTTGATGGGATATCCCTACTATCCAATAGCTAAAAGACAAGAGACGGCAAGATTGGAGATAGAACGTCTTCAAGAAAAGATGTAAATCGAAAAGAACGAGAGAAGAAGGTAGGTAAAATCAAACATACAAAACATTCCAGGACTGCTTCAGCAAAAATTTTGGTCCAATTAGTATGGTCCGACCAGATCAACAAAGCGCGAGCGACCTGGAGAAGCTGACGCGCAACGAGCCAAGGTCCGTGGTGCGGGATCATAAATTGGGTCGGACCATTCGGATCATGGAACAGGGGAGAGGGCGAGGCAGACTGAAAGGCGACGGGGCGAGAATTGAGATCCACATGTTCTGCATGCGCACACACCCACCCACACCCATTTCATGCACTGGTTCTCTCTGTGATGTGCATCATTGAATTAGTGGCACCCCGGTCGAACAAGCCGCATCGGCAATTCAGCACCGCGGGCGCCAGTGGCGTCCTTCGTCAGGCACTAGCTATCGTGTTCTGATGTGCGGGCAGCTTATGGGGGAGATGTAATGGAAAGGTAATATCAAGGTACTTTGCTATGTACTGTATTGTAAGATCAGAGCATGGTTGCCAGATGCAGAGAGGATGGGAGGGATCGAGGCGGGCCCACAACATGGTTCGAGCAAAACCAGTATCGGCCAACAATAATTGGGCAGAGGAGCGACACCCAATAATGTAGTGGTCCCGATGACGGTACAACAGTGTGAAATGACAAGCATCGGAGCAGGACATGGGCAATTGACCAGGTTTGGGGTGGGGACACGGTAAAACAAAGAAGGGGAGGGCAAGGTAGGTGTGTATGCTAGACCCAGAAGCATGTAGCGAACGAACATGAGATTGATTGATCAAGTAAAGCTTCCTTGTAGGTCTAGAATTAACCCCACAAAGTGGACGGCTCAGAATTAAGGTCCTATGACGAGGGGGAGAAGCAAAAGCGAGACCGCGAAAGAAGATTATTTGAGGCGTAGAGGACCAAGATGCAGAAGAGGAGAAAAGGAAGGGAATTAGTGCGCAATAGCACAGAGACGGAGTCACCAAATGGCTCCGGGATTAGTTTAGTGCCGGAGCAGAGGAGCACGAGGGGAGAAAGAGTTTGCTTAGCGGGAAATCGAGAAGAGGACTTTTGCCGAAGTTTTCGCACAAGAAAATAGGAGAGAACAAGTGCAGGGTGCATGTTGGTCCACTGCTTTGGTCAATCGTCGTGGGGTCTCTCCGTTGACTAATTATACTGTTTTGTCTCTGTAAACAGTCATGAAGCCTGTAATCTTCACACATAATTAACGCTCCGATTGATGATCGTCCTCTGGCAGAAAATGGCCCGAGGGCTAACGAAAGACTAACGTACCTTTAAAGCTTTTTCAAGTTTTTTTCGCTCGCTGCTTAAAAGGGACCCTGCGCCCGGGCCACTTGAGGGTCACCCAGGTTATCATCCTTGCCGAAGCCTCCAAGTACTTTATACCTCATTTTGTGGTTAGCTGTCGGTGGTGCATCCCGTACCGGTACATGTTCCCTGTAGGTCGCCGGGCACCTGCACGGATCCGCCCCTTTTTGCAGTTCTGCTGCCCGTCACACGAACAAAGTGAGATCTCGTTTTCGGTCCATCATCTTTCCCATATCCAGGACATGATAGAATAAACTCCCGATAGATGATGCTATATAAGACATTATTATAACCCGTACTGCACAGCGCTGAAATGACCCAAAGCAGATGCGTAGAACTACCTGGCTTCGACAAAAGGCTTGGAAGTCAAGAACACTCAGCTAGCCGGCTGTCTGCAACGGGAAGGGGCTCTGTTTCTCGTGTGCTATGGTAGCCACATGAGACGGAGGCCATGTTTTCAAATTCCGAGTTGTACTGCAACGGAAAGAGACATGCACGTTGTCGCGTGGCGGACTTAGAAGAGGAAATTTGATCGAACGTCATGTCTTCGATCGGAATGCGTTTGGTGGATAGAGGTCACACAAGTATGCGACTTCCTTTTCATCATTTCAGAGCAGATATGGTGCTGTTCCAACGAGAAAAGTACAATACAGTTCTGGAGAGCGATGAACAGCAGCAAGTTGAATCAAGCCCCGCCTAAGAGAGCTTGTGAATCAGGTATAGTTCCTACAGTGCTGGCAGAGCAGAATTAACAAACAATTCCATACCTTGATATACCTAACTTTTGCATAACTGTTGTCCAATCCTCCTCGAGCGAAACAAGCATGATCAACCAACTTTAGTTGAGGACAATTGCATGTCTACGGTGTCCGACGCCTACCATGCATCTCTTGTTGCAGCTCATGTAAAGCAGAGAACAGAAAAAGCTATGGAAGAGAAATCGGAGCCGATCTTCCCTAACCCTTCAACTAATCCAGGGGACACTCTTTGCGTACCTGGTAACAAAGCCTCGTTCTCCCATGGCTTCGGGCTCATTGTGCTAGACAAGATGCTAACCAAATATCTCAGTTGCGACCGACACTAAATCTCTCAGCTCTACAGCTTTCGTTCTCTCCCGGCCCAAAATGGCTCATCCGTGCAGAAAGGGTAATACAATGGAATGAAGATTGATCATTACGTCGTTCGATGTCGAGCCTGGGCTTTCTGGGTTCTCCCTCACTTCTATCCCTATTGCTCTCCATATCTGTGGTTGTTTCTCCGTAGCCTCTGACCTCAATGAATCGCTAATCTTGCCGTCTCGAGATTCTATGCAGCATCTCTTCACTTAATGTTGGACGTTGGACTGTGCTCTTGTCACTGACTCTTCCTCTATGGAACATGATTACTCGACCAGGACGGTGTCTTTTACTCCTGCTATACGGATGCATATGTTTTTCAAAAGCAGAAACTGCGTTAATGGTGTCAGGGCCTTGCACAGATAATGAATCACTGGTTCTGATATCTATTACTGACCAGCAGTAGAGTTGCGGCCAACACCAATTTGAACGCTCCGACGTGTTCCAACAGCCGTTACAATAGGCCGGGCCGTGCGTCTGCAGCGAGGCTTGTGCATTGAAGACAGAATTTCAGATCCCTTACTACGAATGCGAGGACCGAGAAAGGAGACTACTGCAAGGCCACAAGGTGTCCGGCGCAGATGCACACCGCTTGGCTGCGGACGTGCCCCAGGTTGGCAAAGGCTTCGGGCTAGCTAGCCCACAAAATGTCGATTCGATTAATATGGACAGTGCGAGGCGAACCATTTGGTAGGCTGGTTCCTTGCTGGGTTAGCTGGTTGGTGACGCTCTAGGGCCAGTTACGACAATTCGCGACCGTATAACTTAACGATCGCTTATAGCCAACAACCAAGATAGCCTTGTCGATCAGAATTCATGACTTCCAAAGTGTCATCACGTCTGTGCCGCATATCAGCTAATAGTAAATTACGCCAGCTTTGGAGTCTGCCGTCGCTTCATAGCTTCTGATCGAGTAGCGGAGTTTTAAATTGTCAACTTGGTGTTCCGTTCATGCGGGAGACGAGATTGACAACAACAGCTAGCCGCTTTGCGAGAACCCTAGGAAATGGCCAGCGACTTGGCCAAAATAGATGATTTCTTACACTGCCAGGATTTGCAAAATAGGGATGGTATTGCGGAGGAGGCATGAAATGCAACTCGATTGCATCTTCGGCCTCGTCCCAACACCCTGGCTGCAGCTGATTTGTTGGAGGGCACTAACGCGCTGGGGACCAAATCAATATCTCGGCGTACTCGAGACCCACGCACTCTTATATTGACCTAGGTTGGGCCTTCTTAGAACAGGCAGCACATTGAAAAAGACCAGGGTTCGCCTCACTCTTGAATAGCAACACGGACTTTGCTATGCCATGCAACTGTCTCGATTTGGTAGATCATGTACTAACTTGACTTTGGCTATGGAGAACCGTGATCTCGGGACGCACTTGGTAAGCAGAAACTGCCAGAAACAACCTCCAGTGTGAACCGCCGGAACATACTACTGCCCCAACATTCTCACCAGGTCTGTGACACGAATCGCCCCCGAGTGACATTCATTGCCTTTTGCCATTTTCAGATCCCTCGAGATCTGCCATCTGCACAGCGCTGTCGTCAGTTCCATCCGCCCGAACAAGGGCGTTTGCGAGCATCAAACAACCCGACTTCTGGTTACTCGGGTTGGGGCGTGTGCTTGGCTCATTTACTGACCCGTGGGCCAATAGTCCAGCTAAGCGGGGGTCAAAGACTTCTCTGACCAGGACCCCTGTACACAAGAAAAACCCGTGGGGGTCGCCAGAGTTGGCGGCACAAGAACCCGCTGTCCCAAGCTTGTCAATAACCATGGACCCATTATTAGGAACCAAAATACCTCAGGAACCGAAATAACCCGCATACGCGACATTTAAATCATTTCTCCAAAACTGAATCGAATCGAAATTGGAAAACTTGGTTCAAATCTCCGTTTTCTCCATCCAATGACCGACCATTCTAGGGGCAGCACGAATTTCCGGGGCCATCGCTCAACTCGTTATTCTTCTTCCTTGTCGTAGTTTTTCCAGGGAATACCCGGTTTTACCAACAGCAGAACCATGGCCAAAACTTGGCAGCCAGCAACTGCGCCAGCAAATAATACTTGCCAAGTTAAAAAGAGTGAGAGACGAACAGGCGAACTGTGCACTCAGCTACGTATTTTTTTATAGTAGACATCCCTCCCTCCAACCCCCACGGGTTCTCGTTCTTTTATTTTATTTTTTTCTCCCCGCTCATTGAGCGTTCTGTAGGACATTTTTTGTTAGAGTTTACTTCTTGGCTCTGGCTCTGGCTGGTCTCGCTTATCTTGCATGAATAGCTGGGGGACAACCGAGTTTTTTGTCTCTATTGTTTCTTTTGTTTCCTTCTTTTGGGTTCTTTTCCTCCTTTCTATCGTACGTGTGCCTCTGTCTGTTTACAGAAAAGCACAGTAAGTGATGACTTACACTAATGCTGCCGCTCTGTCATACTTGCCAGTCTGCCAGTCTCTTCTGTTTTCTAGTAACAGGAACAGGGTATTCACACCTAAACCTAACTACCCTCCCTCCCTCCCTCCCTCCCTCCCTCCATGGACCTCCCGTCATAGGTAAAGTCTCGTCCTATAAATCGTACTTGTCCGAAGGAATAATGCATATACCTCCTATAAGTTAAGTGCATAATGACAATCGGAGACTAGAGTATAGATCTAATTACTCTTGTTATGTTGTGTTTGAAACATGGATGAGGACAAGTACTCTCTTTGCACGAGCTCTGTAGATCTGTGTACTTCATCATGTTAAGAATATAGTAAAATTACCACATGATAAATAAAACTAAGTTACTAAGCCATGCAAAGAGCTAAAAATGTGATTCGTGCAATCATGTTGAAGAGCAGCAGCGAGCGAGTGAGAGTGAAAGTGAGAGTGAGAGTGAGAGTGAGAGTGAGAGTGAGAGTGAGAGTGAGCGAGGGTGAGAGGGGGGAGGGGGAGAGCAGGAAGAAGTATGTGAGCATGAGAAAACAAGAAAACAAGGGAAGATCATGTATGTCAAATGGTGAAATTAAGTAATAGTAGCAATGATACCAATAAGAATAAATAAAAGATGACGATAGCAATCGTAGTTGAAGCACCGGCAATAAGAATAAAAAAGAAAGAAAGATGACAATAAGGATATCATGACTCATGCGATATGAAAAAAAATAAAATAAAAATAACAATAAATGTTTGAAAAAAGCAAGCAGATGAGAAAATAATAAATAAATTGGATATGCATAAACCATTTAGATGTTTGAAATAATATGAGATGAAAAATAGCTTATGAAAGTTATGATCATTGGGATCAACGCAATGAACGTAGGTGGGTTAGAGGTATCGACTCAGTCTAGGCAGTCCCACTAATGGTCCTGACAAAGAAAGTTGCAAAAGGCGGGTGTGGTGTGGAGAGTGGCCGGCAACATTCTTGTCGTCTTTGAGAAAAAATCATCGCGCCTGCCATGAGTTCCTGCAGTAGTCTGTGCTCCGTTCTCCCATTTTTCTAACAAAAAGTGCTTCCCAGATATCCGCCCCAGCGCTGATATGAATAAGAACCCACTCGCGATAAAGATAACCCCGCGGTAATGCTTAGAGAGGATGAGATAGTAAACAGAAATCGTCAATTCGTCGCATTAACCTTTCCAGTGCAGCAGCTACTCCATTCAATCTCTTGGCCCTTGAAACCCGACAATGACTTCTTCGCCCTCTTCGTCGTCGTCGTCCTCGTCGTCATCATCGTCATCATCATCCTCACCGTTGGTATCTTCGCCGCTGGTACTTGCGTTGCTGTCGCCTGACGCATGAGCCAGGTCGGGGTGGGTGTTGTCATTGTCATGCTCCAAGACATCGCCAGTTTCATAAGGCGAAGGCTCCCGTTCCAAGCCCCATCTGGTCTTTTTCCGGCGAAAGTTCTTGTCTACTTTGCGTGCTTCGTCGAATTCGCGCTCGTCGTCGCCTTCGATTCCGCCTTCAGCTTCGGCATCCGCTTCGGCGTCGGCATAGACCTCGGGATCTGCTTCGGTTTCTATTTCTGACGGGCCTTCACCTCCTTCTCGGCGGGCGTTTGCTTCGGCTTCGCGCTGTTGTCGTTTGGCCAGTTGCAGAGCGAGTTGTCTACGTGCTCGTGAGGGAGGAATGTTGAGGTTTAACGAAAGATTGAGGTTCGGCGAAGGACCGAATGAGATGGAATCACTTATATTGCCGTTTCCAGAATCTGTAGCCGTCGCGTTGGCGGGCACATCCTTTTTCGTAGGCGACGAGTAAAGTGATAAGGGGATGGCCTCGGAATTCTTGTCATCGTCATCATCGTCTCGCGAGTTGGAGTTGTCCTTGTTAGAGCTGGAAGAGAATAATGAAGGTAACAGTGAAGCGTAAGTTGCTGCGGATTTGTACTTGTTTTTGGAAGCGGATGGCGTCGACTCGCTTTCATCCCTTTCAGACTTTGAGCACCACAATCGTTAGCAGGGTCTTGCTCAGTGCAGGTGCAGGTTTGATTATACGGGCCATTAAGCAAATAAAAAGGCGCGAGGGTTATTGAAGGCAAGAGAGATTTAGCCGATAAAAGGGAAGATTCGGACCAAGTACAAATGATGCAATTATACATGTAATAAACGATATCCTCGTCGAGGTTCGGAGCACACTACAAATTGATACTTGATCGGTTGAAGATAGTTGGGGGATGAGAAGGGAGGGCCTCGACAAAGGACGGCAGAGGTACACACTAGGGTTTCAATCGTGGGCGAGACGGTAGATATTCAAGCGTGAGTACAAATCAGAAGTGAGATCCGACACACGAGCAGATGCGTTGAACATGAAAAATAATGCCATGTAAATGCAGAGCAAAATCGTGCTCAAAGCAAACAAATGTGCAAAAGCAATGGTGTAAATCTTGTTAATGATGCTGATGACGCCGAGCGTGCATAGAATGTATGCTTTGCTTCCACCGCTGCCGCTGAAGCTGCTGATGGTGTTGAAGATATGATACGATGCCACGGGTATGTCTCAAGTATGTTGTACAGATGCGGCAAAAGATAAGAAAAGAAAAATCAAAAGTCCGCAACGAAAAGAAATGGTGGGACCATGAAGGGAAAAAGAAGAAGCAAGTAAACACAAGAAAGAAAAGAAGGAAAAGGGCGTAACATGATCGTGACAATCATGCATGGTCATCATCTATAACCCATATCAACATCTTCAAAGGAAAGTTCACCCACATGATCAGAGCCGGGGGCGTTGGAGCCCCTGTGCGCACCATCATCTTCTTCGCCTTCCTCCATTTCTTCGTCTTCTTCGTCACTAGAGCTGCCAAATCCGCTAAGCAATGATCCACCGCTGATGCTAAACCCGCCGCTTGTTGTACTGCCATGATTGAGCTCCATGCTGTCAAGACCATTACCACCATTCAAACCAGCATTAGCCAGGGCTGAAGAACCCCCGAATCCTGCACTGACAGCGTTCATGACTGCTTGCCGAGAACCAACAGACATGTCAGGTCGGACACCGCCCAGAATGGCATTGTCGCGCTCCCGCGTTTCCGCAAGCGTCTGTTCGACATAAGTGATCCAGTCTTGGTGCATCACTTTGTCGAGCACGGATTGTGATAGCATCTCAGGCGGATGCCTCTCGGTGAACTTGACCACCTCCTCGGCAATGAGGGTCAAATGCCCCATGTATCCCAACCGGATACTGGTCTCGGCCTGAGCCTTGTCGCTCCGCCTTTGGCCTTCGACAATCTTTTCCGTTATCCGACCAGTATCAAAGAGGTCGAATGCAAGGTTTCGATTACGACCTCTGTTCATGGGGCCGTTGAAAACTTGTTGGACAACGTCGTACACGACATTATGGAGAAAGTTGTTCCATGGGAAGCGGAAAAAGAAATCCTGTTATTGGAGATATCAACACAGGCTGCCACACAGAAAATCATCTGATATAGCATCAGGGGGAATAACTTACAATAATTGTCGGCACGACTTTGTGCTGGATGAACATCATCTTCAAATAGTCGCCCACCACTGGCGATCCATCCTCCTCAAGCTCAATATGTAATTCAGTGCTCTCCGGACCGTATCGTGCCTCTTCTCCGCTCATAGAGCCCGATCTGATGCTAGTGTCGCCTTCATGAGATGCAGCCCCAGCATAACCCTCGGCGACACCGTCGCCGCTCTCTTCCGGCGAAGCCTGCAAGTTCTCAGGCAGAGTCGCCCTGTTTGCAAACAACGGTGCAGGCCGGTCATCCGGTGCTCCCCCAATAATTTCTGGGTGTTCTTTTACCGGCGAGTTCGTCTGAACAGGTACAGGTACGGGTTTTGGTGCCGAGCCTGCTTGCTCTTCGTCCGCGGAGCCAGGGGGAGGGCTGGTCATCGTTGCGTCGTGCTGAAGGCCGAGCTCGCCTACCCGGCCAGTAATCCCAGCAGAGGTGGGAGAGAGGGGATCATGATCTGTCGGTTCAGGCGAAACTAGAGACGACAACTCGTCATCGGAGATCTTCAAACTAGCTCGGGGATTCAATCGCGGAGAGGAAAGTGGTTCGTCGACAAAGTCGTTGGCATCATCGTCATCAGTTTCGCGATCGGCAAAAGGATCATCAGAGTCCCGAGAGTCATGACCGGCCTCTGCTTTCTCATTGTCCTTGCTACCGTCCTCGTTGAGCACACCAGAGACGGCAACATCTTCAAAGCCGTCTTCTTCTCCCCCATTCTGGACCTCCAGCTTTCGGATCTCCTCTGGTGATTCAGAGCTACGTCTCGACGGAGACGCACCGTTGGCATAGCTTGCATCATGTTCAAAATCGCCTCCTGGATGATCCTCTCCAAAAAGATCTAACCTGCCGTCAGCCTTTAGCCGCTCCCGCTCAGCGTCTCTTGCCTTCATAAAGGCATCACTTCCACATTCGTTAAGTAACGCCATGTTACTACAGTGAAGGAGCTCGGCCATGAGCTCACAGGTCTTGAACCGATCAAAACCCAGCGGTTCGATCGAGCCGCCAAAAGCCACATTGAGCTGTCTCTTAGCCCCAGGCTTCGCCGGGTCGGCGCTTCCATCAGGGTTCAGGATGAGATTCATGAAATCTGGAACATGCTTGGCGAAAGCCCGCAATAGTGTCCCAAGGTAGATGGGGTCACGGCTCGACGGTATCGCATCCGGGCCCGTGCCAATCTCTGGGTCGTAATCAGAATTGTTCTTGCGAATGACTTCAATCACAATTCCAACGCCAACAGTGAGCGAGTTACCGCCAGACAGCATATCAGAGATCAATTTCGAGATGCACGGCTCCGAAACCAGCTGGCGCGTCAAGTTATTGGGTCCGATGCACGATTGTTCGTTTTGAGAAGCGTTGGCGGAAATGGTAATAACAGCCTTGATGAAGTCGCCTGCAGAGGTTTGCGTGGAGGTGGAATTCCCCGGTGCAAGACAGGACAGCAGAATAGGCACAATATCTTGCGATTGGAGCCACTTGCAAACAAAGAGTCAATACTTTTCCAGAGATGACGCTGTGACGGTTCTTAAAGGTGAGAAACTTACGTTGACAATGCCTTGGCCACCTTCAGCCTTCTCAAGGCTGATGATCTTGAGCAAGAGATCCATGATCATGGGGCAATCGACATGTTTCAGCATGTCCGGGACAACGTTATCCACGGATTTGAAGAACTCCAGCATCTCCTCCGTCTTCTTATCAAGGAGAGTCTCATTGACTTTTGTGAAATAGCCCGCTTGTAGAGGGTCTAGCGGAGCGGGACGCTTCAGATATGTCCAAAAGTCGCGCAGATGGTGTTGATATTCCATCAGCGCCTCGAGAATGGACCATGTCTCAGACGATAAGATCTCACAAGCGACGTAAGCGTACTTGAGCCGTGTCTTTTCCTGCCGATCCCGCTCTTCGTCGGTCATACGTCGACGGGAGACTTTGGCCTTCTCCTCTTTCAGGTGCCATTCTGGGTCTATAACGGGGTCCTGGTCTGTAGAATCATCAATTGCGGAGCCCTCGGTCGCATCTTCGTCGAGCTTTGGCGCGATAACATATTGTAGCAGGCGCCGAAGGATGTCTTCCTCGCGGAGATACTCAATGAGCTTGGAATTGTTCTGCTTGAGTTCCTGAATCAAATCCGACTCGTCCAGGAGCTCTTCTAGAGACACATCCGGTTTATCGAGGATGGTGTCGATGGTTGAAATATTCGCATAACCGCCGAATCGCCAGAACATGGTGGGCTAAATGGTTCGTTGGGGGGGGTTCCCGAGAAATGATGCTTGCCCTGCAGTAGAATAAAGGAAAGAATTGAAAAGAGATCTGCGTTGGGAAAACCAGCACCCAATTCGCACAAGGATGGGTATCAGGGGCTCTAACCGCCGGATGAAGTTGCGGTCAGCCCGTTTGACGGCGACTTGAATCACCGAACAGACGAAGGAAAAGGTGAGAGGAAAAGAGTCCAACCGGGGACGCAGGCCACGATGATCGAAGGCCGACCGGTCAAAGACTAACCAAGCAGGAACTATATTGGAGGAAAAAAGAAGATTTCAGTCAGCCACCTGGCATAAGATGCTTATATTGCGCTCCCTGCTGTATGACGAGGATCCTGGGAAGATTGCCCGTCATCTCTTCACGTGGAGTGACTTTGGGTGATCAGCCAGCGACCACGGCGAGCGATACTGTGACAGCGACAAAGACAAGCAGACAAAAGGGTCGCCGAAGTTGCCCACTCAATCCCAGGAAGCCTTTTGTAAAATGTGCCCAAAATAAAAAAAGAAAATCTGCCAGGGGCTCACCGTCAAGTCCAAGCTGGCCCGTAACCAGGACATGTATGTATTTCTGGGGCCTGAGGGTTCGGTCTGGAAGAGGTCGAATCAATGGGAGAGCAGGGAGGGTTGCCGTGGTAAGGTTCACGGTTGACAGTACTTGGGCCTTAGCCGGGAGCTATGTTTTGCGTGTGCGTAGTAGGAGTGAGTGGGTAGAGATGTGTGTGTGTGTGTGTGTGTGTGTGTGTGTGTGGGCGAGTAAGATTAATATCAGAACCACTTGACCCGCAGGAGTGCAAACCAATACTCCAATTAAGAAAAACCTCTTCTCAGAACCTTCATGCGTCATGAATAAGATCTGGCAGTAGATGATGATTACTCAAACCCCAAAGATTACTGTACCTGGTGCCTCTTCATCTCCTTGTCCGTATCACTGCCTCCTATCAACGCAGAATTGATGCTCTGTGCGTTCGGCTGCAGTGGGGCAAACTGACCTCAAGAGTACTCCGTAGCACTCGTCTCCTTCTAGAAAACCTCCTCCGAAGGCTCCATCATCTCTAACATTATTCTCTAGTCGATTGACAAGAACTTTACCTTCCGAAGCGTACGACACAAAATATTAAACCACCATCATTTCACATGACCCTAGACTTACATAGGCCCATTACCCCCTTTCCCCCCCCAGAGCGGTGTCATGCTTCTCTTCAGCTGCCCTGGGTAGTATGATGATATCGCCCCAGTGGCCCCCTATCTACTCCGTATTGTAAGCAGATCGCGAGCCCACCCTGAACCATGTCTGGTGACGTCTTATAGGTCATAAAAGCCGGTCATCAGCCTTTCTTGCAAAGCCTCCTCGCATAGATTCTCTCCCCAGTGACACTGTATCTAACAAACCACTATCTTTTCTTCACGCAAGGACTAACTAAACTTCTTTAAAAGTCTTGTTCTCTGGCACATATATTTCAGGGTTCGGGATCCACTCGTGCCTTTTTCATTGCCCTTTGAAGGGGGTGGGGGGACTGTCACATCACGTGCCATAAGCGTAATTACTTGGTCCGAGCGTCTTTTCCAGCTGGCTTTTCACACCAGAAATGCAGATCCAAATCTGATAAAATAATGATTCCATTTCGATAAGTCAAGACCTCGCGAGGCCAAATGTGGAGTAAACTGTACCCGTAGGTAGGCAGCTTTCAGTCGTCAGGTCGTTCGTAGTAGTAGGATGCGTAGCTTCGGGGCCAACCTGCCGCCCAGACCCATTGCTTTACCCGCCACCACCCTCACAAACAACAACAGCTCATTCAAATTTCATCCCCACACAGCTCCCTTGAGAGCATACTACGTACCTCTGTCGCAAAGCTCTCCAGTACTTTATTCCCAATAGTAGTCACATCGCATATCCAACAACCTAATCATTTCACAAACCACTACCAATCCTTCCTCCATTCGCAATCTAACAAGCCCCCGCCATGAACCGTCTCTTTGGAGCCAAGAGCACGGCACCCAAGCCGACGCTCAACAGCGCCATAACTAATGTACGTTCTTTCCCTCTCTCTTCCCTCCCCTTCCTCATACATTTTTACCTACCAATCGCACTCACCACCGTATTCTCATGTAACACCGATATATTAACAAACAAACGCTTCTAGGTGGACACCCACGTGGAATCACTCGACGTGAAGCTGGCCAAGCTGAACGCCGAGCTGACGGCCTACCAGCAACGGATGGCGAAGATGCGCGACGGGCCCGGGAAGACGGCGATCAAGCAAAAGGCGCTCAAAGTGCTACAGCGGCGCAAAATGTACGAAGGGCAGCGGGACCAGCTGCAGCAGCAGTCGTGGAACATGGAACAGGCAGGGATGATGCAAGATAATTTGAAAAACGTCATGACGACAGTGGACGCGATGAAGACGACGACCAAGGAGCTGAAGAAGCAATATGGAAAAGTGAATATCGACAAGATTGAAAAGATGCAGGATGAAATGGCGGACCTCATGGATATTGGCAATGATATTCAGGAGAGTATTTCTCGCAGTTACGACATTCCGGATGATGTGGATGAGGCTGAGCTCGATGCCGAGCTGGAAGCGCTGGGTGAAGAGGCAGAATATGAAGGGCTCGGCGCAATCGGGGCGGAAGCGGAGGGGACGCCGAGCTTCATGGTCGATGAGGTCAAGGCGCCGGAGTTTATCGATGAGCCGCCAGAGGCGAATAAGGTCAAGGAGGCTGCTGGGTAGACGTGTGGCACAAACGCGCCGGACATGATGGTCTTGTTGGTGTTTATTTTTCCTCCAATTCAGTACTACTTGCGATAGCTGGCATCTTTTTCTTTGGCAGCAGGACTGGTCAGTCGAATTTTGTTGTTTTTAATCGTTTATGGTTTTTTTTTTCTTATTTGAAGTATAACGTTTGGTATATACATTGATATCCTCAATATTTATTCCCCTTTTGCTCTTTAAAAAGAAAATATATACAATGAAGATGCAATACAATAAGGTGTGAACGCTGATGATGCGCTGATGCAGATAATGCTAGATGCTAAAGGTTTTTAGGGCGACAAGTTAATATGAAATAAGCACATATATAGTTTCTGACATGAACGGCAGGGCGTGAGGAGCGGAATATGCAGAGGAAGCTTGACGAGTTGAGATGCAAAGGAAATCAGGTAACAAAGGGAAAATGGAAAATGGAAAATGGGTATATGCAAGCAAAGAGATGGAAAAGGCGAGCGAAATGGGGAAAGGCTATGCTTTGCCCATGCCAACGAGTACAAGCAATGCAACGTTCATAACGGCAATGACCAGCCAAATGAGAAATGCAATTATAGACGTTACCCAGTTATTTTGCAGGTGGACCGTCTGGGGCTGTGATTGTTCAGATTCATCCGTATACGCCAGCGCAGGCGGGCCAGTCGCAGGAGCGTCACGCGCATTCGAAACTACCGTACTATTACCAGCACCGTCGTCTATGCCAAGGGTCTGGTGTGCTTCATTTGGAGTTTCCACGCTTGATTCGACGGGCTGGCCATGGTCCAATTCGGCCCGTTCGTTGACAGCCACGGTCATGATATGTCCGCGGCACGTGAAGTAGATGAGCGGCGCAGTGACAAAGGGCAGGATGACACTGAGAGCAACCTGGCTGCCGTTCAAGGCAGCGGTGAGTCCTCTCCTGCCCACTGCTGCGGCAATGACAATAGAAGGCAGGATGGATATTGTTCGTGTAATCAGCCGACGAAGCCAGGGTGCAATGGTCCAGTTTATAGCTCCCTCGCTGACCATCTGACCTGCAATAGTACAGACAATGCCTGCCGAAGTACCGGAGAGGAGAAGTGCCAAAGCGAAAACGGTCCCCGCCCCGGGTGACACGTTTCTAGAAAGAATATCATGAATCTCAAAGAGATCTGCCTCATCGGCATTGGGAGTAGATGACAAGGAAGCTCCCGCCACGATCAAAATCGCACTGTTGACAAAAAGTGCAAAGGAGAAGAGCGCCATGACGAGCTCTGCAACCGAGTAAGATAGACAGGACCGAATCGCAGCGAGAGACGGCCGATATTTCCGAAGTTCGCCTTCAGCTTCTGAGGTCGATGGCTGTTGCGCAGGGTCCGGAAAGTTTCCAGCGCGAATGTCAAAGTCACGTAGCCGCGATTGAACCACGCCACTGCCCAAGTATAGACTATGCGGCATCACGGTGGCACCGAGAATACCACAGCTTTGATAGAGCCTGTGCATATAAGCATTAGCAGAGTATCCCTACTGTCCAGCATGACGAGAATTTCGAGGAGGCGCAAGTTAAAAAGTGAGATTTAATACATACCCCTGGGATTCAACAATTGCTTTCGACGGGAGATAGCCCTTGAGCACCTCGCCCACAGTAACGCCCTTGATGAGTGACAATTGTATGCAGAAGCATATCACCACTCCAATGACCAATGCGCAAACGAAAAACTCAAACGCGCGCAAGCGATTCATCGTTCCCTTGGGATTATAAAAGACCAGAATAAGGAGAACGTCGACCAGTGTGAGAGCGCACCCAGCCACCAAAGGGACTTTGATCAAAATGTTCAACGCAATTGCAGATCCGATGACCTAAATTAAAAACAATCAGCCAACCAGTCCGCGTGACAGTCCCCAATCGAATGCTCATGGATCAAAGAGTATAGAACCAACCTCTGCAATATCTGTCGCGATAATGGCCGCCTCGGCAAAAACATAGAGCGTAAGGTTCATCCATTTGGGTAAATGTATTCTGCAGTTTTCGGCCAGATCCATGCCCGTGATTGTTCCCAGCTTGATGCAGAGCGATTGCAAGAAAATGGCAAAGACATTAGACATTAAGATGATGAAGAGAAGACGGAATCTGTACGAAGCACCTGCGGCTGCATCGGTCGAATAGTTTCCCGGGTCGATATATGCCACCCTATTGCAATAGACGGTCAGCAATTCAATCACAATTGAGTCAATTCCGACCTCTGATATTTCCAGTTGCCCCGCATTCTAACGTTGGACTGTCGGATACAGGGAAAAGACATACGACACCAAAAAGCCAGGACCCAGAAACTTTGCAAACTTGGCTACCGATCGCAGTGTGCGTCTGCAAGCCCCTTTGAATCCACCAGGCGCATTATTTTCTTCTTCCTCTTCCGCTCCTCCGTTTCTCCGATGATTGTCTTCCTCTGCGATTGCTGTATTCCCCCGACTATTATTTTCCCCTCCTTGCAATTGTCCGTGCCTACTACTTTGCCCCAGACACCCCTCTCGTCGATTGATTCCATTATTATTATTACCAGCCATATCCACCTCTTGTTCTTGTCCATTACAGTCTCTCGTCGACTGCTCCTGCTCCTGCGTCATAGATTGAGATTTCGTTGGGCGGACGCGAGAGACGACACGGCTCTTCCAGCCGTCCATTGTCGCAAGTATCGCCCGTATCGTCCGGATCGTCCCTCTCTTCTTCTATTATTTGGCGTGACTCCTTCTCTCACGGCCATTCGGACGTTGATACGTTGACACGTTTACAAGCGGTACCGGAGTAGAAAGATGTGTCGTGTGAAGTTTGTCGGGTATAAAGGCCCACCTGGACCCGGACCCTCTCTCTCTCTGTGTGGATTAACAGGTTTAAGGTTAGTTAAGGAGTTAGTTCCAAATCTGCGTGTTTCGACGTTCCTGTGTTCAGGTCCGAGGGGTCCCGGGTCCCCCAGCAGGCGAGAACCACGATTCAGCCGAGCCGAGGTTGCGACGGGTTCGCCGGGCAGATACGGGTAACTAAGGTATCTCTGTACTTTACTACTGTTGTACTCCGTGCACCCCGTATACTCGCACGCTTTGTCCGGAAACATGGCCTGCGAGCCGAGGAGCTCCAGTGGACATGACATGTTACCGCTCGACCGTCCCTTCCGTAGCTACACCCGAGGGCAGCAACGCAGACATTATTCATTCATTTCTTTCCACAATTCAACTACCTAGGTATCCGTGCAATTCTTCTTGAAGCAATCTAGACATTTAAAAGTACCTACATACATTCAATAAATTATACATTCATCACTACTACATACCTACCTGGTAGGTACCTACCTAATAACCACCCTCAAAATACTACCATACTCCAACAACTTCAATACCCACATCCCCCTTCCCCTACTCCCTCTAACCACAAGGGTTCTCAATCCACATCAAACTTACATTGCCCCCCTCCCCCTCTGTTATCCCTAAAATCAAGAAATTGCAATACAATGGCGAGGTTTTAAGCCAATGATAGAATGAACAGTTGTGCTTTACCCATGTAAGATAGTCAAAGTGGGGACACGAAACTTTCTGAATCGCACGAGTACGGAGTACAATTATCAACCCAAAGGACACACAACCATATATCAACAATGGAGTAAGAATATCTTTTCTTGCTAATCCAACTCACTGTAACGCGGCCCCAGCTCCGCTTCTGCTTTAAAGACTGGCCAATCCTCACTTCCTCACTCTCAAAAGCAGGGGGGCGGACAAAAAGTAGCCATCTTAAAAAAAAGCCATGTTTAAATACCACCTTGTAATATGTAACACGTAAAGAAAAGAAAAAGGAGAAAAAGTTCTTTCACAATCCACAATCCACAATCCACAATCTCCCTAATTTGCCAAAGTAGTCTCCCTCCATCATCAGAATAATAATAATAATCATGATAAAATAATGTAAGTCGTAAGGGTCGTAAGAGCTTAAAAAGAGGGGGGATGGAGAAAAACTAAATGTGTGTATCGATCGACTGAAACAACAAACGAGTGTCATAACGAAAACCCCCCGTCATGCGTCATGGCGGGGCGATGGGGAATGGTAGCAAAATAAGAAGGAGGAGGAGAAGAAGAAGAAGAAGAAGTAAATAAGTGCAACATGGCAAACCGAAGCACATGCGCTCGAATAGCAAGAAACCCTCAAAGACGAGGGAGGGGGTAAGATCTCGCAAGGACGACGCGGGATGTGACGCAAAAAGAATGTATCTGTAATCGGCAACTGTATCAAATCATCAATAGTAAAAAAGAACGCCAGTATGCGTGTGTGCAAATTCGAAAAGAATAACGAAAAAGAGCGAGAAACAGTCGGTGGCTCTCCTCAATCGCTCCAGGAGAAATAAGCAAGACCATTGCCAAATTGCCAGATTGCGTGTCAATCAAAACCTTGATTGCCTCGAGGATAAAAAGTTGCAAATAAACACCCTAGTATCGACAAATTGTTAACATCAATAACGAATAAAACAATGAACCAGGCTCTCATCAACAAAAAATCCCAAATACACCATAACACGCCTGCGAAGACGCGCATCTCTACTCCATTTGTGCAAAATGCGAACAGAACAGCCTAAAAGCCTAGCTAGACTTTGCAGTCCAATCTTTTGAAACCCCCTTTTTGTTAGTTGTTCTCTTTTTTTCTCTTTTTTATTTTTTCAAGATTCAAGAATGCATTCTCTTCCGTTTCCTTTTACCATGTCTCCGATTGTAACCATTTTCATACTCTGGACTCGTTTCTTCCGGTACGCTGAACGCCAAAGGCAATGGACTTCGGATTCCATAGCCATAATCAAACCCAGCCGTCGTCGAGACCTCTATCAAGTTTGATATCCAATTTCGGCAGATCCATTTTCGGCGCTTCGAGCTTTGGTAAATCAAGTTTCGGCGGAGCGTCGGCCTTCTTTCTAGGGCTGGACTTGAATTTGCGTTCATCGGCTGGTGGTCCCATTCTCACGTCTTTGACGTCCCAGCCATCTTCCAGAGCGGCGGCAATCCATGTCTTGAGACCATCATGGACCGCTCCGTAAAACTTTTCTTTGCAAGTGCGAAGGCTGCCGCCCATGACTTTTTCAAATCCACTGGACTTCAAGTCTTGGCGGAGCTGGTTGCGTTCGGTGACTGTCGGGAGTGAGGCGATGACTGCATTCATAAGATCAAGGTGATTCGCAAGGTAGTTAGTAGCCTCCCATTCCACTCCGCCAATATAGGGGGCAGCAGGGACTGGAGGGCGCTCTTTGGGGAAGTGCGCCTGCGTGTAGTTGTGGGCTTCCGCTGCATTTGCGCCTTGCGGGACTGGGACAACGTTCAGATGATGTAGGAATATCCAGAACACTTCCTTGGTGACGTTGGTAATCTCCTTGTTCCAGATGCGGTAAGGGCGTGGCTGATACATTGAGTCGATGAAACCAAGAGGTTTGTTTTCCTCTGGCAGGGCCGGGTCACGGAGATATGACAGGACGGTCTTGGCACGGTCTGCTAGCTCTGCCTGCGGGGCATTTTCAAGATAGGAGACTAAATGACACAGTCATGGATTAGTTCCGGCTCGGAGAAACCACAGGATATCACGACTTACAAAGCAGAGTTATGATGATCCCCCGAGTTGCAAATTCGCTTGGGCCTTTTCTTTCTTCGTCAAAGAGCATGCGCAAAAGAGCGGGGAACAGCGACGCCTGCACGCTTGGCAATTCTTCAAGACCCAATTTGGCCGTGCACAGCGCTTTTAGACAGAGGAGTACTTCGTGTAATAATGTATCTTCGTGCTCCTCTCTGCGATCCAATTAGCAATTTTGGTATGAAAGAACCAATCCTCTGCAGACTAACCTCCATTCGATTTTCATGATGCGGTGCAGAAGCTCGATTACCTCCATCATGCCGCCTTGCTGAATAAAGCTGTCCACCCAATTGATTGTTTCGTTGCGAAGAAGCAGGCGGAGCTTGTGCATTTTTCCAACCTCGACCTTCTCCGGGTCCTGTTCCGTACGCAAATAGTCAACAAAATCTTCGGGAAGCGCGAGCGGCTGGGAGTTTGCGACAACGCTCTTTCCACTCGCCGTCCGAATGGAAGAAATGGATTTAGCTGAGCTGGATCGTGTGGTGTCAAAGGACTTGGATCTTCGGTGGGTATTCGGGCCATCGGATTTCTGTTTCTTGGGCGAAACGCTCTCTCCCTTCCCGAGATTAAATGTCTTGCTGAGCGGTCTTGAGCGTTTCGAAGGACTGCTTTGGTCTTCTTCATCCACTACAACTTCAGCCTCATCCATTTGCGATGACGTTCGATCGTTACCCTCGGTATTCCATGGATATTTCGCCGGAGAGTAGCGTGGTGTCCGGGGTGTTTCTGCCTTGTCCTGCTTGACAAAGTCCGCCTTGATTCTGGTGTCAAGGCTCCTGAGCCTTTGTCGCAGGTTTTGTGGAACATTTCTCGACTCCTACCTCGAAATGTAAGCGTCTAAACAGTTGTACATAGCACAGTGCTCCAACTTACCAACACTGCTTCAAATTCCGCGTCAAGGTTTTGCGGTTTTTCAACTGCTTTTTCGCCCATTGCTTCTTTTGCTATGCCGTCAAACGCAGCTACAGCAGCCATAACTCTTGAGCCTCGTTTTGAAATGTGGAGGCTTTCTCTAGGGCTGTCAGCACTGTACTGACGGGTGGGAATGACAGGACGAGCACTGCTTTGCGATGGCCGCTCGGGAATAAAATATTCTCCCATGTCTTGCATTGCTGCTTGCCGCGCACACTGCGCCGTGGGCGTGAAAAAGGGATCGGCATCGGCGAAGGTTATCCCAAGTCCTTCTGCATTTGCCATCGCCGGAGGTGGGAAAATGAACGCGGACTGGGGACGAGGTTTCGATCGCGATCTTATCCTTCCCCTTGCTGTAGGGCCATTTTCAGAATTCTCGAGTGATTTTTTGATTGGGGAATAGCCATCTGAAACCAATTGCACGCTATCCGTGGAGTCTCGCCCGTCTCGCAAAGGGATAGTAGTCGTATGAGAAATCTCTTGGTACGGTTGAGAAGAATATTCTGCCCAGATCGGTGTAACCGCCTCTCGAGCCATGGTGGTTGGAGCCTGGTTTTCCTTGCCTTTTCCTTCCTTGTTGCGTATATTTGGCTTTGATGCTTTTGGACGAAGGAGCGCGACTAGGGACGTCTGGGATTTGGATTTCTTGACTTCTCGTTGACTTTCCTTGGCCTCACGTGTCTTTTGTTTTGATTCTTTATCCTTCTCCTTTGCCAGTGATTTGAGCGAGATTGTACTGAGCGCCCGTTTATGTAGTCCGCGCTTGGTTGGACTTTTTTCTTTACCGTCGCGAGACTTTTTAGGAGACGTCTGAGGTCGTTCTTGGTTTTGAGTCATTTCTCCGAGCACGCCGCGGTCAACATGCTGGATGGAAAGTCTTTCGTATTCATTTGTTCCGTTGATGTCGACATCGTCACTTCTGCGGGAGCGCGAGAGCACCGCTCCAGCTGAAGGGCTTCGCTTATGGCCTCGCGGCGTCATGATGGAGCGAATAACGGACGAGGTATTCCGTCTATGCCTGCGCGACGGCGTGCCCGTTTCCGATGTTTCTGTTATAGCCATTTTGTTCGCGACTTTGAAACAAAATCCCTCGGAAAAGGTTCAGGTATGCAATTTCGTATGAATCCCCTTTACGGGATCGAGTTTTGGAAATGTCGTCCAAGCGTTGACGTGAAATTCGCTGCAGAGAGACGCGCGACGTCACTCCTCGACAAAGAGTGTGGAAACGAATGTCGAGAGGAACTAAGACCTCTTATTTCGATGGATTAAAATGCATTGTGGTGGCCGGTCAATAATGACGGAAAGACAGCAAGCAGGCGCCTGGATGGAAACGGATAATTCATGCATGGTCCTCGAGGGGGGTGGGTGTCAGGGTGTGAACAACAATCGGGGTCGCCTGGGGCAACAATCGATTGCGGGAGGTTCAAGTTGCGTGGGGAGTCTTACGCCAACAGCGGGAGCGAGCGAGTGGGAGGAGCCATTCTAGCCTACGTTGCCTACCCCTGACGCCAACGGGAAAGACCTGCCGAGTTTCTCCTCACAACAAATAATCCTTTTCAATCACCATCATCGTTTTCCGTCAGAGTAACAGTCATAACGGTCCCTGCCGCGTGGCTTCCAGCCTCCTGCCTATCTGATCAACTGACACGTTTTTGGTCCCACCGTGGACTGCGCCTCCATGCGACCATGTTACTCTCGCCGCAATGCTTCGTTGGCACCAGTTGCCCGTTGTGATATGTTCTATTCACCTTCTCAACTTTGCCTTGTCAATTTTGCCCCGCCTTCCTGCAGCTCCGAGGAACAACAGCTGCCTTGAATTTGGAAATGCTTTGCACAGATGCGGGGTAAGTTTTACTTGAGAGCATTGCTATAAAATGCGTCTCTCCTGACGCTCTTTTACCTTTGTAATTACACACATTTGAGCGCTATTCATTTGTTCAAGACAAAGCATGTTGGCAAGGATGAAAGGAATGCTAAATCCGTTAGCCATATGGAAGGAGACATATATTAATCATGTAAAAGTTATTTATACAAATAGAAAGACCCCCAATATTTCTGGGATAAAGTAGTATTCTGTGAATGTGGTATCAACATGAATCTGGACTAGGAAAAAAAGAGAAATTCCCATTTCACCATGCTGTACAGCAGAGCACGGTAAAGATGAATAAAGGAAAAGGATAAAGATTACTGTCAACAAGTCTGACCTCAAAAGTCATCTATGCAAGTTCCTACGCCTCTCTCATTGGCAATGTTGACGAGATCAGCGCCAACGACCAGGTCCATCAATCCCATTCCAACGCTCTTGTAGATGACGTTGCCGTTGACGAGCCAGTTGAGCAAGCCACCATCGCTTGAACTTCGACCGTGATGCTTGTCCTTGGATGAAGAAGACGGCGGATCATGTGGAGTAGGCTGAGTATCACGTTCAAGTTCCCTCATAGTCATTCGTTTGAGCATCACCAGTTCACCGACTTCAACGAGCTGTTCTGGACCAAGCTCTGCCTGGATGACCTCGCCAGCATCTCGGAGACATGCGTCCAAACTATCAACGACAATGACGCCTCCTTGCGAAGCATGCTTATGGTGGTGGCGCGAGTGCGGCGGAGCAGTAGCTTGGCGAAGAATGTCAGGGTGCAATTCGCACATGTTAGGCTTGTAGCTTCCAATTGCACTGATGTATCGGCCCTTCTTGCGCCCTTCGGAGCTGGTAAGGTACTCTGGTGGAAATAACGGGTTGGTGGACGGCGTGCAGCAGAAAATAACATCGGCCTTGCGGACTTCTTCTTTGAGAAGGCGACCATACTCGCCGTATTCGGCCGAGAGGAGACTGAACTTTGTTCCTGATCGCCAGTCATGCTGGTCTGTTGAATAGAACTCGGTGAGGAGCGGTTGCGCGTGTTCGAATGACCGGGTGATGATGTTGACCCGCTTGATTTCACTCCCACGCAAAAGGAGAGACAGCCGAATATGCCAATATGCCTGGCGACCAGCGCCAAAAACTGTTAGGGTCTCAACGTGCCTCCTTCTGGTAAAAAGCATGGTAGCTGCCAATGCGGTGCGAAACGCTGTCAATTCTTCCGCATTAATGATACCGACTGGTGCACCGGTGTTATCAAGAAGCGTGACGGAGCCTCGAGGCGAGGTTGCGCCCGTTCCAAAGGGAAGTTTGGAAGAGGTTGATGCTTTTCCCCGGCCACTAGCAGACTCTCCACTAGAAGCTTTGCGGATTGAGGACCCTGGAGAAGAGGAGCTGGTTCGCTTCGTGCTCGTAGTAGACACGGTGCTGCGAGAGTCAGAGGAAAAGGAGGCGGATGGCGACGAGTTCAGAGCAAAAGACACGGATGGAGACGATGACGACATAGAAGGAGATGACGAAGAATTGCTCTCGGAGGGGCGAAGGGGAAGAGAAGTAGACGGCGCTGCTTCGACGGCATCGGCATCGGCATGGCGATTACATTCGGCGAGTGTTACGATCTTCATGCCAGTAATATGCGAGGTAGTTGCAGGCATGAACAACGTTGTTGTGCCAGGCTTTAGACTGATCGAGGTTCGTGGGGGCTGATGCATCGCGCAGCAGCCATCTTCCTGGGTAGCTGTTGAATATGCATGTAATGCTTCCGCGAGGGAATGTTGCATCTGAGTAATATCATCGCGAGAGAGCGACCTCAGCAGCAAATTAACATCGGGACCGGAGAGTACGGTGAGGGGCATTTTGAAAGGATTAAATATTTGTCAAAAGAAAATATTATGTTTGAAGATATTCGGCTTGAGATATGATGATAGAAGTTCAGAAATGGTGGCGGCATTCAGGCTCCTGCTCTGAGGGAAGAATGTCGGATCATAAGCCAAGAAGCCAAGACGCGGCGTCGTCGGCCCAGACTCGCTTCAAATGTACGATACCGCCTTTGTGGTCCCTCTTTCAGACCTTGAGCTTCTTTCCTTATCTGGTTGAGCTGGGGTTCTTGTAGTTTCTTTGAAAACTTATATTATGCTGTATTCCTTCCTCGTAATGACTGACGGTGCAGTTCTTTCGATATGAACAATATCAATTGTTTAATCGGTAGACTTATAGCTGCAGAGGCTCGCCAAAACAAGTCTAAGTTATACTCCACTCATTTGATTAACGAGCCAACAGAGCAGCCATTTGAACCCGGTGAATACTTGCTATATAATATAACTTTCATTGTCCTCTCAGATAGCTTCGGAAAAAATCTCAAGTGTATAATTCGTGGGAAATCCCTTAATATATGTAACTGAAGGACCACATTTGAAAACAGTAAGCAGTATTTCGTCATCCCATCGCCTTTTGGCTGGCTTACTTTATTTGATCAGCACTAGCCCCGGATCAGAGGGACCAGTTCCGGGGCTAATCGCAGTTTATGTCCGATAAAACTCATACTCCGTAGCGTTTGGATTCTTTCGAGCGAGTGGACGTTATGCAAGTATGACAGACAAATGCCCTTTTTCCCCTCACAGTTATCAATAATCAACATTACTCATAATCGAACAAGGAAGTCCCAACGATCACTTGAAAAAATTGTGAGGATCTGAGCTCATTATATCACAGGTCGTGACATATGCAAGGAAATTCAAACTATATGTTTTCCAAGGCCTAAAAATAAATTTCAGACAACCTGACTTCGTTAATACATTCCTTTAGTAACTGAGTCCTATATCAGTGTCATTGATTCTATGTAATTTAATTTTTAATATACAGCCTGTTCTTGGCGAATTTTTCTCATTTTTTAAAACATTATTCACAACAGTACGAAGTAGACTGGAATGGTAGGGTGGTGCCTTGATGGAATAGTTAGGTAATTACATGTAAGAGTTGACTAAATGCTCCCTTTTAAAAGATGAAATCTAGTGCCCAAATTATGTCAAGCATGAATATAAAGGACAAGAAAAGTTGAAAAAGACATCTCGCGGACTGCGTAAATAGATTACTGTCGGAGGAAAAAGTGCTACACAATGGGCTATATGGTCAAACAGATAGCGATTACCACTTCGTAGAAAAAAGCCAAACCATGGAGCTTGCGGAGACTATAACCAGGACCCATCCTTGTGTGAGAACCTCACAAGACGGTACTATCGTTGTGACCAGGGGGGACTTTTTTGGGAAGCCAAGGTTTTACATCGCAAAGTTCACTCACGGGCATCACAATGCATCACGAATTTACGTGCCATATAATTGCTTATCAAGAATCGGCGTCACAGTTGGCTTCTGACTTGGTCATGTAAGAAAGTGCCTTTTAGAGTACATCCCAAATTTTTCCCGCTCGATTAAAACGGCATCCCAATGAAAGAAGCAACAACGCCGATTAGCCCGCCCATGGTATTAGAGACAAGCTTAGATCTTGATAGCAGACTCGAGAGCCTTTCTCTTCTTCTCCTGCTTCATGTTCGCCTTAGCGCCCATGATGCCACCACCCCAGTGGCGCTTGCTCTCCTCGTACTTGGCAGAGTAGCCCTCCTTGATGGCAGACACGAGCTTGGAGAGCTCAGCCTTGTCCTCAGAGCGGACCTCGGTGAGAGCGAGGACGGCAGCAGTCTATGAAATGTTAGAATTTGATTGAAATGTCATATTTACAGCGAGACGACATACCTTCTTGTGGACGACAGTGCCGAGTCTGGCCTTGCCCTTGACAATGGCGTAGGGGATACCCATCTTGCGGCAGAGGGCGGGAAGGAAGATAACGAGCTCGATGGGGTCGACGTCGTTGGGGATCAGAACCAGACTGGCCTTCTTGTTCTCAATGAGGCCAACAACGTGGTTCAGACCGTACTTGACGGCGTAGGGCTTCTTGGAGACATCCTCCTTCTTCTTGCCCTCGGAGACAGCGGTGGCCTCCTTGTGGAGACGCTCCTTCTTCTCGACCTTGGTCTCAGGACGGTACTTGGCGAGGAGCTTGAACGCCTGAGCAGCGGTGTTGCGGTCAAGGACGTTCGAGAACTGAGCGATCGCAGGTGGGACCTTCAGACGAAGGTTGAGGATCTTCTTCTGGCGCTGAAGACGGACATACTCGGGCCACTTGACCATGCGCGAGAGGTTGCGCTTGGGCTGGATGTCCTGGCCGATACCGAAGTTGCGCGAACGCTTCTCAATGAGAGGGTTCTGACGGAAGCATGTTAGGGATGGTCTTTCATATTGGAAAAAAACTTTCACTTCTAACATACCTTGGCCTGCTTCTTTGATGCTCCGGCCTTGCCCTGAGGGAAGGGCGCGGGGGCGGTCTTCTTTCCGGATTTGGGAGGCTGTCATTGAGAAAAGAAAACATCAGCGAAATGTTCACTAATAGTCTTCTTTTAACTCTAAAGAGAAGTGCAACGTTGAGCATTTCTGCTACAACGCGCAACAACTCAAGCCAAAGTCATCGCCAATGTAATCCACCAAGCATTTTCAGCGAGGAGGACTACTCGACGGTAGATAATGATGCGCGCCTCAGACGGTCTGCATCGGTATCGGTGGTGCTCTCAAGGACGCAGCTTTTGATGTCTCGATTCCGAGAAATCGTTGAGGGCGGCGCCACAATGGCTTTTTTCGAGTCTCAATCAGAAGAGAGAGATATCATATCGGTAATCTTACCATCTCGACAGGTTGTTGGGTTGTCGGAGCAATTGGCGATTGTCGACAATGAACGGGCTGAAGGGAAAAAAGGAAATCGCGAATATCGAGATATTCGTGCTCGCGAAATGTGTCCGGATTACCTAAGCGAGCCGTTTGTGTGTGCAAAAGGGCCTAGCCCTAGCCCTTCAAACGTCAGGCGCTGCTGTAGTCTGGATTGGGACGCCACATACGGCCTACTTGGAACACCAACAACGCACTTCGGAAAGGGTTTCAAGGTAGGTATCGATAGGAAATTGTATTGTTATATGCTACCTGCGCTCTATGCAAAAAGAAACTCCAAAAATTTAGGGTATTGATCATAATATAGAATCGTGAAACCTTTGATCTTATGCTCCTGCCAATGCGATGCCCTCCATTTGTCTCCGTAATGTAGAGCTGCCCTCTTCATCTTCCAATCCAATCTCGACCTGCATTTTCGGCCTATTCTTGTTGAGACCCTCAAGAAGAGTACAAGCTTTGCAAATGTCCTGGCTAGAAAGGTACCCACAGCGAGTACATTTTCGCATCGTCTGTTGGGGCAACTTCCTGGGCATACGTGCAGGACGAGCTTGTTGTGCATTCGAAGGCTGCTTTGACTGGCCATTGGACACAGTGCTTGATTTTGGCAGTGTAATTTCTGTTTCCCGTCCCTCAGCAGCCTCATTCTCAACTAGTCGCTTCTCCATGTGCGCCATTTCTCCTCCGCTTCCTCTGCCGTTGGCGCTTCCACAGCCTCCTGCTCCTTCTTCTGCTCCGTCGGCCGAGCTGACGGCCCCAGCTGATGCACAACTAGTTCCAGTAACCTCAGGTGGAACCAATTTTGCCATATCTTCTCCACTCTTTACAACGTCTAATATTGAGCTTGGTCGAATTCTCTCGAGGTTCTTGATCAATGTCCTTGCACTTCCGCGGAATGCTTCCGGTGAATAAATGCATTCAGTAGAAAAGTAGTCGAGCTTCTTGTGATGTGCATATAGAACGATCTCTTTTTCATAGGCGTATTTCAGCGGTTTACTGCGCTTGATATCGGACGCCGCTGATGATGTGACGATACTTGTTGTTCGAGAAAGTCGGGGTAGGTCGCCTCGTAGTACTGTTTGTTGTTTAGGCGCTGCCAAACATTTTCTAGGAAAGCCAACAAAGCACTTACAGTTCATTAATACTGTTTCAGCAACGTCGTCTGCATTGTGCCCTGTAACCACATGCGTGATCCCTAACCTGGCCGCGCCACGATCTAGGGCCTGCCTCCTGAAAACACCGCAGTAGGTGCAGTTTCCTTTTTTCCCTATTTGCTCAACGACTTGGTCCATAGTCCAACCATAGAGCTCACCGTAGCCGACAATTTCCAGTTTCATGTCATATTGGACTGCGTTGCGCTTGACTGTTTCCAGAGAGTCGTCTCTGTAGCCTTTGATACCCTCGTCAATAGACAAGAGCACAAGTTCGAGGCCATAGTCGTGGCGCTCATTGAGGGTTTTTAAAACGGAAGCAAGAACAGTGGAGTCTTTGCCACCTGAAGCGCCAATTGCGATGCGCTCTCCGCGTTGAAAGAGTGCATTGGAGATGATGGTCTCATGTATCTCTGTCTCGAAGACGGTCAAAAAGCACGCTTTGCAGAGTTTCTCTTGATTCTTTGGGCGGATTATAAGCGCGCGAGAAGTATGGCATCTCGCACACGGTGTAGGCGGCATCTTTTAAAACAAAGTCTCTAATACAGCCTCAATCAAAGACAGCGCGACACGAAAAGTTGGCAGGTAGATGCGATACTCCCAACTCAATCGAAATTGCGGGAGGCAAATGGCAGAAAGTGACTCTCGCGCTAGTGTTATCGATAAAAATTACCCGGCTATATTTGTCCACAGAGATCCCACCTCGGCTAACCTTTCCACAACGAAGAGCCGCTTCGGCCCACGGTATAGCCAAGTTAACACAAGTCAAGCGGTTTTACCATCCACAAGTACCTAACAGGAGATACTGGTCGTTAGGAATATTCATTTTACATACATTTATTCTGCTCATACGCACAGTCAGTGGCTCCAAACGAGTCCAATATGAAAATTATTCGCCGAATATATGCATGAACTCAGAGCTTCGACATCCACTCCAATATTATACAACGAAGACCGTCTATTGCTCGAGGCCTTCTCGTAAACAAATAAAGATGTCCAATGAATAAACGCTTCGCATGAGGCAACAATGTAGTCGGTCAAAGAGTAACCAATTTCTAACAAGCTTCAATGGCGGCAGCCACCTTTTACGCAAAATAGCTCTTCCAGAGCACCCCTTCAAGGTCCTCGAGTTGTTCGGGGGAGAAGACCTGCAAACCGTTAGCACTGGGCACTGCGAAAAGCTGCTCCACCCAGAATACTCACCTTGACATCGACGTGCCAAGTGTCTTGTCTCGTTTTCTTGAAGTCGCTGAGTATAGACTTGACACTCTTTCCGACGGTCCCTGCATCTGCCGCGGCTTTGACAGCAATAGTTGCAAGTACCTCGGGTAGCCACGCAGGAGGGGGTGACATGTACGGGAAAGCCTGCACTAAAGCTCCCAAGCCCAAGACTGCCGCGTGACGGAAAAGCACAGCTTTGGTCTGCTCCGGAGTAGGAGTGCCGACACCGCTACGCTTGGGCGGCCGCGAGGACTGCAACATATTGGTAAACTTCTTTTTGAGTTGGTGGACAATCCTAGTCCGCAGATACACAGGGGAGCACCGGATCATGCCCGACAAAGTGGTGGAAGCACCCAAGCGAACTTCGAGCTGCGGATCCTCGAGCATCGCAGACACGCAATCAAACAGGGCTTGTTGATCTGCAGGAGAAATCAAGAAGAGACGGCGGAAATAGACAACTTGCATATTTATCAGAACACGCAATCGCTGATGCCACAGAGGCGAAGTTGTGCCAATCCGGATCAACTCCTTAACGAAATCTGTATCTTCTCCCGAGCGATGAGGAATGTTTGGTAAGTGTCGAAACACATGGTAGGCTAGGGATTGCAGTTCTGGGTCCTCCTTGATGTCCATCATGTGTAACAGCTGTTCAGTAAAGAGCGTTGGGAAGAACTGCAGCAGTTGGGTACACTCATGAGACGAAAGAGTTGCGTCAAGCCACAAGAGCACGGTTTTGCTGCCGGACGTATATGATGAGGGTGTCTGCTGCCCTGCTGGTCTCTCCTTTCTCCATTTTTCCAATCTCCCGAAGACTGCTTCCATTGTGTCCGTGAAATCCTTCGACGGCTGATATGGTCTACTACCAATAGAAGAGACGGCCTTTTCGTGCTGCATCAGCTCCTCGATAGTTCTATGTGACTCATGGTAGCGTGTCCTGTAGATACTAGCCAAGGTTTGACCCATGGCTTCTCGCACCCCTTTATACGGATGGTCTAGGTGGGCTAAGAAATCCTCGAGAATTGGTTTTTCGAGCTGGAAATGCCACCCAGCATCAATGATGCATTGTTGAAGTAACTGGATCTTCGAGCTCTCCTTGAATGCTGCGTTGGAGTTCATATCCAGTCTAAAACTGGAGAGCCAGTCGACGATCGGCCAGGCTCGTCTGGGATCTCTGCCCTGTAGAAGCAAATGCAGAAATGTCGTCCAATATGAGGCGTTCTCCGGGGTGATGCCGTCTGTAAAGATCTTTCTCACAATAGGGAATGCATATTCCCAAACCTTTGTCCTCGTTTCAAGAGGGTGATCAGTGACAGAGGTGAGAAGTGCGCCAAGAATCTCAGCCGTTGCGCGATGCTGATGCTTATCAGATCCATCATCAAAAACTTCTTTGACCTCTTCTTGAATGTCCTCAAAGCTTGCAGCGGTGAGGTTATCGATTAACAAACCGAATGCGTAAAGAAGCATCATTGCGCTTGCCATGCGGAAACGATCAGCACCAGAGTCTCGAGGTTCTTGCTTTAGATAGTTGAAGAATGTCTTGAACCAGTCACGGGTAAGAATCTTTCCCATTTGCGTCCGCACCTTCATTTCTACTTGATCGTACTCCACCAGCTTCTTCGGGCTGGCTCTGTATGCGGGCATAGATTTGTCCCAGACCAACCAACCAGGATAGTCATGGTCCACATAGAATTGTGCGTTGGGTTGAGCAAATCCTGCTAGGTATTCCTTGGTCCAATTAAGATCGTCGCGCCGAGTAGGAATCTCCACTTTGGAAGGTATCTCGTGCTCCTCAAGCAAATACTTCTCGTAGCTATGATTGCACAAAGCCCGCATTTCCACCAAGGAAAATAACTACGACATTGGTCAGCACCTGCCTAGGGTATGAATTGATTGAGAGAACATACAGCAACAAGTGCTCCAGAATAGAGACCGCGAAGTCCTGGATGTGAGTCTATCGTTCCTCGGGTTACTAGATCCACCATATCTTCTGAAGCGATGGTATCAAATCGGAGACCTAAGTTAATAATAATTGCTGCAGTCCGACTGGCTTTCTTCCAATGCGACTCTCTGGCGAGCTTAGTGAGTTCACCGGCAAGCTCAGCTTTCTTAGCCTCCACTCTGCCTCGTCGAGTCTCCACAAACTTTTTCTTCTTCGCAATTTTGGGCGCAAGGCTTTCGTAGGAAGGTGGCGCTATGGCCTTCACAATAGCCTCGTCAAGAATGACCATACGCTCACTTGGCCTTCCGAACTCCATGACCTGGTAGGTTGCACCAGCCGAGAGCTTTTGAATAGATGGTTTGTCTACGGAGCTGATAGCTATAAAGGACCTGATAAGAGATGGTGTGAATCTCCAGTCCCTGCTCACAGTTCTTGCAAGACTTCCAAAAAGGAGAGAATAGATGGCCCCCTTAATACGGGGGAAGTCATTCTTCTCGACTGCCTCCTCCAAAGCACTTAGCAGGGGCGGAATGACCAAAGGACGGGCCCCAATTAGCACTTTGACGGCCGACTCCCCTGCACTTTGGGCGTTTCTTCTGATATCCGTGTAGAGTGATACGCTTGATTCCGCAAGGTCAAGTAACAATACTTTATCGAGCTCCGACTTTGGTCTGGGAGAAGCATTGTGCCGTAGACGCTGCAGATGATACACATTTGCTCTTCTTAAGAGTAGCGGCCTTGGGTATTCCTTGCGAAGGCCACTAACCTTGTATGGATGTATATCTGCGGCAAGAAGTCTAGTCACTCGATCGAGTACGTGAGCGGACCGCTCGATGCCAACATCGATAAACCAGGAGCGATAGGCAGTATATAACGCAGTGAAGCATGAAACATCGTCTTCTTGTTTCTCACAGAGGAATCTATGGACGCTGTGGAGAAGGCGACCGGTTCTCTCCCGCAAGTCGTGAATAACAGAGTGTAGAGGGTCGTCGTCATGTAGAGGATATCCAGCGGGATACTGGAAGGTGGGTTTGACAACCTCATCGTCATCACCCAAGACCACTTCCTCCTCGTCCAAATCCTGATTATCGTCCTCGGCGGTGGCGAGTGCGTCTGCGCCACCATTTACAAGAGGGCTTTCCTCTTTGCCGTATCTGGACGCTGCTTTGTGATCAAAAAGCATGGAAATACCAGAAAGAATTAATCGAAGCAGAACTAAATTCCTCGACACTTCGTCGGACCACTCTTTACCAGTCCCATCCCGCTTGATTGGAGAGTCGTCGCTAGTCAAAGAACTTAGATGGTAAAGAGCACTCTCCGCTTGTGATTGGAATAGCTCTACGGCAAATTCTAGTTCCTCCCTATTTGGTACATGCCAGCTTATGGTCAGTTCGTCTGGTTTCGGACTTTGACCCCAATCGTCGATGCACAATCCTCTGGACAATACATCCGGCTCATAAAGCGAGTAGTCCAGGGTATAGGTGACAGTCAAATTGAGAAGTAAATGATGGATGTAGTTCGACACATGTACCGTAGGGATGCCCTTGCACTTGCTTTGCATGTACAAAGCAATGTCGAAAAGCTGTTTCTTGTGGTCGAGCACGGCATCTCCAACATGCACAACGCACATGCTCAACATGCTAACATGCCATACGAGTCCTCGATCTCTAGGGAGCACATCTGAGCCAGTGTTTCTCGTAGATGCGGCTCCATTTTCATCAATTTCAGAACGTATTGCCTGCACTAGCACAGGAACCAGACGCTTTAGCGCCTTTTTCGGGTTGACCTTGCACAGCGCATTGCAAATAAACGCCATGGCATCGCGCGCCTGATGAATAACGTGGTTGGCAACAAAATCGGCAATCTTGCCCAAGGCGAGGTCGTACAACTCTGGAGACAAAGACGCAAGCAGTGGCGTAAACGTTGCCGGTAAAGTGTTTACGACGTTCTCCTCCGGTGATCCACTTCGAACGCGCGAGGCATCTGGGAGATTTTCTAACAGGGTGAAAACCCTTCCAAGGAACGATATTAAAAATTCTCCGAAGCCGGCCGTCGAAGACCGCAGAATCATAGCTTCATCTTCGTCACTCAACGCATTCTCATAGTCCATTTGAACATTAACCCCTTCTATCTCCATCCTTTCGACCTCTGACGTGATCCACTGGACAGCTAGGGCACTCCCATTAATCTCATCGTCGTCTTTGGTCATGTCACAGAAAGGAATGTTGTAACAGACAGACTGAACAAATGAAAGAGTGTGCAAAGTCTTCTCTAAATCATTTGCATCGATACCGGGGAGTGCCAATCCAAGCAAGGTCGTTATATGACATCGGAATCCTTTTGTACGAACCATGATTTTGGACAAGATCTGAAGAGATCGGAGCGAGGATGTCGTCCGATGCACTTCGACCAGTCCCTGAATGGAAGGGTAAATGCGTTGCAAGGCACCCGGAAGGATCAGATTTGGCTCGAGAAATGCCAAACTTTGCAGTGTTGAGAGTGAAAAGTTCATCGCAGTGCCGCTCTTTGCATATATTCCCATAAAGATAACATCTCTCAGGCAAAGCACGAATCTCCTCTTGAGAGGCTCATTGAGCCGTCTCTCTTCCGGGAGTTCCGTTTCACCCGAAGTCTCGCGATTCCAACGCATGACGAAAAAGTCGGCGAGGTAATAAACCAGTTGGGCGAGGGTCTTTGTCCACACGCCAGAATTTGATGGATGGAAAAATGTCTCTACTGCTTCGATGAGACCCTCAAGACATGAAAGTACTGAGTGCTCCTGCTCTAAGCACTTTGGCGATAACGACATGACGATCCACCGGGCAATATGGTGTGCAATTGGATGCTTCCGTTGATCCCTGTCTAACATCAAAGCCAGCCCTGCGGAGAGATCGACCACTGCGCTGTAAGGTGACGTTGACTGTCCAACCGGGATTTCTAACAATCTCAAAATAGCTGTAAAAATAAGAGTCGATTGCTCTTTGGTAAATATGCCATATTCCGAAAATGGGATATGTTTAGCGGGTAGAGAATCTCGCGCCAGCCGAGATAGAATATCGAGAAAATTAATGTCGAAGGTTCTTGAACGGTTTACCAGCGACCAAAGATGGAAGAATGTTGGCAGATAATTCTGCGGCTGCAACTTTTCGTCCTCCGCAGGAGCAGGCGTCGTGGGCATCAATAAATTGAGCAGTCCAACCACAACGTATCCTCCTTCCGGGAACGAGGTCGTAAAGTATGGCAAGAATTCTTCGAGCATTGCAGGGATCTCGCGAGGGTCGAAGTAGAGTTGAGAGAATGCACAGAGTTTGGTTAGAGTCCGAATGCTTCGCTTGATTGTTGTTGTGTGAACCATGCCGGACTGAGAAGGGAGCACAAATACTTTAAGCTCCTTATACAATGGTCGCCAGTCCAATTTCAGGTCAACGCCGGGTCTCAGGTAGTGCTTTCTCCTGTTCTTGTGTCAGAGAATGATAATGGGAGGGAAGGCCGATCAAAACCCACTTCGTCAAGATCATAAACATGCTGGCAAACCTCTCTACAACATTCGGATCGATACCAGGAGCCAGGGCAAGCTCATAGTAGAGCCTGACGAGCTTGATACGAGTGGAACGCCGAGGATCAAACTTCAATCCAAGCCAACTCCGAAGCTCCCTTGTCCAATGCACAGCTCCAGGGGAGAAGTCCCCTGCTTCAACAGCCATGAAAAGTTGTTTGATGATTTCATCAAGGGTTGCTTCTCGTTCCGCATCGTCCTCGACTGCGTAAGGTAGATATCGAAAATAAGGGAAGGTACGAGGTCGGCTTCGCGCCACTTTGTCAGGTTCGTAGCCATTTGCGCCATTTCCTTCCCTCCAGCCAGCTCCAGGAGATGTCGCACGAGAGATGTCGTTTGTCATAGCTGCGCTATGCGCAGAGATTAAATCAGCAACCCTGCCGGCCTCCATGGTGACGAAGGTTCACACCAAAACCCCGTCAGCCGGGAGCGCGTGAGGAGTATCTGTCAACGCTTGTGCGTTAGCCAAGAGATATCTGCGACGTTGCTTCAACCCAGGTGCACAGAGAAATGTTAGAAGATATGATGAGCGGATTCAGCTTCTTCGTGCCGTTCCTGATTGTTCAAAAGCTAGGAGCTGCTGTGCAGACAAAACTGCCGGCGGTAATCATAGCTTCTTGTGTAACCCAGTGAGAAAGCACCCACCTCGCTTTTACACGCTCTATCCTTCAAAGGACGTTGACTAGGAGAGCGCGATAGAATCGATCCAAGTCATATGAAAGAAGCTCCTAGCTTCTCAAGAAACGAATCTGGAAGGGAAATTTTCAGTGTGCATAAAGCTTGCAATTATGACGGAGATCAGTCTTGTGCGCGGAGGTTCCTCGTTGCTTTGTCGGCTTAACCAGGCTGCAAGCGACCTCGCGTTCACCCCATGCGACTGGGTTGGAGCTTGGGCCTTCCCCCGCTGAACCTCATGCATCATAGGGTCTTTGATTACGTGACCCGGTCGAGTACCGATCGCTGTCTCACCCCAGGAATTAGATCAATAATTGGTCTCAATTCAACTGATCAGCGAAGCCTACCTAGCTACAATAGATTGTAGCAAAGTAAAGATTTTATTTGAGATATGGTTTGACTTCTGCATTCTTTTGCGCTTTTTCGGTCAGCTCTCTTTCAGGAAGCTGCCTATCTTATCCGAATTTAAGATTATATCAAGTTGTAAAATAAAAAAGTCCTGGTAAAAGATAACGTTGAAAAGGATATTGAAAAAATAAAATTAAATAAACAATTTTTAAAAAAAAAAAATAAACCGCTATAGTGGGAAACCGCCTTTGCCTGAAAGCTGAAGAATAACCACTAATATTTGAAAAGGTCATTGCGATTCATAACACTCTACTTTGAATTTCCTAAGAATTGCTATTACACTCCTCCAGCTATTTGTATTAAGTGCTTCAAGCGCTATGACTGCGTGTTTAATTTGCATTCGATATCTCTCAACGCCTTCGTGAGCTATTTGCGAGCACCAAATGTTGTATAAAATAGAGCGAAACAAAAAATGTGAACAATTGCGCCGAATATGCAAAAAGTCCGTCTATGTCGATAATCCAACAAGCATCGACGGCTGCTAGAAATTACCAAAGCCAACGCGTCCTGGCGGACTCCTGCAGAAGATGTACCTTATGTCTACTAGCAATTTTGAGGTGTAGAAAAATCAAATAAAATAAATAAAAGGCCTGACATTGCAAAAATTTGTCGACGTAGAACAGCCAGTTCATCCTTGTGTCATTGACACGTCTATGCTGGTGGAAGAAAGCTTGCGAAGAGGCCGCCTTGAATGATAGCATATACCACCATCCATCGAACAATAGACTCGGTAGGCACGAGCTTATCTCCACTGGCCGGTGCCAACTCACCTGAGAGCTTCAGAGCGACCCATATGTACCAGACAACGTAACCCGAAGAGATGCGAGAGATAATTTGCACGTGGTAATTTGTAAATGCCAAAATTGCCAAGAGGAGTTGGATAATGGCAAGAGGCGTGATGCAGCGAGCAAAAATTGGAGATGTCAAGATGAGAGAGCGCTCTGCATGTGAAGCCTTAGCCGAATCATCCTTTGATTTCGGCCTCTGCATCATCAGGGCCCATATAGCTGACGAGCTTAGAATATACAGCATCGGCGCTGCAAGAAGGAATAGTGGCAAGTTTGAGACAGTCCAATACCGCAGAAAGCCAACGTCCCTGGGGGATGATTAGCAACATATATAACTAGACCAGACCGAAGTTTCTGATAACATACCAATAGGCGCTTTGTACGTAGGCATATATACTTGGTAGCCGCTCCTGGCACCAAGGTCGTAGGTCTGCCTGGCTCTCACCGAGCGTACAGAAAGACTGGTAGGCAAGATACTGGGGATAAACAATGCCTGCCGCGACAAAAAGACCGCTCAGAGCTAGGATCAATCCCCTTCGGATGTGTGCAACGGTTAGATTGCGATTTGTAAGTACATCTTGAAGCAGAGCCACAAGATCATAGAGGTATAGTATCCCATTGAGCAGACCGTTGCTGCGGACAGTTGAGGCCAAACCAAAAAAGATACCAGAGAAGAGAGTACAAAGATCTCGAGGACCTCGACGGGCCCGAAGATCATAGACGTGACTCAGCACGAACAAATAGAGTCCGGAGAAACTGAAGAATGAGAACACGCTCTCCGTACAGGGACCCGAAAGGAATAAGCCAGCGGGGGTAACAATATGCAGGAATGCAATAATAAAAGCAAGAGGCGCTCTTGATTGTATTGGAAGTAACAGGCTAGCTAAATGATGCAAGATAATAACAGAGAAGAAATGAGAAGAATGAGCAAGAAAAATGCCCACTATGGCCTCAGCGGTCACCGTGGGCGGTGTGGTTATTAGGCCCAAGCTCGCCAAAGCTGGCTAATTGTTAGATTTGGCACGTTGCTTCACAGAATATTGAGATAGTAATGTCAGACTTACTCTGAGTGAGCTGGGAAATGAGTTGGGTGAAGCCCCAGCCAAAAGCCCACTCTTGCTCAAACGCGTACCCACGTTCGGCGATCTGGGTGAAATAAATGGCATCCCATCTAACAAGTTTAGAAGCAACGTGGGTCATCAACCGCATCAAAATATTATTTTGAGTGGCATTTTCTGGGCTTGTGTTAACATTTCCGGAAAGCTGGCCTAATCTCCCCAAGAGCAAGGCAGTCGAGGTGTCGTAGCCAGGACCTGGAGCCAAGCAAGCGATGATGAACAGAATGATTTTCCAAGATACGAAACAGAGGCACAACGCGGTCAAGGGCCGGTCCAGAGGACGTAATGTCGAAGAACTCCGAAGGGCCATGATGCAGTAATCATGTCGTTTTTCTTGAGTCGTTCGTTTCCCGTACCGTCGCGTCTGCCTAGACGCAGCAACGTTCAGGGTGGACACGGTTGTCGTCTCGCGTTGTCTTGTGTTTGTGTGGGACTTTTCGGCTCGGGTAGGATGATCCGTCATAGATTGCTAGAGATTAGATTGAACTACAGGACGAGCAAAACCAGCGTAGCGGCATCTTCGCGTATCGTAAGGGTCTAGACCACTGCCCCAAGGACGCCCCGTTGCCCCTTTACTTGCCTGGCTGACTTGGCGAAGGCTAAATGGCAAATTAAAAGATCACAGTTAGGAAGAATCCATCAAGAGCGTCTTGATTTGTGGTAATGAGGGTACACCCAGATCATGTGAAGTATTTTATTTTCATGTGCCTGTAAACGTTCGATATCTTATGACGTGGGAGCTGGAGGAGGCTATTTATGGAGCTACTACGGCAGGGACCCCATGCATTATGCAAAACGGCCAAGTAGCCTCGACCACTACTTTATCATTCATTCTCTTATGATATCGATTATATACGGAGTACGATGGAAGGGAAGAGAAGTAAACCCTTTCTTTGCGGATTTTGAATCAGCTTCAGGTCCCGGGGACTTACGGATCAGCTAGCAGATGATTGACTGATGGGGGACCAGCTCTGACTGGCTGAGATGTGCAGGCACGGCAGGAAGCGAGGGCGGAAGGTTTGTTTCAGCGTGATAAAGACTGCCACTCTCCCCTGCTCGTTGGGTGGTTACCAAGTCAAACGTAACAGTTTATGGAAAGGTCTCGCGGCCAAAACACGCGAAAATTCCAGGCGGGTTCCTGACTAGCTGGAATCAGCAATTCTCTTTTTTTAAGAATGGTAACTTAGCTCGTCGATGGGAAAACTCCACTCTCGGTTTCTCGGTCTTCTCTCGTTTCCCTTTCTTCCAAATTTCGCTTTTGATAGACCCCCACAGACGCCGATCAGTCTGCTCGAAAGAGAAATGCGCTGGTCGGTGCGCTTCCTGAATCGGTCAGTATACTCGAGTAGATTACTATCTGGGAGTAGTGTGGCAATGAACTGGTGTCATGTCGCTAGGACCAACGGCCTTTTGACACCAAAAAAATACGATGAGATTACAGTCCGCTTCCCGCGGTGGGTAAACTTCTACCTAGAATACGGGGACTTCAGCCCCAAGGTAGAGCCGACGCCTCTCTTTTACCCGTGTTTGATTACTACCGTACCTATTCTAACTGTTACGGCTGTACAGTATAATGCAGCACATTACTCTCAGTATCATGATCATCGTATCCAAGACCCGCTAGCTTCCCCTCGTGTCTTTCTTATGCTAAGTTCGCCCAACACCTTTTTTTAAAACTGGCTCGTACTCTGTGGAAGCCTTACGAGAGACACCCACTGTGCTGCTAAAACAAAATCTCTTATATACCCCCTTGTCTGCCCACCCTCGTCCCACTCTCCCCACTCGACTTTGTTTTATTATCTTGTTGTCGTCCTGTGTGCTCTGTATTTCTCTTTACATCCTTTTTCTTTGAGACTTCCCCACCGATAGTCAGTCGCTACAGAAGTTTCGAATTCAATTTCACAATCCTCAAATAAAACTCCACCATGCGCGCCTCAGCAGTCCTTCTTTACCTCGCCGCCTCTGGCGCCTCAGCGACCCATCTTCTTGCTGCCCGAATCCCCCAGACCCTCGCTCAACGTGATACCGTCGGCGGATGGAGCTTGCAGACCGATACTTGCCCGTCCAACACGCAGCAGTGTACTCATGGATGCTGTCCCTCGTCCACGACCTGCCAGGACCCTGGCACGGACCAGGTCTCTATCTGCTGCCCTAGCTGTACGTACACACCACAATGGCAACGTTTGGATTCTCCCTCCAAAATAGTTTCTCTTAGGACCAAGACTGACAGGGAGAAATAAAAATGCTAATTTTCGTCTTTTCAACTAAACAGCTTCCGTTTGCCAGGGCCAATTCCAGGCCTCTCCCAAATGCGCCGACTCGAGCTGGAACCTGTGGAAGGGATTGAACGGCAACCCGTTTTGCTGCGAGCCCGGCAAGATTGGCACGTACCACTACGAGGACGGTGTCGCCGGTAGCTGTGTCGACAAAGACACCAATGTCCCGTACTCGGCTTCTGCTGTCCAGGTAAGAGTTACAAATTTACACTCACAGAATACCGGCCACTGCCAACGTTCCCAATCGTTCGGAACTCAGGCTTACATGAATATAAATTTTCTAGATTGGCACCGGTGTAGGCGGCACCACGTCAACCGCTAGCAGCTCTTCAGCTTCCACCTCGGCGCCCGCTTCGACCACAACCTCCAGTTCTTCCGCGTCTGCTACTGCTGCTAGCTCGACATCTGCCGCTGCGGCCTCGACTGAATCTTCTTCAGCTTCTTCGACCTCGGGTTCCTCGTCTAGCAAATCGACCGGTAGCTCCACTCACTCTCACACCAGCTCTGGTACGCCGTCTTCTACTTCTTCGAAAACCTCGGCTACCTCTACCGGCAACAGCACTGGTTCTGCTCCGGAGTCCAAGCCGACCAATGGTTCCGGCCGTCTTCCCATGTTCAGCACTGCTGCTCTGAGCGTAATGATTGTCGGCGTCGCTGCCGCTTTGCTCTAAGTTTGAGAATCCTTTCGAGAAGATATCTTTTTCAGGTCGAAAAATTACTGATAAATAACCGTTCCATTTCTTTTCCCCCTTCGCGGACGGTCTATAAACACGCACTCCTTCTAAATTTCTCATAATAGACGAGCTAAGATAGATAATTTATGTTTAATTATGGGTGTAGAATTTGCCTTCTGTTTGTATTCGCGGCAGATTAGGGATTCTATATAAGTACTACTAGAGATACGAGAATTGAATACATGGTTTTACGTTTGCATCAAGACCCTCGATGCTTGTGCAGCCGATGGCGTGGTTCCAAAAAGGTGGTGAATATCATAGCGTGGTCTTGAATTTGGAAACAGTCCTTGTAAACTTCCTCGACCTTGATGAAATTTTTCAAACAGCGTGTAATTGCTCCGGCCATCTGTTCTCGAGCGGTGTTCCCCCCAAGTTCCTGAGGAAGCCAAATACCGAACCCTGGCGTGGACTTTCCGGCCAATGGCAACGTGTCGATCTTCAATGACCGTACTCGGTGAGGTGAGAATGTTGCTTTGACGTTCAACTTGCCAAAGAATTTCATGAATCTGATTAAGTCGAACATCTCTTTGTATGGAAACAGTCGAGAGCCGCCGCGAACCATCATCACGGCAAGCCAGAGGGTTGGCGGGCTATGTCTCGCCGCAGCGGCGCATGAAACGTGAAAATATCTCTTGACGATGCTTTTGTATCTGTTCAAAAGACATGAGCACATTCCAGACAGTTCCAACATCCTTTGAAGTCTTGTCGAAGTTGACAGGGAGTTGAAGACTCTCGTATCGTAGAAAGCCCTTTTCGCAAAGAATGATGAAGAGATCCAGTATCGCAGACTGTTCGTGGCACCTCAGATATGAAGTTTTGAGTGTCTCGGGATCTCTCAGGTCAGAACATTCCAAGCTTCCTAGAAAGGAACCGTCGGCATAGTTCAAAACATATATGATCGCAAGCCGCTGCTGCGTCCCGGACCAATTCATGAGCGCGTGCTGAACGGCCGTGGAAGTCGTTCACAACATACTTTTCACGATAATTTTCTGATTCCGGTGTAGAGATAAATCCATAGTTGGAAATTCATTCCGGCGTCGACGATAAGTCCAGTCTCGATCGTAATTGACGTCGACGTAGTCCATCAATATCAGCCTTTCAATTAGTGAAATAGCGTATGATTGCTCCGGAGACAAATAGGAGGCTGTGGGAGGTGTGGGCGCTGAAGTACCCCCCACACTTCGCAATATGGCTTCTGATATAAATTCGTCATGATTTTCCTCGGTCACCGGTGGAAGAACCTGTTGGGGTATTCCAGGTAGTTGCACTCTGGCCAGAGATTGCACAAAAGGTTGGCCGAACTGGAAATACCTGATCCTGTTGCTCCATGAATTAACGGTTCCCCACCAATGCGTGTCATCTGGTCCTGTGCCTGCAAACAGATTTTTGCCGCGTTGCTTCGTAGAGACAACAGCGCCCACTAAACACCCCGAGTAGCAGTGCCTGCCAACTGCATTCACCTGTACGTCTGCTCTAAAGAGTTGCAGTACCTCCGCGAAATCCTGTGTTGAAAAAACCCTAGTTCCCACCTCAAGGTCATGTTCATGTGTCCCTTGACACGCAAAAAACATATTCACGACATCATCTCTTTCGATGCACCGTGCTTTCTCCAACATCCATAAAAATACTCGGGCCAGTAATTCCTCTTTATCTACTTCCTCGAACCACTTGTCTTGACGTAGGGCCCATTGGTTTTTTGAGTAGGTGTACAGAGGCTTGTTGTCTGGTCCGGAACACCCAAAATAGGTATCTGTAATTGGAGGTTTACGTTGCTCCAAGACATCAAAGTGTTTGTCAAGTGGAAAGCAGGATAAAAATGTTCCCTGTATGTCGGGATGAAGATTCCGCAAGGCCATGGAAATTCCCATGAAATCGGAGAACAACTCAGCGTGTGCTGGGTTTTCTGCATCAGTTGCGCCGCAAACAACAAGATTATGCATTACTCGAAAAGGCCTCTTTTTTTCCTCGGTCGAGCTGATACAGGGTATAGACTCCCCTTTCCCTTTCAAAGGCGTTAGCCTAAATGTACCGGGAGCAGGCTCAGAGAATACTAACCAGCAGAGCTCGAGGGTTCGGAGTCCACGAGATTCTTTCGATCTTCCATTGTCTTAGACTCCAGGGTTTGCAAGGGGTCGAAAACACCGTGTAGTATTCTTCAACGAGAAAAAGTTGAATTTAATGTTTGATGCTGATGGAGGAATCGGCCTCTAATTTATACGTGTGTGATGCCGTTTGGAGTGACTAGGCCCAGATAATATTTCGATTTTACCGTGGTGAATTGCTCACAGAACTAGAACCGCTTCTGCTGAACTTGGATCCATAATCCGCATGATTTTTGCCTAGTTCTATTTCAACGAGTGAATTGCCATTAGTAGAATTTTGAAGCCAACTCATTAACACCTGGCACTTATTGTGAAGTTAGCCAACCGATAGCAATTAGAAGAGTTACCATTGATTGGCTCAAGGTCGTGTGAATTTGTCCTAGACTATCTTCACTGAGAGTCAAACCAGACTTCTTCCAGAGTTCATTGCTATCAAGGTAGTGAAGCTGCTTCGCTTATTTCGACTGTTTGCCGTCAACAGTTTTGACACAATCTGTCCTTTTCGTCTGCCCGTGGTACGCATTGAAAATGCTAGGCCCAAAGACATTAGAACAACGGAACCGTCTACTTCATAGAGATGGATCAAGTGTTACAAAAAGCAAGGCTAATAAAAAGACACGAGATGAAACCAGATATATTGTTTGCAAACGAGGTAAAGAAGACCCTAACAAAAAAGAGATAAATTTCGGAACTGTCACATCGCTGCTCAGATATAATTAAAAGACAACAAGAGCATCGCAACAAGCTTTAAATAACAGAGACGCGGTAAGAAGTAAAGATCCCCGAAAATAAATTTGCTCGATGAAAGAGATCAATTCGACCTCGGTTTCGGTTCAACACGAGGAGAATGTATTCCTGGCTAAATGGTCAGTGAGCGCGTCGTTTCCATCGTTATGCCCATCATAAGACGGTGATATGCAATGGTATGACTAGCAAGAAGTCTTGACTGGAAAACTCGTTTATGCAAGATCCTTTTTCAGGCGATGATCCTGGGCTTGATGGATGGTTTGCTTGAAGGTGGAGAACGAATCGAGCTTCAGGCCACACTTGCGACGACAAAACCACGGGACGAGCTTCGCACGATGCCGAGGTTTTCAACGGCTTTCAGAAGCTGCTTGGTAGACCTTCGGACGGAGCATCGTCGGCTCCGACGCATTTTGTACGCCGCGAAGTGGGTGAGGGGGCAGATTGAGAAAGAGATGAAGCGAATCAAGGTAATTACGAGGGCCAAGACAGTACCTCCGTACAAACACTTTGCTACAATGATATTGGAACTTACGTGGGTCGAAAGACCGCTTTTTTTTCCTCTCTCTCTTTTACCTAGGCAGAAGTTTTTCCGCCACAATCTTGTCAGGCAATGTGGGAACCGCCAAGAAATGCCCACGTCAGTACTGGTACCGCATCGCCTAGTACATTACGGAGTACAGAATTGTGCCGAGCGAAGAGTGCGCTCCGCAGAATGTTTTCATGAGCGGAACCATCTGTCCCCCGACAGTCATACGGCCGAGAGCAACCGGAGGTCTGTAGATTTTCTGGGCCGGGGAAATTCAATTCCCTTCAACTGTATTCTTAGTGTACAAAGGGAGCTAACCAAGTAGCGGCTTCGGGAACGATTTCTTCCGAGTGCCTCTATCGGTATTGCCGGCTTGATATTCTATGACTAACGAAACAGACAGGATTCACAGCAGTACCCTCGTTATGCGAGATCATCATCATTATGATTGTATGATGAAGACCAGCCACGTGAGGTCTGGACTCAACTGAAGCAGGTCGAACAGAGGGTCACCCTGTAAATATCGATCATCTCGTTTCCAAGGGTAAGACGGTCTCAAACTAACTCTCTCACAGCACAATAAGTACCTAAGAAAGAAAGTGATATTGATCTTCCCCGAGGATGAGATTTATGACTCTTTTGCAGTGCCTATGTGCTGCACAGTAATATAAGATCTTGGGACAGCACATGGACGAAGCTAGAAGAAGAAAAAATTACCTTTAGAAAGGTTGTTACTGGATCTCTTAGCCTAGAGTACAGTTTGCGAGGTCCAAGTTCCTGCTGGATGACACATGGCGTGACGCTAGAGCGCGTATCGCTACCCGCACCACGGGGAGGAGAAATGGTCCATCGCAAAATGCCTCTCTTTCTGGTTTACCCCGGCAGGGCGGTGTGTTCACCGCGCTAAGAGGAACCAAACGTCTAGTGGATAGGGCAATGCTGATCAACGTGTAGTTTTGCACCGCCGAAATAATGGGGCCTTTCTTTACAATCATACCTAATGGTAAAAGGATGAGGCTGTACTGTATTTGTATCGGAGTACTTTGACAATCCTGTCAGATCTACATGGTGTCTAACGCCGCGTTGTCTTTTGGCTTCGTTGAGCAGATTCAAATGCAGTCGTCGCGATTGTTCACAGGCGGGCTCATCAGGAGTAAGTTTACGGGCTGGTGCAAACCCTGACCATCCCTTCCATGGACTGGTTGTCTCGTAGTCAGCGGCGTGTCGTCGGCATGTCAGCATCCGGATCCTGGATGGATGCCTAAGGTACTTTTACTTAGGGCAGCGTAGAGGTAAAAGTAACCAACTAATCATCCCAAAGCCTCGCACGCCCTGCAACACCCCTCACTCCTCGCTCCCTTGGCTCGCCGAGCCTCACAGGACACCCACACCCATACCCGCGTAACTCACATCCATCTTCTAAAAAACCCCCCGGCTTCGCGCAATCCATACCTTATTATTCACACCATGTGAAAAACCCTGTCGGAGGCGGTCAAGTTCTTACCCGCCCCTCCTTGACCTCATGCCCCATCCTTCGAGCTTCTAGTGGCCATCTGTTGCAGGGTAGACCTCTCGTCCCAAAACCCAGCTGCCTTCAAGCTCCGTCCGATCTTGTGCACGGCGTGCTCGTTTCAGCATCATGCCCCGAGCAATGCCTCGGACCGTAAGAGCGGATACTCCGTCATCTGTCTGACAAGATTTTCTCACTTCTGGCGCGCATAATTTTGTCCTCCATCCTCATCACCTTACTCTCCTCTCTTCATTAGGATGACCAGGCTCAGTCCCGGCTCTAGGAACCTTGAACGTCCACGGTCCCCAGATGAACCCATAATTTCCCCTCTTGCGCAAAGAGAAGAATCGTGTTGTAGTTTATCCTATCGTTCCACTTTTGTGGCAGTGTCTCGTTGCTTCTCGTCGGCATTGAGGCAGTTTCCTGCTCACAGAGTTCTGGTCCCGTTCTGCACAATCCGAAAACAACGAGGCCTGCATGTGGAGTCCCTCACTTCACGTTTACTATCTGTTTATTATTCTTTCCTGCGCCTGTCCATCCTCGTTATAATGTTCTTGACTCTGGGCATGACGGCCGATGCTGCCGCTGCTCACCGCCATGAATTTTCTTCGCCTCTTGACCCCTCCTCCCCGTCCTCACCCCCCAGTGCTTTTCGATCCTCACCCTCTCAGCCAGCTGCATTGCGGCCACCCTTACCTAAACTTTCTCCTTCTCCTTCACCGGCTCCAATTTCATCTCTGAGATCTTCACCGGTGCCGCATCCCATCCGACGAGGGGCCTCTCCGGTCTGTGTCAGTGCGGCGGACGCGTCTCCGGCCATGACGCCAGAAAGCGAGACCGACATTCGCAGCGTCGACAGCGTATCCGTGACAGACTCGGTGAATAGTCTGCATACCTTGAGCGGCAAGAAGAAAAAGTCTTCGCCAAAACCCAAGACCTCCTTTCATCTCGCCCATCCGCCTCCTCCAGTCAAGCATAAACAACGTCTCCATATTCGACCGAGAGTATTGTTGCAACTTCAGCGCATCTCTGCAACATCTCGACCCGTACCTTTCTACGATGTGCTTCCTTCCACGGTCTTTGCCCCGCGCTTGGCTCGCAATTTCCCTCGCGTATTCAAGGGCAAAGACGGTTTAGGCGCCAACGACATTGTCATCGTGGGCAGCGAAGAGTACGACAATGACCCGGTGCACAGCAAGGATGAGCATTTGGATGCCGCTGCTTGGGAGGATCGAAGAGTCGTTGCTGCAATCTGCCAGTTGCACGGTGAAGGTGCCAGAGGGAAAGCAGAAGTCTGTTTGAATCACGGGCCGCGATGGGAGGCGATTCCTTTGGCCAACGGGAGCTACGAGTTCATCTCCGTCGACGACCACGGCCTCAGAACGGTAGCACGATGGGTGCCGCGCAGCCAGTCAATTAGTCGGCGAAATACTTTCCAGTCCTCACCATCGCCCGTTGCTCCGGATCAGGGGAAAAGATTTATTTTTAGTATCCTTAATCCCCACACTCGCCGACATCCAGTCATTGCTTCGATGACCAGCAATTCTATTGACATAATGGACCAATACTCGACTCCGAATTCCTCGACCGTCGCCTCTCCTGTATCGCCCATCCGTCCTGCCTCAGTCCTCTCAAACGAATCCTCCTTTTTTGACATTCCCTTGGCTCAGGAGCGCCCGTCCTTCAAAACGGATGAATCGCTGCGAGCTTTGATCCTGGTTACAGGCATCTGGGTCGCTTTCCGAGAAAACTGGTCACAAAGCTTCAAATATGAAGATCGCCCTCTTTGTACTTCCGCCACATCCCCCTCCCAGCCTCCGCAGCCTCAGCCGCGCAATCGTCCCATGTCTGTGGCTGCCCCTGGTGACTGGAAGCGCGAAGGCATCCCACCGGCCGCATCGGTTCATCGCAGCGGCTCTCATCATGGCCTTACCGGCAAACTCTTCCGACATGGCCCGCCGCTTCTGCGCCACGGCTCAACCGCATCGATGCAAAGCATCTGTCATGAATTGAAACACGACGCCCCTCGCTCCTGTTCTTCCCAGACGCGCCGCACAAACTCAACTGGAGAAGCATTCATGGAACGCGCGTCGAACCGCAGCCAATCTCTCACCCAGAGCTCGACACGCAAAATTCCAAGAGCTAGCATCTCGCGGCAAGGCAGCGAAGGTCTCTTTCCAACTAGGGCTGAGACAGCTGATTCCTTTGACTCAAATGGCAACCAGACACGTTCTGGACGACCTGGAATTGGTAGTCAACGCTCATCCAAATCTCTCCCTCGCGTGCAGACCACTGGTTATGTTTCCTTTGACGATTCTAAGGATCGTGGTACGGATTCTGCCAAAGCTCATGGAAGCGATAATTCCGCGAGCGGCAACTTCTCTGGCAGTATGGACAGCAGTGGATTGAGGAGCATGTATACATCTTCTACAATGTCAAATTCCGTGCCAGATGCAAAGGAAGTCACAAAGGACGAAAAGCGCAGATGGTCAAGGTTCAAAGGCTTCGTCAGCCTTGTTCGGCGTGGCAGCCATCACGAATAGGAATGACGAAACGGAAATGGCGAACATTTGAGTTTAATTATTTTTATTATTTTTGCATTCCCCCGATTGCGCTAGCATTACCAAGCTTGAGATTTTTCCAACAATTATAGGGCAAGCCTGCATCACAACTCCCTGCTCATTCGTACTGGTCCATCAAATCTGGTCGTCTTTGATGAGCCTACTTTTAACAAATCTTCTTAGAAATCAAAGAATATGAATTCGTAAACCTAAATTGGAGCTAGAACCTCTGGACAAATTTTGCTTCATTATGTACATTTGCGGGTTTTTTTTACCCCGCCCGATGATAAGCTTTTGTGATTGTATTTCTTGATTAGGTTAGTTCTTGAAGGGAGAGTTTGACGAGGCGAAGAGGGAACATAGTACTTTCAGGCGATGACGGTGTGGGTGTAAGGTTTCATCCTCACACGGTCTGTGTATTTCATGCGGTTACTTGAAGAGACCAAAGAGTACGTATCTGAACCTTATCAAGGACACCCTGCAGAAAATCGTGATGGTGTTGCCTCATAATTATTTGATTAAGGCCTAGCAGTAGGAAGCAATTTTATGTGTACATACGTTCCGAAGGGTTATATAAGTTTGCAGGTTGTAAAACCATATCTGAATTAGCTTGCACCAATTCTGCCTTCATCAGCGCAGCATGTTATTCGATATTCACAAAGCTACCTAAGGTACCCAAGCTAAGGTACTGAAGGAGAGGCTACCTGAGGTATCTAAGGTTGTACAGGATCTTTCGGGGCCTGTGAGTTTGTGACTCTGTGGCCTCACACGGCCTCTAGTACCCCTTGTACCCCACACCATACCTCACCGCCCTCGCGTAAGGCAACTTTAGCGTGTCGTAATGCATGCTCTTCCGCCAATGATTAACTTCATCTACAGCTATCATTTGATTGGAGCTTTCTCCTTTTCCGGCAAGCTCTGATCTGACAAAATATCCTCAATTAATGGAATAACCACATAAGGCGAAATTGATTCGAGATGAAAGACTCACATAAAGTTACGACATGACGGAGCGCTTCGAAGAAAGCACTTCATACCCGGAGGTGGACTATGTTCCACGATTCCCGTGGGTGGGCTCCAACAAGCCTGGTCACGAGCCATCGAGTAGTCATGATGTTACGATGCAAGATGCAGACCCGTTCACTGAAGATATTTCCAGACAAGATGGGGGTTTCAATGGGTCTGGATTCAATGAAGGCCCCAGTTCGATAGGCCAAAGTCTTTCTCAGGTTACAAATCTCGGCGCGGATTTTATGCTCGATCCGTCGCTTCTTGGAGATGCTGCTGATGACGATGATGAAGCCAATGATTCTGATATGGACGACTTGGGGGACGAAGATCTGTAAGGCAATATGTGTATATTTTGAGACATCTGAATTAACTAATATTTCCGATCAGTCTAGCCGGGGGATCTGATGGCGAACTCAGTGGGTTCTCGAATGATGAAGATGGCGCTCGGCCTGCCCGCAGACAGCGCCAACGGGGCCGTGGCAAGCAAGCAGCGCGTGGTCGCAAAGGCAAAAGAGGTCCACAGAAGCCAGTAGAGCCCAGCCAAGAGTTCAAGTTGATGCAATCGAAGGCTACCAGTGCTTTCATCGACAATGATTTCGAGAGGGCCAAAGAGTATGCTTTGCGTGCCATTCATATCAATGACGAAATGTTTGCTCCATACTCACTGCTGTCTGAAATCCACTTGGCGCAAGGTGAAAAGCAAGCTAGCTTGACTGTCCTGATGACGGGTGCCTACACCAAGCCCAAGGACGTGGCTCTCTGGTGGAAAATTGTGCGAATGACATTGGAGCGCTGTGGAGACGACCGAGTTTTGTATCGGGAGCAGCTTCTCGAATGCTATGGAGCAATTCTGAGGGTCGATAAAGACGATGTCGAAGCAAGATATGGACGAGCCGAGATCAACAGAGAATTAGGGAACAGAGGCCGAGCTGCCCACGACTATGAGCGAATTTTAAAAATCTCCCCTCATGATATGAATGCATTACGTATGCTGGCCGAGGTTTACATTGACATGGGGCATCCTGATAGAGCACTGACGCACTACCGCGAGAGCCTCGCATACTATCGGTCATTCGACGTACAAGTAGAAGAAGGTTTCTCTTGGTCGGATGCGAATATCTATGTTGAACTCTTTGGGTATCTCGAAAAATATACAGAAGGCATCTCCGAGCTCAAGTCTGTCTGCCGATGGCTCTTGGGGCGAGAGTCAGAGACCTACTGGGACAGTGTGCAGGATGACGACCGAGAATGGGACAGAGATGATGCTCCCCGAAGGCTGGAGATTGAAGATTTTGAGCCACGGCTATATGAGCTCGATACATATGGATCTGGCCTTCCACTTGAGCTTCGGATCAAAATGGGAGTCTATCGACTTCGTTTGGGCGAACGCTTTGTCAAGGAAGCTTTGGTAGGTGAAATGGACCGAGGTGGGGGAATATAGAAGTTGACAATATTTGTCTTTGATAGGAACACTTTTCGTGGCTGGAGCCAGAGGGGCCCAACCGCGACGATATGGTGGCGGATTACCCGGATCTGTACAAGGACGTTGCAGATGCGCTCTACGCAGAAGAGAAATATGTAGAAGCTCTACGATTTTATGAACTTTTGCAGCAAGTCGATGGTTATGGTGATACGCCATACTGGATGGCACTGGGGCATTGTTACCGGGTTGCCGGACTCAACTCGGAGGCAGAACAGTGTTATCAGGTAGTTGTTGAGGATGAACCTGAAAACATCGATGCACGAGTTCAGCTAGCGAAGATGTTTGAAGAGCTTGGCATGTCTGAGCAAGCAATGATTTATGTCAACCAAGTCATCACGCTGGGACGAAAAGATATGGAGCGGCGCAAGGACCACGGGCTCGATCAAGGACAACCTCTGTACACTATGGGGTCTCTCATTTCCAAATTTCCAACACAGCGCCCTGCCACCCCCGCGAAGAAGTCTACCCCAAGCACAAGTGCTGCACAACGCCAGGAGCGAGAAAAGGTACGCGAGGCGAACGTTAAACATTGGTTCCATATTCTGCAATCGCATGAGGTGGCCATGCGCGAAGGTGACGAGGACGCATTGCGTGAGTGGATGATTGCAGCAAACCGTCTGGTGCAAGACTTTCGATCGTGCAAGGTCTTCTATCCGTGGGACAAATATGTCAAATTTTTCGGATATTCTGTTGATGCACGGAAGAAGGCGCTGCGGCCAAGAACCAATGAAGCAATGGAAGAGGTTGAGGCTATGGCAGGCAGGTTACAAGCTTCCTTGGGTAAGGGCGGAGGAGAGATTTCTTAAACGTCTTCTTATATACAATGCTAACAATGGTGCAGAAAAAGAAGGTAAGGGCGACGATGCCGTTCTGGCATCCGTCCCCCAAGATTACCGCGGTATTGATTTCGATCGATGGCTGGATATCTTCCTCGAGTACGCATTAAATCTTGCCAAAGAGGGCGATGCTGAGAAGGCATATGAGGTGGTGACTGCAGCGGCCGATGCAAATGTGTTTTATCATTCGGCTCAATCCAAGATGCTTATCCACGTAGCTTGGTTCTGTACGTTTTGCATTTACCCCAAACCCCATGGAAGTGCATTGCTTCGACGTGTTTTGAGACTGATCTTGCATATATTAGCTTGTGCCTTGATTGGCCATGATGAAGAAACAATCTGCAGCGTTTCCCGCTGGTTTATGCGAGAATACCAATTCACTACAGACGCCTACCGATTATATGCTGCTCTCAACCGCATGTGTCATGGCTCTATTTCTTGGTACAACTCCGGCCCGTCACAGAAATTCGTGTTGCGGCAGATTAAAGCCATGGACTACTCGCTTATTGGAGAAGAGTCGCGCCGATCGTGGTTTCAGGAGAAGGCGTCATACACCACAAGAGATCAAGAAGGCAACCCAGTCATGGCGAAAGAGATGGATGTGGCTCTCCTAATGCTTTACGGGCACATGCTCTTGGTCGGAACCAGCTACTCAACTTCCCTAAGTAAGCCTGGACTTTCATAATGTGGATTTCGTTCTGATGCTAATGTAATAAAACAGATTATTTCTATCGGGCCTATGCTCTGGACCCGAAAAATCCGCTCATCAATCTATCCATGGCGTTAGGCTACATACATTATGGCCTTAAACGACAGTCGGAAAATCGTCAATATCTCATTATGCAAGGCCTTTCATTTCTCTTCGCGTATCATGACATCCGCATGGCTTCGTCACATCCCTCCGAGCGCCAAGAGGCAGAGTTCAACGTTGGCAATGCTTTTCATCTCCTCGGTCTTAACCATATTGCCATTCCTTACTATGAGCGCTGTTTAACCATAGGAGAGGAAATGGTAGCTGCTGGCGTGCAAATTGATGAGCATCATCAGGAAAACTTCTCTCGTGAGGCTGCCTTTTCGTTGCAAGGCATCTATGCCTCGGCCGGTGAATTGAGAATGGCTGCAGCGGTAACAGAAAAATATCTCATTCTGTAATTGCTCAAGTTCGGCGACATTTCAAACGTTCAAGCTGAAGCAATCGGATCATCCCGACAAGGTTATTTTACCCATGTCATTTTCGGGGTTTTCGTCGGCTTATGCATATTCCGGATCTACCTCGATAAACCGTGCATTCGGAATGTACGAGCGGCAAGGCGCAATGAGGTCTGGAATATGCCAGATTGTATCATTCATACTTCTCAAGTCGTCACAATCTATATTTGGGCAGTCGTACAGGGAAAGGGTCTGCCCCACAGAAAATTAGGCCCCTTTTCGGTTCATCAAGTGAGCTGGGTTCTAGAGCACATACCTTTAGGCTCGCCAACCTTGTTATATACGGATAAATTCTCTCATCAATCTCTTCCTTCCAACTTCTCGTGAACATGAGGGTTTCCAACTTTTTGCCAATTTCTAGGGCAGCCAGATACTCGAAAAACTCCTCACCAAGTCCCAGGCACTTTTGTACCTGAAGATGGCGGAAACGTCGGGACGGCTCAATCATTCGCATCAGCTGATAATCGGTGATTCCGCAACGCTCTAGATTGAGGCTCTCCAGGACAGCGAATTTCCCAGCCAAATGATTCCACATTCTTGACGGTGGGGCAACGTCCCAGAAACCTTTTTCGAGATCTGCGTGCCGCACGTGAGAGTGATCAAGTTTCAGGCTCAGCCGTCGCAGATACGTCATCTGCGACAAAATTTTGACCGTGGCCGAGCTCAGGTCCCAGAGCGTCAGTTCCAGATCCCGCAGAGTCTGCGTATACGGCGATATGGCCTGGCACGCGATCTTATTTTGAGCTAAAATGGTCGAGCTTGCTGTGCGCGTTTTGGATGGTCGCAGAATCACGGACAACTTGTGTCTGTCAGTAGCTGAAGTCTGCTGGGGTAGTTGGTCCAAAATATAGGCTATCCGGCTGTTTATTTTACTATGGAAGACGCCTAGGTGGAGTGTGGTGAAAAAGGTCCGGTGGATTGCCCGATTCTGTTTCGATGTCTCTCCGAAGCAAAGCAGCGATGGGATCTCCAGGTAAGATAAGATCTCGTAGGTAATTTCCAACGGCAGATTGTCTAGTCGAGCCATCCTGAACAGCTTTGAGACAAGTTTTCGCAACTGCTTTGCAGTTCCGAGAAACGGTCGAGTCTCAGAGGGAGGCGTCGATATCTCTAACCCAAACTCGGAATCTCTATGGGTCCTTTTGATGTTTAGGAGTCGCTAGGCAAGTTTAACTCTTTTTGTGTAATTTATAATAGCAAACAAAGGAATTGTACAAAAGTAAATATGCCCGTGGCTGGCTACCATGACGGCGGCGGCGGCGCCCCAGGGTTTTATAAAACAAAAGCTTCTATCCCGTGTCATCTGAAACTGGAAGCCTAGTAGGTAGTCAAAACCAAGGAAAATAAAAAATGACCATTCAAAGACACATTAGGTAGAACACCCCTCTCAAACGCCCTCCCCCAGCCCTTTCCGCGGCCGGGCGCCAACCAGAACCCCCCAACCCATCATCGTCATCATTGTGATCATCAGCTGCTGTTTCTGTCGCCTCTCTTTCTACTCTCTTTCTCTCTCTCTCACTCTCCCTTTCTCTTTGGTCCACCCCCCCCGGCCGCTCTGCGCCATGTTTGTGTGCCGTTGTGTTGCTTTGGGTTTTGGGTTTTGGCTCTGACTTCCAACGTCCCGAGTGTTTGGGTCCTGGTCCTATGGTCTGTGGTCCGCGGTATGGGTTCCGCTTTCTCCCCACACATTTTTCGTGACCCACGCGTGGTTTTGTCACCCCTCTCGCTTTCCAGCCCACCCATGTCTATTTTCCCTTGTCCTTTCGGGTCAATAGTTTCATTTGTGTCTTTCGCCTCAATTATTGAATCACGAATCATGATGATCTACGATATACAGGGGCGGGTGGCTGCCTTGTAGGCGGCTATGTATTGTGATCAACGACCTTGACCTTGGCCCTGATCCTGACCTTGATTCTGACTCGACCGTGGCTGTGGACTATTGACTGTGATCCATGACTTATGATTCATGCCCATGTCCATGCCCATGACCATGAGTAAGGTAAGTGACGGTGACTACTCTATACATCTGCTTCTGACGGAGTATTTGACCCCTCAGTTGTAGGAACCATATGTACCCCTGCATTGCTGCGGTGCTGCGGTGCTGTACAGATGAAGTCGCTGTGCCGCCAACCCGCCTGCTTCCAGCTTCCAGCTTCCAGTAACTTGCCCTCCCTGCCAGTCGATGAGAAAGAGAATAAAAACGCGCAATTAAAGGTTATTTACCAGACCTTACTGTGGATACTACTTCCTTGCCCTGTCGAATTGCCGCCTCGTCGGGTCGTCGCGCTTTCGCATTGTCGCGCTTCTCGCCAAATCTGTCATTTCCTTTTTAACTTTTTGTGAATTTGTGAAAGGAACTTCATCGTGCATTGCATTGCATTACAACTTGCATTTGCGTCGCATTGTCACATTGTCACGTTATGTGCGTATGCGGCGCGGTGCCAGGGGGTAGGTAATAAATGAGCAAAGGAAGCATAGGAGACGCGGAGATTTTGACAAGTATACCGAGTAGCCACAATGCGACCTGAGCGTTCTGTGCATTAGTTCTTTTTACTTTGCTACGATCGGCAGAGTACGTAGAGTATGTACAGAGTAGAACGCGATTAAATAACGCGTGGTTGGACGACAGGGATCTAGGGAGTATGGAAGAGGGATATACAAGGGGAGTATGCGATGAGGAGAACAGAAGAGATTACGGATCTCACGGGGTCGCGGGATCATGGAATTTCAGGATTATATTGATTGAACGTTGGTTGTTTTTTTGGCGGTTGTTGGTTGGTTGGTTAGTTGGTTGGTTTGTTGTCTTTGGTAGGACAGTTGGTTGTTTGTTACAGATGTGGTCATGAGAAGGAGACACAAGGACTGACTGACGATGCAGATGAGTAAGATGAGAAACACACTGCCGAGAACATGTGCGAGACAAACAGGCAGGGCAGCCAGCGAGCTGCTACCTACGGAGTAGATGGCTCGACAAGGAACAAGGAAACAGAATAATCACAATTGTCGCGTGGTATGCGCTCCCATTTGTCCGTGGATGCGATATACACATCGTGGTACCTTCGTGCTCTGTAACGAGATAACGGAGTACGTACAGTACGTCAGCCCATGCCGGGATAAACCCTCGACCGATCAAAAGTCTAAAGTTTACCGTTTGGTATCCTCAGCTGGTCGTAGCCAACGCAGCCTAAGAAGAGTTTCTCTCGATAGGCTTTTTTTTTTTTTACGCAGTTTCATGTCTACCTACCAAGTTGCTGTGCCTTCATATTGCATGGGTAAGGTAATACGCTTCTCGTATTTGATTTCCTTCAAGGATAACATGCCTCGGCTTGTTCTCAACTCTTTGCATTCCGGCATTTCCATCTCGCTACGCGTGACAAGTACCATCTGAACACCGATGAGTTCATGATCATCAACCCATCGTGTTGTCTTGGAGCAAGTGCTAAGCGAAATAGGCAGGCGGCCTGTGGCCTGCAACAGGTACCTAGTTAACTTTACTCGCAGTTCTTGACCCCATGTTGCCATGTATTGTAATATCCTGATAGACCAACACGCCAGCGTTACCAACGTGCAAATATGTTTTTTATCGTCATACGAGATGGATTTTCATCTGGTTCCGTGGGGGGCCAAGAAAGAAAGTTGGAAAGAACAAAAAAAGGCGGCAGCAGGGGAAAACGATCGTCACCGTCGTCATCATTATCATCGTCATCTGCAGTCTTCATCCCGCGTCCTACATTCCCCAAAGGTCATTTAAGACAAAAGTCTATAGATTAGTTCTGCCCGAATGGACGGAGAGAGTAGGCGCCAAATAAGACCGTGTGGGTGTCCGCTGGACCCATGACCACTGTGTTGGGTTTGAGATCAACCTTGGCGGGCGCTCGTGCTCTCTGGTGGGTGTGGGATGCTACCACATGGCGCGCATCCAAGATGCCGAACAGTGTCAGTGCTTGATATTAGATGAAGAACTAAATCAGCGCTGGAAGGGAATATCGCTAACGATTAGTGGAGTTTAGGTGGCTTTTTCGCTACAAAGTAGTGTCTGTCAAAGGAAAATCTCACTGGAATATGGAAAAAGGTACTGTTCTTCATGTCACATTGGTGGGAAAGATATCGCTAAGGTACATATTATAGTATAATGAGGAAAAGAAGATGCGTACTATTTTAGCGACATGTCTATACTAGACTTGCTCTGAAGTTTCTGCGGTTTATTACTGCATTACCTTTGCCCAAATACCCTCCAAATCCTCATGAGGACTGATGTTCTCAACAATACCCAGCGCCGACGTGGGCTTGGTATAGCCCAGCAGCTCCAACATCTTTGGACTCATCTTCATCACCTTGCTGCGCGGGATGGCAAGGAACTGGTTTTCCTCCGTCCGGAGTGTTCCTCGTACGAAAAACAGACTGTGCATGGTCCGGACAGAGTTTGGCACGGAATTATGACCTCCCCCATGGAAGGCAGATGCCAGAAAGATCAGGGCTGAGCCGGCAGACATTTCTAGCACACGATTAACACTCATAGCTTGCACAGCAACAAATGCAGATGATTAATTACCTGCAAAGCAGACATCGTCTTCCTGTGGGGTCGCCCATCGCTGATCGTCCCATTTATGACTTCCAGGCACGAACATGGTCGCTCCATTTTCTCGAGTCACATCACAGCCGGCAATTAAGCAACCAAATTGACTTGCGTGTTTGAAGCTCCAGTCCTCGGGCTTGGGGTGCCGAATGCCGTGAACATTGTCATCTCGATGCAGCCGTTGCCGGGGAGCGCCATATCCAATGTTCATTGACACACTTAGACTGAGCAGTGGGTTGATTGTGTTGGGGTCTGCCCAGTCCTCACGATATACATTAAATTTGTCCTGCAGAATGTGCTGTCGCAGCTGCTCCAGAACGGGATGCTCGCAGATTGACGCAATAGTATCGGATTTACCAACCAAGCCCGGGACGAGGACCGTCTGTCGAGGAATGGTGTAAAATGCGTCCCCATTCAATTTTGCCGTTTCGTCTGCGTGGCGACGCTGCCTGTCACTCCACGGTCGGAGTTCCTGGTCGATGGAAGCCAGCTCTTCTGCTGAGACGAGGTCTTTGAGAATAACACCTCCATCGCGTGCAATAATGGATAAAATGTATTCTACCGGAGCTGTTGCTGGGGCAGTGATGATAGACTTCTTAGGCCGGTATGAAGGGTCGATGGGGGCGGGTGCAGCCGGGGCTAAGAAAGTTTCAGGCATAATGGCTAAATCAAATAGAACCTCCTAATGTCGATGTTCACAAACTCTGAATATTCTTGTCGTAAGACTTTCTCTAATTATTATTTATTTTTTTTTTCAATCGCAATACACCTAACAGGTATACACAAAATCCTGTAGACGATGAGTGTGATAAGATCGGAAGAGCAAAGTGATGTCTCATCCAGACACAATACACCGTTGATAGAGCGATCCGAAGCGATGATCAGCACCCGTTCTTATCTTCGGGTTCGATCCGATCACCACAGATAGGCAGTACGGTAACTGGCATGTTGTGCACAACTCAGACCTGGTTTTAAAAAGGGTATTCTAATGCTGATCTCGAGCTATCTTCCAAATTGGGAATATTTCTCCCCGGAAACTCTGTGACCCTTTGATTGGAGGGATATTTGGGCGAAGTCGTTGATATCTTGATTCTTGTGTATCATGGAAGGTTTAAACAATTCAAACCAATGGGACCAATATTAGTTTTACAATTGCTAACCAGATACGATTATCCAATCATAGTCTGTTATGAAAGAGCATTTGTATATAGGCTCTAGATCAGCCCTGTAAACCAATCCAGAAAGTAAAGTAAAAAGGTTTTTTTTTGCTCCAAATTCAACATGGCGACTCCATTGAAAAAGTCAGATCCGACAAAAAAAGACGAAACGGTAACTGAAGAGAACAATGCTGATTCGATTGATTTTGCAAACGGCGAGATTATTCAGAGCTCAGATGCCCTGCAACGCCATCTCAGCAGTCGCCAGATCCAACTCATTGCTATAGGAGGTTCCATAGGAGCGGCCTTGTTTGTTAGCATTGGCTATGGCCTGATGCAAGGAGCCGGTAGTCTCCTTATAGCATTTTCCATCTACTCATGTATTCTGGCCCTTGTGAACAACTCAATGGCTGAAATGTGTATCTTTATGCCTGTGAGCGCTTCCTTTGTGCAGCATGGCAGTGTCTGGGTTGACAGTGCATGGGGTTTTATGGCCGGATGGAATTTCTTCCTCTTTGAAGCATTGCTCGTGCCATTTGAAATCACGGCTTTGGATTTGATCTTGACTTTCTGGCGAGATGATATCCCGGCCGCCGCTGTCATCTCTGCATGCATCTTCTTTTATGCGTTAGTTCTTCGACCCCTGAAAAGAATTGGATCGTGGCTATACTAAACTAGGACTGTTCAGAATCACCAATGTGCTCGCAATCAATTATTTTGGCGAAGCCGAATTCTGGCTGGCGGGAGGAAAGCTTTTGCTCATCATCATTTTGTTTCTCTTCACTTTTATCACCATGGTTGGAGGGAATCCACAGCGTCATGCATATGGATTTCGAAATTGGTCGAAACCAGTATAGTCTCATATTTTCGTTTTTTTTTTCCTTTTCATATGGCACAGGCTAACATTGTCCCCTTTCCAGAGTCCATTTGTCGAGTACTTGGCTACAGGAGACCTCGGTCGCTTTGAAGGATTTCTGGCTGCGTTGTGGCAGGCCTGTTTCACCATTGTGGGGCCCGAGTATCTGGCCACTGTTGCAGGTGAAGCACAACAGCCGCGAAAGACATTGAAAAAGGCATTCAAATCTGTCTACTGGCGGTTTGGTGTCTTCTTCATTGGAGTCGCGCTCTGCGTCGGCATTGTTCTCCCAGCGAATGACCCAACTCTGAGTTCAGTGTTGAGCGGCGGTAAGGGCAGTGGCACCGGCGGCGCATCACCATTTGTAATTGCCATGGTCAATATGAAGATTGAAGTTTTGCCGCATATCGTCAACGCTCTCCTGTGTACCAGCACCTACTCGGCGGGAAATGCCTATGTATACTGCGCGACGCGGAGTCTTTATAGCCTTGCTCAAACCGGACAAGCTCCCAAATTTCTTCGAAAAACGTCCAAGAACGGCATCCCGATATACTGCTTGGCTATTGTGTTGGGATTTGCCTGTCTGGCTTATTTGAAACTCAGCAGTGGCTCTGTAAAGGTTCTGACAATGTAAGAATGCCTCTTTCAATCATTTTCTATATTTGCGATTTTTTTCCCCCGCCGCACGGGTTGCTGATTCCATACAAACAGGCTCACCGATCTGGTAACTGGCGGCGAGCTGGTGACTTATATTGTCATGTGTGTCAACTACCTCTTCTTCTATCGGGCACTGAAAGCACAAGGTTTCGACCGCCGTGAATTGCCGTACCGGGGATATTTCCAACCTTACGGGACCTGGATAGCTGTGATTTTCCTTGCTCTTGTAGAAATTTTCTACGGATACTCGGTCTTTTTCAAAGGACACTGGGATATTGGCACCTTTTTCAGCTACTATACGATGGTTTTCCTTGCAATCTGCACTTTCAGCTGTTGGAAGATTATCAAACGGACTCGATTTGTCAGTCCAGATAAGGCAGATCTGGTTTGGGAACGCCCGGTCATTGACAGATACGAGGCCATGATGCTGCACGATGACGTGGGAATGCGGAGAAAGTTTATGCAGAAGTTGGGGTTGTATTCACAACGTATTCGTTGGTCACGGAGCTCGCAGGCGTAATGTGTAGCATTTCGACGTCATGTATCAAGATTAGACTTATATCTAGAATGAATGGTTATAGAGCAACGCAATATAAAGTGCAATTTATTTTCGAATCTCTAGGTTTTATTGCACCTTTCTTGGTAGAGTCGAAGAAATTTTTCAATGCAGCAAGCAGACGAAAACGAGTAAAGACAGACAATGGAGAGAATACGATTTGGAAACAAAGCTCCCCATAGACAAATAATCAATTTCATGACGCACCTAAGATCGGATAGCTTCCGGTCCTGATAAGAGGAAGCCCGGAGGCTGGAGGCTGGATGCTGGAGCTATTTCTCAGCTTTTAATGCAACACTGCAGCAGTTTACCAGCCGTGGGCCCGTCGCCCATGAATTCATGATGCCTAGTACTACCAGTAGTCCAGCCCAGCTATAAATCATCAATTTTCTTTTTCTCTATTTCAACCTCAGCTACCAAGACACGAACGGCATATTGAAGCAAGTTGCAACCAACCACACCCCCCTTGTCATACAATCCTACGTCATGGAGGAAGAACACATCATCGCCCCAGATGTGTGCTATCACGAAATGCCTGCATTCGCCATCCCGCACCGTCTGACGACCTACTCCAATCTCGCGGACGAGTGTAAGGACGCCCACGAAATCAGCAACCGTCTCAAAGACGCCACCATCATCGTAACGTCCTCCGTGCCCATCTCCGCATCGACGATTGCCCGCTGTCCGCATCTCAAGCTCATTGTGCTCTCGTCCGTCGGCTACGACCATGTCGACATCGAGGCCTGCCGCAGCCGAGGAATCCGCGTATGCAACACGCCGTCCGCATACACAGATGCCGTGGCCGAGCACTGCATCGCGCTGTATTTTAGCGTCAAGAGACGCATTCCGCTGATGCATCAGTGGACGCTCGATGGCAATTGGGTCAAGGATCCGACGGGCTGCGGGCCGTTTGAGGGGTACGTGCCCCGGGCGTGTAGACAGGAGGTTTTGGGGGTTGTGGGATATGGCGGGATAGGTACTCTGATTTTCCCTTCTATTTCTTTATTTCTTTTTTTTTTGTTTTGTTTTTAGTCCTGACACTTTTACTTTTTGTATTTTTTCTTTTGATACAAACCCTGGCGAGTCACGAGTCACGAGTCACGACTGGGCATGTAGCATGTTACATGTTTCCTCTACATTGGTAACCTGTCAGGCTGTCACCTGTGGATTCCACACATGAAGACGGTAATTCTTTGCCAAATTGAAGTCTACTGTCTGGCTAATTCAGATTGCGAATTGCGGAGTATATAGGTAAAGCCATTGCCAGAATAGCCACTTCGCTGGGCATGACCACTCTCATTGCAGAAAGACGCGAACCCCCTCATAATCATTCTTCGCATTCGCAATCACAACAAACGCCATCCTCCGGCAATTCAAAACAACCCCGCGCAGGACGTGTTGCATTTGAAGAAGTCCTGAAAACATGTACCGTGCTTGCATTGGCATGTCCGTTGGACGACTCCACGCGGAACACGCTGACCGAACGGGAACTATCAATGATGCAGCCTCATGCAATCATCATCAACGTTGCGCGCGGCGGGGTCGTTAATGAGGCCGATATTGCAAAGGCGTTGCAGATGAGGAGAATTGCGGGGTATGCAACGGATGTGTTTTCCAAGGAGCCGGCGTCGTCGTCGTCAGAGGATCCCAATCCGCTCTTGGCGGGGACAGCAGGGACAGCAGGGACGGTGCCCAATATAGTCCTCTCGCCGCATGTGGCGTGGTATAGTCAGAGTAGCGTCAAGAATATGCGCGCCACGATAAAAGCGAATGTGGAGGCGTTTGTAGCGGGGAGTCCGATTAATGTTGTGTAATTATAAGTACGTGAAGTTTAGGTAGCCGTGGATGTGTGATTTGTATAGTCTTGGGCCTTTGGCTATGTCATACATACCTTATATACATACATATAAATGTATATAAACAAAATCAATAGATAACGATCATAAATACAGGAGAGGCATCTGTGGAGACTGGCCTATAGAAGAACTGGAATTTATGTAACAGGTGTAGTTAGATCCGTATGACATCTTGAAAAGCAGTGACTAGTACTGAGTAGAGATTGTCTCAATAATTATTATGTCTGCTTGTCATGGTATGGTGAATCAATGTTGAATTGTAATTTTATGGACTATGTAGTTTATGGACAGCTTTTCCGACATTTGCAGTGTTCAGGCACTGATGTGGATTATCTCCTTACTTTACCAAACCATATAAAGATATTTTCGCTATCTCACTAGAGGAATGAAGACTTCATATTTGGCAAAACACGCTACATTCAATGTTTTTGCACAGATCATAACTTGAATTCAATAGAAAGGCTGAACGCAAAGACTACTTAGAAAGATAGTATAGGTGAAAATGAACCCAGATACCCTCAATTCAGTTCGCCACGGATCTCAAGCCCGTTGTGAACCTTGCCCGAAAGGACTTGTTCGATAGGAACGATCTGATCTTTGGTCACGCCCAAATGCTTGATCTGTTGGTCGATAAAAGAATTGCACAGCGCCACGTCGAACTCCTTCCCTGCCTCCTGGCCTGAAGACAACTCCTGCCGTGCTCTTCGAATTCGCTCCTCGAGGATTTCCAAGCGATAATCCGCCCATTGATAATACAACTCGGACGGCTGGGCAATACGTGTGATATATTTGAGGTGAGAATCGTCGACAATCATGGGATTCTTGGGCCTGAACGCCGTCACCATCGAAATGCGTTCTCTGCCACCCTGTGCAGCAAGTGCTTGGTGGTTAATGTATCTTCCTTGCATCACGGCAGCACATCCCTATTTGATTTTAGTATATGTTGTTAGCCTTTTATATCATTTTTTTTTTTTTGAAAAGCACATCGCAAGTGGGTGAATTACCATCTGTGGGCCTCGAATTTTGTGAACTTCTCCCTCAGCAGTCTTGATCGCAGTCTCGCCACCAGCCATATTGGACACATCACTCAGCATGACCACGCAGACAAATGGGTAATGGTCAAAATGCCAGTTTGTCACCTTGCCAGCGGCTCCATCGGCTTTTCCATGCGCTCGACGCCCCGCAAGAGCTGATTCTTCTGTTGAAGCAATTAGAATATTACCAAGTTCAAAGTCCATGACTGGAACAAGCTCGATGCCTGCAATGTCCGAGATGATTTTGAGGGTCTCGGGACTAGTCAGCGCAGCATTCATGAATGGCGTATATCTACAAGCAAGAAGGTGTTAGTTCTGATGGCGCGGGTGAGCCAAGTTTCTGAAAGCGGTCAAACTTACTTGGGACAGTGTCCTCTGATGCTGAGGGCAGTAGAGTTTCCAGCAATATAGCAACAGTTCTTCCAGACCTCATCGGAGAAAATCTCCTCTCTCATGATGCCAATTGCTTCCTTGCTGAACAATGAGAAGCCCTCAGATACAGCCACTGGAGAGATTCCTGTGTCTTCTGGATAACCAACATCTTTCATTTGGTAGATATGCTCGGGTGCTGCATAGTTGAGATGCTTCTTGGGGTCGAAGGTGACCTGAGCTTTGGTTTCATTCTGTTTATGGTTGATGATTGGCCGATAGTGAACAGGTCCTCCATAAAGAGGGCGCTGCGGTGTAAAAACTTGGGCTGCCATGATGACGGATTTGTTGAATTATTCCGAATGCGAATTGAATGAATGTTGCTCTCAGTAAATAAATACTGTTTTATATGCAGACCTTACCATGTGAGAGACTCGGGCGGATAACAAGTATATTCGCTGAGATGAATCCTTATCTCCATGTTGGGTGAGATAGTCCATGTACATGACAATCGCATAGCGACTCGAAAGTATCGTCACGGATCATCTGCATAGGAATTGTCACGTTGCATCTGCGGCTATATGGTCGATAAGATATGAGATAGGGAGGAAACTCTCCGAGAGGTTCTGAACCAATGATATACCACTAGGGCTTCCGATCTTCTACCGCACCTGTCGCTGATTCAACCATTTTGATCGGAAGCCATCCGTATTGCCGCATATCTATTTGTTTGATTGATCGGATACAAAATTCCCCTGTACCCCTCCTTTTGATGTGATATTAAACGAGGTATATTTCCAGAATTTTTCTTCATTGTCTATGAAGCAACATTAGAAATTAGAATCTCCCAGCACTTGACGACATTGTTTATATGGAGGTGCAGAAACGAAACACTTATAAAATCTCCGACGACAGATAATGTCGGGCCAACTTCTCCTGGCTTTTAGGACATCTCATGAGAATACTCCGTAGAGGACGCCAGCGGTTGTTGTGAAGCGGAGACAAAGTACGGGGTTACAGGTTGTTCGACAGAGGAGAAGTTGGATCCTGATACCCAACCCCTCAAACGGACCCCTAATTCGGTTATCTTTAGCGACAGCCAATAAGCCCAAGCTCGCGGCGGGAGCTGCTTGCAGGTAGGATTTGACGGAACTGAATCCCCGTTTGAGCAGTAGATCTCCTGTGAACGATTTCCAACTTCTCTCTCGAACAGGTATAGTCAATAAATATGATAATTTGGGGTGTAATTGCCCGTTGCGTCTTCAAGAAGTGTGGATGGTTGAAGAGTCGTTCAGGTGTTATGCTGCTTAGACGGAAATTTATGCCACTTGTGCATAATATATATGCACGGACAAGTCTCCACCAACCCGCCCGCCCTTATCGTGAACTTATCTACTACGTAAGGTTAAGGTATATACACTGCCCACAATAGAGTAAAGACGTTCCATATGGCTTGAAAGAATCGCTTCTCTGAGAGCAATTGCATGATTTCTTCTACTATTCAAATTGCACACGGCAGAGAGGATACGGGGACTTGTCCCCTGACTGCCGTCTCCTTATCATCTATCCTATCCCTATCACCAGGCGGCAGATATGCAAGCCGAAGCCCGCAAATTAAGAAGAACTCCTAACGCGTAAGGAAACCCTCCTAATATTTCTTCCTGGAGCATTGAACAATGCATTTGACATATGTTGCTTGGATCTTTTTAGATGTATTCCATGCCGTCAGAGCAAAGTGAAATGCTCTGGCAATGAACCATGTACCAGCTGCCAACGGCGGCTTGTGAAGTGCCGGTTTGCAGAGGAAGGCAACAAATTGTTGGTATCGGAGAGGTTTGTGACTTGAATATCCTATGAGATTCATGGATGAGAACGGGACTTATAGAGGTCTCAGGTATATCCAAGAGCTACAGAACCAGGCGAAAAATCAGCATTGCGGAACTGGAACGAAACGCTCCCATGACACAGCTATGGGATCCGGCGATGAAATTGATAGTGAGCAACACTTTGATCAGATCTTTATTTAGCTGTATTGTTCTCAAGACTAAGCCCTTGTCAGAGGTAACAGACGGCCAATCTAGAGAACTGCAACCTTCCAGCTGGAGCAACAATGAGCACAGCATATGGAGAAACCCATTTACATTCCCCTCTATGACTATAAAAAATCCCTATAAAGACAACCGTACCTGGAGTAAGTCTCTAAGCTAGACTCAGTCTAATATTCTAATTACTGACATCTTGGAATTAGTTTGGCTAGCTCCTTCATCAGTATGGTCGTTCACTAGGCGGCTCACAACCATGATAACCGAGAAGCTTGACCTTGAAGATTCTTACAGTAGCCCTTTATTCAAAGATGGAGATATTTACCAATTAAGTTGGAAACTATCCTCTGATGATAGCCTTCCTGATATCAGTGGTATCCCACCGATTGATTATGCGCTGTATCTCTTCAATACCGTCAAATTCCATCTCGGCCAGAACTATCGATTCTTCGATGAAGAGGCGTTCATTACCCATATGCAGGAATTCTACTACGGGTCGGCTATTAAAAAAGCTACAGAATCTCGGCTTTGGTTTGTCCAGTTCCTCTTGGTCCTTTCATTTGGAAAAGCTTTTCTGTCGCGATCAAGGAACCCTAGGGATCCACCCGGCTCAAAGTTCTTTGTTCGTGCCATGTCCCTCATGCCTGCGCATAGTTCTCTGTTTAAGGATAGTCTGCTGGCAATTGAGGTTCTGGCTCTTGCTGGATTATATTTCTATTCAATTGATCAAAGAGAGTCGGCGCATTTATACGTAAGCGAACCTTTCATCATTACACTAGGGACTTTTGCTAATATATCTACCTTTTTTGGAATTGAATTTAGGTAGGTCAAGCAATACGCATAGCGCAGTTGGAAGGAATGCACACCGAGCTGCCTGAAGAGGAACTTGGCGCGGCAACCCTGACCCGGTGTCGCAACCTCTGGTGGACTTTATACATCATGGATCGACATTTTTCGTCATCGGTAGGGCTTCCAATGAGCACACAAGATAGCGATATTGCTACTTTAATCAATCCGCCGGGTATATCTTCACAACGAGATACGACTCTCAGTCTACAAGTGAAGTTGTCACGCTTACTGGCCTTTATCCTGACTAGTATGTTCTACAAACCTGTCACCCTCCACACCTTTCCCCTTTTTGTCGTTTGCAGAGTTTTATGTCTCATTTATCTTTCAATATAGCTGTATACAAATCAGTGAAAAGTCCAATGAAGACGTTTCTCGAGACCACGCAATCTATAGTGAATACTATTGCTGGACATGCGGAAGAAATCGAGAAGATAATCCACGTCAAATTCCAGAGCTCGGTAGATTCAATGCCCAAGGGGACGCGCCATATAACTCTATTATATCACCAGGTTCGTTGAAATAAAAATCCTCTTTTTTTGCATACCTTTAATTCCCTAAACTATTTTATTTACTGCAGTGTGTCATTGTGGCAACGCGGCCTCTTCTTCTTTCAGTGCTCAATGAAAGACTAGAAAAGTTAGATGACGGCGGAGCGGACTGGCAAAATTTCTTGCCCCGTACGAAGTCGTTAATCTCCACCGGTATCAACTCAGCTATAAAGACACTTGAGATATTGTCTGCATTAGTCGAGGACAGTCTTCTTGGTAAGTCCGAGTTCTCCATATCTATTATGATACGAGACATTGTTATCATCTGAGAAGGAACTACGAGCTAAATTTGATCTCTTTAGAGGGTTTCCTGCCATTTGACCTTGAATTTACATACGGATCTGCCGTGCATCTGATAATGGCAAACACACTCTTCCCCAACATGATCGACGGACAGAATACCTATAGCCAAGACGCACATTCGATTCTGGACGAAATCATCTGCAAGGGAAACAGAGTTGCCGAAGTGCGGAAACAAGAATTAATTTATCTCGAGGGCTTGTTTCAGCAGCTTGCCACGCGTGTAGACCGGCGGGGAGATTTCCAAAGCTCTTTTACGCCATCTGTCCTTGACAATAATGTGCAGATAATCGAGCCAAAAGATAAAAGTTCTTGTGAAAAGGAGGACGAGCAGCAGCAGCAGCAGCAACAACAAGAACTCCCACAACAACCACAACCACAGCAGAAAGCATCTAGGACATCTCCTGAAACACCAACAACTGCCACTCCTCAATCAGTCACAGCCGCCTCCGGAGACCCTCATCAATTATCTCCCGCTTCGCTAAACCTACAAATGTCGTCAACTAATATCGAATATCTCAACAATATTCGAATCTCTTCGTGTGAGATTCTCTCGATCATGGACCAGATTGGCAATCATGAACAAGACTGGGAGGCAGGCGTTTAACAGATACTTGTTTCATTCATTAACATTACATGAACATGGCATTGCTTAGCTCAGTAGCCAAACGAAAGACATGAGTAGTGCAGTCACACAAGTAAGAAGTGAATATTTCCAGTGTTGCAGTTGCTAGTAAAAGTTTGCCAGATTCGTGGCTCACTATTAGTGTGCAAGACATTGGATAGATCCTTTGGTACATGTAATACAATAGTGCATTGCTTCACAACAATCCGTGATGGTGTAGCGGTAACATCGGTCGCTCTCAAGCGATAACCTCAGGCTTAGCCTGAAGTCCATCTCGTGTCCCGACCAGCCCGGGGTTCGACTCCCCGTCACGGAATTTTTTTGCCTTTTTATCTTGATCAGCCCCTGCTGTCAATTAGAAATTTTTTACTTTCCCACATGTATGGAAAAGATTTGAAATATTCTCAGTGTACACCAGTAAATCTTATTCCAGTGAACATACTCATAACTCGGTAATGATAATACTCATGTTTCGCATCATTTAGAACTTCTCAGTCACTGAACATAGCACGACATATCAATGCTGGACGAAGAATGGAAAAAAGGAAGGAAACAAAGCATTAAAAAAGTAATCGCCGGCCCAGCCCTCCAAAATACCCAGTTATGCCCCGTTCCCGTATTATCCAAGAAAGAGCCTGCTATCCTTCGCCTAAACGCACTGATCATATAAAAAAGGCAACATCTCATGTCCAGGCAGCCGTAAAACGATCCGACCATAAAAGAAAGGGAAAAAAAAAAAAAGAACAGAAGGGAAAAGTTGAAGAAGAGATTGCAGTTCCCCACACGCAGTACCCCGGTGGCAGCTACACCTCAAAAAGCCCTCCTCTGCCTTCGGGCTTGTTGCTTCTCCGCCTTTTTCCTCGCAATCCACCCACGCGCAAGGGCCTGGGTGAGGGTTACCGACTTGACAAGCTGGTCAATTTTCTTTGCGAGGCAGGCTCGCCAGGCGCGCTGCAGGACGGTTGCAGCATTAATGACGCGATCTCTGGTCAGCACGACGGATTGGCAATCATGCGCGAGCTTCATGAGCGTGACTCGCTGATGAATGGTTCGGCGGACAAGCATGTGCCGGTATGCGCGCTGGATTGTAGACGTGGCGCGGACTTTAACAGCGGCTGGAACGAGCCGGGAGCAGAGGAAGGCAAGACTGGCGAGGACAAAGTCCCGATCGAAGACGCGGCCGGTGTGGATTGAGCTGCCGAAGAGAGATGCTGGGTGATGTTAGCAATTTAATTGAACATGTGAACATTATTGGAGAGAGATGGTGAATGAAATGGAGTTGGGATATAGTGGGGAATAAAAAGACAGGGGAAGGAAAAAAACTCAAAACTTACCAAAGTGATGGCTGCAGCCCAAGTTTCGGAGCTTGGAATCCAAGCCCTGGCTCTGAGTTGGGTTTGTGGGATCGTCTTCTGGAGAATGTTCGGAGTTGGAGATGATGTGTGGAAAGTAGACTTCGTATTCCTGGACAATCTTGGCAAAGACTTGGCCATTTGCAAATGACGTGGTAAGATTGGAGACTTTGAGGCCGTGAAGCCGGCCAATGCTGCGCGCCCATAATTTCAGCAAATAGGTATAGCGCTCTAGTCCGTCGAGGAACTCCAGCTCTTCGTAATCTTCGTCGATGCAGTCCTCGTCAGCCTGATCGGGGTGCATTTCCGCGAATTTGCGTTTGAAAGTTCGGATTTCTGGCAAAAGCATCTTTTCTTCGACGAGTGCGCTCAGGCCCCATTTGCCTACTAGAGCCCATAATAGGCCAAGGGTCTTTTCTCTGTATCCGTCCACAACATCTTCCGGCTTGATTGTCTTGAGTACGCCGTCCATGCCCTTGACTCCATGAAGAGCGGCCAGGGCAATCTGCACGTTGTACATTCTTTGTGCCTTTGCTTGGCAAGGCAGTTTGAGGAATTGCGACAGAACCCAAGGATTTCCGTCTCTCTCTTGCTGCATAAGATCCAGAATTTCACCGGTTGGCATCGTAATAGTCGTATTCGTCGCATTCTCCTGATGAAGATTCAATGAAGGTGGCGGGAAAAGTAGCAGCTCCACGAGATGAGTAAGGTAGACTCCGTCGCGTAGGTCAGTCGCTAGGTTGTTGATCTTGTATGTGCGTTCTTCGAGCGGATATTGGATATGATGGATGTGGTAGTTGAGATGACCCAGTGCTTTGGGCAAGTCTCCCAGCGACGGGAGTAGTATTTGGCTCAATGCAGTCAAAACTTCTTTTGTCGATTTGTATAGCGAATTGGGCAAGAATAGACAATCTGTGATATTTTCGGAGACCCTGGCCTTGTCGAGAAGCAAAATTAGCATCAGGCTTCGTAGAGTAGTTCGTCTGATACACCACTCTGGTGATCCGCTCAAGGAGTCTCGGTCATCGTTGGATCCATGAGTAGCGTCAGAATTGCGAACAAGGAAGATGTTGAGATATTCCTCCAAGATTCGTCTTTCAGGCTTTGAAATTTCTTTCCTTTCGCCGGTAGAGCTGCGTCGTGGTTCCCGAGCAGCTTTTGGGATGGCACGACCGATAATGACCTCGGCTGCCGCCCTTAATGCATATGGCTGGTACGTTCCCAACCACAGATCGAGAAACTTTCTGCGCAGGCCAATATCATCTTTGAGCCGAGCCACCTTGGCCAGCTGTTCTTTTGGTAAATTCAATGCACCGTACAATAACGAGGCCTGGAGCCGTTTGTGTAAAAGGACCATTTCGTTGGTCTGATAAATATCCAGACAACTTTTCCGGAGTTGAAGTGGGCAGGGGAGCAGTTTGTTCGCCTGCCCGGAAGATTCGAAAAGGCCATTGATCAGCTGGGTAATAGCTGCTTCTTGGTTACTCAGCCAATTATCCTCATACATGGATGCATTCATAATGTCATCTTGGAGTAACGGAAATTTCGCAATGCTATCTTGCGATAGCGACTGGACAACTGGCGTCCGGAGTTTCCGTGGTACCATTTCGGCCCTATTCTGAGCTCTGTCCATTGGCGATGCTCTATTTCCCCTGCATACCGACGGACTCGCTTTTGATACCTGGGCAGATTTGCTACCTGCGCACTCGCCAGCTTTGGATTTCTGTAGTTTGAGCCGGCCATGGTCCATGCCCGGACTGCTGCTGCTGCTGCTGTCTCGCTTCCTAACGCCATTCGATTGCAAACTGGTACACCTTGGTGTAGATGCTAAAGGAGAAGGGTGTTGTACTTTAAGACGCGGTCTTGGAGCTGTGTTTGCCTTGTCAAGCTCTACAGAAAAGAGGCTTTTTCCAGATACCTTGGTAGCCTTCTTGGCCTCAAGGTATCCTGGCGGTACATTTTCTTTTCCCGGGCCGCTTCCTGGGAGATCGGATACCATCCTAGCGGCCTGAATAGTCTTCTTTGTCGTTTGGAGCGGAATTCGTTTTGACGCTCCTGCCAAAACTTCTCTAGTCTGGATTCCCTTGGGCGCACCCTCAGAAATATTGCTCGGCAGCCTGGCGGAGATCCCGTGAAGCGTCTGCCCATTGCGCTTCGCAGCAGCATTTTCGCGCGCATGTGCATTTGTGCTATTGTGCGCGCCAGGGTGAATGGTTAGAACGGTCGTGTCATCGGATGGAACATATATTGTCCTCCTTCTGGGATCTTTTGTAAAAGTCGTGTCCTTGGCTATCTTGTCCACCTTCTCTAGTCTCATCGTATCGCCATTAAGATTGTTTTCTCTGTCTGCAAGGATAGCTGACACTCGTCTTCTTGCCGGCTTGGCTGCACTTGCATTCTGTTGTGACTTTGATGTTTGCGACCTAGGTTTTGGAGTGGACTTTTGGGCTGCATCTGCTTGGCAAGTTGCTGTCTGAACACCTGTATAACATTCTGATGACACATTCTCTGCCAGTGTTTGACTCTTATCGCCGTTATCCAGCCAGATATCTAGCTTTCTCTGCGTCCGCCGAACGTTGCTTATTTTCTTCGGAGCGTTTGTCCTCCTCGGGGCAGTGGATAGCAGAGATTTTTCATTCAGATCCGGTCCTGCAATCGATGAAATAGCCCCAACGTCAATATAAGGCTGTGCAGTTGAGGTTAAGCAATCATACGGTCCTGACCGCTTGACGGATGGCAAATAAGACATGATGAACTGATTTCGAGTAATCGGTTAGGAAACCCGGGCTTCTGTAAATCTTGGCTTGTTTCGGTATTGGTCGCTTAATACATCACCATCGCGATGAGAGAAGGTGTTGTGTCTTTGAGAGTTCGGAGAAAAAAGGTCAATAATCTGTCCCTCAGAATTAATATTTCAATATGAAGTCGCGTCAATCGCCTTTGACGTGTATCGTGGTGGACTAAACAATTGTTTGGCCTGGTTGGCCATGGCAACCATTTAGCGAAAGTTCAAGGGTCTTGTCCGTCTTTGACCCCGCCGACCCCTGGTTCTCCTCGTATGCTTAACCGAAGCCTCCTTCCCCTCGGTCCTAGAAATGACGTATAGAAGGATCTCATGTGTGAAAATGTTCGGAAAATGAAACTTTGTAAGCATTTCCAATGAGTGCCTGCAATTTTAAGCTACAACTTTGAAGCATTAATCATTTCGTGGGGGTAGAGATATCACGGGACTCAATATCGAATTCTGGCGCTCATCGCGGCTCAGGCACCTCCGGGTCCTACTATTTTGAGAACATCTTCTGCACACTCAGAGATTTACCTTATGTTTGACGATATTCTTGAGCCGAGTTGAACCTATATCATTTTATAAGTTTGGAAAAGCGTTTCTTGAACCGTAGATTTTGCCCAAGCAGGTATCTCGTGGACCGCTGGGACCGTTTGGCATTTGGATCTGGCATTGAGTTGAAGAATATTTCCCCACCAGTCTCTTCAATAATAGAAACGCATATCGTAGCTGACTCTGCAAATAAATGGCATGCGTCTGATATTTGAGACTCAATGGCGATTGAATTCGAGAGATACAAGTTTGAGGTGATTATGATTTTACAATTTCGTTGGACGCTTGTTCGTCGAGGAAATCAAAATTTCCGGATCACAGGTTGTGGCATTAAGAGTTACTAATGTCTCATCTAATCCATCGAGGGAGTAGAGGTGTGACCATGAGACTGATTTATCGAGATGGGGGCCGGCCATTATCTCAAAAATCAAAGTCGACAAGCTCAAAAGAGCAGTCACAGACCCGTAGACCGAAAGGGGTAATCATTATTTGATCCAGATAGTTGATCTTGAACGGTCTTGAAGACACAACACATGGAATAGGAATTCCCGTTCTCATTTACTCATTCACGGAACAGAGATTGCAGCTTTTTCGGTCCGAGAAGACGTAGTTTCGATTTGTCATATTTATTCATATTCTGACTGGAAGCTGAATATTCACTGAGCAGTGGCAACTCCTGGAAATCCATCGAAACATGAATCCATTTTCTGTCAGCCATCTCTCCCTCCTTCATGATTAATGAACGAAGAAAGCCCCCTGGGTAGCACATTCGGGCAAGGAGTCGAGCAAGCTTCTCTTCGAGGGGATTGAAACCTCTCTCCATGGGTAAGAAACTCCATGTCCGTCCATTCTAGAAGTTTTGTCACGTAGTTTTGATGCTTTCTGTGTGCCCTTTGCTTTCAATTCAATCTCACAAGATTGAACTGGGCGTAGAATCCCAAATAATCGTACCTTTTCAAGTTGAAATGTGAGGCACGAGTGACTCATCGAAAAAGAAACAAGGAGAATGTGGTAAGTCAGACGATTTTGTTTGAAGACTTTGTTTAACCTCTGGTTGGCTATCCAGGCCGAGGTTTAAACTTGCCAGCCCCCGCATTTGAATGCCCAAAAGGGGAAATCTGAAGTCCAAGTCAGCTTTATAAATTTCACTCTCATGCTCTCGACTCTCACCTCCTCCTCTCTTCTCCACCGCAGTCTACTCCGACCCTCACAACCTAGTCAAGCACAACATCCATCTGATTGACTTAACATAACCTCTCAAGAAAATGACCACCAGAAAGCCTATCACAAATGAAGCAGCCAAGGTTGCATATTTGTTCAAAGCAACTGCAATCGAGCTGTACAGTCATGAATGTAACATTGACTTTCTGAGAGAAGAAGTAAGCAACTTGTACCACTTCGGTCACAAAAGATAACAACTTACAAACTTCAGGCTCAAACCAGAGGTACCGACATTCTATTCCTGATTCAGCAGGTCTGTGACTCAAATCCAAGCCAAGGAATGAGTCTATACGAGCTGGCTCAGTACGAGAAACTTTATTATGGTATCTGTTCAAAGATACGTCGGACTGTTGGAGAGATTTTTGATCGTCTGAACAAAGGGTTGATCGAAATGGAGACTATTTTGCATCAGCGTGGAATAGGGTGCGACAGTGAACGCAGCCCGTTAAGAGTGAAAAATTTCCTTGATCTCCTTGAGACCCATTGGGGAATTCTCAATGACTCTGGCCTGGTTTCAATCCTACACGCTGCAGTCAAAGAAAAGAATATCCAGATTGCCATTGAGCAACGGCTTAAGACAACGCTCCTCTCCAGTCAAAATCCTGAAGATCACAAAACACAAGACAGAGACTTGCTGCGTTCACAGCTGGAGCAGCGACGTCATGAAATTCGACAGAAACTTAACAAGATGCCCGGGCTTCGAGACTTTTCGAATGTCCCAGCTTCGGATTTATTTGCAGATCTTCGCGTTGGTTATGATCAAGAGATCGAAAGAGAGAGGAAGATTCATGCAAGTGGGATTAAGGATCGTCAGATTGAACGTGCCAGGATTCACCATCAAAGAGCGCTTGACATACTTTGTGGAAAGGAGGTCAAGCGGTCGATCAGCCTCGCCAGCAGCGAAAGCAGAGATAATCTTGATGGGAATGACGAGCCGAAATGCCTTAATCTTAGTTGCACCTGCAAGCCAGATTGCTTGTGCGCTCCGCTCTGTGCCGACTATCCTGAAAACGATTGCGCATGTAAGACAATTCCACTCTTTGCTGAAATTCGCGAGCAAATCGCAGTCGAGAGCAGCTTGGGAGATATTGCAGGCCACCCGCACCTCCTCGGAGCAAGAAGCGAAAAGTCAGCCCAACTGCAAGTGGCAGCACTCGCCCTTCCAGAAGTGTCGGAGTTTGAAGCCGCAGTCAAGTTAGTCGAGGACAGTCTCGCAGAAATGGAGCTGACAGACTATGCGAGAGCCGTTCAATCTCGCAGCAAAATGGATGGATTGAACACAGTGTCTTCAGTTGCATCAAGAATACGCTTTGAGCCCTCGCAGACTGCCCGGAAGACCCACCAGTCGGAGAGGATGGATCGCTTTTGCCAGCGCCACAAATACAATCCATCCTTGTCGACAATCGAAAGCGAAAACGCCAGCTCGGCTGATCAACCCCGTCCCATGGTCCTCAGGGCTGAGCCAAAGAACAAACGCCAACCTCGAACTCTTCTCGAATCGCCAGATATAATTGAGAAGGAGAAAGATTCTAATATTCGCGTTCACTTCGGAGAGCTATTCCTGGAGTGTGGGAACAAGAATGCTACTCCAGGAGAAAATCGGAAGGCGATGTGAAGTTAATTATTCTTTCGCACTATCATCTGCTGGACCAGAAGTTGACGCTGTGCACGAAAAGTTAGTGAAATATACGGGGAATGGTTGCTGGGAGCACTTTACCTGCACGGGTTGCAGAAACCAGTCAGATTTACGGAAAACAAGGACTTTCCCATTCGCTCAATTTTGCTTTAACGGGAAGTTTATCTCCTATCACGAACGACGACATATTTAGCTGTTTATCGCCATATTCTGAGCTATTTGTTGCTTCTTAGTTGCATGTAACTTACCTCATCACAAAAAAAAAGGACGATTCCAAATTTATCACAATGCTCCCTTGAATCACCGCTTTTCATAGAAAATCCTTCCAGGCTGACTCTTAGAGCTCGTAATTCAACTGAGGTTTAGGCTGAGTGGCACAACGGCAAGTCAAATCTGACGCCTGACAAGAGCGAACAGTCTCTGACCTAGGAAAGTCCCTGCTAAACAACGGTGTAGGTTATTTCTTCGAACTTAACTTGTCAGGCAGCATTCCGATCTTTCATCTGCTCCATTACTTACGTATCAAACCTGCAGATAACAGCGAATAGCAAGGCTTTTGAATTTCATGGCGGACATCATCCAGTGGAGGCTCGGAGTTCGGCCCCTTCCTTCAGTCATAACATCCGCTGCTTCCCCGTCATTGCAGCCGCAAGCAACCTCCCACAATTCGTTCGGACTGTCAGAGAACCTGACGGGGCAGACACGACCTCGAAGCCGTTTATCCAGCTATTTTTCAGGTCATCGTTCGCCTTTATCACCGAATAAATGGACTGGGGCACCGGTCGAGTTGTTCATTCCCAAGCAGAAGGATACTGTTTATGAACCTGATCCGGAGCAAATGATACAGACTCTGCTTACTCAACTGCTAACAAACCCCTCAAAGGGAGTTCCAGCGGAATATAACAGTTCACTACTTCACGTGCTTGAAGCTTACCGGAAACTGAAACAGGAATGGCGTGACGTTCAGGAGAAGCTGAGAGAAGAGACTGAGAGTCATGAGATAGACACCAATGAATTCGAGAACGCAGTCTCAATGTGGACAGAAGAGAGACAGCTATTGCGAGACGAAATCAAAAGTTTGGAGATGGAGCTGGAGAGAGTACGGGACCGGCATTTGTCAAAATCAGGAGAGGAGAGTAACGCTGAGCACTCGGCCTTGCAAGGTAGAGCTGGGAGAATGAACAAGCTTCAGATCAATGCAGGGCTCAAACTTCAGACAGGTAATACTTAAAAGGCCTCCTGTTTGACCGGCGCTGCTAACTTCTGTCAGACGGGTTTCATCAACCGCCGCGTTCTCCTTCGCATCAAATGATTTTGTTAAGTCAGAGCTTAGCCAGCATACCAACAATGACTTCGCCCCAAGCAACTCCGCCTGAAGCAAGCGATAGGAATAAACTCTCCAGAGTGTCGACCATACTTCCAAACAGTAGTGAGAATTTCTCAGATTCTGAGATCATAATGTCTGCCTTGTCTGAAGGCTCTCTCGATCAACCGTTCAGCACTCAAGGCGACCTTCTCTCAGAGGAAGAGGAACAAACTTTTGTCACAAGAAATCTTGAAGCTGCGGACTATATGGCTCTGAACCCTTGGGCGGAATGGTTAGCCGCAAAGCGCGGGATTACCAAAGAAGCCGCACTCAAAATGATAGCGGACATGGCCTTTGCTCAGCCGCTAGCAAGGACTCCGGATGTGAACGATGCATTTCCAATCAATGTGGACTCAGCATCAAAGTTATTGTTCAGATCCGATTCGCTTTCGGCTGGGCATTTGGAATCCAAGACAGAGGCTGAGGCTGATAGAACCCCGCATTCTCGTGTGAAACGAGCGAGAGCAGATCGATTTTCCTTCATGCCAGGAGAAGATGTAATTTCCAATTCTGGTACGAAGGAAAAGGCACAGGCTGTCGCCCCTTGTGCCAAAGGCGGTTACGCAAAGTCATTTAACAAAGACAACGACCAGAGCGGAAAAGACAGTCCCATCTTGGGTACAGAGACCTCTTCGGCCCGCCGACAGACATTGAAGTCCCCTCAGAACTACTTAAGCGTGGCTTCAAACAGGGAAACGACAAACCTATTGCAAGATGAGGCCTTAGGTCGCCATAATTCAGAGTCCAGCAGAAGTGCCATCACTGCAATTCGTCATAATTCTGGCCGAAGCATCGTAACAAGACGTGATTCGAACCAGTCCCAAAAGCTTGAGAAACGGGAGGGCAATAGTTCCGCAACACTCGCAGCCAAGCGAGCTGTTGGCAGGTCCCGACGATCAACTGGAGCCTCTGACAGAAGGGAGATAGCCGTTTGGGGAGAAGGGACAGACGATTCCAGGAAAGGGTTTCGCACTGGTAATGAGGCTAGCAATTGAAGCATCTGGACGGGTGGGGAAAGCGTAGGAACTCGATGAGTTCATACCAGGCAGACTCAATGAAGCCAGATTCCGCGAATGCTTTAGCTGTCATACCTCACCATACTACTCTTGAACTTCAATTCTCGTCCCCAAACCACTAAGGCAATAGAAATATGAAGCAACTGTCAAACACAATGAAAACGTTCAAATGAAGTGATTAGAGTTGAAGCCACCGAACGATCGGTCAACGATTGGCGTTAGGTAAGGCAATTAAAATGAAACAGTTAGAGTTTAGCTTATCCGGCTCCCACTGATAAGGAGCCGTCGGTGGCCTCCGAACCCTCCTAAATTTATAATGATTTATACCTCCAAAGTTATGAATGACTTCGATCCTAGAGATAATACAGTATTCGCAGCCAGTGACGATGCCAATCTCTGTTACTGCGCCTTCGCAGCGCGTTCCTGTTTTACCATTGACGCAAGAGACCTTTGCGCCCTTTGGTACCGTCGTCGAAAACCCCAACCCCACCACTCTTCCTCCACGATCTTCCAACCAGACAGCAGCGAGTCTAGGGACTCAGCCTCCGCCTTCACCCATTCCCGTCGTTGTTGCTAACCAGGGCACTGCTCTAAAATACCTCGATGTTACGCTCCAAACCGATCTCTATGGCAAGGCGCCTAGCGGGAAGCCGTCACGAGCAATCATGACCATGTTCGTTTGCGCGCCGCGGAACCTCCGCCCCGATCCCAGTTCCCCCGAAGTCTCGACCGAAAAAGCCACTTCTATTGAAGGCCTTTTTGACGTCTCGATCCTCGAGCGCCACCCTTTTACCCAGCAAACATTTGTACCCATGGGTCTCAGCGCGGAGGACCCTGACACCCGTTATCTCGTCCTCGTTGCACCGACACTTCCTGTAGCTCAAGGCGATGCCAAGACGGCATCATACCCAACGCCGTGTCCACCACAGAAATCCGGATGGGGCTTGAAAAGCCTATTCTCGCGGTCTCCTGCTGAAGCAGAAAAGACCGGATCAGCCGGCAAAGGCCCCGGTCTACCGGACCTGGCCAACATCAAGGCGTTTGTGGCTACTGGAGCTCAAGCAGTCACCTACGCGGCGGGCACATGGCATGCGCCCATGGTTGTCCTGGGCAAGCGCAGTGTCGATTTTGTGGTCACTCAGTTCGCCAACAGCGTAGGCGATGAAGACTGTCAAGAGGTCGAGATTCAGCCTGAAACTCCCAATGGTGCACTTGCGGTCGTGGTTCCAAAGCATGAGATAACGCAGACTACTGCCCTGGCTAGGGCGAAGCTATGATTGAATGGCAATGCTCATTAGCTTTGATCTGCATGCCTGTCCAAGGGACTCCGTTCATATCTTTACATATTCCTCATTTGTTTATCGGAGGGTATGCCATTGACAAAAGGCCTCCTTACCGGTCCAACACATATATTCCATTTCTTTTTGGCTTTGTACATATATTCTCGTTTAGAGATAGAAAAGTTGATACTCCATACATATCATTTCGTACCCTTCCACTAATATTTCCAAACGCAGTCATCATTGCAGGCCCCGTGGGAGAACGCTGATGTAGCTCGTGAGAACAAATCCTCATTGAGCAATACTAGTTTTTTCACCAGCTAATAATTAATCCATTTTCCCGCAAATAAATGGTCTTTATTTATCAGACATCCCCCACTTCCCCCAAAAAAGGAAGAGTGTATACAACCCCGCCGACTCCTTTTCGGTCCTATTACTAGTTGAAATTCGCGTCACATCATACAGAGCATCCGCTGGAATACTCCGTAAACACAAATGTCTCAATGAAGCAATAACCACGGCCAAACCTTTAGTCCGCATGCAAGGGGGAGCAAAAGACTCGCAAGAATCATTCATCCCCCTGTCACTTGCACTTAGAGATATCCATGAGTAATATTGTGCAATAGTCTTGAAGGACGTCACCCCATGTTGATGAGGTATGACATGCTGCAAGCAATAATTGTATTAGTGGATCTCCATAAACTAGATATTTCCGTCCACATTTTGGGAATGACGTCCGTCAAGCGGTAATCATATTGATCTCAGGTGCCCTGCTCCCAAGAGAGCGACCTACCTAACTACCCAGTACCCAAGGTACCTTTACCTAAATTTTAATAGCTTTGTATGTAAGGTATGCAGACTTAACCTACCATAATGTTACCATGCAAACAGACTTTCTCTTGCGCCCTTTTGAAAGAACCCACAATTACGACATTTCCCAGTGTAGAATCTAATCATGGACATTGGTGCGGGGCTGTTGGCTGTCAAAGGGCGCGCGCGGGTGGGATTTGGTTGTTGTTGAGATCTCTATAGGTGCAACTCGTCGGCATCGGCGCCCGCATAATAGACAGTGCATTATACCTTTTCGTAAGAGGTACAATTCTCTCAAGCAGGTAATATAATACCTACCTGACCCACCTAGGAGGTAAGTTAACAAACACGGGATTATCAGGGCTATAATACGAGCTCCATAATCTATCAGATATGATTCCGATGAAACTACCAATTAGAAGCCCTTTCTCAAGTATGCCGATAGACAAACTTGGGGGCCTCGCTATGACATGTGTACTCGTACCTGAGAAATACGGTAATTAAAAAAGTAGTACAAAGTACCTCAGCTAACAATTATGGGGCTTCCTTGGAGGGAGGCCGGAAAACGGCCAGCGGGGAAAGGAACATACTTAACTTCCGTGGATTCCGTCTTCCGAGGCCGGGTCTGTTTCCCCGTTGGGAGAGACCTGATAGACATGTGGGGGGCCCCCCAACGGGCCACCCCGGGGGGTTGGGGGGTTTCCAACTCCACAGTTCGCTTCTGCAAGGATACAAAAGAGATGTAGCGTCATTACAAGGGTCGAAAGGAAGCATATGCACGTATAATTAACTGGCCAATTGGAGAAATTTTGTGAGAGAAATAAGGCCGAAGCAGAAATAACCCCTGCCTCTCAAATTGTTTATACTTACTTTTTCCCGCAGAGGTGTTTTTGCGTCCGAACTCAGGAACGACTATAGCCCAGCCCAACAACAGTGGGCCGGTTTGAACGACAGATCGCACTATACCCGCCAAATTTGTGTATTGGGTGTGCTATTTGATAGGTAGTGGAATGTTATGGCATACGGCAGACAAAAACAATGGGAGAGATATTTTGTGGATTATTTTGACAGTAATGCTGGATTATATCATTATCTCATCGTTATTCGACTGGATTATATACATTGAATTCCGGCTATTTGTATACAGCTGCCGGGACGTACTCTTACAAGGATGCAATATTATGCAAGGATTATCTTCAAGTCATTACTCAAGCTTTCCATAGATGCCTCGGCGCGAGGCGGTGGAGTTTCCGGCAGTAGTGCTGTTGCCAGTAACTGTGCCGTTGCTGTTGGCCTCGGCGGCCCAAGCGCTCTTCAGTCCCCACACGTTCACGCTAACCTTGACGCCAGGGTTAAGGTCACCAGCGGAGATGGCAAGCTGGTCGAGCGGGCCTTCGGGGAAGAAGGTAGCGATGGCACTGCGAATGCCCCCATCCAGGAAAACCTCAAAAATTGAACGGTCAATGACGCCCTGGAGCTGGAATTTACCGTTGGAAATGATATTGTTGGTGGAGAACTTGTCGGTGAAAAAGGGGTTGTCGAAGCCTCCAATCTTGCCCCGATCAAGCCAGAATGGAGTGTCTCCGCCGAAAAAGAATCCTCCTCTCAGAGACTCGCCGGTGGTGGAAGAGGTGAAAGTGAAGTTTAGAGTACCGGTGGTATTGATGGTAGGAATGCCAGTCACGTTGGCCTCAAAGTAGACAGCTCCAGAGGCAACGGTGGAGTAGTCTAACAGTAGTGTGCCGTTGCCCAATGAAGAGTTCTTGGCAATCTGGGTATCATACACGGTTGAGAGGTCGTAGGGTAGGCTGACAAGGTCATACCCGGTCCGGGTAATGTTGGCCAAAGTGTTGACACGGGGAAGAGACATGGCACTCCGCCAATTCTCCAGAGGTCCGGTAGGAACCACTTGAGAGTACTCCCAGTTGCTGGCCCATGCAATGAAAATGGGAGGTTGGCCGTCGGGGGTGCCATAGAAGAACTGGCCAGCATAATTGTCCTTTCCAAAGTCTGCAATTCTGGCGGCATTGTCGACAGCGGTGAAGTGCGTGCCGTTAAAGCTACCAGGGAAGTATTGGGTGATTGAGCCACCCTGGGGCGCGCCAGGGTTGATGGAGATCATAAGCACATACATGAGCTCGTTGGTTCCATTCATTGGAATGGTTACCATGTTCGGGCACTCGTACTGCAGTCCGAGAAGACCCTGGTTGGTGAAGTTGGAGGCATGGGTCCACTGCTTCAGATTGGAAGAAGTGAAAATTCCAATTGTGAATTCCTGGGCATAGGAAACAACCATGACCCACTTGCTGGTCGGGGCGTGCCAAATGACCTTGGGGTCGCGAAACTGAGTCGAGTTGATGCTGATGACCGGGTTGCCCGAGTACTTGGTAAACGTATATCCGCCATCGGTGGAATAGGCAATTTCTTGAGTCTCTTCTTGAGGAGTATTCAAGGTGTAAATGGCGACGACACCATTGGTCTGGTTAGGAAAGAAACCAGAGGTATTGTTGACGTCCACAACAGCCGAACCGGAGAAGATGCCTTCCTCTGGCGTGTCAGGGAAGATGGCAATCTGTTGGTTTTCCCAGTGGTAGAGATCCTTGGACGTAGCATGACCCCAATGCTGGTTTCCGGCAACAATGTCGGTGGGATTATCTATCAGAGGTGATGATGATTAGCATTGCAATTACCTTTTTGAGAATGGTCATTGAGGGTTGGGCCTACATTGATAGTATAAGTGGTAAGTACCCTCGGCATCTATGAACATGCCATTGGGGTCGTTCATAAAATGTTCTGGCGGCGAGAAATGTATCTGCGGCCTCAGAGCTCCTGTGTAGTTTCCTGCGATTGGGACTCCTGTGGGCACAGGAGCGGAACCCTGAGCCCGGACAACTGCAAAGGCAATTGCCCCGATTGCCAAAAGTGAAGCAATAGTCATACTGAAAAGATGGTCGAAGATGAGATTGGGGCCCTTGTTGACGGGCTTTTTCTCGTCTGCTTGAGGCATTGGGGGCAATTTATACTCTGCGCGCAGCGTAATTTTGCAATCCGAAAAGTAAAAAAAAACCTCACACTAGGATCATGCTTTACCCCGAGGGACGCCTCAATTCACGATAGCTGACAATTCCCCCGCGCGTTGGTGTCATGCGTGAAGCTGCACGAGGGTCAAGGAAGGCATAGACCTCCCAGGGCTTTTCCAGGAGACGACCCCAAAAGAGCTTCAGGTGGGTACCCAAAGTGGCAAGAAGAATCATGGTGGACAGTCGTCATGGTCGGCCCGAACAGTCCAGGGCGCGCCATCAACGTACACGAGAGAAAGCAAAGCGAGGCAGCCGTAGCGTCGACTCCATCGTTTCCAAAACACAAAAAGTCAGGACAGATTGTGGGGAAACCGCAGATGGGTTTTGACCTAATTCAGCTTTGGTCCACGGCGTTAGAGAGCTGTGCACCAATAAGCCTCGAGCCTCATGTGTGGGGAAGAATAAATTGACCGACGAAGGACCGGTGGACTACATACCAATCCAGCAAAGACGCTCTGATGAGACTCGCTCAATCTGAGCACTTCTTGGTACAGTATAGACCCAATTGATGGGCGGGGTATTGGCCTTCTAGTGCACTCATCTCCAGACTTTTCTCATCTGGAGACGCTGACATCTAGACTCTTTTAGTGATGTTATTTCGGACGGAACTCTCACGAAGAGCTTTGGGGACCTTTCTTGGTGCGCTATTACATTTCAGACTACGGGGCCGAACTTTCTTTCCCCAGTTCCGTCCAGTGAGCCGAGCGAGAGAAGAACAAGGCTCGCTTGGTCCGCCTTCCTTGGATGCAGAAAACAACCGGCAGCCTCAATCTCTCACGGAGGTAAGGAGAGTACTACACAGCAATTTATTGCCCTAGCAAGGAGGTAAGTTTACCCGATGGAGAGTCACCTAACTTATATGGCAGAGGGAGTCCTTGCCCGTTTCCCCGACCTTCTTGTCGAGATCCGGACGTCGCGCCAAGAGATTATTGATGGCTGAAGGTACTCCGTACTCATGGCGTCATGTATCAAGCCACCAGACAGGGCGCGACAAGGAGAATCTCGTGTGCGACAAACAAATAACCGTCTCATAGGGTGATTCCAATGTCCCACGTGGGATAAGTCTTTCCTGATTGTTGCTAGGCGAAAGTTGACCGCAGTCACTTAGCATCTCTTTCAGGAGTGGAAACGGTTTACAGAGGATAGATAGCCTTTTGCGGATCCTTACAGGTATTACTTGCATAAACTCATTCCGCATTATTTCCGGAGCTACGTACCTACGTAGGTAGTAAATCGTTGCAACAGCTTTTGCCCTGGAATACGAAGACGGACAGTATGCAAAATACAATGACTGAGTATAATTCAGTACTCACATCGTCGTGATCCGATCGGGTAGAATAATCGACAATCCCTATTATTAGGATCGCCGCATTCGTATTAGTCACGTGATCTCGCTGCTTGCACGTGAGTCTGGCACCTCTTACTTCGTATCGTGTGGGCTGTTTTCGCAACTCACCCAGTCATGCACGTGAAGTGCAGGTAAAGCATGGGAATTGGTTTAGATGTGAACAGATGAGTTGGATGGATTTGGTCAGATTCATGCTCGCTTAGAAGTGTTAAGCTTCTACGGCATGCTGCTTTGGTTGTAGTTCGCACCGTGTACAAGTGTTTTCGTCTTCAGGAGACTGTACTAGCCACTCACTTGCGCCCGTAATTGGGTGTGGGGGGAGTCGGTAATCGACTTATCGGGATAAGTCTGCGTCGTCACCACACAACAACGCGCGGACGGCTTCCGGGGTTTGTATGGGAATTACAGCGGTTGTAAAGGGCCCGCTGCCCTCTGAGATCCTCATGGATCTTTCACAGCTCATCAATGTTCAACCTACTCTGCCTTGACGGTTCCAAATCACCGACCTGCCTCGGACAATTGAGGAGACTATGACACTGGCCAAACGTCGTTTTCCGTTGCTGGCTCTTGCGAGCTTCATCACCTTTTTCAGTCTCTATCTCCTTGGCCGGTCGGGACCATGGCGGAGTGCGCCTCAGACCTTTGGTCTCGGCGAAATGATCCCTGATACCCCAATCAGTACCAATCAGTCCGCGGGCTTGGCTGAGCCAGAGAGTCAGCTGCAGGCCAGCGAATCTCAACCACAAGTGCCTGCGCCCACACAGACCGTCTATGACGCTACCGAGCGCAATCTCACCACGAGACTCGTCATAGCCCGTACGCAGGAGGAGAATGTTGACTGGATATCCGAGCAGCTGCCGGATGTCCAGACGGCAATTTATGTTGCCGACGATCCTAATGCGCCGCTTCACCCTCCTCAAAACAAAGGTCACGAGGTGATGGTTTACTTGAGTTATATCATCGACCACTACGACTCGCTTCCGGATGTATCCTTATTTATGCATGCCCATCGTTGGGCTTGGCATAATGATGATCTTCTCGAGAATGATGCCGCGCAGATGGTGAAGAGACTTAATGCCCGCCGAGTTCTACGGGAGGGATACGTGAACCTTCGCTGCCACTGGTATCCTGGGTGTCCGGAATGGATGCATCCTGGCGCTGTGGAGGAAGACGCTGAGAAAAGGGAGCAGCTTGTCATTGCGCAATCATGGGCTGAGCTCTTTCCTTCGGAGCCTGTACCAAGCGTGCTCGCACAACCTTGTTGTGCACAGTTTGCCTTATCCAGAGACCGTATTCACCAACTTCCCCTGAGCAAATACATCTTCTACCGAGATTGGGTTCTTCAAACGCCCCTAAGCGACAGTATCTCTGGAAGGATATTTGAGTACGTCTGGCAATATTTATTTACCGGTCAAAACATTGTCTGTCCCGATCAGCGTACTTGCTATTGCGATGGCTTTGGTGTCTGCTTCGGCGGCAATGACCAGTTTGAGGATTGGTTCAGGCTGCGATATGATCTTCGAGTTACCGAAAACGAGCTGTTCAACTGGGAAGCTAAGGCAAAGGCGATTGAAGATGCTCGTGCAGAAGGCAGATTAGACGAAGCTTCTCAGCTCGAAGTCCCTGAGCTGGGACGGGATGAGCAGCTCCGGCAACAAATATCAGCCCTAAAGGACGAGCTTGAATCCAGAAGACTTCAAGCCATCGCGCGAGGTGATGATCCTCGACTTCGCGCAGAAGAACTCGGCAGGCCATGGAAGGAAGGTGACGGTTTCTGAACTTTCTCGCACTGAATTGTTTTTGTTCACATTAATAGGCTATTTTCTTTTTTCTTTTACCCTCTCTCTCTCTCTGGGAACTGACGGAATTACTGGTTTTATGGTGTTGGCTACCGGCTGGGCTGATCATTGTTTTTCTTGCTATTTGATTTTTTTTTTTTCTAAAAGATTCCCACATGCATTCGCACACAGTTCAATCATCTCTTTTACTGGGGCTTTCTTATATCTTTTTAACGGGTGTTCTGTACATAAATGGTTGCTACGGACTGATGGACATTAGTCTTGATTCAATCGGTGACCACGTCACTGGAATAGGTAAAAGCGATTTTGGAAATTGAACTTGATAAAGATTCTTAGTGTCACTTTATGTATTCGTCTCTGGTTGATTGGTGAAGCCGCAGGCATTCACGATATTTTTCTGCGTAGCCCGTACACACATGGTTTCAATCGATATAGTTTCCTCCAACAAGGCTTAGTGATATCGGTTACATTATTTCCTAAGGGGACCACATCGTTCCCCAGGATTTCCCCTAGTAATGCTTGCAAGCTTTTTTTTCCGGTCTTCCCCTGAGAGTGATTGATGGTCTGTGCGGGTACCATTCGACCCCGGATAAACTGTTCCCAAGCGTTACCCCATTTGTATCTTGTCTCCCGTTCGCTCAAAGCCGCAGGAATCAAACATGTCAAACAGCTGACAGTCCTATGCATCCCCAATACTTCTGATGGCTTCCGAAGTTACCTTGGCGAAAGATGAGGACGCTACATTACGACGGCATTTCCGTCGGGGTATGCTGACTGATCAAGCTGCGCGACTCATTCAACAAGCTGTCTCGGACTTGATCGGCCACCCTGGATGGAACGAAGACAGAGTTAAGGTATTCTGCTTGTTTACCCTCGAAATATGCCCCAAGAGCTCACGCGCAGCGTTTACTAGGATTGGATCGAAAAAGAGAAGAGTGCCATTAGTGGAAGGAATCGGCTCGATGAAGTTTCTATTCTCGCAGACGCGTTGAATTGGGCCGTCAGGTAAGGCAGGAAGTGTACGTTCTCGAAAAAAGCTAAATGAGTTACAGAAATCCCAACCCTGATCCTCTTGACCCGAAAGGCTTTTATTCGTGGCCTGAATCGTCTCACGATCCGAAGTTCAGCGATCAGCTGCAATTTCAGATAAATGGAACCTTTCCTCATGCTCTTCCGACCACAACGTCCCCCTACTACTCGCCGCTCAATGTTCACGATAAAGATGGAGCGCCAACCAGTGGTGGACCTCCCTACGGAGATATCGGCATTTATGGCGACATGACCAGATCTCCAGATCCAAATTCGCCACTATACAGCTCGACTGCTAAATACCAAGATCCGCATCATCTTGATCCGAGTGCTCAGATATTACTCGATAATTTGGCGTCCTTCGGCCGAACTAGTGTCCAAGCTGGGCATCCCGTCCATGATGTTGGGGCGCTTGAGCATGGGGCAATTGGAAGCAATCATTTTGCTGGACTCCTAGAGGCAGTTACTACTGCTGCCGGTCAGGAAGCTTCTCAGAACCGTTCAGGGCAAACGCTCGATGCTCCCAGTGGACAATCACCAGGAAGACAGCCCTTACATCAGCCAGCGGCAAATGAATACCGGACCCTCAAGGAGGATTCTTTTTCAAAGTCAAAAAAAAGAAAGCGATCTTCTGCTGCGGACCAAAACGCTATACATAGTGATGCAGAAGGAGAGCAAGAGCGTTTAGACGCATTCGAACCTCCCCCGTTTCTAACAACTCGCAGAGGACGACGCTCTAGTAAATTCGGAGGACCATCGGAAAATTCCCGATTTGAGCAGGATGCTGGGGAGACAAATACCGAATCTGAAGATTACTCAACTCTCGAATTCCGAGAGTTACCCCCGCAACTTGTGATATCCGATGCCCGTGCTGCCGGCGTGCATTCTGCTGCAGCTTTGTTCCGAAGACCATCTGCTTCCAGCAAGAAATACACACGCCCTCCGATGTCGAAGTTGTTCACCTCTTTGGAACTGTCGCCCGAGAATTTCTTACAGCTTCAAGCAGCTGCTAAGCTCTACATGCTCGATCCTGATCATCCTGAGAGGCAGAACTGTGTTGGTAACAGAGGCAAAGGTGATACTGACATGGTCAAATTGCGTCTCTATAATTGCGTTAAGGATTTTCTCGAGGCCGAAGGTCATGGGGAACGGTACTTCGGAGAGCAGGCCACGAATGAAAGTGGAGTTCCCAGAAGATTAATATGGCCTGCACAAAAAAATAAGATCATCGGTCTGGTGACGCCATTATTACGGCGGATGGTCACAAATGAGCGGCAAAGACAGTATGCCGTAGAGACTAGGAAAGGCGATTCAGAGGCAAAGAAGAGAAAAGCCGACGAGATGCAATCCGTTTCCACCAGCACTGAACAGTCAGAAGCGCCACGTGACCGGTTGACCCATGAAGCATCCGTTGCTCCTAGTTTAGATTGTTTCGGAGAGTATCCGGATCATAATAAAGACCCTGCAATTGCTCAGCAGATTTCAAATTTGGGACTCCTTTCGGGGCTCACGAACGCATCTTGGACTCATTTGGTTTCTGAGGTTGATGCTGACATTCGCAATCACGAAAGCCGTACATCCTCCGGAGGCGTCGAATGCGACGGCGCCTGTCTTGAGAGCAGCATCTGGGAAAGATATTTGCTACAGCCAGACCATCCTTTAATTAGTGGTTGGAGAAGAGATGTCAGGCTTGGCAAAGATGACCGAGTGAATCTGTAAGCCGATTCATCACCCCAAGCTCTGTATTCAGTGCTTTATTTGCTAAAATTTGACAGTGCTCACTTGATCCTACAAGACCTATGCAATGCTATCAAGCTTTCAATAATGTTAGAGAAAGAAGAAGTTGATATCCGTTGTCATTCCAAAAGGCAAAAGACTTCCTCCGCGACTTTCACTACCAGCGCTCATTTACAGTATCATGGCCAAGTGCTTCATCGTCTGGAGCACCCTGAGACCATTGATCAGACCCTCGAGCGCTTAATTTCCGGCTCATGCTCGGAATTATTGGAACGTAGCAATTCTTTCACGTCTACTCAACTAAATATTTATTTTCTACATGGTGGCCGAAAGGTTCGACCGCAGCTTGAACTGTCTTCTGGTCAATATTATGCTTGGAAGTCACTTAGCAAAGTTATCGAGGATGAGGTTGCCGCGTTAAAAGATGGGCAAGACGTTGATCATCAGGTACACGCGCATTTACCACAGGGGCTCCTTCCCATTCGCGGGCAGGCGGAATTAGTCCTTGCCATCATGGACTCCATTCATACGTCATGGATGGATAGTCAGCTCAAGATCATCGTGGAAATCCGATGAGAAGTTAAAGCGGAAAAGTGTTTTTAATTCCTCCTACTGGTGCATCCTTCCCTGAACAATTTAAGCGAGAGTTCTCAATCCAATGAGTATTTTCGGGCTTTGCAGCCCTGTTTATTCTATGCCTCGATCCAAGTATTTGCGAAATAGAGATGAAATCGTGAGAGCGGGACAGGACGGGAAAGAAACAGGCAACAGAGCACCGAACAAACAGCAACCGCCTTTTGTGAATGAGTGTCCTGCCTAGAGCCTGTTGTATACATGTTCTGAAACCTGTACTACGGGTACCAGCATCTTTTGATCGGCTTCTCAGTGTCTGTCGCCTGCGCCACCTCCTTCAATACCCTGCAACTGGTACACCCTCTTTCCTGATGCCCTCTTGTCCTGCAATCGCTTTCATCCCCGCATGCTTCACCACAGCTCACAGCTCCCATATTTAAGGCCAAAAGCTTACAAAAGCATCCTGTCTCCGCTGGTCCGCATCCTGGAAGCATCGGACATGGGACTGACAAGCTACTCAAATCCAAGCGAGCGGGACCCTCTTTGCCAAAATAACATTCCACGCACTGCCTAGTGCATTTGTTATCGTGCCAACGCGAATATGGATCTTTCAAATGATTGTGACGATGATGACTACTGTGTCTTGTGCGAACATGTCCTTCATTTCGATATCGAAGATTTCCATGAGATGATATTGCCTCTGTGGTTCCGGTCAGGTTATAACAGCGTAATTGGATCTTGGCGCTGTGTGTAAACTGTATGGAGAACAGTAAAACCACTATTAATGTCATAGGCTGCTCATGTAGGTCCCGAGATTAGTCTGTTTCTGAACGCCAAAAAGCCCAGATCTGTTCCTGGCTTACCTGAATTAAAACCATAGGGACCATCTTGGTTTATTGATCTGTTCTTGATACAATAATTATATGATGGGTTTGTTGCCCATTACACGTTTCCCTTATAGCTCGTTCAATCTCCAATTCCTTGTGCTTCAAGTCAACAGTCGTCTGAAGATGAGAGCTACGCTACCGTAGGAGCTGAGATACCCACGGGTTTCCCATGGTGACTGGTCAAATTGGAAGGTGGCATATCGGTCCAAAACGAAATATCCCCACCAAACCTGAGCCGCACCTTCCTCATTCTTGTTATCGTCCACATTATGCGTTGGATGTTCAATCGTGGAAGTTAGGAAATTGCCAAAACAGCAGCTAAGCCTTATTTAAGAACCGGATCTCTTTCGTCATTTCAACTCGACTTGCACTTATTTTTGTGTTAACTATAATAGCGGACGTTAGGCGGTCAATTCCTAGCATGTCGCTAAAGATCCTTGACTGGGGCAAACACAGTGGCAATCAATGTTTAGGGATCGGAGGCCTGCCAAAGCGACGACTGGGGCAACCTAAGCACGGACCCGCGGCGGCAATGGAAGGGACGAGCCGCTTCCCGGTGCCGCTGCTAAAAACCAGAGGCAAATCATGACTTTCGAGCAGACTATATTTTTGATCGTGCCTCACAGTATCATCAGCCCCACCGCGCGCTTCATCATTCGGCGGGTTTCATAGCAAAGGGTAACAATATATGCCAAATTATCCACACCCTTTCGATCTATACACAATATACTTGTTGATGCGGCCGTCCTCTCTCATCGGACAGGCACATTTCGCGCCTCTTCATTGGTTTCCCGCGATAGCAGCAATTCAATATGGCAATTAGCGAAGGAGAGTTGTCCATGTTTTGCTCATTAATTTCTTGACTGGTCAGTTCTAGATCACTTTTAGTCCGGCTAAAATAAGTCAGCGAAGGAAGCTTATTACTTGATCCTTATGCTCACAATCAGTTTAATTTTAGTTGGCAGAAACAAACGTCGTCTGCTAGAATGTAACTCAGCAGAGTTTCATGCAGTCACTTTGAGCAGTCCATTTGCAATTGTGCCTGCGGCCGCCAATAGCGGATTTTCAGCCAAGATTGCAGCTCCGAATCTCAGATAAACCTCCGCAGTTTAGGATTGCTTCGCAGAACACATTTCGAAGCTCCAAATTATAACCTGGGGGATACAAGCAGAGTTCTCTGCGTAAAATCTCGTGCAAAACGTGCAAAACGCGTTTTGTGTTAGTATGTCACAATTAAACGTTTCCGATGCAGTGATGCAGTCCTAATTGATATGGATGGCTGCGTACACGTCATTATGAATTAGGCATTCGCAGCAACGTCTCTCTTACGTTTGTCTCTTCGTCCGGGACTGTGCAGGAGAGCATCGGACATGTTCAAGGATATAGAACGATTCTCCTAGGATTCGAAAGCGATCAGCATATCTCAATACGCAGCTGAAATTTTCTTAAAATCAGGATATTTGTGACTTTATGCCAGCTTCGTCGGAACTCGCGTGACTGACTGCAGCGTTTTATTTTGAAAGACCGCATTCAAAGGCAACTAGTCAGCGAGGAACTCTTGTTGGAAATGGCATGACAGCGCATCAATTAGTCAAAAAGTGTGCCGAGATATTTTGCGGGAAACCACAGGCTGTGGTATACTATGCAGATGAAACGGGAAGCGATTCGTCTCGCTGGCCTATGCTTCGTGGGGGTCTGGGTGCTGCAGCTCGCTTGGTTAAAAAAGCAAACTCGAACATGGGCCCAGGGGGGGGGAAAGGTAATCAGTACCGCTACCTCCCGTTCATCAACATCTTCAAAGTCACTCTGACCCCTGGCCGTCTAAAACGTCTCGGATAATGACGCCCATCGGAGCTGAAAAGCCTGAATATGAACCGTGGATCAAGCATCGCTCCGATCGAGGCTCAACATATCATATTCTGTACGGAAATCCCTTATAACTGGGCAGAGGTGATACTTTGAAACTCGGAAAGCCTCATGTGAGATCCGAGTAGTTGGATCGACCGGTTCACTGCTCGCCAAGCTGGTCAATCAGTTACAGGGCATCAGAGCATGAGCAGCGAGGTTGCTGAGGCTTTCGACTTGAAGAGAAGAGAGGTTGAAAACGCGTAACAATGAGTGGGTATTGGGCAACAAGTGAATCGCGGAGGAGAGGCATCCTTGCCTCAAATCAGCTTATGAATCATTTTGAGTGTGAAAGTCCCGGATCTCGTTTGAGTTCATCATGGGATGGTTTACTGGTCACTGTTTGGCTTTGACAGTCTGCTAAGCCTATATATTCCCATGTCACATTCGCCCTACCTTTACTTTTTTGCATCTATTGTGATGAAACAAAGCTGGTTGGACGCTGTATCGGCGACTGTGCGTGGTCAACACATGCTGAGCGAAATATTCGTTGTCAGTGTATGGGATCTCATATTGGATCATATATTGTTCTGAACCGTTTCACTAACCTCGTCCTATTTGTTTTTCCCAAGTTCTGTTATAGAAGCTAGTGGACTTATTGCTTATGATATCGGCTCCTCTTTCTTCAATTTTCTCATTTTCCTCTGACCGCTTTCTTCACCGAGTTCGTTGAAGATCAGATGCCAATTCTGTTCAGCGCATCTGCTGCGCTGCGGGCTCCCTTAACCTTCAAATGCTGCATTGCCGAGGGCTTGTCAACAAATATTTCCGCACAGTTATTCTACCGTTAGAACCGACTCGATTCGGCGGTGAGAGCATCGTTGAAACGCTCATCATCCTACCTTGTTTCCTCACGGAACGCCTGTATTTTAATCTGAACTCATTTTCATCCCATCCGCTTGCAAATCCAAATCAAACTGGATTGAAACAAGATATCAACACAAAGTGTGAGTTCTTGCCATCGAACGGAAGTTTCGAGAAATCTGCTAAACTATGCTCAAGGTGCAATTCACGGAACAAGCTTTGCGATCCGCAATCTATATTCAGAGGCAACCTCAGCGTCTTAGACCAGAATTTTGGAAAGCATCCCCAATGTCTGGGCAGCTTGTCAATTCTAGCAAGCCGGCTCAAAGGCCTGTACTGGTGTCCACACAACTTCTGTCTTATTCCCCCAGTTCCTCATCTACCGATGACTGTCTACCTGATTGGCTCTATCCCAGCGGAAATAGGATGCTTCCAGAAGGCATGGAACCTCCAACGGATTCGAAGTGTTATCAAGCGTGGCATATGGGTTAGTTGTCCTCTCTCAGCCAAATATACAAAAACGGCCTGACACAATGAATCAGGTCGAGTAACCTTCGGACGGAGCCCTACTTTCCCGCAAACTACACCAAGCCCTATAACGTGTGGCGACTACCCGACATTTAGCGTCCTCAATGCAAGTTTGACAAGTTCTTGCGCAAGAGTCTTCGATAGCACTCTGTACCCAACCATGATGGGTCGAGGTTCTGGATTGATCGCTGAATGCAAATTGCTCCCGACACAGAGTCTCTACGCCCAACCAGTGACATCAGTCACTGATTGTAGGGAAATATATACTACACAAAGTGAACAGCCCAAAATTCACGAAACTTTGGAACGAAATTACTTCCATGAGCCCTCATACGCCTTTTCCAGCTGTTCAGACATGATACATTTCGACTATCTTGACACTCAAGGGCGCACTGTGGAAAACCCTTTTCAAGAGCCACGACCAAGTATTTCAAGACTTCCGCAGAGCGCTAGCCCACGGTCAGATGAGCAAGATACGAGCTCTTGGTGCGATTCGAATATTCTCGATCATGCCCTTCCACAAGATGAGTTCTCCGAACGGTATGCGAGTAACTTCCATCTGGACTCTATGAATCCAACTCAAGCAATAAAAAGCCATGAGGATCATGTGCGGAGTGGTAGTCAATTCAATTTTTATCCGGAATCAAAAGCAGCAACTCCAGCCAGTAGAGGCACATCACCTTGCGGCTTCTTGGCTCTCGACTCACCTTTGATCAAACCTTTAGACTCTCCAAGGTCAGCATTGAGGGGTATAACCTGTACGCCAGACACTGGGCAGTCAAAATCAACCTTGTTATCGTCCGCAGCAAAGGACGAATTTCTAATTAGTTGCAAGCTTGCAGGGATGTCGTACAAAGACATCAAACGAAAAGGGCATTATGCAGAGGCTGAGTCCACATTAAGAGGTCGGTTCCGCACATTAACAAAGCCTAAATTGGAACGCGTGCGAAAACCCATTTGGAAGGACCATGACGTGAGTATTCATTTCAGATGCCTTGTAGGGAATTTCTAAGCTCTAGCAGGTCCGACTCCTTTTGGAGGCTGTTCAAGAGTATCAGAACGCCAAAGAGGGAAACTATTCTCGAACCACTCAGATCCGAAGAAATGCCGAAATAAGGGCGATAAAAATCCCATGGAAGAAAGTAGGTCAATATATTTTGAATCATGGTGGTTCATATCATTTTGGGAACGCCACCTGCCGGAAAAAATGGGACGAAATCATGGGAGGTGACAACAGCACTGTAGAAAGAAGAAAAAGTCGCGGGGGAAGATCAAGTTCCAGGCACCCGCGCTATTCTGCTTGATAGAGATTGATAGATTACTTTCTTTATATATCCGCGAACATGACAGCATTTGCGCGAGAAAAACTGCGATATTGTTTAGCAATGTTCGAATATGGTGGTCGCTGATACGGCTTTAACATATTTGGGATTTTTCTGTTTTTGTTTTTCTTTTTTTTGTATATCACCCCCCTCCTCCTTTCTTTGATTGACGTTGACGGAAAATTGCCAGTATGTATTGGGTTTCTCGAAAAAAAAGAACGGAAATTTTGAGAGAAATTTATAAATGATACCATCAACCATGGTATTATGTTCTTCAGCAGCATGTAGAAGCAAACCAACCGGCGTGTCGTCGATTTTGTGGGGATCTTAACCACTAGTACACTGACGTACTACGTAGTCGGTCGTATCGGTAACAGATATTATATCGCGCGGCCAATACTAAACGAACAGTATCACGTTCAGAGTCAACTCCTAATATACCACGGCAAACGTCGCCCAACATGAGCTTTGGTCTTTCCGAAACACTTCCTTCCATAGTACGGAATCGATTCAATGCCGCAAAAGCAGCTGGAAGCCTCATCTTCTCGCCAACAGAGCTGACAGTCATTCATACAGCTGGTGTTCCGGTGCGTTCGTGCGTATTGACCTACCCATCTGCCATCGAGTAAAGGTGTTCGCTTGTCCCGCAGAACTGCAGACCAGTTGCCATTATGTTTTTTGGGCTAACTTTCTCCTTTTCTGCAAATGATAGTTTCAATTGAGATACTGCCCCGCTCTAGCCAAAAAGCCTACTCCCAAGGATGGACAGCGAGAAACCAATCGGCCATCCAAAAAGCCCGACCCTTTCGACAACCCTCCTCAGGATCTCCTAGTCGCAGATACTCCCCCGGAGTTACCCAACCATATACTGGTCTTGAACAAGTTCCCTATCATCCCACAACATTTCATACTCGCGACCAAGGCGTTCAAACAGCAGACAGATCTCTTGGAAGAGGATGATCTCGCCGCTACCTTGGCCTGCTTGAAAGCATGGGAGGATGACAAAGACTTGGCAGATGGCCGCGAAACGCGGCGCAGGCTCTTCGCGTTCTTCAACTCTGGTGAATTCAGCGGAGCAAGCCAGCCTCACCGCCATGTTCAGTTCTTACCGGTGGAGGAAATGGCTGGTGAGACGGCTGAAGGAGACTGGAGTCTTCTTACCGATAGTATCGGCGGTTCCATAGACCAGAGCAAGTCAGGTACGGGTTTAAACCACCGAGCCCTTCAGAGTACAGCGGTGACCGATAATTGACATATTTCAATCGCGTACAGGAGTTAAACTACCGTTCGCATACTTTACCACAGCAATATCGCCGTCATCAACACCTCGAGAGCTGCATGAAAAATACCTTTCTTTGTACAGCCAGGCAGTTTCCGCTCTACAGAAGTCGGATAAGGCCAGCGACCTCGCCGGAACGAATCACCACAACGCGAAGACCTCCTCGATTACGATCAGCTATAATCTAAGTATGACTGCGTCGTCAATGGTGCTCTGCCCGAGGACAAAAGATGGAGATATCCTTGGGTTTAGAGAAGACGATTCTCAGCAACCGATTGGACCTGTAGCGCTCAACGGGACCATATTAGGAGGCACACTAATGGTTAAAACACCAGAAGAGTGGGATCTGCTTCGAAAAGATGAAACAAAGCTGTATCAGTTGCTTGAAACGATAGGTGTCGCTCCGTAGAATTTTAGATAGACGGACTAGCCGAGTCGACGGCCTCATCTCAATCTGTGTTTGAAGTGTACCAACAATTGCCAGTACTAAGTTTCTCGGTAGAGAGCACGAAGCTCACCTATCCGCCATCTAGCTGACAATGTCACGCTCCGGAGAAACTCTGCAGACCAACCAAGGAGGCCATATTGGCATGCAGTGACGTGTGATTATTTTGTCAATAGTGTCACTACAGTGCTGAGTTCATTCAGGCCCCAGTCCGCCCACCTACATTTTCACATTTCTGGAACAAGGGTGTGAGCCATGTTCGCCGTCTCAAGAGCAGACATGGTTGGCGAAATCATCACAAGGATATTGCATTTGCGAAATGAACTCCGCGGAAGAACCTCCGCCCCACGGTGCACATTGCAGCACTTCGGCACAAAATAATATGAATGGTCACATTGATATGCAAGAGTGAAAAAGCCCAGCAACTACTACGTATTACGCTATACAGTAATGCCAACCGGTACCGTGCCTACTCCCCCAGGCTCCTCCTGCCCCACTTTCAGTTCTTGAGAGTTCTCTAGTTCCACATTCCAAGCAAGCACAACCTTACTCGCTCCAAGATTTGGGATCGCGAAGAGCTCTTCTACGGTGCTCGCATTTACTCAGGACGAGGCGTTTGGCCAGCTCTCTTCCCGAGAGCTTGTGGGTTTGTAGCTAAAGGGGTTAGAGCATAACCCCCCAAAGACGGGACTATTTGTGGGGAAGGACCCTCAGACCAGTCGCCAGTCTTTAGCTCCCTGAGAATGAGCAGACCCGACAACCTTCAGTCCCCTGTGAACCTAAAAAAGTCACCAGTGCGAGACAGTGTGTGACAGCGAGGAAGGATGAGGGTGTGAAGGGTTCCTATTCGGGTGAGAAATCCCGCGGCATTGTGCTAAACCCTACCGGCTGTCACCCCGATTGAACCACTTGCATACTTTCCATCCACATTGGTAGGAGAGCTAAGGGGCAAAAGCGAAGCGGGGTGCCCAGTTGCTCTTCGGAAACTGGGCCATATGTCAACGCGCTCTCCCAAGCGAAAACGCCTTCAAATTTGGCGTGGATACGGGAATTTGCGTTCATGAGGCGTCGGCCGGAAGGGGCCATTTTGGAAACAGACTGCCTTCCAAATGAAAGTTTACGGGTTTCCGCCCAAAAAAAAAAGCGGATGGCATCGTGATCAACACTGGCAATCTTGTCGGCCCTGAAAGGTGGAAAGAAGCGAAGAAGTACGGGAAGGGACAATCCACCGGAGCTCCAAGGGTGGAAGCATTTGGGGGACAGGACAAACAGTGTTTTTACGCAAGCCACGGCTCTTGGCAAATCCCTGGTTCGTCCTCCCACACTTATGTGAGAATGACCTTCACTGTCGTTTTCCTAGTCGATTTCTTTTGGGCGCAGTTTGCGACTGCTCCCACGGTTTTCGCTTGACCCAATCAACGCTTTTTTCAAAGTGAGTGTTGCCAAGGGAGTGACGAAGGAAATTCATGACCTAATCGAGGCACCACAAAGCTATCTGCTGAACGCAGAGACAACGGAATGCCAATGTACCCCGATGTGGTCCACAGATGCTACCTTGTCTTATCCCAGTCTCACTCTGAATGCGAGTGATTTTTGTCCCTGGAAGTACGCTATGACCTGGGGAAGCGCGATGAAAAATACATTTGTGACAGGTAGCTACCAGTCAATCCAGTCAACTCTATTGGTAGAGTTTGAGGCCAGTTCTAGAACATCGACTGAGCTTTTCTGATCGCGCCCATTTGACAGGCTGGTGGATCGGCAAGCCGGCTTGGCAGAAAGCCCCATAGGGATCTTGTGATTCCCCCGTTCATATCAAAGCATTTCTTCCATTTCAGATATGTGCATTTACGGATCAAGCCGTATGGGCTTGTCGCGGATACGTTCAGGTAGGACGGGGTACAGTATCACTATACTGGATTTCTTCTATTTCCTTGGTCTCTGGCAGCATTTATTTGCTGCATCAGATCATGGCAAGCCTGGTCAGCTGTCGGAGCAAACGCATATCAAATGAGCTGGGTAGTTCTAAAGGCAACGCTTGAAACGAGACTGAATACTTCACATTTTACTTACATTTGGGGTTTATCGGCACTAACGGATTGTACGCCTACCCCTTTAATTAGATAACTTAACTGGATTCTCAGTCTCGATACCTACCCAATGGAAGTGATATAAAGGAATAGTTCGCTTGAAGAATATTGATGGGTCTCCCAGGGGAGTGGGCTTCTTCATCACAGCGTCAAGTCTGATAATTCGTATCTCGACCACTCCACGCTGGAGTTTGGATGCGATGTGCGAGGCAACCCACTTCCGACCAGATCATAGCCAGGTACATGTGACAACCAAACCAGGTAAATATCCTCATCGATTAGGAACAGGATCGGAGACACACATAACCCTGCCAGTGATGCTTGGTCGTGCAGCGTTAAGACTTAAAGCTTCTAGCGGTCAGAGCAGTTGCGGCTTCACTACGAGTGTAGTGGCGTAGATACCGAGATCCACCTAGGAGCAGGTGGGGTTGGTGAACAAGCAGAGATCATCATGTCTAGGGGAATCCGCCTTGGGATGGCTGTCGGGAAGGGTGAATAGCAACAGATAGCAAATCGAGGGCTAGTCATAAGGCTGATGATGGATAGGGGACAAGCGTTGCTAGCGAGCGGGTGTAGTGGCATGGCCAACTGCCCGCCACGCTAAAAGGCGGACCTACACAGTGTCCCGTTTCCCATTTACTGACAGCTCCATACTAGGCAGCTAATGGTTGCAACCAAGAAATTCCATCCAGGCCTATCAAAGAGTGCTTACGTGCGTGACCGCCGTTGGCACCGCCGGACAAACCATGGTCCGCTATCTTACCCTCTCTCAAGGTCGGTGTAGGCAAAGTCGTGAGGGAAAGCTGACCTTTCACATGCTGCATAAGCGCGATCTGGTTGCACTGTGGTGGTATCCGGAACTGGCCCAATGTAACGAAGATGCTTATGGGAGAAGTTAAGGATGACGTTTGGGAGGGCGGCCATGGACGCTGATTGCAACTTTTTGCTGGATAAGGACAAGGATCGTGACCGTCCACCTCCTTCTACGTTGTCAGGTCTACTCGACCCACTTCCATGGTGGAGGGTCCCGACTAAGAGGTAAAGATTCCACGCCAGCGAGCGAACACGATCATCGTCCATGAGCAGCTGGGACAATGCAGGGGAATACTGTAACTGTGCAACGTCGGTCATCTTAAGCTCACCCCTGGCTTTAATATACTGTTTTGTCATTTTCCGTTAGCAACTTTGATGGAAGAATGTCCAGGGCCACTGAGATGATGGTCTCCGGTAAGGGGAAACTTCAACGTGGTTGGTTTCAGTCCGCTTATGGGGTCCCCCAGCTTAGGCCGGGGGTAGGGTGCACTTCTCCAGGTCCATTGACACGAACTGTTCGTCTCTGCATTCCAAGAGTCTTATTGTTAGGCTCCTGTTCCAAGTCTATAAATGGCATTGGCTAAAGATAATCATAGCGTTTGCAATTTTGTTTCGAGGCTGAAGGTAGCAATCATAGCTCTTTGGTGTTAGGTTCCTACACTGTGTACGCCCCTGCCATTTACCGGAAACGTTGTATGCATCTCACGAATGATATATTGGATTGATATTATTATATTTTACCAGTAAGGTCATACGGTATTACGACATAAGAGAGATGTTTTAAGAACAGTGCACAGACTCCTTCGCCTCTTGTATCGGAGACTTTTTACTTCATGACATTGGTCAGACTGTCAATGAGCTTGACGCATGAGGATGTAACATGGTGCAAGCGAACATCCTTGCCTTGTTCAGCACATCGCGATCTTGGGGCTGGAGAATGCCGCTCCCTCTTGCTGGTGGTGGTGGTTTTACCGTGCCAGAAGCCGAAGCCGTACCGGAGTATGAGACCCCTGGACACTTGTTATGCAATTGATGCCAGGGTAGGGAGGCTCATCCGAATTAGCGGCGGTGCAAGAGTACGGTGTACCGTAATTAACGCTGCGCTGGCCCTTTTGCGATGGGAAGGATGGCGGTGCACTCGTGGCGCTTTGTGGGTCCTGATATCATTTCGATGAGAGGAGAGGGGAAAAGAAGAAAAAAGGAAATCGACGAAACCACATGTAACGCAGGGATCTCGAAAAAGAATTGTTCTCTCGTTTTGATTTTTTTTTTCCGACGTACTGTCCAATTATGGTTATTATTCGTACGGAGAAAACCCCGAAACCATGCAATACCCGAATGTCGATCAATTTCTACAGGGCGATGTTGAGCATCGGATAATTGTTCCTTTTTGCTTCATTCGGGAGTTTATAGCTTTGGCAGTAGGTTGTTTTCATCGCCTACTGCCACACAAACGAACACATGATACTGGACCGTTTTGATTTCTTTAATTTTTTCTTTCTTTTCTTTTTTCGTGCCTGCCACTACTGTACCCAAACTTCTTGCGTGGGCGGGTACGCCCATGCGACGCAACATGGAGTGCCTAGTCACCTTTAATTTGGGATTTCTATCGGCTTTTTTTGTTTGACTTGGCGGTCATCAGCGACTACACGTCACAGCCTGAGTAGGACAGTCATTCTTCATCCCACGCATTTCTTATTTCACCGGTCAGGGCCGAGGAGGTTTAGCGTGGCGCGGGATGACGGGGAGTTGGCAAACCGAACTGGTTCAAGTGGAGCGAGAGAGCATCACCCGATGGTTTGGACCCGAAATAGCCTGTGACGCTACCTGTAAAGTAACTGTACCAGGGGCCGATCTGCCAGGGGTCGGGCTCCCACGCTTCGCTCATCGTCATTGGATCTCTCCCCCATGTTTGGCTTCCTCTTGGCTTCTCTCCTACCGGCCGCTCCGACGAGTTAAGTGGATTCGTCATGAGAGAGAAACGCCGAACAGAGCAATCGCACAATAATGCAATCGGTTCCCAATTACAATGACGAGGATTGTCCCAGGAGGAAAAAAAGGAACCTGCCTGGGAGAAAAAAAAAAAAAAAGCGTGACGAGACGCAAATGTACAGAGTACTCTCCCGTCTTACGTGCAATTAAGGGTGCGGGAAATGTCTTCTGCAAGAAGGATGACGAGGGGTTGACCAGTGTGTTAGGAAAAATAAAAATCACCGACATACGTGATTGTCCACTCATTCCCTAATCTGTATGCGTTAAGCGGTCGACCACGACTTTCCATGTCATTGGGAGAGGTCATCTTCCTTTCGTCTGGGTGGGTGCGCTGCTACAACTAACTTACTGCTACATACTTGAGAGAACAGCGAGAGAGATGAACCTATCAGATGCATCGCGGGACCTCTGTCTAGAGACGGGTGGCTCTCTCTGGGTGCATCCGAGTCAGCCCTGCGCCTCGCTTGACGGAGACTGCATTGCTTGTTCGATGATGATTGGGTTTTCTTTCTGCTTGGGCGGTGCACCCTCTTCAGAAGCAGAAGGCGCCTCGAGGGTGTCTCTGCTACCCACCCATGGGAGAAATCTCGCTATACCACATTGGGCTCGTCGAAGCGGGAACAAATCGACGAAAGGGACGGAGATGCACGACGATGCTCATCCTCGCAGAACCCACATCCAGCACTGCCAACTGATTTAGTCCCGATATGGAGCCAATGCCACCCACCGGTTGCTTTCCCCCTCCCAAGACGACAAGGTTCCCTTCTATCGCTCACACCGACCTTTGGCCCCCTCTCCCTCCCCTTGGACCCTCGATTCTGCCAGTCGGGACCCCGAGAAATGGCGGCGAAGAGCAAAAAACAGCAACACCCACACCCACCCTTCGCCCCTTTCCCTAACTATTCGCATGGGACGCTAACGCACGCCGAACCACTCGGCCCCAGTCGGTCGGCAGCAGCATGAGGTGCGTGTCGGTCAAAGCAAGGACAGACAATTCGACGACCTTTTTTCTGCCAAGCCCGCCGTGGACTCGCTATTTTGATCGAGTGTTTTTAATGACATGGGTGCTTTCCTTGCTCCTGGTTCGTTCGCATCACCCGAACCCCCTCCGTCGTGGGACCGCAAAAGGCGGAACCCATGGACCATGGGGCCCATGCTACCGTGATGCTTTCGCGTGTGGCCCTACGCACCGTCATGGTGGTCCGGGGGGGGTGTGTGTGTCCGTCCTTTCCCTCATGCGAGCACTGCGCATCTCGATGATTATCCCTTCCCTTGGGGAGGGCGGGCTGTTTTGGCTTCTGCTTCCTCCGTAGGGCGAGTTCTAATTCTGCTCGATCACGCATTTATTACTTGCCTCGACCCGCCAGCTTCCCAAGCCCTTAATTCTCTCCACAATCCGCGAAACACAAAAAGAAAAAGAACTACAACAACAAGAACGACAACAACCACCTCGATCATAAGACAAACAACCTCTGGGAGATCAAACAAGAAAAAACAGCCCCCAAACTAGGTGCCTAGTCTGTCCTCGGGTTCACAACACGCCAGGCATCCATCCCGCCTTTTCTCACCACGACTTCGCTTTTCTATTTGATAGGACCGGTCTCAGCTCTGGCCAATCCCCCGGGTGGATCGCCGTTGGGACGACCCGCGGCGCCGGCCGTTCTTGTTAGCCTATTTCAAGTCCCCGATAACTCTACTCGTGGCCGCTGTTCTCAAGACCCTCATCGAGGGTTCTTTAACTTCTCGACGCGCCCTCATCTTCTTAGAGGTACTTTTATCCAAATGCCCTTATCTTGTTCCCCCGGATCCCTCTGCCCCGGAAACGCGTGGGTCTCTTTGGTGACGATCATTTGGGCTAATCGCTTCCCATAGTGAAGCTGATACCCGATCCGCATTGTTGCGATACTGGTTGAATCATATTGCCGTGTCTCCTTTCCACCGCGTCTCTCGAATACCTGATACCCGTCATGACTTCTGCCGTGATCCACCAGAAAGCAATGTTTGGCCTCGAAGAACCGTCCGACTTTGTCCTATACCCTGGTGTGCCGCGCGCCGAATTGGCGATGCATACTTCCTTGAGGAGAAATCCTCTGCTCGAGAGTGAACGCTCCTCCGAATATCTCATGGGAACTAGTCTCGACGCTCCCTTTGCTGATGCTTTCATGACCACTTACGATGCCTATCCATCTGCTCCTGCTTTCTCCTCAATACCCCCTCCTGTTTTTGACGTGAATCCATACGGCCTGGAGAGGTCGCAGGATGACCACTCTCATATCCCTTTTGGTCGGACTCCTTCGGGATCCCCTGCTGTTTCCGCGACCCACTCGTTTGAACACCCTCCCTCCATTCTCTCCTCCGCCTCTGGAGCATCTATTCCTAGTGCCGCTTCTTCCGCCATGGGTTCTCCATATTCGTCGACCACGCAAACATTTTCAGGCGTCGACGCTTGGTCTGATTTCAGCCACGGTCTGGGTCTTGGGCCCAGCATCGTCCACTGCGACAGCTTTGGTCAGGAAAGCTTTACTACAGCTGCGCTCGATCATGATATTATCTGGTCCACTGATAAAGCTCAAGCGGGATTTGTTGGTAAGTTGTAGCTCCAGTCTATCCTCTACTGCAGAGACTAACACGCAAATCTAGACCCGTCACTCATCCAGCACCTGCAGACCCCGATGTCTCAGGCTACCGTTACCGAATCATATCCTGGCGAGATTCCGTCGTTTCAAACCTCGCAGATGCCCATAGTTCAACCTACCTCCCCCACGCCATCTGATGCCTCGTCGCATAGTCGACATCGGGGATCATCCAAATTCAAAACTGGAAACCAGTCTCCACATCTACGTACTCCATCTTTCCACCCCTACCAGCACGGGTCCGGTGCCAGACGTCTCTCGATCTCATCAAGTCATTCCAGAATCTCCCATGGAAGCCCGAGGTCGGGCAGCCTGGAATTTGAGGACGATGAGAAGGAAGGCCGACGATGTCCTAATCCCGAATGCCGGAAGGTGTTCAAGGACCTCAAGGCTCATATGCTTACCCACCAGAGTGAGCGCCCCGAGAAATGTCCCATTGTGACCTGCGAGTACCATCAGAAGGGTTTCGCCAGAAAATATGACAAGAACCGGCACACCCTGACCCATTACAAGGGGACTATGGTGTGTGGGTTTTGTCCGGGATCAGGCTCTTCAGCTGAGAAGAGCTTTAACCGCGCCGATGTATTCAAACGCCATTTGACGTCTGTGCACGGCGTGGAGCAGACACCCCCGAATAGTCGCAAGAGGGCATCTACTGGCGCTTCTAGCAAGAAGCCACATGGTTATTCGCACGATGCAACTGGCAAATGTTCAACTTGTTCTGGTACTTTCAGCAATGCTCAGGACTTTTATGAACACTTGGACGACTGTGTGCTTCGGGTTGTCCAGCAAGAAGATCCGAGCGAAGCGACCAATGAACGACATCTGGCATCCATGGAAGGGGATGAGGCTCTCAAGGAGACTCTTGACAGACATGCACTCCCCTCGGGTGGCTCCCCCGCGTCACAGGGTGATCGCTCTGGCGACGCAGAGGATGATGAGGCCGACGATGATTGGAAGGAGGAAGACATTGACGGTGCCGTTACATCTGGTCGCTCAGCTACCGATCGTGGCTTTTCTGGCCCTGGCGCGATCAAATCGAGTAAACCAAATCCCAGTTGACAATTAACACATCCCCGGGGTGTCGCTTCGCACGTCGGGGGTGGTACTACCTCTATCAACAAGACAAGCCGCGCATCTGGTGGGAGAGCTCGTGGACTGACCTACTCCAAAGGCGGAGTGCCTCTTGTGAGCAAAGGTCGCAAGAAGAGAAAAGACTATCCTCTGTCATGGGGTTGTTCGGCTGACAAGATGAAGATGAAGAAGAGGGTGCTTTGCATCTACGATGGCCCAAGACGTCTATGGAAAGATGATTTGATGCTTGACAATGAATTTGAGGTCCGCATGCGTCTTGGCGATGGCAAGTCATATGTGACTGATCTCGATGTTCAGACCATGAAGAGAGCAGAGGCCTTCCACGGGGCCACTGAAGAGGAAAAAGGCCCCTGGATCGAGGATGAAATCGCTCCAGTTGATATTCAAGAACTCATGTCTTGATGATCACCGTTTTACGATTCATGTATTTTTCTAGCTGTACTTATACCTCTCTCGTTTTTCCTTTTCTATTATCATTGGTCATTTGCTTTCCTATTTTCTCCGTTTATTTGACTTCTCTGAAGCGCGACATGCATATTTTTTCGACCTATGCTTCACGTTCATATCTAGGGAATGTGTCATGGATGAGTTGAAGATTTGGCCTTAGTTTTTTTTTGGGTGGGGGGCCGGCCAAAAGTTGTGCCCTGTGGCCAAGACTTTTGATAAGGCCTTTTGTTCTTCAATTAGCGAGTTGTTACGATGGACGTCTCTCATTATCATCATTTTCATTATTTCTGTTCTCTCATCTTTTAACACATTTTCTTTTCATAGCTTTAGCCATCTGCCATATGATTGCTCAGGCAACGCGGGGTGAAATGCAGGTCATCGCCTTACAATTGTATCAAAGTTTTCTTGCTTTACTTGATTCATGACTTAAATGTGCATATCTGAGTTATCAGAATCAAGAATGACCGGGTGAACATCTTTACTATGGAGACAAGATGAAGAGTGGCGCTTCTCGTGTGTAAAGTCAAGTCAACTAGGCTGCACGGACTTTGAGGCTTCTCGCCAGCCAAACGAGCGCTGGGCGGGAGGACCGAGACCCAGGCCGAGGCGACGGAGATACCCGCTCTGAAGCTTCCCCCAATGACATACCATTAGTACTTGTGCTCCCGATAACTCACTTACTGTTGTGTTGATTGCAATCACAATTAGAACTACTTTCTCTTCCCCGTCGAAACCTGACCCATTTTTTTATGACATCAGCTACTCTGAGGTCTTCGTGCAAAGTGCGCGCTTAAATACCATCTACGCTTACGACGTATTCCCTGGAGGATTTAGCAGCTAGAATCGGATTGAAAGACTTCCCCGTACAGGGCGGACATGGCAGACGTCGTTGAGCCGGTGCAGGTGTCTGCGCCCTCTGGTTCCGGCCAAATAGCGCAGCCGTCTCAACAGTCCCAGGCCGTGGAGTTTCTGGTAAAAGGTATGTGTTGATTCTTGAGTCCGGTTGGTTTTGATGAAACGTTTTTGGCTAACGAGGATATTGATATGAAGAGACACCAAAGTTGGACCTTGAGGCGTACATTGCGAACTATGAAGGTTGGTTTGGACTTTTCTTATTATCTGACGTGCTTGAAATGTAAGCTTATGATCATGCAGGAAGAACCCGTTTCGAAAGACTGCTTCATATCGGACGTACCTCTTCCTATCTTCACCAAGAGGCACTCAAGGGCGCAGTTAGTGAGGCCAAACAGGGCAAGGATGTTGGCCGCTATCAGATTGCTGTCCAGTTTCTGCAGCAGTATTCGCCGAATGACCCTGATGCGGTCCTTGACACGGCATGGATCGAAACCATGTCAAAACAGATCAAGGCAGAGACAGATCGACTGGAGTTTCAGCTTAGAGGATACAAGAATAATCTCATCAAAGAGAGTATAAGGGTACGATTCGGCTTAGAGGGAGCTTTCCTTTCCTCCTTTCTCTTTTGTGGGTTTGGAGACAGTTGAGGCTAATGAGTAGCAGATGGGCAATGAGGACCTCGGTAACTATTACCATTCGGTTGGCGAGCTACCGGCGGCATTCAAAGCCTATTCGCGCATGAGAGACTATTGTACGACTCCGAGGCACATCTTCGACATGTGCATGCGACTTGTGATGGTGGCGATTGAGCAAGGGAACTGGATGGCTGTTCAGTCGAACATTATGAAGATTCGGAATATTCAGCAGAAGCCCGAGGAGGAAGCTAAGCTTCAGCCTTTCCTTTATGCAAGCATGGGTCTTGCGCAGCTCGCCAGTGGCAATTATACAGAGGCTGCCACGAGCTTCCTACAAACGGATCCTAGTCTGGGGAGCCAGTTCAATACTGTTCTGAGCAGCAACGACATTGCTGTTTATGGTGCGCTCTGTGCCTTGGTCAGCATGGATCGCAACGGACTGCAGAGCAAAGTGCTGGAGAGCTCCTCGTTCCGTAACTTTTTGGAAATTGAGCCCCACCTTCGTCGCGCCATTTCGTTCTTCTGCAATTCCAAGTACTCGCAATGTCTGGAGATTTTGGAGGCATACAAGCCGGATTATCTACTTGACATTTATCTCCACCGGCATATCGCGAAGCTTTACCAGGAAGTCAGGAGTAAAAGTATTGTTCAATACTTTATTCCTTTTAGCACCGTCGGTCTTTCTAGCATGGCCAATGCATTTGTAACGGATGAGGCATCCATTGCGGAAGAACTCGTGGACATGATCAAACGCGGGATTCTCGAAGCACGAATCGATACACAGAACAGGGTATGTCTTGCTGTATACTAGTCCCCCCCCCCTTTTTTTTTTTGCGCTTCAAGAATAATGAGTTATCCGCTAATCTTCATATTTGGTGACTACAGCTACTCACTGCCAAAGCAACCAATCCTCGTTCAGGAGTACACCGGAGTGCCCTGACAATGGCGAAGAACTACGAACGTACCGCTCGCCTGCGCCTGATGCGCATGAACATGCTTAATGCCGGTCTGGAAGTGCGGGCGCCAAAGGCTGAGCTAGATTATGCACAGCTTAGCGATGTCTTCTCACGGCGGACTGGTATGAGACCTGGAGTTTCTGGCGCCGGCGGCGTTCGCATGTAACATGCTCGTGTGGCCTTGGTGGGAGCCGAATTTAAAAGAACAATACATTTTACAATCATCGCATGGCATGGCGCAGCGGGGGGTTCTAGCATCGGCGTTGGCGTGTGCGTATTTAGCAAAAGGGGCTCGTGGACTTGAGTCATAGCTCACTGTTTTCGTATCTAGTCTAGGGAGACTGCATTTGTTTCAATTTACCCGGTAAAAATAATGGAAACGTGCATGACAAGATTATGGTTCTTGATGGAGAGAGAGAGAGAGAGAGAGAGAGAGAGGAGCGTAATACGTGTTTGAGCACGTTGCTCGGAACATGATCGTGATGATGATGTCAATCATAGTGTCTTTAATTCAAGGCGGGCTTTGACTCGTTCCACATTAAAGTACGGGTATATTAGTTTCGTCCCGAATTTGAGGCCCCCCACACGAGGAAAGGGAATAGGGGGAGGGGTGGGAAAGGCAAGGGGTACGGTAACAAAACTCATGGCCACAACTACTAATTACATGATTCCAAGACAACGGATTTCCCAGCCGCAGTCCGGTAAGTTACAGTTACACGTGGGAAAGCGCACAGATCTTGTCCATGTGGCATCGTGAGTGGCGCGAAGTTTTGTGATTCTGTGGTTTTTTGGTTTTGTGTTCCGTGCTGTGCTGCAAACCTAAATGCTAGAGAAAGTAAATATGAGTTTCTTACTTTTTGTGTGCTCTGTATGCTCTTTGTACGACGCAGGGGCTCTTGTGCTCTAGCGCTCTTGTCTCAGAGTGAGTCAGGAGTTCAATCAAAGACTCAAGACCCAAGACTCAACACAATACGACCTTTCTCTTCGCATTTTTTTTTTTTCTCTTTTTTTTGTCCTTTTTGTTGTTTGCAGTTAGACATATAAAGTAAATTTGGGTTGGGCAGGCAATACGTCGCATTCGTAAACACATCTGGGGATTCAGATTATTCAGATTAACGGTATGGAGGTGTTGTGACAGTGGTATTGTGACAGTGGTACAATGGTTGTGTATGAAGTAGAATACTAAAGTAAGAGAATGGTGGGATGTAAATGTATGGAGAAGATACTACTGCCAAATAATGCTACGATTAAATGTACGGGAGAAAATAAGATGTGAGAGAATACTACGATGGAAATGTATGGAGAAGATGCTACTGCAAAATAATGTTACGATGTAAATGTGTAGGAGAGAATAAAATGTAAGAGAGTGCGACAGACAAGTCTAACAAACAGAAAAGAAGGAAAGGGGGCAAAACAAGCTATTGACCGAAAAAAAGTGCTACAAGTAGGTAAGGTAGTTACATGAAATATTGTATGCATAATGTGTAATGCATAATGCATGCAAGTTTTGACTTGTTGACATGGATATGAATATATGATAAGAGAGGTAAGTAAGGTATACACAGTACAAATGTACGTGGGTATTTGGGTAATGAACATGTTTACCTCTGTACCGGAGTACAGTGGTGTGGAGCACACGCGACTTGCCGGCAGACATTTGGAATTGCCGTGACTTGTCGGAATGAATATAAGAGTACAGTCCACATGAGGGGGGAACGTGTGGTGGTGCCTTGTGTTTTAGAGTCAAACAGGTGTTCTCTGCGGTCGTGGATGTTTTACTGTGCGGCGGTTGCGTGGTAGCAGACAGTAAGGATTCAGGGCAAAACACATGGCGCAGGACTCAGGGCTCGGGACTCAGGGTTCAAGACTCAGGAGTCAGGGCTCAGGAAGCAGGAAGCAGGAAGCAGGAAGCAGGAAGCAGGATAGGGCACAGGACAGAAATGATGATTACATATCGCTTGGATCTTCCACAGTAGATCCAGATCATGGAGATCCTTTTGACCATCAGTTCGCGGGGAGCTCCAGAACATTAGATACCTTAGGTACCTTAGGTATCTTAAAGTTATTTTCCGTGGTTCCATGCTGGGCCCGACTCTATAGGAATACAGGATGTCGGGGCTGCACGAATAGCCGACAGATACCGAGAAAAGATGGAAGACATGACAGGGTACTGCACCTTTTAACTTACACTGTAGTAAGTAAGTTTACTGGGTGTGTTGGTGCACGGTAGAGCTCTAGCGGAAAAGAGGAAATGATTCCGTGCAATGGCTGATTTTGTGGCGACCTGATAGACGATTGGGCTTGGTGGGTGGACGATTGCGAAAAGTGGTACGGGATATAATACTCTGTACATAAAGGTAGGTACCTTAGTGCCCATCGTGGAGGAAATGGAGGAGAATAGTCGTGGCGTCAAACTCATAGAACGAGCCAGAGCTGACAATTTGGCAGTGGCAATCAAAAACTACGTGGCTGCGATCCAGACTCTCTAGCTGAACGCGGTAGCCCCTAATAGAACGGCAACGCTCCACGGCGGGATGATCGTCCAGTAGAGTGACATTGCTTGTTAGAGTTTTGGGAATCTTTTAGCGGCAAGACCATGGGCCCAGGGACAGACGGACAGACCAGGGACGGGAAGAAGATCGGGCTAGAGAAGGTACAGTGTAATACAACACAGTGTTATAGTGACAGATGGACAAGATTAAGTACCTGAACTTATAACCAATGGTGCACCTAAGGTACCTAAGGTAGGTATATGTACGGAGTGTCTCTTGGGACTATTTGGGGCCTGTCAGTTCTAGCGCTAGCTGAGCCCAGAGTCCGTTACAGTTAGAAGGTAGAGACGGCTCTGGCGAACTTTGCTGGGGACTTCCACATTAGGCCATTCCATCAATAAAACTAGGCTGCTTAGGCTTAATCTGGTGCAGATGCTCTTTAACCCCAGTCAATCAAATCATCATCACAGTCCAAATTGATTCCCAGTAGACTGCCTGGCCATTCTACTACGGGACTTACGGGACGGTACTCTTTGGGCCATGAAGCTCTCGACAATTCCAGCTCTTTGGCACGCTTGTCCTTACCTTCCCTTCCCTTTGTAACCTTCATGCTGGGGTGCTTGTACAGCGGTTCATCGAGATGGTCCCTATTTGAGTAAAGCCTGCGAAGCTTCCCTCAGCTTGGGCGCCCACCCATGCGACGTGCATTTTGGGGGGCGTCATGAGTGCTGCCATTACAGCGACGAGGAGATTGTTTTTTGGACTGGCGGGCCCCAGCTATGCGGCATGGCTCCTCCCGGGGTCCACCGATAACACATTATGTCGTGCTGCCTCACTACTCACGACTAACATTGTGCTAACTATGAGTTCCCTTTTCTTGCGAAATAATAGACTAGTCTGTACAGCATGTCGTCGGTTATTCCCCGGATTGTCTAGTCTAGTCCATGGATCGGAGAGTGCGATGCTCCACCGCCATGCATCTGGCGATGGGTGATGTATGCTTGATATATAAGAATGCCATGGCCTCACCTCTCTTCAGTTGCGTCCTGGTAGGGCTGCTGCTGGATGCCTTCTTCCATTGTCCTTTGAGCCAATAAGATACACTTTTTCTCTTCCTCTGCCAGATTGTTAGTATACTGTGTTTTTGCCAAACGCCAGCACGCTTTGATAATATTACTTTGCGATACAACCTACATCAGCCAATTGGACAATCAAGATTCGCCACTGAGGAAAGGGCGCCCTGCAACCACCATGACGGGCACCTCGGGGCGCAGCGCTGGCATTCGGAGATGGGACGGCGTCAAGAGAACTTCAACCATGTGGGACGGGCTCCGAAAGGTAAGACATCCCCCACCCAAAATATTATAACTTGAAACTCATTGTCTGACTCGTCACGTTTTGTCTCACAGGATCTCGAGCTATGGTTTCCAGAAGGAGATTGCCTCATTTACCTTTACGGCCGTGGACAGTCTCGTCGCGGCCCTTCTTTCAGGATACCCTTTTCGGCATTGGCCCACACCCGTTGCTTGCCATTGCTTGAGCGGCACAATGCCGAGTCCATGTCCCACCCGACGACCTGGTCAATGCCCGGCAGTGTCTGCTCGTCCATGGATACCTCAGAGCCCGCATCGCTGGAGCTGCACATTCCTGCTCCGGCGGATGCCTCGCGCGAGGAGTCTTTTCTCTTCCATCTCGGTACGCGCAATTTCTTCGCCTGGCTTTTTGGAAAGCCACTGGTGGGATCTCATCTCGGAACTGCCCTGGTCGATCTTCTCGACCGAATGAACATGTACAGGTCGGAAACGGAGGATAATATGAAAGACCTGACGCAATACTTGGACGAAGAAGGCTACACGGACTTTCGGGAGTGCCCTGATCATGCGCTGTCGCTCCTCTACTTTGCCGAACATTACCAGCTGAAGAATCTGTGGACGGATGCTTTTGTCCATTGCGTGGGCATGAGCCAGCGCTTATGGCTTAGTGAAGAGTTTGAGGTAAGCAAAAACCAAATTCAATTTCATCCCCGTATAGGCAATATTTCCAGTCTGACTAATTTCCAAACAGCCAATAAGCCGTGTGTCAAAGGCACTGATCAACCGCTCGCATCTCGAGATGGATGTCCGGATGGAAAGAGCTGGACGATCCCTGTCTTCTTTTCTCGAGGACGAACTCTCCGGTACATACTTGGGCCTCAACTCAGCTGCGTTATCCCACCTTGAACGCTTCCGCTCCTTTCTCCACTCCTTTTACGTCAACCGATACGGCTACTGGCCGCCAACAAAAACGGGCAGCAAAGGCTCATCCCTGTCCAAATCGACTTACCGCTCAATGTATTTTGAATTTCGCAATCTCTACGCTTATCTTGTCGACGGCAATTCCGGTCCGTCCAAGCCTTCTTCTCTCAAGCCTTTTTCCGGTAGCGGGATCAATCTAGAGCATTGCGTGGCAGTTTTTAGCAAGAAACTCAAGTACGCGTCGCTTCCATGCTCCATGCCACTTTTACCGGATATCTCCTTTGAAGCACCTGGATTCATGGATCCTTTTGACCTACGAGGTACCTTTTGCAAGCAGACCAAGGCCAATAGACGGTTCGCCGCTCTTGCTGCGCTTTCGTCCGCCACCAATTCGCTCGACATGACAGTCATGGAGTGTCCCTTGGTCCGGGCTTACGCGCGCTTTGAAAACGACTGCACGCTCAAGCAAGAGGAGAAGGTTTCCTGCGCTGACGGTCGCAAAGTTCGCTGGCTGCTCATCTACGCGATCCTGCAGACTCTCATATCTGTAACGCGGGCGCCCAAGGAAGTCAAGGATACCGAAGGCGTGTCATACCCGCTCTGCTGCCAGACCGCCGGCACTCCGCCGTGGAAAATCTACAATACCGGCTCGTCCTCACCGAAGAAGTATATCAGCAGCCACAACAATATGCGACCTGACCACCACGTCATGGAGGTGGACTACTTCAACCACAGGCCCGTCCATTCCGTCTACGTGGCTACCAGCGAAGCACACCACAAGCTTACTACTGCCTACCGAGCCCGTGATGATCAGCAGCAACAAGAACAACGCCGCAAACTCCGCCCCACCCGCTCCGCATCCTCTCTCCGCCCCCTCAAGCGTCAACAAAGTCATCACTACTCTTCATCTGAGCTGGCCCCGCCCATTCCGCCCATGCCCGCAATGCCGCGTCTGCAATCCCTCAAACCCCGCGACCGAGCTAGCTTTCATGAAACCATTGGGCAAAACTATATCAACACCCGCTCAATTTCTCATCACGGTTCTTCCTCTTCCTCTTCCTACTCTTCCTCTTCTCCCGCCACCTCTCCCGGCTTCACCCTCGCTCTCGAGCCAGGCTTCGTCCCCAATGCATCCAGCGGATCCAACTCCCCCGGAGCACCAACAATCTTCAGCAGTGCCGGCTCCAGCTCCTCTCTCAGCGGAGGCGAAGACCAATTAGGTTTTCCATCCATGGACCACCTGAGCGTCAGCGGCTCGAGCAGCGTCTACGACGAAGACGGCGATAACAACGAATGCTACCAAGACGAAATATATGGCAGTCACAATGCCAAGTCTGGCTTCGGCTTCGTTTCTCGAGACTTTGAACCCTCGGTCGATTTCCGAAGCACTACCACCACTCTACCTCTTCATCGCCGCGAGGCGAATACATCCATTTCCAGCCAAAAGCGTCTCGGCTTTGGCATTCAGTTGAGAAAACAAGTCTCGATTGAGAGCTTTAGAATGGCAAATGATGAACTGGAGAGGTACTTGGCTTCGACTTAGTTTGGCTGTTCTGGTTTCGTCGTTGGTCCTAGTTCTGTTTGGATTAGGCAGCGCTCCTTTCTTTTTTGGTCATTTTTTCATTCCGTCTTTACTTCTTTAATTATCTTTATCATGTCGTCTTATAGCATCGCAAAAGCGGCCAATGAGCTCGCTTCTGGTATTAATAACGGTGTTGGGATAGTGATTGGGATGGTCAATTGGTTTTCCTGTCGAAATATTATTGGTCACACTTGGGTTTCTGAGTGCTATATAGCGAGGCGTTGGGGATAGCATCTCTCGTTCCTAATTTCTTATTTTTATTTTTATTTTTATTTTTTTTTTTGGAAAAAATGTCTACTCTACGTCCTGGGCAGATTCGGGAATGGATTTAAGTCTTAGGATAAATTATATATCCAAGAAAAAAAATGCATGTAACAGATCAAGGGGCGTTACTGCCAGGCCTTTTACTTCTCGTTTTCATTTCCTTGCGCCTTTTAATCGTTTTTTTTTAAGTATTTGCAAAAATCCAATCATTACATCTATGACACACATTTCATCATACGAGTGTATCTGTTGAACAAGAGTATGATGCTTGCAAATGTGCTGTATTGAGACTAGACTAGGGCACCTGGGCACCTCGAGGAAATATTCGGTTGTGACTTTTGTAAGGTCGTTTCCCTTTTGGAGTATAAAAATTCAGATTCCTTTGGCGAGGTGTCAAGAAGAGAAAGAATGAAAGGATGAATGGGATAGAATGGGATAAAATGGGGGTAAAGAAAAGAAAAGAAGAAAAAATTTAAGTTCTCTTGTTTCTTGTTTTAGGAAAAGAATGGAAAAAGAAAGATGGTCCATAAATAAAGTAATTCGTGTATTCAAGGCAAATCGAATGGATATAAATGAGGAATAAAAACAAAGATGGGTTTGAGAAGGGCCGTTAAGGGGAATGAGAAGGGAAATATAAATGGAGGGAAATGAAGGGGATGCGAATGAAGAGAAGCTAATAGAGGAAGACGGAGAAAGGGCGGAATAAAATAAGAATAAAGGAAACCCAAAATAAAAAAACTAAAAAAGGGGAAATATGAAGAAAGAAAACAAGGATATAAAGAAGGTAGAAAACGTCAATTAATCTCGCAAACTGTGCCGGTTCTGCCGACGCACGATTTCGTGCGCGACAGCTGCAGCTGCTCCCACGAGTAAAAGAATGCCATTGAAAATGGCAAGCATAAAGAATGGCGCACCGGGCGTCACCTTGTCGAAGAGGAATCCGCCGAGTTTCGTCAAAAGCAAGATTCCCGCGCCGCCAACGAGGGAATATGTTCCTGCTATGGACCCCTTGAGATGACTGCGACTATGTGACTTTTGCTGATTCTGATACTCCTGCTGCTGCTCGGGGGATAACGAATCGTCTGCGGCACCAGCCGGTGGAGTAGATGCAGCAGCTAGAAGAGCAGTTTCTTCAGTGATAGCCTCGGCGGGCTCGGCGCTGTTTGGATCTCGGACTGTAGAATCTCGCGGGGCCGCAGATGGCTGCGCTTCGGTCGGCTGAGGAGATTGAAACGTCCCATTGGTGCTGTCTGTGGCTTGTTGCTGACGGTGAGCTTCTTGCTTTGTGTGTTCGTTGCCATCTTCGTCGGCGGCGTCATGGTGTAGCAAGCCGAGAATACCACGGCCCAAGAGCCCGAGGCTGCATACGATGGCGCCGATTTGCGAAATGCCTAGTAAAGCGGCGATGAAGAAGATGGCGGGGGTGCCGTGAGGGCCACTAGGCTCGGGACTCTTCAAGAAGCCGAAGCTGATGTAGCCTACTACGCCAAGTAAGGCGGATACGAGAAGTGGAATGTTGCCACGGGGATATCGGTCGGAGAGGAAGCCGATAAACGGTGCGCAGAGGAGTGCGATGAGCTGTGAGACGCCTGTGATTTCGGCAGCGAGAACGTATGCTTGTGCGCAATTCTTTTTCAACTCGCCGCCTTCGTCGCTCGAGCCGTGGCCAGTGCAGAGTCCAGATGAAACGAAGTACGCGTTGACAAAGAGTGGGATGAATAGAGCTATGCCGACCGAAGAGGCTCGGGCTACGAAGCCGCCCAGGTAGCCTAGCCCGATGTTTGTGTCCTTGAATCCCAGACTGACTGAGTCGGCCAGGAGTCTCCAAAGTGGGAAGTCTTCGCTTTTGCTACCTCTACCGTCGTTGTTGTCGTTGTCATCACTGTTGCTCTCGCCGTCCTTTCTTGGTGACTTTTTATGAAGTAACGATTTCCATCCTTTGTTCTCTTCGCCGGCCAAGTTCCGTAGACCTAGTCCGCAGAGCACCGATACCAGGAGGGCTACGGTTCCGACAACATAGTAACTGTTTGCAACAGCCTGGCTAGGTGATGTGCCACCGGCTTCGAATCTCGCGGGGATAGGCAAGAAGAGTAGTAGCGCAATCAGAGCTCCACAGCCGGTAAACATGCCCACCAATCCAGCAAGTCGCGCCGGCGCCGCTTTCTCTGGCGGTGCCATGTTCTGCTCTACTGGGGTCGGCTTTCTACCGCGTCCAAGTCTCTCAGGGGTGATGGTCAGTTCGGAAGAGAGCGATGGAGTAGGTATATGAGTTTGTTGCGAGCTGCCCTCGTGTCTTGTGGAGTTGGTAGCCGGGTACTTTGTCGTCATTGAGGGCAGAATGGCTGTTACCATCGTCGCACTGCGTCTGTCAGTCACATTGTATAATTGAACCTCTCGTGCGCTCTTCTCAGGAGACGTACGTAGCTGCGCCACCCACACTGAAGAATATCCTAGCTAAAAGGAGCTGGGGGTATATATTCTTTGCTTGAACGAACAGGAACAGAGCCAGACCGACAATCGCATAGCCAAGCACGCACACCTAGATATTGATCATAAGCTTACTTATGACCGTTGGTAAACGCAGGAAGTAACATTACTGACCGTTCGAACCCCAATTCTATCAGACAAGACGCCCCATATTGGACATGCCACCAGGGCTACAAGCTCATCCGCAAATCCAAGCGTGCCGACGGCATCGCCAACTTCATGATGGAGCTTAATGCGGTTCGTGATGACAAACGAGACGGAGCTATTGAGGAAGACCAAGAACGAGATGGAGAAGAGACAGACCCCAATCAAGTATGTCGCTGCCTGTACAGGCGTAACAGAGAAGATTCTCCGTACCATATTTATGACATCCTTCCGAAGAATCAAAGATAGAACGAGATGTCCTCTCAGTGCTTGTATTCGAAGTGCAGTAAGCCCAGCCACCAATAGACGTCAGTCCACGGAAGATCCCGATGTCGTAAACAACTCAGCTATCGATTAGAACTACAAAGCTATAGCCACCGAGATACATCCTCACCTAGACAGGTAGATTGTCGCGGATCGAGCCGAGCCGGGTCCACTGCTAAATACTGATCCATACTCTTTTATACAGAGCAGTACAGTAATCGATCAACAATAAACGGTGTACGATACAATTGATCCCAGAATTTTCATGTTATCTTAGCTGTTTCTACATTTTGAAAACTGTCAGCAGCTACAAGCATGGTCCAAAAGAGTCTTTCATTCGCAAAAAGCTCAAACAGACCGAGCTGACAATCTGATATTTGCCCAGCTGTGTCACGATTCCCTTTTTTTCTTCTCAACCAAAAACATATGAATAAAGAGCTACTCGTGCTATAAAGTCATGAAGAAAGAGCACATCCCATTAGCAAAGCGCGGTGGCATAAACCTTTGAATAAAATCAAGCTCGCCTGGAATCATCCCAGAGAACAGCTGGACTATTAACTCATGGCGAATGATAACGGCGAGCCGGACCTGATAGAAGCATCAAAAGACAGAGGGGTACCAGAGCGCTGATGACCAAAGGGCGATCTATGAACCCAATTTTCATCTCTGATTATTTTGTGGTATGTCACCTCATCTTCGGCCCTTTCACGCTTCCCAGCGCTAGGTGTCCTTCCAATTCTTGCATCAACCGGTGGAGCGAGTCTCCATTTTCGATTTTCTTCCCTGTCATCATCGACGAGGATGATCATCCAAACACCAACATTGCCATTGTGCCCCTGTAGCGGCGTGCAATGAATCCAGCGTTTGCGACCCACGTCATCGGTTTTTGAAACCCAGCGGACCTTGGCGGTGACTCCACGACCTCCGGCGAAGGCTGTAAGAAGCTCTTCGCGTACTCTTGAGGAACCACCAATCTTGTCCATGAATGGCGATTGCAAGAATCCCGGCACTCGGAGAGATGGGGAGGCGAACAAGACCCGAAGGGACGGAAAAGGTCGGATGAGCACGTACTTGCAAAATTACAAGTATTAAAAAGAAAATTTAGAACGCTCAATTTTCATGGGCTCGTACTCACATTCTCATATATACCACGGAGCCTTCCTCGTGCTTTCATGTCGGATTGAAGCAATTTGTTAAGGTCCGGACTTGGCTCCTTCAGCAGCAATCTTGGCTGGCGCCATGACCTGGAGTCTTCATCGTCGATGATATCTTTGTGCATCCGTCCTCCACATTTGCGGACAATGTCTAATTCAGTCGTATTGAACATTTCGCACAGCTCTTGAAACTCCTCTTTTGATTCACTTGCGTAAGAAGTCTGATACCCCTCAACATTGGGATCTTCCTGTCCCACAAGACGCTGAAAGGAGTCGATGCATGTACAATCCTTCACGAGCCCGCTGACATCAACCTGTGCGCCGATAAAATAACGAACTTTACCGCGACTGTCACATAGCGGAGCAAGCATCAACAAATTCATAAAAGGAGATCCATCTCTTCGACTAGATGGTTCCGTTAGTAAAAGAGTGAATATACCGGTACGAGAGCACTCGCTAGTTCAAGAAGACCTCAGAATGCTCCTTTCCTTCCTGTACCGCCTCCTTAATCCTTTTGATGCTAAACGGATTCGATTTGGGTCCCTGCAGAAAGCGACAATTTCGCCCGGCAACATAATCCATTCCATATTGGGTTGTTCGATGAAACTCTTGAGTGGAAGAGTTAATGCTTTGCTCTGAAACCTTAACAAGAACGCTTACCGTCAGACGCGAAAATGATAGGATTATCTGGCCTTGAAGGGTCTGTGAGACAAAACACTTCTGCCAAGCCTTCAGATGCCTCTCTCAGATTTGGAGGTAGAGCACCTGAGATTCTCTCACGGATACTAAGGCTAACGATGCGAGTATATGTGCTAGTTATGTATGCTGGTAGATCCTCCTGGGCTAGCACTTCGAAAGCTTTTTTGGCTTTGTGTTCCAGGGTAGCATTTACTGTTATTCTTGCAGGCTCAGTCGTGAATTCGTGACCTTGGATTGGATTCAGCGCCTCCGAGATAGCGTTCGCATATTCGATGGCTCGAAGAGCTTTTAGAGAATCAAGATAGTAGACCAGAACCGGCACTGACTGGGGTCGATGAGATGTGAGAAAAGTAGTGAATTTGAACAAAAGCGCAGGATCAGCGAAGATTATTTTGAGATGCTCTTGAGAGAAAAGCTGTTCTGAACGATTCTCTAAGGAGAATTCCTTTTTCGGGCTAATTTCTTCTGGGGCAGTGACAAGATCGAAGCATTGCGGATCATCTTCTAGGACTGGATTCAAATTATCGGACTCATTTGAGTGTCCTCGAGCCTGCAGAGGCGGAAGACCGGAAGCAAGAGGGAATACTGTCTCAACAGAGGAAGATATGGATGCTTTACGGGGCCTTGAGCGGCTTGACTCCGATGTAGAAGGTTCAGGAGAAAGTAATCCCCCGGGTGACTCTAGTCGTTGGCTTCCACTACCAAGATACATCAGTTAATATCTTCTTCATAGGCTGACGGATGGATATACTAATCTCTATTTTGAATGGAGTAGGGAGAATTGGAGTCAATTATGGGATGTGCCCCGTCTTCATCTAACGACAGAGTACCTGCTGTGTCATTCGAAAGTAGCGATATGGTGCGGTCAGTGTATCTGACATCCATTTTCGAATCGTCTCCTGGAGTGTGCTTCGTACAAGCGTCTCTTATACTGCTATGCTACTCACTAAGACCGTATATTCAGGCGAATCAGGCATTGGCACAGTAGTAGGAAACGGGCATGCTGGAATGAATCACAGAAGTAGGAGAGGGCTAATCCGTGGTAGACATGACCAACGTCAGAACTAGTACTTGGTAAGATGGAAGCTAAGAGCAAACACCCAGCGGCAAATTTACTTTCAGCGTTCCTCATCCCGGGAAAAGAACCATCTACAGCAAATCTTAACCTTCATATCAGGATTCCGCCCGATCATGAGCAAATCGGTGCAAATATACTGAAAAGGCAACTATTACGTAGCAATAGATTGCTGCACAATGAGGAACCACTTTCGAAAAGTTTGTAAGGTTAGTTTCGGGTGCATAGAATGTATTCTTTTGGCTATACCAGCATTGCCATTGGAGTTATCAGGGCTCAAGGAACAAAATTTCTGGGCTTTTGATATCATTCTTAGCAAGGCCCAAGGTCATGTTTGTATTCGAGATCTTTGGGGAATTGTGACCCGAAGGCTCGAACGTGAGAGAGGAACGTAAAACATAATGGCATATTGTGTAGCTGAATGCTTTCTAAGAAAGCTTCTCCTTGATTGGACTTGATAATTGAATGAATTGAGATAAGTCGTCTGCAGTGTAGTAGCAAGAGAGTCCATGTAAATTGACGCTGGGTCTGCAAAGCGTCAGCCACGTGCGAATAAACAAAATGGTTCCATGATCGACGTGTGGAGTGGCAGCGTGGCGGAAGCTGCATGCCCCAATTTGCTGACTAAACACGGCATGACGTTCAAGGGTCCCTGCGGTCGCGTTGGAGCTTCACTACTGAACACCAACGTGTTCCGAACTCACACGACTTTACTTCAAAGTCAATATATCCCACTGTTCAGCAGCCAATTTGATGGCGTTCAAGGCAGTGATCCTCTGTCGGTGATGACCCTGCAATTTTGCAAATTTCCCGAAACATGAGGTTGGCCGCCTATGCCGGGGTAAGCATTGTTTTGGACTCTAATACGCCAGAAGGTTATGCTGATGCTGATCTCCGCGCAAGGCCTCCACGGTCCTGGCCGCTGGTGTCATTATCAGGGCATTTCATCAGCGACCAAATTTCTATTCCGCGTGTGTTTATCTAGCTCAAAGCAATGCTTGCTTAATGGTAAACAAGATTCTTTCAACGAAACTTTCAATGGGCTCATGGACTTTCAGATTCTTACAAACCTGGTGCTTCTGACCATCAGTGGCTTTGTTCTTGGGCTTCAGCGGCTCTTGTATGGACCACTTCGCCCGATTGAGGTTGAAATGCTTTATGAAAATGCCTGGTATGCTATCACGGAGACATGTCTGGCGATGACCATTTTTCGAGAAGAAGTCGGCGCTTGGTTTATTATGATGTTTGTCACCCTACTGGTCGGAAAGGTGTGGGGTTGGATTGGGGCTGGTCGTGTTGAGGTTCTTCAGCAGCAACCTCCCGCAAACCCTCGTTTGTTCCACGCTCGAATTTCCATATCACTCCTCCTTTCCGTCGTATACAACCTCTATATGCTTTACTACTCCGTCTCCACTGTCCTCGATCAGGCTCGGCCGAACATGATGGTCATGTTTGCCTTTGAGTTTGCGGTACAAGCTATCAACTCTATGGCGACAGTGGCACACTATGGCCTTGCCGTGGTGGAGATTATCGTGGTCAGGAAGCAGACCCAAGCCAGATTACGCGAGAGAAGAGCACAAATAAGGGAAGATAGGGAAGAGGCACTCACGCAAGCTGTTGAGAATGGTGCCGACTCTACAGATATTACTAGAAGGCTGCAAAACCTTCCTGATGAAGATGAAACCGACGTGGACGCAATGGATGTTGATGTGCCTGGATGGGAGAACAAAAGCCGGTGGGTGTTCTATTTAGACCTTGCAGCAGGTAAGTCTCCGAATTTCTTAACAGATAGCGCACATCTAACGTTGTCTAGACTTTTTTAAGCTCGTTACCTATCTATCATTCTTCGCCATCCTGACCATGTTCTATGGACTGCCTATCCACATTCTACGAGACGTGTTTGTCACTCTCCGCTCATTCTTGGGCAGGATTCGTGACTTTATTCGGTACCGCAACGCAACCCGTGACATGAATGATCGATATCCGGATGCCACTGCCGATGACTTAGCAAGGGATAATGTTTGTATCATTTGCAGAGAAGAGATGATGCCCTGGCAGGTGCCAAACGAAGGCCGTCGGGCCGGGGAAGGGGGACTCAGATCTGCCAGACGAGTGAACACAACTTTGGATGAAAGGCTTCGCCCCAAGAAGCTTCCTTGCGGGCACATCCTTCATTTTGCATGCCTGCGGAGCTGGCTGGCGCGACAACAAGTATGTCCTACGTGCCGCCGGCCTGTGCTTGAGCCCAATCAGGTACGAGTGGTGCCTGCCAATCGTCCAGCGGCTGCGGAGCCACATGTTCAGCAACCGAGAGCAAATGTGCAGGCACAGCAGGGTGCTCAACCACCTCCTGGAGTCCAGAATGCACCGGGCGGCCGGATTATCAACTTGGGCCCGCTGCGGATTGGATTCGGGGTAGGACCTCCTGACGTTGTACAGAACCTTGCGCAACAGATGAACAACAGGCCGGCTGCTCAGCCGCAAATCCAACCGGCGAATGCGGCAGAACGACCCCGGTTTGGCTTTGGTCTCAACTTTGGACGGCCTGCTCCTCCTCGAGCCCAGAACCCTGCGGCCAACTTCAACCCAGGCTTGGTTCAAGCACAGCTGCACCAGATCGAACAACAAATTATGCAAGAGATCAATAGCCTCCGTCTGCTTTCTGATCAATTGCATAATGTACGCGCGTTGCAAGGTGAATTGGCTCGGCTACGAATTGCCCAAGCTTTCCCTCCAACTACCTTTGCAAATCCTAATCCAAGCATGAACTATGTCGGTAATCCTATCCGTCCTGCTCAGCAATATACGCTTCCCTCCCACCCACGAGGCGGCTTACAAGCATATGGAGCCCAACCACAAACAACAGTGATGGCTCATAATGACCCAAACCTTCCCCAGGGGCTGCATTTACCTCCTGGGTGGACAATGCTGCCATTGTCTCGAGTTATTTTGCCAACACCAGTACCGCAGATTGCCGGTTCCAATGATCCTAATCAACGGCCAACTGCTCCGAGCCCAGTTCCACGTGCAGGCAGTGCACCTCCTTCTACGCAAGCCGAACATACTGTACTTCCTACCTTCGATTCTACTACCGCTTTCAATGGGGCTCCAAGCGGTACTGCAGACGTGCCCGTGTCAACGGCCCCTAGTCCCGGTCCATTCGCACCTGTAACGTCAACAGAATCGCCTTCATCGCTAAGAAATGATGATCCTAGCGCCGGAAATCAAGCTTCTCCATCGTTGACAGCATCAGAGCCGAATGAAACTCCGCGGCCTGCTGACGCGGCTCCTGGCATCACTAATGCAGGCAACGAAGGTGGTGATCACGGAAGTTCTGCTCCTCTCTCACATGAGACTGTCGCCACGGCCGGTCCGATCAGTGGGCCAGATTCGGTGGAAACTCCAGTAAGCCATGCGCAAGAGACCAGAATCCACCCCGACGAATCAGCTGGAGATGGCCCTAGTGATGAAGGCGGAGACAATACTAAAGGTAAAGGGAGGGCGGCTACCGTCGAAGATCTCGTTGAGGACACTGATTGACGCAAGAATCGAATTCTTTTTCATGTATTGTTTTACTCATGCAAGCACATACCAGCATAAATATCCCAGCATCTTAAAGAGGCGTAACGATCATTTCTTATTCTTCTCATATGTATGCATTGTCTAATTGCATGATTTGTTTCCAATGATCATGAAATCCAAAAACTTAATGCCAAGTAAAACTTCCTCTGCGGGAAATCTTATATAAAACCGTCTGATCAAATGGTAAAAATTTCCACGATCACAGAGGTTGACGTAACCTTTGGCACGCAGGCGGGGAAAGGAAGATAATAGGAGCTCATGATCAGAAATCCGCAGTAATTAAGAATGGCGACCGTGCCAAGCGCGCGCAAACAGTTTCTATCGTCGGTAAGGCTACCGCTGGAGTGTATCAGTAAAGCGAGACCAATTTTACGCAGACTTTTGAGCATGATAGTGTGAGTTTTAGTTACACGGGCAGATGTGATTGATATTTGATGAGGGAAGTACTTGTGTAGCCAAGACGCCGACGCTTGGCTCCATTTTCGGTTGATGTCGTCTAGTCAGATTACTATGGTATCACAGCTTTCTAAGACTCCGTCTCCCCTGCGGCGCCTTGAAACATGGACTTTCTTAAAACGTCACACCTCCCAGAAATATCCGTCCCCTTACTTTACGAGAGCAAGCTTGGTGTCTCTCTTGGATGACCCCGCTCACCGACATGAGTGATATATTTACACTGTCAGTGGGCTCGCGGAAATCCTCGATCTACTCCTCCTCCGACTGTTAGTTGTGTCTGTCGCCCGAAATATTTCGGTGTGTGCCCTGATCCAATACGACAGCGAAGGATCACGCGACAATATGTTCAAAGGCATCACCTCTGTCTCCGGTTGGAGTGTACCGCCAGTCAAGAAGAAAGCACTTTTCATCCTTGCAGCAATCGCGTTTCTCCTCCTAATACCTCTCACGCCATTGTATCCCGACGTTCGAAACCAATTACAGAGAATAGATACCATATCCACCGATGTGAAGACGAACTCGAGCGCTTCTCCCGTCGATGCCCGCCTTCTCGACTTTTGGAGATCTCTCGCAGAAAGCATCGCCAAGGCAGCACCTCAATGCGAACCTCCAAGAGGCCCTGGCTCTCTTGAAGTGCCACATTTCGATATTAGCGATGATTCAAAGCACCGGCCGGACGTTCTAGAGATGCCAAGTGAGGACGTGCATTCTATGTTTCTTCTCCACAATCTCATGGTCAAAGAAATTGAGGAGAAATTTACATCTATACCTTATGTTGCTGGGACCCGAGGAATTGTGTGTCTGGCCGGGGGGAAGTACATGCCGCCTTTAATTGCTTCCCTTCGAATGCTCCGCCGTACAGGTTCCAACCTTCCAGTAGAGGTTTTCACGTTCTCATTGGCGGAGCATGAGCCGTATCTCTGCGATGAAGTTTTACCGTCCTTGAACGCGAAATGTGTCGCACTGTCACCCATGTTCGACCAGGTGCAGCCCCCAGCTGAGCTCACTGGATGGCAGTTGAAAGTGTTTTCAATACTCTTTTCTTCGTTTGAGGACGTGCTCTTTCTCGATGCGGACAACGTGGCGCTCAAGGACCCCGAAGAGCTATTTTCGTCGAATGTATATGCGAAATACGGCTTGCTTAGCTGGCCGGACTTCTGGCTTCCTTCGGAGAGTAGTCAATATTTTGCTATCTCTGGCCAGGAAGCTTCTGATGTGGTCGAGCATGCTGCAAGGGAATCTGGTGAATTGCTTGTTTCCAAAAAGTCTCACGCAAAATCCTTGGCACTCGCAGCTTACTACAACGTCTATGGTCCGGATTATTATTATGTCTTGATCAGTCAGTTCGGGCCGGGCATGGGCGACAAGGACACGTTCACTGCGGCCGCAGAGGTGTTCGGAGAGCCAGTGTATTTCCTTGATGAAAATGCTCGCGTTTTTGGAAGCCTACCCGAGAAGGCCGGACAGTATTACAGTATCATCCAGTACGATCCGACGGCCGAATACCTTGGACAGTCAAAATCACCTCTGTTCATGCATATCAATCAGCCGGTGAAGATGAATATCAAGGAGATTATCGGACACCATTCGTTCGGGTTCGGGATGCAGATCTGGGGAAGTGCAGAAGAAGCTCAAGAGATGACTGGGGTTTCAAACCTACCACTGGCACTATGCGAGGAATTGATATACTCGTCTTGCAATGTATCGGTTTACAAGGATTGGTCTAAAGCGCAGCAGAATTACTGCGATGCCGCACGACATCACTGCTCCTTGTAATGACTTTGTACTCGTTTGTTTTCTTCTTGTACATATTTATAGCATTTATAGACAATTGCCTGACGGCAAGCCCGGGGTATTCATCTCAGCCACTTCCGGTTCTCATCATTAGTAATGGACCGGTTCTTTATGGAACGTTTGGAGATATATGGCTGCCATGGAGTAGGACATGGGAACTTTCAACATGGACCGGCGTGTTATTATATTCGTAGGTCGGCCACCTCCTTATTTCTTGCAGAGTAATACCGTAACGACTCTCTATTATTTGCATTTCACTTCGACTCCTGAGAGATTTAGCGCGTTCCACTCTATCCCTTGCATCACCATCACTCGCGTGGCCGAGGAGACATATGTACCAGAGCATACCGAATTTCACTGGGCTGTGATGTTCCGGCAAGCTTAAACAGGCAGGCACACAGCAAGTGGATTCTGAGTATAGCCAGTGGCTTGTTTCAATTTGGACTGGTGTACCTGAATGGTTTGCCCTTGCTAACATAATGGGATCCATTGCCCATAACTTATATTTAACATGTATCACAATTTTGTAAATAATGCCGGTTACCTGGGACCTATCTTTTTCAGTTATGTGACGGGCCACTTTTGCCACAGCAATGTGTATATCTTGGGTAATGGGGTGGAAATATGAATGCATGTGGGAGACTTCAATCCATTTGCGGCCATATGCACCACCTTGGGGGCTGACAGGGGAAAGCAAAAAGCACCAAGGATAATCTCTACAATTGTACAATTCAGATACCTGAATTCGATAGCTTTCGACAGCGCTCATTTTGTCGAATGTGATTGTCAATGTCAAGACGACCCACATTCTGATAACCAGAAAACAAATCGCGTAAGGCGAATCGTTGGAAGACGAACTGCCGCATAGATCCAGGGTCGTTGGTGGATGAGTTAGGGTTCCTTAAGGAATCTCTGCTATCATTGGCGGATTCACGGACCACCATTTCATCACTTGGGGGTTAAAGAACCCTTGCCCAATCACCCGCCACACTTGGATGCGTATTTCTCAACTACCCTGAGCCTAGGCAGAAAAGGCTCCCGCCCGGATCTCGTATTGATCGTCGCTGACTTGAGGGATCCTCGGTCATTCTTCTCGCAGTGATTCGCACCTTCTAATCTTACGTTTACGTTACTCGCCCTGCCTCTTTCTTATTCGACGTCTCGCAATTCTTTCCTTTTTCTGCGAGCGTCCAGCTCCTAATTTTTCTTCTATTCTTCTCTTTCAAAAAGACTTGCAGGGATTTTCGACTTACCTCTTCGTCAACCGGGTTGTTTGACAGGCTCCTTGTTGAGCCGATTAACTTGTGAGAGGGCTCATCCGCCGCTTGTGTGTGAAAAAGGCTTGCCCCGCGGGCCCTTGAACTTTAGCGTGATAGGCTCGCTATCACCCATCGGCTACTCCCTTTCCAAAACGTCTTACCACTCACGCAGATTCGATTCTGCCGGCCCATCATCTGCCTACTTTCTGTCCCGGTTCTCTTTATTCTCCTTGGGCACGGTGTCCTTCTACACCCAGTCAATCTTGAGCCCATTTGTGTGTCTACCGGCGAAGCTCCTTTGAGGTCAGCAGGTACTGCAGGAGTCTTTCGACGATAAACGCATTTGGTCTCTTGTCTTTGCCATCCTTACGGCAGTTTCTCGCAGTCATTTGATCGCCTCTCCCAACCTGCAATTAGTCTATTTTTGGAAACGCTTTCAGTCGTTTCCTGCCATATATTCACAGTCGCCCTTCGATATTACCTGTTTTATTGTCCTTCTCACTTTTCTTTGATCAGTGTGAAGATTATCAGAGCCGGATCAGTTGTTGACAGCACACGATGTCGGCCAGTCACATAATCGGCAACCGGAACAGTACTCCGGAAGCCTCCAACACCTCCCTGCGTCCGCCATCTTCTCGTGCAATTGGCTCGGGTCATCATCTTCGTGCATCAGCGGACATGTCAGCATTTGCGACCTCGCCTCTCTCGACTCGCAGCATCCGTCCCTCGTCCGAAGTCTTCTTCAACCAGACGCTCCAGGCTCAAGGCCAGAACAGTGCGGATGATGCCATGGATCGTGCTGCACAGCAATGGATTGCGGATATTGACCAGTACGAGACCACATTGGAGGAAATGGCCGCAGCAACTTTGGATCAGGATTTCAAAGATGAGCTGAGCGCCATTGAGCAGTGGTTTCGTGTTCTTTCCGAAGCCGAAAGGACTGCGGCCCTGTACGCGTTGCTACAGCAAACCACTCAGGTCCAAATACGTTTTTTCATCCAAGTTCTTCAGCAGATGGCAATGAGCCATCCCATGTCCGGAGTGCTCTCTCCTGCTACTTTTGGTGAGAAGGGTAAGGGCCTTGTTCCCAGAACCAGCATCACCTATTGGCCTTGCTAATTCTTTGTGGATAGATCCCATGTCTAATCGTCTGAATGACGCAATGAGCAAGCTGAACGTCGAGGGTTCCCGGAGCTCTCTCGGGCGGCCTCCTCCATCTCCCGGCAACAAACGTAATTCTGGGCTGGACCCATCTACAATAAATGCCATGTTTCCGGACGCTGCAGCCGCAATTGCAAAGAAAAAGGCCGAATATACTCAGCAGACCGGTAATCCTCCGGCCTCTAATCGCAACAGCATTGCCCTCGGTGATCGATCTTCTCTAGTGGCGCCTACAATCTCTGCTCCCTCCGAGGGGCCGAAGGATAATCATGCACCACCCCCGAGTTCTCCGTGGGGTCCACGCAGCGGTGAAGCTCAGCAGCCCATAGCGCGGCCAACTTCATCCTCTGGACAGCCGCCAATGGGCCAATTTACTCAGCCACCTCCATCTGCTGGTCTTAGGTCCCCTCGACCATCACAGCTTTCCAGTAACGCAAACCTTCAGAACACGACGATCAGCTTGCCCGACACCGGTGCGTCAAACATGCCTCTCTTGTCGCCCTACAACCTTGGAAATGCCAGCTGGGCTTCCCTGGCAAATACTCCCATGGTCCCGACTTTTGGAGGTCAGGGAAACGTAAACCAAGCTGATATGGTAGCCAACGCTACGGCTATGAAATTAGCTGCCATGTCCACGGTTAATAATAGAATCGCCTTGGATGATGTCCGCAAGTATCGACGCAATAATAGACCTGGCGACGAAACAGGCAGCATGCACGCCCAACAGCCTCTATCTCCAGGACTTCCCAACAACAACTCGTTGTCGCCAAACATTCCCAGTGCGAACATTGTCATGGTGAACGAGCATGGTCAGGTGCTTACTCGGGATCAAATTGCCGCTCTGCAAGCTCAACAGCAGGCTGCAGCTGCCGGACGGCGATCACGTCCCAGTTCGCCTGGCTTGGCCATGCAAGGAGCAGGCTTTGGGGGAATGAGCTTTGCGTCGCCCCAAAATAATGGCTTTTTATCGGCCTATGATGGGTCGCAACTGCTCAACAGCGGAATGGCTGGGTTGAGCTTGAACCAATTCGGACTGGGCGCACCTGGCAGTCACGAGGGGTATCTTTCAGATCATTCAGAAATCGTCCGTGGCAGGTCACCTCGAGGTCGGAGAGGTAGTTCCAAACCACCAGAGGACCCTACCGACCCAGCTCTGCTGCAAGATATTCCGAGCTGGCTCAGAAGTCTTAGATTACATAAGTACACCGACATTTTGAAAGATCTGAGATGGACGGAACTTGTCGAACTCGATGACGAAGGCCTGGAAAAACGAGGGGTGAATGCTTTGGGGGCACGAAGGAAAATGCTCAAGGTAAGTAGTGACCATTTCTGGGTGCGAACAAAGAGCCAAACTAACAATTATCATAGGTCTTCGAGCAGGTTAAAGAGGCTCAGGCCGACGGAAAATTATAATCCTTTCTAAATAATCTGCGATCATTGTCGGACTGGAACTGTCACTTGATCGCAGAGCGAAGACTCTGAAATTGTTTTATGTTTTTTTTTCTATAAATGATATGCTGGAATCTTCTTCACATGGATCTTGACTCGTTGAAGTCTCGGGGATGCTTGTGACATCTTCGGATGGAATCGATTAATGTTTTTTTTTTCCCCTTTAATTTCGACCAAGGGCATTGGCATCTGGTATGAAGGCTTATTGCACTATCCTGCGTGCATCCATGTGTGATTTATAACGCCCCTTTGTTCCCTGCTTCTGAGCTCAGCTGAATCGTCCTTTCTCCAAAATTAGTCAAATCAGTCACGTTTACTCATGAAATAATGTCTGGCTTTGCTTGGTGGCTTCGAAAGCATTTATTTCGGGCAGCGCTGGTTGCAAAGTACAAGATCCCCATGTCTTTTTGCGGGTTCTTGAGGTGTCTCCGTATATCTGATTTAATGATTGCATTTCTTTCCATATCTCATAATTCTAAACATTCTTCACTCCTTATTATCCGTCCATGGTGCTACAAGTCGACCTTCGTTATGTGTCTGATATGATTGGCCACTTTAACATGCTGCTCAGTGGCCATTACTCATGAACGCGAGCGTTTGCAAATACACAGTGTGGCCCGAGAAGCCTGTTTCCGAAAAAGATTATGGTTTTGTTCTCACATGGCCACAAGCGTGAGGGATTTAGCGGGGAGATGCGTCCTGTTCAATATCTCGAGCAGTAGCAAGTTCGTTACAATCTCCAGACAATACATTAGAGTGCAACGATCTCAATGTGCTTTTCAGCTTACAGCATCGAGGTAATCGATGCAACGCAGCGCGCTTTAGATACAGGGTCTTGCGAATAATACAAGTTCCATGGCGACGAGAATATGTAACCTCTGCTGATTCCCAAATTTTCACAAGAGTCGGAACGACTCTTCAAAGTCAGGCGCCCAGCCATGGGTAATTATCATCTACGCTCAGCGCTCAAGACAAGACCAGTATTGTACAACTAGACTCGCCATCAGTAGTAATGTGAGGTGCTGGCGTAACATGTAGATAAAGAAGAAAAGAAGAAAAAGTTTCGGTCGGTTGATGTTGAGCCTATAAATGCGGCAGGCGGTTTGCGCTATGCTTAGTTTGGATTAGCGTCTAGCTCTTGTCGAGCAAGGTAAACCAAGGGGAGCGGTAGTGATCTGGCCGTAAAGGTACGGTTTGGACCACGCTGTACGGACATCAATTACCCCACGAGTCACTGCGGGACGTGAGGTTGATATTTCTCCACGAAGCTATCACAGAACCTTTATCCGGATCCTGGAGCCAGAGGATTGTGAAGTTGCGGTAGTCGACGAGACCATCCTGCTAGAATGGATTACGATGCTCTAAAGGAGCAGTGGAGCGAGGTCGAGGACCGCGATGGCGTTCGTCTCAGCTGGAACACCTTCCCCAGCTCGCGCATGGTTAGTAAATTCTGAGGGTCATTATCTTGAAAGTCATTGACATCCTTCAGGAAGCTTCAAGGCTCGTAGTTCCCATCGGCGCCCTCTATACCCCGTTGAAGGAGAAAACCGATACCCCGTTGCTCCAATATGAGCCTGTCACTTGCAAAGCACCCTGCAGAGCCGTCCTCAATCCTTTTTGGTAATGCGTCTCCGTCATAACAATGCGTGTGGAATTTTGTGATTGATTATGAGATAGCAACGTTGATATCCGTGCCCGATTGTGGATTTGTCCTTTCTGTCTGCAGCGGAACTCCTTGCCACCGCACTATAAGGATATTACGGCCGATGCCATCCCTCCGGAGCTTCATCCGTCCAGCACGACGATTGAATATGGCCTTTCGCGTCCCGCGCCATTTCCCCCCATCTTCCTCTACGTCGTGGACACCTGTCAAGAGGAAGATAGCTTAACGGCGCTGAAGGATTCGCTCGTTGCCAGCCTGAGTCTGCTTCCCCCTAATGCGCTGGTTGGCTTGATCACTTATGGAACAATGGTACGAGCTGGTCTCTTTCTCTGGGAAAACTGTCTCTAACACGTGCTAATACGCACAACAGGCGCAAATTCACGAACTTGGCTACACCGAGTGCGCGAAGTCGTACGTTTTTAGAGGAAGCAAGGACTACTCCGCAAAGCAGGTTCAAGAGATGCTTGGACTTCTGGCTCCTGGCCTAAGGCCGAATATGCAACAGCAACCTGGCCGTCCGCCGCAGCCCAGTGGTCCTGCTGCACGATTCTTGTTGCCCGTGCAGCAGTGCGAGTTCCAGTTGACGAATGTTCTGGAACAGCTTCAAAAGGATCCTTGGCCGGTCGCCAATGACAAGCGTTCGTTGAGATGCACTGGTGTGGCGCTTAGCGTTGCCGTTGGGCTTCTCGAGACATCATTTCAGAACGCTGGTGGAAGAATCATGTTGTTCACTGGAGGCCCTGCGACAGAGGGTCCTGGATTGGTTGTGGGACCTGAGCTAAGAGAGCCCATCCGATCACATCATGACATTGACCGTGATAACATTAAGTATTACAAGAAGGCGCTCAAGGTCGGTACAAATGAGTTTTATTGAGCTTGGTCATGTCTGATAGTATTTTAAAAACAGTTCTACGACAACCTTGCCAAGCGGGTATCGCATAATGGGCATGTAGTCGACATTTTTGCTGGATGTCTCGATCAAGTCGGCCTTCTGGAGATGAAGGGGCTTGCAAACTCTACTGGAGGTCATATGATCTTGACTGACAGCTTTACGTCGTCCATGTTCAAGCAATCCTTCATGCGAGTATTCGACAAGGATGCAGACGACAACCTGCTGATGGGCTTCAATGCATCCTTGGAAGTTCTGACCACAAAGGAACTCAAGGTTACTGGCCTCATCGGTCACGCAGTGTCCATGAACAAAAAGTCTGCTTCAGTCGGCGAAACCGAATGCGGCATTGGCAATACGTGCTCATGGAAGATGTGTGGTATTGACCCGCTCGCAAGCTACGGTATTTACTTTGAAATGGCCAGTCAAGGTGGCCCAACCCAGATTCAGCAAGGCCCTCAGAAGGGTATGGTCCAATTCTTGACGTATTATCAGCACTCCTCTGGACAATACCACCTCAGAGTTACGACCGTTGCTCGTATGCTCAGTGGACCGGCTGGTGATCCCGCAATCGCTCAATCATTTGATCAGGAGGCCGCTGCGGTCCTCATGTCACGCATTGCGGTCTTTAAGGCGGAAGTGGACGATGGTCCTGATGTTCTTCGATGGGTTGATAGGATGCTCATTCGCCTCTGCTCGAGATTTGCTGAATACCGCAAAGATGATCCATCTTCTTTCCGCTTGGAGAAGAACTTTACTCTCTACCCGCAGTTCATGTTCCACCTCAGGCGAAGTCAATTCCTACAAGTCTTCAACAATTCTCCCGATGAGACTGCGTTCTACAGACATGTCCTGAACCACGAGGACGTCAGCAATTCGTTGGTTATGATCCAGCCCACCCTTGACTCATATAGTTTCGATCACGAGGGAAGTCAACCCGTCCTGCTCGACTCCACCTCCATCCAGCCAGCGCATATTCTCTTGCTTGACACTTTCTTCCATATTCTCATCTTCCATGGTGAAACCATGGCGGAATGGCGAAAGGCCGGCTACCAGGATCAGGAGGGCTATGAAAACTTCAGAACACTGCTTGAGCAGCCCAAGGAAGACGCAAAGGTAAGTAACGACGTGAAGTATTTCTTGTTTGCATGACTAATCGATCTGCAGGAACTCATCCAAGACCGGTTCCCGCTCCCGCGTTTCATTGTTTGCGATGCTGGTGGATCACAAGCTCGTTTCCTTCTCTCGAAACTTAATCCTTCTACTACTCACACGACTGGTACCTATGGCGGTGTTTCTCAATCAGCACAAACCATTTTCACCGATGATGTCTCGTTGCAGACGTTTATGGATCACCTGATGAAGTAAGTCATTGTTTAGAACCTACTTTGTCGGCTCTTCTAACATGCCTTTAGACTCGCCGTCTCAGGAACAAGTTAATGTGGTAGACAATTCGCATTATTTATTGGGGGGGTTTGCCGTTGTTTTCTATTCTCGTGTGTTTATCAACCCTGATCTCTTTTTGTATTGAAATAGCTTTCAAGCGCTAGATATTTATGCAGATATTTGTTTAAAGCTCCTGGGGAATTGAAATTGGTCGCAATATGAGTTGAATATGGTTTCTATATGATTTGTACTAAATGCAACTTGCCAATTCGCAAGTTCAACGTTTGTCTGTTCTACAAAACGGGTTGACGGCTTGACGGTGACTCCCAACGCTCGCAAGAGACGACATCAACCATAGGAAAGCAACGAGGCAACCATAGGAAACAAGGCAAAAGCGAAAGTACGCTAGCGCCCGCGCGCTAGTCTCATAATGGAAAAGGAGAACCTCCGAGGGCTCGAGAGCAACTGGATGCTTAGTAAGGACTCAAGCGAATGCCAAGAGTTCGCCTAACGCACATGAGGGTTTACACCCTGCGAAATATCCTACTTTGACAATCGCGACTTCAACCGATTTCCTCGACAACCCTCAGGAGCAAGACCAGAGAGACTGACAACCTTTCGCATCCGCCATGCGTAAGTATCGTCCTTTGGATATAATGCTCGTCGATGGCGGCGGCTGATATTTGATTTTTAATAGCTCCCAAGATCGACCCCAATGAGATTAAGATCATGTATGTTATAAAATTCTTTGGATTTCCCTTCGTCTTTTTGGAGCGCTATTGCGCATTACAAGCGCAAAAGAAAATAGCTGCTAACATTGATACTCCAGCCACCTGAGGGCCACAGGTGGTGAGGTCGGTGCCTCGTCTGCTCTTGCCCCCAAGATCGGTCCTCTTGGTCTGTCCCCCAAGAAGGTTGGTGAAGATATTGCCAAGGCCACCGGTGACTGGGTACGTTTGAACAAGTTCCAAACCTGAAATCACTATAAAGGACCGCATCTAATACTCGGCATTTACACAGAAAGGTCTCCGTGTGACGATCAAGCTCACCGTCCAAAACCGTCAAGCCGCCGTCTCCGTTGTCCCTGCGGCCTCCTCCCTTGTCATCAAGGCCCTCAAGGAGCCTCCCCGGGACCGCAAGAAGACCAAGAACATCAAGCACACCAAGTCCATCCCTCTCGATGAGATCATTGAGATTGCCCGCCAGATGCGCTTCAAGTCTCTGGCTAAGGAGCTGAAGGGTACCGTCAAGGAGGTCTTGGGAACTGCTTTCTCCGTTGGCTGCCAGGTTGACGGCCGCAGCCCCAAGGAGATCTCTGACGCCATTGAGGAGGGCGAGATTGAGAGTATGTTTTACCGTGTCCTATTTTCACAGGAGGTTCAACGAGCAGGTTGCTGACATGACTTTTACAGTTCCTGAGGAGTAAATTTCCTAAAAAATATAGGGAAGGGTTATTCGGTCTAGATTTTTTTTTTACATAATCTTTCATGTACCCAAAAAAACATGATTCTATGACCGCTTACGACGGCGTCCACGGCTGGGTCGGGTTTTCCGTTTCTCATTATCTTTCTTCAACCATTTTCTACGTGCTTTCTTTTCCCCCTCTCATCTGACGATATGATTCAACGTGAAGATCATTCTTGTTGCTTGACTCTAAGCACACTTTGCCACACTCTGGCCTTAACCTTGTCCGGTTTTCGTTTCGGCGAATCCCTGGGCTACCCCACGGTTTGGGCCTATTTTGACGCAAAGGAGATACAACTCTAGACCTATTACTCACCGCGGCATCTTGTCTGGTCTCTGATCGGCGTGGGTGCAGTGGTCCATCTTTTCAGGCCTACATCCATTCATTATACATGACTTTTATATGCTAGTTATTTACGGCTTATTGTGTTTACAATTCGGCCTTCGTAGAATCAATACAATATTTTCTCATACATGAGTTCCAATCAATGTTGTTTTGTCTTCCCGCCATTGTTCTAACGTAGCGAATTCTTCGCATTTTTTCCCAAGATGGACATTTTATCCTACAGTGAATGTTCTATATTGTTATTCTTTTAATTCAATATTTCTTTTGCTTTTCTTATTTCATTTCTTTCTATTTCCATTTCCATTTCTATTTCTCTTTTATTTTATTTTTTTTTTTTCTTTTATTTCTCTATTCTAATTTCCGTTTCTATACATACCTAGATATTTTGTTTTATTTTAAAAGAAAATATTTATCCATTCATTTGTTTTCGTTCCTCGGATTGTATCTTGTCAACTTGTGTTCTTATTCCTTTCCACCTTTATCTTTTTTTCTTCTTCGTCCTTTTAATTTTTTCCCCCTTCCTTTTTCTTTTCTCCTTTTGATAACTTAGATATCTACATACATATTGCATTCTTTACTCCTTCATCCTCATAATTAAGGCGGTCCTTTTCAAATCACCATCCCATCCACGGTCCATCATCCACTATCCACCATTTAGATCCTACTCTATGGCCCATGAGTCCATGACCCGCAGACCCGCAGACTCTCATTACGCGTAGCGCATACCGCATACAACTTATCTTTATCTTTATCTTTATCTTTATCTTTATCTTTATCTTTATCTTTATCTTTACATTTACCTTACCTTACCTTACTTTTACTGTAACTGTAGAGTTGGGTCCCAGACTCCCAGGTAGTTATCACCTATCACCATGTACAGTAAAGTACTAAAGCCTTAGTATCTTACTCCCTTTCACCGCCTCCGGCCTCCCTCTGTTCTTCAACGAATCAACGAATCAACGAATCAACGAATCAACGAATCAACGGATCAACGGTTCAACGGTATCATCTCCTGTCTTGTCTATCAGATGACTTATACCTTATACTTTATACTTATATCTATGACTTATAGCTAATAGCTTATAAGTTATAACTTATAACGTACTTTGGGTTCTGTTTTCTAAACGCGACTGTGTCACTGTGAGTGTTTGTTAAATTGGTCCATTGTCTGACATTGTTCACTGTCCACTGTCTACTGCCCGACTGTCTGGGCGACCGATTGACAGAGTCATGGAGTCATGGAGTCACGAAGCTTCTGGCCTGCTGGCTGCTAACCGTGTGGCTGTTCCTGGCTGCTGCTGAGTGCTTGAGTGCTCTACCTGCATATCTGCATCTCCACAATCGGGCCCACCCCGCGAGCGTGATAACGTGATAGCGTGATAGCATGATAATGTGCCGCGTGATAGTGTGCTGCATGATAGACTTATGGAAGTTATAGTTGATACAATGACACAGTTGATAGAGTCGATACTCCCTAGATTCCCCGAGTCCCTAGACTATTGTTGTAAACTTGTACTAATCACCAAATCTTAACAAACTAATCACCAAATCTTGATAATCAATCTAAAGCGGTAGAAAAATCAAGCCCCGGTAGAGAAGCTAAGTCGTAGTATGAGAATCAGAGTCTAGATCCTGGTAGACAAATAAGCCCCGGACCCCTGTGGATTGAATATCGATGAATCATAACCTCGTAAACGGAGCAGCGAGCTGATGAATCATATACCATGACTCATTGACATTGACATTGACACCCATCTACCGTACCGTGGGACGACGACTGTATCCGGAGAACAAAGGTACGGTAACTAGTAAGTAGGCAACGATGTTACTTCCTAAAATGCAATATAGTAGATTAGCCATCCTAGTCAAAGTCAATATAGAACCACAACGACATGTTTCGAGCTAGCGAGTGGGTATTAGTTATACATTACGATAATCCCTCAAGTGATTTGGGGAAAAAAAAAAGGACAACTGGAATAGTTGCAATCAAAATCACAATCACGAACGATAGAATTATGAGCAATCAAGATTAATCAAATGATCATTCAAAAAGTCAATTAAGATATCAGATTTGTATTGTTCCATCAATCAGATGAGTTCCAATCCATGCCATATCCTGCGAGCGTGCGCCTACGCCAGGAATCCTATTAGCGCCAGCAGATAAAACAAAAAGTGTAAAGCCTTCCAACCGCCAAGTAGCACGACAATAGATAAAACAAATGGTTGGACAGAAACTGCACATGGCTTTGAAGAGGAGAGTTTTGAAAGGAGACGACAAAAAGAAATACATGAAAAAAAAAAAAAAGTGATATAGGAGAAATTACATCAGAACAAGAGAGATATCACGAGAGACTTGGGGGTATAAAAGCTATAGTGCAAAGAGTCCTCAATGAAGAAAACATGTCGATATTGGACGAAAGAAAGAAAAAAAAGAGAAAAGAAAATATGGTATGAGAATAGGAAGATATGTCAGACGATACATGTGCAAGGCGCAAAACGATATAAAAAACTTTCATGCCAGTAAGGTGGAGAGATTCATCCGGGTATCTCGGCTGGGAGAGCCCTGCTCAACGGGGGTGCCCGTCAGCTTCTGAAAGGATGGTAGCTGCACGTGCGAAGACATGGCCAGTGATGTAGGCTGGTGTCGCATGTAATGATAGTCGAGCAGAGTAGGCTCGGTGGCGAAGCCAGGCCGTGGCAGAGTGGCCGGCTGAGGAGTCAGAGGGGCCTTGCGCTCCGTGTCAAAGCGTGTGAGCGAAGGCAGCTGGTGCTCATGTTCAGATACATAGGAGTTTGTGCCCAGGTGGAGAATAGGAAGCGATGGTCGCCGGCCCTCCGTTGCAGTGGTAATCGTCGTCGTCGTTCGAGCACCGACCAGCGGTGGCAGTTCGACAGATGGAGAGCCAGGCATGCGAGGAGAAAAGGAAAAGACCGATCCCGAGTCCGAGACCAGCGAGGGAGCACCCTCGGAGGAATCTGCTCTAGAGACAATGGAGAGAGCGGAGGGAGAGGGCAGAGGAGTTTCAATGTGCCTTCGAGAAGGCATAATGTTCAACGATGTGGGACGAGGACCAAGCGAGGCAACTGGCTTGGCAAATGATAGTTGCTCAGTCTTCTCGTCAAAGTCCTCGGCGACCCGTCTGCTGTCTCCGCGTCGAATGTAGAGTCGGCGTCGACGGTTCATGCCTCCATTCCACCAATTCTTTACAGCATTGTCGCTGCGGCCACAGAGGCGCCGGGCGATCTCAGCCCAACGCTTTCCCATCTCGCCAACGAGCCTTTCAATAACGATGCCTTCCTCTGGAGTAATGGGGTTGTGGTTCAAGGTTGGCTTCAGATTCTGGTGATAGCGCTCCCGGCATTGCTTAGGTGATCTGGAGCCGATGAGGTGAGAGATCCGGACCCAATTGTGAGCTCCTTGAGAGTGAACAAGTTGAAGTAGATAGGCATCCTCCTGTTGAGACCAGGGTCCACGCTTGTGAGGGGCCATGTTTGGCGTGATCAGGTGATGTAGAGTGATATCGACTATCTTGATGCACAAAGAATTGTCGTCAAGCTGATGTTCATATATGATCCGGCAGCAACCACGACCATACAGGAATAGAATGATATTCGTAGAGACGTATTGCTAGCAGCTGACTCGTCACGAGAAGATAGAGAAGTAGAAGAGTGAAGAAGAAATCGAGACTCGTTGGATGATGAGTATTGGGCTGAATTCCTATCAGAGAAACACCGACTGATATCAGTCTCCGGGAAGATCAAGCCAATACGTGTTGAGAAGCCTGAAGGAAGTAGGTATATGATGGTGATGATATTGTGGAGGATGAGGAGGAAGAAGAAGAAGAGGAAGAGAAGTAGTGGGAGGCAAATGTAGCAGCAGCATTCACGGCTTGGGAGGAGCAGTGCGGGATGGAAGGAGGGCGGGACTTATGTATAGTTGGCGGGAGAGACCAAGGACACGGAAACTAAAGTACGGGCAGAAGAGCAGCGATCCAGCAATAGGGTTGACAGGAGACATGAGCCCGGGCTAGCCAAGCGGTGACGGGGGTACAACGCTCAGATGGGTACGTGCGCAGGGACTAGGGAGGTGCATCTGAACGAGAAAGGGTAGCAAAGAGAGGAAGACAAGTGAGAACATGGGTAGTGGATCGGGGGGGAGGGGGATCAAGCTTATGCGCCAAAAGGGAAAGCGTTTCGAGGCCAAAAAGGAGGGAAATCGTGCAAAAGGTTCGTGCGGGTCACTGAGATGCTGAAATGGGAAGCAACTCCGCCTCGCCGTGTGCGGATTTGCAAGTCATGGCTTCGTTTCCTTGGATCTGGGACCGGTTGGGGGGGGGGGGGAGTAAAGGATGCGCTGCAGGGGCTCACGACTTGCCCACACGCCGGTAAGGCATGTCGTGGATGTGCAGGTTGTGTGTGGGTATGTGTGTGCGTGCGTGTTGTGTGATGGCAGTAAAACGAGCGCAAAGAGACGAGGGAAAAAAAGAGCCCAAGAGACACTAAATGTGTGGGTTGCGTGTGGAATGGGATACAAGGTCGATGGCTTCATTGCCAAATGGGCAACGATCCGGCCCACAAGGTCGGAGAAAGGCATGCAAGTGACGCCGAGCCACGTCGTCGGTTCTGGGCCGCATTCCCCCTCGTCATTCACTTACAAATACTTGACCTACAGCCAGCCAGCCATGGGCGCCAGATCTCTATGTTCAGACGGGATCCCTAAACCCTTCTTCGTCCGGACTCGCTGCCCTTCTGTGCCACCCTGGTCAAGAATAGCGCTCCAGCCAGAGAGGCCAGGTGGAATGAAAGCCGGATGCTGATCCATGCGGCACGCCGGTCACTCGCAAAACCTTGGTTGAGGAGGGTGTTGAGAATCAGCGAGCGTCCAACGGAAGAGGCGCCGTCCAGAAATCCGTCAGGGATCACGACCTCCCTTTTTTTTTTTTTTTTTTTTTTTTTTTCGGCGGTCCATACCAAGTATAACAGACTTCCGGGGTTTCCCCGGAGTGCGTAGTTCTTTTGGGGGAGAACTTGCGAGGTCTGGTGCATGCGTACGAAACCCGATGGCGGGAACAAAATATCCACGCTATCTCGTCGGGAATCGCGCCTCACATCGCAGCATCATCATTTTAATTTACATTGGTGCCGTTAGGAGAGATCTAGTTGAGAAGCCGCGCGTGTTACGATGGGGGAACTAAAGCCATAGAAGCATGTTGCCAAACCGGGGGTCCCGATCAAGAGGTTCCCCGTCAGTAGTTGTATGCTTGGTCGTCTGCGAGATCTCGCGGGGCCAAGAAAAGGTGGGCATATCGAAAAGTCATGGTAGTGGTTGTAGTGGTGGGGGGTGTTTAAGGGAGAACCGGAATTCCTCACGCCTAGTGTCAAAACTAGTTACGCTCGGGACGCGCGATGAAAACGTGATCTTCGAGTCGTCGGTCTCAGAATAATGAATTTTGAGTGATCCATTCTACCCAATCGGGGCTGTTTGATCGACATCGGCGAAGTCAAATTTGATCGTGGCGACGAGTGACTATGCATCATCTTCACCACCGTTTCTTCTTGCTCCATTGTTTCGACCAAACCAAGAGGGGAAAAGACGTGGAGAAGGATTGCGTCTTTGGGGCGATTGCCAAATGACCGAGCCATGCGTTCTGTTCGACGAACTGAATAAGGAGGGAGGGGCGTGAATGGACGACGACATCGGCGGGAAAATAGGAGCGCCGACCAGGGGCCAGGGTCCGAGCCAAGACCCAAAGCATGGATGCTGTCAGGGTGGTAGGAGACGCGAACATGGGGAGCTGACATTGGACGCTGCCAGATTGTCGAACGCTGGGATCGGGAACCGATTGAGAGGGTCCAGGGACCCGGTTCCGATCGCATGCTGTTGGTTGATTCACCAATGGGAATGTGTAATGGAAACTCAAATCATTCATTAGGGAGTGTCGTAGTGGCATCCGGGACAGGCCCTCCGCTGCAAATACCGACCGATGCGAACAAGTCTCACTCCATAGTGGGTAACCTTACAGTTGACCACGTTTGGACCGTGCGGCAAGGGAGCGGCCGTCGCCGCTTCGGGAGCCCGTCGCGCGTGGAGCGCCGTTGCGCGCGCTGAATTTGGTCCAGTTCAGCTGCAAGCTATCGTTTTTCTGGGCACCCACCTTGCGCAAAGCTGGACCCAGCTAGACGGCCATTGAAATCAGGCGCCCCCCATTTCTCTTTGGTCGTGCTTGCGACTCGATGGCGCAAGGGCGAACCGTCGTGGCACCCAAACTGATAATTTTCCACCTGGCCATGACCGAGGGACTGGTCATGCATGCCTCTTGCAGAACGCCTTCACACGCGAGTGCGAACTTGGAACGGTTTGGAGCTCAGTTTCGGCCATATGGGAAGCTAAACCACCCGTAACGACGACCGACTGCTCAAGGGGTAACATGAAATCGCCAAATTGTGTGGTGCATAGGAGAGCCTGACCACAGCTGGCGTCTCCTATCCAGGCCCGAAAGGGAAAATGATAAATAAAAAGAAAAGTAAAAGGAAAAAGGGAGCGGCCTCCAGGCCGCCAATACCATGGAGAAGTCGCGCAGGTTTGGCCGTCTCTCGAAACCGCCGAGACGGGACGATGAACAATAGGGTCCAAGGCTAGAAGACGCAGCCAACGTCGACGGCGGCGACGGTGACGCTGGCTGAGCCAGACCAGATCGGACAAGCAGCAGCAAAAATATGGTCGGCGATCCCGAGACTGGGCACCCCAATCAACGTTAGACACCTGGGGTAAGATTCCAACGCCTTCAGACCGATCCAAGCTGAGACCAAGAAGGGCGACCACCCTCCTAAGTCGGAGAGGATCTAAACCGACCCTTGGAGGTTGGGAGGGGCTCGACAGGGGATTATCGGGAAGAGTTTTCGCTAAATGTCTCCCAAAACAGAAAAGGTCATGCTGAGCCATGCCAACCGTGCGTCGGTATGCTCGCCCAAAATGGCCACTGGCATTGCTCCATGCGTCGTGACGGCAATCCTGGTTGCTCAAATGAGCTGAAGACCATCCATTGCCTCTCTCGATTGGACCCCGGCAGCTTCCTTTGGCTCATTTGACCTGTCCGATCGGTGCATCTCATGCTCAATCTGGCAATGAGCGTCATTGCTCTTTCTCCCAAGGAGGAAATCACTTTAACGGGATTCAAGCACGATATTAGTTCAGATCAGATTGGGGAACAGCAGGCAGATCTGCGGAGGGCCAAAGCTTTCCATCATCTTAACCAGGAACTCAAGCCCACCCTCCCCTATTCAAATTCTGGTTTCCCCGTCCACCCGTGCTGCCCTCCCAACGGCGTCTTGGTGATCCCAATATAGTCTTGACCAGATGATCCGAAGAAACTTTTGATTGTCATGAACAAGGTAGAAGCTCGTGCCGAACACAATCTGAATCCCTACCTCCAACAAATTGTGCAATTGCCTGCAATTGGAACAGAAAAATACATCGATTGGAAAACGTCATTATTATTATGATTGCTCTAGCTCGTGTATTTCAAGTCGATGGGCTCGAGTAGTTTTATTGACTTGCCATGGCGGCTCACCTGTCGAGCAGTAGCGTGTCGCTCCAATGTACGAATCGACAAAAACGGTTTTCGATCGTCGCGTGAACAGTCACACCCACAGGTACGGTTCCGAGAAATGTACTTGGCGTTCAACCTCGTATCTGCCAAATTGACGGTACTCCAAAAGTGCAAATAAATATATTTTATTGTGTCGCAATAGGATGCAGATGACGTTGGTCCACACCCATGATTTTTTAGTCGCGTTGTCGGTGATAATGTTTGGCAAGATGATGATCGAAGCAGTGGCCTGGCCGTTGGAAGCACCAATTCTTTGCTGTTGACACCGAGAAAGCCAACACACCCACCGCTCACACCTATAATCGATACAAACACACAACGCAAGCTTGATCTCGTAATTGTTAAAGAAAGGACCTCAGAGGGGAGAAAGCCCTTCAACTTACTATCGAGACTCTTCGAGTCAAATGGTCGATTACGGCCAAGGAACCGGCCGCTATGACAAGAACAGGAAGTCTTGCGAGGGTTCGTCATCTCCGAGATGATGCACTATCCGGCGCGAGGGGACGGGCTTCCGCCCTTGGGTCACCCGCCATTATTGCCAAAAGTCCCTTAACGGCTCTACCCACACGATTGGGGCGACTCTTTGGGCGGTCCTACGGCCCCCAAAGGCTGGACAAAATCTGGACCCATGACAACGGGCCAGGCTGCACCTAATGCGCGCGGGAATCCTCAGGTAGCACGCAGCAGCAGGTCGAAGCAGAGGAAATCTGCGGCCACCGCGGCAGCTGCCGCAGTCTCCAGATGACTTTCTTTTCTGTCCATTTTCCCGTAGGCTCTCCTACCCGCGAGGATGGATCGACCGATGAATGGTTCAGCGGCCTGTCCGCTCGGGTCGGTTCAGCTTCCTAGCCTAAAGGGCTATAGAGCTGGCGGAAACTTCGGACTAAACGAAGATTTGACAACCCTTGGTTTTGTGATTGAACCGTGGATTAAATCTGGCTTGGCTCTGCTCTCAATTAGCGGTGGTATAAGTTAGACGAAAACTATTCACCTTATGATATCGTGGTGTTATGAACAATGTGAGGGGAAAATTCCTCCCACACACAAGCCATGAGCGTTGAGAAAGTTGGTGGGGTGTACTTGCTTCGGGTAAAATACCCCAGGGCTTGGAGGTGTAGTTCGTTGCAAGACTTCTTGACCCCAGAGAAGACTTACCATTGGAAGGTAACCAATCTCGTATACTCACAGCCCGCGCTCATTCCAAGTGAAAAACGCCCTCTTCGTCCTGCATACCTGAACCTCACGCCCCACTGATCTGTCGCTTCTTTTTGCTTTGATGCCTGCATATACGGAGTATGCTCCGTAGCATTTCTACATTTTGTCGTTCTAAAATAAGAAGAGCATAATTCAGGAGAGTCTGTGAATAAGTTTTATGTGGAACAAACTCCACTCTCCTTGCACAGCGACGTTGCATAGGGCAAAATGTCCAGTCTATCATGGCAAAGAGAGGAAACGAAAACGCCTCTGGGAAAAGCTAGTGAGACACGACAGGGTGTGGTTTTCTCACACGGAAACGGCGAGAAACCAAGTTCATGGATAGAAAATCTCGACCTGGTTTTTTTTTTTTTTTTCATGTCCGTATTGTCGAGAGGGAGAATAATGTGAGGACATGTCAAAATATGTCCGAAAAGAGAGTGAGTGAGGGTAGATTTAAAAAAGAGGATGGTGGCATGCAGGGAGCCAAATATCTCGGATTATGCATACACAAAGGTACTCCTTACGAGTTATTGTGGAAGAAGTACCGTGGCAGCGCGTCTTACTGGCTGAAACCTTATCTGACCCTGCTGCCGTTGGCCTCCCTCCCTTTCCCTCGGGTTTGCCGTATGCTTGAAAAGTCTTGATGATTGACGTTTCCTCTTGCGTCGTATCGCTGAAACCCGCTGCAATGCACCTCCGGTAGGGTGCCATGCAATCGATATCCCAAAGGGAACGAGCAGATATGCCACGCAGCAGAATTAACAGCCCTCCTTTCGAGCTGCATACCCGATCAGGAAAGATGCCGAGGTGTTAAAAATAGCTTGTTTTTGCTCTGGTTGTCCTTGATTCTGACGCTGCTTACGAGTAAGGTACTAAGGTAGGCAGGCATCAGAGTCTCCGGCTGGGATTTCGCTGAGCCGGGTCAGATAATAGCTTGATCGAGGAAATAGGGTGTTATCTTCTTAACTCAAGAATTAAGGAAAGAAAGACTACGGATGTAAGGTACCGTGCGTTTGCCGGTATATTATTGATGGATTACGCCTCGGCCATCAATAATGCGCAGCTCCGTATGATTGGACAAAATACGGCATAGGTACTTTCGTATCTCATAACTACCTTAAGGTACCTTACCTAAGGTAATTTTATGTCGTGGGTGTTTGAACAAGCTTGAACTCTCGGACATTACCGCAGTACAAGCTCCTTGTGGAGGCAAAAATAAGCCTCGCCTGAATACGCTCTCGTCAGATTCCCTTTGTGGTCAATTCTGTTGAATCAACAATGGAAAACACTCTGTTCGACAAGGGCCATCCCTGAACCAACGGATCAACATCTCTTTAACCACCGTCGTTAGTTTAGTGCTCGATCTTAGCTCATGGTTCTAACGCTTCTCTAGCGGGACGTGGTCCACTGTGTTTATTATTTTCCCCCTGTTCGCTTCACAATGGCTTTTTCGCCGACTCCGACCCACTTGTAATCCGTACAGTGCATAAAAAATTGCATCATAGATGTAGCTTTCAGCTGCCTCGACGTTATAGCCTTACCCACTTTTCTCTTTTCTCCCCTTCCACTTCCCCCTTGTCTCTGAATTAAAGAGATCTATGGAGTAATTATTCTGTGATTACCTCGGTACACTACTCTGCCACACGTTATAGCGTAACGCTCTTATTAACCCGGTTCCTCTGTCCAAGGATCCACGTCCCTCGGTCTTTCGGTTTCCGCTCGTTACGAGTACTTGGAACACACCAAAACAAAAAAAAAAAAATATTCGCCGCACCTCAGGAGAAGGACCATGCTCCTCGTCCGTAGTCTCTAACGGTAGGGAGATGGAGCTAAATCGTTACGCCTTGGTTGATCCCTTATCTGACACGGTGGCCATGCGCTACAGTTTGGAACAGCCTGCGCCGGACGCATTGCTCTATTGAGATTAGAATTCGGACGCCCCGATCTTGGGACGATGGAGGGCAGTGATTCAGCCATGCAGATTAGCTCTGCAATAACGATCGGACATGCCAGATGTTTATGACGATCTTAGTTAAGCCTCGTCTGACAATCGACGGTTATAGAGTACTGCTGTACTTTCTAATGCCTTACGAATCATTATTACACTCAATATATTACAAGGTATCGCCGAACTAAAACCTCAAAAGTATGTGCGATGAATTAATGACACTAAGCATATTATTTGTTGCTCGGCACCGAGAAAGACGATAAAGTCGAGCGGATTTATTTCGGGGAAAATTCCATATTGGAGATATGTGATCTCCTTTAATCTATAGCATCATCATTGAATAGACCAGGCCTCTCCCTACTCGATCTTTGTCACCTGTATTCGTAAGAGTACTCTGCAAGGTGAAACATGTAGCAACGTTCCTAGTCTGTAGTCTAGCTTGGACGGCTTCAGAGAAAGGGGGAGTAATGCTTGTGAAATCTTGGAGAATGTGAGCATGACCATGTCCGCTGGGTGTTATCGGATCCTTACGACCTTGGATCATTTTCATTATATTGTCACCAATTTATTTGTGTGTTTCGAATGTAAACTTATTTTATTTTTATTTTATTTTTTAAAATAAAAATAATGGTAGAAAAAGATAAGTAAAATAAAATAAAATCCCGACTCCAAATTAAATCATGCAGAATAGAAAAGCATAGAATTAAACAACTTCAATAACATCAATAGAGAAATTATAATATAAATTACTCCGTATTTTCTTGTTGAATATTCCGGAGTCCTCGGTCGTCGAGATCTCTCTACTGCTCATCGCCCTTTTGGGAGATTCGACGGGTTTCTGCTCACGTCCAAGTTGTACCAATCAATGCGCACAGCGAGCTCCCGATCCGATCGGGAGGATCGGCGACATGCATGATCTCCCGTCCTCATTTGGGACGTTCCAAGATGAGCGACACCACAGCTCTACCAATAATCACACTCTTTTCCCACTTTGATCCTTTACCTCGGAACCTTAGATCCAAGGAAATCACCCTGCTCATCCAGCTCTCAACTTTTTGGCTTTTCTAAGCTTGCTTAGCTTCCCCGGCTTTCGTCTCTCTCTGTCCCTTGTGTCTCCTGCGCTCTACAGTCCATATTACTGAATTCGTCCAAAAAAGACGCGCTCTCATCTTCATACTATCCCGTTTATTTGACGCCTCAATATTGCCTCGCTGCTTGCCTTCTCTGATCTTGTCGATCTTTACTCTCTTTTGCTATTGATCATTCCAAATAGTTGTACTGTACCCCGCCACCATGTTCTGGTGGGCCCCCCTCTTTTCTCCGCTCCATTCTACTACCATCAGCTACCATCACTTGCGTAACCTTGTCGCCTTTTTTCTCTTCTCATATCCGCCATTGCACTGCGCCATACAGCACTACCCTGGCGGTGAAAAGAAAACTACATACAGGGGATAATGTTGTCACCAAGCTACAGTGGTAGCGTCGTCACCTTCTCCTCACCTCTGGGAGCGCAACGATCAGACGGAGAAAACTCCGCAGCCACTCTGATTGCTGTCGATGAGGCCAAGGGTAAAAGATGGATCCAGGCAATCGAATCAACTAACTCACTAGAGGCAAAAAACAAAAAGGGTCTCCATATGATCAATCTGCTAATGCAGCTCACAAATCTAGCTCAGATATCTCGATCTACTACCTGGAAGAAACGGAATGCAAAAAGCAATATGACTCAAACGCCATCAGGTCTCTACACATTTCCGTTTGACTTCCTCCCGATCCGACCCTAACGCGAATCCAAGGAATGACCCTTTGAAAGGCAGACATGCATACTCGTCTATGGCAGCCTCATTCGTGTTTTCCCTTGATCGCTTCATCTGCAGTTTCAACGACTTCGCAGCTGTCACGCTATCCCATCGTCTCGCCATCTCAGATTACGCGGTCACCCGCTTTCTAGATCGCCGGGGGGTTCCGCCCCTCCCTTACCCCACTTGTCCCAAATGCAGAAGGTAAGTGGCAAGGCCTCTGGCGCTTCCTCGGGTGGTCGGGTTATGGAGTGTCGATGTGTCTTAAGCCTTGGTCTCGACGGACCGGGCGTTGAGAAAGAAGACCCTGGTAAGAGGAGAACAAGAAGAACAAGAAGAGCAGACTCGTCCAACGAATAGAGGCCCGTCTCTCAAGGCTCCAGACAACAACGTAAGTGTGCATCCGTTCCCTTTCTGTCAAGAATGAGGAGAGTCCAGCACACCCTCACAAAGGAGGGTATCTCCATGTTTCCCGTCCCGACTCCCAGGTCGAATCAACTCCAGTGCTCCTGAACGCAGGGTTTCGGAATTGTCCAATAGCCGCAACGTGAAGGCTCTCCAGCATCTCCTCATGAGACATGTCCGTTCTCTTAGCCCTTCTCTCTTTTTCCATCTCTCTCACTCTCAGCTCTCTCCCCCCTGACAAGCTTGGTGTACTGTATTCTATGCCATGCCATTACATTGTCCACGTCGCTGTACTGTACTGCACTGTACTATACTGTGGAACTCCTATATCTCCGCAACGAAAAGAAAACGAATAAATCCATAACCAACGACCAACTATACGTTTGTACCGCGTACCTCTTCAATCCAGGTAAGCCTAAAGTTACTTTTGACCAATAGCACTCTCTGCTGTCCCCTCCATGTTAACTACTGGCTCCTTTATTCGTCCCGATGTTCATCCGTTTGTCCCGAGTCTTCTTATTCGTCCAGGTGTCCTTCATTTCTATTCTATTCTACTCTACCAGAGGCCCCTAATTCTTTACCCGGGCCAAGTGTCTCTTCCATATCTACCGGGCCCCCCATTTTTTTCTTCTTCGGGGGACCAGTGCCGCTACATACATACCTTACCTACATTACTCCCTACTCCCTACTAGTTGGTTCATCCTCCTCCTTCGTCTTCTTCTCTTTCGTGTCTTTCTTCTCCTCTATATTCCTTGGTATGGGACCAATGAACAGGAACAGTGAAGACTGAACATTGGAGGTAAATATGTTGTTGGTTGTCTTCTGTACATAGGTAGTATCACCGTTAGTTGGGGACTCCAAGCTCATTAAACCCCCTCACCCCGGGGTAGTTACTCATAGTTCTGGGCCTCTGGGCTAGAGGCGTCGGTGCTTATGGCTTTAAGATACCTACCTAGTTTTGAGGATGATAGGATACGTACTCTGTAAATACCCCGGACACCGGGACACCTGGACAATTGGACGATATGCATAATCTTCTCAAAAGAGCAAAGAGTAAGTAGCAAGTGCAGGTGTTAAAAGTGAAGAGGTAGGTAGGCAGGCCAGGCAGGCAGGGCAAGCGGCGGGAGGTTCCTTGGGGCCCTGGTGTCCTGGGCCGGGGGGAACTGCGGTGACGCCCGGACGCCCGGACGCCCGGATGCCAGAACGCCAGAACGCCAGAACGCCCAGGACGCCAAAAGAGCGAAAGAGCGAAAGAGGGCGAAAGTAGAAGAGCGCGGACTCCCGCGGGGCCTGACTGCTCCCGGGAGATCAAAACCATGGAATCCTGTTTTTTTTCCTTCCCACGCCTGGCACATAGGCACACTGGCACACTGGCCACCACTAAGCAGTGCAAGACGGTGGAAGACGGTGCAAAGCGGGTGGAAATGGGGTTTGATAATATCTTTACACAGTACGCTGTACAGTAGCCGGTTTTTATTGGGGAGAGGGGAGTGGGTGGGCGGGACTTTGGGACCTCTGGGATAAATTACTGGGTACCTAGGAAAGGTATGGTAAGGTACCTACCCACCTAGAAGACCAAACCAAAGAAATCAACGAATCTGAATTGTCATCCAAAGTGTCAAGGTACGGTAGTACTCTGTATTCCAAATGGAAAAAAGGAAAAAGCGCCTGTGGCGTTCCTCAATGGGCGCCGCCTCGCAGAGCAGGCCATCTAAAGATTCCCCCAGTCTAAATTGCTTCCCCGAAAGTAGACCAACCAATTTCCAAAATGGCAACATATTAACTGACAATGAAGTATCGCAAAGCAGGTAATTCAGAAAGAAGACCAAAAACATTTAGAACTAAAAAAGAATACCATGGGGCAAAAAAAAAAAAAAAAACAACTAGGACTGCAATAGAAGATTAGACATGAAAGAAGAGAACAAGATCAAAGGAGATGTAAGATAAAGGAACAACAAAAAAAGACAAACGGATTTCCAATCCTGGGTATGTAATTACTGCAAAATGTGTCTCCGGCGCACACCTCCCAAAAGGAAAAAATGGGAAAAAGGGAAATAACACCAAAAGGGAGTAGTAATTCCCAAATCTATCCCAAGCTCGAGCCCAATCGTGATCTGCCGACACGCCATAATCCGTCCCCCTTGTAAAATCAAAAAAAGAGGATCTTCGATCTTTTCCCATCTCGAAATCCTTGACCCTGTCCTCTAGGCTTCCCTATGAGATATATCACACCGATAACACACCGATAGGCCCAAAAGCAACAAGGCACAAAACGACAGAACAGATGATGCAACCAGTAAGAAACCCACCAAAAAAAAGCCCATCAACCCCGTCACCCCATCATAACCAAATATCTCCGCCTTCCCCGGCGACCCACTTACGCCATGCCTCTTGGTATGCCTCCTCCAAGTCACGCACCCAACGCCGAGTATCGAACAGGGCGCTTGTCCACCGGCTCTCATACAGCATCTTGCGCAGCTCCACCAATCGACCCGTGCCCTTGCCATGATGGCCCAACTGGGTCGCATATCTTAGCCCACTGGCCAATGCAACCGCTCGCTCCTCAAAGTCTTCTTCGCTTCTGGCGATCAGATCCCGCGCAGCTTCCTTGCCTTCTGGGCTCTTTGGTAGTGCGCCTTTTAGGATTGACGCCGCCATGCGTGAGCACATCTTGTACTTGTACCTTGGCAAAGTCAGGAGAGGCGTGCCTGACCACAGAGTATCAGCGGCGGTGGTGTGAGCATTACACTCCGGGGTATCGAGAAAGAGATCGCACACTCTGGCCCGCGATATGTGCTCATGCTTGGGTGCAACATCTGTAAAGATGATCCGCGAAGCCACCTCAGCTCCTGCCCACAGTAGCGCTGTCTGTTTGAGGTTCGTTTCTCCCAAGTCCGGAAATCGGAGAAGCCAAAGAATAGCCCTGGGCACTCTTGCCAGAATTCGCAGCCATGTGCGAAAGGTTGATGGGTCAATCTGACAATGTCCGTAAGTAATGAACACAAAAGTTTTCCAAATAGTAAAAAAAAAGATTGCTGAAGCGTAACATGCCTTGTACAATTGATTAAAGTTCCCAAGAATAATTGAATCGTCTGGCAGAAACGGAAACAGCTTCTTTCGCATTTGCCATCTCCTTGCCTGTTCCTCGTCCCAATCTAGTTGTCTGCCTCGAGCGTCGGGTGCGCTCTGCCTGTGATCGCAACAAAAGAATGTGTCTCGTGCCATGATTAGATTTTCCGAGTAGATCCAGTCATCATTACTTGCGCCAAAACTCTCATCCACGATGGAGTCGTCCAAGTCAACATTGCGACGCCACGGTCGTAACGCTTCCCGTGGAACTGCAGTCTCGTCGGCCAACAAGTAATCGCACCACTCGGCACCCAAAGAACCAGCAAAGCCCATAAAGGCCATTTGGATCGGCGCTGGTCTCGCGGCGAAGATTTCGTTCCTTGCTCCTCTGGTATAACCGTTGAGATTAACTAGAATATGGATCCCGTCATAGACAATCTGACTGACAAGACGCTCAGCAGACCAACTACTCGCATCGTGGAAAACCGGCGCCTCTCGTTCAATCTGCTGACGGTGTACGGAATGATCGCTCGCTGTTGTTGCATAGCAGAACGCTTTGACTTTTGCAACATCATGAAACCCAAATGCGGATTGCATCAGGTGTGCTAGCGGGTGATTGTTAAAATCGGAAGACACGTAGCCAACATTCAAACAGGGCGCCGGTGGCGCAGGCGGCGGATAGACTGTTCGAGGAAGCCAGGGAGCACGTAGTGTCGATGTTGATATTCGCAGGGCATTGCGCTGAGAAATCATCCGGATTTGCTTTGCTGTTAGAGGGCATGTAAATGTATGAAAAGGAAGTACGGTAGGAGCACTGGGAACTGCCAAGGATGGTGGAAGTTGTGGCCTTGCGTAATTCGAGAAATCCCGCGCTCTTTGTAGAATATATCGGTCCTGATACCATTGCCAGGCAATCCTCTTCATTGCTCGTTCAATCAACCTCACCAACCTTGCGCCTTCCCACGGCTGTCCGGCCCAGCGACTCAAGGCTCGCCCAAGGCGAGATGCCTGCTCATTGTGAAGAGCGTCTTGACGATCAAAAGTCGCCGACAGCTGCTTGAGCAAGGTCTCTGGTGTGGCGGATAGTGTTCCCCTTCCCCAGCTTTCTCCGTCAACGAGCTGCTTCTCCACAATATCGACAACGCGCTTGATCCAGCCAATATTAGGAGCATTCAAGGGCACGGAGTCAATCAACATTCCGGTCTCATCAACGTGCCACCGATCCCGCTTTCCATCTCGGAAAAGAATGCCGCCTCGCCCCGTCCACCCACAGACGGAGTTGAGTGCATTAGCAAGGCCACAAACAGCTTCAGCAAAGTCAGGATTCGAGGCCACAGCGCGTCTGTAATAGCCAATGGCGTCGCCAATCCTCCCTTGATCCTTCACAGCGTTGGCCAAGTTCGCCAATGCGATATCAAAAGTCCCATCGCAAGCAACCGCTTGTTCGTACATCTTTATGGCAGCAGCAAGCTGCCCAATGTCTTTGAGAAGGCTTCCCAGGTTTGTATATAAATGTGCGTGTTTCGGATCAAGGTTGAGACCGTAATTGTAGTATGAAAGAGCCAAGGCTATTCCGCTACCAGGCACAACACCGGGAATGGGTGGCAGCTGTGAGTTATTCATGTTGACTGGCCGAGTTGTTGGTACTGAGTGTTGCACACTAGCGAAGAGAATGCCGACGTTGTTGGCAGTGGAAGGACTGGGTTGGAGCGAAAGCGAAAAGTAATACAAGGCAAGGATATCTCGGACGCCAAAAGAAGGTCTCGGTGATGTGCTGTTTGACGACATTCCATCTTGAAATATCTTTGCCAGAGACAAAAGAGAGTTGCTAGTGGTCAGAATGGCAGCATTCTTAGCAATCTGGTTGGGAGCCTCTTTCAAGCCGGGCAATTCGCCAGGGCCTGGGAAGAGTAACCTTGCCGTTTGGAGTGCTTGCTCCGGCGAGAGAAGTACAATACCGTTGGGGGTCACATTGACCTCTTCTCTCGATGGAAATGCGGAGCTGGTAGAGACTGCCCGCAGTATTCGAGTTATGAGTTCTTGAATACCCTTGATTCTGTGGCCGACAGCTATCATGACTGCATCTTCAAATGCTTTTGCAGCTGCAATATTATTCCCAAGAGCGTAAAGCATGTTTCCTTTGGCATGTATCAGAGCGATAATCCTTCCGTTATCAGAACCCGGAAGAGCAAGGTTGCTTGACAAAGTCGTGGATTTGAATGGCCGATCGTCCTCCAGAATTCTCCTAGCTTGCAAGTCATCATCCTCATAATCAAATATTGCCCTATCGAGATTGTCAAATATAGAGCTACTCGATGAAGGACTCCTTCGACTAAAATGGTCGTCTATACGATCGAAATCTGGGACCATGTCATTTTTCGGAACTTCCAGGGACTGTTCAATGAATTCTATTAGAGAGATGGCTTCTTTTGCTCGGCCGTTTCCGCAGAGAAGAGCGACAAGATGCTCTACAGCTTCCAAGTAACTTGGACGTAACTTGATTGCCCGAAGCCAATACTGTTCTGCCTCTTCTCGTCGATTTAATGCCAGGAGGGTTGCTGCCAGGTTCGAGATAGCCTCAACATGACTGGGAAATATGTTAGCGACCTAGAATATTCGATGACAAGAGAATGCGCGATATACCTGGGCTCGATTTCGATAATCATCAGATACCAACTTAGCGCCTTTGTGTAATCACCAAGTCCATAAGCCAGGCAGCCACCAAGGAGCATTCCATCTATCCATTTCCAACCGCCATCCCGGCAAAGGGTGGTAAGCAATTCCAGGGCCGTTGTAGCTTCAGCAGAAGCGGAATATAGCCCTACTACGCCTGCATTATTATTCCCCGCCGGCAGTCCAAATTGATTCCCGTGATGAGGGCCTCGAAGCCCTGTATGGCTTGTGAATGATGCCCAAGTGGGAGGTTCGGCCTTGCTCCCCCAATTGCCAACAAAAGGGAGCTTCTCGTTGATTTGGTGTCTCGACGAACTTGGCTGGGATGATGGATCCACGCCTGAATGCGGCAGCGCACTGGAAACATTTTGATGTATGGTGGTCGGCTCATTATGGAATCCACCTTTCGACTGGATCTGGTGATTGCAGTCTTTGCTAGAGTTGATGAAAGTGTTCGCAGACGCAACCGAGGATCGGCCCGGGCGACGAGGAGGGTTCAGGTATATTGGCTTTGAAGGACGATGCGAAGGATGGCTGGATATATCATTTCTTGTCGCCTTCTGGAACGCCAGAAGTTTTCTATAAACAACATGAGCCCATGCCAATAGTTCCTCTTCCGATTCTATCTTTGCTGACTGGATGCCAGCGCGAATTGGCAAATTTTCTCTGCATTGCTCATTAGAGATCATTACACTAGTCAGCAGAATGGTGACTCACGTTAGGAGGGCACTTTGGGCCATAAGTATCGAGGCGTCGCCTGGATGACCTTTATGCAGTGGCAAGTGTGCCGTGGATAATCTATTCGATCCATCTTTTCTGAGTGCACTAACATCTCCCCAACAGTCAAATTGGAGGTTCTCGCCTTTCTTCAATTGAGACGAAGTCGGATCTGTAGCTCTATATTTACTGCAGTGTTCGGGATAAGATAAAGCGCCATAGTCGAGACCATCCTGAAGGCTGTGACGCTGTCCGGGATACACCGGGGGACTCGAAAGAAGGTTGATATCTGGAACGCGAGGAGGATATCTGGGGTCTCGAAATGCCGCCGGCCGATAAGGAACAAACGTGCCATCGGGCCAATATGGGCCATAGGGCCCGGTTATATTGGATGCGGTTGGACCTAGACCCGGTTGGTAAGGCATTTGAAACCCAGTTGCTGTTTGGTGCGCCGAAGGAGGCTTGTATAATTGCAATGACTGCCCAGGGGCCTGATTAAGCATCGAATCTATATTGGTGGAATATTGCGACGGATAAAATTTGAATTGTTTTGAAAAAGCATCATGAGATATGCCAAAATTTCGGTCCTGAATATGAGAGGTGCGAGGTTGCGCTATGGAGCCATACGGTGCTCTCAACCCCGAATCTTGAATGGCACCTCCTTTGCCGTCATTCGTGACAGAGGCAAGAAGGTGCTTTTGGGGGTGAGCTTGGGATGCCCAATCAATAGGAGTGCCATCATACGCTGCTGACAGCGTTCCATTTGGTGTCTTCCTTCGAAGCATATGCTCGGCGCCGAATTGGTTCTCTGACCCGCCATTAAAAATGCCGACGGGTCGCAGATTGCTTGAGAAGTCGGCCTGAAGAGACGGTTGCACATGCTGTTGCTGCTGGGCTTGTAATGACGCTCGGATCCATTGAGACGTGGTGTCCGGCTGCATGAGCATGCCGGTATCTGGAGAGGTGGCTTGAGAGCCCAGGTAGTAGTTGCTAGGATGCGACTGCATTTGAGAGAATGGGAACCCCGTAGGACGTAATTCGAGGGCTGTTGACGGTAGCATATTGGTGAAGTATCTATTCGAGCTCAACGAGGTTTGACGGATTCTTGAAGTATCCGCCGCGTACCAGAGCAACGAAGGCGGGCAGGCGTATCACTGGGCGATTATCATTGAGGTTGGCGCTTTCGGTACCTATTCCTTTGCGATCTCTGGCGACGGTTCCAACACATGACATCTCCGCTATCATCCTCAGGTCCGGCCTGAAGGACTGAGGATGACAAGGCCGCTCCCCTCCTTACTCTCAATAGCCCGGGATATGCGGCTTCTTGACAGGGCTGAGCGGAAGACACGGTTGGGACCACCGAATAGGTAAATCTCGAGACTGATGGAGCCTCGGAGCGCCCTGCGGCCGCTGTTTTGACGATATAGAGAAAGAGATGATGGTGGCTTCTTCAGGGCTTAGGATCAAGATCGTTCTGGAAAGATGTGCAGTACTGTAGGTTAGGTAGGCTTATTTTGCGGCGCGCGAATCGACACAGTGCCCTGAGCAAGTTCACCGGCAGGGGCGATGGCAGTACCGAGCAGGTACAGACAGGCTGCGGACTGGCCCCGGGAATCCGAAGTACTTTTCTGGCGAAGGAGGGGTTCCCCGTACCTCGATCTGGCCAAAGTCACAGATGCGTACGAGAGTCTCTCTACTTGATCGAGTCTGGCCAGCTACACTGGGTGGGAACTAGCCAGAAGTATCGCGACAGACCACGCTTGCCAAACTCGGGTTTGATGAATCACTTTTTCCATGGCCTTCCGACCTGAAAGCTTCCTCGGGGGAGATTATTGTGCCATTTGGGGGGCGTGGCTGACTTGGGTCACCACAGGGGCGCCTCAGCGGCTGCACCCGAGCGGTGCTACGTAAGGCCCCAGGCACCCAACACAAAATGTTTCTATAAGAAGTTTCCGGGCACTAAACTACTGCTGGTGGGATACTTACCTTACCTAGCAATGCGCGCAACGCTTTAGCTTTGGTTTTGGCTTTGCTAGCGGACTTGTGCTGAACAAGCCCAGGGCATAGAATTCTTCTTCAATAACCCTATCTAATCTTATTACAAAGGAGCTTGGATGGAAATGGAGAGTGTTGTAACTAATAAGATGATGATTTTCATTGACTGCGATGAGAAAGCAGGTACGGAGTAGGTACCTTACTGTACTGACAAACGGCCCATCAGGGTCCTGCAACGGTCGCTGGCCAAATCTCCACAGTGGGGACTGCAAGTGTTATCTGCTCATCAGCCTCGCCTTTATCTAGACCGTAGCGCCGTTCCTTGACCTGTATGTGGCACCCGCAAACAATACTGTAGCATACCGAACAACACATCTTACGAAAAGCGGCTACCGGCGATCTTAAAGAAAGGTAATATCCCAAGGACAGAAGTGTAGCCTATCGTTCAAGATGTTTACTTAATCTGATAAGAAAATATACCAATTTTTGACCAGCTTATCGGTATTTTGTACACACGATTGTTCAAAATCATCGGATCTAATGCCCCCATACATTTGCTCTCAAACCTGCATCGCTATGAAGAGTATAGCCATAACTTGAAAAGACGTTCCACCATTGGCTGTTTAGTCATGTAAAAATGTTGATGTAAATAGTGCGCCCGAAAAAGAAAAAGAAAAATCAAATTGGTATCGTCACGCTCTGACCATGACGCCATAACTGTCGCTTGCAGAGCAGTAAATCGAACCATGCCCAAGGTATGAGAAAAAGACAAGAGATTAATCAAACGTTTTTGAAGAGTGAAAATGCAAATTGACAGGGGATAGAAGCCCCACAATAAGTAAAGAAAAGAGAATAAGAGTTTATCCTCCGAGGCGACGGCGGCGACCTCGACTCCCCCCCTGTGGCCGCTGTGCCAATACTTCTCGCAACTGGGGATCATCCCTGTCTATTTCCATGTGATGTACTCGCACGTGCCTTCAAACGACTATCAGCAGTTGCTTCGGAAACAGTGTACGTAGCTAGCATACCTTTGGAGGTTGTCGGGTCGGGGATATTTATGCTCACGGTCTGGACAAAACGGACACCGATATCCAGGGGATTCGTGAACGAGTCCATGCCGGATCATTTCGTTCTTTCGCTTGAACCCTCGACCGCCCACGCCGCGGGGACAGCCGGGCACCGAACAGAAATGTGGCCGTAGTTGCGAGTGCACGGTAGCGTGGGAGCTGATCAGATAGTTAGTTTGAGTTGCATCTTCAGATTGCGGGAGCGCGGACAGGACATACTTGAGCAGGTACTGCGTTTGAAAAGGCGGTGCGGTACATCCTGGATACTCGCATCGAAATCCACTAGTAGAAAGAGACGCTGTTGCAGGAGAATGGCTGTAACGAAGATGGCTACTATGATCTGCGTGAAAGGCCAACGGATGATTACTTGAACTATGATTTGAGCTCGTTGAATAACGGTCAATACCATGCTGCTGTTCTGCACCCGGTATAGCTGTAGATAGGGAATGGGCGTCCGTATGATAGACAACACCATGGTCAGGCACTTGAAAATGCCTTCGTGGAGTATAATAAGAGTATGTCGAGGGGGTATTAGAGTCTGGAGAGGTGGATTGAGAAGGTGATGATATGCTTGGGAGCTCTCGAGCTTGGCCGTATCCATTGGTTCGCGAGGACGTCTCATGGTATCCACCATGAGAAGACGTCTGTGTCGGCCCAGATTCGCTAGAAAGACGACGAAGGGCTGAGTGTTCTCGATAAGGCTGTGGATTTGATGGAGCGATGAATTGATTTAGCATGCGCGGGTCTTGGCCACTGAAATTTGTTGTAGCACCTGTCGGCTGATGCGCCGGACCGGTCCCATTAGAGTGGAAAGAGGGACCACTATGGGTGACAGCATTGGATCTGCCATCAAATGACTTCTTTTCTGCAGCTTCTGCTAGCTGCGTTAATTGACTTAATGAAGGCAGGCTTTGTTGAGGTCCATTGTCCTGTGGCATCCGAAATCTTGGCCCCGAAGTCTCCTGCGAGGTTGAGATTGGATGAAGACGTAAGTCAGGCGACTTTACGCTGCCATCGCCTCCACGAAGCTCATCTCCTGGTCCTTGCGAGGGACTGCGTTTTCTATCAGGAAAAGCATTGTGTTGCGTCTGATCTGGTGAGCCATCACCAGGCTCACTGTTTTTCGACTTTGCAGGGCTATTCTGCGTTTGCTCGCTAGAACTTGGGGCGTCGTGCGGCGCCAGTTCTGGATTTTGTAAATTATTTATTTGCCGATTCTCGGCTTCGCGATATCCAGAGTCCGTGCTCTCGTAGGAGACGCCAGGAGCAGAAGATTGTGCGGCATTGAAAGAGCGCAGCGCGTCTTGAGCCGCCTGCGCCGTACTAATCAAATCATGGTCAAGGCCGCCAGGGCCTGTCCCGCGCGCCTTCTCTTCACCATCGCTATGCAAAGGCTCAGAGTCACTAGATTCGGACTCTGAACTCGAGCTTGAACTCGGGGAACACCGCACTTGCTGCGCCACTTCTGGGTAATTAGGTCCCATGAGACTAACTAAAGTGGCGTCACCCTGATTCGCCGCACGCTTTGGATAATTAGAGTATTTTCGACGTCTCTTATGAGAGCTGGTACTGACCCGCTCTGGAGATTGAACTGAATCCTGCGGAAGCTGCGGAGGAGGCGTTGATGCTGGGGTATTAAGCCTAACAATCTTTGCTTGAGGCGGAGGAGTATTTCGGAGTAGGGCGTCGTCGGGATCATAGGATTCTTCTGCCAGTTTGTTGGTTTGGATGCAAAGACAGGCCTCAGCCTTCTTTGCATGAAGGTCTTCTAGGTTTATCGATCCAGTGATTCACTTGATAGAATCAGCAGAAACAACTGCTAGACCGGAGAAAGGAATCTCAATCAGTCAAAATTCCTGCAGGCCTTAAAATTCGGGATTGGATTCCGTGAGGGCCTCGACGCGCGGCTTCCCAATCTCGACTCCTCACGCTTTCCGGCGCTTTGAGAGGAGAATTTGCAGTTCTCACTTGGAACCAAAGCAATCTTTTCTATTCTGGAGTTATGTCAGTAATCATTGAGAAGCGGATGATCCCATTTAGTGCCCTCAAGAGCGAAAGGTTCTCAAAGCCAAGAGACCCATTTAACGCATTTCCCCAGGGATAACAATTTGAAAGACCCTCCTGCTTGGCAGTAAATTGAAGAATGATTGAATGAATGAGTAATGCACGAATCCTATCTTCATCATGCATTTCCTCCAATGGCCGCAAGGTCAGGTGACCAATTCATTTTCTAACCTGACTGGGCGAGAGAGGCCGCCAAAAGAACAGAACCAAAAAGAGGAAATATTAAATGCAAATGTTTCAAGCAAATCGCCATTCCTCCGAGACATAAATTCATCCCAGCTGGGACAATGGCAAACAACGAGCACAAGAACGCGATGGAGGTATTGCAAGATCCAGAAGGTTCGCTTGGCTGCGAAGCGATGGTAAGGGGATTTCATCATACCTGAAATAAGGATCGCCTTTGAAGCTTAAGAATTCAAATTGCAAGGCTGAGGAGCCTGAAAACACATTGAAAGTTGGCTATTCACGAGCTCAGAAGTCCGCAATTCAAAAGCTCGTGATTATTGTCGTCCACCACGCTTAAAACCGGGTAGCGAGGATAATCTGGCGTTGTCCTGGGGCAGCCTATGAGTGACCGTAACGGAGAGTATACAAAGTCAAGAGTGATCCTATTGGAGATGACTTTTAGGTCCAAACGCAGCACGAGCGGCCTCTTTCAAATACCACAACGAAAAATATGAAAGTAGCTCTCGAGTAAAATTAGACCAAGAGGAGTGGGGTCGGAGAATCATGAGTCGTCCAAGTGCTGGGATCTGACGGTTTCGAAACTTGATGTCCACTGCAGCACCTCTCTCTGTCTCTCCGCTTTAAATCACCCGGGTACTATTATTTGCGGCTAGACAGCCTCTCTCATTTGTCCTTCTCTGGTTATGGTGGGGGATGTGGGTTGGGCATGTCGTTCATGTCTATCGGCCTGTCGGTCAGATGCCTCTTTTGGCTTAGCTTCTCGCCTATGGCCGTGTCCAACCCCCCGGTCCTGCCGGCGGGACGTTCTGCCAGACCTACAACCTGCCTCCTAAGAAGGCGGAATGGAGAATAACAAGAACCACGCTACCAATGGGCTTGATTCCCAGTGGTAGTAAGTCAGAAAATAAGGCGTATCAACATTGCTTGACTATATTACTATATTGTTAATTTCAACGATTGGAATCCGGCCAAGTATCACGGGATCTACAGTATTCAGTATTTTTGCGTGGTAAAACACCATGAGAGGTTGAGTAGCCGTCTAATTGTGAACGAATAGATCAAACGCATTGATTGAATGTCAAAAAAAGAGAAAGGTGTCGCCGCGTAGAAAAACAGTTTAGCTGACAACCTGGTGGTAAACGGGAAGAGACCAGTCACTACAGTTTACTAGCGAGAATATAGATGGTTATCCATTCGAGTGTTGCCCCAAAAAAAACTCAAAAGGGAATGCTAAATCCAACTCAATCGCCCAGGTATCTGATGTATAAGAGCAACCACACACTCCAGATATTTTGCTCCCTGAAACGCCGAAGTCCATCTTCAACCCGGGGAATAATATATACATGAACTAAAGTACAAAGAATCCACAACCAAAATAGCGCTATTCGTTCAAGCAAACATGTCTTCGGCCCTTTGCCGTCGTCCTCCTCTTCCCTCCAACTTGTCCGCAAAGAGTTCCCTGTTTGAATTGCCGCCAAGTTTTCTGGGAAACAGCTCAGTCGCGTGAGACGGTGCTGGGACTACAGCCGCACCTCGAATAGACATTCCGGGATCCTGTTGTTGCTTGGCCGCTCCGCGGAAACTGAAGCCCTCCAACGGCCTGGAGTCAACAGCAGATGCGGGCATGGAAACCCTATCTTCGAAGCTAAGGGACGCTGAGTGTTGATTATTCGGATTCTATTCCATGACGCTCTTGATTAGCTGCAAATCCAAGTTTATTCATAATTATTGAGTCAATTATGGCAGACTCACCGATCTAGGCATAGAGCTCGATAGACGGCCTTTGAACAAATCCCCAGTCTCGTCTGCAGCGTCGAATGCACCCGAACGACGATGTCTGCTCGTACCAGCTCTGTTTGGAAAGAGTTCGCGGCCATCCGGCAAAACCGATGCATCAGAGGCCAAGGCTCCACCGTTGGTAGCAGTAGCCTTCCCGCGACCGCGGATTTCACCAGATATGTCTGTCCCTACGCCGCCCTGACCGGAGAACAATTCTTTCCCTCTATTTGAAACTGAACGATCCTGATCCCGCACGCGAGAGAGTGGCGGAGATCGTTGACGGTGTCTGCTTCTATGTGAAGTGCCATCGTCTGCGCCATTCCACCCAGGCGAAGCGCTCCTATTTCGGAGCAACCCTGTCTTGTTCCCAGTCTGTTTTGTTGGGAAGAGCTCTTTTCCAGCGGCACGAGATCTTCTTTCTACATCAGGAGAAGAATCACTGGATAATGACCTGCGCCTTCTTGCCCGTGGTTCATCGTCATACAATCCAACGTCAAAGCCGTGCTCTTCGTCCTGCCGGAGCCGGCGTCGGTGCTCTCTCCCATCATATTTTCGCCGCGCACCCTCATCCCCTCTATGACCCTCGTTGCTTTTCTGTCCTCGATACTCCCGCGGGTCATGCTCAGGGTGCATCAAGTAAAACCGACTTGCTTCATAGGCTCGGGGCTTTTTAACGTCGGTGACGGTAGCCAACCTGACTTGAAGAGTCGACTCCGGGTGGGATGCCAAAGATTTTGCAGGTCGAAGCTGACTGGTCGGTAGAGAAGATGGTTCCTCATTCGGAATTAATGAAAAGCAAACCAATGCCTTAAGAGCAATGGCCGGCGTCGGAAAAACGAAATTAGCAGATGTATCATCGATCCATTCGATGCGAGTTGGTGCATTCGAAGGAAAATGCTCCGATGAAAAGGCATTCAAATCCTCTGTCGAAAGCTCATCCAAGCCGCGAATGTAAATTTTGTGTGGTGTTAGTTGTGGCGCATCCTCTGCTTGTGTGACTGAGGCTTCGACAGCAGAAGTTTCCCCGGCAAGCTGATGATCCTACGCCCGAGTTTTACTTAGCAAATGCACGGATCTATCTTGATCGAAGTAACCATACCGTAGCCATACTTTCAGCCTCCATTGCTGTAGGATCATAATCCGGGCCCAAATCGAGATCCATGTCAATATCCATTGCGGGAGGTTGTTGCGCGGCCGTGGCCTCTGTTGATGTTGGGAAAGCACTTGAACTTGCCATTTTCTAAATCGCTAAGGAAATAATTCAGCATGCCCAATTGGTCCAGTGCATGAGACGCAAGAGCTGGAGCTTGGGGGGAAATGAGTTTATTCCAGACACACGAAGTAGTAAATATTACGACCAATTGCTATCTCATACGCGAAACAAAAGCGGCAGTTGCCGCCGGCCCTCTCCCAACTTCTTTACTTGACCGCCAGGGCCGTCCTCTTCTTAACGCTTTCGCAAATGTTTCCTGAGTATCGATGTGGAGGAGGTTCTCCCTCCTCCGCAAACTCTAGAGCACAGCAAACACCTTGATCCTTTGCCCAGTTCTGAACCGCTCGCGCAGGAAGCGGTTCCAATAATTTCGAATCGCACCTACAAACCGGCAGATCACCCATTTCTCTCTGACGTCCGAAGGACTCCAAACGCCGATCTCCCTGAACCGTGTCTGCGGCTATCACCATCACCCGATCGCGATTGTAGCCTCCTCATTGTCAGAACCCAGAAAACTTATATTTTGCCTTGAACAGCCAAGCGCTCTTCTAAGCTTAGTGATGAGCGTTGCTTGTCGAAGACAAATCTGTACTTGGTGTCTTCTTTCCATTTTGACATTCATGTGACGTGTTACCATAGTTTGGAACTTCCATTACTATCTTTCGAAGTAGCCGTGGGTGGTGCTGAAAGAATCGAAACTTGTTATATCTCAGGAGCATCAATTCGTTGGCGTTTCGTCGGTGGCAGTGACAGCAAAGCACTTTTATCTTGCCGGTTACGAGGACTACGAGACCTGCTCTCCGAGTCCTTGTCTGTTCTGCAGCTTGGACAAAAGGGCAAGATCATTCCCGTCGACTCTCTTGTTCTGAGGCGAGTGACTCAGTATCCGACGAATCTGGACCATCCGTCAATCTCCATGCGTCCGGGTCTCGATCCCGGGGTAGGATCGTATCTAGGCCCCAGACCGTCGGATTATCCTCTTCATATGCTTTGTCTCTTTTCAGGAGATTGACTTCGGTCATCGGGGCCTGTCTGGTCGCGCAGCGACAGCCTGGCACCCTGAGAAAGCAATAAATGTCTTTCTCTCCCTTCTTTGTTTACATGAGCGTGCGAAAATTGCCATCTTAAGTTGGCATTAACACTTACAGTCTCGAACCCCTTGTTGTCAATCATTTCCTTTCTATTTTGATCAAAGGACCAGCCTTTCCGTGATACCTTCATCATTTGAGCAACAGTGATCCTTTAAACAAACATGCAGCTGATTTACTTACTATATTATCAACTCCATTTGCTGCTTGAAACTGGGCCAGTCTTTCTACCACTGACCAGCAGTGGATTCTCTGAGAAAAGTTCTTGTTGTGGCGAAAGTGAGAGAACCGGAAACTTATGAACGGCTCCTGGACGTTAGAACGCTGACCAGCAGCGGCTCTTCAGTGCCTGTTTTAATAACTTCAAGATATGAGGACAAATCTTGAAGTGCTGCCGCAACCGCGCCGCCACCGATCAACAGCGTCCTTGTTGGGACGGGATATTGCAACTTAGTTGTAAAAAGTCAACGGTACCAGACCGTGAGTCTGATGCTGTCTTTAGGTTCTGGCTGGACACCGAAGCACGGTATTAACTTCAGGACCAGCCTATAAAACGATGTTCAAAATTTGAAAGGATGATCGTCTTTGCAAAGTAGGAGAGGAAAGGAGCTGAGGAAAATCAATATATACTTGCACGAGTCCATTCTTGCACACCCGATACCTTAGACAATGAGTTTCCAGAACGAATCTGAAAATTATTCTATTTCAGCAATTATGAAGTTGTTGATGAATATGTTATTATTCTGTTTGCATTTATTCGCTCCAAGCTATTGTGCCAACGAGATGCAGAAGTATCTATTTATCAAGATGTGGATTATCCAACTATTCACATAAATCGGTTAGTAAGGAAATCGCGTTCTATTGACATTCGCCATGGTTGCTCAATTCAATTGTCTCAAGGAAGTACAATAGAAATATATATCGCGTCCTGGATTGCTTGCCAAGAAGGACATTGAATAGCAGAGAGTGAATACTTTCTCAGAATCTCATTGTCAACTACTCTTACAATCTTCTCAGTATTACGGGACCGACAAGACAAAGAAAGGGCTTTGAGGCCCCAGTTTCTGCCCAAGAATGCAAGATAATTGCAGTCAAGAATTGCTCTTATACTGACACCGCAATGCATCTCAGTTTGAAAATGAGATTATCTAAGGTAGGTTATATATCTATTTCTCTGGAGAGGTGCATCCAGAGTGATGTCATCTCTGAACAATGGTTTGATAGGTCCCACCAGTTGCAAGCAAGCCACAGGCGTGAGACTGTGGGGGGCTGTGCTTAATGATGCGCTGCGGAATAGGTGTGTACCCCGTACTCTAGCTCGAGGCTGAGCTGGGGAAAGGCGCATGACTCAGCCAGTGTTGGACGCCTGAACTTTCGGGTCTCGCCTTATAAGCCGGTCTCTGCCTGTCACCTCAGGCACTCAGTAAATTCTTTGACCATTTTCAATTCTTCAGTTCTTTTTTTCCTTTTGCACTTTGACCGTTGCATTCTTTTGTTGTCTGCTCTCGAACCATATTGGTATTTGTTAACTTGTCAAAATTATCGAGTGCCCGAGACCTATCCTCGGTCTTGATCTGATCCCGACCCATGTGGAATCTTTCTCGCCCACCCGATCCGCTCGCTGCTGAGCTACCAGCTAGCAGCGACGTGCCCAGGTAAGTCTCTCGCAATGTGGTGGCTCGGTTGAGCTACACTTTCGTTCCCGCCGTCGCTAAGACTTTAAGCTTTAGCAACGGTCTTTGGGTGGACCCGGCTATCAATTGTCGCCTTATGGATAACCCAATTGATAACCGTCCAAGGGACATGGTTCCCTCGACCGTCCCCATCAGCAAACATGACATGGCCGGCCCATTTTCGCAATCGCCATGTCTAGTTGCCGACAAGGAAGGATCAACCATAGAGGTCTATGTATTGTCGGGACTTTCCCGACCGACTTACCATATATGGACCCATCAGCAACCGCAATTGCCAACCCGGGATATTTACAGGTCTCGGTCGATTGCGCTCATGCGCCCCTCCACTGCCGAAAATCCCTCTAGCCTGTCTAATGACGTGGAATGTCTGTTAGACGCCAGGACCATTGCCCTTCAAGCTCGGTTTGCTCAGCTAATAGATGCACCATTCCACAACAAGTATTTGCACAAGCTCGAATCCGACGAGCCTGTTACGTGGCTAAAGTATGCTCGACCCTGTCTCAAAATATGATATACCCTTTGACTCCAGCACAATGCCAGTCAAGTGCTGGTAGTCAGTGAGTTTTATTACGCTGTGGCTAACTGTATGCAGCCTGCATCATGAGAGGAGACTGCGGCACACCTTTGCCAATTACAAGAGCTACCAAGAGTGCTCCTTGTGTTGCCGCACCAAATCCCGGCAGCATCAAGGAGCTCAAAGCCCAACTTGTTTGGGGAATCAACAGGGTGATCTGTTCTCTCTTGAGATGGTTGAATGGGCGAGTCTTGAACTAGGCACGGTAGTGCCTTTTTCTGGGTCTAACGTCGAACATTGCGACGTTTCAGTTCATTTGATTAGACCCAGCCTTCCTGACTCTGATTGCAGCCTACAAGATATGCAAGACCCCAGAAAGAGTTCAGCACATGCAACGTTAGCAAAGACACGGTCGCGCAGCCTCTGGGAACAAGAAGTCGCAAAGATCATGGGCCGTTGGCTATCGAACGCCTTTCCACAACGTTTTCTACGCGCAGCAGAGCCTCCGTACTACCAGTGTTACCCTCGTCTCTCAGACCCGCCTATAGAGACACACGCCTTCTTCCAAAGGACGGTAACAACGACTACAACAAATACTATCTAAATCTGAAAGCTTTTAATTCCCTCGTCTGCATGGTTCACCCCCTATTGTTCCAGACCAAGATACGAGGTGGTGCCTTGAGCCTTGCAGCACGGAGAAAATAAGGAGCGGTTGAGGCCACATCATCTTCTACAATTCTGCAGCTGATGCTGTGGTAAGTTTGCGCTTTTCCACAGAAATTTTATATCTGTGCACCCGAGAATTGGCACAGCTTTGCCACTGGTCGAGAAGAAATACTATAAAAGATCTGGAATCTCCTGCACACATATATACAGGAGATTGTGTCTTTTCAACATAGCGGAATGCGAAAAAGATCACACTGAATCCATTGTGACCTTCGAACAGGTCATTCACAGGCCCGCCATAGGCCGTCGCCACCGGAGACCGTGATAAACAAAGCTTTTTATCTTCGCACACTTTGGGCTTCCCATTAGCAGAAGATTATTCAAAAGGTGAATAATATAGTCTGCGCTCTCGGCTCATTGAAAACACTCCATAAGTCCTTACAACCTCGACCTTACACGCGCACACAAAAACATCATCATAAGCCACGGCTTAACATCATTCACACAATGGATCCCAATTATGAAGAAATTCTCTCCCAACTCGAGCATGGGGCCTTGCCCTTCCCCTTCCAAGAAGAAAACTGTGGGCATATTAATGATGACCCTCTATCATCCACTTCACAACTGTGTCTAGAGAACTTAGACCTCTCGATATCATTTGGAAATTACTCTCCGCACGCATCCCAGGAGCTTGCGTTGACGCCTCCTTCCTCGACAGACACCTATAATCTCTTCTCCCCGGAAGCCGAGATGGCTCAACTGAATGAAGAAGACATCTTCCCTTGTCTTTTTCCTAAAGATCTGGAGCTCCTGCCAATGCCGTTTCAAGGAGGAGATGATCAGCAGCATCAAAATCAACAACAAAGCGAATCACAAAAGGCGGACCAGTGCTTCCCGGGGATTGATTCGCTTTCTGTATCCACAGAGGAAGCAAGAGTCCAACAAGAAGAAACCCCAGCGCCTAAAAGGCCGTCATATACATCCGCTGCTACTCCAGCTACACCCGCCATCTCTGGTTTACCCACTCCCTCTACGCCATATCTCACTTCACCTTCTGTCTCGCAGACGCCGGTGTCGAGCCCCACATCTAAGTCCATTCTCATTAGTGGTACTAGCACGTTCAGTACTACTACAGCACCCGCAACATCGAGCCCAAAGAATGAGCTAGAAGATTATGGCCTTGAGATTTATCCAGGCGCTTGGCGCTGCAAGCACCCTGAATGCAAGTCGCATGTATTGTATACCCGCGCTTGCGACTTGCGGAAGCACTTCAAGCGCCACATTAAACATCTGTGCTGCCGAATACCTGGCTGTCCGGAGGCACACATCCGCGCATTCTCTAGCAAAAAGGACCTCGAACGGCACGAAAAGAGCCATAATCCCAATGTGCCTTGTGCCTGGCCAACCTGCGAAAAGGTATTCAGTCGAGAGGACAACATGGTAAGTACTGAGATAGTCTGTTCAACCTATCTCTGAATTTGTACATGCCTAATGCTGTGCTAACTGCTCTTCTCTCCATTAGCGGGACCATTTTAGACGAATCCACCAAAAACCAGACCGCACGCGCAAAATGACTGCGCGAAAGGCAAACAAGCAATCCGAATAGACGTGCCTACAAAACTTCGTCTTCGCCTTGATATGACTTGTTTCAGACACATTTTTACGACCCTTTTCCATTTCCCTTCTCCTCTTAGCCGCTGTGATTTCCACATTTGCAAGGTGTTTTGCGTTCAAGCGCACTAGGTTGCTGGTATAGTATTGATTTCTTTGATTTATGGTAAGCTTGTACTTTTTTGGCATGACTTGATATTCTTCTTCATCTTGGTGAGTCTTGTTTGATTTTTCATTCCACAAAGTGTTGCGTGTCTTAATGTGTAAAGATTTCTGCGCGCGAAAGTTATTTCTAGATGTCACTCCAATATAAATTATTCTTTTTTTTTTTATCTCTGATTCCATTCTGAGCTCGGTGATAATAAAATTTCATCATGGATCTAACATTTCCAAATTCAATCAAGTATGCTTATGATGAACATGTATGCCATGTTGATGAAGTGTGTGTTGAAAAAGCCATATCGAAATGAGTATGCCGCGCATAAAATATCCAACTATATGCCGGGGGTATCTTCTTCTCTCTGTCATACCAAGGGAAGCTCTACATCGCTACTGGAGACCCAAAAAACCACAATCAAACGACTTCTTCTACCGTCGCCCTCCGACGAGCCTCGTCGCGGACTGCAGGACCATGACCAGATCCGGAATGCGCAGGAGCAGAATTACGAGAGTTGGCATGTGACAATAACGGTCGTCTCTCACCGTTTTCTTCTTCGAAATCGTCCATGCTCTTCCGACCCAGTATGGGATCGACATCAACGTCAACGCCAGCCAGTGGTGATGGTGATGTAGCATCATTGCCTCGGTACAGCCAATAATGCTGAACCATAAAGACAATATCAAAAAGGATAGTCACGTTCCCCAATCCGAATTTGACCGGGTTGCCCGTAACACCTGTCCAGTCGCCCTGCAGGGACGAATCGAGAATCAGCTGAACGTTGGAGAAGAGGCCGCCGAGCAGGTCGAGTTGGATCTGCAGGATGCTGAATGCCACGGTGGATTTGCGCTGGAAGTTGATGTATGCCTGCGGGGTGTATTTGATAATGGTGATGACGAGCTTGACGTAGCCGCATGCGTAGGCCTGTGCGATGGGGTCACGTTAGTGCGGAGTTCATGTTACGCAGATAAATAGTCGATACCAATTGAATAGACATGAAAAAAAAGGCAGAAAAAGTAGTAAAAAGAAAAGACATGAAGAAACGATACAAGTAGGACCAAGAAATGAGAGAAAAAAAAAGTGGAACAAGAATGACGAAAAAAGAAGGAGGGGGGAACAAGACATACGACATCAATCCAATCCCATCGCTCAGGATGGCTATTCAAAAAAGACGTAGGGCCATCATTATCCAAGATTCCTCCACCCGCGCGTGCCCTCGCGACCAGCACCAGGATCGATGATCCCGCAACGCCCACCAAACTGCCCCACCACACGCCCCGTATGGGCGTCGAAGAGCGCTGCTTCACGGTCCGATCGAAGCCCCACAGGCGCGGAAAGAACATGGAGTACGTCAGTGAGCTGAGCAGCACCGCGTGCAGGCAGTACGCAAAGTCGTTGAGGCGGACGGCAGGCTCCGGCGCCGACGGGTTGCGCGCGGCATATTGGGCGCGAATGGCAGGGCTGAAGAGGAACGAGGCGGTGCTGATGGTGTAGCAGACGAAGCCGAGGACGTTGATGGTGCTAAAGTCGAGAGACACGCCCGCGGTGCTGCGCCGGCGGTGGTTGAGCAGCGGTTGTGGGTAGAAGGAACCGGACCAGCAGAGGAAATAGAGCCACCCGAGGAGTCTGATTCATTTTGTTTTGTCAGGAGTTGGGTTGATAGGAATGAGAGTATGAAAGAGAGTCGACATGGATAAGTAAAGTGTGCTCTGTACGTGATGGATCGTAGAGAGGAACAAAGTAGTAGATATCAAGATATCGATAGTCATAAGCAATATAACGACAACAAGATATCAAGCAATGGCAGCAGCAGCATTTGCGAAAAACGTGGAAGTGCTGGAACTGCTTGAAGTGCTGGAGACAAAATACATATATGCAGATAATAAAGTAAAGTAAAGGGGCGGGGGGGAAAACTCACTCAGAGATTGTTCGCACAAAATGCTCTAATGTGATTCTCATCATGTCCAAAATAACGTTTCCAGGCACAAGTAATGAATATCTCGACACCGCAGGAATCGCGAGGGGAATTGTCCCGCGGCGCTGGGAGGTCCTGATGGAACGAAGATATTCCCCACAGTATAACTCTCCGGAAATTGGAAAGACGGAGACGAAAGGGTAACGTTATTGTGTTAGAACAATGACGACAGAAAGTAAAATTATGGATGTACTCGTAGGGATGTGGAGAGATAACACAATATGTAACAAAATCACATCATCGAAACCATTGGCGAGGTTCAATCATCAATCAATTGTCTCCGTGTATTGATTAGAGAGGATGGATATATTTCAGCATGAGGAATGGCGAGAAGAGAGAGAGACTGACTGACTGACAGGTCATACCTTAGTTAGCTGGGCTGGCTGACATGCATGACAGTGTTGGAGTGCTGGGTACCCGGGCCGGTACAGAATTACTCCGGTAGATGATTGGCAAAGTGTCCCAGGGTTCCGCGAGGGGCGGAGAACCGTTTTAGATGGCTGACTGATAAGCCCTGGGGAGTTTTAAGCCAGCGTTTGTTGCTTATCGGGGGGGTTTAGCTACGGCAGCCGATCGGAGTGGGAACCCCCAGGACACCCATTGTCATGTGGGCCTTGATGATGTACCTACACCTACCATCGCTCCTCCCAACGGTAACGCAACCAAGTAGCTAGCTAGCTGTGTAGATGCCCCCGCCCCGTGTCACCTTGACACTATCAAATGACAGAGATCTTGAAGAATCATATCTAAGACAACAGAAGAAGCCACGAACAGACCAAATGACACTGCTATTTCAAGAATTCCTTATCACCATCACTTGCCATCATGACTTCACCCCCACCACGCCTGGCAATGCTAAAGGGCAATTGTCAACCCTATCTTATTTTTACTATGTTCGCTACTATGTGGTCATATCTGAAAAGTGCACTGTACCACCATGCGTAGGAGCGGGGCGTGCCTATTTACCGTAGATTGCATGGATGAGCACCATGGAAATGAAGCCCTGTCAACAGTGCATAGACCAGGTCGAAGGCGCCATGACCTGGTCGGGGGAAAAAAAAAAAAGAATAATGTCGCTTCGAGAACTGACAGCAGCGATGATCAGTTGACCCTATCTCTTCTCTCGCCGTGCGTCCGTTTGATAAGGTACAAGTCAAGGGAGCTGATACTTCCCACGAAGTTTGGGTTACAGCTTTTGTGCAGATGACGCAGAGAGAGAAAAAAAAAAAAAAAACAAATGAACCAGATAACGCCCATTGCCGATAACCTTGTGTCATAACTTTGCGTAAATCTATGCCGCTTCGACCATTCCTTTCGAGGTCAACTTTGGTAATCCAAGCCAGGATTTTCCAGCCGGTGCCTTAATCTTTCCAAAATCTTGGTCAATGTCCAGAATGATTTTGAGGGCATTCCGACTCCGCAGAAAAGGTAATGGCGCTCTGGCCTCCTGCAACCCCACACTAGGCTCGGCATAGCCACGTGCGTCAGGTCGGGCAGCTGCCGTGCCGGGCATGGGTACCAAATGCTGCAGCACCTCGTAAGCCGCCAGCGTGAAACCAAACTGCGGAGAAGATCGCAGCACACGAGCGGGTCCACCCTTGAAGAAAGCCTTGATTCCCTCCTCCTTGAAGACGGTCGCTGCACAGTGGCGCAAGTTCCGGTATTTCGTCTCGCCTTTACGCGCCTCAACCTGCAAACGGGTCTTGATCACGTCGAAAGGTGTGGTCAAGTAGGCTGCGGGCATACCCGCAATCGCGCCTGCCGTGAGTAGCTGTAGGATTCCTAGTCGTTTATTGGGGGACTCCCCAAAATAATCTCTTTTGAGGTGGTTGTAGGTTGGGAAGTAGATCGCGGAGAAGGGTACTGTGTGAAGGGTTCAGCTTCCGTCTACCAATCTGCAGTCAATTGACAGGAATAAGGGGGCCTTACCGTCGCGTGCTAAGCATGCGCTTGCTCCTCGATACAAGCCCAAGATACCCAGGTTCTTGACGATCCACATTGCTGACCGGCGAGGTGCGTTCTCAGAGCTCTTCAAAGCTTCGCCCTGGACCTGAAGCCGAATCTTAACGATTTCAAGGGGATTGGTGAAGATCTAGCAGGTCCACTCATCAGCAATTGGAATGTCAATCGGACGAAGTTGTCGCTCCTTACCACTTGACTGCCACCAGCGCAGCCACCTGCAAGCACCTCCCACCCCCACCAGATTCTTCCAGTTTTCTTATCTGTGAATTTCTCCCGGATGAGATCGTTCACTGTGAGTTTGATGGCCTTTTCTGGAGCCACACCAATCAGTTGTGGGATGACACCGGAGTAAAGTCCTCTTATTCCTTCGTTCCGCACGACCTTTGACGCACAATCTATCGAATTCTTATACAAGAGCTCTCCTACACGTGCGCTCCGTTGGTTTTGCAACCGAGTCTTGACCAGATCGATCGGATAGACCACAAAGGCACCGAAAGCTCCAGCGACGCTTCCAAGAGCGAAATGATGAGCAGACTCGGCCATGCGATGCAAGATTGCCTTGGTCGTTGACAGAGCCTTTGCAGCTGCCGTGGCAGCAGCTTCACCTGCCTCTTCTCCCATGATATAAGCATTCTGCCAAGAAGCATCAACGACCTTGGCAAAGTCGGCAAGGGCCAGACGTCCCGATGGCTCATCCATTCCCGCAAAGTGGAAAAGAATGTCCGCCTCCATGGGCGTAAAAAGAGAAAAACGCGTGATCCTCGCGGCTTCGTTCAAAAAGTCTGTTCGGGTAATTTTGCCGTCTCCGCTCTTCGTTGTGGCATTGCGCAGGATCAAATCAATCAGATCCATCTCTCGAATGACATTTTGAAAAGCGCGCACGTTGGCGTAAGAGATTTTGGTACCAGCGGAGATATTACAAAGAGTCTGCAGATTATCGAGGATGTGATCAGAGAGTTTGTGCTTCGCCGTCTCTAGGATAATACGCTGGAAATCCTGGGGGTCAATGTACCCGTCGCCATCCTTATCAAAAAAATGAAAGGCTTGTCGGATCCGTTCTCCCTGCAGACCTCTAAGCATCTGTGAAAATTGCGGGTACGTCATGTCATGGCGCCTTTTTCTGCCTCCAATGTAGAGCGAAGCCCATTCGCAGTTCCAATCAAATGGAATATTTCCAGCTCCTTTGTTGAGATTATAGAGTCTCATGAAATCTTCGTACTTGACAGAACCAGTTCCGTCAAGGTCGAATAATCGAAAAGCAATCTCATATTCGGCATCTGCTTTGGTCAACAGATTCTCAAAGGTGCCCCAATCTTGCATGCTAACTTTCCCCAAGTTTCGACGGTCGGCGACACGAAAGAGGATTCCATATTGCTCGCGTTTGATCTTGTGCTATTACGTTGCGAATTGTGTTAGCTTCTGCTGCTGGCTATTTGGTTCAAGAGGAGGGACTGGGAAACGTTGAATCAAATCACTCACGTAATCTTCTCCACGAGGAGCAATCGCATCGACAAAATCATCCTCGGTCATGTAGAGCTCTCCAGTCTCCTTATCCTTTTTCGCATGCCTCTCAAACGTAGCCCGGGCCTGCCTCGAGAGCTGCGGCGTAGCTCTGCTGCCGAGCAGTGACTCCCTCACTGTCTCCTTTGTCGTCATGATGAATCACGGCTTCTGAGCACGTTCAGCTCGCGACAGTCAATATGAGCAGCTGTGAACAGCCCAATCGGTCTAAGAATAAAGAAAACGAGCGAGATAATAGAATCTGAAAGTAGCCAAAGGTTAGCTTAACGTTGCGTCACAGTTCGCTAAGTCAACAAGCTCCGTTAAGAGCTCACAGCGAGAACAACCTGTAGGACATACAATACTTCGCGATCGCAAGACAATTGATGTGTGAAGTCAGGCCGATCAAAGAAGAGCTACTTCCGCCAGTGAGCTCACTGAATTGGCTCCTGTAAAGGAGGCAGCGTGTACTGGTGTTGTTGCTGTCAAAAGTTTCAAATGTGACTCCCGCGTGAAGTTGCCCGTTTCTAAGTTGGCGAGGGACAAACTTGGCCTTTGACTCTTTCTCCTTGGGCGGTGTCTTTTGCTCCGATGGCCCGAATGGGGAAGCGCCATACTGGTACAAGTAACTCTTCCGCTGTCAATCCCTTTTAAAACGTCAAAAGCATACATATTAGATTTTACAAATTTCATGGCGATACTGGTATTATAAGAATCTATCGAGGTATACATGATTATTAGAGGTGTTCTCTTATGTGTTCTGCAATAACACTGAGTCTATAATGGCTTCGGACTTATGAGATGGACTGTTTCCCCGCGACAGCAGCGCATACGGAGTAATTAATTAAGACCTCGGTAGAAAGCTTGAACTCTCTCCGCCTCCGCTTTTTCGGTTCAATTTCCTACAGGCAAGTCCAGTATGGCTACTAAGAGTCGGCATGGGCGGTAAACTACTCCACACTCAGCTACGGGTAGATCAGCCGAACTCTTTTGATTTCTGCTGCCCCGGTGTCGTCAAAATCAGACCACTTTATCACAGCTGCCCTGCCAGGAACAAATGTTCCTGCTCCGTATGGTAGTACTATAATTATGCAGGTACATATCCTGCACGAACGATTCCTAAGCGGCTCATCCGATGAGCGTCAAACTGCATTATGCAGGAGAATGGTATTGTGTGCCATTGTCCACTCATCCGCCGAAATAAAGGGAAAGGGGGATTTCGTTTCCGGTTAATATGCTGCTGCTTAAAGAAGATCAAGCATCCAATCAAATGGTTAAGGGGACGTCTTTTCGGTGGTATCCGCTGTGACTGCAATGATTCAGTGACCATGGGTCGAAGACACCGAGAGCGATGGCACCCTCCTTTGCCGGTCAAACACGCAAATGATTCACTAAAATACTGAGATTGGATGGTTTCCCAAAGATGACTTTCTTGATGTCGAGGAAAATATAATAATTAGTTACAGAGGTGATATGACTCGCTCTCACATTGACTCCCTAATCTCCAAATAGGACATAGATTCAAACGAGAAGTTCAGCTAATCTCGAAAGAATACCCTTTAGCCTCAAGTCGCGAACTCTGCTCAACAAACATAGTCTGCCAGAGTCTGATTCATGAGTGCCTCCACTGGCTGTTCTGTCATGGAACTGCGGTGGAGGTCGATATTGATGTTCTTGCTTGGGAAATATTGTTTGTACGTCGTCAAAAAACCATATTTGATCTTTAGCAGATGTGTGCTGACCTGTTGAGTTGCTTTTAGAGAAATCAGAGTTTATCTTTGGGAGTTTGGAAATTTTAGCCTACCTCAATACTTTCAAAATCTTTCAGCACATCATTCATGGTATTGCGAAGTCATGGCTGCACGGTGTCTTATACCTCCGACCGCTCAAGGCCACCATTATAGTTAATTATGGCGGTGTCAGGGATATTGCCTCTGATCTTAAGGCTTGCTTAATGCTTGAGCAAGCCGTAAAATCTCCAAGTCAAAGTCGGACCATGATACTTTGCCAAACTGCTGTCATCGTCGAATGTTTTGATCAAAGCGCTCGACATGGGATTGCTTATTGCCACACCACCACTGTTCGTTGCAGATAAGGTTGGGGTTACTGCGTATTGGAGCGAATGCCAATATCTCCTCGCTGAAAATAGTACGCTGAACCTTTCGCCGAACTTCGCTCTCAAAGTACTCTCAGGAACACTGGGCAGAATTGAAATAAAATCAACGGGTCGAACAAGAGGTAGTCTGTGGCTGCCCCAAAAGGAGGGCAAAAAGATGCCCTCGCACAAAATTTCGGGTGCACATAGAATCGCTGATATGAAAATTTGCTTATTGCGGCTTGATAACGGCCTTTCGACTTTTGGCAGTGCATTTTTAGTAGATGCTTGCTCATGCCCCGGCAAAGCGTGCGGCAAGACTAGGTGAGCCGCCATATGCAGTTTTGATGAACTCTGGATAACGTTGAGTACAGATTAGCCCTTTTGGACAAAGCAATCCAATGAAAATGAAGATACCCACCTCGACCTCGAGTCAGAGTTGTTGCAAGATCCGTCTTCGTGTTTTGGCGCCAAATCTGAGTGCACCATCCAGCAACAATAAGATCTCGCAAAGGCTCATCGACGCCTTGCTGGATCTTTAGAATCGGCGCATTGGATCCCTTTTCTTCGACCGCTACCAGCTTCTGATTCGAATCTTTCCATTGATTCTTATCATAACGGAGTACAAGACGATTTTTGAAGCTAATCTCCCAGATATCGCCAAAAAGGCTGCGTCGCCTTTTCATGGTGGCATTGCCCGTGCCGTAGCACCCTCTTCGTTTACCCACAATCTCGTATACGGATGAAGTGAAAACCTCGCCACGGATCTCATAAAGATCTTGGTCTCGCACTTTTCTCCTTGTACCGTTTTCGCGTTGTTTACCTGGCACAGACCTATGTAGATAAACACGGTCACCATGCCAGGTGAGGAGTCGGGGGATATGATACAGAGCGAGAGAGGGAGGCTCAGTAGGATATATAAGGTCAGCATCCATGGTCAGAGAAAGAGGTTTATCCGATGATGGCCGCGTTGGAGTTTCATCTGAGGGAGGTGCTTCTTCTTGTCCTTGTTCTTCTCCTTCTTCTTGTTCTACGGACTCGGTAGCGTATTCTTCATGTTTGGAGTCGGCGGTTGGCCGGGTGCGTGAGGACGCTGCGCCAGCTGATACATGTAAATTGTATGCTGGTGGAGCGCCATCGGGCTGAGCACAAAGTCGACTTTCATTCATAGCTACTCTTTGTAAGATGCCAAATATACGATGGGTTGGAATGGTGGTGAGAGCATCCTAGTCGCTGCTCGCCACATTGAAAGTTGCGGCAGGTGTTATCGAACGGGAGTGAGCTAAACGTTGGTTGGAACTCTCTGCTCATTTAAACAACTCAATGTACACAGCCGTGTTCTAAATCGAACTTTAATGATCATCAACAGCAAGATTGAGCATAGCAATCAAATGCGGGCAGTATGATGTTGGCGGGGAGAACAATCTATACTCCAGATAGTAAAGACGTCATGACGGTTCGGCCCTTGAGCTCAAGCGAAAACTTTCCCCAATTGGTGGTGAAGCACAGCAATCATACATTCCCCGCACAATTCACTTTGTTGAGTATCGAAGGACTTCAATCTGTTAATCACCTTCAAATTGAAATACACTAGATAGCTCTGTAAGAGGATCCTTGACGGTGCAATGGTACACGGTATTATCGGATAAGAAGAGCACGAGTCTTTGTGCTTTGATCATGTCATTACACGTTCTGAATTGGCTACATTGGTATGAGTAGTAGTCGCTCACGAGGAGGAGCTAAAAGCAGTGGAATGATAAGAATTAAACATGATGGTAACAGTCATAATACATTTCATTCAAGTGCTGTTCATTACTGTGAAAGAATAGCTGCCGAATACAGAAAGAAAAGCGGTGGAGATGAAGTTGATGCATTTGCCATTCAGCAGATGGCCGCCAATGAGATGGCACACGCGGTGGCTGCTATACTTGTCACGGGGCCCACTCAAAATATTCCCTCGATGCGCTCATGGTGGTAAGTTCTCAATATTTGAAGACTGGGTGCTCGATGATATTATTATAATATCCTGGGCTTGGGTCGAGGGGTGTCCCATCACCAACAAACTATAGGCGGGACAGTGCAGCTACCCAGGGTAGATTAGTGATGAGGCTTGATAGCTGATAGGACAGCAATCATCTCCCGCACGGGAAGGCGGATAGGATTTGGCTAATATCACGTTGATTTCAGGGATTGCATGCATCTCCTTTCACACCTCCAGTATATCTTTCCCCTGCCGAACAGCTGCAGGTGCAACTTCTCGGCGGTTACAGGACCCCTGCATCCTGGTCGCCCACAGGTCCCAACCCCTCAATCAGAATGGTTGCATCTAGATGCCCACTGTGCGTTACTGACACCCTTATGATCCTCCTCTTTTAGCCCCTCCCCTCTATTCAGGGCAACAGCGCTTATAAAGACGGTGCGATCGCGCCGTATCCAGACGGTTCTATTTTGTTGTTTTTTCTCTGCAGGCACTTGTTTTGCAAGCAGGTCTTCCCTGTCTGTTTTATTTGCTTCTATTATTACTCGCTTTGCTTCATCGTCGCCGTCTTGATTTCGTTTGGCTGGTCCATTCCAATCGTGACTTATTCTTTTTTGCTTCATTTCATCGTTAAGCTTAACATAAAACTCTAAAACCTTCTTGAAGGGAATAAATATCGTTTCATATTTACCCCGCACAACTACCGTCGTCATTTCATGAGACTTTTTCTTCGTTGCGCCTCCCAGCCACCAAGTTTCAATTCTCGGTCCGCCACCGCTTACCTGGTTACCTCATCAACAGCGTCATTCCTCGGGACCCCAATACAAAAAACATATTTGAACCACTAGGGTTCTTGATTCGTTCACCAAGCTCTATCAAATATTCATATCAATTTCCTCACTCGGTTGTCCAACGTTTTCTCATCTACCAGACAAGATGCTTTCCACTGCAACTCGCGCTGCCCGGCCAAAGCTTTCCCTCAATGTCGCTGCTGTGCCGGCTCGGCCAACTCTCTCCCTCAAATCGCCATCAGCAATTCCGCGAACACCATTGAGCCCGTCGCCGCTTAGTCCTACCGCCTACAACACCCGTGCAAACCAAAGAGGCTTCTGCACCGGGCAACAACCTACCTTTTCGTACCCCATACCCGTGGGTACCAAGAGCATTCTCAAGCGGACATCAAGTACATCATCTGCCTCATCTTCATCATCTTCATCCCGCAAGATCCAGTTTGACGACCAGCCCGTGGTGCATTGCATCACGCCAGTGTCTCTTGAAGATGGCGACAGCAGTGCGGCAGCCTATGTCCGAGTAACTCGCGAAATGCGCTGGTCAAGAAGCTACGACGGACTATGACAAGCTCGATCGCTCCAACAAATAAACAGCATGGTTATTTCTTACGTCATGCTATCTTTTTTTTATGGAGGGAGATGACCTTTGCTCTTTTTAGCGGATGTATGACTTGAGGCTGGAAGTCCGAAGCATATGGGAGGCTGGCACCTCCTTTTTCATTACTTGGCCCGGCATCATCTCGGCGCCCCAGCCACACGTTACAGTGGTTAGAACGAAGGATGAGTAACAAATAATAAGGAACACGGCGCCTGAGTAGCTCGTTGGAGTGGATCTGTCTCCGCTTGCCTAGCCGTCGGCTCTCGGCAAGGCCAGGGTGATCATTCGGAGTTCGGATGAATCCAATTAGACTCCAGGGACCTTGGACGCACAGCTAAACACTCGCGCCTTACGAGAAGGAAAGGAAAAACTATTTGGAACTTTTGGGGACTTTTACGGTGATGATGGGAAATGAGGTTTTACGGATTCACGACGATTATGATATCTAAATTCTACTATTCTTCTTACCATGAGTATTTAAATATAATTATCATTTTACCATATGAAGACCTCCATGCTAATTGATCTTTCCACTCTTGATGCTCCCTCGAAAAGGAGAATCTTTACGCACGTAGGATTTGTGTCAACTTTCTCCACCAGTAGAGCAAGGTGCCAGATAATTACACTAAATAAATTAATTTCTAACAATATTCTCATACTCATTTCCATTTTCAATCGTTTTCAGGTGCTGCCCCACCAGACTCCAAAAGATTTCCCACGGAAATTATTAGGGCGAGGGGACGGGCGAAGGGGTCGTTAGCTGCATACAGTTAACAATTAACCTCCAGCGCTCGTCGTGTCTTAGCTAACCTTAGGTAAGCGAAACTTCCCATCGGGGAGCTCAAACTCCGATACTTTGATGCTCTTTTTCAGATGTCAACCGAATAATCCAGAGCTACTCCGCCAAAATTTCTACGTCATCTCATCACCTTCCACAGACAAATTGCGCCATGGTATCCCGTGGGGAGCGATTTCACGTCGACTTGCCTTCCGACAGTGAGGAAGAAGCAGAGACGCAGGCCGGCTCTGCAGTGCCTCCGCCTCTTCCTCTCTCGCTGGGGTTCGTCTCAGACATTAAAGAGCGAGAACCGGCAGCACCAAAACCACCTGCGCCGCCCAGTCTAACTTCGACGAAGACCGGATTTCCTGAACACAAGAAACGAACACGAGTATCTGCATTCAAGCAACGGCGAGCAGCGGCTCCGAATGGCGACGCATCTACAGTTTCCTCGGGCTCCCAAGCGCCGGCAAAATCCACAGTCCCAGTCGACGACGAGAATGCAAGCTTTGAAGAGAATGATCGACGACGTATAAATGAGGAGAACGATCAACGGCTAGCAGCCATGTCAGATGCCGAGATTGCGCAAGAGCGGGAGGAACTCATGGCGGGGATGAATCCGTCATTACTAGAAATGTTTTTGAAAAAGGCGCGCATCGACGAATCTCACGATGGACCTCAAACTCGCCAGGAGGAAGAGCCACCTGAAAATAAATCAGACGCACGGCCAAGGTCCTCCAAGAAAGTCACGTTCGATGATGAACCCAGCGAGACCGCACAAGACTCCCAAGATTTCACACCCATACCATCATCATCATCATCAACACCGCCAACAACCGCAGGCCCAGATCCTGATTCCATAACTCCGACCTCTCCTCCTCCAGACCTACACCCCGCCAACGCTCCTCCTCGCCACAATAGCCAAAAACCCGATACTCCATCCTCATCATCTCCCAACAGCAACCTCACTGACGCCCTCCCGCCCGGCCCCTCTGTACACTTCCCCCGTCCACCCTCCCCACCAGCACTCGACCCCAACTCTCCCAGCTTTCTCGACGACCTCCACAGCAAATACTTCCCGTCATTACCGTCCGACCCGAGCAAGCTGCAATGGATGTCCGAGCCCTCCGCGCCCGAGAGCACATCCTACTCTCCCGACGCCGAGTCCTTTACTCCATCCGCTCTCCGCTTCGGCTTTACCGGCGCATTACTCCCGCCCCGCGTAGCGCTCGAAATCCCCACCACCAAGGGCCTGCATCACCACGGCAACGCGCCTGCCAGCGCGGGCTACACGATCCCCGAACTCGCGCATCTATCGCGCAGCTCGTTCCCCACGCAGCGCTGCATTGCGTATCAGACCCTCGGAAGAATCCTCTATCGGCTGGGCATAGGCGAGTACGGCGACGAAGAGTCGGATCTGTCGAACGGCCTCTGGCAATGCATTGAACAGGGAAGAGTGATTGACTCGCTGGTTGCCGAGGCGGATGGGAGGTTCTCCGCGCATGTCAGTGCCCAGGCGCATGCGCAGGAAGCCGTGTGGTTGTGGAGAAAAGGGGGAGGCAGGAGATGGAAGGCGGCGTAGCGGCGTAGTATCGTTATTTTTTATTTTTTATTTTTATTTTTTATTTTTATTTTTATTTATTTTTATTTTATTTTTCCTTTTCCTTTCTCTTTTTGTTTCCTCTCCACCCCTCTACTTCTCTCCTTCTCTTCCTTTCCGAATCGCATCAAAAGGCAATATGGGGAAAAGCGGGCGTAGATTCATGTATTTCAAGAATTTTCTCCTTTCTCTTTTTTCTCTTTTTTTGTTTTTCACATATTTCTTATCTCGTATATTCCACATACTTCACATATTACATATTCCACCCATGTCATTCGCAATCATTTCAATTATCAATAACGAACAATATATCATGATTCTATACCTATATACCTAATCCCATGCATCCAATCCTATACATGTACTCTAAAAACCCCTAAAAAAAATCGTGTTTTCCGTGTGACATGTGACATGTCAATGTCAATGCTAATGCTAGTGCTAATGCTCCGTTTCGCTATGCATTCCGTGCTATTCCCTTGAACCTTTGAACTTTTAAACTTTCGAACCTTTGAACCTCTGAACCTGCTAATATGACAGCGATTGAAAACGATAAATGCGGCATGCAGCATGCAGTAGACAGTAGACAGTAGACAATATACCTCCCAGAAATAAAAGACAATGTAAACAGAATCAGAAATAAAGACAACGAAGGAGAAGCAGAATACCGTATCTAATAAAACGAAATGGCAGATAACGAGAGACAGGAAGGGAAGGGAAGGGAAGGGGAGAAATGGCCGATAAGGAGACGGGAAGGGAAGGAAAGGGAGGAATCAATCAACAACACATGATCCCCCTCTGAACCGCCCCCGTCTCCAACACGTGCCTCATCTGCCCAAGCGGTTGCGGTTCCAATCTCGACCCCGCCGCCGATGCCGCCGCCGCCGCTGCCTTCGCCGCGGACTTGTGCCGCGCAACGAGTTTAATCCCCGCCCGACCCACCGCCGCGCGGAGTTCGGGCGACTTCGCAGCGAGTGATTGTAGCGCGAGCCATGCGTCGCGATTTGCTATGCGTGAGGGGCTGGCTTTACGACCACGGCCGAGGGGACTAAACGAGCGGTGGCGGCCAGAAGATGACGATGATGACGACGATAACGGTAGTAAAAACGAAGACGAAGAGGAAGAGGAAGAATATGAAGAAGAAGAGGAGTAGGATGAGGAGAAGGAGGGTAGAGAAGAAGAGGAGAAGGAGGATAGAGAAGAAGAGGAAGAAGTTCGCAGATGGCGAATGGCGCGCTCAATGTCGTGCGGAAAAAGACGCAGCAGGAAAAGCAGATCCTGCAGATCAGACGGTTTCGAGCGGCGCGTCGTGGCGCTGAGTTTGCCGACAAAGAGCCGCGCGGGGGAGAGTAGGGGGAGCGGCGGCATGGGGAAGTACGAGGAAGAAAAGGACGAGGACGACGACGAAGAGGAAATAGACGAGGACGAAGAGGAGATGGAGGAGAATGAGGATGATGGGGAGGAGAAAGGGCAGTGGAAGAAAATGTCGTCGTGTGGAAAGGAAGACGAAAAGGACGAGACGCAAGGGGACGCCTTGCGAAAGTCAGGAGGCGGAAGAGGAAAGAATTCGACGAGGACGAGTGGGCCGGTTGCTGTGCTGCCGTAAGAGGATGAAGAAGACGAAGTGAAGGATGAGGAGGAAGAGGGCCGGTGTAGGCCTTTCCAGAGATATGCAACGTAGTCGTCCCGCGCGTGGGGAATCTCCATCCAGTCTGGATGCGAGGAGAGCAGGGCGACAAGGGTGGCCTTGGACACGGACACGACAAGGTCAATGTCCTTTGTTTCGCGGCGGCAGCCGAGGACGGTTGTTGCGAAGCCGCCAAAGAAGGCGTGTGGCACGCCGAGCCGGTCGAGGAGAGCAGTCGTGGTGAGAGCGCAGCTGAGGAGCGCGCTCTGGTGCATTTTCTAGCGTTATTTGGATGTAGTAAATATATGGATAATGTGAATGATATGAATGATAGCTCGAGGCTTGGTCGGTGGTGTGATCAATTGTGATCAATTGGAAAAGAGTGTAGATATTGTTGGAGGCAATTCCGCCTGAGGACAGTTCACAATAGGATGATGAAATGTTTCCGTATAAAATTGGCCGTGGTGTCTTGTCTCGATATTTAAAAATCGAGTGAACTTTTGTTGAAGAAAGATGGTATATATATATAGACAGTTGTATAGACGTCTGAAAGACTGATTATCCCGAAAAGAATGGAAGGGAGATGATTATTGGCAAAGAAGAGATCGACTCTTTTGGTATTACGGTAGAAACGAATGGCAATGGTCTGCCAAGAGGAAAAGAGATAGAAAAAAAAAGATTGAATAGAGTAAAGAAGAGGAAAGAGAAGACGTGGCCTGCAGATCGGAAAGAATTAAGCTCCCCACGCGGGAGATATATAACTTTAAAAGCTAAGCAACAAAGGACAGCGCAGAAAAAAAAAAAGAAACACCTGAAACAAAACGAGTCTCCACACAGGGCAAGACGTAAGGGAAAATCCCACGACAACGACAATGACTAGAAACGTTGAAAGGCTAGGGCCCAAGTGGCCGGATGACGTTGTGAAAGAGACGCAGGGAGCAGGAGTTGAGAAATGTGGCAGCCATGGATCGACCCTAGGCTCCTAGGCCCCGTGGCAGCAAGACCCTTGCAGCTGGCCCGTGGCTCAGCTTGCCATGCCATTGTAAGGAGCAGTCAGCATGGCCGGGCTGGCGGAGATTGGGAATGTTCAGGGGGTGAGAGAATCAGACTCTGAATCGATTCTGTGGGCTGTTTGGACGGGGATGAGCGATCCTGGCGGCTGCGCAAATTAGCGGTCGATAATAGGGCACCGTAGGCGTGGCTCTAAGGTGCCAAGTCGCCCAACTGATCTCATTTCTTGACGGGACAAGAGTGATGATCTGGCGCGGACACGCCGATGATGGAGACTTCCCTGTCCCGTCATTGCTTCTTTTTCTTCTCTGTCTCTCTTTCTCTTTGGCACACACCTTCTCGCTCTCTCTCCCTCCCC